AGCTTAAGGAGTATCTTGATAGCGGTAAGTTAATAATATCTCACTTATAAAGTCTTTACTAACGTATATTCTAGGCATTGTACGAACTCCTGTCTGTATGTTCTGGAAAGATCACCAGCATCAATTTCCAGCGCTTGCAAACCTTGCACGCGACGTGCTTTCGATTCCTGCAACAGGGGCAGGTGTAGAGCGCCTCTTTAACTCTGCCCGGGATGTCTGTCACTACCGGAGAGGCTCGCTAAAGCCATCAACAATTCAAGATCTGATGATGTTCATGTGTACATCAAAGTTTGAGATTGAAGAAGGTCAACGAGCTCTAATCAACGAATATCTCTTACATGAAGAGATACAGGCCAACCAGGAGGCGAAAGATCTAAATACTCCATACCTTGAGCCAATTAGCGATAACGAAGAGATTGATGATGCAGGATTAGTTATTGATACTACACAGATTGCAGTCATCACAGCTCAATCGCAACAACAACAACCCTCGTCAACAGGGCCAGAAAATGGAGAGCATGAAGAAGAGGGCGAGCCTGACTTACCAAACACACAACTTCGGCATTCAGGAAGGGTTCGAAAGCGCTCAAGGTTTTTAGAAGGGTATGAGAGTTGATTTATAGTATCTAGCCCTAGAAATAGTATGAAATAACATGAATTGAAGCAATTATTTGATATTTTCAACACGCTTTCCCTAATCATGATAATTTATTCTAAAGGACCTAGCTGTATATCAAATACCTAAAATTACAGTCAAAACTAGCATAATTTATGCAACCACAGAGCTTTCTATGTTTGTCATGTTTGTCGGCCCTCGAAATATTCCGAGGGCCGCCCTCTGAGGGCAGGGTAGAGACCTACCCGACCCGCGGGCAGGAAGAGCCTGCCCTCCGCCCGCAAAAGTGCGGGTCCGTGGGCGGCCCTCAGAGGGCGGCTCGCGGGCGGTTCCGAGGTCTATTGATTTGCCACTTCGCTAGCCTCGTCAAATACAACTTCATCACCTTCAACAGGCTGGTTTAGCTGTTGAACTAACTGTTGGCCTTCTGTAATAGTTAGGCCTCTATTGTGTTTTATTTGTTTATTCGGTTGTGTTTTTTTTTTTTGCTTTTTTTTCTTATTAGTGTGTCGTAAATCGGTATTTTCTTTAGCTAAAATTTTAGCTGTATATATCGATAAAGTTGTATTTTTGATGATCAAATTTAGAGCTTTTATTAAAGGGAATAGAGGACTTTTAGACCGTTTTATAAGCAGATCTTTGACCAATTTTGTCTGTCTCTCGAGTTCGAGTATGGTTTTAGGTATTTTAAGCGAAATTTTGCTTAAACTACTATTTGGTTGACTCGATGGTGGTGAAGATGTTCGAAAGGAGATATTAAGCTTAGAAAGTATCCTTTTAGTATTAATTAGAGTTAAACTAGTAGCTATAGAACTGCTTTGAATAATATGAGACTGGAACGCTTTTTTTTTTTGCATAAGAATATTGTGCTAGAAAGTCGAACTTGTCGATATGGTTATAGCTGGTTCGGGCTAAATCGTTTATAAATCGACTATATATACGTTTTAAGACTGTAAAATATCTAATATCGAGTGGTTGGAGTAGATGTGATGAATGTGTAGGTATACAAAGTGGTATAATATTATTTTTAGCACAAATTCGATCAAATTAAGGTGTTAGATGGCTTTTATGACTATCAAGTATCAATAATCGATATCGACCTCGCATACATGAATTTGTATGTAGAATAAAATGTTTTTCTAACCAACAGAGGCCTATCTTATCTGTTGTCTAACCATTGTTCGTGACTTCAATTCGCCAGTCTTGTGGTAGATTATTAAACCAACTAGTATTATAGACTTGGCCTTTGAATATGATGCACGGTGGAAGCGATGAATTATCGGTATAGATTGTCTCAATTGCAGTAACCTATTCACGATTTCTAGGCTGTAGAATCTTTCGTCGACTGTAGTATTCTGCTCGGGTAACCATCTTTTGTATCGATATAAGGCCTATTGCAAATCTAGTCTTATCAAAGTTATAGATATAGTCTTTCGGGGTCTTCATATGTTAATAAGATCTGGTTAGGCGCTGGCGGCACTTATACAGTTAGCAGAGAACGAATAACAGCAGGACTAGGGCAGACTCACGTCGAGGGAATACAGGGGCCAAGAGATAATGGAAAAGGTAGAAGTCGGATATAAAGCATTCTATCTTCCTTTGGGCTAGCTTGATCTCCTATGTCGGTCGTGCCAAGTAGAGCTAGGATGCGATGGCGGGCAGGGAGGTCCGGAGGGGGAGGTCCGGAGGACTATGCGTGAGAAACTCGCGCCTATCGAGCTCCTCCTTAGTCCCGTTCTGGCGGCCTATGACGTTGAAATCGGGAAATTCAGCCAGGCGGATAGTGGCCATTGCGACACATAGTCCTGGTAAAATACCATTCTCCTCGATTATACGTTGCACGGTTGTAAACCACTCTTTTATAGAGTTCGGATCCTCATTTTGAGCACGTTTATAATCATATCGTCTGGGAAAACGTGTTCGGAGTTCATCGCGTCGTTTAATAAAATTTGAGATTCAATTAACTCCAACTGTTGGAGAAGGAGTTGAACCTCGTGTTTGTAGAAGGATATTAGCCATTTCTCACATAGTAGAAGGCCTAGGAGCTCTCCACGCGTATCCATAGAAATAATCCATTCAGTAAGCGAATCCTCCTCTAATTGAGTCAATTTATGACGATGCCAGCGGTTATCGACGCGTGGAGTTATTCCATTAGCGCGATCGTGAAGGGTAGTGTAGGGTATCTCGAATAGCTTCGCAGCAGCGTGGAGGGACTTAATTTGGCCTTTTTTAACTGCTTCAAGAGCTAATAAGACCCTTCTCTCTTGTTTAGCAGATTTTTGCCACGATTCCGATCGAATTGGTGCCATATTGGAGGTTTGAAGATGGAAGGTAGGAGGAGACGCGTGGTTTTCGGTGGGGTTAACGGGTTAACCGTGTTAACGGGTTAGCCGTGAATTACGTTAGTTAATTAACTTGTCATGATTCACGCCTAACCCGTTAACACGTTTAACCCGTTAACCCCACCAAAAATCACCACCGCCCATCCAGATCCTCCATTCATAGTAACTCCATAAGAACATATTAATTATCTCTAACGAGCACTCCGTACAACGAGTAATATTGTGCCCTAAATACTCACATCCGCTACATCTTTGCAGAGCCTTTTTGCGTGACGAGTCTGGCCGATTCGCCACTTCGCCTGCCTTATACGATACTACTCTATTATCTTCAACAGGCTGTATTTGCAGTTGAGCTAACTGGTGGCCTTTTACAACAGTTAAGACCTGTATCGCGTTTCATTAGACTATTCGATGGTGTCTTTTTTTTACGCTTTTGTTCTTTCGCGAATCAGTATCCTATGGAGTTTGGATCCTCGGTTTGAGCGCGTTTGTAATCATATCATCAGGGGATACGTGTTCGGAGTTTATTGCGTTGCTGATAAAGTTTGGGACCTACTTGATTCTAAATTGTGAGGAGGGAGTTAAACCTCGCGTGGGAATATCAGCTATTTCTAGTTCAGTAGAAGATCTGGGAGCTGCTCCAAATATATCTATAGAAATGGTCCACTTGGTAAATGAATCACTCTTCAATTCAGTCATCTTACGACGATGACAGCGGTTATAGATGTGTGAAGATGTTCTCTTGGCGCGATCGTGAAGGGTAGTATAGGGTATACGTATAGCTTCGCTACAGTATGAAGACAATTAATTTAGCCCTTTTTAACTGCCATAAACCTAATAAGATCCTGCCCTCTTGTTTAGGATTTTTGCCACGATTCAGGCCGATTTGGTGCCATATTAGATCGTTGAAGATGGGTGGAATGAGATTAACGGGTTAGGCGTGAATCACGTTGATTACCTTAAAACACGAGCTCCTCACTTTTGGTCTACTGCGGCCAATGAAACTTCCCTAGTCAAGATGGAACGAACTACCTGTGACATAGAGCAAATTGAACAACCGAACTATGGCTCTGTCTTTCTTCAATAGTCGAAAGGCGACCGCCGAGAGCCCTAATCCATCAATTAGTACATTGACCCATCTTCAGCATGGGGCAGGAACGCCCTAGCGAAAGCCGTCCAGTGAGCGAGATCGGTTCTGGTGGGTCTGCAAGACTTGAAGATGCAGGTCGAGAACTCTATATGTGCAGCCTCAAGCTCCGCGAGGAAAAAGTCGCCCCGGGATGGTACTAGCACCAACCGGGGCCTAGTTGCTGGGGCCTTTGCCTTTGCTAAGTAAGGTCGACCCCCCGGGGCCAAAACAATTGTTTATCCGCAGATCACACTCACTCCATTCCCAACCACGCACCTACCATACGTCCTATTTTTACAATGAAAGCGAACATTACAAAACGGCACAAGGGAGGAGCGTTACGTACTAAACAAGCTCTCCAATACTAGAAAGGTCGGAAATATCTACTTTGTCACCATCGCCACATTAGCATGAGGAAATATTGTCTGGACTATGGGAAGTTAGGGCGGAGGGCTGGCTAGATGGGAGGGAGATTGTTACTATAGTTTATTTCTTCCTTTTTTCTTCCCTATCTCAAGCGTGGAGGAGCATCCCAGAACAAGAGTTCCAATTTGTCAGACTTAAACACTACTACATCCACACCAATTGTGCGGATATGCTCAGGCACGCCTTAGATAGTACACTCTGGACGGGGATTCGTGGCAAGTATATTACAGCTAGAGCAGACCTAGTCCGACCTGCCTAAAATCAATTAGTATTAGATTCAATATCTAGTAATCCATAGAAAAAAAAAAATGATGAATCAGCAATTTACGCAAGCAAAAGAGGAGATCCCTGGGCAATACGTACAGTAGGTTCCTGCAGGTTCAGTTCGTACCTGCAGGATAGTTGGTCCGCTTGGGTGGAACCTGCGCCCCCTATGGTCCAACTCCAGATTCCGACCCATAGAACCGGGACCACACCATGTCGAGGTCTAACCGGGAGGCAATGCAGAGAAAGAGACATCATCAAAAGAATCGTTGCCGAATTGTGGGTATTCGGGTATGGGGGCATTCAGCTGCATATGTGGATCTAAGTTCGACCCCATGAGGGCAGACCGTGTCTCTGGAGTGACAACGTCGTTCAAATCAAGCATCACATCTGCCCCGTAGGAGATATCTTGGCCTGGGAATGCCGGAAGCCAGACATCCACGTCATTTGGATCTATTAGAGCGTCCTCGCTTGCTGACAGTCGGTCTACCGACATTGGCTTGGGGTCATTGTGAGGCGAGTTTCTCTCGTTTCCCCTGTTCGGCGTCGGTGCCTCCTGAGCAGCCCGCCGGCTCGTTTGCCCGACGGACGGTGTTTGGGCGGGGAAAAGGGAATCAAGTTGCCGGGCCGCTTGCCGATCAAGTATCCTCTTGATCCGCGTTCGAATGATGTCTATGCTTCGATTCAACCCGGGCATGGAAGAGGATGTGCGTTGGAGAATGTCGAGCAGGAACCTCAATTCGGTCCATACTGCTTCATTGGTGTGCTCAGGATGTGGGCTGATGTGAGAGGTTTCCAGTTGGTATACCGCAGTCGTCGCAGCTGTGTATGTACAGTAGCTGTTCATGTATGTGATATGATGAAAGCCAAACGTCTTGATATACATTTGTAAGAGGTGGTATATCGTCGTCGTCGCCGATCGGCATATCTTCCAGCTTTGCCGGGATGCCTCCGAGCACAGGGCCTGTCCGCTGGAGACAAGCGGTCTATGCAGTAGAATAAGGGTATTATAGTACATCAGATTAAGTGACGTGATGTGTGGGGGTGGACTCAGCTCAGGAATCTTGTCTGGGGGAATGTGCAGGTATGAGGGCAATGAGTCATGCCACTGCTGCAGCTTTCGATCTATGTCCACGAATGCTGCCGCCCGAGCGCTTGGTGTTGATGGGGTTTCGCTGACGGAACTGGAGCTGTACAGATTCAATAACATCTGCGAGATCAGTTTACAGAGCTTGCATAGTTGTGTGAAGCAAGATACTATGTGGCCCGGCACTGCGGAATATGCGGGGAGCTCGGTAGAAGCTGGATCGGGCCCGTAGAAGGGCTCCCAGGGTTCCTGATCCATAAAATCATCAAGGAAGTCCAGCGAGACACTTTCGGCACCCATGAAGAAATTGGGCATTCGACCTAAGTAGAGGCTAATATGCTTGTCCCATGCGTAGAGGCTCCAGAACAAGCGTTTTCTGATTTCGACATCTTCTGTCGACAGGGCAAGGGAGTGACGCTGTAAAACATCAGGAGACACGTGTAGTCCGAGATCAATCGCCATACGAAAGGCCATACCGGAATACAGCCATGATGATGATGATCGACCACATGCAATATCAAGAGCGGATTGTTGCAATAGCGCTTGGATTGTAGGGATTAAAGGTTGGCTCAGTGTTTCCATCGCCAAATGTGCCTTTGCCTCTGTCATGAGCCGATTGCTGAGTTGCGCGAAATTTTCCTTTTGCGTTTCAGCGCTCCACAAAGCTTCTGGGTCACGAATAAAGCGACAGCTGTGAGCGCATAGAACTTTGAACAAGGTCGCAGAGCAGTATATGGTGTCGTGTCCCTGCAGGGCTGATTGAAGTAAATCTCTTGTAAAGGCCGGGCGGTAGACGAACAAGAAGCTCGGGTGTAACCAGCACCAATGCAGCCTTAGGAGCACATTTGAAATCTCTGAAGGTACATCAGCCTGGGGAGATGTAGCATTCAAAGTAAGCAATTCAAGGTTCTTCTGAGCTGCAGCATTTGCAACAAGGTGTTGTCGAGTATCACTAGTGGTTTCTCGAGCAGTTGCTGACGAAGCAGGTTGAGCTGCAGAGTCTGGTGCTTGATGAGAAGCATCCGGTGGATCTTCATGAATAGCCGAGGTTTGGTTGTGGTAAATGACACCCCCTTTGGCATTTAAAGAGATGGAATGTTCATATTGGCTGGCGAAAGCTGAAGTTTCAAGAAAAGAAGACGGCGGAGAAGAAACAATTTCGGCATTTTTCATCTTTGCTTCCAACTCCTGGATTCGGGACTGCAAAGAACGCACATATGCAATCGATGGTGCTTTTTCATAATGGCAGGTAGAAGAGCTAGCGGCGCAAGCAGAGCAGCGTGGTATGCCTCCATCACATCTGCTCTTCCGACGACGGCACGTCGAGCATACTGCCTTCTGATGTCGGACCATGGATATTCGCAAACCTGGAAATGAGTGTCCTAGTGCATACAATATCTGTGAAGGCAACTTGAAGAAGAACAATTCCCCACGGGGATGGAAACAAGACTCGTGGTATGGGGTAAAGCTAGACCATGATGGGACAGCACGTGATATTCCCCGCAAAAAAACGGTAGGGCTCGTTTTCCACATTTCGGCTGTCGGTAGTTGTCACTCACTAGTTAACCTAATTAACTAACTATTAGTTAACTTATCCAAATTTTTACGTAATGTGCGTATCTAACTAGTTAATTGCAATCCCGTTAACACTTCAGGCGGCCTGCGTGGGGATTTTGTTACCAAGTTTCAGGTCCCTGTCATCAGCATACTGAGTCCATGTCCTAATTCTAATCTCGAGCTCTCTTATAGCACATAACGGAAATCCTTGTTCTCGAACTCTGTGTAATCCTGCATACCAGCTTCATCACTCCGAGCTTTATCCGCCGGACCGTAGACAGAGTCTCGACGCCGGTTCACCATAAACATGTACACTGTCAACCATAGGAGTTAGCGTACTGGTCCATTTGGTTAGTAATATTGAAGGCATCAATTGCACGTACCAAATAGAGCTATGTGACAACCAGCCTTGATTGCGTATCCGACAAGAAGACCTGTTGTCGCGCCTTTGTACTCAGGAGCTTGGGAGGGTTTCACCACAAACGGCCCGGCAAAGTTACCCCAGCAATACGCAGTGCTAGAGAAGACAGTCGGTCAGTAAAAAGGATACATAAGAGGCTTTGCAGGGCCGCTACTGACAAAACAAGAGCATTCGCCATAGCACGGTGAGTGTAGCCAGCCATGTTTGAGGATATGGTGACAAGCGAGATCGTGAATCCTACCGACTGTGCATTGACGAGCCAGAAGCAAGCCAGTCGCTGCCATTTCTGCTCACGTGGTAAGTATGCCATACATGCGGCAGCAACAGTACACAGGATATTAGCGGCGGTGGCAGTGAGCAATCTGCTGTTAGGTATGTTCAGCGTTATTGTACCGCCAATAACCAGTGCGACGATGACAACTGCGTCTCCGACCGACTTGAGCTCCGTGGTCTTGGTCTTCGAGAAACCCATGTCCTCGATGATGATTGTGGAAAAAGAGTTGACGACACCATTTGGAATCGCTGCTGCAAAGACCGCGATGAAAACCAGGATAGCTTTTGGATCATATAGTGCAACCATTGCTTGCTTTTTGTTGAAGGTTTTGGTCTTGACGCCTGTCTCGTTGCCTGCAACTCTTTTGATCCCGATAATGCGCTCCGTCTTTGATAGGAAGAACGCGCTTGAGGGCGCATCAGGAAGAACAAATATGATGACACCTGCCCAGAGGCACGTGGCCCCCCCGAGAATATAGAATAGTAGCTCCCAGCGTGCTGGACTGAAATCGACTGGCAGCTTTGTGATTCCAAAGCAAATGTAGGAGCCGACGATGCCGCCCCATCCTAAGGCGGAATACCATATGCACTGACGCAGTGGTATTTCTTGACGCGTATACCAGAAGCCGGTCATCAGATTTAGCCCTGGCGTCACTGCTGCCTCGAACAAACCCATAATGAAACGGACCGCAAGCGCACTGGAAGACGTGTGGCATTGTGTCATAATGATAACCATCAGCCCCCACATGAAGCAGCTCACACCAAGAACACGCTGTGCAGGGAAGCGGCCTACGAGCCATCCACAAGGATATTGTCCAAAGAAGTAGCCGGCATATACCACTAGGAAACAAGGATGTTAGTAACTTCGGCACCGCAGAAAGGGATAGGATACCCACTTGCAGACAGATAATTGAATTGCTGGCCATGAAGGCCAAGGGTCTTCTGGTAGCCCAACAGGTTTGCATAGTTCAATGCGGTTTTGTCCATGAATTGCAGGGCTTGGGTGATGAGAAAGATCGGAAGAACAATGAGATCGATTTTCCATCGGACTCGAGAATTCTAATATAGCAACTATCAGCGACCGGCAAGTATGGACCGTGATGAGACAAAGAGTTGCTTGTTTACCTCCTTCTTGGAAATGGACATTCCCAGGCCCTCTCGATACTCTTTATAGCCGACCGCATTCGCGTACGCCTGGAACGTCTTTAATCAGGGCTCGTTGCTCCAGGAGCTCCGAATTCAAGGAGGGCATACCTCATTGAGTGTCTCTTTCGCCTCTTCAACCTCATCAAACTGTTGAGGGTTGTCCACCGCATTGGCCTGTTCAATATGCATTTTGCTGCCATGGGGGTCCTGTTTTTCTGGGGAAAGCATAATGACAGTTGGCAAGAACAAGTGAGGTGAAAAACACTCGTGAAAGTGTAGGCGAAGCTCTCAAGATAGTCTACCCCTTGGCCGAGGTGTACTCCCCGGTCTGGGGTACATGACACTTATAGGCCCATGCACGGTCAACTTGGTGGATTCCGCGCAGTTTGGCAAGCAGCAAAAGTTTGCGGGGAAATCCCCACAACGCCACACGGCCAGACGCCGGGGAAGGCATGGGCGGCGAGTGCCCGTCAACGCCACACGCAGTCAGAACACCGAAAGAGCCCAAAAGTGAAATAAAATGGCCCACAATTCCAAGAGCTGCAGAGGGAATAGATTACCACGGAAAGGGCTCCATCCAGATTCGTCCCTTCTATCCATCCACGATGCAGGTGTACGAGAGAACCAAAAGAACGAGCTGGCTGGCGCAGCCATCTGGGCCGTGCTGCCTGAAAGGCACACTTCACGAGGGAAAATCGCGTGGGCGCTTTGACACAGTCGCTGGTGTGGAAACCTATATCTCGCAACCTAACGCGGATCATGCAAATAGTCATATTTTGCTCTACTTCCCTGATGTCTGGGGAATGTTCCCTAACGGCCTTTTGGTGATGGACGCGTTTGCGGATGCGGGCTATCTTGTTCTTGGATTGGATTACTTTCGAGGTGTATGCACTCTCTGTAGCCCTTCCATGTTGCTATGTGCTTGACCAAGCTGACCTATCGCAGGACCCCGTGTGGAAACATCGCCGCAACCGTCACGATCAATCCAATCCAAATTTTGATTACGAGGCATGGAAACGAAAGCATATGAAGTTTGCTGATGAAGCAGTTCCAAGATGGATTGACGAGGTAAAACGAACATATGGTCAGCCATCGACCAAATATGTATGCGTAGGGTGAGTTTTCCTTTTTGATAATTCCCAGGCACTCCATTCTGATCCAAATTGATTCTCAGATACTGCTTCGGTGCTCCATATGTGTGCAACGAGCTAGCAAAAGATACAGTGACTGCCGGTGCATTTGCTCACCCTGCTTTTTTAAGGGAAGAGCATTTCACCAAGATCACCAGTAAGTGCTCCTATCCCAGCACATCCAAGTCAAGTGCCAAAGCTTAAACTTGCATGTAGAACCCCTATTTTTGTCCTGCTCCGAGGAGGACCATACCTTCGACAAGGATTCTCGCCGTACGGCCTTGGATATTCTGCAATCTGGACACAAAATCTACCATCTTCAGCTATTTTCCGGCGTTGAACATGGTTTTGCTCTTCGAGGGGACATGAAAGACCCGTATCAGCGTGAGTATCTACTAGCCTGGCGCGTTGCGCTGTCTGAACCATGGCGCTAATCCTCCATAGGATATGTAAAGGAACAAAGTCTGCGGGGGATTGTAGAGTGGTTCGATTTCTGGCTATCATAGTGAGCAGTGCTGTAGTATCTAAACAAATCTGATCTGTTTCCAACTAAATACACTTTGGCTCATGTACGTATCGGGAGAAGGATGATGATATCCATGCCTGCGCAATACAGCCTTGTAAACCCCGACTTAGCCGGCCACCTTCATGGCGCACGCTCATAAACCGTCATGTGAGAAGCATCGGTATCTCTCAATGCATCACCCGGCCACATGACGTGTATTTGTAGATTTGGTTCAATGAGCGGCTATGGTTGGCATTAGTGATTGCGTTCATTGGTACCTATCTGGCTATTTGAAAAGAGAGAAGTTGGGAGAAGGGCTAGACCGAGAGGTGGGGTCAAAGCGTTGACCGAACCCACGCCTTAGAGTTGAAGCTCCAGCCTACCAATCCTTCAACACCGCCTAATTCTGTTTAGTCACGCGGTCAACTGCGTAAGTAATAGGGCCCCGAGGGTGCTTTCTAGATGACCCGGTGAGTGGAGAGCCGGAAAATGGCCGGACCAATCGTCGCACTGTTACTTTCTTCCCCAAAACCTTGTTTAGAAGAAGCGAATCTACTTATAAATCTTATTCAGAGTCCCCAAAAAGCCACGCCCTCTCTCCTTACTTTGAACAAACATCTCAGAGTCCAGAAGTCATCATAATGTCATCCAGCAAATCCTTTGATTTCACGGGCCAAGTTGCCATCGTTACCGGTGCAGGATCTCGCATGCCAGGTAAGGATTCGCTGATTTTTCTTATCCCTTCTCTTATTCTTCTATATTTTGGCGGGTGAGGGCTAAGAAGGGCCTGCAGGAGAAATTGGCAATGGACGTGCAACTGCGATCCTGCTCGCCCGACAGGGCGCTAAGGTAGTCTTAGTGGACTACAACGTCGAATGGGCCCAAGAGACGAAACGCATGATTGATCTCGAAGGTGGCCAATCAGAAGTTGTCCAGGCTGATGTGACTGACGAGGAGAGCTGCCGAAGGGCTGTTGCGCGTACAGTTGGAATGTTCGGGGCAGTAAATATTCTCGTCAACATCGGTAAGACTCCATGAAATGACTTCCCCAATTAAAGACTAATTGCGACGTCTGTGTAGTTGGAGTCGGCGGTGCCATGGGCGATGCTACGCAGGTTGATATCGCCGCATGGGAGCGTGATCTAAGGATCAATGTAACGAGCATGGTCTTGATGAGCCGGCATGCCATCCCGGAGATGAGAAAGTGCGGGCGCGGTGCGATCGTCAATATGTCCTCCGTCAGCGGCCGTATGTCTTCCTCCCAACCTTCCATTCTTTTTCAATAACCAATTTTGAGATTTCAGTCCTCGGGGGCAATCCGAGCCTTTTGTACCCTACAAGCAAGGGCGCAATCATTCAAATGACCCGAGCAATGGCTGCCCAGCACGGCCCTGAGAACATTCGTGTTAACTGCGTGTGTCCTGGGATGGTTTATACGCCTATGGTGCGGGGAAGGGGCATGACCAATGAAATGCGCCAAGCGCGTATCAACCAAAACCTCCTTAAGCAGGAGGGAACGGGATGGGATGTTGGCTATGGTACGTCCTTTCCATTCGAATAGAACATCTCCTGTACTGGGTCTAACATTTTACAGCCATACTTTTCCTGTGTAGTCAAGAGGCGAAATGGATTACTGGGCTAATCATGCCGGTCGACGGCGGGGTGAGTAAAAGTCCTGTGTGCAACTGTCCTTATTTCGTTTGAGCTAATTTTGAGACTTCCGTACACCAGACAACGGCAGGAAAAGCGGACAGGCCAGCTCTGAAGGCTGATACACTGGCAGAAAAGATTTCGGGCATCCCGAATAATGCATAGATTGTCTTGCACGAGGATTATGATCGGCCTTGATGAAGACAGTTCAGCGTGGAATCGTTCTTGTGCAGTCTCCATTCAAAGCAGAAGTGTATAACATTGAATACTAGAGATTTCTATCGAAACTTACGTTGCCGCCGCGCGAATGACCCTCAACCACTGGATGTAAAACCGCCGAGTCCCAATAGATCGTTATTATTGACACTTGGAATCTTGTCGTCGGACATCCAGAAGTAGCCACAATCCGGCAGACTTCCCAATCCCAAGAGGCAAAGCTTGCTCATTCGAGTCGCAGGATGACTGCGGGGTTAGAGACAGGACAGCCGTCTGTCGACAGATGGTCGGAAGAGATTACTAGTTACAGTCAACCAGCATACGTTGCGGGAAACGAAAAGGGCCTATGATCTACTGTCTATTCTTCTATGATGCTTTGAGTTCATTCGCACCCGTCTCGATCATATTCAGGCCTGCGATGTGCACCACCCGGAAATGGACCATTACAGATGACATTACCGTCGTACTGAGTATCGATGTATGGAACGCTAACTTGACAGACTTGATAAATGAAGCCAGATCCAGCAGAGCGAAGTCCTTGTAGGGTATCAGCATGTACGGAGTCATGCGTTAAGGTCTCTCGATCCTAGCAGGCGTACAAATCCCAAATGGATTGACAACTTTGAGTTATATGCATGAATAGTGTAGTAAGGGCACTTACTCGAGCCAATCTCAGACATCCATGACAGAGTTAGAAGAAACCGTGGAGCTGTATCGGGAGTCCTGTTCTTACGAGAGAATATGGCGACGGAACCTCATCTTCCTTCAGTAGCAGCTTTCCGGCTAGAATTTCACTCCCCCCTCGTTCGTACTCTCGTCCGCTCTTTCCAGCCCTGGTCAATATAGTTAGCCTTTTCCCTTTCGTAATTTCCAGTGCCTGCTTACGACTGCTATTTCCCCGCGTACACCGGGTCCACTGGGACCAAGTGGCTTTTCGGCGAATCGCCGGCGACGAAGTCTCCTACTTCGGCGTTTGACCGGGGGCCCAACCACCGGCCCTAAGTCGAAGAAGGATTACTAGAACACAAAAAGGGCAGTTGGTTTTAGGTGACCCGCTCCTAGGGTATGGGTATTTTCCCAGGAGCTGGGCGATTTCTTGCACAAAACGAAGCATCCTGGACTCAACAGCAAAAGCCCCCGTCGCTCGATCGTCATCTCGTCCTCACAAGGTTCCACCATGCGTCTACCCTGACGCCCCACGCGAGCCACCTCCAGCCGATAGCGAGGCGGCTCAGATCTATCAACGGATCTCAGCGCGTCGTGTGCCGCGCCCTCTGCTCCCCCCTGGACCGTGCATTATTACACGCGCCTCCGGTGGCAGATGGCTACAACTCGTTCATCGGCTCTCTTCGCACAAAAACCAATCTCTCACCCGATCTCTTGGAGCTCAGCATCTGCCGTATCGGTGTACTGAACAAAGCGATTTACGAGTGGAATATACATGGACCTCTCGCACTGAAAGCAGGGGTTTCAGTCAATGAACTGAGCGACGTGGCTGCACTCCCCACTTTCACGGATGAAGAGCAATCACGAAAGGCTTGGGCTCACAGTGTGCTTACCAGAACCCAGAAGGCTGTGATCAAGTATACGGATGAGATGACGGTTCGCGTGGCAGTTAGCGACGAGGTGTTTCAGGAGTTACATGAGGTGTTACCATCCGATCGCTCGATTGTTGAGCTTACTGCGACTGTTGCGGGGTATAACTGTGTCAGTCGGTTTTTGGTGGCTTTGGATGTGGGAGAGCATAATGATGGCGAAATGAAAAGTCCGCAGCATATGGTCGAGAATGCTTGAGACTAGAGACATTGAGTCTAGCGCTGACTGTAATACCCTCCATAGTGATAGAAAAACATCCGACCAAAATGGGCGGTATTTCCCTGTTTCCCATCACACAGAATTGCGGTGGATTTCTGCGAAAACTCATGTCACCAAATATCTTGAACGTAAGAGTTGTCCTCACTTCTCATTTTACCGTTCTCTACTACAGCTTGTCCCTTACCACCACGTGTTCTATGAAAGCGGCAGACGGCCGAGAAGGCCATAGAATATCCCTCTGGACTCCAGGAGTGGGCCGCATCTTGGCCTCCGCAATTTACCCCAGGGAAAGTTGTGGGGTACCAAAGTGCCAAATGTTAGCTGGTGGCTGCGGACACCGCGGGGGAATCCAATTCAAGTAAGTGAGCCAGTCAGAGGGACGGGCAATCGCCGCTGCGTCTGATCCCCATTTGCCATTGGACCATAAATCCTCGAATAGAGAACAGTTTGAGTTATTAAGAGGGCGGGGTGACAAGGTCCCGGCAATTTGCATAGCAGTACATATAGGAGACATAAGGTTGTTCCAGGGGCTCGTCTATCTATTTTCCTTTTGCACGATAGGACGTTAGCTAATTTACCTGGATTTTTTGGGTTCATATCACAATGCAGCTCCATCACCTGCTCACGGGCTCCTATACCAACACCACGCTCTTCCTTCTCGCCTTTGACAGTGTCTCGAGGACGTTGAGCTTGGATTCCACAGTTCCGGGGTATGGCCTGCATCAATTTGTGACCAGCAATGCCGCTAAGGACCGTATCTACGCAACTGCCATGAGCGAGCCTCCGCACTTATTCTCCTGGAGTGTTGATGAAAACTTTAATTTCAAGCACCTCGACACGGTCAACATCAGTAATTATCACCTTGTCAATTGAACTCCTCAACCATGGGGCTGACCTCTTGCAGCCTCTTCCGCCTGCTATATCTCCGATAACGGCCAATATGCTTTCAGTGCCGGAGGACCTACCGCGCATGTTCATGCTCTTGAGCCGGATGGCGGTATAGGTCGGCTGATTGAAGAGATCGATCTTCTACCATCGGAAGAGATTGGCAGAGTAGACAAAACGCGCAATGCTGTGGTAAGTAGCTTGTGGAGTTTTTGCGAGGACGTTTGACTAAAACTCACTCCTAAACTAGCTGTACGGGGCTCACGCGTTCGATGTTAACGTCAACAATAAGGCCTTCATCCCTGACCTGTATGTAAACTAACCATCCCTCTCTTCAGTCCTTGTCAATCCTTGCTAAGCTCAATCAGCGGGATTAACTCCATCTATATGTACGATGTTGCAGCGAATGGCTCTGCGAGGCTTGTGTCCATCAACCTGAGCCCAACAGATGGGGATGGTCCACGCAATTCCTATTCTAGTAAGGATGGAAGACTTCTCTATGTGGTATGTTCCTCCCAAAAGGAAATCATCAAAGGATGTAAGAATCTAATCTGATGAATGATTACAGATAACGGAACACAGTAAGTGGGAAAAGTTCCGCACAGGGCCTAGTTACTACTAACGCATCAATCCCAGCACAGTGGCTTGATGTTTATGAGGTTGGAGATACCCAGCTGAAACACGTACAGCGTGGCAGCGCCATACCAGACAGTAAGAATCCGAGAATCAACGGCGCGTTTCAATTGGCTGACAGGAGTGCCAGATGTGCGCGGCAAATTCACCTTCCGCGGGAATACTGTTCAGCCGTCCCGAGATGGTCGATATCTTTTCACCTCGAGCCGAAGCTGGAACAGTCCAGGTACAAATGGATATGTCGCTGCCTTTGCACTGAACGAAACAGGCTACCTGGCAGAAGAAGAAGCTCTCACCTTTTATGAAGCCCCTGTTTCTCTTGGATCAGCAGGCGGTCTTCGGGTTGCTCCGTGGACTGATGAGACCAACTGTGACCCGAACGGCCTGACAGACTACAAGTACCTGAGTGACACATCGGAGGGCTGGATCTTTATTTTGGGCTGGACTCCGTCGAATACGTCTTTGGGCCTTGTCGCGTCGTATCGGTACACTGACAACACAACACCGTACGAGGCGACCTGGCTAGATTAGAGATATGGCCACATGTGAGGCTTGAACCAGGGCATCCTAAATGACGGAACTGAATTTGGAAAGCCCAATTGGTCCTCAAATCAAGAGATAGGTCACAAATCTAGAAAAAGAATCCTTATTACACCGTATCCGGATCGTCAAAAAAGTTCCATCGATGGATGTGAGAATACTCAGAGTTTGAATGAGGACTGTAAAATTTAGGTAGAATAAAATGTTTTTGTTTTAAAGTTAAATCTTGAGAATAATAAAGAGTAAGCCTTTATCAAGATCATTCAATGCATATAATTGTTGTAATATAGCCTTCTTGGCATAAAAGAGATGCAACCGTTTTGTAATCGGTGGAAGTGAGTGCGATACTTGCAGAGAGCTATTTAACAATAGGCCCAATGGTCAAGTTTGGCTAAGACATAACATTTTCACAGGACTTCAATATAATCTCCTCAAACGAACCCCCCTCGCTGGATCCTGGATTTGGATTCATTTTAGTCGCGATCATGACTGTCATTATCCAATGAGCTAGATAACTCATAACCATGGGCTTGAGGTTCAAGACGGCTTTCAAGGGGGGGGGGACTCCACATCTGCACCCCATTCATCTGCGGATTAGCACGGGCCCTTTCCTGTTACGCTGTCCATCGGAATTTGGCCGGGGAGTGAATAGATTCCAGAAAGTCCCGTGGGCATGCGAATGCAGCCCGAGGTACTGGAGGACCCTTCCCCGGATATTACCCCACAAATACAAGCATTCTGGCCTGTCAATGCGGGGAATTAGGGAAAGATCTGCATTGGTATATTGTTCACATACCTTCGGCCATCCGCCGGTCCTCGTTGAAGCCTGACAGGGAATTCATGTAGGAACCCGTAGGATTCCTCGTCTCCCCGACTTCAGAGACATATTAAGTACAAGCAAAAAGCATCTCTTCAAATCAACTAATGGTTTCAATGAAACAATAATCAACTCGTGATCGTTCAACTTTTCTTTCCAAGTCTGTTCATGTCAGCATGGCGACCAAGAAGCTGGCCTCGTGGGCTCTGGCTCTTCAATTCTCTAATCTCACCCAGCCTGTGACCGAAATGGCAGTCAAGAGCATCTATAACTGGGCGGGGTGCGCCATTGGCGGGTACGCGCTTCCACCAGCCGGTGTCGCCCTTGAGGCACAAACTGCTTTACTCCCACAGCACTCTGGCAATTGTTCAATCCTGGGCACAGATGCCTTTGTGGATGTGCAAACGGCAGCCTTGGTCAATGGTATAGCCTCTCATGTCGACGATTATGACGACACACATGCCGACACACCAGTGCACCCCTCAGGGCCTGTAGCATCTGCGCTGCTCGCAGTGGCGGAGCTAAGAGCCCCGGTCTCTGGAGCGGATTTCATTACTGCCTTTGTGGCTGGGGTTGAAGCGGAGTGTAAGCTTGGCATCGCTGTGTACCCCGAGCACTATGATATTGGATGGCGTAAGTCAATCATGCCCAGCTTAGGGACCCAAGTACGTTCCTGTACCCACTGTGCTAATGCCCGTGTAGACATCACTAGTACGACCGGCACGATTGGAGCAGCCGTCGCCGTGGGAAAGCTTTTGGGACTTGACCTCGAGCAATTGCAGCACGCCATTAGTATCGCGTCGATCCAAGTGATTGGCATGCGTGACTCCTTTGGCACCGATACCAAGCCCTTCCATGTGGGGCGTGCTGCGCAGTCCGGCCTTCTCGCTGCATTCCTCGCAAAGAATGGATACGGAGGCTCCTTGGAGGGGTTGGAAGCAAAGTACGGCTGGGCGCATGTTGTGAGCACTCGGCAGAATGTATCCGCGGAGCTCTCAACACTCGGAAGTACTTGGGAAATCACCAAGAATACGTTTAAGCCGTTCCCTTGCGATCGAATTATCCATGCCGCCATTGATGGATGGATTCAGATCCATGATCAGGCAGTGAAGAAAGGCCTCAGCATCGACGATATAAAGAATGTGACGGCACGAGTGAACCCGATGGTATTGTCCTTGACCGACAACCATGATCCCAAAACGGGACTAGATGCGAAATTCAGTGTTTACCATGTGGGTGCGGTCGCATTGATTTATGGGGAAGCAACTCCGGCCCAGTTCACGGACGGAGTGGTTAAAAACTCGACCGTGATAACCCTTCGTGATAAAGTCCATGTCACAGCTGACAAAGGCGTAAGTGAGCATGAAGCCTTTGTCGCCGTTGAGTACGCCAACGGGACAAAGTTGGAGGTTCATGTTGAGCAGGCTTTGGGAAGCATCGAGAAGCCTCTGTCAGCTAAGCAGCTGAAAGACAAGTTTCTGGAACAAGTGAGTGCTCAGATTGGAGAGAAACAGGCCGCTGCTGCATTTAGTGCATTCTCTCAGATCGCAAATATGACGGATGTGGGGAAAATCGCGCGACAGTTCAAGCGACAGACTTAGAAATTGCCTGCGGCGAATTCGACGAGAAAGTGACGCAGAGGATGGGCGGCGAATGTTGCGGCGGTGCCAATGGTTTCGCAATCGAATTTAGCTTCCCCTAGTTGACGAAATTAGAGAGTTTATCAGTAGCTCTCAATAAAGTAGCCCTGGAGCCTGTTAGATGGATTACTAAAGTTACTCTTCCACCCTTGCTCATTGTTGAACGTTACAACTCATAGGTTTGTTATGGGGAGGGGTCAACTACTTTCCCGTCTATAAATGTTGCTCGCCTCGCCCGACGGTAGGAAAGCTTGGTCTCTTCGTCTACGAAGCAAGACCTCGTCCGTCGCGTGAATAGTTCGATCGGAGTATTATCCAATTCTATCTTCTCTTTCATTTTCAAGCACACCGGCCGCATTTGCTGGCCAACATCATTCTTTGCGCTTTTGCTTTCGGGGTGATCTGGGACTGCTCTGAGCCGAAAGACACCAAAATAACATGATTTTGGGACTTGCACCAATCCTTCCCTCCATCCCTCTCTTAGGTTATGAGCATTGCACTTTGGAAAGATGTCCAAAAGACGAATAGTCTCGGATGAACTGCACATATTCAGCCGGATCATTAGTAGTCACCATCATCTACTCTAGCTCTAGCCATCTATGCATTGTAGATATGGGTTTTCTGTGCCTCCTTAGGTCATTTCTTCGGAGGCACTACAGAAGTATTTCCCAATCGGAAATTGGAACGTGTAATGGCAATAGAGCTCATTACGATGATCATGGCTAATACAAAATATACAATGCTGTGAAGGTCTGTACTGACCGAAGGATTAAACTAGAATGCCACCGCGAAGGTAGCTTCGCACATATACTATGAGAAGATGCTGAAACTTTCCCAATGCTACTAGTCTCCAGGTCCAAATTCTACCAGAACGCTAAACATTCTCCGCAAGAGATATAAAGTGGTCCCGAGCAATAAGTAAAATAGCCCCTGCTATGAGCTTGATCAACGGAAGAGCCCCTCTCTTAAGCATCTGGAACCATCCCCAGCTCTCGCCTAATACACATGATAAATTCTGGATCATCTGCATAAGTCTGGTTAAATGGATCGTCGGTCCCATATGCGAACACACGAGTCAGACTCTGTACGGTTTCGTCAGATGGGTTATTCCCAGCCGCAAACTCAGTCCGGAGATAATCGGAAACTATTTGGTGGATACTTGCATAGAGGTCCAGCGTGTTTGGTGCGGCTTGATACGTCGGCGGTCTTTCCACTTCTTGGGGTCCCGTATCGGAAGCTACCCAGGGATCCATTGAGTTACGCTCTAGACCTAGAAGATACGGGGGAATGGCATTCTGCACTCTGGATTCAACGTGCGGCTCGAAACCCCAGCCACCGCACCATTGGCCCATGTCTGCTTTGTTCTTGAAGTGCTCTGCGACGTGATCGACTCTGTCTTCCCAGGTAGTGAAATTCGAGCCACAGAAGCCGCATCGCGAGAGCATTCGGGCTTTGGACTCCCTCCAGCCATCCATTGACACCTGATACGGTACGCCGTGCACTAATCGGAGATGTTGCTGGAGGTGGTCTTTTCTTGAAAACGCGCGGAGATCTGGAGGGTTCTCCCGGCAGCGAAGGTAGTCGTGTGTTTCAAGGTGATGCTCATCTGGGTTCACTGCACTGCAAAAGACACAGGTATTGATGCCATCGATCTCGATAATTCCGCCTTCGGGCGCACAGTTCCATCGTTCGACCTGTATATGCAGAGCTCTTTCATGTCGTTGCCAGTCATACTTGTTTCGAAAAGCGTCCGAACAAAATGTACACTGGAAAGGCCGTTTGTCCGACCTTGCCGACTTGTCTAAGCGATGAGCATAGCGCATTGGCTTCCGGCGGCGTCGGCGGCGTCTCATTCCTGGAAGAGGGGTTGGGGGTCTCTGATACCCGCCATGCGCCTGCGAGAGTGCTAATTCCGAGCCAGACGAACTGCTGTACGCATAGCTACTCATTGACAGCGCTCCAAATTGCAGTGAGCTTCCAGAGCCGTTACTTGACCAACCATCTGACAGATCTTGCGGTCCAGGGTCACTGTTGATGTTAAGATACGGTGCTCTTTCTGCAGCGCGAATGATATCCCTCGTTTTGGCAGGCTCACTTTCGGGTGGCGAGTGTTGCCATCGCTCAAAAGGAGAAAGCAGTGTTTGGTCATCGGCGGGCACGCTATGCGACAGTTCTTTCCCGGCCGGTTTACGCCGTCGCGCATTCGTGAACCAGTTGAGGATCTGGGTCTTTTTCAAATTTGATTGGCTTTCGAGCATTTTGACCTCTGGGCCGCTGGGATATGGATAATCTTGGTGCTGTCGGAACCACTCTCGCAGCACCCTGGTCGAGTCTACCGGGAGACGTCGACTCTTCTTGACCTTAGCTGGATGTTCGGCAGACGCGTTGTTTGCAGCATATTGATCCTGTACTGAGAAATCATCCAATGATGTGCATGCCGAGGAATGGGCTGTTGAACGATCACCCTCGAAGTGCTCCCCGCCGTGCAAAGCGTCAAGCAACGAACTTTCGATCGGGTCCCCTGAGCCCAAATTGTCTATAATTTCTGAGGACGCAGCTTCTATCCCAGAGTGGCCCGGGACCAAAGTTGCAGGTGCGAGCCCCGTGGCGAAGGTCTCACCATCAACCCATTGGTCCGGATGAGTGGCGTCTAGATCCAGGAAAGACGCGAAGTCGACATCTTCCAGTAAGCTCCCGGGACTTACGCCTGGTGAGATGAAATCTTCAAAAGATTGACTATCTCGCTGACGATGGAACATGGGCATGTACTTGGTGGGGTCCTCCCGCTATGATATATTCGCATGGATCGATCGCGGGAGGTCGTTCGAGGGCAACTTGTCCCCACGGCTGACAATATGCGCACTTGGATGGATCCACTATCTGCACTATCTGATTGGATGGAATCAGCCCTGCATGCAGAACGCTGACGGGCAGAACTAAGAACGTACGCAGTAAACCCGGGATCTATAAGGCGGTGCAATGAGCGGTATAAGGGCTGGAGCGTCCAGTTGCATCTCAATGGCGACTATCGCTCGCCGATCCCGGTGGGTCTCTCGCGCCCTTTGGTGACAGCAGGCGTGGTTAAAAATTTTTTGGAACTACCGATTGGCTTGTAATGCATATTGTTAGACTTTGATATCCTCTTTCGATATCCCTCTTTCCAGCAAGTGCTAATTGGTGCTTTTTTCCTCTGGATTTCCTTGATCCCTTCCTCTATACAGCTGGGAAGGTCCAGTGGCAGAAGGGGCAGCAGCATACCGTTCCAAAGATCCGCTCGCGCATAATAGCCTTTTCCACAACTTTAGCTCTGCGACTTGTCCAGTCTCGCCTAGGCACTAAATTTGTGCTTAGGTGTTCTATTTTACATGCAAAGCAACACGATGAACGATGTCAGCTTTTATCAGCAGCCTAATAGCCTAATATCCAAATATCCACTTCACACCAGAAGCCTGCTCTGATGATTGCGACCCGCAATGACCTAGAATTTCAGTAAGCAACGCTTCTTCAATAAAGACAGGGAGACTGTCTTGTGGCGTAGCAAAAACATCCGAGATCCCTGACTGGAACCTCTGGAAAATCCTCCGAGGGCAAACCTTCTTCCAACCACCGAGCTCACACGCCGGAAAACGTCCGATTCGGCCAAAAGCCTTCTTGATGGAGCTGCTGTGACGCCTTGACCTGGAATCTATCCTTCGATCCCTAGTAACAAGATTTCGTTCGACATCCTGACGCCGCATTGCACATAGCATGGTCATCGCCAATCGTCGGCATTTCGAGAACCAAGCGACATTCCGAAATTTCGCCCGGTATGATTATGACTGCCAGACCATGAACGGTCGTGATTTTTAGCTGGAACCCTGGGTTGCTAAGCACCAGACCAACTGGCGTGAAAGATAATGACAATGGCAGCATGCTAACTCCGAGGTCTGCACTACCGGTCCTAGCTTCAAGATAGTCAGATAATTGAGATAGTGCCATATGACTACTGTTACTTTAACCACGGCTCATCGCCAGCAAATGATAATCATAGAACCAATCATATTCTTACTACATGATGCGTAGACAAGATCTCACATACTCATTTTAGGCGCTTCCGGCTGCGCGTTCCGATTCTGCGGCAAGACGCGCAATTCTTTGGTCTTTCCGCCAAACCAACAGCCAAGAGGTCAGGATTCCTGTAATGGAGATACACAGGAAACACAGACAAATGATATACGACGATTTGAACGTCGGACCGAATACTGTGCTGTAAATATGCGGACCGGCAATTCCGCTGAATTGAGCCATGGCATTCGTGAGGCCAATACCAATACCAGAAGCCACGGTGCCTTCCAGGCACGGATGCGCTCCGGCCAGATGACCGGGTAAGCAGAGCCGGCGCAGGAGGTGGCCACGATCAGGGCGATGTATTTGACCGTGGGGTTTGCCACGGTAATGAGAATGATGTAACAGACTATTGTTGTGAATTCAACTAGCGCAGTGTTAGTAGAGACGCAAATAATACCGCGATAGAAGAGTGGCTACATACTCGCAACAGCCGTTGTCCATGGTCGGATCCATTTCTGGTGTAGCATATAGCCGATAGCGTTCAGGAACAGGAAGCAAGCGACGTAAGGAGGCTTATCAATGAATCAGTAGTGCTCTTCAACAGATGTGGCGTGCTCTGACAGTCCCCAACTTACAATATTCATCAGCTGAGAGTTCGCTGTAGAAGTGAACCCCAAGTCATAAATGACGGTTGGCAAGGCATACGTAACACCGAAGCCACCAATGCCGTGTCCAATCCAGAAGACGCAGAACGTCCAAACGGTAGGACTCTGCGCAAGCTCCTTGATCGCAGCCCAGCTCCAGTTCTCGTCTTTCCCAGAAGGAGCCGTGTCAGCAAGTCGACCATGCAAGTACTTCCGCTCTTCCTCCGTCAACATGCGAGCCGTCTCGGGATAGTCAGGCAGCCAGAACAGTGCGACCCAAGCTAAGACGATAGCTGGCAGGCCTTCCAGAATAAACAGCCACCGCCATCCCGAGAGGCCGCTGAGTCCGTCCATGAAACTGATGGCGTATGCCAGCAGGCCACTCAGGGCGCTGGACAGCTGGCCCACCGCATAGAAGAAAGAGATTCGCATCGGCATCTCGCTCGGCTTGTACCAGAAGGCCATGTGGTAGAGCACAGCAGGGTAGAAGCCTGCTTCCGCAAGACCGATCGCAAACCGCACGACCATCATCCCTGCAAAATTCTGCGCTGCGCCCGCCGAGCACGCGCAGATGCCCCAGGATAAGATGAGGATGAACATCCAGACTGAGGGTCTGAATTTCTTGAGCAGGATCGTGTTCGGTGGCTCGAAGAAGAGGTAACTGTAGGAAAAGATTGATTGAGTCCATGACCACTCGTTGGGGCTGAAGTTCAGCTCCTTCTTGATCCCAGTGCCATTTTCGAGGTTGATGATCGCTGCATTGGCATAGTTGCTGGAGTCGATGACTCGGAAAATATACACTATAGAGTAAAAGCCGACTAGCCACCAGTCGATCTTCCGCATCAGTTTCTTCTCCAGGGCAGCATTGTGTTTGAGTACGTCCGGGTCATCGCGATTGAGCTCGTTGGACGGAGACGGAGGGACTGTAGTAGTGACTACTTCACCCTTGGAGGACTCTGAAATCATGTTGGCGGGTTTGATTCAATGCATTCTACCAAAGAAACAAAGGCAGAACATAAAAGCATCCGATCTGATCTTTTATGTATCCACGCAGCTTCTAGAGCTTGACGGAATAAGATAAGCTTGTGTCATGATAGTCTCGATCACGACATGCGCTCCGCATCTGTCCGTCCTTGTCGCAGCTGGACCTCGAGCGCGATTCATCCATAATTGATCATTCATAACTAAAATGGCGGAATTACGCCTGGAGCCTTGATCAAAGAAGAATTTCAACTGTGATTTTTTATCTGTAGCTCACCAGGATGCACGATGCTGGTGGTAGAGCGATCCGATCTACACTCCTTTCAGCCATACTAGCAGAGCAGCCGTTCCCTTCCGGCCCGAGTCAGTCCTATATTCGCAGAGGTACTCGGAGTAGAAATTAAATGAGTCAAGTTTCATTAAGCGTAAGCTAGAGAATTCCCGGCTCAAACCCCCCCGGCTCCGATTATTCAAATCGATATTGCCAAAAGCCCAGCATCCACCAGGCTGGAACGAGGCCACATGGAAATAACGCAATCGCAAGCTCGGATGTTATCACCATAACCCCCGCATTCTTGAAACATACCGAGTATGGTAAATAGAAGCAGATCATGAATCAAACGGCATTCTAGATAAATATGACCCAGGTTCCAAGCCTTCTGAGCCCATCAAACCGCCAGCCCTAACAACATGGCTCCAATCGCCCTCGAGCAAGCCCCCCTGGACAAGGTCCCCATCAAATCATGGACCCGCCCTGCACCAACTAAAGAGAACCTCGACTGGGCACCGCTAGTCGAAATCGATCTATCTCGCTTCGACGAGCCTGGCGGCAAACAAGAACTCGCCAAGCAACTCTACGACGCTGTGACCCGCGTGGGATTCTGGGTCGTCGTTGGACACGGAATATCCGACGAGCGTGTCCTGCGTCAGTTCAGCTTAGGCAATGCCTTCTTCAAAGAGCCGCTCGAAGAAAAGCGGAGCTTCCCTGCAACTTTGCCGAAGGCGAGTATTTCGGATACCGTGAGAATTCCCGCTGGATCGGCGATACGGGCGTGAAGGAGAATATTGAGATGGTATGTTCTCTATCAGTAGCATTCAAACTGCGGTCTAGGGGCTAGCGCTGACGCCCTTTCAAGCTTAACATCCCTAAGGATATCCCCGAATGGAAAGATGTCCCCCGGCACCGCATTGTGAAAGAGAACTACGATGAAATCGCTAGCTTCCACCGCGAGTTGTTCGACAAGGTCGCCCGCAAGCTGTTTGCGCTGATGTCTATTATCCTGGAGCTACCGGAAGACTTCCTGGTGAATGCCCACGCATACGATAGAGTCTCAGATGACCATCTGCGATATATGATCTATAACGTCCGGAGCCAGGAAGAATGGGATAAAGCCCAGAACTACTCCAAGGGCGGCCACACCGACTTCGGAAGCCTGACCCTGCTGTTCTCGCAGCATGTGGCTGGCCTGCAGATTCAGACTCCACAAGGCGACTGGAAGTACGTTAAGCCTGTAGATGGCGGCATTACGTGCAATGCTGCTGATACGCTATCTTTTCTTACAAAGGGTATGTATCTAGCCCCTCCCCCCCCCCGAGAGCCTACACACGGATGGGTTACTAAAGATGAAACAGGATTCATTAAGTCCACCATCCACCGTGTTGTCACACCCCCAAAAGACCAGCTTGATATCGCTCGACTTGGTTTGCTCTACTTCGTCCGCCCCGGAGACCACACCATCATGAAGCCCGTCCCGTCGCCGCTGCTAGACCGTCTTGGGCTTCTCACCGAAGAAGACAAGGACACGAGCAAGCCTGCGCCGACCGGCACAGAATATGTTCGCGCGCGTGTGCGTGACGTCCATCACAAAACGGTGATTGATCGGCGGGAGGGCACGAACTTCGAGTTCAAGGGTCTGAGTGTGCCGAACTACTATAAGTAGGATGTTGCGGTGGTCAATATCCAGCAAATGTCATTAATATTTTCTCCACATATAATGATCACTTCGGGAAAAGGGGCAATTTTCTAGATCGAACGTAGATATTCAATATTCGTTTAGATGGAGCTTCTTCCCCACGAATCTCCGTTTCGCCGGTTTCTCGCCGCGCTGTTCGCGCTCTGCATCTACGCCCTTGAGCGCGTGGAGAAGCATTCCGGCATCAAAGAATCCATCTACATAACAATTAGCACGAGCTTAGTTAGATTGGGGACAAATGGGGCGAATAGAAAGGAGAGAAAACTCACATCCACCCATGCCGTCATCTTCCAAATCCCCACCATCCGTCGTAGTCGGCGTCTCAGCACCACGACCATCTCCTCGAACAATCCGGCCCCTCCGGTGACTCATCTGGAGTCTCTCGGCAATGGCCTCTGTTTCCCTCGCACGGCTTGTCCGCGGACTAGCCGTCTTCCCGCTGGTCGCGCGCAGCAGCTTTCTAATCTCCAACAGATAAGACTCAAGCGACTGCATCAAGCGGGCCGTCTGGCGATGCTTCGATGATGCGCAGAACGAGATAGACTCATCCTTGATAATATACCCGATACCAAAGCCGTCGGCACTGGTAGGCCCGAAACCGAAATGCCGCAGGCACGGGTTTCCGCAATTCGACGTCGACAGCACCGTGCTATTAATCTTGTCCCAGCCCGGATCTGCAAAGATTGCCGGTGTAGGCGGTGCAGCTGGCACCCGCACACCACGGAAGCTGCCAGGACTGGCTGGGGACGAGAACCCGTCATCCGAGGCATCAGAGAGCTTGGGCGAGTCCACGCTCTCGCTGGGACTAGAGTAGCCACCTGTTGAGCTGGAATCCTGGTATGCGCCTTCATCGAAGGAGCGCTGCCACAAGCAGTACAGAGCGTACAGGTGGCGGTCGTGGCCCTGGCCTTTGGAGCGTTCCTTTGTGATTGCCGTGTGGCGCTGGGCTGCTGTGCGCAGGGCCTCGATCTTTGACTCGGCGGGGTTCTCTCCCCAGAAGGTGCGGACAAAGGAGACTACCTCGGGGGTGACAGTACGGATGGCTTCGGTGCGGCCATGAAGGTAAGCCTTGGTCATAGCCGGCTCGTAGGTGTTCTCGAGTTGACCGTAGAGTCCATAGTAGGCGGCTTGAAAGGCCATTTGAATGAAGGCATCTGGCGAGAAGCCCATGGATGTGATGAAGTTCTTGCCGTAGCCTTCAAAATCTAGGACTTGAAACTCGTACTGGTGGAGGAGATCTGAGAGGTGAGACTCGGCGAAGCGGAGGGCGATTGTGAGCTCAGGCATCATGTCCCACTCCAGCTTGCGGGGAGTCGTGCTGACGTTGCCGAAGCTGCTGGGGTCGCGCTTTGCTGGGTCAGGGCTGGAGGTGGTCCATAGAGTAGGGGCTTGGCCGTTGATGGTCTTTGCGAAGCGGAGAATGGTGTCGGTATAGACATCACTGGCGAAGCGGAGAACAGTGTGTCCGTCTACACCCGTGTGTTCAAAGTTGATACCAGCACTGCCGTTTTTGCAAACAATGATCTGCAATTTGTCGTACCATCTGTTCGTGCATGTCCCGACCTGCACACCCTTAATCACCTCGCTGGTGCCGCAGAGCATGTTCGCACAAAGCTCAGATGTGCTAGTAGGCTCGGTATCATCCAGAGAAAGTACGAAGAGAGCAGTGTCAACGATGTTGAGGCACTCGGCATTGTTGGACGCCGGATCCTTCGTCATAATTTCTCGAAGGCTTGACCAGACTTTGCGGTTCTCTGTACTGAGAACCCCCAGAGCACCCTTCGCGGCCTCCTGGATCGGCGTCTGGGCAGCGTCATCGATGATAACCCGCAAATTGAGGGATATGTCCTTCTCGGTCATAATGTGATCGTTGTTATCATCCAATACATCAAACCAGTAGAACTGGCCTCGACACAGCACAACGATGTGCTTAGCCACAGGGTCTTGGCTGATAACGCAGCCATTGTCGGTGGGCAAACGTGCGGTACCAAATAGCCTTGAATATTGATACATGCAAAGAGGGGTTCCACGGACAGTGTCAGGGGGTAGCTCCTCTCGTCTAACCGCACGCACGAAGGATAGAGCAGACACTACCAGCGATGCTGCTCGAGTGACTTGGTCGTTACGAGCAGGAGTAGGGTCATCTTCTAATAAGAAGAAGGGGTTAAGATTCAAGACAACAGCTATGGAACCGTCAGTTGAATGGCAATGAATTATACGGTGAATATTGTGACTTACGATTGTCGAAATTCAAGTAAGAATCGTACCCTATGGGATATCAGTACCACTTCAACCCAGAAAGAAGACCAAATGACTCACAGAACTGCTCGATGTAACTGGTTTTTGAGGAAGCATATGCTTTAAGCTTCTCTTGCAGAGCAGGGCCGTCCGTTTTGAGGAATTCTTCGACAGCCGCTTTGGTATCTTTATGCTCGCGCGGGGTTTGCAGCGCAACCAGACTCTCCAAATGCCTTTTGCAAGTATCCTCCAACTCAGGAATAGGCAATTTAGGCAGGGAATCCTGGTTCGCAAAGGTCAACCCATGCGTGGTAGCTTTGTGCGACTCAGCGACCTCGCTCTTGGGCTTTTCTGGAGACGCGTTCGGCTTCATGACCGTTTGAGCCTGAGGCTCCGAGGTGACAGGCTTGCGGGAGTCCATTGCATGCCCAAGTGGTTCGGGGGCTGTAAAATAGCGAACTGCCAGTGTCGAATAAGACATTGTATTAGTGAGCTAATCCAAATCAAGCGTAGCGACTAGCGAGATGTGTAGGGATAGACAGGAGACGCAGAGCAGTGCGATAGAAGTAGTGGCAATCTTGCAAGCAATAGGGTGGCATTGAGGCTCATACGGGAGCGAAAGCTTGAAATCAGAAAGCTGGGGGGAAACGAGGATGGGAGAGGGGAAGCCAAGGGTGTACGGCACAAGGGTACCTTATATCAGGCAGCACGGGGATTAGGACTAGAACAGTCACCTAAAGGGCTCCGGGAATTTTCGCGCCTTCACTCGGGTTGGCGGGGCGGATAACGGAGGTAAAGGACTCCGGTAGAAGCGAATCGTGCTTGCTGAGTGTGGGGGTGGGCGGAACTGGGGGTTCACGATGCGTCAATAGCGCCGGGGGAACGGATGCTGTCAGATGATCTTAGGTTAGAGGGTTCAGATGTCGCGCACCTCCAGATTGGCCGGATAAGGCGATCATGTACCGAGTAGATCGGAGCGGCTCCGGTTTCAATGCAGAGATGATTATATGCCAAGTTCAAGCTTCGCGATCCTGCCAGCTGGGGTGAGAATACCGAGCTGAGACCCAGAGGACACGTGAATGAGACGGAAAGTGAAAGTAATGAAAGCAATGAGGACCTTGATTCAACTACGCATATCTGAACATCCCAATCGGGTCTCTGGATTACAATGACGTTTCGGACGAAGGGAGCTAAGCTTAAGCTACGCGCGGGGCGGGCACGTGACTAGGTTTCGTCAAGCATCTGCAGTACATCACAGGGCCATTGAATTTTTCTATCCACAGGAGCAAACACATCGCTAAAGCAGATCCTCAAAATGGGAAAGGCATATTGACAATTGTAAAAGGGTTCCGCATGTCCCCTCCAAGGGAAGGAAGAGAAGGCGTCAAGGTACCTTTCACAGTACATACAGGAAAAGCCCGGGGGACAGGAGCCTCAGGCAGGTACCCGATGCCGATCCCAACCCCAAGAGTCCCTAGCGAGATCGACCGAGCAGGACATGCAGAGAATAGAATCAGAGTAAGGTAAATGGAAAAAGAGTAACACATGGCTAAGAACATGAATGCTAAAAGGGAAACAAAGTTGGCGAGGAGAAGTAGGGCCTTGGCGCAATGTAGGTCGAACAAAAATCCAAGGCTCAGTCAAAGAGCCCACCAAGCCCCGTCCAACCCCTTTCGAAGCAGCCTTATGCGGTGTAGGTGGCGGCACCATTGGGCTTAAGGACATTGGCGCCGTATTCAGTGGCAACGTTGCCCACCGGGGAGTAGTTGCAGACGGTGAATGGCACGGGCTCACTGGAGTCGACGTTGCCCAGGTTGTTACAGGTAACAGTAGCGCAGCCGACGTGGGTGGTGCTCTTCCAGACAATCTGGGAGAAGTGGCCCCACTTGTCGAAATCGGACATGCTAGGGGAGGCCTCGCCGTAAGGCTCGGGGAAGAAGCCAATTTCGTCGTTGTACATCATGTTCGTGATCATCACACCAACATCTTCAGCCGAGGTACCATAGCCAATGTTCTGGCCGTAGTTCCCACCGTTGATGGATCTGCAATGGGAAGATGGTTAGTATTGAGCCGCATCAAAACAAAGCTTTTGCAGATCATCATAGAACTTACGTGTCGTGCTCGTAGACACAGCGAGCGGCCAGGACGTGAGCGCTCTGCTCAAGGCTATTGTCCCAGTCAACAGAGGGAGCAGAGTGGTTGCTGCGGTGAATGTTGTGGTTGTACAGAACAGCCTGCTGATAAGAGTTGGCGCCGGTAGCGGAAGGCTGAGCCGGGGCAGTGGCGGTGGACGTGGCGAGGGTGGATGGTGCGGGCTGGGCAGTAGAGGTAACTTCCCAGGTTGAGGCAGTCGACCACCAGGAAGTTTCGGCGGGAGGAGCAGGAGCGGGAGCAGTGGTGGCTTCGGGAACGACGGTTGACTTCTTGGCCAGGTCGGTGTGCTCAGTGGGGATGGCAGCACCGTTGGCAGCACCGTTGGCAACATCCTCGGTCTCAGTCTCGTAAACAACCTGTTGCTTCTGGACGGGAGGGAGGGTCTCGGTAACAGCGGGAGCAGTCACAGTTTTGGTGACAATGACCTCCGACCAGTCGGTCACGACGACGCGTTTCTCATAGGCACTAACACAGCTTGCTGCCAAAGCAGCGAGGATAATGGTAGAGCGCATGGTGATTCAACAATTCAAGGAACAAGCTTCGCCGGGAAGTTTAGCGCGTGGGGGATAGTGCGTGGGGGATAGTAGTTGGAGGTCAACACAGGTCAACTGTGTGGACTAAAGAGTGTTGTTATTGGACGCAGTGTATTTCAAAGGAATGACAGCCTGAACCGATTTTTATCTTCCTCTAAAGAGTGAAAGGAAGAAGAAAAAAAAAGCTCAAGGCGGAATTGTGACAGTTGTGAAGCGTGGAGGAGAGAAGGAAGGGAAGGTGAAGGGTAGATGTAGTCGTAAAAAGGGATGGCGTTGTGGTGGGGCGGTGCGATCCCCAGGCAAATTGGCTTCTCAATTTTTGATTGTTCGGTATATTGCGACAGTTGATGCCAATGCGAATTGAAATTTCTGGTTGGTTGGCACAGGCAATAATCATAGATCCGAAACTCTTCATCTATTGCCCCAAGGCTGTACTACGACTACTTATTGCTGGCGCTGCAAAATGCCCTATCGCACCAACCTCCCCGAGAAATTGTCCGACACATACCAGAGCTGCCGGCCACTGGAAGGCGTGGGACATTCCACATTCCAACGCGTCCCAGTGCCGCTTCTCATTGGTTTGCGCTACCTGGGAGAGGCTGGACTATGGGAATTCGTATCGGCGTACACGCCGGGTCAAGTGTATCAGATATTCTCCGGGGCCAGACTCTTCGGATGGTCTTTCGAGGGGAAGGTCGATCTGGGGAGTACAGGGGTGACGCCAACTGGAGCCAATGGAGCCACAATGGAGACAATGCAGGCGTATGGAGTACCCCTGGGCGGATACCCAATCCCGCTAGCTTCATTGCGGACTAGTTTCATGGCTAGCGCTGCACGTCTCATGGTCCTTGGGACCAGCCGCGCGTACGGAGTTCAAGGATGGATATACAAGCAGGTTTAACAATCAGGCTCAACAGTCAGAGACTGCTGGAGTACGTGAATGGGCCAGACCTTTCGGCAGAGGAAACATGAAAGCACGGACTCTATCAGGCTAAAAGGGCCCCGGGGAATGAGGAGTCGAGAACTCATCCCAACCCCTGACCATCTGTTGAAACCAGGAACAAGTTTCATTGTTGATCGGTCCTGGCCAATCAGGAGCTTGGAGGGGCGTTTCCCCGCCCAACGGCACGGCCACTAAGAAATTTGGCTTCCTTGGCTTTCCCCTTCGCGCTTCCCTGCAATCTTCACACTTCGATTCAGATTGATTAGCTCCCCGCCTGACACATTGCCACTGTTTCAGCCTCTTATTTGATTAGTTTGGGAGGACTTCGGAGCTTGGCGCTTCGCCGTCCCCCATCCTTTTGATCGTGCGAAAAGATCGTCCAAGACATCGCAAACTTTAGTCTGCAATCGTAGATCGACTAGTCTTTCGGCTTCCGTCGTCTCTGTCGATCCCTGGTTCATGCACCATGATGCTAAACATCCCCAATCATCACAAAATTGAGGCCGACTCTGTACGCACTAAGCTTGATCTAGATACAGTGGACCAAATGGCAATCTCGGACCGCCACGGATGACAGCCACAAGGGGCGGCGAGAACATTGAAGCGGGGCAAAGACTCCTTTCATACGGAGAAACTACCAGAAGTACATAAGCGCGAGGGCCTAAAGGCCAATACATAGCGCAGGTACACCCAATGACGTAGTGCGGCCTCTGCGACCGATCGAATTACCGTGGAGATTTCAAGGCTCGGGCTCGGGGTCGGAACAGATGATGTATCAAGGAGCGTAATCGTGATTTTGGTGTAACTTCTATGTTCGACGGCAGGAATTTACGCTGCCGTACTGTGAATGTTTAGATCTCACACAACTCTTCAAAAAACCAGCGCCTTACTGCCCGCTAGGTCTCCACCTTCCGACAGCGCCAGCACCAGGTACCATACAAATCGGATCCGATGCGTTAAGCAAGGCGACTCTGACACCCCGGGACAAGCTGCCCTAAACAAGTGGCAAAAAAACGACGAAAAAGAGAACAAAAAAAAAAAAAGAGAGGAAAAAACCTGCGACAGCTGAAATAGATGGCAATAGATGAAATGGAATATTTAGAGATCTACCACTGTACATCGTCCCGCCTCGCAAGAAAGCAGATAGTTCTTTGGTGGATCGGCTGCTTTCAGGTCTTTGAATATTGGGTTCCGACACTTCAACCAGAAGGATTGGTTACCGACAAAGTCCTTAATATGCGACGGGCGGATATCCACCAGCGAGGCCACGGAGATTGTTGGACAGACACCCGACCCGGCCTCACCACGGACTCGCCTCCGAAGAAGATTGTATGCCGGCACAGAATCCTTTTGGCTGATAAGGCCCTCCCCACGAGGCTTTGACGTTTCAGAGACGTCGGCTGTAGCGTAGACCCCAGTCACGGTACGCATGCCGATTTGCAGCCCCACAACCACGTCCAGCATTCCGACGAAAAGGAACGGATGCTGGATGATTTCAACGGCGAACGAGTTGCAGGTCTGCTGAGATAGGATTTTGTATTCTTCGTCTTCGAGAAGAGCTCCTAGACATAGTAGGTTCCGCGCCACCACAGCATTGACGGATGGCATGGCGGACTCGGTGCCGGTCTTTAATCTGAAAAGCGGGCCCGGGACGCCGGGGGTCTCAATGGAGGAGGTGTTATAGTAGCCTTCGGGTACACCATCGTTCTTAGCTAGAAAATTCTCGTTTAGATGTTCTAACGAACTGTCAGTGATATCCTACGGAGAGGGGATCTTTGGTATTTCGGATGGTTTCTTACTCTGGAGACGCTCTGCAAATTGCAGATACGAGTCATCGAAGGTCGCGGTGTACATCTCCAGCAGACCGCTGATCAGGTACGCGTAGTCATCTGCGAACCCAGGGGTGTCGCCCCGACGGCCATCGCGGAAAATTCTCCACAACTTGCCGGTCGCCTTGTCGAACATGTTGTCTTTGATGAAGCCGATCGCGCGTGCAGCTGCATCCAGGCATATTTGTGCCTTGGAGCTCTCGATTTCCTCGAACAAGATACTGCATTTGGCAAGAGCCCCAATAGCCAGTCCATTCCAGCCCACGATAATCTTGTCGTCCAGCTCCGGTCGTCCTCTGACTTTCTCCCGATGATCGCGGAGCTTCTGCCTGCCGCCTTTGATAATCTTCACCACTTCTTCTTCACTCAAGCCAAACTCCTTGGCCAATTTTCTCGGCGTAATCCGAACGGAGAGTACGTTTTGGTTCATGAATTCATCATGCGGGTCATACTCAGCCGCGACATTCCCGTCAGGTAGCACTCCCCAATGACGAGCGCAAACTGGCGCGTCTCGTGGGCCAAGTACCTGGGTCAATTCTTTCAGCGACCACACGTAGAAAGCACCTTCACGCTTTTCGGTATCATTAGGACTGGGAAAGCTGTCAGCGTCCTCAGACGAAAAGAACCCTCCAGTGGGTGACTGAAGCGGTGGACTCGTTAAGTATGTAGCCAGATCATATACAGCGCCAAGCAGCTCAGGGTCATGAGTGATTCGGAATGCATCCACGTAGACATCCAGAAGCTGAGCCTGGTCGTAGAGCATTTTCTCGAAATGGGGCAAGCTCCAGTCAGCGGTCACACTGTATCGAGCGAAGCCGTTGCCAATATGATCTCGTATACCACCGCGGGCCATCTTAACCAGTGTTGTGACAGCCATGGCGGTTGCTTTCTCGCACTCGTCCTGGCCCACGATGTCGGCGATTTCACGGGGATATGCGCCAAGTCGAAGAAGGAAGCTCAAGTTGGCGGGAGTGGGAAACTTGGGCGCTCGGCCAAAACCTCCATTGCTGGCGTCGTACCGGGAGGCGAAATGCTGGTAAGCCTCCTCCAGAAGTTCAATGTCGAGATCTTCGTCTGTACCGCGGACTGTGTTGCTAGAGTGGGTTCCTTCTTCCGCAAATTCTCGAAGCTGTTTGGTGATATCCTTAGCGCTTTCCACGCACCGCTGTTGCTGAGTTACCCAGACATCCCTCAACTTCTCTAGGATTTCGACGAATCCGGTTGTTTCGGGCCCTTGACCTGCCGTTAAGCTGGGCCCGGACCAATAAGTTCCTCCGAAGACAGGCTCGAGGTCTGGAGTGAGGAACACGTTTAATGGCCAACCTCCGGATCCCGTGGTGGCTTGGACATAGTTCATGTAGATGTCGTCAACGTCGGGGCGCTCCTCCCGGTCTACTTTGATCGGAATGAATGACTCGTTTAAGATCGCAGCTACTTCATGCGACATAAACGATTCCTTCTCCATGACATGGCACCCTACGGGTTGACATACGTTAGGTGCAATTCATAGACAGGAGAATATTGGGACGTACAGTGGCACGCTGAATACCCGATACTGAGAAATATTAAGCGGTTGTACTTTTTCGCAAGACTGATGGCCTCTGAGTCCCATAGCTGCCATGCTACTGGGTTGTTCATGTGCCTACGCACCTGAATACCGTTAGAGTCTTGTAAATCAAAGAGCTGGGAATAGATGGCCTCTAGGTCTCACATAAGGTGATCTGCTTTGCTGCAGGCGATTGACGAGCTTTAGCCCCGCGTCAGGGGCGTCGTGCTGCGACTGCATGGTATCTCAATGGACCTCGGGATACCTAGGGTGTGCGGGGAAGATGAGGGCAGGTTTGAGTTGCAAAACTGGCGTCGGAGGCGCTGGGGGCTGGCGCAGGGATGATGAATACTACCCCACAAGTCTAGCACAACCGGTCCGATTAGCGAGTCAGGATGGCGTTCTGGAGGAGGATTGCACAAGACCGGAAGTGGGGTTGGTTTCCAGCGAGAGCCGGCGAACGGGAGATCGTCCCTGTGCGTCATCGATGCATCAAGGATATCACGTGCATAGTTGTACGTACCGGCGTCAGTCACCATCACATTTACCAGTCTGGTTATTATTACTTGCCTAGGCCATGTAATGATACACAATCACTATCCTCTGTACGTATTCCTCTCTAGAAAAAAAATGGGCCTGAATATCTCATATACCCTCAGTACACCATTACAGCGTACGTACCCTATATTATGCACCATCGACAGGATATCTATCCCGGCCCAGTACTTCAAGGTCTACTCTAGGATTTTATGAATTGCAGAATTCTAGGAATCGTCACTAGCTGTTGGTGATATTCTACGAGTAAGTCTTTACGTTTGGGCCTCTATCCAAAACATATGCAGGGGTATCGTGAAATGCATCAATCATCTGCCATTAGCTCAGCTAACTCACGTTCTTCCTCTTCAGTGAGCATGGGCTCTCCGGATGGCTGGTCTTCTTCTGTCCGCGCCCCCTGCTTGGCCTGGTCTACAGCTTTCTGTAACTCATCTGATCGAAGGGACCATTGGCGGATGGTACCGTCGATTCCTTGCACTGACAACTGTTGAACCTACGAGGAGTAACCCAGTCACTTCTTCAAAATGACCCGAGAAAACATGATGAAGCTCTCCCGTCTGAACAAAGCAGGCATTAGCAAGACTGAAAGAAGCTAGACGAAGGGTTACTGCTTACCGATCGATTCCACACACGGACTTCTTCATCGCGGCAAGCCGTCACCACCCACCCACCTGGTTCATAGACAACGACGTCTCGAACAAAGTCGGGGTGTTCTAAAGTCAAATTCGGGTTCCACCCGTCTGCACGCACAAGGCACTTGGCAGTCTTGTCTGCTGAGGCAGTCCATAGATCTCCATCCTGGTCGAAGAAAAGCTTGTACACACTCGTTTCATGAGCGATAAGCGGCTCAGGTGCATCCCCACCCAGTACTTTGAATTGACGGATCTCCCGATCACTGTCAGCACTGAATAAAACCGCCTCCGATCCTTCAAGGTCAGGGTCTAGTAACATATCCTGGACTGCACGACCAGGGAAGTCAAAGGCCCGAATCCGTTCATTACTGCCAATCTTAAACATGAATATCTTCGCATCGGCTCCTCCGGTCAGCAGATAGTCATCCCTTTGGAGCCTCGCAGTAATCACAGACTTGACAAAGTCTGAGTGGCCTTCATATCTTTGTTTTGGCTCTCGTGAGGCGATATCCCAGCTCCAAACCGTTTTATCCCAGCACCCCGCAAATATGAGCTTGCCATTCGGGCTGAGACATAAGCTAGTCAGAGGAGCTGTGGGGCCCTTGTATATGGCCGTCGTTTCTCCCGTCTGGCAAATCGGTCAATATTTTGGAAGAAGGTATGAGGCTCAACGTGTTTCCCCATATCTCTCATGGAATGAGCTGTAAGGTTTGACGTACTTCAAGAACAATCCTCCTCACGATACCAGTACTTTGCGCAACATAGATTGATCCCGGATTGGCCGGGTCGGGATGGATGGCGAGGATCTTGCTCTTCAAACGAATAGGACTGCCATTCGTATTCTGAGACTTGGCGTCTTTTCTTTCCTGGTCATCCAAGGCAGCGCTGCGTGGGAAAGGCAAATTAGCGGACCGCTCCGTTCGTCCAGGCCCAGATCGTCTCACGAAGTTTGGAAGAAGTTGTCCCTGTTTGCCGTCGTTGTCATTGTGGCATCTCCTCTGTAATTGAGCGTGGGGAGAGCTCGAGAGCAGGAGGGGCCAGCCGAAAGAGGTAGCCTGGGCCCCACGCCACAAAAAAGTGGCCAGCGCCGACCCCCAAAACTGCTACCTAAGCTCATACCGCCCGCCGTAGTCCGGATCCCCCAAAAAGCACAGATTTTGCTTCCTCCTCCCTTCCTCTTATCCTCTCCTGAACCTTTCCCTTTCTCCGCCCTCCTTTTTTCTTTCCTCCTCTCTTCACACTCTACGACTTGCGCCATCGCGCGCAGCTCGCCACGATGGACATGAATCATTTGATTGGGTAAGTTGTCTGCACTTGTAATTGGACTCGAGCTAACAACACCTGGCAGTCAGCGGTTCAACCTGATCTCCAAGAGCGATATCCGGTACATATCCATCTTTCACCGGGTCCTTGAATCTTGACTAACAGCTTCCCCAGTTACGTGGGCACCCTTCATGAAATCAACCCCGAGGCCTCCACCATCGCCCTTGAGAATGTCGTATCATTTGGCACAGAAGGCCGACGCGGCAATGTCGACGAAGTTCCTCCTTCTACCGGCATCTACGAGTACATTGTGTTCCGCGGGAGCGACGTCAAAGACATTAGCGTTGCTGAGGAGGAAAAGAAAGACAACGCACAGCCCGAACCTCCTCGGGTGCCTGATGACCCCGCTATTTTAGGAGTAAGTCAGAATCCGTTACCACCATACTTGTCTCCAGCCGCCCAGCCCATTTATCCTTCGACCGTCATGGTCGGGCATTGATCGAATGATGAAAAATTTTCGGATGTAAACTCACAGACCTGTTCTGAATGCGCAAATCCGTGTAGAGATTTCCGTTGCCTTCCTTCTGATCGATCAATTCATGCCTCGTCTCACTTTGAATGATTGTCAATGCAGTCTTTGCTGACTTGATGCAAATAGAACATGTCTCGGCCTGGCCCTGGTCCCGGCCCAGAGTCAGGAGCCGCTCCTGGCATCCCTCAAGGGGCCCCTCAACCTCCACCAGGTCCACAGCAGACCCTTCCTGGGTATCCCCCGCCGCCTTTCCAAGGTGGCCCATACCCTCCTTATGGGCAACGCTTTGGTCCTCCTCCAGGCCAGTTCCCTCCTGGTCCTGGCTTCCCTCCCTATGGTGCACCTCCAGGATGGCTTCCTCCCCCAGGCCATGGATTCCCTCCAGGGCCAGGTCAATTCCCCCCAAACATGCCAATGGGTCCATCTGGACAGATACCGCCTCCGCACCAGCGTCCCGGACCTCCAGGTGTGCCACCCGTCCCAAAGCCTACCTCTGAGCTTCCCGTCGGGGACAAGGTTCCCAGCAAGCCTGCAACACCCGCAGCTCAACACGCTCCTACCCCTCCCGTCGAGTCAAAGCCTTCTGTCCACGAGGCTGTTCAGGTTTCATCGAGTATTCCCCCCGTTCCCAGCAGTGCGCAGAAGAATGGCCGTGTTCTCCCTGCTATTCCAATTGCCGCTCCTAAGCCCACGGCTCATATCCCTAGTGCCTCTGCTGCAGTTGCTCAGGGAGGTACTTCCATGGATGCGACGGCTGCGGCTACTGCTGCCGTTGCTGCTGCCATGGCCAAGCTGCCCCAACCTGGTGGTGGTTCCAAAAAGCCCCAGGGTGACGCATCGATTGAGAATGTTACTCGGAAGATGAATGACCTTCGCCCCTACGACAATGCTCGTCGTGGTGGACAGAGAGGAGGCGCTGCACGAGGAGGCGCTCGCAATCAGCACAAGAAGATCGACGTCCCAGAATCTGACTATGATTTTGAGACTGCCAACGCCAAGTTCAACAAGCAGGATCTTGTGAAAGAGGCCATTGCCAGTGGCTCTCCTGCAGCCGAAGTGGACGCCCTCGCCACCGAACCAGATTCCGGTGACAGCGTCGCCAACGTAGCTCATCCCTCCGTTCCCAATCTCTACAACCGGAGTACGTCTTTCTTTGACAACATCTCCAGTGAAGCTCGTGACCGTGAAGAGAACAACACCGCTCGAGCTGGCGGTCGCGAGTGGCGCGGTGAGGAAGAGAAGCGGAACATCGAGACTTTCGGCCAAGGCAGTGTTGATGGATACCGGGGCCGAGGCCGTGGACGAGGCTATGGACGGGGCTATGGACGTGGTCGCGGTCAGGGAGGTCGCGGTTATGGTGGCCGGGGCCGCGGTGGCATGCGTGGCCGGGGTAACTCCCACGCCACTGGTGTTCCGTCTCTGGGATAAATGAAGTAATCCCCATGACCTCGGCTTTTTAAGAATTTTCTTTTCTTTTCTTGTTTTTCTTTTCTTTTCTATCTTCCACGTCTTGGCATGTCCGGACTCATGAACGAAACGACTGACTACGCTTGAAATCTTCTTTTCGTCACTTCGGCGCAATGGGAATGAATCATGGGGCAGGGCATTCTGGGACGGCAACAGTTCTTGCAACGGGGTAACAACGGTGTTTTTGTCTTGTTCATGCTTTTCTTCTGCTCTCTTTTGGCGATGTCCAACATACCCCTCTGCAGCGTCTTTATCGATATCCCTACTTATGGGCAGATAACCTCACCTCTTCTACTAGAAGTGGTCATTCGTATCGAGGTTCTCTAACATGCGCACTTTGACTTGGAAGTCATCGGCGCAATTGTCTAGCCGTGGATGTCGGGACATATCATGCACATGTAACACCATATTCACGGACAACAAGTCCGAGCAATGAAAAAAGCCAAAAAGATGGCCGCTTTGGTCAATCAAACCTCTTATTGCATCCTGTAGGACTTTCCACATCGTAAGCCGAGACTAATCGAACTCCAGCTATTGACCCCGTCGCTCTCGCCCCATGAAATGCAACCCACCCCTCCGGCGCCTAAGATACAGACCGATACCGAGACCCCATCCTCCCACTAGATGCCAGAATACACCTTACAGAATAACTGTTGCATTAGCATGAGACCCAACACCACCTGCGCAACGTCAGTAAATCTCCATACCAATCAACTCAAGCTCACACGTACCGGGCACATTAGCAGGTGCACTTGTCAAAAAGAACGTCCAAGACCCACGCTCCCTACACTTTCTCGCCAACACCTCCAGATTCCACATCTCCCCAATGGGACAACCCCAAAGCGCCAACAAACTCTGATGCAAATGATCGTTCTCCGGAACAGGCCACGCCTCAAAGGTAGGCGAGTCACCAACCACAGCCGCGAAGTAGCTGTCATGCAACCACTCCCGCAACTGCGGTTCGCGCGCCACGCCCGCGAAGCACAGATTGTCGTGGGACCGTGTCGCAGCCGCATAGCGCTCCGCGGAGCTGAGCTCGTAGTACCGCTCTACGAAGCCGGAGCGGATGAAGAGCATGTCGCCGACGCGGATGTGGCCGCCCTGGGACTCGGGGCGGAGGTCGAGGCCTTGGAATGCGGCGCAGGCTTTCAGCTCTGCGAATGAGATCGCGTGCGAGGTGTTTGGGTCATAGAGCTTGTTGTGGGTTTTGGCGTAGTGCCAGTAGTCCAGGAGGATGCCTCGGCCGGCAATACCATGGTTTGCCCAGTGATGGATGCTGCAGCGGTGGGTGTTGGCATCGGCGCCTATGAAGTCTTTGGCTGTTGCCTGGGTTTGTTAGATGGTGAGGAAATCATGATTGGGTGAGGTATTACCCTGTTGTAAAAGGTTTTTGTCTCGAAATGCCCGACCTATTAGAAAGTTAGTGACTTTTCCATGCCAGGATGCTGTCGGGATGAAAGACATACGTGTCGGAAGCCATCCCACTGCGTCCCGCTTTGGGTGTTCAGGGAATATGTGTCATCGAATGCGACGTCCTCCCATAGAGTTTTAATATTGTGCTGGAAAGTTTCTCGCTCGAAGGCTGGCTTCTCAGGCATATTCAGAGGAAGACTAGAGGTTTGTTCAGCAAATGGTTACCAGCCTAGGTTAATGCAGACGGACGGGCTACTTACTTTAATGGGATGATTTCGCCAGTCTTGATCTCTGCTACGGAGGCCTTGACTCGGGCTGGCGTCAACAGGTTGAGTCTTCCCAGCTACATGACGATTAGCAAGTGAGCCCGGGGTACAATTTCGATGTGGTTACCTGATCATCCTCCCCCCAGACCCAAGCCGCGCCAGCGGGTGCATTAGGCAGAGGAGGAAGGTCTTTCAGAGCGGGGAACGAACTGCTGCTAGGATTCCACGGGAGCTGGTTTGGCGCTTGGGCGCCAGATGAATCTTCATTCGCATTCTGAGATAGATGACGAGAAATGGCTGGGATTCTTGCGGTTGCAGACATGTTGCGACAGAGTTAAGAGCCCACTGGTATGAATATAGTATCGTCGAGTGAATGAGCAAGATCAAGTCTGGGACACCTGGTTTATTTGTGTGGCACTCCATTGAGCGGGGGAATCTTGGGAGTTCATGCCGAGGACCAATCTTGCACAATCTATACTGGGGCCATGGGGTTCTCGCCACCTCAGGATTATTATCCCTTCATCTTATCTCGGTGGATTTGACAGCCATTCTAGACATCTAGCTTCATGCTGATCAGCACCTCTCAAATTTAACCATTTCCTCTTGTCCTCGGAATGATTTCAGTATAAGAGAGGTCATATCGTGCGCCAAGTAGCATCTGCTTTGCCGAAGCGGGGAAGCTTCCTCACATACGCAAGCCTCGCGGAGAGTCGGTACTATGACGCAGGCTGGGGGGGGGGGGGGTCAGCACGGGATTCATTGCGGTCCAGGTGGGGGGACTTGGCCTATTCAGGCCTTGAGTAGTTTTGTCGGGGAACACGCCCCTGCCCATTTTTTAGGACTAGGGATATTTTGAACCTGAATATTCGATCCACTTCTCGAGATTCCTGCTTGGAAACCGCATCCGTAAGGCCTCTTTATCTGGAGAAGAAGATCCCTGTCCTCGCTCTGGGCCCGTTCTGCATAGCTCTGCGGAATGGGAGGGTCTTGGGCCTTTCAGCGTTCGCCATGACGCTCATAGGGAATCGCAGCTCGAGCCGTCTGTGCATCACTGCAGCTGTGCAGTTTGGTCTTCGACAGACCTTCTCTCGTAGAAAAGCTGCTAGATTGCAGGATCTTCCGACAGTTTATAAAAATCCACCACTCCGTCTCAGGGGATTCAGCCACTTTCAGCTCTAGTCCAGGTTAATCCAATTCCAATTCCCACGGCCGACTCAGTAAGGTCTGCTCCGCTGCGGTATCTCCCAATTCAGTTACTGCATGGTTTTCACGAGACAGGGGTTTGATGTGCAGGGCCACTTGACGATACTGGGAACGCGCACTAGGGAACATGAAACGCTCTTTCCACGAATCAGCGTATCTGCAGCTAGTAGCAAAAAGTTTTCATAAAAAGGCCTAAGGCGCTCGTCAAGCTCGAAAGTAGCCCCCTATATCTGTATAAACGAGTTCTCATTCTACCATGGTGGTTCTCAAAGATTTGATGTTATTCACGGCCATTTTCGCGGCTTTAGCGCATGGATACGCGAACCCAGGATCATGTTCGGGCGAATGTGTTGTTTCTGACCCGACATTGATTCAAAGAAGAACAGACAAGACTTATTTTCGTTTCTCCACGGGCAACAAGATCTCATATGCCAGCTCTTCTAGCATCGCAGGGCCCTGGACAGTGATCGGGTCCGTGCTACCAAGCGGCTCTAAAATTGCCCTTGCGGGCAACACAGATCTTTGGGTACGTGTTTCCTGAGTACGGATAATTGCGGGCAGCATACTTGGGATTCTCCATATTGAATGATTCTGACCGTATCATAGGCGCCCGATGCTCAACTTATTGACGGTATCTATTACATCTACTATGCGGTCTCGACCTTCGGCTCCCAGTCTTCGGCCATCGGCCTTGCGACATCTCCGACCATGGAGGCAGGCTCGTGGACTGATCATGGATCTATCGGCGTGACCTCTAGCTCCTCGAAGAATTACAACGCAATCGATCCGAGCCTGGTCAACGTCGATGGGACGTATTATCTGAGCTTTGGATCGTTCTGGGACGACATTTATCAGGTGAAAATGAATTCCGCTGCGACCAAAACCGCTGGCTCCTCTTACAACATAGCCTACGACCCCTCAAGTGGTCACGCAGAGGAAGGCTCCTTCATATACAAGCATGGCAGCTACTACTACCTCTTCTACTCCGCTGGCGCCTGCTGCGGGTATGATACCTCCAAGCCTGCTGCTGGGGATGAGTATCATATCAAAGTCTGCCGATCGACATCCGGCACGGGAGGATTTGTAGGTGTTCCCTCCGAGACCTTTGGGTACAACATTTGGATGGACTGACAGGATGTAAATAGGTTGATGCAGACGGAACACCCTGCAGCGACGGCGGAGGTACAATGGTTTTAGAAAGCCACGGTACTGTTTATGGACCTGGTGGACAGTAAGCTACACAGTTCCTTTGTGTTTATGCGCCTGGCTAATCCTTTACATTCAGGGGTGTCTTCGACGATCCCACTCACGGCCCCGTCCTCTACTATCACTATATTGACACGGCTATTGGCTATGCCGACGACCAAAAGCAATTTGGATGGAACGCGATCGATTTCTCTAGTGGATGGCCTGTGGTATGAACATCGTGGGGAGGGGGGGGGTGCCGTCACTCGGATATCTACCTTCTTTTCTGCAGACAATCTAATGGGCTCTGGTTCTTCTCCCAAGTCGGCTCCTGGCTGCCTAGTATCGAGTTTCTAGAATGCATTTGCCAAACTGTCAGAGTCTTTGGCTATACAATCGACGTGGCCTAGTGCTTTGGCCGTATTGAATGCCCCCGAAATTCATATATCGCCCCTCATCGTCTCAGCTTATCTCTAAAGATGCGACAGAGTGGATGATCAGTCTCATCAAAGCAATAAATATCGTGGGGATAGACTTTCATCCCAACATATGCCCTCACCGCCACTAACCCAAATTATAGCCTTTGCTGCGAGCTCCTAGCTCTCCATTTAGCAACCATAGGTGATAATTGTGACCTGCAAAAGCGAGCCAGGGGATTCTGTGCTATTTACCAAGGTTCTTGACCCCGGTCAAGACTATGTCAGACTGTCTTTGGCGTGCTTCGCGAGAGTAGCATGCCATGCCACGTCCCGGCGCGCTCCCCGCACTGGCAGGAAATTGACTGGACTTGGGCCGTTCTCGTGTTCGGGTTTTGATGGCCAGGTACAATATTGACCGCTAATGAAGATCGTTCATTCGCAAGTTATACGCAGTCATATTCGCGGACGAGACGGCATTTCGGTAAATTCGGCAATCTTGAGAGGATTGCAACCTTGGCTCAGCGTGGGTGTGGATTCGGCGCCCCTGGCCTAACGTGGGGGCCCTCTCGCCTAGAGCGCGTAAAAACTACTAAATGGAGGAAAGGGTAACATTTTGGCCGATGCTGGAAATTCTGTCCTTGCGGCATTCTATCCACGATGCTCGGAAACTTCGCGTCGGTCGCGCTTTGCTCGCTGCTCGCAGCTTTCGGTGCTGCAGAACATACCCATACTCATCCCTATATCGAGGGATCAGGGCAGGTCTCTAATGTGTCAATTACCAGCGGCGGTCTGCAGCGCAGCTATCTGCTCGCCATCCCACCGATCTATCACCCAGACTTCCCAACTCCATTGATCGTGTCGTATCACGGCGGGACCCAGACGGCTGAGGACCAGCTGGAGCTCGACCAGTTGACCAACCCTGAGTTCAACGAGCGAGTGATTGTCGTTTATCCCCAGGGAATCGATGTAAGTGCAAGGAAATTCCAAATTCCCACCCACACTGTGACATACTAACAGACGAAACGAATGTATGGCAAGGTGTTCCCGGAGTAACGGTTGACGATGTTCAATTCACATCGGACATCCTCGACCAGGTGGAGAAATCGCATAACATCGACAAGACCAGGATCTGGGCCACTGGAAAGTCCGATGGGGGTGGCTTCGCCAATATCCTGGCCTGTGACGCGACGCTGTCTACTCGCATTGCCGCCTTCGCCCCAGTGTCGGGCGCCTACTACATCGACACTAGCCCTTGTGACGCGGACACGGTAAAGATCCCTTGTAACCCGGGGCGTACTCATATTCCAATCATTGAGTTCCACGGTGGAAACGATACTACAATTGCCTATGATGGTGGCGCGCGCAAGGGCGAGTGCCTGCCTAGCATTCCACACTTTGTCCGCGAGTGGGCCAAAAGAGACGACCTTGACAGCCACAAGAACTTGACCATCCCAATTGCTCCGGACACGGTTCTGTACTCATTTGGAGTCACTGGACTTGTGCAACATGTTTATGACTCGGTAATTGGCCATGACTGGCCCAGCACTGTGCCAAATGCGGACAACCAGAAGCCCGGGCGCCATCCGGCCAGCTTCAACGCGACGCCAATCATTCTGGACTTTTTCTACCGCCACAGCCTGCCATTGGCTTTCTGGTAGATTGGTTCTATGTATATAAAATGTGTGACTGAGGCCGGGTCGTCATGGGGAAAACATGGATATGGAACTAGCATTACAAGGGCCATTAGACCCATGATTCTGCGATGACTCTAACTTGGATGATTCCAATATCGAGAACCCCAGTAATTTCTCCTCTGATCTCTGCTTCACCGTAGACTTAGAAGCATGTTGTCGACTGTGAGCCACCAAGAAAACCAGTCACTAGGGTTGGGACCTCGGAAGTTGGGGGTGCGGAGAAGCGCCGACACCGGATATAGCCGATATGAGGAGAAGCAGCCGTCTTCACATCCCCGTCTCGAGATCTCTGGACGCCTATAAACGGCACTGAGCGCCTACAAATCACGCGCCGCTGGCCACCAGGTTATTGCAGACGGTCTTCGGTCTCCCATGAACGTACTCTCGCTATCGCGACGCGTGCCCCGGGGCTGCGTTCGACTCGGCGCTTTTCGACATCCCCGCGCTGCGCGGGCTATCCGGATACCATCCCCAACCTTAAGATCGGGGCCCATACAAAAGTTCTTTTCCAAGGATTTACAGGTAATATAAGGGAAGCCAAGTTAAACGATACTTGCTAAAATTTCTCTCAGGGCGACAGGCGACCGCCAATGTTAAAGAATCGCTCGAGTGGGGTACAAAGATTGTGGGCGGCGTAAAGCCTGGCGTTGAGGGTGAGCACTTGGGACTCCCAGTCTTCCCTTCCGTGAAAGCAGTACGAATGAAAGATCCCTCACTCAATTGAAACACAACCTAATAATGCCTTGTACTTAAAGGCCCAAGCAGCAGCTAAGCCTGACGCCTCGGCAATCTACGTTCCTGGCACGCAAACCGCTCAAGCCATCGAGGAGGCCATTGAAGCGGAGATCCCTTTAGTGGTGGCTGTCGCTGAACACGTTCCGATCCACGATATTCTGCGGGTATGCTCGAATCCCCCCCGGTGACCTTCCGGGCGTCGTTACTTACCAAGGCCCAGATCCATTCCATGCTCAAGACACAATCCAAGACGCGCCTGGTGGGTGCAAATGTTCCAGGCATTATTTCTGCCATCGGGAAGTGCCGGATCGGCTTCCAGCCCCTCCCATGCTTTGCTCCAGGGAATATTGGTATTGTTGCCAAATCGGGAACGTTGAGCTACGAAACAGTCGCATCAACTACCCGAGCCGGACTTGGCCAGAGTCTCTGCATCAGCATGGGAGGCGATGTGCTAGCCGGGACCAACTTTGTAGATGCTCTGAAGGTCTTTGAAAATGATCCTGATACAGAGGGAATTATCCTGGTTGGCGAGATCGGCGGAACAGCTGAGCTGGATGCTGCCGAGTGGATCAAGGATTACAAAAAGCGAACAGTGAACCCCAAGTAAGTGCCCCACTACTTTAGAAGCCAGCTTCCATTGACCTAACGGGGAAAGACCGATCATGGGACTTGTTGGCGGTCTGGAAGCACCACCTGGTCGCATTATGGGCCATGCCGGTGCCTGGGCAGCACCTGGAGAGCCCGATGCCCAGACTAAATATAATGCCCTTGCAAAGGCTGGTGTTGTCATGGTGGACCACCCCGAGAAATTTGGAAATGGCATGAAGGCTCTGCTCAAGAGCAATCTCAACCCTCCTGGTGTAGGCGTGAGTCTAAGTGTCCTGCCACTTGTATTCCTTGATGGCTACTGACACATTTTGAGCCAAGTCACGATCTGGAGCCTCTCAGAAACGTGGAATCCACACTATAAGACGCGTCACCCACCACAGGAACCCACTCACTACCCAGAAACGAGCCCTTTACATCAAGCAATCACAGGCCTTTGATTTATTGAAGGAGAACTCGGTTCCTGTCAGCGACAAGACTGCCTCTTCTGACGTGTCTATTTCCATCTCCATTGACCGTACTTCCCTATCGCCTTGTATCATCGCGTCCCCCAGCGCGGATTCATACCCGGCCGAGTTCCGCAAATTCCCATTCGACTACACAGAGCCCTCTCTGCAGAAAAGCTCCATCATTTCCCCTGTTGCTTCCTACCTTGGCCTTCCTTCCTCCACACATGATAAGCTTGGTAACCTTATCCAAAGCCTATGGAAACTCTTCAAGGAGAAGGAAGCGTTCGTTCTCAGACCCGGGTAGGTATTCTAGACGAAGGACTGGAAATCCGTGGCGCACGCTTTGGCTTCGACGATGCTGCATTCCGCAGCTCCAAGCGCCAAGCAGATATCCATGCCTTGCGCGATACTAGCGAGGAGGTCCCAGAGGAAGTTGAGGCTGAAAAGGATGGCATTGTCTATGTTAAGTATGTTCATCTCACTCTGGTCTTTGACACGCCTCGCTAATGAGAAAAGACTCGAGGGCGAAGGTAGCATCGGTACCCTTGGTGAGTAGATCTCAGCGGATTTCTCCGGCTAGCAGCTAACATGGTTCTAGTTAATGGTGCCGGACTTGCCATGAACACTGTTGACGCTCTGACAAGCCACGGAGGACATGTTGCCAATTTCCTTGACACAGGTGGCAAAGCCACCTCTGAGACAGTCAAATCGTCATTTAGAATCATTTGCTCTGACCCTCGGGTCAAGGTTATTTTTGTAAATATCTTTGGAGGGTTGACTCGATGCGATATGATTGCAGAGGGAGTTATTTTGGCTTTCCGGGACTTGAATTTGAAGGTTCCTGTCGTAGTACGACTTCGCGGAACCAACGAGGAGCTTGGACAGAAGATGGTAAGTTCGGCGTGCTACTAGGTGGAGTTTCTTCCCGATTAACGTATCATAGATTGCCGAGAGTGGCTTGTCATTGCATGCATTCGACGGGTTCGAAGATGCGGCGAAGAAGGCTATATCCTTGGCCCAGGAGTGATCAAATAATTATCCATACTTAGAGCATCCAGTGGGTTTATGTTGATATAGAAACTATTAAACAACACACATCCTACCGATCATGCAGGAACCCGAGAGGACCTTTGGGGAGAGCTGGAAACAAATAATATTTCGTAGAGGCTCAAAATGCCAGTGGTCGCACTGGCACTAGCACCTCTCCACCTTCAAGGTTCGAGAACACGCAGAATCTCAGCCACCTCCTCAGCCACAACATGTATTTGCGTCATCCGATTCCCTGATTACCTGCCATGGTCTACGTGAAACAGTCTTGGGAAGCCGAACCTCGGGGGGGGGATTCGTCAGTCCATGTGACTGGCTTACTCCTCCCCGCCTTAGGCACCGAGCTCCCATAGTCGGTCTAGTCCCGGCTTTGTCCCCACGATCGACCAGGGTTGCGGTAGCGCTGACGCCATCACCTGCGATCTTCTCTAGGCTTATGCGGGGGGGGAAAGCCTGTATCTAGGTGTTGCATTGACCCAAGCCGAGTATTTTGCAAGGTTGTTTTCAGCATATTTCGGCCCTACATACAACCATTGTCCATCGTTTAGCAAACTCTGGCGCGCACTCCACCATGTCCGACCCTCGTTCCGAGCTGAGGTCTACGCTGCGTGACCTGGCAATTGGGGACAAAGGCCCAGTCCCCGACATCCCCCGCCCAAACATGAGAGCAACGGCGGCCGTAGGCGCCCCAACCTCCGCGCCCAGCAAGCCAAAGAAGACCCCCAAGACCGTTGCAGATTCCTGGGAAGACGAGGCCGATCTTTCAGACGAAGCACTCGGGCCTGAATCCGCTGCGTCCCCTTCGGTACTTTCGCCCACCCTGAGTCTTGAAGGCCCGTTGGATCCTCCGCCAACGCCAATCTCGCCGCAGACGTCGCAAGTGGCGCAGCCATGGACTTCGAACGCGGCTGCTTCTACCACGGGGCAGGGGTCTGCTCGCCGGCCCGAGAAGCAGACCGCAGTCGCTGGCCGGCTCATTGCGGGAGCGTTGGGCATCCGCGCGCCCAAGCGGACGGAGGAGCAGCGCGCGTACGACCGGTCTGTCAAAGAGCAGGAAATCAAGCGCCGGAACCGTGAAAAGGAGGAAGAGGCAAAGGCGAAGGAAGCAGAGGAGCGAGCCAAGGCGTCTGTCTGGACGGACTAGCCATTGGGTGGCTCGATTGGGTGCATTTTACTTTCCTTTCTATACCTGTTTTCTTGTATATACATTTTATACTAGTAGGTGGGTTGGCCGTCTGGCTTAGGAACTATATATAGGAAGTATATATTCGACTTGGACCATTACTAGTAGAGTTTTGATAGTTTCATGGTGGTGGTACATATAGCCATACCACGTACACTGCTCGAAATATTCAAGTTCGCGGAAGTACCAGCTATGACATGAGATTCGGCTTCCGCTTCAGTATCAGTACCCATATTCTTTTGCTAAATAAAAGAGTGGCACGCCTATGATATGTAGAAAACTGCCGATCCCTTGGCATTTAAGATTCGTTGACTCGTTAAAAACATCTGAAGGGGGAAAAACAAAAGGCAATTGCCATGAGCCATGATCAGCGCCCAGCCCAAACTGCCTAATGAGTCATTCTGGTAAATTATTCGCGCCGGTCATTCCGAGCCCATGCATGGAATCGGACTTAGCCACCAATCTGTTCTTGGTGAACCTCGAGGGTGTCGCCGTCGGCCATATCAAGCTGTAAATGGATTTAGCATCAATATGAATATCAGTAGCATCTATCGAGAACCTCGAGACTTACAGTATCAGGAGTGTCATCGGGACGTACACGGGTTCCATCGAAAAGGAACCGCACAGTCGTCATCTGCTTTCCCTGGCGATCACAGAAAGCATCCATAAGCTTCTTCAAGGGAGTGGATCGCTTGATCTTGAAGAAAACTTCATTGTTGTTGTCGGTGACCTTGATGTTGAGGTGCTCCGACTGAGCGGGGGCTTCTGGCTCAGACATTCTGGTTGTAATCTAGGTTGTTAGGTGCGATTTTGCGACGAGGACGCGGGGTTCATACTTTGTGGGACAAGCAAGAGATCTGACGGATGGAAAATGGCTATCTTTGAAAAAGTCAGAATCTAGCGACTGAGATTGGGGAAGAAAGTGACTGACTGGACCCTGGAGGGAGAGTTTAGAGAGGAAGGCGAGGTGAAGTGGTGGGCAAGTGAGAGATATCAACCGGCAGAAACGGACTCGCCCCACAAAGGCGGAGAATCTATTTTGCGTCACTCGTTTGAAAAGGGAAACAGGTTCGATGGTCCTGCACTGGAAATCTACCAAGGTGGCAAAAGGGAAACCAAGAGGACAACTGAAATGGTAGGTAGATAAAAGAGACTTTGGTAGCAAATGCCCTCTAATTGCTGATACAATATGCTGCAGGGGAATCTCAAAGACGATCTGTCGCACGACCCGCCGTGCCATCCACGAGCTGTATGTTACTGACAGACCCCCCCAGTGCCGTCTCAGACGATCATAGGCATCAATGCTAACCCCGGTCCAGTGTGCCATCCAGAGTACGATTTTATCTGATCATTCCAGTCAATGCACAAGCTAATCCAACCAGATTGCTTGACCAAGAATTCTTTCAAAGAGGAGAAATGCCAGGCTCAGATTGATGCTCTCTACGAATGCTGCAACGCCTTTTACCAGGCACAGGGAGACCATGCATCGACAGTGAGCTGCCCCAAGCCAGAGCTCCTACGGTTGAAGATGTCACAACGGGCCCAAGCGGCCGAGAAGCAACAGCGGTAGATAGATAAATGGCATGTACCAGCCCCTTTGCAGACTAAGCTCCCATGTAGAGGAAACCAGACTAGTTGAGTGACTGCCAATTTACTCTAAGACAATCTTGAGCACGCAGAGAGGCCTCTATGGACCTGAACGAACACTGAAAACTTCGTTCCGAGACTCTAATGAAAGCCTATAAGACATTGAAGAAGAAAAAGAAGAGGCTCCCGGGGAAAAAATTGTGCATTAAATAGAGGGTCCCGTGCCGGTCCACTAAACCCCTTCGGGACGGACGCGCCCAAGACCAAAAGAGACAAACACGAATCTCATCTCATTCCTTCAACAACAATCACCCCGAGAGCTGGTCGGCAAGTCTTTTGCTGCCATGGCTCCACTCACCAGGTCTGCCGCCTCAGGTGGCCCAACTCTGCGATCTCAAGTCCGTGTCTTCTCCCCTCCTCAGGATTTGCGCGCCTTTGCTAAAATTCACCCCCCAGACTCGGCTACCCAAGCAACCAGAAATCATCAACATCGACGAGGAAAGTGAACTGATGGATGAAGATGAGGATGGCTACGGCAATGGTGAGGAGCTAAGAGATGGGATGGTTGAAGACATTGAGGGGAATGAGAATGACGAAGAGATGGATGATGCGAATGGCGACTCTTCGGAGGGAGTTCCCGCTTTTCCCATCCTGGAGCCCAGCTTAAAATCAGTGATGAGCTCGACTCGCCAAGTCCCAGGTCTGTCCCCCCTGGAATCAATTGTACCCGTTGGCCACTGCTCATCAATTCAGGTTCCCCCCAGCTGTTCACAGCCGCAGGCGCTCAGGAAGCTCTTCACCCGCTGCGCCGCACCGCCGACCGTGTCGTTCGCCAAATTGAGGCCTTCGCCGACAAGTTGGACCAGTTCAAGCGCAAGAACAGCACGGACGAGTTTCAGCGAATCCAAGCGGCCTACAGCCTTGTAGAGAGCTATCGAGACTATGCGCAGCACGCCATCCAGGATCTAGAGAAGCAGAATACGTTGAAGCGAGCCAAGGCAGGGAAAAAGCAGAATGGGGAGGATTTGATCGCTGGCGCGGGTGATGAACAAGGCCGCATTCAGAGCTTGAAGCTGGAGGCTGACACCTGGCGCTTGCTTCTCAACTTCATCAGCATTGACGACCCGGCCTCCCGCGCTAGCTTCAAGCAAGGACAGCAGACGGCTTTCCAGAATCTTCACCGATACTCTTCTGATCGCGAAATCTGGGAACAGTTCATCGGCGCCGATCAGTATGCCTTGGAATGCGTCCTTGCGATGAGGTGGCTGGAGGAAACCGCCAAAGGGAACACCAGCGAACTCGACGCCATGATCGAACAATCGTTAGAGCTCTCCGAACGGGGTCAAGGTCTGTGGTCCCACGGATGGCTGTTCACCAAGGAGCAGATCAAGGGGCACAAGCGACTTCGTGCCTGGCCGCAACCACTCGACCCGAATGACCCGAGCGTGTCACGGGGACTATTGAGTCGGAATGACCAGCGGCCCCTCGTCACACAGCTGGACCCCGATGCCCTCATCCGCCAAAATCAAAGCCTAGAGGCTCAGGATGCAGAGTATGAGAAAGCAACATGGGCGACCTGCTGGAAGATGCTCCGGCTCGGGGAGAACTGGTCGACAATTCGAGAGTGGGCTGAGAGTCACCTGGAGAACTGGCGAGCCGTCAGCCTGTGTGGCTCTAGTGTTGACTCGAAGGCCGCGGCTGGCTCGAATGCTCGCACCCCAATCGACGATGGCATGACTCGCCTGATGAACAGCAATTCCCTTGAATCTTGGCGTATAGCTTGCGCCGCTTTGACCCGCAATCCCAACACCTCCGATTACGAACGTGCAGTGTACGCATTGCTTTGCGGTGAATCTGAGCCTGCCGCCGCAGCTTGCAAGACCTCCGACGACTTCCTCTACGTGTATTTCAACCGCGTTGTCCTATCACGTTATTCAGGGTTCTGCAAGCAGTTCCAACGCAAGCTCAGCCGCTCCCCAACTACCCCAGTCGTGTTCCAGCCGGAGCCAGCTGGGCACGGCGAACTGCAGAAGTACCTCGAGTATCTGCGTGGCCATGCTGTTGTCGGCGAGCAGGCGCGTGATCCGTTCCGCAGTCTCCAGGCCGCAATCTTGAGCAAGAGCTACGACTCATATTTCTCTGTCCTTGCGCACGCCGTTTCCGAGGTCTTCGCTGCCGAACCAGATCAAATTCCAGTCGTGCCAACCCTATCGCACGCACCAGTCGATCCATCAATCATTCGGGTCGCGGAAAACGAAGATGCACTTAAGGTTGCTAGTCACGTCTATCTAGTCACCCATTCAATCGGCTACACCGCTATCGATGACCAGGTATTTGAGACCGCATCTGTCCTTGTGGCTGGATACATCGCGATCTTGCAGGAGCAGGGCCTCTTTGATTTGATCCCTCTTTACGCGTCGCTTTTACCGCCGAGCATGTGCTATGAGGTGGTTCCCAAGATTCTGGTGGATATCAAAGACCCACGGGATAGGAAACAATTCATCCGACTGATGCAGAAACATGGAATTGATGTCGATGCTGTCTTGCATGCTCACTGGGTCTGGCTTAGCAGCCAAGTCCCTAGTATTGAGCATTCGAATAACACGCTGGGATATTCACGGGTAGTCCACCGCCCAGACGGTACTCGAGTTCTAGTGCCCCCGAAAAAGGATTTGGAAGGAACTGCGATTTCGTGGCTGGACGACCAGTTAATTTCTAATGTGGAATGGCTACGCGCCTTGGGCGGCCAATGGTCCAAACTCTCCCAAATTGGAGCCTGGCTGTACCGGAAGTTCTTTGGTAAGTCGTATTTTCTTGCCATGAAAGAATGATGAAGTGCTAATCGATCATAGTCGCCGGCAATGTCGCTGCTGCTCGCGAGATGAGCCGCCGCATCATGCTGTCAACCACATCCCAGGAATCCTTCGGCATTGATATCTTCGAATTTCCTTCGGTGGAACCACTGTTGCCAGAGAAGGATAATTCCGTTCCATCAAGCCCGAGCAAATCCAAGAGGAATAGCCTTCACCGCCGCAGTCTCTCGAGCAGTAACGGGGTCGTCAGCCACGAGGAAGCCTTCCAGCAAGCGTTCCGCATGTACAATCTCGAAACATTGGCTCTGGCCTTTGATTCACTGGAGAAATTCGCTCATGTCTATGACCGGATGTCGAAGTAAGTCCCCCTCTGCGACTATACCGCCAAGAATGTTTTACTAAATACAAGCAGAACCAAACGCCGTCGAGACTCTGGATCCGTCAAGGACGATTTGCAAGACCTGACTGCGCTCCTTGAGGAAATTGAATCCCATGTCGGTCTGGTAGTGGAAGAATGGCTACCCAAGTCGGATGATGGTAAGGCATACTCCAGGACCTTTCCCCATTGTAAGGAGTTTCTCACTAACGTCCACTCCAGAAGCTGAGGAGCATGATCTGGCCTACATTCGGCGGACATACGTTCCCGACCTCTTCCTGGACTATCACAACGTTCTCTATTATGCCAGTCACGCTCTCGACGAACCCAATCTCTTAGCACAGTGCATGACAGTGTCCATTTGGGTGGCTCATACCCCGCACATTACCCGCAGCTTCACTGAGGCGAAGCGAATGTCAGAGATGGTAGATGCATTAGCTCTGGCCAGTAAGGCGATGGTGCTCACCGACCCGAAGCACGACCACGTGTTTGACGATGGGCGCACATTGGGCATCTGGAGGGTCAGTGCGGAGGAGGGAGAGGCTGATTCGCAGTAGCCGGCGTGATACTATCGGTCGTAACGGGATGTGTACATTAGTGTGGTAAGGGGAATTCATCGCAGTCACCTTGGGTGCAAAAAGAAGCAAAGGATGGGTTATGGAGTAGGTTTTAACAATTGCATGTCAAGTCCGATATGATGCCCGACTTCCGGGTCAATTCTTTTGTACCGTGTCATACCGTCATAATTCTGTACTATCAAGTTTAACTTCAGGTCATTTACCTCATCACCATTACCCAACAGCTAATATCAGTCTATGCTCTTAGACAAGGGCTAGCCTCAATGAGGACGAACAGTTGCAGTAACGCACCCCAAAGATCGGCACATTGACTTGTCACTATGCCATTTAGTATTAGTGACGGCGATCAGTACGTCAACCCCAAAAGCCAGCAAAGCTGATTAGATTAGAAAAAAACTCTAGCATGACGCATAATTTGTCACGCCTTATCAGACCAGACAGCCTTGGGTACAGGTGCAAAAGCAAGATGGTCAACAAACCCAAACACTGTCATGGAGCCCCCTGAAAGGAACATCTCGCAGCTTCGGAAGGGGAAGGGGGCAGTGTTTCCTTACCAAAAGATATGATCACAACCCGCCTCGATCGTCCCACCGCGATAACCTGGCTTGCACACGGCATGTAGCGAACAATGGCCACCGCCACTCTTGGCCTCGCGACCCGCCGAGTCGGAGCTGTGCAAAAAGTTGCGACTCGAAATGTGGAATTAAAGCTGAAGTTCTTTTCGCCTGTGGGTCCTGGCAGTGCATATAGCTTGGAACAACCGTATAGATTAGCTATGAGGTCGGGGTTTTGTCCGTATGTTTCCGCACTCTCCTGATCGACGAGTCGTCATTGCCACAGCAATTATGGATTGCGGTCAGGCACCTGATGGCCTCGGAGGGAATCATCGGCTGCTGCTCTCGTCAACTAGGCGGAGACCGGTGGACTACGAAGCTGTCAGCGATTGGTTTGGCGATTGGGGGGGCCCTTGCTGGTAATTGAACTACGTGATTGGAATTCGATCTAGTGAAGGCCCGGAGTTCTATGGGTTGGTTAGGCGGGCCCCTGTCCTGTACAAAGGGGCTAGAAGTTTGGGGTACGGCCACGCTTTCCCTTAGGTTCCTTGAAAAGCCGGTATGGCCCGGAAGAGATACCGATGGCCGTAGACATTCGGTCTCCCAGCAATGCAAAAAGGGCCCCGTGCCACATGCTCAGGCTCTGGACTAGGATTGTGCTTGGTCCGGGTGATCCGAGGTACCACTAGCATGTTAGAGTATAGGTTAGAGCACAGGATACTGCAAGCAGATGGTTCCGGGAGCTAGCTAGCTCGCTAGCTTGTCACCGTGAACCTGGGAGAGAATTCGAGGCGGATCACTGATATATTGGAGACGTCATTAGCGTTGAAGAACAAACGCGGGAGAGCAGGAAAAACCCCAACAAATGCTCCTTTTTGATTCGCCCAGGTATTTAGCTCCGCGCTCCGGGGGGCCCGCCCTTGGCAAGAGAGTCAGTGAGGCAGTGCAAAAACAAAAAAAATGGTAATGCCCCGTTCTTGCTTCCCTTGCCGCATTCGGGCCCTTTTAAAGCCGCTTATTGTTTCCTCCTGCCCTCAATTACCAAATGGCCCCTAGAGAGAAGAGCCCGGAGGATGCAACTTGGCTTCGATTATCCCCCACTTTGTCTGGGGCTGTGCTAGATAAAAAGTGGATCCACAGGTGGGTAACCCAGATAGACAGCGAAATACAAAGTCGACTAGCTTTATTGGTGTCGTAGTCTCGACCGGAGTGGACCTATGATCTTGGACCATTTCGGGCTAAGGGGCTGTCACTCTGTGGCGCGCGGTCTGGGAGACTTCTCCTTTCCCTTGCAAGTTTTCGCTTCTTGATATTCTTGAAGGGAGAAGGAGCACAAAAAAAAAAAGAAAGAAAGATACTGGTCGACTCTCAGCTCTCTGTCCCCACGTCGCACACTCTTTTCTCCCGCAACAACTCCAATGCAAACTTCGGAGCTGGGAAGAACCCTACCGCTTGCGTGAACGACGCTCGGGTTTGCCCGTCTGTTCACCATGACCGACCATCATGGGGACGAGCGCGCACAGCAAGGCGCTGCTCCCCTGCGCAGAGAACGGGCACCAACCATCACCATAGATACCTCCGCTGTGAACTCACCCGATGCCAGTCCACCCCCCGTTCAGATCATCTCGGCGCCGCAGCCATCGCTTCAGGTGTCCACAGACACAGTCGAGTCGGATACCGGTGCTCTCATGAGTAGCAGCAGCCAGGGGTCCCCCACCGACCCACGGTCGAACGCCTCCATCGCCTCCAATGCCTCCTCCGAGGGCAGGGATCGTGACGATCGGCCTACCTCCCCCCCACAATGTATCCTCTCCGAAGACAAAAGCCCCCGAGGCCAATTCGAATTTCCTCTCGGTCCCGGGCACCCGGTCGCGTGGAAACTCCTTGGAGTCGGAAGATACTTCCCAGTCGACCAGCTCCTACGGTGGAGATACCTACGTGCCATCCCCGACCCATCGCTCACAGGGTTCCGACTTGTCTGAAATGACCAGGGTCCAAAACATCGATACTGAAGATGCTCTGAGTCCCGACCCAGGCCGGGAGGACGAGTTCAAAGTGGAGGACAATCGGTTCGCGTTTTCCCCTGGCCAGCTGAACAAGCTGTTGAATCCGAAGAGCTTCGCTGCGTTCCGGGCTTTGGGTGGGTTGCGAGGACTGGAGAAGGGTCTGCGCACTGATGTTCGCAGTGGTCTGAGTATGGACGAAACTACGTTGGACGGGACGGTTGCATTCGAAGATGCAGTGGCCTCGGACTCAACATCTAAATCCGCTTCCGCGAAGTCACCGTTGCCTACCACCACGGTCACTGAAGGACCTTCTACACCCGCTTCGCCGACAAGCTCGGATACAGACGAGAAATTCGCGGACAGGAGACGGGTTTTTGGAACTAACAAGTTACCCGAGAGGAAGCTCAAGTCGATCTGGGAGTTGGCCTGGATTGCGTACAATGACAAGGTCTTGATCTTGTTAACGATTGCTGCTATTATTTCCCTTGCAGTGGGTATTCCTCAGTCTTTGCACCCGGCTGATCCAGATGAGCCGGGTGTAGAGTGGGTGGAAGGTCTCGCTATTCTCGTCGCCATCATCATTGTCGTCGTGGTTGGCGCTGCGAACGATTGGCAAAAGGAACGCCAATTCGCCAAGCTCAATAAGAAGAAGGAGAATCGACTCGTGAAAGTCGTCCGATCCGGAAAGACTCTGGAGATCTCGATCCATGACGTGGTCGTGGGTGATGTGATGCACTTGGAACCGGGAGACATGATCCCAGTAGATGGAATTTTGATCGCCGGCCACGACGTCAAGTGCGACGAATCATCCGCCACTGGAGAGTCAGATGTCATGCGCAAGACCCCCGGTGATGATGTCTACCGGGCACTCGAACACAATGAGAATCTGCGGAAAATGGACCCCTTCATCATCTCCGGCGCCAAGGTGTCTGAGGGTTTGGGGACGTTCTTGGTAACTGCAACCGGTGTCCATGCCACCCATGGGCGGACCATGATGTCCCTTCAGGAAGAGGGCGAAACGACTCCACTGCAGACAAAGCTGAACAAGCTGGCCGAGTACATTGCCAAGCTTGGTCTTGCTTCGGGCCTGCTATTGTTTGTCGTTTTGTTCATCAAATTCCTCGTTCGTCTGAAGAACATCGATGGAGGCGCAGATGCAAAGGGTCAGGCGTTCTTGCAAATCTTCATTGTCGCCGTCACCATTGTGGTGGTTGCTGTTCCGGAGGGTTTGCCCTTGGCAGTAACATTAGCGCTGGCGTTTGCTACGACTCGAATGATCAAGGATAACAATTTGGTTCGTTTCTTGAAGGCTTGCGAAACGATGGGTAACGCAACGACTATCTGCTCCGACAAGACCGGTACTCTCACAGTGAACAAGATGACAGCTGTTGCTGCCACCCTTGGAACTACCTCCCGGTTTGGAGACAAGGCCAATACCCGCGACGGCCCCACGGATCGTTCTGATGTCTCTGCATCCGAACTTGTTTCCACGCTCTCTCCCTCTGTGAAGGACATTCTGCTGAAGTCGATTGTCTTGAACTCAACTGCATTCGAAGGTGAGCAGGATGGAGTGAAGACGTTCATCGGATCCAAGACAGAAGAAGCTCTTCTCTCTTTTGCCCGCGAACATCTCGGAATGGGCCCTCCAAGCGAAGAGCGCGCCAACGCAAAGATCCCGCAGTTGTTCCCCTTTGATTCGGACCGCAAATGTATGGCTGTTGTCGTTCAGTTAGACAACGGCAAGTTCCGCATGCTGGTCAAGGGTGCTGCTGAAATCTTGATTGCGAAGTCCTCTCACATCATCCGCGATCCAACCCAGGAACTCGCCGAGGTGCCTATCACTGATGAGAATCGGTCAACCTTGGACACGATTATGTCCTCCTACGCCTCTCGCTCGCTGCGTTGTATTTCTCTTGTGTACCGCGACTTTGACCAATGGCCGCCTCGCGGAGCTCAACTCTCGGATGCCGACAAGACCATGGCTGAATTCGATCCTCTGTTTGAAAACATGACTGTTTTGGGTATCTTTGGTCTTCAAGACCCGGTTCGACCTGGCGTGGCTGATGCTGTCTACACTTGCCAGCGTGCCGGTGTATTTGTGCGTATGGTTACCGGTGACAACATCAACACTGCGAAGGCCATTGCTCAGGAGTGTGGTATCTATACCCCGGGTGGAATCGCTATCGAGGGACCAAAGTTTCGCAAGCTTAGTAGCAAGCAGATGAACCAGATCATTCCACGATTGCAGGTGATTGCCCGTTCAAGCCCCGAGGATAAGAAGATCTTGGTCAACCAGCTGAAGAAGCTGGGCGAAACTGTTGCTGTGACTGGTGATGGCACCAACGATGCTCAGGCTCTGAAGAATGCCGATGTCGGTTTTGCCATGGGTATTACTGGTACTGAGGTTGCTAAAGAAGCCTCGGATATCATCCTCATGGATGACAACTTCGCGTCAATTGTCAAAGCTATGTCGTGGGGCCGAACTGTCAGCGATGCTGTGAAGAAATTCCTCCAATTCCAAATTACCGTCAACATTACCGCTGTTTTGCTGACTTTTGTCTCTGCTGTTGCTAGCGACTCGGAAAACTCGGTTCTGAGTGCTGTACAGCTGCTCTGGGTCAACCTGATCATGGATACCTTCGCTGCCCTGGCGCTGGCAACTGATCCACCATCGCCATACGTTCTGGACCGCAGACCCGAGTCAAAGGCTACTCCCCTTATCACCCTTACGATGTGGAAGATGATTATCGGGCAATCGATCTACCAGCTGGTTGTCACATTCGTGCTCAACTTTGCTGGCGACTCTATCTTCTCATGGGACAAGGGACACATGCAAACCGTCGTCTTCAACACTTTCGTCTTTATGCAAATTTTCAACCAGTACAATTCTCGCCGAATTGATAACAAGCTGAACATTCTAGAGGGAATTTGGCGCAATAAATGGTTCATTGGCATCCAGGTTATTATTATCGGAGGTCAAGTCTTGATCATCTTTGTCGGTGGACAAGCGTTCTCTGTTAAACGTCTAGACGAAGGATCTCAATGGGCCGTCAGCCTTGTCCTTGGCGCTATCTCGTTACCCATCGCCGTCATCATCCGGCTCATTCCGGATGAATTCATCAGGAAACTCATCCCACACTTCTGGATTCACAGCAAGAAAGATAACGGCCCCGAGCTAGTCGTCTCCGACGAAGACCGTCACTTCGAGTGGAACCCTGCATTAGAAGAAATTCGCGACCAGCTCGCTTTCATCAAAACCGTCCGCGGAGGCCGACTCACTCACATCCGCCACAAACTGCAACACCCGCAGGAATTTCTGCCTCGATCTCGCAGCGGCTCACGTTCACGCGAGTCGTCCATCCCCCCCACACCAAACGGCGACAACGGAAGCCCTCCTCCTCCTCAATCCCCCGAATCACGCTCTCGACGAAACACCCGCTCTCGGTCTAACTCTACATTCGGTCCTGCCGCCGCTATGGCTGGCGTTGTCGCTGGTAGTATCGCCGGATGGTCCCCCATTGAGCGAGGCCACGACGATGTCAACTCTATGGCCTTCCCAATTGCCGATTTCCACGCAGGCCTGGATTGTCAGCAGGGCATTGAGGTTCATCCCGATACTGCAGCCGATGACCGCATTGTCACCGAATATTCTACGAAGTCGAAGATACCCCCCAGCCAAAACCCAGATCTCATTCCGTTCTTCGAACACGCTCCCCCCTCTACTGCAGAGAGGGCGCCCTCTAGTCGGGGCCGTCGCTCCTTGTCCCAGAGATCTCGATCAAGTCTGAGCCCATCCAACATGTAATTCACTTGCCCTGGGGAAAAAAAAGAAAAGCATATTCGAAGATGGCGTTCGGGGTTTTGAGTCCTCTTTCTTTTCTCTGATTTTTTTTTTGGTTCTCATTTTCTATCATGTCATCCGTCGCACTTGTTCTTTTATAATCTCGGTTATTTCGTTCTACTTGGAGTTGGGCTTACATTCGCTTGCTGTGAAATGTCTTCTGGCGCAACATAGACACCTGACATTCGCATTCGTTGGTGGTTTGGGCTTTCGGATTACTGGCGTCTATTGGACAGGCACTATGATCTATCTTTTCGTTAACACGCAATTTCTATTTTTCTTGGTCACTGCTTTGGCAATACCACAATAACTCTGAACATCCATTTCTCGATAGACACGTATAGACACGTTCTGTAAAGAACAATCATCGGTAGAAGTGTGTCTCTCGTTCTTCATCTGGCTACTAGTACCAGTGGTACGACCTTGCTCTCTATATGCACTGCCTTCACTAGAGCCAGTATTTTATATGACAATGCCAGCGGCTGTTGCAATGGGGCGCGGATACTGCAACTGGAGCTTAAATGTGTGATAGTTCCGGGTGGAACCCCGGTGCCCCACATGCCTTATCGAGTCTGCGAGAGCGAAGGCGATATCGCATAGTTTATAAATTCGCCCCGCATGCCCCTCAACGACTACTACGGACCAATTCCTAGTCAATTCCTGTCATGGCTGCTATTACGCTCCCTTCGAAAGAAGAACTCACCAAGTTCTACGTCGGCAAAGACATTGCCGATGTCCCCAAGCCCGCCGCAGTGCTTGATGTCGCGATCATCCGAAGACACTGCGCGCGCATGAAGCATACTGTCAAGGCTCTAGACGTCGGGTTCCGAGCTCACGTCAAGACACACAAGGTGCGAACACGTCCAAGCTACTTTTCCCCCCTCAACCTAATCAGTTCCCAGACCCTCGAGCTTGCCGAACTGCAAGCCGACACCAGCAGCCCAGAGGCCAAGTTCATCGCCTCGACCCTCCTAGAAATAGAAACGCTCGTCCCACTACTGCGCAAACTTCAAGCCAAACAACGTATAAATGTTCTCTACGGCATCCCATTAATCCCATCACACATCTCCCGCCTCGCGGCCCTAGCCACCGTGCTCGGCGAAGACAGTATAACTGTGATGATCGACCACCCAGCGCAAGTCCCCTTCCTCCAACAGTTCTCCGCCATCACCAAGTTCCCCGCCGATGTCTTCCTCAAAGTCGACACAGGCTACCACCGCGCCGGCCTCCCGCCCCTCTCTCTCAACAAAAACGGGCTCCTGGAGATCCTGGCCTCCGCCGAGGCCGCCGGCCACGCCCGCCTCCTCGGCCTCTACTCCCACAGCAGCCTCAGCTACAGCGCGCAAACCGCCGCCGAGGCGATGGCACACACCATTGCCGAGATCAACGGCTGCAAGGCTGCCCTCGCCCAGTGGGCGCACCTCCTGCCAGCCCGCGAGCTCGTGATCAGCATCGGTGCAACGCCGCAGGCCATCTCGTCGCATAATCTCGTCGACGACGATGTCAGCCGGGCCGTGCCGCGCGCGGCAGAGCTGAAGGCGTTGCTGCGCGCCGCCGACGCGCGGTTCAAGATCGAGTTGCATGCGGGCAATTACCCCGTGCTGGATATGCAGCAGGTGTCGACCCATGCGCGGGTCGGCGAGGGGAGGCCCGAGGAGGAGGTTGCGTTGAGTGTGCTTGCGGAGGTGTGCAGTGTGTATAATGATGGGGAGCGCGAGCGGCCGGAGGCGCTGCTGGCGGCTGGGACGCTTGCGCTGGGTCGTGAGCCTTGTCCCAGTTATGCGGGGTGGGGGGTGGTGTCGGATTGGCGGTTGGGGGTCCAGGGGCAGGGGAGGCTGTTTGTGGATCGGATTAGCCAGGAGCATGCGGTTGTGGCGTGGGATACGCGGGGCCAGGAGAAGATCCCGTTGGAGGTTGGGCAGGTGGTGAAGATTTTCCCCAATCATTCTTGTGTTACGGGTGCTTATTATGCGTTTTATTTTGTGGTGGATTCTGATGAGGATCCGAAGGCGTCGCGCATTGTGGATGTTTGGATTAGAGGGAGAGGATCTCATGTTACGGATCACTTGCTGGTCAACCGGAGCCAATGAGTGTGAGACTGCGTCTTCTGCATGAGGAAGTTGTTGGGATTTTCTTACTATTAATGAATACGGAAGAAAAGCATTTGCCGGCATGACCGACTCCTAATAGCGCTGCACGTTGGACATACTGATATATCCAGTCGAATACTAGTGGCATCCACACACCCCACATCGGAACTTCACGCCAGCTAGAAAGATTAGTATATGATGTTATGGCCAATGTATACTCGTATGTACGAGCGGGAAGGTCTGGGATGATGGACACGAAAGGTGAACTTGAATGGACTGGAGGATATCATAGATATCAGGCGCTAGTATACAACCACTATAGGAGACAATTTCCAACTCTTTCAGAAAACCTCAACACCCTTCTCAACGAGTCCTTCCAAAGACATACAGGCCGTTAACCAACAATACGAGAATATCTTGACGATATGGAAGGGAATCGACGAGAAGCTTAAGACGGTCCAGCCTGGACCAACAGTGGCGACTGTTCTAGCCACACTTACCGAGCCAATCCGAGATAACCTCACGACGCTAGCGAACCTTAAGGCGCTGTACACCAGCCCTACAGATATCGAGCCCGGCTTTTACAAGCCAGATTATTTCAATAACAAGGGCAACGAAACCGCAGTCATAAACCATACAAGCTACCCCGGCGAAGCTAATCTTTCTACAACAAAGCGGAAAAGACGAACCTGGAAGCGGACATCTTAGGGTGTGTAGATGATGAGACACTTCGACAACTGGTCCAAAGCATCAGAACTGGATTATTGATCCCTATGAAAGCACAAGGTGGCAAAACATCTACTGAGGTTACCCCGTCTCCGCGTTTTGGCCTTGAAGATTCAGTCGATAATCTCAAGAGCCTAGACATCGAGTCGATCAGTAGAGCCGCTCAGTCACAACTCCGGAACCACTGTTTAGAAAGAGATGGTAATGCATGTCTAGCAACAGGGCAATATACAATGGGGGGGCAAAAGTCTGTGTGCATACCGCTTCACCTACCCCATCAAATACTGATGTATATTCATGGTTACATATCCTACACCACAACCCATATAGGATCATAATAAAATTCAAAATACTGAATAATCAGGTTCATATACAGAGTTATCTTGCTTAATATTTTATATAATAATCTTGGTTTATATACAATCTATCCATCCTTCTTCCTATACTCATATATACGAGCGGGAGGGTTTGAGATAATGGACACGAAGGTTGGACTTGAATGGACTGGAGGATATCATAGACATCAGGCTCTAGTGAACAACCATCCACAGGGGCCCTTTACCACGGAATGACCCCAGCCCCGTTAACGAACTTTCCTGCATCTGCATCTCTCTTGCCCTCTGCAATGTCAAAAAGCGCCTTCGCAGAGTCGAGCGGGTCTCCGGCATTTCCACCCGCACTAACCGCCTCCTCCGCCTCGCCTCGCAAGTTCGACCTCACCAAGCCAGGGCAGAAAGCAAAGACCTTCACATTCTGACTGTGGAGTCGCTTGTGCTGCTGGATTGTACCCAGGTTCAATGCCGCCTTGCTCATCCGGTACTCATCCCACGCCGAATGGTAGTAGGGATTGTTGGGGTCCGACGACCACGCCAATGATCCGAGCGAACTGGAGACTTGGATCAGGTAGGGCTTGGATGACTTGAGCAGAAGAGGGGTGAAGGCCTCGGCGAATAGAAACGCGCCCGCGACATTGGTCTGGAAGATGCGGGTGAGCTTTTCACGACCCTCGCTGCCGAGGGCTATCACGCCGGCGTTGGAAAGGAGGACGTCGACTTTGCCGAACTCTTTCTTCACGGCTTCAAATGCGGTCCTAATTGACTCGTCGCTGTCGACGTCGAGCTCAAGGAGCGACAGGGATCCTTTGACTTCCCCGGCACTCTGGATTTCGGAGAGGGCTTTCTTCCCCTTTTGCGCGTCGCGGCAGGCCATGATCACATGATAGCCGGGCTGGGATGAGAAGAACTTGCTTGTGGCAAAGCCAACTCCGGAGTTCGCACCTGTAGCTATGAGCATGCGGCGAACGTGTCTTGTGCTAACGATTGGCGAGGCTTACCGGTGATCAGGACAATCTTGCTGGCCATATTGTCTTTGAGCGGGGATGATGGCTTTGTCTGCTGCGTGGGGCAAACAAATGAAGCCAAGCAAGGCTCTGGGTTCTTCTACTTTTATAATTGCTCAGCGTGTAGATATCCGAGACTCCGCATGTAGAAGCTCGTAGACCGAGCTAGCTTGGTCGGATTTAACACTAATCGCGGTTCTAAAAACCATTGGAGCGTTTCGGTGTTCCCCACGTTATTTCCCTTCAACGCCAATGATTTCATAGCTCTCGACAATTTAAAGGGGCCTACGAGGAATGATAACGCAAGAGAGTGCCCAATCTCCGTTAAATCCACCGATGACTTGGAGAAGTTCGCGCCGCGAACTTCCGGATGGGACGATGGGACGATACGCTCCCGGATACGCTATTAGGGCCGATGCTATGCCCGACGGTAATTGGATCTATGAACCTAGAACTAGACCTCCCATCTTATCAGATCTCAAATTATACTTTGCAGTATTTACACAATGCGGCAATTCTTCCTCATTCCACATATTCTCCCCAAGCACTAAGGCTTGTTCGTGCATTACACACTACTCTGGACCGCATCTCTCTACTCGTTCTCCATACTGCGTCTGCTCGAAGTACATATGAAAGGCCCTACTATAGAAAGTTAATAGCGATGCCAAGCACAAAGGAAATATGTTTGTGTTCCAACCAAAGGCCATTGTATAGGTCTAATTCCACCGTCACGTCTAGTCTGATCTATCCAAATCCGATCATCCAAAAGTCATCGACCCGCAACCAACCCGCCATTCTCACTCCTTCAAAGCCCCCGTCTCCCTCGCAACATCCAGGATCTCCGCCACAAGCACCCGCACATCATCATTTTTAAATGGCAACCGATGATCGCCCTCCCACTCCACCAACCTCGTCGTCCCCCCCCTCACACCACTCCTCCAACAACTCCCGATGCCGCTCCAACCCCGGATCCAACACCCCATGCACATGCACCGTCATCAACGCCAACTTCGCCTCCGCAGGCACACCCACCCTCAAATCCACCGGCGGGCCTCGCCCCGCCATAAGCACCGCAAACCGATAATTGACCTTCTGCGCCGTAGCCTGCCCATTCGCCGTCCCAAACAGATTATGATTCTGCTGCTGCAACAGCACGCTCGCCGCCGCATTGGCCCCCTGACTAAACCCCAGCACACCCACGTACTCGCCCGTGCCGCCCAGCTTATCGTCCTCGTCCAGCGCATCGCCGACGGCGCCCTGGAACGCCTCGAGCGAGTCGCGCAGCTCGTACGCGGCCCCGAACGGCTGCCCCGCTGCCGGCCGCCACCAGCTCTTGAACGGGCCCCAGTCGCCGTACACAAGGTCGATGTCGGGGCCGGAGGGGCTTTCCCAGGGGCCTTCGGCAAAGACGAGGCGGAAGTATGGGCGGAGGTGGGCGATGATCACGCGGCATTGCATACGGAAGACGCGCGCGTTGGACCCGCCGCCGTGGAGGCAGAGGATGCGGGGGAGGGGGAGGGTGGTGTCTGGGCCTGCAGGGGGGACTATGGAAGGGCCCCGGGGGGCGGGGTAGGTTTTCATCATTTTGGAAGGTGGGGGGGAGTTCTTATTTCCCCTTTTGGGTTTGGTTGAGGTGGTTTGAGGTTTTTAAGAAGGCTTGATATTGTTTTTATGGTGCTGGTGGAAGGGGTGCCCCACCTATGCAAGGTGGGAGGAGAATTTAGGGAGGGGGGGGTGGTGTTGGACAAAGTACAGATTGGGCGGGAGATATGGCTAAGGGCTGGTGTCTGGTTGTAGACGGTCTGGGGAGGGGATATGTTGAAGGTGTCCAGCCGTGGATTTGGAGGGGAAACTCGATCTTAATTAAATATCAGGTAATGAACCGGAGATCGGACGCCGTGGCTTGCAGGCCCGCTTCCTCCGGATGGGGTTGGGATTCGAAGGGCTTACGAAGGACCTTGGGTTTTCAGGGCTAACGTTGAGATATCATAGGTTCTGCGCTCATCTATTCGTACATCATAAATGGTTTGCCAAAGGTGGGCAGAAGCTCCCTACCCCCAAAGCACCGAGAAAGGTAACGTGTAAACAGTCGATCTACTTGTTGAGATCCAACGGCGTTCCATCGCCGCTGTACCCGATGTGATCCCGGTTATCGTCGATGACGCGGGCATATTCGAGCAACAGAAGATACAGGTAGATTTCCATATCTTCATCGCGTAGCGCCACTTGCGCCCAGTCGCGTCCCTGCGTGGCGATCGCCTGGGCCTCCGCGTCATGGGCTGGTACATGAACGCCTGCTCCCCCGAATGATGGGAAAAATGCTGCTGGGCTGATCCCGATGAAATAAGTCATCAGGGCATACAGATCGCCAAACATGTTGTCCATAGGCACAAAGTGCCTCCACGCCAGCAGGCGGGAATCGTGCCATTCTCGGAAAATAGTGGCTTTGATGCCGAGAGACCTACTTTGGAGGAACGCCCGCCATCTGCCAGAGAAGCTGTGGCCATCAATGTCAATCAAGTACTTGGCTTTGAATTGCTCGCTGAATGCTGTTGGCTGCTGGTACGTCCAGACTCCTTCGTAGAAGGAACATTCAGATATGCACCCCCAAGCTTGGGTAAACCCCACATCAAAGTGTGACGCGGCGAATTTGGATGGCGCAAAATCGGAGACGGGCTTGTAGCGGCCTTCCTCGTCTTTGGTCAGGAGAGAGACATTCTTTCCGGCCAGCTCGGTGGCATTTGTGAGTTGGACAAAGCGCTGGCGATGCAGTCGATTCCAACTACTTGCGAACTGTGTTCCCCCGGATGTGACCCCGCGCCAAAGGAGCTTGGTACTCTTTGCAGCCCATTTATAGTCAAACTTGGGACTGTAGGTGTATCGCTCATCCTTGTAGGTGTACATATTCGCGGGGAACAAGATGTCATTGTTGATGCTAGTCTTGCATTCGCTAAAGACCGGCAGTAAATTTCTCGTAATGACGTTTTCTGAGGACGAAAACAAAAAGCCATGATAGTCTTGTAGGCTGGGGCCCACAATGCAGATGTCTGACGAGGCGGAAAAGTTGGAGATGAACCCCCCCGAGCGTCGATTTGTATCGCCGGTCCACTCCCTGTAGCTCGGGATTGCGCGCTGGCGAATCTGGGGGACAGGCATCTTTGGCAAACTTCATGTACGGTTGTGCGGCCACATTCAGCCATCCTGGATTCTCCCCTTCGATGATATTTGCGTCGAAATGATCCATGTGAGGAGTGAACCTATCTTCCGCGTTTGCAGGCAGGGCTCGTGTCTCCTCTTCCACTTTCAAGAACTCTTGTATTTGCTCGTAGGTAGCCAGGACCCGAGGCTGGTCCATGGTGTTTACGGCAATATTCATGTCCGGCAAGAATTCCGCCAGCCGCGTCACCGATGCTGCCAGCGTCTCTGCCCGCCAATGTGTTGATTGCGGCTCTACTTTGTGATTCCGAATCCGTAAGACTGCCATCCCTTCACTGTCTGGGAGCGAGGCGGCCAGTTGGCGGATCTTTTTCGGGGTCATGGCCCAGAAGGGCCGCAGGTCATTGATGATCTGGTGGAAATCGTCGACATTGTGGGCGTTGTGCTTGCGTGCGTACTCCCACCACTTTTGGTAGCCTGGTGGGGGGTGTCGACCATGTCTTTCTCGGTACAGCGTGACTGCTTCAGCGAGGGTCTTCGAGTGGTGCTTTTCTTCGTAGAGTTGCCATTGTCGATTGGCTTCGGCCATGAGACTCTTGATGGGGTGGGTGCTATTAGGTTGGAACAATTCAAAACGAGCTGCTTCGTGCGATTGACCGGTTTCATAGCTAAGAAGGATGGTTTTCAGGAAAAGGTAAATCACAGCCACCAGGACAAAGACAAGGTACACCGGTCTGCGCAGGACCGGCTGTTGTTTATGTCGCTTCATCCCTCGCAGGTTCCGCATGACGGGATGAGAGACAGCCGTGGGCCGCTCCGTGGGGGTCCAGCGTTGAAGTTGAACCGAGGAGGGTCGAAATGCATGAAGGCGTGGAATAGGGAAGTTGTAGAAATCACATCGTGCCAGGAAAGGGCACATCCAAAAAGCACAGCGTGACGTGGATAGGGTAACGCGTTCAATTGCCACACGAGAGGGGAAATGATTAGCGCCACAGGGTTGATGGATCGCTTCTAGATCGTCAATCCGGGGAATTTGACCCGAGGTCCCCTTTGTTCTAGACTGGGTGTTGATCAGGGCTGTGTATTACAGAGAACCGACATGCTCTGGAAAGGGAGACCTTGCTACATGCATTCCAATGGTCCTATGACCTCAAGCTCTGAGCTCCTGTCAATTGAAAGGCGCCAACTAATAAGCCTGTCCATGACAGCCGAGACCATCTGGGCAGAGGCTTAAAGTGGCTTGGTCTGGCGGGTGGAGTAACGACAACGGTAGGGCTTGGTGATGCACCTGCAAGGCTGGATAGCTGATTGCCATGAAGTCGAGGTTGATTCCACCTTTGAAAATTCAATAAAGCAGACACTCCCGAAAACTACATAAATGCGTTGTACGAGACTTCGAATTATTGGTGTCATTGCATGATAAACAACGTACAAAGCGGAAACGGCCCAGACCCGCACGCCAAGGACTCCCGCCCGCGGGCGTGCCAACTCACGGATCTTCTCTTTCTCTTCTGGAAGCATGGAAACCTGACCATGGCTGCAAAGCGCTCGCGCGCGACCTTCGAGGCCGATCAGAACCTCCAACCTTACACATTCTACGGCACTCCCTTGCCGCCCCTGGACTCCGACGCCCGCGACGATGGTTCGTACACGCCCATATGGAACCAAGAGGTGAGGGACGAACGCGGAAGACGCAGATTGCACGGCGCCTTCACAGGCGGCTTTAGTGCTGGGTGAGCACCCTTCAACCATTCTATTATAATAGGCAAGTGCTAACACCTTCCAGGTACTTCAACACCGTCGGTTCGAAAGAAGGATGGACTCCCGCCCAATTCGTCTCGTCCCGCGAGAACCGCGCCCGCGATGCCAAGCACGCGCCCCAGCGGCCCGAGGATTTCATGGATGAGGAGGACATCAAGGATCGGGAAGAACGTCAGAAAATCAGCACCTCCGATGATTTTGCGGGGTTTGGGTCCACGGAGGCCGATGCGACTCGGCGCGCCGGTCTCCTTGATCTGCTGAAGATTGGCGGGGAGACGATGGGGATGAAGCTTCTGAAGAAAATGGGATGGCGAGAGGGTCAAGGCATTGGCCCGAAGGTTCGACGGAGAGCTAACCTGGAAGACGGTACTCTGGGGGAAGAGACACACCTTTTTGCCCCCGCGAACCCGCCCTTGGTCGCGTTCGTACGCAAGAAGGACTTCAAAGGCCTCGGCTTCGAGGGTGAAGCGCGTCTAGAACGGCCTTCGGAGTCCGAGAACGATGAGAAAGAAGACAGCGACTCCTTCTACGGGGAGCGGTTGGCCGCTACCAAGCCCAAGCCGAAGAAGAAACTGGGCGGGTTCGGTGTTGGCATCCTCAATGACACCGGGTCCGACGACGAGGACCCATACTCCCTCGGCCCTCAAATATCCTACAACCGGAGAATTGGCGGCGACAAAAAGAAACCCAAAAAGGTTGCAAAACCTCCCACCGTATCGGCTAATCCACTCATCGGCCCAAGGCCGGTCTACATTTCTAAAAAGGCTGCGGCTGCTCGGAGCGCAGGTTCCCTTCGAAAGAGCCAAGATGGACGATTGCCGCTGGACGGATTCATCCTTGCCGATCGTCTCTCTGATTTATCTGTCTCGGAAAAGATATACGAGCCGCCTAAAATCCCCGAAGGTTGGCAGTCTGCCAAAAAGCCCCCGAGCTCCTCTCATGCAGAATATGTCTCTACTGCAGATGCCGCCAAGGCATCGTCACTGGATCCTAATTCCCGAGCTGCGCTCCTGGGCGAAGCCCAACTCCCAGGCAAGTCCGTCTTTGACTGGATGACGCCCGAAGCACGGGAACGCCTGGTCAAGCTCACTGGCAACACCAATCTGCCTCCGGCTATGAGTGAGAAGGCCCCGAAGGGATACGAGTTATCAGAAGCCGACCGGCAAAAAGACATATGGGATCTTGTTCCCAAGTTGGATAAAAAACTTGCTGCGCAGGCCCTTGCGCGAGCCGTCAGCGGATGGATGCCCTACCAGGAGGATGAAAAGAAGAGAGAACGGTATCGAAAATTCCTCGAAGTCCGCGCCGGGCTACGCCATACTCTCCCCGATCGAGTGCCGGGGTCCAGCACGGACGACTGGGTCCTGGAGATGACCGAGTTCTCCCGAGCTGCGGAAGTTTTCAAACCCATGACGGGGGCCATGGCATCCCGGTTCACATCAGCGTCTTCGGGGCCGAAGATAGCATCCGATGCTCCTGACTCTGACCCTCTCACTCGGCCCGCCGAGAAACCGGATAGCCCGGCTGTGGCGGCGGCCAAGATTGGCATGTTCGGGCAGATGACGCGAAGTACCCATGATTTCTATCCTGCCCGGCTGCTTTGCAAGCGGTTCAACGTCAGGCCTCCCGATCATGTCCAGTTCGACCCTGGAGACCAGCCTTCCGGGCCAGGGGCAGGGAAAGGGCCGCGGTTCCAGTCTGGAGGGTACCAGACCCCGTCTGCGCCAAGGGAGCTTGTTTCGCAGGAAGTCATGAACCTCATTCTAGAAGAGTCCGGCCGGCAACCAATGGCTGCGCCTGGTCCTGACCGACCTGGCGCTCAGACTAGACCTGCCGCGCCGCTCGAGCCCGAGCGCAACGAAGCTCTCGAGGCGGAACGGCCAGACGATTCACTCTTCAAGGAGATCTTCGGAAGTGATGACGAGGATGAATGAACGAAGCTGCGTGTGTTTACAAGTTGTACGGTTAGACCACAGAATAACACCATCGAGTCCTGTAGATGCCGAGAGAGTGTGTAACCCCACCGGGCTGGCGGGAAACCTTGAAATGGCCCCAGCGAATGACCAACGGCGTATTGGACGCATAGGAAACGTTAGAGCGAAGTCCGTGGCTGATGGGAATCATAATATCCCGCAAAACACACCACAGTGGCAAAAGGCGTATGCGTATACGCCATTGTTGATCGCAGGAGCCACCGTTTATTTTTGTGCTCCGCAGCCCTGCGGTCCTCTTCCGCTTGGCCCCTCCCACCTTTTCCCCCTTCTCACACCACGTATGGGGTGTCTCTAGAAGCAAAGATGGTGAGTTTTCAAATCCCAGACTGCCCCCATCTTCACCGGGAAGATCTTCGCCGTAGTTCCTCCCCAACCCCTCTCCCCTTTCTTCTATATAGCCAAGCTTTTTCTACCCGCCCCAAAGGCCCCATGCATCCGCCCGAGAGCTCCATAATGCCCGGGTCCATAAGAACCCACTTTCGACCCAGCTAACCCCCCATCTCCTTGGCAATAGGGCTGCTGTGCCTCGACCCTGTCGCGTGAAGACGACCCTCCAACACCCACAGGCAACCACCATCCGGGCGCCCCGGCCACAACCCGCCGCGCCGCCGCGCTCCGAGCTTCCCGCTCGACCAGCACTACAACTCGCCCGTCCGGCAACACACCTGGAATAGCAAGCGGCGGGAGTGGACACGCGAGGCGCTCGACCGTGAGCGCACCGAGTTCTTCGAGACCCGCGTCACGGGGCGCCCCGAGGTCTGGGCGGCGCTGGCCACGGCCATTACGCTGATCCGGGACAACGATCTCGCTACGGCGCAGGTCATTCTTGATGCGGCCGGCGTGACGATTCCTACCGGGGATCTGTGCGAGGGGGGTCTACGATGAGCAGGGTGTTTTGTACCGGTTGCCGCAGTGCATTGTGAGCGATCCGGGGAATATGGTTGCGAGTGAGATTACAGAAGAGCATGGCCGGGAAGGAGAGGAGGACGAAGAGGAAGGGGTTGGTTTAGACGGGAAGATCGGATCGGGGGATGAGTCGGAGGACGAGTTGATTGCGCAGGATCTGGAGAGGAGGCGCGAGGAGAAGGGCAAGACAAGCGAGAGGGATTTGATCCGTGTTGCGGCGCGGTTGAGTGATCGAGCGGCGGATCTGAGTGTGTTGGTGAATAAGAGTCAGAGCGTGGGCTCTTTGGCTCGCAAGTTGCAGCAGGAGGCCAAAGTTTGTTTCCACCATGTCCCATCTCTTATCGGATGGAGGTCTATATTACGGGAGTTTGGTGTGCTGACCACTTTTCTTAGATTGCGAGTACTCAGCGAGTCCGGATCGTGTATCTGGGGCGGATGCTGAAGGAGAGCGATTCTTTGCTTGAACAGGGATGGCAGGACGGCCATGTCCTCAATGCGCTGGTTGTTCCTCGTCGATTTTGATTGTGCCTGGCGGATTCGACTTCGACTTCCAGCGCGGTCTCTCATCTGCTAGTGCGCGGCGTCTTTTCACATTTGGCTTTGCATAATACCCCCCCTTGTTTATTGATTTGGTCTATGAATCTATTCTTCGCATCTTGCATCAACAATTGGAACTCGTATTTGTCCACCTACTAGTCGAGCTGACTTTACTTACGCTTGAGTTTCTCCGAAGGGTCCAATTGGAGTTAACAAAAAGACAAAAGAAAAAAAGGAAATTGCTATGCATCATCCGTGAATCGAACACGGGCCTCGTCGATGGCAACGACGAATTCTACCACTAGACCAATGATGCTGGTTGTTGTGGAGAGACCCAGTTGTGGATTGAAAACTCAAGGGCTCTGGTTGTCCCAGTCAGGCTTAGCCTGGTCTGGTAGCCGACCGAGTCCATAAGCAGTTTACCTTGAAATGGATTCCAAGGTCGTTGAATTCACCAGGATGTTTGTAATATACGATGAATTACTCTCCCATATGGCCTGTGGATATTACCGTATTGATACTTGAGAATGCCTGCATCTAGCTTCAGTAAAGTTTCAAGTTGGAGGAGCTGCGGATATATCATGATCTAAAATATATTTCCAATTTGATTGGACCCCCAATTCAAAATTAAGCCTGGATATCCCAGCTCAATCCTGAACACGGTGTACAAGACGGTCTAGTTCCTGAGGTTAAAAATTGCTAACAAAGGTTGAAAAGCCCCCCAGTGAGTACCAGTAGTAAGAAAAACCATCGAGAGAAACTTCGGAGCTTTCATGTTGAAATCAATATTTGATTAATTTCGAGCAAAAACAAACCCCGGATGCGTCCCACTGTCAGTGGGAATACTAGTACTAGTATCCAAGATTGTAGACCGGAAGGTTGTTAATACCTAATCCGAGCTCAATTTTCTAGTATAAATCTGTGTTAGGGTGAAGGAGAAAAGTGGAGTGCGGAACCCCTCCTTCCCCGACCACAGCCTCGACACTTCACAAGTGAAGCCAACATGGGATTTCCGGGGCCACAGGCCCTGCAGTACCCCAGTAATTGAGCGTCGAGAAATGTCCCAAGCAGGCCTCTCACAAAGCCTGGCACCTGAGCGGCAATCGACTCGTACTTTCCACGGACAGCCGCGTCTTGGAAACAGGACACGAGTCTTTGTCTTGAGATACGAATAGCAGCAGTCCTGAGCTCCATGTTCTTTTCCAATTCAGTGAAAAAGACATCAGGTAGCGAGTCCAGGAATTCGAGAGGATCAAACTGCTCTTCAATCCTGGTTAAGTATTTTTCCACTGCCGTGTCGCAGAGCTCGGCGATGCAATATTTGTCACCTAAGATGAAAATTTGCGCATGTAATTGAAGAACTGAGATTGGCGGAAGTGGTTCCTTTGGGTCAACTGGATTGTCCGTAGGACTATCCAGGAGGTCCGAGTAGTCGCCAGTGTACACGTAGTCTATCATCTTTTTGACTAGGACTATAGTCTCGTCCGGCATATGGAACGTAGACAGTGCGGCTTCCTTCATTCAAGATATGTAAGAGTTGGCCTGGAAAAGAGGATTTTGTCAGAAGTGTGAGCCAGTACTTGCCTCGAAATTACCAGTGCAGGCGGCCCGGAAGACAGGGGACTGTGAGCATAGTACGACCTTGTGGACGTGGAGGTCGACTCCACTGCATACGAGTTTGAGATCGGTGAACTCTCCCCGCTCCCGAAACCTTCTATTCTTTAGTAAGTTTCTTTGCGTACATCAAGCAGAGGACATACTTGGAAATCTCAAGGATGAGCTGAGAGGGCGTTCGCGAAACTGCAGACATCGTTCTGCTCTTGGTTTCCCTGGGTCAGGGAGGACAGTCAACAAAATGATATCAAGTGTAGGTGTCTCAGTTGTTGACGTAGCCAAGCTAGAGAGAAGAGAGAAGATAAAAGAACTGCGCGCGGCAAACCGTTAATATCCCGAAGGATATCTCCGTGATACCATGACATAGTATGCCAGTGCCATGACCAGGTCGATCACTCTGCTTGAGTGTATGATTCGTATACCAGCCTCTTCTGTCGTAACACCAATAGACGTTTTGCTATTTGTTATACTACTTACGTACTTATTTGAACGAGGCATCTAGTGTCAGACCCAAAATCATGTCTTCTCATCAAGCCCGAGATTCGAGATAGTTACTGATGAGTTCAAGGTAGTAACGCTGAGTGACCGCAAAGGAATGAGAAACTGATGATCTTCTACACTGGGTATATGCATTCACTATAGCACATCTTGTAGGGCAAGGAATTACTGTAAGATCCATGTTAGAATTTGCAGGGCCTTGCAGATATCCTCAGCATGTCATGCAATAGCTATGATAACGCTGCCCTCATGAAAGAGTACGTGCCAACCAGACTGATATAATCTGTTCTTGTTCTGATGAATAACATGTGATGAGTGCTTGATGGCTGACCGCAGGAACCGAAAAATTTAGAGCAGATCTTCAAGTGCAAAATTAATCTTCTCCTCCTCATCACTCGCAATAGTGTTCACCGTCCAGATCCATAGATCCTCCTGCTTAGACTCCACATAGCTGTCTTGGCTAGACTTGATCTCCCTGCGGCCCTCAAAATAGACGCCACTGACGCCCTTTACATCATCCCCCACCGCCAGCCTCGCCAAAGACGCCCCTGAGTCCTGAGGCGAATGAACGTTCTCCGAGAAGAGCATCCGCAGAAGCGGGATGATATGCGGTAGGATCCAGTACCAGAGGAACCTTTCGAGTGGGGTTGCATCACGCGCGAGCCCAGTCCCAGGCATAAGCCCGGGATCAAAAGCAGTCACAGCCCAGTGTTTACCGGACTTACGATTGATCTTGTTAAATCGCCGGTTCAGCGCATAAGTGTAGAGGACATTGGAAAGCTTTGTGTTCGAATAATGCTGTCGCCCAGGGCCATTTCCTAGCTTGGCGGGAGGATGCGCGAGATTTCCAGCAGACCTGTAAACCGCATCGGGGAGCCCCGTTTTCTGAGCAGGGTCGTGTGTGCCGCTGGAGGTGATGACGACGCGAGCCTCGTCGGCGAGGTACGGGTGCAACAGCGCAAAAAGCAGGGAGTGACCGACATGGCTGATACCATATGTCTTTTCGAATCCGTCCTCGGTGTACTCTATCTCGCCCGGGAATTGTAGAGCTGCGTTGAAGACTAAGGCGGATATAGGAGGTAAGTTATTTTCCTCCCAAGTCTGTCTGAACTTGCGAACGGCTGTTAAGCTAGACAAGTCAAGCTTGAGGAATTTGAGATTGTGCTGGCCTAAAATTTTGTTTATAGATCTGCTGTGTCATTCGGGTCGGAACGAGAGGCGATGACCACTTGGGTACTTGGCGAATTACGAGCAATTTCCAAGGCCGTATAGTATCCCAGTCCTTGGGTGCCCCCAGTGACGAGCATACTGTGCTTGAAAGCGGCCAACATGGAGTGGAAGTAACGAAGTAATATCAGAACGAATTTGAAATGGAAGTACTCTTGCGCTTGATCGGCCGATGGCTCTTCTTATAGTCCCAACTCCTAACCTTCGAGATGGCTACGATTTAGATTATTGGACTCGCATAACATGATGTTAACACAGGGGCTAGCCAGCACGGTACCGTGCGAATACCAAAGCCCCATTGGGCATCTATATAGGAGACATTGCTCCTGTGTAGATCGAGTGGAGAAGTTGTGTTGGATCTGCGATTTCTCCGGGATTAGCGCGGAACGGCACCGTCTGATTAGAGCGCAGTGATTGGCTGACGCTAGAGAAAGTGGATATCGATGCCTTTTTAAAGGCATACCGTTCGGAGCAACATCCCTCCGAAGCCTCGAGGTCTACTGCTTTTATTCACCTTTCATGTTTGATTGTCCTCGATACAGAGAATTCTATGAGCAAAAGCTATTTTTATGACCCACCTCGAAGTGGCAGTCGCTAGTTCTCAGGCTCAAGCAGTATGTTGGATATGACGAACGCGGCCCTTCCCGCGCCACACGAGCTGTTCAAGTACTATTCCACCTACCAGGTGCTGATATGCACATCATGCCGCTTCGCACTCAGTCCTGGGGGAGTGGCTCGGCACATGAAAGATATCCACCATCTCCACCATGAACAGCGCCGGCCCTACACTTTGTTCGCGAGCAACTTCCGCCTGAGAGATCCGGAGAATGTCGTCAATCCGCACGAGAAGGACTTCCCCATTCCGCATCTCCCTCTCGAACAAGGTTGGAAGTGTACAGAATGTGGATATCTTGCCATATCCAGAAAGCGCATGGAGACCCACTGGCCACCTACCCATGGCCGCAAAGGCGACCCAAGCCGTGACTGGATAGCAGCTCCCCTGCAGACTTTCTTCCGAGGCAATAAAGTCCGCTACTTCACTAGCGGGACCGTCCCAGATCAGGAGAGGCTTCTTAGTCTCCCTACCGCATCTGTCTACATTGAAAGAATCCGTGACAAGTATCAGCTGGACGCTGTCGACTCCCTCACGCTGGAGCATTACTTTTACTCTTCTTATAAAAGCTTTGCCAATAACGAGACGGAGCCAATTTGGCTCAAGGTGGTTGCTGATCTAGCCCACGATCACTTATTTCTCTTGAAGGGGATTTTGGCGTGCACTGCCTTACACATGGCACATCTCTATCCCGCGCAACGGAAAACGTTTATCCTGCGTACCTACGCCCACCAAGACGTCGCGCTCCCATTATTCCGGGATGCAATTGATCACCCTACGGCGCAAAATTGCGACGCTATCATGACTTTCGCATACCTGCTCGTCACTCTTTCTCTGGCAGAGGTTATGGGCAACGCCAATGCCCCGCTGTTACTCGTCAACGAAAGAGGGGAGAGCGAGGCAAGAAGCGATGCGCTTCCTCAGTGGCTCTATTTCCTGAGGAGTGGGTGCGTCATGCTCTGTGACGTGTGGGATCGCGTCGAGACTGGCCCCGTCAGTGCACTAGCCTATGCGTGGGACGTTGAGCTTGATGTTGGTGACAAAAAAACTTCCGTATCTGGAGAGGTTCATGTCCTTTGTCCCGAAGGACGGGTCATGGTCTGAAGATATTATTTCCGTCTACTATGATGCGGCTGTGGCGTTAGCCGAAGCTTTCGCCTACATGGAACAAACGCCGTCGCCCGATACTAGTACGTGGCATATTCTGGGGCTGTGGCCGGTTCGGGTGGAAGATGAGTTTTTGGAGTTGTTGTTCCAGAAACACCCCGGTGCTCTGATTTTGCTTGCCCACTACTGCATCATCTTCAAGAAGATTGAGGACCACTGGTACCTGGATGCGAAGCCCTCCAAGCTGATTAGCTCGATTACAGAGATGCTGGATGCCAGGTATCATGCTTCTGTGAGAGAGGCCGAGGATATCGTCCTTGATAGGATATGATACGGTAGGATATATATGACATGATGAATTCGTAATCTTTTTACATGAGTCAATCAACGCGGGACCGTTTGAACATGATGAACCCAATCCGAGGCATGGAGATAAAACAAGCAGCATGGGTTGCAACTCTAAACCAGTCGCCCGTTGTCTGCTTCTTTCCCTGTCGGCGTCTCGCCAGACCGACGCTTGAATGCCCGACAAAATAAAGAAATGCCCTGCTTTGCGCCGCGGATAAGAGAGGTAGGGTTGTAGTGCTGAACCCTGAACATGTAATACATCAAAACCGTCCCGAAGATATTGAACCCAATATAGGCCCATCCAATGCCGAAGTTGCGCCAGCGCTCGCTGTAGTCTGTGACATTGTTAGATAGCTTTCTTCCCCATCCGAGTTTTCAAGACACCCACAGATATTACTCGCAGCCAGATACTGATCGGCATTGGATAGTTGGCAGAACTCACAATTACTAGTGGCTCCAGGGTTGTATAGCTGTCCACCAGAAGCTTTCACAAAGGGATCTAAATAAGAGCCACAGGTCTGGCCTGCTGGAGGATTGAAAACGCTCAGTTCAGCTCCGGCACAGCGGATCGCTCGACCGTGGAGACCTGTGGAAGTGATACCCGCGATGAGATAGGTCAAGGGGGACACGCGGTACATGAAGATCCAGAACCCCGGGAGTTTATCGGGAGGTTGCATGACACCATTGAAAGTGAGGGTCATGATGAACAGGAGAGTAGCGATAGTACCTCCAGTCTCAGCATCCGGTAAAGCAGCAATGATAAACGACGCGAACGTCGACGTAAAGATGTAGAACTGAACTATGAAAAGAAGCATCAAGCCCTGGCGGTGGGAAGCTTGGTTTGCGCCATAGACGGGGTAGTAGTAGCATGCCCACGCGACTACACCAGCAAAGACTTGGTATGGGATTTCAACGAGGACGTTGGAAACCAAGAATGCAGTCCAGGAGTAGGCCTTTGAAGGTCGCTCACGCACCTCATATAGGGAGCGCTGAACGACAAATTTGGGCATAATTCTGAGAGTCTCGTTAATACTGAAACAAAAGCGGGAATAGGGAGAACACATACTGCTGTACCAGGGTCGAAAAAATAGAGCACATCATGAATGCACTGAAGAGCACATCTTGAAAGCCCTGGAGGGAGCTATCTGGCTTGAAAAAGGTGAAGCCAATGAAGAGGGACGAGAGAGTAGCGAGCATGATCTTGGCCCAGACGTATGACGGCTCACGCCAGAAGGCTTGAAATGAGCGATATGTTACATACCAGAGCTGGGACAAGAAAGGCATCGCATACTCATCCTGTTTCAGACTGTCATTTCCGGCCGCCGAAGCCCTTTCATCATGGATTCGGCTGATCTCCGTTTGTATGCTTTGCGCTTCCTCACTCTCCTTCCAAACCACTGACCAGTCTTTAGCAGCTTTTCCAGAGGCCCCAGCTCCGATGATTTCCAACATGTATTCTGCCGGCTATTTCAAGTTAGCGAAGCCCCATCACAGCGATACAAAAGCTTACATTCTCAGATTCTCCGCAGATACGCGCACCGTTGCCCTCAAAATAGTCTAACAAAGTTCGAGACTGCTCGCCAATATCTCCAAAGTAGACAGTCTTTCCGCCCTTTGCGAGGAACAGCAAGCGATCGAATTGCTGGAAAAGTAGCGCGCTTGGCTGATGAATCGTCGACAGCACAGCTTGGCCGTGCTCGGCGAGCTTTCGTAAGAAAGAACAAATAGCCCAAGAACTCTGCGAGTCCAATCCGCTGGTTGGCTCGTCAAGGAAAATGAGCAGTGCGGGTTTTGCTGCCAGCTCGACGCCAATAGTCAGCAGCTTTCTCTGTTCCACGTTCAATCCTTCTCCTGGTCGTCCGACAACAGCATCTGCGAAGTCTTGCATCCCAAGCATGTTGATGACTTCTTCAACGTATTTGTACTTCTCAGCCTTGGAAACAGCCTTAGGTTGACGTAGCATTGCACTGAAGCGCAAAGCCTCCCTGACGGTTGTGGTGGGCAGGTGAAGATCCTGTTGCTGGACGTACCCTGTTTTTCTCTGGAAACTTGAATCGAGCGGCTTTCCGTTGACAAGCATATCGCCAGTAACCACACCAATCGAGACACGTTTAGCCAGTACATCAAGCAAAGTAGTCTTTCCGGCCCCAGAGACTCCCATCAAGGCGGTAAGAGTTCCTGGTTTGACCCAACCAGAGACATTATCAAGGAGGCGCCTTTGGCCTCCCTTGACAGGAATATCGTAGCACACGTTACGCCAAGTGAATATGTCGTGCTGAGAGGGGAGAACAGACGTGTCATGGTCATCATCGGGCCTTCGAGACTGAGTGGTAACTTCAGCTGAAGCATTCGTTGAGCCTTTTTCCAAATGGCGCATGTGAGCAGGTACATGGCCTCTCCGGAACACAAGGTACTCAGCCGTGGAAGAAGTGGCAGAATTGATCTCAGAGGCTAACAGATAAAGAGCCATGAAGAAAATCCAAAACCCTATCAAAATCCCCAGGTTTCTCCATTCGTGGGCATAGCTATAGGAGTATTGCGACTCAATATAGGCGTCACCGGACACCGTTCTTTCGCCTCGCACGGCGCCTCGAATGGCACAGATAAAGGTATCCCCTGTCACCCCCGGATACGCTGGAATGAATTGAGAGCATCCGAACCGGCGACCGTGGAACTCGTTGGCAACGAGGGCTTCAAAGGTGTAAAAGACCGGGTTGATCCAACGGATCCAGCTGAACCACGGAACTTTGCTCATCTCCGGTGCAGTGATCACAAAGCCGGTGTAGATAACGATGGCTAGAACAATCACACCTGCCATTGACATGGCTTGGGCAAGCGTTTTGGTTGAAGCAGCTAGAGTTCGAAAGACAGCAGACATCGTGAGAGTGCTTAGGAATGCGAACAGAAAGAAGATGAAAAACTGGGACGGCTCGTATCGCTGTTCCTAGTTAACATCGCCCATGGAGGTGAGAAGTTTACCGATCGACATGCACATACTAGGCTGGCCAAGAAGTAGAATATGATGTTGAACACGACTGCGGAAATGAATTTGACTGGAACATCCGCAACGATTCCTGAAGGTGGTCAATATGGTCACTTCGGAGGTTTGAAGAGCAGTATATAAGAGGAAAAGGTCGAATCACAGGGCGCACAAACCTCCAAGTGCTTCTGTAAAAGGGTGCACAAAAGCATATGATGCCTGCTTCTCTATTATAGGCCGTTGATCGTAGAGTGAGTTAATCTCAGTGATACTGATAAGAGCATTCATTCTGAAAGTCTGTTAGAATGACTCGACTATTTCGATATTGCACTCACAGTACTGAGAAAAAACAGAGCAGCCCCTTTGCTCTGAAAGCCACCAGAAGCATTCGGGGTACTATTAAAAATAATTAGCGGCTTAAATCCCTCTAGGAAGTGCGACTCCTACCCGTAGTAGATGGAACCGATAATCAAGGCCATCATAATACGACCAATAACAGTCGTGAGCGTCGATGGTTTATCATTCCAGATCCTGGTAATAGTTGAGATCTCCTCATATCTTGGTGAGAGGGACCTGCAAACCCACCTTTGGTAAGCTCTTTTGACACAGAGACGGACCTGCATTGGAAGGGAAATCACATAAGGACTGCTTGGCCGAACATGTTTTGCCTGAAGTAGGTTTTTCGTCTCTTTGAAATCTTCTCCACCAGGCCCTCCCAAGGGATAGTCTTCATGGTACTCCTTGATCTCTTTCTGCAGGAGGGAATAATGATGGCTATTTCTCCAGTATTGCTCAAACTCTTCCGGCGTACGCGGCACTTGGTTTTCCATTCCTTCTTTGGCGGTTCGCTCTTGGGGGTTAGTAACAGAGGTGAGAAAATCACCTGTTGTCTGGCGAGGCGGACAAACCCAGCCCATCTCAGTAAAATAGTCTTTAGCCTGCCTGCATGGCCCGAAGAAAATCTCTCGGCCCTCGTACAGCACAATAACCTTGTTGAAGACGTCGTAGATTGCCTGAGAAGCCTGGTAGATTGCGACCGCATGGCAGCTTCCTGTCAGATTTGCAGAAACTCGTAAGGACTTCGCGAACTCCAACGCGCTGGCGGAATCTAATCCTCGAGTGCTATTGTCCCAAGCTCCCACTGGGGCTCCCGATACTGAAAATTCCGTTAAAAGGGTTCTGCTCTTTAGTCAAAGATAGACTTACGCGCCATTTCCGCAATGCTGAAAATTTTCGTTAGCTGTATAGTAGCCAACACTGAGGTTTGGAACTGACCTGACTCGTTTCCTCTCACCACCACTGACCCCACGAATGTAGTCATCACCGACTAGCACAGTTAGTGCTTTTGACATGCATGTTTTAGGCTTGTTGTAAAAATACCTTTCGTGTTGTATGTGTGGCTAAGCCCTAAGACAGACATTGCAACTTGCGTCATATGTTTTGCGAAAGTAGCTCGGCTGACTCCTTCAAGCCGGTGCTCTGGAGTGCGAGCAGCAGCGGCGAACTCGAGCGTTTGACCCACCGTGAGGTGTGGGAAATGATGGTCAACTTCTTGGTTGTAGAGAACCTCTCCCTTGAATTCTCGATGCATGGTCTCCATTGGAATACCGTTATACTGGACGTTTGAGTCCTTTTCCAATTTCAAGCCATGAAGTTCTCCGGCGAGAGACTTCAGAAACGTCGAACAGCCACTTCCCGGCCGACCCAGAACGATCAACAGCTCTCCGCTCTTCACAACGCCATCGAAACGGTGAAGAATTTGCTTCTGTGGCACGCCTTTGCCGAATGAGAAATGCTCCTGCGGACGGAAAAGCGCCAATGGAACCGATCCTACGTTATTCTGATATTGGAGAGCCGATCCTGAGCCGGAGACGGTCAGGTTTTCGAAGACTACACCGGTCGACTTGCGCAGAGAGACACCTTGCTTGTTCATCATCCTCAGTATCATACGAGCCCACTTATAGTGGTCGAATTGATCGCTGGTAGGATCAAGGACTGCATCGCCTTCGTGTATATCTTCCAGAGTGTCCCTGCGACTCACGTTGGTCATGCCACTAAGAGAGCTGGGGCGGCGCTGTCGCGAGAAGTTAGAGGCAATTCGAGTAAGTTCTGCACGGTCCTCAGGGCGTATGTGCTCGAAAATAGTGCGATCATCTTCAGGCAAGGCCTCTGAGCTTGAGCGAGATACGCGCTCTGTATCGCGAGGAGAGCCATGAGGCTCGGGTTTCTCCATCATCCTGGCAATGTTGACTCTGTTTCTAGCCTAGCCCAAAGCCACACAATCGATGTGGCTACCACGAGTCAAGACAGGGTAGAAGACGTGTATAGCGATTGGAAATTAGCTTCGCTCAGTTATAAAAAGAAAACAATAAGAAAGGATTGCGCCGAGTCGCTGGTCATGCCCTTTGTCCTTGGATTGCAACACTGAGGATTTCTTCAGCAGGTCAATAAAGCTTTGGTTATTGCCCTGACCTATTATAGTAGCCCACAAGAATAGGGCAATCTGATTTGGTAGGAACTAGAGTGGTGATGTCAAGACGCGGGGACCCCACATGCTACTCAGAGCTTCGGCTCCGACGCGGTGGTAACACTGACCCAATCTAGAACTTATAGTATCATAGCCTTTGAAAGAGGCTGCGCCAATGAGGATAATTCCCATTTTTGGGACCATCTTCCTCCCCCTCCGGGCGATTAACCAAGATGGTCTACGGTCACAAGGTTGAGGCAAGGTCGTCTAGGCAAGGTCGTCTCTCTAGTCCGAGTCGAGCGAACAGAAAGTTAAGAAACCGTCACTCTGCTATGTGGGCTCGTACCACTAGGTTCAAAGGGAAAGCAGTAACATGGTTGATTGGGTAAATCGGTCGAAGACAAATTTTGAGCGCAACTTTGATTTCTCATGTTATTAGATATGAATGAAACTTGGACTGGATATTGAATGAAAACAGCCTGCTCACAAGGAAGTCTATTGGTGGACTTATACCGGTAACCACAGCCTGGCGTCCGAAAATGAATATCGTCAAAGAATTAAAACTGTGTTGTTGTTACTTGATGCAATATAATCGTTGTAAGGTCCCTGTAAAGAGGGTCGTTCTCATTTCAAACCCCTTTCAGCAGTAGTACGTGTTCTGAAGTTTATGAGTACACTGATCAATTGTCTCGCTGCAAATTATGAAATAAACTGGTAACCCTTTAGATTGAATTCTAATTAGTGCGTCTCACCTCAAGAAATCTGAGGAAGATCTAGTCTCCCCAGTGCCGCCGAGCTGGAATTGTGGCGCTATTCAAGCCAGGAGAAAAAGTGTCGATCAGACAAACATTGCAAACAGCACGGCTGCCAATAGACGCAAAGGATCCAACGAGCAAGTTAACGGAATGTTGCCAGGACATCGCCATCCGTAAACTAGTAATCTGATTGGCAGTAACCAACACTGATTGTTTCAAATAGGAGTGAAATCATAGGACCCTCACCTTTTGGTCAGTATATCAGGTCAAACTTTCAAAGCACGTTGGGCTGGCCGCAGATCAACATACTGGGCTTTTTCTGCCGCTTCAGAGCGATTCTCTCCAGCCAATCAAAGTCGCACCTTCCTGCTTCTGAGAATCAGCCCAGTGCGCCTAATGTCCACCATACCCGCTATCAGCAGAAAAAAAAAAAAGTAATTTATCGGACCCGATTAGAGCACCAACTGCAATCCGCCATTGACAGCATCATGGTCGATATCGAGAAGACTCCCTTTGTAAGGGACCTAGCATCCAGCGGTAAGACCTCCTATCCTCCTTCGCAGACTCCTCCAAATCCTAACATGACCTTCAGACCGCAAAGTCCGCGACAAAGCCCTCGAGTCTCTGACTCTATTCCTGCGCTCGCGCAACGACCTGAGCGTGCTCGACCTGCTCAAGCTCTGGAAGGGCCTTTTCTTTTGTACGCTACAACCCAGCCTCAAGCCATCGTGTCCTTGCTTACTCACTAACTTGCAGGTTTCTACCACTCCGACCGACCCCTCACCCAGCAAGCCCTCGCCCGGGCTCTTTCGTACTCCCTGGTGCCTTCTCTTCCCCATGCCACACTGCACCGCTTCCTGCGCGCTTTCTGGATTACTATCGGCCGGGACTTCCACTCGATCGACCGGCTGCGCTTGGATAAGTACCTCTTCTTAATCCGTTGCTATGTCGGCGTCGCATTCGAGGTGTTCCTAAAGAACGGCGGCAAGAGCGCACCCGTCGACGGGAAGAAGCGCAAGCGTGAAGACGCAGGCAAGAAGGGCTGGGGTAAGAAGCAAAAGAAGGAGGCGGAGGAGGATGCGGCTGCGCAGGAAGAGGATGTCGAGGCGGAGGAGGGCAAGTGGGCTGATCTTGCGGCTTATATCTCTATCATCGAGGAAGGGCCTCTTTGCCCGGTGAACTTTGATCCGGATCAGTCGGATCATGAGGAGGAGGATGAAGATTTTGTTCCTATGCCGCATGGCCCTGATGGGTTGCGGTATCACATCATTGATATTTGGATTGATGAATTGGAGAAGGTTTTGGAGTTTGAGGAGAACGAGGACGGAGACCGCAAGATCAAGGGCGATGTGCCGATGGAATGGATTCTTCAGCCTCTGGAGACCCTGCGCACAGATAGTCCGTATAAACCGGTGCGTGCGAGAGCTGCCGAGGCGCTGAACGATGACCGGTTGGTTGAGTGGGGAATCCGGGCTCGGGAGCCCGAGGCAAAGGATGAGGATGAAGAAGAAAGTGACGGAGAATGGGGTGGTTTTGACGATTAAGTTTTTTCTGTCTTTTTCACATTCATGCACAGCATTTCTCAGCGGTTACAACGGATCTAAAAGTTTGTCTGTCCAGATTCAAATATCACCCGGTATGTATTAATAATGTTGTCTAAAGGGATATGAATAGGGTCTGTACAAGATTCACGCCGTTGCGTATGCTCTCCACAGGCCGTAGGGCTCTTTGGAAGGGTATCGTAAACATAGAAAATCAATAGAACCCCAGCGCAAAAATGATATCATACACGAAGGTGGTGTTCCTCCGATCACTTTGGACCTTCAGCCTCATATATGACTCCAGACTTGGTCAGGACTGTGCCCAGGCCTTGGTGGATTTCACATTGGAAGGCTTCAAAAGGCACCGACTCGCCATCAATACTGATATAGCCTTCCTTTTCGTGAGGAACGAGGCGGAACGCAGTGGCCTTGCGGATGTAGACATCTGGCAAGCCAAAGAAGCCTCCTGTGGAGACTTCGTTCATCATCTTGAGTGAGGTCGCACGACCAATGTTCCCGTCAATAGTGACGATATCCATGAGCCCATCGTTCGGAAGCGATGCGGGGAAGAAGTTCGTATCCTTGGTCATAATAGCCATGTTGCCTGCATAGAAGTTTCCAATATTTTCACCAGGGACAATTTCCCAGTCGGTCGGAAGATCATCAGATACCGTGCCATACTTCAAGTCTGGAAGCGCAGGCGACTGTTGTGCTGCCGCAATACGGGGCGCATCAAGAGCAGGGTCGAATTCTCGAGATGCAAATTTGGCGTAGTGTTCCTTGATAGCCTTTTTATCACCAATTTCTGTCTTAATTGATAGGCTGCAAGGGTAGATCGTGCTGGACAACAGGCGGACCAAGAAACCATATGTAAAGCGCGCAGCGCCCATCCAGCGGATGTTATCTGTGCCGAGATCACAATCGGCGACAATTCCAAAGGATTGCGAGAGGAATGACAGAGTACGAGTACCCTTCTGCGTAACAGAGATCAGGTCCAACGGGGTTCGCAGTCCTTTGACAATAGCCAATGCGGCAACGGATACACTTCCTGTGCCTAGGCAGTTCCAGGTAATGCCATTGCCCGAGCCACAGGGCAGCGGCGCCAAAGCGATCTTGGCTAAAGCCTCGCGAGCATTAGGCCGTTCTCCTAAGCCATTGAACACTTCATACGGCAAACCATCGCCAGAACAGGTGACGATTGCATCATAGAGATTAATGTCTAGATTCTTCGCGATTTCGATGGCGTGTCCTCTGTGCTCGGTGTTCTGGACGTCCACATGACATCGGGCGGCGGCGAAGATGGGCGCCGCGTATTTCTGATACAAGCTGGCAGCGGTTCCCTTTCCACCAAACGGATTCACCAAGACCTTCAGCCGCTTTCTCTGCTGGGCATTGCCATATGCGACATTCAATAGCGTCTGGGCCCACGCTTCAACGGCGGGCCTCTCTTTCACGGGAACGGGGTACCGGAGGGCAGTAACGACAACGTCGTTCTTCGACGAGGGCACGGCATAGGTGATTACGAGTTCGGAGGGGGTCACTTCAGCGTCGAGGACGTTGTAGAGCGAGATCGCATGGGTGGTATTGGACTTTGACTCTGCACGCGACACACGATTAGATCCAGTGCAACGGACAGTGACATCCAATGGGTTGTAGACCGCCAGAAGGGAGCTGGGAGCTTACTTGACTTCAACAAGCCGCAACATTTGCGGTCTGTTTTAGGGCGGCGATCATCTGCGAGTCTTTAGCAAACCTGTACCTGCATAAGTTGGACGAGGACGCCATACCAATAATCACTAGCGAGTCACTGCCCAGGGTGAGCGACACGGACTTGTCTACCACCACGCTTGAATCGTGCGGGGCCTGCGTACCGGGCAGTTCTTGGTAGTCGGAGGTAGACATCAGGATGAACTAGGGCATCAGGAGGAGAGGTGTTTTGGGAGAGCTAACGATATATGAAGGACGATCAACATCCCGTCGCGTTCCGGTTTCCTGGGGCCCCACGCACGGACTCGGATCTACTATGCGGTGTAACAAGAGCTTTATGTACAGCCCTTGGCCTACTTGAAACCCACGATAATCACTATGATAAACTGTCACCACAACGGTCAGCTGATTCTGAGTCTTACAGTAGGAGTGGTTTAGGCTTCACATTCATTCAATGGGCTGTAATTGCTATGATCCGACAGCCTACTAATACATCTTACTGGAAATTCTTTAGCCAGGAACCATTATCTATTTTCGACTCATCCCCAGATTTGTCACGGGGGCAGGACTTTAAAGAAAACAAAAAGAGAAAGGTGAGAAGGGGGAGGGAAAGGAAAAAAGATAGAACAAAAAAGATTCATCGTATAGACTGTAGCTCGCTTGCATCAAAGAAGAAACCAAATTTACTTACGCCGTCGCAGCCTTAAGGCCCTTCAAGGAGCCCAAGCTCAGCGCCAGGCCTTGCGAGCGACTTCTAATCCGAACAAATCCAGTAATTGGGCCATCATCACCCTCTTTTTCAATGCTCAGGTTGGCCAACGCATCCTCGCCTGTCACGAAATTAGTAAATAGCTCGTAGTAAAAGGGGTGGGAAATTGAACCTACCGAATACACTGCGAGCATAAAGATTGGCACTCAGGAATCGGCAGTCACCCTTGAGAGAAGCCTCTGGAGTCAAGCAGGACATGTTGGTGCTCTCCATAAGTTGCTTGAGGAACTCCCGCAGGGTCTTAGCCTTGGAGTTGATGTTGACCTTGTTCTCCCACTCGAACTCGGTCCACATAGTCCGGAATTGAGTCTCTGTGCAGTGAGCAGGCTGGATGTAGTCCATAATGTCGGCGTGGATATCATTAAGGATGACAACGTGGGTCTCAGTGGAGCTGGCACCGTCGTAGATAATGTTGCCAAAGATAACACCAGTATCAGTGGAGGATACCTTGACGGTGGCCTGGACATTCAAGAAGTCACGAGGGCCCAGGTTGTGGGTGGAGGGCCGCTCAACAACCTTGAGGTCGCCCAAAGTCGCAAATTCAACGGACAGATTTTGCAGGGTCTCGGTGGTCTGGTTCACCAACAGGACGTCCAATACAATGTCGAACTGGTGTACTGTAACGTAAGCCTCGGCGTAGACAGAATCGGAGAAACCGGTCAGTTGGACCACCCGGCTGAGCTTGGAGGAGACATTCTCAACAACAGAATCACCACCGGTGGCCTTAACGAGATCAAGCTCAATCTCTTCGGCGCCGTCAACAGTGTTTTTCTTGGTGAACTGGCGAATAGGGATGGCATCATCGATTTGAACAGCAGTCTTCGCCTTCTCCTCAGCCTCCTGGGCAGCTCTTTTCTTATCCTCAACCTGGACCATAGCGCGGAAAGCCTTGCGGGTATCTTCGAGGAAGGTGGTTTCGATTTCCTTCTTCTCGGAGAACTCGGCCAAAGAACGGACACAGGTCATGATACGGTCGACAGAGTCCTCATCGATGGGAGCCTTGACAAAGTGGGATTGACCAACACGCAAGATTGAAATCATGATGAGCATAGCCTCAGCGCGAAGGGCGTTAGTACGGGCGGCATCCTGCGAGACCTCGGAGTGGCGCATGACGAGCTTGGTAAGAGTGGAAGAAAGCACGGTGGAGAGATAATAGTCGCCATCAAGAATAAGCTGGCGGAGGGGTGGCTTCTGAGCAGCCTTAACAGCTTCAAGCCGAGCAGCAGCCGCCGACTGGCTGGTCAGAGCGCTCTCTGTAGCGTAGGTGCCATCTGCCAGGACCTTGCGAGAACCGCTGGGGGCAGACTTGTGACCATTGGCTTGCTCCTGGAGAAGAGCCTCATCGGTAGGAGTCTCTTCGAGCAAGCGTTGCTCGGAAGCTAGGATAGGGATCTCACCAAGACTAGCACGAATCTTTTTCCAGGCCTCACGGATATCCTTCTCTTCCAGAGAGTACTCTCCGACCACCCAAAGCACACCACGGTAGACCTTACCCGCGCGAACTTCGCTAAGGGTCGAGACCAACCGATCCACAATAGCTCCACGCAGATCTGGGAACTTCTCAACGACTTCCTTGACGAATGAGATAACATCCACGGCAGAGTTGTTGTTGAAGTCAGCAATGAAGTCCATCAGCAGGTCGACCACGCTGGCTGCAATCTCTGAAAATTTAATGGCACAAGTATGTATTGATTGCACCAAGAGTTGGCGGTATTCGCTGTTCTATTGGAAAAGTTAGATTTGCCAAAAGCTTGCACATAAATGGGTTTCTTCATACCTGTTCATACTGCTCATCCACAGTCTTGCCAAGCTCTTTCTTAAGAAGCATGACAATTTCTTCGACATTCTTGCTCGAGACCATCTCCAAAGCAATGCCAAGAGCCTTTCTCCGAACGTCAATGTCGGGGCTAGAGAGGACTCGTAGAATCTCCATGGTGAGGTCATCCAAAACGCCCTCATTACGGATACGGAGCTGATCAACGCGATCCAGAACAATGAGCTTAACGTTGTTATCAGCCTCACGAATGGCAAGCTCGATCAATTTGCCAGCGGCAGCCTTCACAGCAACTGGGTTACTGGTTAGGGCAGTCAACGAAGTCGCTGCCTCGTAGACAACAGTGCTAGTGGACGCATCGAGGAGTTCCAGCATAAGTTTGAGATACCGTGACTATTCCAGGTCAGTCTCCCCTCCAAAGCCAGACATTCTGTTTCTGTAACCCACCTTGTTCTGCGAATTCTGGACCGCATCCTTTCGCAAGAACTCCAACTCGGCCAACTGGAGCAATTCATCGGTGTTTGGAATGGTGTCAAAAGTTGTTGCAAGAAACTCAAGAGCCTTCTGGTGGCTGATGGACATGAGAGCGGCGAAGGCATTGCGCTTGCAGGTGCTGTCAGTTTCTGACTCGAGGAAAGTCTGGAGAAGCTCAGGGGCATCGGGAATGAGGGACTCGGAGTGCTGGAAAATAGAAGCAACAGCCCATGCGGCGTTCTTGCGCACATAAGCATGGCGGTGCTCCAGACAGGAACGGGCTGAAGAAAGGAGGGGCTCAAGGAGTTCGGGTTCGCGCAGCTTGGTCAGGAATCGAAGGGTGTTTCCACGAATGTACTCGTTGGGGTGTTGCAAGTCGTTGCGAATACCGTTACTTTTAGGAGAAAATGGGTCAGTTTCCAAGTCCAATGGCAGCCGAGCCCGAATTGAGGCTTGAGACCAACTCACCAGACCAAGATCATCTCCTGCTTCAAGCGGCCGCTCGAGTCGTGCTTGGGACAGATCTCATAGTAGAAATAGAGCAATTTCTTCAGAGGCTTGCTTTTTGAAGGCATAACAAATCGGATGATATGCATTAGCAGGTCAGGCATGGGGTTGCCGTTCAGCATGATTGACACAATTGTGCGCATCGTCTCCATCTTGGTTTCATCATTGCCCTTCTCCAGCTGCAGACGCAGCTCCTGGAGGGTAGGCTGGTCGGCCGTGTTGTCCAGGTGGACAACACTGTAGGTGTTTTCAAGGTACGACGCCATGCTGGGTGGAATTGAAGGCGACGGAGGGGAAAGGGAGCTGCAACTTGTCAGTTCGGGAGGAATGTTTTGGGGACACCTAGCACAGTACACAGCCCCACGACGGACGTACCGTAGATCAACTCCCAGGCACAGGAGTTCCGGTCAATGTCAAAAAGACTCAATTAGATCCTTCCAGTAACACCCCTCGCCGACCTGTAAATCATGGACTCGTAGGCTTGGGGATGCACGATGGGGGATGGGAATACATCAACCTGGCTCTTTGCCCCGTTCTGTGTGGATGACTAAGCCCCACTTTTCTGCCCGCCTTTCACTGTCGCGACACTCAGGCTTGAATCTATCGATCTTTGCTCTACCACCAAAATGTCGGCAAACGAGAGCTTCTACCTGCGTTACTAGTAAGATGAGATGACTTGTGGGCCCGGATTTCCTCGGCTGCTGACAGCTCTGCAGCTCAGGTCACTCTGGGCGGTTCGGACATGAGTTTCTAGGTTGGTCCCTCTACCAAGCTAGCATTGGAACCCGCACTAACAGGGACGCAGAGTTCGACATCCGCAGCCTTCCCGATGGCAACAGCGCCGCCGTACGATATGCCAACAACTCGAACTACCGCAATGACTCTCTGATTCGCAAAGAGAGTGAGTGCGGGACACCTGCGGCGACAGAATTACCAGCTCTAACGTGATATCAGTGTGTGTTAGCTCGGCAGTAATCGAGGAGGTTAAGCGCATTATCAAAGATAGCGAGATCGTCAAGTGCGTCGCCCCGGTTTGTCGCGCTTATGCGCCTGGGATACGCTAACAATGCCCAGGGAGGACGACTCAAAATGGCCACAAAAGAACAAGGATGGGCGCCAGGAGCTGGAGATCCGGCTAGGCAGTGAACACATCTCTTTTGAGGTATGACACACTGTCGCCAAACAGTAGGCGCTTGTACTAACCGCCCTCTCTTGCTGTCAGACCGCCAAAATCGGCTCACTGGTCGACGTGGCCGAATCATCAGACCCCGAAGGCCTGCGCGTGTTCTACTACCTCTCTCAAGACCTCAAAGCAATCATCTTCTCCCTGATTTCTCTTCACTTCAAAGTATGAGACCTGTGATCAATGGCTGAAGACAGTTCTAACCCCTTCACAGATCAAACCCATCTAAACCCTTTACGGAAGGGCCGTGGCGAGGACGTGAAACAGCCGAGCTCTCTCTTGATTAATGATACCGGGCGTTAATGGGCCCGGGAATGTGGAATCCTTCTGAAATAGAGGACTCACCCCTAATGATTTACACAGTAAAATGCACTACGAACTCTAGCTGGACGATGCAAAGAAGATTCTAATAGAAATTCACAACCGAGCTCACCCGTAAAATAAAAAGGTACAAGCGCCGCAAGCGCCAGTTCCCGATTTGGTGCCTGACGTATGTGTTTGCCTCAGGCCAGAACGCCTCCCCCGCGCTCGCATGACCCTCAAAATGAGCCCAGACGCTTCTCTTGTCCGCCCCCCGGGCAAAAGGCCTTAAACTCAACCCTTTGTTCCTCTCCTTTCTTCCCTTTTCCTTCCCTCGAGTTCTTTGGTTGGTGAGCACCCTTTGAACTCTGGACGTGATCCGATGTCTGCTCTCCTTCCTTAATCCCTCATCCCTAATGCCGACCCCGAGTGACAACCAGCCAAACTCGATCGCCGAGGTGATCTCCACTCGCACCTGTCCCCCGGAACTTGATCGTCCTGCACGTTGGAGAGATTCCCCCCGAAGCCGACGACCCCGTTGTTGACTCCTTAGAAGATGTCCTTTCCCCTGAGAGTGCTACTGCTCCATCCGTGCTGAGTCGTTCCGACGATGGCACTGGTTTGATGGCGACCGACCCGGTGGAGAGGAAGATGGCTGTAGATGAGGACACGGGCCCTGCGAGGTCGAGCTCTCCAACAGACTCATGCGCCCGTGGCCGATACCCTGTGACGCGTCCCAACTCATCCCTTCGCTACGAATTTTCCAACGTTCGGGTAAGGTTTTCCCCGCCTTGCTTATCTGCTATCCACTTCCAATTGACACTCGCATCAGCTTCTCCCAAATCATTCCTCGTCTTTCCTTCGCTCCGGAAGTAGATTCGTCGGGACTCAGCAATCGGACCGCCAAGTCTACAATGTGGATGTAGAGATCAAACACGTGGACATGGCCGAGTCCTATCTCTGCGGCTACTTGCGTATTCAAGGCCTCACCGAAGATCATCCAACCCTGACGACATTTTTCGAAGGTGAAATAATTGGCACAAAGCATACCTTCCAAACTCGGAACGAGGAATGGGGTGCCAACGAGAAGACGGACATCCATCACTGGTCTCGGTTTCCAGCCTGGAAACCGCTGGCCAAGCAGGCGAAAAAGACCGATTTCACATATCGTAATTTTGCCCAGCGTGAGCACGTTTTCATGCGGTGGAAAGAATACTTCCTTGTTCCCGACCATCGGGTGCGAACCATCTCTGGCGCTAGCTTTGAAGGCTTCTATTACATCTGTTTCAATCAGATACAAGGTTCTGTTAGCGGCGTTTACTTCCATGCCAAGAGCGAACGGTACGTGTCCAATGTTCCATTTCAACTTGTCCCTAGCATGCTTGTTGCGTGTGTGTTGATGTATATTATTCATGCATTCGTTTCTAATCCGTCTCAGATTTCAACAACTCGAGCTCAAGCATGTCGAGGATCATGGATGTGCGCCAGCAATTGAATTCCGCTAAGTACACGCGGCGAGTTCGACAGCTGGCGCCATCTCCCAACCGCTTGGCCAATCATTTGGATGCCAATTCTCCCCTCCATATCACCTATCTATTCTGATGCCTTATTTCAAGTAACCTTGATCGGTATCCATACCCACGATCGAATCTTTTCCAAGCGCGTCCTATCTCCCGCTCAACCTCCCACCCGCCTTCTTCCTAGCCAATACCGGCAACACGAAATGATCTTATGGGATTTCGAGGATCCCGATTCATATACCCCTCTGCTCTCGCCAGCAGAATTGCACTCGACAGCTCAAATTGTACCTCATCTCATGCCTCACGACTATGGCGTTCTCTTTTCTCCGGCGAATCTTGGATCACTATCAGTTTCTCGTTTTCTCAGTTATTTTTCTCTTTCTTTTACAATAATTTTCTTTAACATTATCCGCCATATCTTTGGACTTATTGTTTGTGACGTGCATTTTTTGGATGGATGATCAGAGCTGGAATACTGAAATGAAATCTTAACAACCACTCTTTACTGGGCCTTCTACTTGTACTCTTTCGCATATCCACGATTATATTATATATACTAGCCAAGTTTTGAGTGCAAGAAAATACGTAAATTGTCGGTACACGCCTAAGATTCCGATATACCAAAACACCTATATGCACGTAACGCAATTTCAGATTTGAAAATTGTTCGAGTGTTCCCTTTCCATGCCCTAAAGCTGAACCATGCAAGAAACCAACACCACACTAAAAAAACATAACTGGAAATGGAAAGATATGGCTGGACTTCGTGTACGTGTCGTAGAAACATGTATAAATGTTAGAATGATCGCACGATCGGCATAATGACGAGTGAATAAGCGCAACATCAACGAAGGTAAAAGGTAGTCGAGAAGGGGGGTATCACATGCGATATCGTTTTGAGGGTGTGTACGTCAAGCCGAGACCGAGCGAGTGTGATGAGAATAGCATGGGGAAAGATCTCAAATCTCAGCACTATAACGATAATGATTGAAGGGGTTGGAGAAGACCCGTAGAAAAGGGAAGATGAATGTAAGCAGGGAAAACCAAATCAAAGGTATGCTGAGTTCTGGCGAGAAGTGGAGCCCGAGCTGCTGTAGCTGCTGCCAACATCGCTGCCAGGGGTTGGAGGCTCCACGACCACCTGTTGACGAATAGAAACAATCCATTCGTGCTGAAGGAGCTCGGCGGCGGTCGGACGTCGGAGAGGATCACACTCGAAGCAACGAGCCAGGAAATCAATTCCCATATCGCTGAGCTGGTCGCGTGTAGGAAGCACAGGCTGGTTGCCTTGGGCAATGTTGTACATGATTGCCCACTCATTATCGAGTGTAGACCATGGCCGACGGCCAGTGGCCATTTCCAGAATCACACAGCCAAGGGACCAAATATCGACGGCGCCTTGACGGTCGACAAGGTCGGAAGTATCACCACGGATAACTTCGGGCGACATGTACATCGGGGTACCCGTGGTGGTCTTCTGGTTTTTGCCTCGTTGGTTGCCGACGGGTTCTTTTCCAACAGAGCCGGGTGGGGCATCTCCTGGGGCGACAGTGCGCCCTGATCGAGCGATGATCTTCGCCGCACCAAAATCCACGTACTTGATGATGCCGTTATGATCAAGCAGGATGTTCTCGGGTTTGATGTCTCGGTGCACGATGCTGGCCTGGTGAAGATAGGTGAGACCTTCCAGAAGCTGGAGTGCGTAGACCATGATCACAGTTTCGTCTTCGATGCGACCATGTTCGAGCAGACTCGCGAGCGATCCACCGGAGCAGTACTCCATGAAAATATAGACCTTATCGCGATGGACTTCAATACCGTGATACGACACGATGTTAGGATGATCTAACACTTCGAGGACGCCCATTTCATCTCGGATTTGTTGGGCGATCTTGGGGATCAACTGGGGATCTTGCAGGCGAATCTCCTTGACTGCCATCAAATAATTGCTATCAAGATTGATAGCAACGTAAACGGAGCCGAAAGTACCACCTCCAATGAACTGGCCTTGCTGCCAGCGAAGCGTCATGTTTGTGGCAGAAGATGACAATACTGTCAAGGACCGATCCGCTTCATTCGATCCTTCCAAAACTCGGCTAGGGCCCGTCGCTTGCCATCTTCTTCCACTCGTGCCTCTTCAATCTCCATCACCTTAGCGTGCCGAGTCTCGCGAACGAGCCTAGAGGCCTCTTCGTCGCTTAGAACACGACCGGAACCAAGCTTTCGGGCACCTGCCCTCTCTTCCATGCGTTGTTTCTCTGCCTGGGCTGCGAGCGAAGAACGAGCACCCATAATATCGAAATGAGAGATGAGAAGCGACATGCAACCTGCAACCTTCAGTCTCAACTGACTGAATTGCTCTGCATCCAGCGAAAGCAGATGCCGGCTAGATGTAATGGCCATTGCAAACTCAAGCGCAGCGACCGCCCATTTGAAGGTCTTCCTATCAGCAGCATCACAATCATCACAGATGAAAGAGACCCAATCAAGTGCAAGTTCGACCAAGCGAGCGCTGTTCATAGAACGCCTGTTCGCATCGACATAGTTGGAGGACCGTTTACCGAATTCAGTGGCAAATGCATAACAAGCTTGGACGAGGTCATTGTTCTCCCATGTCGTCTCACGCAACTGGTTTTTAATGACAGCCACACTATCCATGATTGCCATAGACAGTTTGAAAGAGATCTTCTTGATCTTGTTCAACTCGACATTGACCCGGCCAAGATTGGCACGCTGCTCAATCGCCATGTCGAGTTGGATGCCGGTAAGATGGGCCAGCTCAGCACGTGCATTCTGTAGACGGTCCTGCATGCCTTCAACCACGAGCCGTAATTTCCCAAGTCGGATGTCAGTGGGCTGTTCAATTATTTTCACCTGCATCTCCTTTCCGGCCCAGGCGAGAGGCTTCTCGGGACGAATGACGAGAACATATGGAATGAGAGGGTTCTCTTGGTCGACATCGTCTTCTCGGAAGGAGGTTGCCAAGATGGCTTGTATATCGGTAGGGCGGTTCCAAAGGGAGGGGTGGGCAATCAAGTAGACGCCCTTTTGTCCAATCGAGTTGGGCGACGTGACGAGGAAGTGGTCTGAGATCAGAAGGGCCTCAAAGAACTCGTATGCGATGTCAGTAGTAAAGTTGTACTCGGTGGCGTTTTCAAACAACTGGCATAAGAATCTCGAGAATCGATAAAGCTTCCGTTGGCGAATTCGCGTTGAGTCCAATATGCTCTTGTATCGTTTGTCCATATCGGCGACCGTCTCATTGGCTCTTGGAACTAGTTCGCGTTCGAAATGGATCGTGAGTCGTTGCAAAGATTTGGCAGTCAAAGCACTGAACTGCTCCGCCACCTCAATATCACCGCTTTCAAGCTGTCTGCCGATCTCATAGGAATATTCCCATTCCTGCTCCAGGATCTCAGCCTCTTTGAATGTATTCTTGTTGGCATTCAGTTTCCAGTTTAAAAGTCTGAAGTAGTACTTCATCGCATCCAAAACGACGGAATCGAAGTTCTCGTCAACGCAAGGCGGTAGATCCCAGCCAGGCTCGGGCATCGAAATAACGAGATAGCGTTGTTTGATCTCGACAGCAACTCGCATCAGAATTTGAAACTGGGTGATCATCTGATCCAACAGGATAGAAGACTGTTGCGCGGGATCCTTCATGTTCTTAGCGTAGGACAGACGAACTCGGATAATCTCTTGGATCAGACGCGATGGGAAGTTGATCAGAATCAGAAGCTCCTCGATGTATGGCGGCAGGTGCCTGGTAGCAAAAGCCTCGGAGTTTTCGATGAGGGTGCTTTTCGCCTTACGGATCACCTCACCAATACCTATAAGCATGCTACCTCCACGGTCATCGCCGACTTCACTTTGTAGAGTCTTCAAGCCGTCCTCTTTCATGATCCGATCCAGGAATGATGTATCATCAGATAAATCACTCCGGTCGGAGTTTTCTCTGGGCTGGCTAAAATCCAGAGCCTCGTTACCGACCCAGTTCTGGAGCACAGCTAGCTCAGTACTAATAAGAGCGGTAATATTGTGCCACGCGAATATCGCCTCACAACTCGAACGGAACTCCTCTGACGCTGCACGCGGATTGGCAGACTCCAGCTCCCTATAACTGGAGTAAAGGGACTCGCAGCGCTCAATAGTGGCCACGATATCTTCTACCTGTTGCCCAGGCGGCTTGCCGATTTCTGTTTCGCCTTTGATCTGGAAGTTGATGATGCTTTCGATCATAGGACCCAGCTGACGGCGGCCATCTTCGATGAGCTTCCACTGAAGAGCGAGACTTCGTCCACACGTCCTGGCTCTCACGCCCGCCCAAAGTGCCTGGCTCAAATCGGCTGTTCGCTTTCCTTCTGAAGAGCCTAGCAACCGGATCTTCTCCTGTTTGATAACGTCACCTTTCAAGACAGATGCCAGCATCGAATGCCATTCTAATCGTTCTTGATTTTTCGGGTGGCGGAGTTCCTCTGTGGTAGGAAGATTATCATCAGGGAGGAACAGCTGCGTATCCGGGTCGTAAGCGTCGTCATCAAACGGCGCCTCAGAGGATGGGGACGGGTCCTCGAGATCAGCGTCAGCGACAAGCATGCTGTTTGATTGCGCGTCATTGAAGTGATGGTGCCAGGCTTGAGGGTTGGCACGTATCCGTTGCACATAGGCTTTTTCCTGTGCTCGATACTGGGCGTTCGGATCTCTTCGTGGCCCGCGCTTAGTGGAGGATGATCGTTGACGGTCGTTCTGGAGACTGATATATTGCGGTGGCCGCCGTTGCGGCGCGTATGTGTTGGATGGCGTTCTTGCCGGGCCGGATGGGCGTTGTAGACGTGGATCAGCCGCCATCGCAAGACCATCGGACTTGTCGAGTACAGAAGAAGCCCCAACACTAGCGCCACGGGGCCGGGTGGTCGAGTTATTGGGCCATGGAGGCAGGGACGATTGCGGAGGGGACGAGGTGATCGTGGTCGCGGGAGTTGGGATCTGTCCTCCGAAGGTATCTCCGAAGGCCTGATTCTCGATCAAGGGGTACTGAGGGAATTCATCTGAGGAGCCCGAGCCATCAGAGTCATGGCTGACAATGTCGGGGTGCTCCATGGTGGGCCGAATGATGCAAGAAAGTTCTGGCAATGGGAATGAAGCTCGAAGTGATAGGGGCCGTGTGGCGGTGCGTGGCGGCGGTGGGCCAATAAGATCCTCTCTTTTCCGGGACCATCCCGGTTTTTCGTGCTTGTCCATGTCACGCTGTGTTGCTCCTCACTGATCGCCCGTTCGTTTTCCATCTTTGTGTAGCCTTGGAAAGTCGGCGTCTTATGTAGGATCTAATCAGCATCTATCTTGATGTTGTTGACGATTTCCCGGCTCTAGTCATGCGGGCAAATGAAAAACCCCAGGATGTAAATATTTCTTAGCTTACCCACGTCCTGAACATACAAGCTGTCGCACTCACAGCTCACAAATTCCTACCCAAACTCCCAGATATTAAAATGGCACTCGATTCAAATTTTGATTCCGAATCTACACGCATTACTAGATCAGATTATAGGCTGACGCAACAAAATCACGGTTGTTGATCCACCAATGACGTTCAGGCCCTTCGAGGCCCGGGAAGTATACAGTTCCCTGGCACTAGCCACACCATAGCAGTCCTACTACTGTAATAGAGACTCGGAGAAACCCAAGCTTGGTACCAGATTGAGTATAACCCAGAATGCATATTCGTAGATGCAAAATTGACCCGAAGAGACTCGCGAGATCCCAGGCGAAAAAAATCGACACGAATGTTGAGAGATGTCGGTCTGAAGAAAGCTGCGGTACAACTGCATTCTAGGCAGCCGCATTTCTAGAGTCCTCATGTGTGTACATCACCAGGGCTTTTCATGCACTCTTAAGTATAGTTCCAGGTTATACTTGAACGCGAAGGCGACTCCGAATCCGTGCAGTCTACAGGAGAGACTCGTAGACAAGGCACAGAAACGATGGCCGATGCGTTAGAGGATAGCTTGTACTTTTCGACCGTCGAAAGAGGAGAGAAATTCGACCAACCTTTAACTACTATCGAAATTTGAGTTTGATAATGGAAAGAAGCTTCTTCCGGGCAAACGCCGCGGAGAAAAGCAGATTCGCTGCGCTTATTGCGCTTGGTCGAAAAGGGGAAGGGGTTCAGGAGTGACAGGGTTCAGGAGGTATTAAAATCCTCCGCCGGACTTCCAATAATGCCAAGAGCCCTGATAGCTGCAATGGGCGGGTTGCAGGGGCAGGGACAATTGGACGCCTAATTTACAGAGTCGTGTGGGCCCAGTTTGAAACGACATTAGTTGTTAATTGTAATGATTTGCAGCGGCTGAGGCTGTAGACTTTCAAGTTAGTGCTCGATCCCTCATTGCTGTCTTTCTAAGTTTGCATTTTTGAAAAAACCAGGCAACATACGAGTTGATTATACTAGTATTTGGAATTAAAATTCACAAGTTGATGTTGCGACAATTTAAAGCCTCTAGCTATTGAAACGGAGCAATCGCCGCATGACTAAGGAGGCTGACAAGCCTAACATAATATCCATGGCTCTCCAGCTGATCCTACTGCGTAGTAGAGGCAACATCTTGGCTAGTGAGACCTTTACACAAGAAGATGCAGTCCTGAACCAGGGCTAAAGTAATAGCTATTGGGCCGTGGCGCTCCAGAAGAAATGAGCCGTATCTGAGCTAGACTTGGCTTGACTGCTTAAGAGCCGGATGTCCAGGGTCTAGGGATACAATAGCCTCTCTGGATAGCAGTAGCTGATGTACCATACTACTATTACTTGAGCGAACCACGGAGGCAAAACACAAAAGACCAAGGCCTAGAAACCGTGGGAGGAAAGCTAGAAGCCCCGAAGAAACCCGTATTAGGACGGGATACCCTGAGACTCCACAGCCAATAACAGACAAAAGGCTTATCTGCGCTTGGCGAACTCTGGACTATTGCCCCATGCGTCCAACTAGTTATTGTACCTGCTTTGGCGCACCGGCGTTTCACTTGGGGCCTGTACGGAGCACGGAGCATGCTTTGCTTATTTGGGCGGGACGGCATCGATCAGCGGATATGGAGTATGCTGGCGTAAATTTCGGGACTGCGCTTGTGAACCTTCTACAGAGCCCCTATCCCTATCCGGTAGGGTTGGGCAAATGATTGAAACAAGATCCCTGGTGGAGAGAAAAATAAAAAGATTCTGATCGTCTCGAAAAAGGTGTCGTCAGAGGCGCTAGCTGTCCTGAAGGTACTCCGTGAACGAGGCAAAGAAAGCCGGCCGAAAAAGAAAACTGAACCGGTGCCAAGACCCATGGGAAACGAACGAAATGGAGGTGATAAGCAGGTTCTAATTTAGACGTAGACGCGCTCTGATTGGCCAGCACTTCAGGTCTGACAAGGAGCCTCATACTGGTCTGTCATTGCTATTTGGGCTCTGGAAGCCAGTTGAAACTACTCCGTACTCCCTATGTAAATGACGCCTCTGAACGAAGAATGGAAGATTCCTAAGGTCTTCCGTCCCATGTAAAGACGTTAGTGTTGGTTGTTCTGGAATGCTAGGCTATTTTAGTACGGGCATGGTTGAGATAACAGGTGGGCGCTGATTGGCTAATCGTTCAACTTCATATCTACAGCCAGTCGCAACGCTGGATCACTTCATTTGAGGCTGGACTGTGGATGAATTTCCATTATCCTCCCGAGTATGTCACTACAAACCTAATCAGTCTAATCATTTCTTTCCGCAGTACGGAGCTACCCCCCCCTGTTTATCGACGAAGCGAGCTGACGCTGTCTTGGCAAGACGTCGAGGTGGTTTCCCGCCTGCAAACGAACCCACAGCGGTTCGATCACCCTATTACATCAATCGATACCTTGGGGGATCAAGTAGGACAGGATTGCCTGTGTTATGCGTCTCGCATAATGATGGAACGAAGTGGCTTCCATGGATTATCTAGAACCCGGAGAATAGACGCAAGATCCGTAATTGCCCGGATAGCGCCCTGGGGAAACAGCCATCTAGTCCGGCTTTAGTGGAGCGAGAGGCTTTTGGCTGAGATTACCGTGGTTTTGATAAATCACACTAGCAATTACGATGACCATCATCTTCTCCCCACTATCGCCGCTAGGATCTTTTGACTATCTGGCGTCTGACTGTGGAGTTCTCCATTGATACCTCCGGCACCGGGCTAGCGCGTCTCGCCATTTAAATTATTAGCCCTTCCCTGCATCCCTTGATCTATCGCTCTTGTTGTACTTTTGTATCCCTCTCCTTCGAAGTGGGTTATAAACCAGCCCTTTCGACCTGTCTCAATAGAGCCGCTCTTATCACTGACTTAGGGACCTATCTCTCCTTCACCCCCTCCCTCAGGGTTATTCGACCCTGTCATTAGTGGGATCTGATTTCTGTTCTCAGATTCAGAATGTCTGCTTACCCAGTAGCCTACAATGGCTCCGCAACCGGAACCGGCGGTAACTCGTTGACTGAGGATCTTAACGTGTTCTACACTGTAGGGCTGCTCTCTGGACAATTGAGCTATGGAGTTAACAAAAGGCTAACAATGCATACAGCCTGGCGATATCGCCTGGGTTATCACCTCATCAGCGCTCGTGCTGCTCATGATTCCTGGAGTCGGGTAAGGATACATTAGGGGACCCTGGTATGAACCACTGCTGACACTCGGCCTTTCAGCTTCTTCTATTCAGGACTGGCTCGTCGCAAGTCTGCTCTGTCTCTCATCTGGCTATCGATCATGTCAGTCGGTGTCGTAACCTTCCAATGGTTCTTCTGGGGTTATTCCCTTGCATTCTCTCACACGGCTGGAAAATATATTGGTGACCTGAACAACTTTGGGTTGAAGGGCGTCCTGGCTGCGCCATCTGTTGGAGGTGACAAGGTGCCAGATATTCTCTTCTGTATTTTCCAGGGGATGTTCGCAGCTATTACGTGAGTTGGAATCCTCGACGCTATTATATCCAATTCCCCTCGGCTCTAACAATAACTAGCGTTGCCCTCGCCGCCGGTGCGATTGCCGAACGTGGCCGCATGCTGCCCTGCGTCGTTTTCATGTTTATCTGGACTACCATCATCTATGACCCGATTGCTTGCTGGACATGGAACCCCTCTGGATGGGTCTTCAAGCTTGGCGGTTTGGATTTTGCTGGTGGAACGCCCGTGCATATCTCGTCCGGTTGTGCCGCTCTGGCATACTCTCTGATGCTGGGCAAGCGTCGCGGACACGGAACCCATGAGCTCAACTACCGCCCTCACAACGTCACTCACGTCGTCATCGGCACTGTTTTTCTATGGGTTGGATGGTTCGGTTTCAATGCCGGTTCTGCCCTAGCTGCTAACCTTCGTGCTGTGATGGCAGCCGTCGTGACCAACCTTGCCGCTTCTGTTGGTGGTGTCACCTGGTGTCTTCTTGACTACCGCCTCGAGCGCAAGTGGTCTACTGTCGGATTCTGCTCTGGCGTGATTGCTGGCCTTGTTGCGATCACCCCCGGATCTGGTTTTGTCACCCCTTGGGCCGCTTTCATCTTCGGTGTCGTCGGTGCTGTTGCCTGCAACTATGCCACCAAGCTCAAGTTCCTTCTTCGTGTTGACGATGCTTTGGATATCTTCGCTGTCCACGCTGTCGGTGGTCTGGTCGGGAACCTTCTTACTGGACTTTTTGCTGCGTATGTTCCTCAGACGGGATTGTGGATCAAAGATTATACTAACATTTCTTCAGTGACTACATTGCACATCTCGACGGCGCTACTGTAATCGACGGTGGCTGGATCAACCACCACTATATCCAGCTTGGCTACCAGCTTGCTGACTCTGTTTCTGGAGCTGCCTATTCTTTCTTCGGAACTTGCATTATCCTCTTCATTCTCAACCTCATCCCAGGCTTGAGCCTCCGTGCCAACGAAGAGGATGAGATCATGGGTATTGACGATGCCGAGATTGGCGAATTTGCTGTAAGTCCCTTTCTCTCTCATCACACAGAGCCTCTCGCTAACATATGACACAGTATGACTATGTTGAAGTCCGCCGTGATATTGTCAATGGCGTGGAAGGCAGTGACGTTGGTTCCAAGCGCACTGTCTCTCCCACCGGAGACCAGTTTGTTAACACCAAGGCATAATTGTTTTCAATGCCGACATTCTTTTTACTTACTATAATACTTTTCTTTACTTTGGCCATGGGGGGGGTTGAGGATGATACCTTTTTCTTTAGATATTTGGACCAAATTTTGTGAAAAATTAGCCTGCTTCCATTCTGGAATTTCTATGCCTGATGATATTCATGATAAAGTTCCCAGCATGTTCCTCATATGGAGAGAAAATTCTACATTGGGACCCCAGGAGGCTTCAAGTAGCATAGACTAAAGCTGCAGACAAGACGTGGCCATATCCCCGTGTGTTTATCTCAATCACGTGACCGAAGCTTATTCATAGACGCTTTTACCAACGTGACCTGCATGTGACTTACCGCCTTCTCCACAGTTGTGCTCCACTTCCGCGATGGTGTACTCGCCAACTATTTGCAAGCTTGTTTCATATCGCCTGAGTGAAAACCTAGAGGGCCTCAGCTCTCTTGCTCATCCAGTTCCGAGTGTGGAACAATCCTCGATTGTCCTTCTCGATTTCTCAGGTACAACTAATCACCCTAGAGGGATTTTCAGAAACGACACTGCAGGTCTTTGAACGTGGCTGTCAAGATTGTTCTGGACGGTCTATGCCGCACTAAGTCTTACCCTTGTTCCTGACGATCTTCCTGTCGACCCTGGGCCTCGCTTTCTCCTTATCCTCTGCCTCTAAGCCACACGGTAGATACAACCACAAGAATCCACGCGGCAAGGCTTCGTGTGGAACTTGAATCTCAACCACTGGATCTGGCTAGTATGTGTCATGAAATTCCCACCTGCTTTTCAGGCCATTGGCTGCGTGTTGTACTCGCCATGAACCTTGGGTTGTGGTGAGAATGATCTGTGATGAAATCCACAAAAAACACAAAGCCGCGGGGCAACTCTCCCTACATCCTGTTCTCTCTTCTTTCCCCTCCCCAGCACTGACCAGTCTATCAAAAGCGCATGATGGACTCGACTCAACCACCCGCAAACCCTGCAAGCCCTGCAGGCCCCGCTAAGCCTGCCGAGGGCCATAGCAAGAAACGCAAGCATAGTGTATGTAAACTTCGAAAATACGGCGCGCCTTGTTTTGCTAATTTCCGCATTCCAGGGTGATTCTGCGAAGCCCAGTAAGCCACGAGAGAACACCGCTGTCTACGTCACGAATCTCCCCCTTGATGCCACCAAGGACGAAATCTGCGAAGTCTTCCGCAAATATGGCATTATCGCGGAAGAACTGGAAACCGGTGCCCCCCGAATCAAGATGTACGAAGATGATGCTGGAAATTTCAAAGGTGAAGCGCTCGTGGTCTACTTTCGACCGGAGTCAGTTTCTTTGGCCTGTCAAATGCTCCACGAGACCGAGTTTCGGTTCGGCGGTCCCGGTTCTGCGCAGATGATGAACGTGCAACCTGCCGATTACTCGTATAAGCGCCAGAAAGACGCGCCAACCGAGACGAGCAAGAAAGACAAGCAGAAGAGAGCGGAGCATGCTCAGAGAATGATGAGCAAATTGAATGATTGGAGTGATGATGAGCCCGAGCCAACTGTTCCCAAACCCACGCGCCCCGGGAAAGTTGTCATCCTGAAGCACATGTTCACTTTGGATGAGCTGAAGGTCAGTCTATCCTCCATTCCAAGCATTTTCCACATTGATCTGATGAAGTAGTAGGATGATCCCGCCGCTATCCTCGATATCACAGAAGATATTCAGGAGGAGTGCAGCAAGCTCGGCGAGGTGACAAACGTTACACTTTATGACAAAGAGGCCGACGGTGTAGTGAGCGTTCGGTTCGCAGATGGGGAGTCTGCCCAAGAGTGTGTGAAGGTAAGTTCTTTCGATATTGTCAAATCACCTTGCCGTTTTTACTCTAACGCATCGTGATAGCTAATGGACGGCCGGTGGTTTGGTGGCACCCGCGTCCAGGCGTACATCAAGACTGGTCGAGAGAAATTCCGTCAGTCTGGTGACCGCCGCGATAAGGATGAAATGATTGCGAAGTACGGCGTGGAGGGTGCTGACGAAACTGAGGCCAGTCGCATGGACCGGTTTGGCGACTGGCTGGAGGGGGAGGACAAGGGGTCCGAGACCGAGGGTGCTGGGGTTGAGGATGGTGAAGACAATTGAACATTTTAACCTCTATTAGAGCTCAGCAAATTATGATTCTAAAAACCTGTACGATAATTTCGCTTACTGGCAAGGGCGATGAAGAATTGAAACCGAGAAAGTCACTACTCCTATTACTTTCGCCGTACTAATAGAGAATTTAACATATCCGACGTGTAGGAATCCCTCGCAAACTATGGATGTGTAGCATCTGTGAAGGTCGAGGCTGCCAGGTAGCTTTATTAATCTCGGGTGATATGACGCGCTGTCAAAGCCAATTTAGCCACATTTGCTAGCCTTTGCTGACGTCTCGTACTGTACTATATGTTGCAAATCCATTACCCAAATATACTCGTAACTTGGACGTGTCTCGCCATGTGAGACTAGACTAGTGGGTTCACGTCTGCTCGGACCAGCTTTTAAACATTAGCTTTGACAAAAGATATAATCATTAGATCATTGATCTCATGGATTGCCTTCCTTTTACTGTAGCTTTTACCTCCTGAGTCCAATATACGAGAGAGGGCTAGCTCGTGTTTACATTTACTAGGGTATTAAATAGTGTATGGGGATTACCATGGGACCACGCCAAAACAGTGGTTCGCTCCTTCGGGTTCGCCCACAGGTCCCGTGATGCCCACTAGGCCTGATTGGGCGATCTCCCCCCCCCTGAGACTAAAAGAGATGTTGTTGATCCCCACGCACACACACCGCTCAACCTCTTTCTCCTTTCCCAACTCCCTGACCCTTGGTCATTTAACCTCTCCGTCTTCTGAGAAATCTCTACCTGGTCCATCCCCATCCAACCATCAATATGCGTGAGATTGTGCGTCTTCAATGCCCCAATACCGCTTCTCGGACGCGTCTTTGTTGACTTGCCCCTGAACGAACCCCCACCTGTTCTGGACTATGCTAATCTTCAACTTTTCACATATAGGTCCACCTCCAAACCGGCCAGTGTGTAAGTCGAACCTGAACTGAACGCATCAATCAAGCATGATATGAGGATTCTGGGGCACTAAACAAATTATCGTTATAGGGTAACCAAATCGGTGCCGCTTTCTGGTACGTGCCCATCCAACTCCCCTCCGCAAGAATATCAATTGATGCTTCCCAACGAACACAATGCTAATTGACTTACAGGCAGCAGATTGCTAGTGAGCACGGCCTTGACGGAGATGGCCAGTAAGTTTCGAAAATGATGAAATCCTTATGAATGGCAGTCTGATATGTTTTTTCTTAGCTTCACCGGTGCCTCCGACCTCCAGCTGGAGCGTATGAACGTCTACTTCAACCACGTAAGTTGATGATGGTATTTGTGGATCTATAATGCAATGCTCTAACCTTTATTTTGGCGTTTAGGCCAGCGGTGACCGCTACGTTCCCCGTTCTGTCCTTGTTGATCTGGAGCCCGGTACCATGGACGCTGTCCGTGCCGGTCCTTTCGGCAAGCTCTTCCGTCCCGACAACTTCGTCTTCGGCCAGTCTGGTGCTGGTAACAACTGGGCTAAGGGTCACTACACCGAGGGTGCTGAGCTTGTTGACCAGGTTGTTGATGTTGTCCGTCGTGAGGCTGAGTCCTGTGACTGCCTCCAGGGTTTCCAGATCACCCACTCCCTGGGTGGTGGTACCGGCGCCGGTATGGGTACGCTCTTGATCTCTAAGATTCGTGAGGAGTTCCCCGACCGTATGATGGCCACCTTCTCCGTCGTCCCTCTCCCAAGGTCTCCGACACCGTTGTTGAGCCTTACAACGCCACCCTCTCCGTTCACCAGCTCGTTGAGCACTCCGACGAGACTTTCTGTATTGATAACGAGGTATGGATTTGTTTGTCTTGCAAGCTCTATATTCAATATACTGATGTTCATAGGCTCTGTACGACATCTGCATGCGCACCCTCAAGCTCTCTCAGCCCTCATACGGTGACCTGAACCACCTGGTCTCCGCTGTCATGTCCGGTGTGACCACCTCCCTCCGTTTCCCTGGTCAGCTCAACTCCGACCTCCGCAAGCTAGCTGTCAACATGGTTCCCTTCCCTCGTCTGCACTTCTTCATGGTCGGCTTTGCTCCCCTGACCAGCCGTGGTGCTTCTCAGTACCGCCAGCTCAGCGTTCCTGAGCTCACCCAGCAGATGTTCGACCCCAAGAACATGATGGCTGCTTCCGACTTCCGCAACGGTCGCTACTTGACCTGCTCTGCCCTCTTGTATGTTGTTCTCCTGCTTTAATGTTTCATCAGATTACTAACTTCTCCACAGCCGTGGTAAGGTCTCCATGAAGGAGGTTGAGGACCAGATGCGCAACATCCAGAACAAGAACCAGAGCTACTTCGTTGAGTGGATCCCCAACAACGTCCAGACCGCTCTTTGCTCCGTTCCTCCCCGTGGTCTCCGCATGGCCGCCACCTTCGTTGGTAACTCCACCTCCATCCAGGAGCTCTTCAAGCGTGTCGGTGATCAGTTCACTGCTATGTTCCGTCGCAAGGCTTTCTTGCACTGGTACACTGGTGAGGGTATGGACGAGATGGAGTTCACTGAGGCTGAGAGCAACATGAACGACTTGGTTTCCGAGTACCAGCAGTACCAGGATGCCTCCATCTCCGAGGGCGAGGAGGAGTACCTCGCTGAGGAGCCCCTTGAGGATGAGGTCTAGATGTGCCAATCTCCCTTTTTTGAGATTTGCTCGCAGTAATACCCTTGCTAAGCTTACATTCTCTACCCTTTGGGCCGGCTTGACGGGCCTACAACCCAAAATCAAGTATTTTGTTTGAGCGCTCCTAATTTACCCCCTTTATTCTGTCCTTATTTCCTGCTTCTGTGTTCTTGTGGTTGTCGACTACTGTGACTCAGAATCGCACATACTGGGAAAAAAAACCAAATCGACGAAATGATCATTAAATTTCTGTTCGAAAATCCTATGATCAAGCCCTTAGACGTAGACACCTCGGAAAGATCATTTCAAGATCATAGATCGCAGCTTAACATTTGGGGATCCTTGTAAGAGTCGTAGCATCATGTACCAATGAAAAAAAAGAAAAAATCGAAACTCCCTTCCATCCCTACAACCCACCTCGTGTTCGAGTTTCGAACCGAACTTAGGGAAGGACCTAGTGGAACGGACATTTTCCAGTCCGATACACCTTCATCTCTTCCATCAGCTTCTCTACCTCCTTCTGTCCTTTGCCTTCAAAGTACCTGGGGCCGATATTGGCAATATGATAACCCTCTGGGCGATACTTGTCGCCTTCATCACCAGGAACTGGCCGGCCCATCATCCAGGTAAACCAGGCAGTAGGGCCCCATCGATTCCAGAAAGTAGGCTTGACATAGTACGGTGCAGCCTCCCAAGAAGTCAAGAAATAGCGATCGTTTGCATCCGGTTCCGGAGTGATCGAAATCAGCCGCAAGAAATACGGCCTGGGAAGCATCAGGTAGCGAAGGACGAACTTTCGCACTTTAAACAGCCCATCGAATACAGCCGCCGCAAAAGGCGACGGCGGCTCATACCTAAACAGACCAAAATCAGCATCCAGCAAAGACCACCACCTTCCCGCCGCATTCACCGATTCACGTACAGCATAGCCTTCCGCAGCCGGTCGTCCATCATAAACGACACAAACTGCAACCCGAGCGGATGCAGCGCCTTCGGCAGCATGTAAAGCAGCACATCGGTCGTCTGATCTGCCGTCTCCCGATTCTTCTGGTCCGGAACCATGTACTTCTGCTCATACACCTCGCTCCAGGCATCGACTTCCTCCAGCCACTGGATCCCGTCCTTGAACCCCGTCTTCCCGGACGGTAACTCCTCAAAGCTGATCCCCAACGCATCGCCAATCGACTTCCAGAACGTGCCGATGGCGCAGCGCTCCAGGTCACTCAGCTCACGCCATTCGTACTTACTCACGAACCGGACCGGCTGCAGCGCGAACAGCGCCAGCGTGTACAGCATGTCGGACTCGAGGATCCGGCCCGAGGACCGGTACCCGCTGTGCAGGAAGCGGGTGCGCGCGAGCGAGACAAAGGCGCGGTGGGAGGTCGGGTTATGGGCCATCATTTCTTGGATCAGCGCGCTGGTGTCGGTGTAGCGTTTCAGCGAGGTCTCCGGGTTGGAGAACTGGCTGGTCTTCGTAAGGACGTGGGAGATGCTGGGGATGCCATAGGTCTTGCGTGAGGGGGTGTTGTTAGCTTTTATTCTGTTGCGGGCCGAAGGGGAGGGGGAAGAAAGAGAGGGGTTGAGGTGGTTCGGTACCCTGAAGAGCGCAAATTGCAGCGATTTGAGGTAGACCATGGGGAACTCGAGCTCACCGAGTTCCTTTTGGATCGCGTAGGCCTCATCGTCGGTCATCTGGGCGAGTGATTCGCGGGTCGGGTAGGGGTATTTCTTATGCAGCTTGCGGAGGCGTCGATATCGGAGGGCGTTGGTGAGAAGAGGGTAGCCAACTAATAGGCCTACAGCGTAGGGCAGCCATTGCTTTGGAGTCTTGTCGAGGAAGACTTTGGCTGCTTCAGTGAGTGATTGAGCTTGGGAAGCTAGGACGGTGGTGGCGTTGTCCATCGTAGCTATATGGGAGGGCTGATAGGGCAGGGGGGGAGCGTCTGCAGAATCACCCTTCTATCATGCAGGAGAAATGCCCTGGGCAGATTTATTTCGGATCTCGTATGATGGAAAGGGGGCCCCTCAAATATTCTTTACGCTGCGTAGGTGGGGAAAAACCCCGTGCACACGGGATAATGACTTATTTCTTTTCTAATTCGTCGATGGGAGTCGTGGGGAAGGATTCATGAATATGCATTAAAGGTTGGTTTTCTGCAGATTTATACGTCGTGGACATGAACAGGCGCTAGCCACCTGTCTATCATGAATTATGAAATATACTTCGTCCGAACCATGGAACCCCACTCCAATCTCCGGAGGCACAATCGCATCAACAGACGCGGGGCAAAGAACCCGAACGCCGCGGATCGAGGCGAAACATGATCCCTGTGTCGATCCTTACCCGGGCCAACAAAGCTTATGCAGATAAGTTGCCGACCTTTTCCAGTACAGCAAAGCTAGCGTCCCATGAACCACCGTTCGAGGAGTCTCAATGGTGGGAAGATCGCCGCTGTGAAGCCAGCCCCCACCCACAGGCCCAAATCCGAGCCCCCGGCGGCTTCGGCAATAACACCAGCGTAATAAGCTTGGTCCTGGCCGGTTGGTTAGTTACACACATGGACGAAGCAGGACATATCCACTTACCATGCCAATGACAGCGCCGGCCCACCCAATCATGAAGGCCATCGTAGCGGCGGCCCCCAGAGGTAAGTGCGGTGGGCTATTCCACTTGGACCAATCATATTCAATCTTTCGACGGAAAATGATATCCTCCTCCAGAACAATGACAAGCCACATAATAACCCAGTATCCGATGAGAGGCAGGAAGCCCTTGAAGACTTCGTAGAGCGAGTTGCGGCCCCCCCATCGCACACCCGGTATACACAACAGTAGCGACGGTCGTAAAGACCGACCGGGGCACCTTCCGGAATACACCGCCCAACATCTGGAAATTCATGCCCATGGAATACGCGCCAGGCGTGTTGTTGGCAACCAGCGCCAGGACGTTGATCACGGCACAGAACTTTCCGAGTCCGCCGAGCGAGTCGTAGGCAGTCATCATCAAGCCTCCCGGGCTGTTTCCATACTTGGCGAGTAAGGCCGGAGAACTGGCCAGGATTGTCCCTAACCCAATGCCGAGAATGATGGTGAACGCCATGGCCATGAAGCTCCCTAGAACGGTCACACTGAAGGTCTTCCAGCGCTTGATATGGGGCGGGTAGTAGACATAGTAGTCGGCGGCCAGAGGGGCCCATGCAAGGCCGGTAGATAGACTGAGCGATACGAAGGTGAGGCGCTTGGCATTGAGATGCCCTGGCGAGTAATCTGTATGGACGTCGAAATCAAAATGAGGTGCTGCAGAGCCCAGCATGACGCACAGCACCATGAGCTGGGGGACCCATGCGCATCTGGATATCATTAGTTTCGACGTTAGAAGTAGGTGGATGCGGGTTGGATTATACCGTTCATAGATCTGGAACACTTTCATGCCAAACATAGCCATCGACCAGCTGCAGATGGATACTATCACCACCCCTACGATCACAGACAGTCTGCCTCCAGAGACCATGGACAGAATCTGGCCTCCAATAACGCAGTTCATCATGCTGTAGCCGATATTGGTGAAAATATTCAGAAAACAGCAGATTTTGCTGGGATAGTACCCCATGAAGTATCGAGTTGCGATCTGGGGAAACCGATGAATAGCGATTCTCATAACCCGAAGGAATAATCCAACTTACCAGAGTACGAGCTCCGCTTCGAGGGCCCCATGTGCTGATGTATCCCACCGTGCAAGTTCCTAGTAAACATCCGATAATAGCACAGAATGCGGCATCTGCGAAGCGAAGTCCCATAACGAATGACCCTAGAGATCCAACAATGATGTTATTCGTAGCCAATGTCATACTGAACCACATGAGAAGCATATGTAGAGTAGTGGAAGCTGTGACGGGTTGTCGCTCCTCCAGAGGCACAGGGTCGATGGCCCGCGTCTCACCCCCCCTTGAGGCCCTCTATTATCTTCTGCCATAGTGTCGGACGTGCGCCTTTGAGCACATCAGAGCTGGAATTCGAGATACTGGCATCAAGTTCGTATGCTGTTGATTCGCTGTTGAGGGAAACTGCACCATATGCTTTCTCGGGGTCGTGTGTATGCATTTTTCGATTCTCGGGATAAGGCGAGAGAGAAAAGCCTCAAAACTCAGCTTGTCCCTCGTCGAACGAGCAATTTCAGGTCGAGTTGAGGTCGATCTATGGGTCGTCTAGTTGCAGAACTCTCACGGACTCGGGAGGATTTTGTACTGTAGGCCGAACGAAGGGCTCGGGATGGCAGCTATAAGTAACCTGATATTATAAATTCTCAAATGTCAGCTCTGCAAGAAAGGCTCCTGACATCACGCAGACGCGTGTGCCAGTGCACAAATCGCTTCCGACATTCCTGAGCAGGACTGGTCCAGCAAGTCCCCGAGCCAATAGCCTCATCAGGGACATACCGTACAGATCTCTTACAAAACACTTTGGCTACGTTTCTTGCCGATCGTGTAAGGGAACAAGCCTCGCGCAATATCGAAAAGCGATTTCGAGTGCCCATGAAGGGGACTATGCCCATCTATTGGGCATAACTTAATGTGGCAAGATCTGGAATAACAGGATTTGGATTATAGCGCATCCTGAAAACCCCTATTCCAAATGCAATGGCACACAATCAACTTCTCCGTTATGATATAACAGGGTGGGGATGCTCAATTATGACCGCATAAGTACCATAAATTTAGCCCTGTTTTGCTGGGAGCGCGACTTACTTTCCCATATGATCGCCCTTCTCCATGTCCAGATTGGGAAATCACATACCCTTGAGATTCCGAACATGCTGTAACTGGAATGTGGTACCGGGTAATGAAGGGATTCGCATCTGCTTAGTTTATGAGTCTTGCACTGGAAGAGCTTTTGCATTAAAAATTTTAGCTGCATGGTGGCTATTGGAGGTAGCTCTTTCCAGAAGCCGACTTCCAAATAGCCTGGAGTTTCTGAGAAAAATTTTCTGGCTACGAAGCATTTTCATCAGGAGGGTAGCAGGAATACAGGGGTCACAGCGCCCTGTCATGTCACACTGGTAACAGATTCTCTTCACCTCGTGGTCTCGTGAGAGACAATTAAGCTTTACCCTTCCGAGTCCGAAGTAGAGGGCGCTGCACGCACTCGATCGTGTCCAGCGTAAAAGTGGAAATCGAGACTTTGGGGCCTCGAATCCCAGACGAATCATCAGGATATTGCAACGCATCCCATTCGGGAGCATTTTGCACCAAGTTATGTAACTTGAAGGACCAGGCTAATGTCGTAATTCCATAATTCCAGGTCCAACCGTCTCACAATATGCTTGTAAGACCTGCAAAATCCCGAGATATGCGCACTTGGCGTGGGTTTGGTACAATGACGACCGGGCAAACAGTTTACTGGTAGAACGAACGATATCTGTGGAGACAATCTTACCCCCTTCCCCCTCTTTCTCTAACGGGCCCTACCCTAAGTCACATCATAGGTTGCCCTGGATGCTCTATAACTCCTTCCTACATACCCAGCGACACGCGCCCGACAACGGAGAGGAAGTAAGGACTCATAATTGGAGGAGATAATCTCGATATCGTAAGATAAAAACCGGGTCTTTTGCGAGCAACCTTGGAAGCTTCGGGTATGCTTATCTGCTATGCATGGCTCGCAGGCCCCACCTTCAACAATCGTAGTTCTAGTTTGCATCGCTATCAATGATAACATTTATCCACAAGACTACAGTAATTACTAATGCTCCTACAGACTCAGCTTCTATCTATGTTCCTTGCATATCGTCATTGATATAGGTCGTGCAAGCTTTCGAATAAACTTTACCGTACATATTGAGGTACATATTGAGCGTAATAAGCCTAGCTTCGTAAGATGCTTTTCTTTCTTTCTTTCTTTTTTAATCTCAATTTCATAAATTATAGTACTGCTACTTATATTCGGTCAGTTCCTATACGAGGAGGGATTTTCCAACTTCGATAGCTCGAGAAGTTTGACGCGAACCCCCGCCATTCTCAAGCAGGCATGCCAGAGCAGTGACAGCCTTGGAAGAACATAGACTATACCCAGCCTGCGGCTGTCTCTCTTGACCCAATTCTCATAATCATCTGGTTCCTTCCCGAGCAGCTCGACTTGTTTTGGGTATTCACTTTCGGGCATCTCAAAGCCACGTAAAGCAAATGTCTCATACATCAGGCGAATATCTCTACCCCAGTTGGGACGGCCAATCCTACTAAGGTGATCTTCAACATGCTGTAAACCCGATTCACCGGAATCAAGCATACGGATCTCCTTGCCGAGGGCACTGGACCAGATCTTTGCGATTTCGGGCCCAGTGTACCCTTTGGCAGATCCTATGTAGATGTGTTGACCCTTCCATTTGCCGGTGGTATCAAGAACGATATTTTTCACAGCAAGCGCAATGTCCCCAGGGGCAACTCGACTGAGGGGCTTGTCGGGTAGTGGCTCCGCGTAGAGGCCGTCGGTGAGCATAGCCTGCTTCGTGCGAATGTCATTGACGAAGAAGAGCATCGGGCGCAAGATCGTCCATGAGAATGGAAGGTGACCAAAGCGGATCTTTTGCTCGATGACAACCTTCACCATCACGTGAGCTGAAGTGGAATCTCGATACAGTTGCGCAACTCCTTCAGGGGTGTGGAAATCCGCACCCGCAGAGAGGTAGATAAGGTGCTTCACAGTTCCCGACTTGATCATGCAGTCGATGGAGTTCATTGTGGTGAACAGTTCGTCCTCGCCTGTCAAGCAGCAGAAGACTGTGTCGACGTGGTACTTGGTCAGTAGCCCCTGGAACCACCCCGGGTTGGCAACGGAGCCCTCCTCGATCACGCATTCTTCGTCGCTAAAGTGAGGCTTTGATGAGAATTTGGTCTGTAGACGGCTAGCGTTGCTGGTCGGGAGGATCAGCCGAACATGATTGAGTGGTAGCAAGATTGGGACCAGCTCTTCGCCAATATGCCCGGAGGCAGCAGTGATCAGGACATTTCGCGACATTGTATTATGAATATAAACCGACAGCCTTGGAGTCAACGAGGGGCTCGGGGATGTGAGTTCGATGGACATATCCGCCGGGTTGGCTGGCTTTAAATAATGAAAACATTGTCTTCCTCGGACTGAGGGTAAGGCCGAGTCCGTCAGATACGCCTTGCAATGGCCTACTATTATTGGTAAAGAGCTAGGACGGTTGTGCATTCGAAGAAATCCACAGGTATCTCCGGACCGTATGATGACAGAACCGGGAAATGGGGACGGGAAATCCCCACTCTCAAGGCACCTTGAAAGCACAGAGATGGTAATATTACAGCACCATTACTGCAATCAATGGGTTGACTTTTAGATTGAGGCTGCTTTTTATAGACTCAGTAGCTACTGTTCCTGGGAAACCATCTGTCAGATCATTCTATTACGAGTCCTAGTAGTGAAAATATCGTATGTACAGCTCGCCGCCTAAAGGTACATATATGCTGAACTGGACCGGGAAGCTGTAGACTGATTGTCAAATGTATCGTGACGTTTCACCATACATTCTAAGGTATTGAGCGCCAGTGAAAATACAAAAACATGAACCTTTTTTTTTATCGAATCCATATCAAAGAACCCACAAAAATGGGGCATGAATACCCCAGAGCTGGTGGTCCATGGCACAGGCGTTTGCTCAGGTGCCCGTGGCAATCTGATATTGCTGACTCATCAAATGTGCATCCGCAAGTGGGTCCGCATGGGTGCGAATGGTTCTGCTTCTTAACTTCTCGACTTTTGCCGCCTGCATTATTGTTTCGCACCGCGTCCTACCACTCCTGCGAACCGCATTATTTCAAACCAACTTTCGCAACCGGTCGCCCATCCTCAGAAAGCTTCCACCATGGCCGACGTTGAGGCAGCCGCCTCCGTCGAGGCTCCAAGCGCCTCCGCAGAGACAAGCGCCGTCGTCGCGACCACATCTGGCGGCGCGACCACATCTGGCGGCGCGACCACATCTGGCGGCGCGACCACGTCTGGCGAGGTCACAATTGCCTCTGCTAGCTCTCCACCAGACCAACCCCGAAAGAAGGTCAAGCGTGTGCTCCGGAAGAAGAGACGCCCAGCGCGTGTTCAAATCGAGGCCAGTGCCGCAAAGGAATTACAAGCTCCACCTCAAGCAGGAACGACGTACAACATCTACTACAACAAGTGGGAAGGCGGCGACCGTGGTGACTTCGCCATGGCTGGCCCTTCCCAGACAAGATGCAGCCTTGCTCGCGACTCTGGTTACACCAAGGGTGACTCTCAGTCAGGAAGCTACCTGTGTCTCCATTTTGTGAGTGTCCCTCTTGAGATTTGATATATGGTCGTTTTTTTTGCGATTGAATTAGTTGCTAACCCTGCGCTGCTAAGGCTCGAGGCATGTGCCACCGCGGACCGGATTGCGACTACCTTCATCGAGCCCCCACGATTCACGATAGCTACCCTCCCTACGCCGACGTCTTTGGACGGGACAAGTTCAACGATTACAGAGATGATATGGGGGGCGTGGGAAGCTTCTCACGACAGAATCGTACCCTCTACGTTGGGCGAATCTTTGTCAGGTATGACTATCGTGAAAATCCCCTTGAGCTGTTGGACTTGGCTGATGATCCTGAAGCGACGATATCGAGGAAGTTGTTAGCCGTCATTTTGCCGAATGGGGCGAGATTGAGCGCACTCGAGTTTTGACCGGGCGGGGTGTTGCCTTCGTAGGTTCCCTTCCATTAACTTCTGTATTCGACCTCAGGCATACTCATACTAACTGCAATAGGTGACGTACAAAACGGAAGCCATGGCTCAATTTGCGAAGGAAGCCATGAACAATCAAAGCCTTGACCACGAAGAGAACCTCAACGTCCGCTGGGCCACCCAGGATCCCAACCCCTTGGCACAAAAGCGCGAGGCACGTCTTATTGAAGAGCAGGCTGCGGAGGCTATCCGTCGTGCTTTACCTGCAGACTACATTGCCCAAATTGAAGGGAAGAACCCGGATTCTAAGAGACAAAAGACCCAGAGCAAGTTCGCCCTGGAAGGTTATGAGGAGCCCGATGAAGTGAAATACGCAGCAGGCCTGCGAGGAGCTGTCGAAGCACCGCCCCAACAGCAGTTACTTGCTGCGCCAGAGCCGCAAGAGGTGCAAGAACCGCCAGCCAGTCAGGGAATCTATTCAGAACGCACTTTGGCGGCCCTGCGCGCTTCTGGGCTAACGGTGTACATGGAAGATGACAAACCAGCTGCACCCAAACAACTAATCGACTACGCCAGTGACAGTGATAGTGAGAAGGCTAAAAAGAAGTCTACATTAGTCGACTACAGTGACAGTGAGTGAAAGGGCTTGGGCAAGAAGGCCAGAATCTAAAAGTACGCCAAGAGCAAATGTCATGCGCAATCATATGTCGAGCTACCGGATAGTTCAATACAGGGAAAATTATTTTAATTCCACAAGCTGGTCTTTCTATTCCATTTTGTACTAGTCGTTCAGCGTCCAGCCTGACTACTACGAGATATCTTTAGACTCCACGATGTCAAGGTCTTCGTGGGTGGCAGCCGTTATCTGAGGCTCTGTGGTAGCTGTTCTGCACGCTCGTAGGCACATAAGGGCCCCTTGGGACGCGGATGTCTCTCCCTTGATATGCCCTTGGATGGGTCACTGTTAAACCGAGTTTTCTGGCATCAGTGTAAGATATTTATGATATTTTTCGGCCATTGTTAATACTGGACTTTTTGTTTTTGTCGTGACACTAAGGGTTCCGGATTGCGGATTCCATCAGCTCTCAGGGCAGTCAAAAGACCGTAAGAGGTCAACTTGCTAGCTATTAAACTGCAGCGCTGTACAAGATGGGCTACTGTCTAGGTTCATGTGGGGTAGTGCATAGGCTCAGGATAGCGAGACCAATAAGTTTTTCCGTTGGTCCGGGACGAGTCTGTCTTTGGATTGACCCCAACTGTTCCGTAATTGGCTTGCTGTTTATCACATTTTAACTAGATATACGATCTATTTAAGGTTTGGTCGTCAATGGAACAGACAGCTCCCACAGCACCCACGAGGGGACTGGGCCGGGCATGAACCGACTGCATGTCAAGTTTACGGGGCCAATTCCTAGAGTATAACGGGCATCGAATTCTCCGGCGGTATGAATTGTTCTCGAATACAGCAATATAGGTAAATTTAGCTATAGAAGATACGTCGATGAGATACCTGCTTGTCCATCCCCAAGGATCATGCCTTTATGCTGCCGCACCTGCTCGTTAGTGGCCCACAACCTCAAATCCATCCATACTGTCAAGTGCGGCTCTGATCTCTCGTACATAGGCGGGAATGCCACCAGCGTAGCAGACCGGCTCAAAAATCTTGTCGGGGATGCTTCCTCCCATGTACGTCGATTTCGTCGTAGGGAACAGCGTCTGCTGATTGATTTCCACAACGTGATCCTTCCACTTGTCAGCAGCCTCGGGCTTAGGGTTGATGTATTTGATCTTGTTACGCTCCATCTTCTGGATGATGTCTGCAATCCACCGTCCTTGAACCTCAACAGTGGTGGGACCGTTGCTCAGGAGGGTAGGTCCATGAACACCGTAGATGTGGAACATGTTAGGATAGCCACTGACGGTTGTCCCAAGATAAGTTTTGGCTCCGGGGGCCCATTCCTCTTGGAGCTTGGTGTTCTGGATACTCTGGAGGCCCAGTTGAGTCATCGCTTGGGACTGTTAGCACTCTGCTTAGCCTCTATGGCGAGGGTCGAATCTTACCTCCCGTCACAACATCCTTGAACCCTTGTTAGCACGGTAGTAATTGAGATTTTTAAGTGACGGATGACTTACAAAACCTGTAGCAACCGCAATCACATCAAACTCATGATGGGTTCCATCCTGAAGCGTGATACCGGTTTCCGTGAAGCCCTTGATAGGATTGTTCTTAATATCAACGAGGTCCACATTCGGGCGATTGAACTGTTCGTAATAGTTGTATTCCAAGCAGGGCCGCTTGACCCCGAAGTAATGCGGCATGTCCAAGGGCGCCAGGAGATCCCTCAGCTTTGGATCTCCAATGCGGGCGCGGGTCTTTTTCGCCCAGAAGTTGTATGATTCTTGGTTGGCCTTCGGGTTCAAGAGGTTGTCCTTATAGACTGCTACCCAATAGCGAAAGCCGCCGTCGCTCCAAACCTTCTCGTAGAAAGCCTCACGCTCCTCAGGGGAATCGTCAAAGGTGCATTTCTCAGCCCAGTCATAGTGAAAGCCAGCAAAGCTCGTTTCACGATACCGGAACAGTTCAGGGTAGACTTGCTTCTTTTGTTCTTGCTCTTCAGCTGAGATGTGTCGCTTTCGCATGGGTACAGCGAGATTGGGTGTTCGCTGGAAGACTTTGAGCTCACCGGCCTCTGGACCCCAGGCTTGAGTGATCTGGACGCCCGATGCACCAGTGCCTATGATTGCGCAGCGCTTATTCGTCACATCGACTTTTTCATCAGGCCAGAACGAGGAGTGATGGATCACTCCCTTGAACTTTTCCATTCCTGGCCAGTCTGGGATATAGCGCCTTGCGGCCTGCAGTTCGATGAGAAACTGGTCTCGAGAGGATGGGGTTCTTCAACTTACAAAGCCGGTTCCAAGAACAAGATACTTGGCTTTCGTTTCACGACCATCCTCCGTCTTGACGATCCATTTACCGATATCCGTGTCAAAGTGCGCACCAACTACAACCGTGTTGAACGCGCAGTCTTTCTTGATGTGAACCACTTTGTCGACATGGTCGAAGTAAGCCCGAAGGTCCTTATAAGTGGGGTAGTTGCTCTCCCAATTCCATGTTTTCCACACCTCCGGCCATGAAAACTCGTACTCTGGCACCTCCGAGTCGACGCCAGCACCGGGGTAGCAGTTCCAACGCCACGTACCCCCGATATCATTGCCTGCTTCAAATATGAAAGCTTTCAGGCCCCGGTCGCGCAGGGTCTTGAGCATGAAAATTCCAGCTGAAAAGACCATCAGCTTTACCAATAAAAGGGATCCATTCAAGGCTCGGGGGCGTACCGAATCCAGCACCGATAATCAAAGCATCAACATCGAGGTTGGCCGCATAAGGCCCGGTGTTCTCTTTATGGACAACGGAATATTCCGCGAGTTCCGTCTTGAATTTGGGCTGGGGGGGTCGTTCCGTCTCTCATTTTGAGCTTTCACGCACGAGATTGCAATATATTGGCAAGTTTCTAGGAGAGTCTGTCAAGTCCATTCGCCTGGCCTACCTGGGCAATGAGCCAGAGCAGCCCGTTTTATAGCCACGTCTCATCTCCGCATATCCTATTAGCGATTCCAGGTGGAGCCAGCCCAGTCCAGTCATATTGGATCTGAAGTAGTACCAGATACCATGAGTTACCCTGGTCGACCCAGCGAGTAGAACGAGATGCCTGAGTACTGGTACTTGGCGACATCAGCCACTTCTACTCCGGACCCGAGACACACTATGCCTGCGGCCCCGCCACCCTCCGCAATCTTGCAGGTGATCCTTCCGCTAGTGCGGGATCGCGTGCGGGGAAATCAGCCCGCAGCTTCGACGCCGCTCTGGAGAGACGCGAGGAACCTCTAGGCCGGGTTCTACCATATCCTACCATTGGCCGTGGCGATCGAGAAGCTGCGGGCCCGAAGTGGCTTGCGGGTCCGCAGTTGTTTACCCCCCAGACCCGAGACTGCGGGGTTCATGGCTGTAACCCATTAGGGCTGTGCTTTTTCCTTCTCTCCGGGCTTTTCAATTGTGCTCCAAGTGATTGAGGTTGCAGCTACTATAACTAGGCAATATTGTTGCTCGCTGGTGCATCTACTCGGATCCTCGTGCCAATACAATCATACTCTATACAGTCAGAACCCAAGGATTCTATCGATTACATCATGCCGCTGGACGAGGCCACAGTCAATAAGCTCAGGGGAATTGTCGACGCATCCTGCCAAGACAAAGTCTCTGGTATCCCCGGCGTCACTGTCGTAGCCGTCGACAAAGATGGCCACGAACTGTTCGCCCATTCAGCCGGCAACCAAGGAATTTCCTCCTCGGAGCCCATGACGCTAGACAACATCTTTTGGATAGCCTCCTGCACCAAGATGCTCACGGCTTTGGCATGCATGCAACTTGTCGAGCAGGGCCGGCTGGACTTGGACGATGGCGATGCCCTCGAGACACTCCTGCCGGAGCTGAAAGAGCTTCAGGTTCTGCGGGAGGACCGAACCTTTGAAAAGAAGAAGCGAGCCATTACGCTCAGAATGCTTTTGACGCATACTTCGGGCTGTGGATACAGTTTCTTCAACGAGCGTCTTCGAGATTGGGGGTTCCCTGTGGGTATCGATGAATTCTCGGGACGATTCGAGGATATAAAGTTGCCACTGTTGTTTCAACCCGGGGAGGGATGGGAGTATGGTGTAAGTTGTGTCATGTTACCTCGGGGGCATTGGATCCTTTTTCTGACTTATTCTGGTGCAGGTGGGCATCGACTGGGCTGGCTTGGCCGTCGAACGGGTGTCCGGAATGTCGCTCAACGACTATCTCACCACAAAGGTGTTCGAGCCTCTGGGTATCAAAGATATGTCGATGATTCCAACCGCCGATATGCGGAAGAGACTAGCACATATGCATGCCAGAGAGAAAGATAACAAACTAAGGCCCAGAGACCATATCCAACGGGCACCCTTGGTCGTGGACTTGAACGACGAAGCTGCCAAGAAGAAGATTTTCAATAGCGGGGGCGCGGGAATGTTCGCAAAGCCCCAAGAGTACTGCAGTATGTTACTTTCGATTGCTCACTGAGCGAGTGCTTTGTTCTAACGTTTTTGCATAGAGGTCATCGCAGTGCTGCTCGGGGGTGGCAAATGTCCCCGGACGGGCGTGCGGCTTTTGAAAGAAGCAACGGTCGACGAAATGTTTAAGAACCAAATCCCCCAGTTCCCCAACTTCTCTCGAAAGTTGATACCAGACGCGAAGCCCGATCTGACGAACCCAATCCCGGAATTGTATCCGATCCCTGGGAATGAGCCCCAGGGCTGGGGGTTGTCTTTCATGCTAAGCAATGGCGGGGCCACTGGTCGATCGGTTGAAACGGTGTTCTGGGCAGGATTAGCCAACCTTTGGTGGTGGTGTGATCGCCAGAAAGGAATTGGTGGGATCGTCTGCACGCAGATATTGCCATTTGCGGATGCCCAAGTCTTGGGGTTATGGGGCACTGTCGAAGCAGAACTGTATAAAGCCCTTGGTTAATATCGTTTGGAGCTTCAATATATTTTGGAATTCTACATTCATTCTACTAATTACTAGTACTAGTATACGGAATCCTGTTAAAGTAGCTGTAGCTTTTCCGAGTCATTAAAATTATGAAAGAGGGGGCTTTAAAATCAAGTGGACAGGAAATGCCCCTCGCTAAACGTGCAGAAAAAAAAAAACACACAAAACAATTCCAAAGGACAAAAAAGTCGAAAAAGCCTCCGACACTATCACCATGAATCAAAAGACTGAGATATCATGACCAAACCATGAGTCCGACCACCCGGTTTGGTTTCCGTCGGGCTCTTGGAAGGATCGGCAAATCCCATGGAGAACCTCTGCAATTTGCCTCGCCATGGAAGACTTTTTGCCAAGGTACCAAAGAACTTTTGTGCACTCTCGAAGCCTCCTCCGATTGAGATCGACCTCGACCTCGAGGACTGAATTTTCCAAAACGTTCAAAAGATTCATAGCAGCCTTCGTAAACCCTCGGATAAGCATCATAGCATAGGGCTCTGCCAATACTCGCGACTCGTCTAATGCGTGGTGGAACTCTGACAGCTGCGGGTTGGCGCGGGGGTCATGATCTGGTGTAGCCACGTAGGCAAGATAGGCAAGTTCTTCGGAAGCGGTTTTCCGAAATTGCGAGGAAAGCTTGAGACGACTAGCCTGCATATCTCGTTCAGGGGTAAGCTCGCTTGATGCTATGGTTTCAAGCAAGTCTGCTAAAATGAGGACTGCAAGATTCCAATGTGCTCCAATACAGAGATACCAGTTTTGAATCCGTTGCGGGACGCTGTCGATATTCTCTGATAGCTGCATGAAAAAGCAGCCGTAGGTGGACTGCCAGAAGGAACGGATTTTGATGGCGGTCTGAACTAGAGAATCAATGTCACCGCGGGGTCTTCCTTGGCGGATATAGCGCTGGAGGCATGATACTTGTCGAAAGAGCAACACTTTGACTTGAGCTGCTTGAGCTACTGCATACGATGCCTCGGCAAAAGAGCAAGGCCATTGAGGAAGGTAAGCAGGGTCAGAGAGGTTATCGCGAATGAAGTTTTGGATGCCCAGTGCATTTTCGCGGAGTCGACGAACTTCGCTCGTTGCACATTCGTTCGGTTGATCTGATGGACAGAATTGGATCTCCTCATCGGAGATAACCAGCGGTCGCTCGTACATTGAGGATGATACAGTATCAACCATAACAACAAGCCAATGGAGAAGCCTCAGCGTTCCATGATGCCGCATGTTAAGCTCGATGATACTCTTGGTGTTGGCCTTTGCGTAGTGTGACTTCGCCTTGCCAAGAGCGGTGTCAATTCGGCTTTCAAGGATGTGAATTTTGCGGGCTGCTCTCTCCATATAGATCGGAGGGCCCTCTTGGGCTATGATTTCATTGATCCTGGATTTCACCGCGCCACTGGTAGGTAGCTCATGAACGTTGACTTTCGAGCCATCGTCCCAACTCCGCTGGGTCAAGGCGAATATGACCTCCGCATATGCGACCCTGTAGGACTCCAGATATGCTGTGCGCTCCAAAGCAGCTTTTGCCGTCTCCCAAAGCTGTCGCTGAAGTGTTTCATCAAATTCGGGCGTTTTTGATCTATAGTCATTGCTCTGTCGAAGTGAGGAAGCGAAGTCAGCCCGTGCCCTTTGGCTTCCCTGAGCCCACTGCGCAGAAAACGCCAATACGGCAAGATTAAGAGCCTCGGACGCTGCTTGGTCTTGTAGAGGAGTCAGAGATATTACCCCTGCAGCTAAAGCTGCCTTGTCCAGCTCCACCGTTCGCCGGTAAATTCTGTTGTAGGTTGATTGAGCATTCGTTTGCTCCGTATAACTCTGGGTATTTGCTCGGACTTGGAGATTTGTTTGAGAGCCGTGTAGTAGATATGGACAAGTGCTTTCTGTGAGCCAACAAGAGAGATTGTGCTCGAAGACGTCATGATAGAGCTGGACCAAATTCGACGATATGAGCAGACTGTTGACACTGGTAGCAATTGTCTGATTTGCCGACAATGGCGAGCAAAATTTCTCCTGTCCTGGAAATACGCCAGGGAGGCTTTGAGGACTAAAATATGGGGATTCGTCTTTCGGAAAGGGCTCTTGCTCTTCGTGTGAAATGGCTTCTTCCGATAAGTCGACATAGCCTTGCAGAGGAAAATCCCCCCGGGGCAGATAAATCCACACACGGTGTTTCCAAAGCTCCGTATGGTCCATTCGGTAGACTCATGCCAAGGCCAAGAGATGCAGCTCCACACGAGTCGTGATGGATGATATTTGGTGTTCCCGGGTCTCCTCCAAATCCGAGGAATGGGAACGCACCGTCGCCGTTTGGCAGTTGATCAGGAACTGACTGCTGCCAAACTGCAACGGAATCATTCCCTGCCGAGGAACTGCTAGCTGTATGTGAGCGCTGTCGATTTGCCGCTGTTCTCTGGATCTTCTTTTGTGATTGGGCCCATATGATCGTGCATGTCTTGTTGGTCCGTTTGCAATAGGAACATGGCAACCAGGCCGTGGCTAGAGAATCAAAGTATCAGTCATGACGCGAACACATGCTAGCGGGTTTGGCTGACAGAGCCTTACTTATGTCTTTCGGGATGAACAGATCACACCCCCGCTTTGATCTTCGGCACTGATCGCAAGCGTGGTTTTGGCGTCTCATGGCTCAAGAGGTTCCGAGAGGGATAAGTGGCGTGGGACTTTTTCTTCTCAACCTGTCGGCCAGGGATGGGGTTATACTTATTCAAAGTATTAGGGTAGCGGGGGCCCGAGATCAAACCAGGTTCAGTCCAGAAAGGTGACGGGGGAAAGGGGGCCTAAGGATCTGCAAGCAAAATCTGGGGTTTGAGCTTCCCCGCTTTATTGGGAGGGGGTATTGGCATTTCCAGCCATCCGGATCCAATAATCAGCCCTTCCTTACGGCCTATCGGAAAAGACATCCAGTCCTACATCGTGGACTGGACCCACTTAGATCGTATTCCCGCTTATAGCAATGTACTCCGATCGTAGAAGTCTCGGTTACCAGTATGATTCCGTAGCAGCCCAGAGTATCGTATTGAAAGTCCTGAACCCTAGTTGCCTATCTCTGCTACCAGAAGCTTCTACACAGGATTGAAAATCTTTGCCTCCGCTTGAGTCCTCGGAAGCGTAACCGAACTCGTCACTTCGAACTCTCGACGATGGATGATGCTGTATGGTGACAATGAGGGCAGCATCATAGCCTCACTATTTGTTGAGTCAATGTCCGCAGAGAAGTTCCTCTGGGATGGCAGGTGTAGTCTTATTGGAGTTCGTAAAGAAGAACCGGACGGGTTTCCAGGGATATTTCTCCCTCGTAAACTCTGGGCGCGTGTGACGAAAAGCTGCCGACCAGATGCCACACAGGATACAATGATCGCTGTCAGAGAAGTCAATCAGGAGGTACTGGCCAAGGGCCCAAGAAGGGGCCAAACTCACCTGCATAGACCTCGATGAAGCTCCAGAAACACAACCACGCAATATTGATCTGGTCGTCAAGGGTGGTGGCGACTCGTACGATTGCGATTGCCATTATTATTATTGTAACCGAGTACATTCCCAGTAGTATCACCTTCTTATGGAGTGAAATTTGGGCATTGTAGAGAGTCAATATCGGAATTGAGAGGACTGAACGCCCCCGTCAGTAATCTTGACATCATGGAATGTAATGTTTGAGGCATAGCTCACTCATGATATCGCTGATCACATCCCCCGCCGCATTGGCCCAGAATGTTCGGTTTTGATAGTGGACATTGTCGAGGGAGGAACATTTCCCTATTCGGCTGTCAGCGGCTTGAATCCAAGAAGAAGGGATGCTCGCACATATGAAATACTCAATCGATCCAAAGCTGCACGAGTACTGAATGTCCCCAATAGAGATAATGTAGACGCTTATGGTAAAGCAAAGTACAAAGATCCACCAAATACGCATGCTCTTCACTTGGAGGCATAGGCGATAGAAGAACGCCAAAAATGAAAGCTTGACCGCCCATAAACCGGAATAAAACAAGATTTCAAAAGGCCCGACGAAGCGCGTAAACGTTTCATATCGATGCAGGAAGTTCTCCGTTAGCTTTTCTTTACCGAGAGAAGTGAGTTCATGATCGTATAAAGGTCTGGATACCACCTCCCAGATGATTGTCGTTGCAAAGATAATAGCCCATGCCAGCAAGACGAGAAAGTCGTCGATGTACAACCGACGGAACGTAGTTACTTGGACATAGAGTCGGAAGCAGAGAGATGCAGTTGTTAAAGCTGCGAAGGTCCACGTAATACCCTAAGAGTTATGTTTAGCTGCCTTGAAGTTTTCAGCTAATACGAGTACAATATTCCGGATTGACTTCATGCTGGGGGTTTGAAACATACGGCGAAGGTAGAGTGAGAAATGTTGCTAGCCTGTGAGGGAATCTGTTGATCCATGATTTCTTGATAGATTCTTTGACTCGAGAGAGGAAGGGAATCTTCCCAAACCTTTCAGATATAATGGCAGTATCACGTGCATCGACGTCTCTCTTGTTGCGTCTGAATGAGCAGAAGCAGGAGCGCCACAGGTCGGATGCCCCCTAAGGCCCACTTGGCCCATTCTTCATAACTCCGAAACTTCTATTGCCAAAGGGCCTCTAAGCTGTCAGGTCTTGTGTAGATACAAAGAGACCGCCATCAAAAGGGTGATATTTACGGTGGATTTGAAAGTGTCGATGGTTTACCGATGAGTGGCGTTTTCAAGGACCTTCTAGACAATAAGCTAATGTAAAATTCCGCATTGTGGCGCGGTAATATCGGAAGTTGTGTTGGCGCATCTCAATGATGTGGCTCATAACATCATCAGATGGATAAATTCCCCCTCTAGCTGTGTAGCAATTGTCAACTGTAGTGCGGTAAGGGTTATAGCACGACAGTTATGGATTGATTCGGGAGGTTCAAGTTCAGAGAATCTAAATTCTGATCACCATTCTCCTTATCAAGACGAACTCAATGTTTTGATTATGGTTCCTGGAGATGGAATTTTAGATGTGAGCCCGCGAACTTTACACGGACCCGCCCTCGCTTAAGGTCTTTCAAAGAGAGTTCGTTGCCCCGGCTGATACTACCAGCAATCAGCCACCGACTTGGAGACAAAGAGAAAGATCAAATTTATAGTCGAGATCCACACCTGAAGGGCATCTGCTAATTCGGTAGCTCGGTGCCAGTGAAAGGGCCACTTCATGCACGCCACTCCTACGAGTCCCTGATAATCGGCCTCCACTGGTTTGATCCAGGTTCCCCCACGGGCTTCGGAAATTACTCTCCATGAATGGGGTCATAATCAAAAATAGTAACAATATCATCTTTGAAGTTCTGGGCTGTCTTTGTTTGACACAACTGGATGCCCCTATCGGTGAGTCTTTCGTCTCATTCCGCGGATGGCAAGTCGGGAAATCGATCACAACATCCACTAATCTTGATCGAGTGTTTGGCTCCTATTCACATTGTGAAGTATGCTCTATCCGTCATATTTGGTAGAATGGGTTCATGTATGTGCTGTCTAGAAATAAGGCACCAGGCCATTCATCTTCTCACATAGTCCATGCAACTCCCTAAAGAGAAAGAACAGTATGGTCCAAGTTCGGCCCTTCTAAGTATTATGCCCTCGACCAGGCGGTACCACTACGAGCAACTATGTTGTAGCATACACTGACCCAAGCTGTACGAACAAGGGCCGTTAGATTCAGAAACGAGACTAGGACTTAAATTTCCTAAGAAGGTATATTGTCTGAAAGCTAAGTCTAGCCCCCTTCTTGGGGATAATAGTGATCGAATGATGACGGCTCCACCGCCCTTCGAACCTGAATCTGGCTGCTCTGTAGACAGAGAAATTGCCAGCAGAAAAAGTGCTTTCCCGCCCTTGCCGTCACAATGTTCCTCCGCAGCATCTCGGTGGAACCACTGGCTTTGGCTAACCAGATACTAGTAGAATTCGTGTATAAAAGCCCTCAAAATAACCTGCAAGATTTTATTAGATTTGAGACTCATAACCCCCCACACGTCTTCTCATGGGGGAACAGGGTGCGTTCGATGACTTGACACCGTGAATTCCAATACAACATGGTCGTTTTGGATTTGCCGATAGGAATCAACTTGTCAAGTCCCTCTTCATACTAGGTGCTTCAGAGTAATCTTGTCTGAGCCCCGGCTCAGAATAAGGGGCTGTAACCGTGTTCCACCAATGCCCAGGTACAACCCCGCAGACCCACAGCTCGATCGATTAGCCTCAACGAGAGTTGCAATCTGACAGCGTCTTATCAAGACCATGATAAGACGGGCTCTATGACCAAGAGCTGATAACGCTCCCCAAACCGAATCTGGAAATCTAACGCCGTGGCTCCGACTCCCCGCACAATGTATGCCCATCTTCCGAACCTATCATCTTCTTTGCGATAATGCGCCGGATGACCCAGACTTGAGCGGAGACTGGATCTACTGCGCATGAATCTGACTAGCCTCTTTCCACGGAAGTTTCTCTCCTCTGCAAATGACTATGCGGACATGTCGCAGCCTTCAAGTCCCTTGCCCGCTGGCCGCACAGGCCATGCCTGCGCTCAGTGCAGACATAGGTAAGATCATAGCCGGCGAATTTTGTCTACAAGAATTCGTCCCAATGGACAAATGAACTTCGGTTAATCAGAAATCAAATAAACAAAAACAGAAAGCAAAAGTGCGGCGGTTTCACATACGGGGTGAAGTGTCGGCCATGCACAGCTCGAAAAGTCAAATGCAGCTTTGAAGATGAAGTCAAATACCATCCATACCTGCGCATTCGCTCCTCGAAGTCTCCATCAGCCAATGGCGGAAGAGGACTGTCGGCGCAATGTTTCTTGTCTTCAAATCCGACCTCACTGTCATCTGCTTCAGATGGAGACTTACAGGCCGCGTCTACCAATGGCCGAGGAGCGGCACCATCCTTGGCTCACGAGGAGCTACCCAAGCAGATTGAATGTCTGATGGGCCGGTAGGTACCGGACATTTCACCATTCGTCGAACAACTTTGTTTGTCTAATAGGAAATTTAGAATTGCAGAACTAGAAAAATCGCTGGCAACTACCCAACGAGCCCCAGCTGAATACATAGACACGCCACGTTCTCGGACCGCGGCGTCGCTCAACGTCCCATTGGAAGCAAGCCCCTCGCACAGTTATCATTCGCCTCCGATAATTCCGTGAGCTCATTCCTTTGGATTATATTATTCCTTTACCGTCCTGACCCTGCATCACCAGACCAGGCCCCTTTTCGGTAAATTCCGACACGCACAGTCTAGCGGGCTCTCATGCCCCTGTTATTACCGACGGGCCACTCAAAACACTGAACGACTTCCAATCTGAAGATCCTGTTGAATATGAGTTACATGATCCGATTGCTCGCTCGGTGTTGACTGAAGGAGAGGCCTTTGTGATGTTCAGACTGTTAGTACCACAGAAATCGCCTATTTTCAAAATCTTACAAACATAGGTTCTTCTCAAGTTGTCATCCAAACGCTCCCTTCCTCGACGTCGAGCTCGATTCAGATGTTGACCGTGTCCGCTCCAACAGCATTTTTCTATTCCTTGCCATTCTCTGCGTGGGTGCGCGCTTCTGGGGCGCCTCGTCAAAGTATCTCAACTTCCTTTATATGGGATAATCTCAATTTACTGACTATCCGCAGGTCAGCTTGTTGGTTACACCCGCGGTACCCGGGACTCGTGCGTCTTCTTGATGCAGAAGTGATGCGAGTGACTTTACGCCCGGGGCCCGATGACCAGAAGCTGGAAACAGTACAAGCGCTCATGCTATGTGCGCATTGGATGCCATTTGATATCTCGGCCGATGGAAAACGCGATAGATCCAGGTTTTCTGAGTCCGGGGCGTGGCAGTGCCTTGGTCTAGCAACTCGCTGGGCGACCTCACTCGCGCTAGAGCGGAGTTGCCATTTGAGCTTCCAGAATCCCGATAGAGTGACACGCAAAGATGTGCAAAGGTTCCGGACAATGCTTTACCTCACGGAAAGTGATCATTAGTATGTTCTTGTTTGATTTCCCCCCCCAGACGCAACCTAACTTCTGACCGATTACAGCCTTGCATTATCTGCGAGGCGTCCTTCTTACCTAAATCCTGAGCCACTCAATAATGTTCTCCACCAATTCCTCCGATGTAAATATGTCCAAACTACAGATAAACGCCTTACATCGCTGTTCCGGGTCGCATACGGTGCGCATTTTACCGGATGTCGGCCAACAACCATCGAGAGCGTCGAGGCCTTCGATAAAGACGTGCAGATTATTGAGCGACAATTTACACTCAATCGTGGAAACCACTCATTGGATTCCCTCGGTCATCATTTCCCCTTCATCTCACTTCGCTGGTACCGGCTGTCTTATGCATGTGCATTTCTCGATGTGACCGACCCAAGCCAAAGAACAGGGAAGGTCTTGACGTGGGCAATCGAGTGGTCCAGTCAGATTCTCATCCATCTTTCACGGCCGCCTTCCCTTCAAGCAACGAGCAACAGTCCGATCCTTCTCCCGTTGCAACCGGACCCGGGCGTGATACAAGTTTTGTCATATGCAATTGACCATTACTTTGTTGTCATTGCGTACGCAGCGTTCGTGCTTGTTAACAGCTGGCTAGGAAACCTCATGGACAGTACGTATTACCAGAGCCACCCTGGAGACATGGTCTTACTTACCTCTTACACGGGACAACAGTGAACTTTCGCCCGCATATCCAACAAGCCGGGGATTCGTACGATAATGAGCCTTCAAGCTCTTTATTATTTCGATTAGTCGACCTTGCAGCTCGTACTCTGGAAGCTGCCAGTCCGCCTACCGGACACCTCGCCCGCCGATATGTTCCATTGCTTCGTGGAATGACTGGCATAATCCTCTCCGGCAATACGCAGGCAAGAGCAACAGAAAACGGCCACAGCGCTGTGGTGGAGCATCCCAGCCATCCCCACGAGCAGCAAGGGAACCTCGGTGGAGATCTCTGGGAAATGTGGCAACAGGCCGGACTAGAGCCTATGCCCTGGCCTAATGTGTTAGACGACATCTACTGAGTTCTGTAGTAAACGAGACATATAGTCATGATCAACTTAGAGCGGCCAATGATCCAAAGGTTACCTTGGTAGCTCTTTTCCTTAAACCCCATCATACTCCCCATGTAGGCCAACTATTTGAAGCTGGCAATGGAGTTTCAATATTTAAGCGAATGAGAACCATGACCCAAAACTGGGTAACTTCTTGAATTCAGATGCTCGTACCTCGGATGATCTCAAGTCGGACCCCCAACTTAACTCCGAGTGAAACCACATTTTGCTGACCACGTAGCTCTATCACGCCAGCTCCTTCGTTTCAGACTGAGCTAGTAGATCCCTAATACGAGAGGGCGGCTCAGTCTGACACATACGGGCTCCTTGGGCGCCTGAGCACTGGAACCGGCGGAAACTGCTAGGAAGAAAGTGGATTTATGCGCGAGGAGCAGCTCTTATCGCGCTGTCAGCTTCTCCCGTCTGGGCTACCATCTGGAATTGGACGTTTCTTTGTTCCACGAATGCTTTATCCGATGAAGGGTGCTCTAGGCTGGAGTCGAAAAGGTCTCCGACGAAGTACTCTCGGTAAATTATGAAGCACAAGTTGGTCGGAAAACCATCTTAACACCTTTTTTTTTTCAACTGCAGGCGGTTGCACATTGGACTTGAAAAGAGAAGTCAGTATGCGTTGCATGTCCTTGGCGCCTATATATATCAACATCATTACTATACAGCACGATCCGTTTATTTTCGAGCCTCCTCAATAATCTGAGCCAGCTTAATCTGCGTAAGCAAAGAGAGCTCATCATAGACATTCCATTCATCCACGATGCGCCCATTCCTATAATGATAGTGCGTCATCCCCATAACCTGCAACCGATGCCCAGTAGGCTTCCCCAGCTCCGAAAGCAGCCCAAACCCCAAGTGGTGGCCCTCAAGAACCCACCTCACCGCAACCTTCACGCCCCCTTCCTCACAAGGCGTCGACGCAATGTGCTGCGGCATATAAATCCCATCCGGGATCGAGCCCAGAAGCCCCAGATGCTGATGAAGCACCGAGGCAGGCCCATACAGCTCCGCCATCTTCGGCCCATGATACTGGCAATTGCTCGCGTACATCTTGTGCACCATGCCGAACATCCGCTTATTCCACATCTCGTGCAGCCACGTCAACGTCTGCACCTCCAGCTCGTTGTTCGCGATGGCCGTATCAGCCGCCGCCTGGGGGTTCTGCTGGCCGATGATGCGCCGGTTCTCGCCAATATCGATCGTCTCCAGACCCTTGTCGAATAGGCCGCGCGCAGCCTCGGAGGCATATGTGTGCACGTCCAGGCCGAGCTGTTTCATGATGGCCATGTTATCGGCCACGACCCACTCGCGATAGATCCGGTTGCGGTAGACCATGCAGTCGGCGATGGTGCGCGAGACAAACGTCTTCCCGGTCGCGGGGCCAAAGTGCCCGTCCTGCGTGTGGCGGCCCTGCCCAGTGACGAGGTGCGAGGTGTAGAAGCCTTCTTGGTCGTCGCCGTTCCAGACCACCTGGGTGGCCATGCCGCGGCGCTCGGGGAAGGAGACGAGGCGCTGGATGGTGTCACGGACGATGGTCTCCCGGTCGTAGATTGTGCCCAGCGTACCGTATAGGACGCAGTTGTGGGTATAGTGGGTGTAGATCAGACCAATGTCGCGCTCGTCCCAGATCATGTGGGTGCAGCGCACGATGTAATCGACAATATCAGTATAGATGTCGTCGAACCCTTCCATTGAGTGAGCCCGAGGGCGGTTCGTGGGTGCCAGGTCGAGATAATCATGTCGTTCGACTTGGAGAACTTGTGAGCTCTTTGCAGGGGGTGCAACGACATGATTGCCGTTCTCTTGAGGAGTTGGGGTATCCGGTGTCATTGTTTTGAGGGGGGGTTAGATAAGAGGAAAGTATGGATGGAAGGGCAGAGGCAACAGAGACTTGATTCCTGGTATAGTGTCTCTTTATCAGAGTTTCCCGGTACAGCTAATCACTCAACTGCTAGCTATCGTGTACAGACTGGCCCCGCTGCGTTCGGCAAAGGTCTCGTTGACGCCGCTAGCTTTGAGGGTCAACTTATCGGCGCACCCGTGAGATCCATCGGGTTCTCCGAACAGATTCGCTTAACCCGATGAAACTCTATACGAACCCGACGAACCGTGCGCGCATCCAGGAGTGGCTGGCATTCCATCGTAGATTAATGGACCCAAGCAGTTACGTTTGAGTCACCACATGTCTGGTTGAGTATGAGAGGACCTGCAGCCAATTTGTACAGGAGATTGGCAAACCCGCATGATTTGACAGGTCTCTCGACGTCTCCTGATCTCGCGGCTGAAGATAGTAGTATTCTATAATCAAGAAGAAAAGAACCAAGTGAATTGACAACGCTATTTTCTAGCTGAATCAAAATGAGCTTTCATCGGTTTCGCCGGTATCATTTTCTATCTACTCGCGCCTTGTTCATGAACACTAACCAAGTTGCGAAGGTTAGACTAATTCTTTACAGATAGAGAATTAAAAACCTTTACCCATCATCATATCACTAATAAATTCAAGCCGCAGAACATCATATCCCAGAGAGAAGAGAGCGCACTTAGTACATCTGGCGGTTCCGCATCTCAATAGGAAGGAAACACAAGAACAAAGCGGAGACCCAGATACCGCCAGCTCCGAGCCAGAGCACTCCAGCTCTCCCCTCTGCAATATACTGCTGACCTGCAAAAGGTGCAACTATACTGGCGATCCGGCCCAGGCAGGACAACATGCCACTGGCACTGGCTCGGTAGGTAGTGCCGAAGACCTCGGGCGCAGCAGAGTAGAGAATCGAATTAAAGTACTGTGCTGGTCTTAGCATTGGATCAGCGAAGACTTTAGGTTTGACTTACGCTTTGCATGATATATTCCAGAGCATTCAGACCGACATACCCAGCCGTGTTCTTGACTTGCGTATACATGGCCATAGAGACGCCCTGCAAGGCAGCGGAAATGACCAAAGACCACTTTCTGCCAAGTAGAGGCATCTGGACGGAGAAAAGCGCCAAAATGGATCCAATGACACCCGGGAGGTAGATATACACGTATTCGCGATAGGTCTCACTGACACTGTTGGCCCCACTGTCCACGTTATTGTCTAGCAGGACGATCGGCAAGAAATATCCAGCCAAGTTGAAGGACCAGTAGTTTCCCTAGGGATAGTCAGTTAAGAAAGAAAAAAGAAAAGAAAAGAAAAGAAAAGAAAAAAGAAAAAAAGAGAGAGAGAGAGAATCGGATGTTTGAGCCCTTACCATATAGGCGACCGCAAGAATGAAGAATGTGAAGCACTGGAGCTTCTTGGCGAAGAGGCCCCGAAGATAGCCCAGGTTTTTGACCATACGAACCACCACGGTCTTGACGTCGGCGCCATCCTCATTTCTCTGATGATAAATTTCTGGGTCAGTCTGGTAGAAATCATCCATGGTCAAAGTAGGCGCTTCGGCGCCATTGAACTTGGCAATTTTGTGGAGGATGTCAATTGCCTCCTGCTCTCTGCCTCGGCTGAGAAGAAACTTAGGAGACTCGTAAAATCGGAAGACGAGAAATCGAATACCAAAAATGAACAACGTCATGGCTCCGATGATGATAACCTCATATCTCCATCCCATGTTGCTAGAGAGAGAACAGCAAGGCTCGCCTGCTTTGGCTGCGGCGCAGGCAGGCAACTTCACGCTGCACCGGTATTTAGCAGCTGTGCCGTAGGAGATGGCGGAAGCGATCACGACACCGATTGGCTGCCACATCCCCAAAAGAGAGACAAGGTAGCGCCGGTTCTGTGGTAAGAACTCCAGGGCGATGGTCGCATCGATCGGGATATTCCCACCAAGGCCAATGCAGGAGAGAAAGTAAATTCCACAAACTGCTCCGTAGCTAGTTTTGCTCGCGGCCTGGCGAAGATTTAGCTGCATTTGCCTAGAAAGGAAAATTATAGGACAGACAAACCATGAGCATACCGAACACCGATGTGATCAGACATGTTATGTTAAACGCCCATTTACGGCCAATAATATCCGTAATGATGCCGAATGAGAAGGCCCCGACGCTGAGGCCGTTAGTATCAAGACATTCCGACAGCCATATATAGAACATACGCAAGTCCAGCATTACCGCATGTAAAGATTAGTCCCTGCTTGTCGGCAGGGACGTTCATCTCCTGGAAGATAGCTGTAGACAAGAGCCCGACACCCTGGGACCAAGCCAAGTCAAGGAAGTATCCAAAACCACATAGTAACCAAATGCACCATTGGTATTTTCCAAAGCCTAATTTATCGATTTCCCTGTCAAGCGCAGTTAGTGGCTAACTCTTAGATGTATGATCGCCCCGACGGTGCAACGACTCACGCATTAATCAATGCAGCCTTCCGCTCGAAGATCGTGAGCTCCTCCACGGCAGACCCTTGCATCACTTCTCCTATAGAGACATGAGTCTGTTCGCCACCAGGGCTCCCCTCCTTCTTCTCTGTACTGATGGAACTGGGGCGTGTAGACATGATGGGAGCTGTTTGATTTTCCCAAGTCGTCAGAATGCTGAGATCCAAACGTTAATAAATTGTCATAAGTCGAGCGACTAACTTGATCAGTGCTTTACAGCCATCCGTTCCAGAGTTGCGAGATAAGCGCCATTCACTGTTGCATACCCGATAGCTCGTCGGCAAACCCTATCAGTATCGGCGAACCCGGCGGGGGAATAGTGGGCCTAATGGGCCGGGTAGCGCTTTCGCGATAGTATGTGGAGTCAGGGAATCTCTTTCCCCTATTCTCTTTCCTTGCGGCGCTTGGAAATCCGAGGTCAGATAGCAGGCACAACTTAGTATCATGGTGATCCGAGATCCATTGGGCTTTTCCCATCTACCTTCAGCATGGGAGACGTCACGAATGGCAGTACAAGTGATCGCAAGAGCGCAGTTCCCGAAGGAACAAAGGACCTCCCATTGTACGAGCGCATTGCGCTCGAGAAACGAGCTAACCGCGAAAGATCCATCCCTGAAGAATGGCGCCTACCCAAAGGCCATGTCCCCGAGGACCAGCTGAATGTGACTGACGTGCCCATGCATTGCGGTATTCTCACCGAGAAGGAATGCGAAATAACCGAGCTAGCTGCGGCCGAGCTTGTTGAAAGAATACAGAGCCGAGAGCTCAGCTCATACGAAGTGACATTGGCATTCTGCAAACGAGCGGCAATCGCACAGCAGCTGGTAAGTTCCCAGCTGCGTAAATAGCAGGACGGACTTGGAGGCTGATACAGGAATATAAAGGTCAACTGTCTTTCTGAGATATTTTTCGAAAAGGCACTTCAAACAGCAGCAGCCCTCGATGCTGAATACGCAGTCTCGGGAATTGCAGCAGGGCCCCTTCATGGCCTCCCCGTTTCCCTCAAAGACTGCTTCCAGGTTGAGGGTACCGACGCATCCATCGGGTTTACAGCATTCTCCAATGAGCCAGCGCTAGAGCACGAAGAGTCGGAGATTACCAAAATCATGAGGCAGAACGGTGCAGTTCTCTTCTGCAAGACCAATGTTCCCTTGGGCCTCATGGCTGGCGAGGTGTGTTGGACCGAGAGATATTTGAGTGGAGACTAACATGCGCATAGACATATAACGCCATCTACGGCTACACGTCTAATCCATATAATAGGAGCCTCTCGAGTGGTGGGTCTTCAGGCGGCGAAAGCGCCTTGTTGGCCTTGAAAGGCGCTCCTCTGGGTGTGGGGACGGACGTAGGAGGTTCAATCCGTTGGTATTCCGGGTTCGAGGCAAAGACATTTTGCTAACTTTGTCAGGGATTCCGGCTTCCTTCTGTGGGCTGTACTCTCTGAAGCCCTCTTTCGGGCGCTTTCCAACATTCGGCCTTCGAGATGGCCTGAACGGACAAGAGGCTGTCAGGAATACGGTAGGACCGATGGCAAGATCAGTCAGAGACATTCAGCTGTGGAGCAAGACTGTGATCAAAAGCGAGCCGTGGATGACAAGTGATCCGGATTGCCTTCCCATTCCATGGAGAGAGCTTCGAATTCCTGACAAGCTTTGTTTTGGTAAGTATTACCTGAAGTGTTCTCGCCTTCAACATCGGGATACAAGCTGACCCAGCAGGAATCTGGCTCGACGATGGTATCGTGAAGCCACTTCCTCCAGTGACACGCGCGGTGCTGAAAACAAAAGCCGCCCTCGAGGCAGCAGGTCACAGTGTTATTGAATTCCAGGTGTAAGTGAGGATCAAACCTGCGGAAATTCGGAAATCCGTTTCTAAGTGACTCACCCAATAAAGAAGCAAGCTAACGAAAGCTAGGGATGACCCTCTTTATCTAGATACTTTAAAGTTTGACCTTTATCGCTCAGCGACAGCAGAAGCCCTCGACAAAAACCTCGCCAAAACCCCAGAGCCCTGGCCGAGAGGATGCGAGATGCTCCAGGCTATGGTCCAGGGAAACACAAAGGCCTCAACGGTGTATTACCTCTGGAATGCCCAAGCAAAAAGAACTGAGTACGCGAAGAAAATCCTAGAGGAATGGGCAGCGACCCAGAGGAGAACAGAGACAGGCAGGGAAATAGATGCGTTGCTGATGCCATGTACCCTTGGCCAGCTTCAGCAAAGTGAGTCTTCAACCATGACCTTCCAGTAATAGCTAACAGACCAAGGTACAGCTTCACGTATGATAATTATACCAGCCTGTGGAATGTTCTGGACTACTGCGCAACCACCGTGCCAGTGAGCTATGTTTCACTTCATGAAGACGCCACTCCCAGTTACGAGAGCCGCAATGATAGTGAAAGATGCGTTTGGAAAAACTGTAAGCTGGCTCCCTGCAGATACCGAATGAACTTGAAGCTAACGGAGGCAGACTCTCCTGGCACTTTTGCTGAAGCCCCGGTGGCCGTCCAATTGGTTGGTCGGCGTCTGAATGAAGAGTATCTTTTGGGCGTGACGCAAAAATGTGACGAGGCGCTGAAAATGTCGATGAGTTACCGAGGATATTAAACGCTATGATTGACTCGAAAGAGATCTTCCGGAGCTTTGAGAGAGAGATAAGGTAGAAAGTACTCCATTCCATGCTAAAACTATAACCTAATTCTATGTCTTCTCATAAATCATACTAATCTCTCATGGAGATATAAAGCTTTGCTGAACGTAAAATGTAGACCGAAGTCGCCTACCCCGACATGCCCACTCCTGACATCCTTGAAGATCAGTGATTTGTGGTATGTGTATTCGTTCGTTTGGTTCCTTGATGCACAGTGCCGCTTTGGGGAAAGCGACAACCTTGATATGACACGTGATGCTCACGTTTGATGCTGCAAACTTCATGATAGGAGCATGTCGACAGCCAAGTCGTACGCTCTACATTTCGAAACCCATTGCGGAGTTCCTCGTTTGGCTTTCTTGTCCCATCCATGATTGCATTTTGGCATCTGCTCATAGACGACGGTGCGCTTGGGATCCTTCTCGAGTCGCTTCGCAAGCCTTTCAGCTTCATTAGCCAAATTGTCATAGCTAGCCGTGATAACCAGAACTTTCCCCGGGAATCGAGTTATATCGGCAAGACTAGGCGAGATGCGCGGATCACGCAAGTCAGCTCCGTACCGAAGGTAACACTTTCCGAAAAAGCGCAGGGTAACCATTGGGATAGGCATGCCACCGCGTTCCGGCGCAACCATCAGTGCCGGGTCCCCGCAGGGCTCAGTACTGGGGTAGAAGGTGAGCACAGATTGGAAGGTATTCAGAGGGAAAAGCGACGAGCACGCGACCAGCGCAAGATTGCCGCCGGCGCTGAAGCCGGAGAGGGAGAAGCGGTTGAGATCGAACACGTCGGGCTGTCCCAGGACCCATTTCACTACGTCCTCCACATCGTGAATCGCGGCGGGGAAAGGATACTCTGGTGAGAGCCGGTATTGGACATCCAGGACCACGTAGCCCGTGCGATCGCAAACTTCGCGACAGAAGGCGTCGTCGCTTCCGTGGGCGGGTATTACGAAGCCACTGCCATGGAAGTTCACCAGTACTGGGACAGGTTCGTCAAGCTTCTCGAGGTCCCATGAAGGGCCGTAAACGTGGATCTTGATCGTGCGATTGGGGTCTCGCGAAGGGATGTGTTCAATCGCATCGGGGTGGGAGATGAAGCGGCCTTTGAGTCTGAAGAAAGTTCTTAGCAACAGTGCGCCTATCCTTAGGCGGATGTAAGTAAGAAGGCTCATATCGCCGATGACCGGTAGCTCCGGAGGAGCCGGTCGGATGGTGGGGGGAGGGAAGAGAATTTATACCAAGGCGTAGATTTTGGGCGAATCTGAAGTCGCGTGCAGGTTTTGCGTCAATTGAAATCTTAGGGCCCCGGCTTCAGTATGGTCAATGTTTGGGCAAAGCGGGTCTGGCTGGACCTTGGCGGGATCAACGAGTTCAATTGGATGTCGATCGTGTCGGGCGTCACGCGCTCATCTTCCGCGCTGAATTTTTTTTCTCTCTTTTTTTCTCCTTGTCCGCTAGGCCTCTCGGGCTCGGAAAAGGCCCTAACAGGCACATTGACGTGATTGGACTTCAGCGAGGCTGCGATGTGCTCATTGACGTCATGCTGTTTACTTAGCCCGTAACTAAAATTTAGATCGCACTAACTAGTTAGAAGTAAATATCTCCTGGCTTCTGGGCAAAATTGATTAATGAGTAGAGGGCACCTCACAGGGAGCTATCAAGGGAAAGAAACTACTTTATTTTGTCTCATTCATGAATGACTCTCGCCAAATTAAAATGCACGTTTGCGTTAGCCTGGCCGCTGTCTTTCTGAGATGACGGCTGGTGTGGTCTCGGCGTCGTTTCTATTAGCACCTCATCGCCTTTGACTTTTATCGCTGCTATTGAACGTTTGATTCTTTCTTTGCAACAGAATATACATAGTAATGAAATTTATGGGTTCGAATTCAGGACGTTACTGTGAACACAAACTCGAAACGATTTACGATACGTGTGCGAAGTGATCAATTTCTCAAAAGAAATGGACCTACTCACTGATATTTCTGTCGATATCTCACTTTCTCGTAGAGCGTTAACATAATCTAATCAGCGGTGCAGCGGCTTATCGTGAACCGTCTCAATTGCAGATTGCGGAAAAGAGTGATGCGGAATCCTCCGATAAGTGGATCGAAGAGAGACAAGTATTACACTTCGACCGCAGCGTAACGCATAGCGTCTGGTCTTCACCTCATTATGCCACCACCGGCACTGGGAAATCAAATCACCTCGATCGAAGGTATTCGACTCGTTGGATCTGACTCACCCTGGGATATCAATCTGGAATATTCACCAGACCAACCCCAAGGCATCGTCAAATCTGTCACCCCGCACAAGGGCTCCTATGATCCCCACATCCAGCCCCTTGCTCTGCCTACGTTGACACATCCGCACATTCACCTCGATAAAGCATATGTGCATAGCGCTGCCGAATATGCTGATCTTCTACCCTCGACTGGCTCGTTCCAAGAGGCCTTAGCATTTACTACCAAGGCAAAGCAGAACTTTACGCGCACTGATCTGCTGAAAAGAGGAGAATGGCTTTTGGCAGAGTCTACTTCGGCTGGAGTTACGGCTATGAGGGCATTTGTGGAAGTGGATCATACGGTGAAATTGATCTGCTTGGACGCAGCGGTTACCCTCAAGGAGCAGTGGCGGCAGGCTTGCGAGATTCAAATCGTGTGTTTCGCCCAAGACCCTCTATTCTCAAGTGAACATGGCAGTGAGAATTGGGACTTGATGAAATCAGCTCTGGCGAGATACCCGGAAATTGATGTCATCGGCACAACACCCTACGTCGAGTCCAGCGTTGACGCGGCGAAGCAAAACATTGACTGGGCTATTGATTGTGCCCTGCTAATGAACAAGCACCTCGACTTTCATCTGGATTACAACCTCGACTTTTCAAAGGAGGCTCTAGTATGGCACGTGTTGGATGCCCTCAAAAGCCGAGGCTGGACCGCTCACTCTACAACAAAACGCGTGATGCTGGGTCACTGCACTCGATTGACGCTGTTTACCGATGATGAGTGGAGACAGATATCAAAGACTATCCACGACAATGGACTTCCAGTCACTTTTGCTGGGCTTCCCACCAGCGACCTGTATATGGCTGCCCCAACCGCTCAAGGAAGCCCCCATCAAAGGCCTCGAGGCACGCTGCGAGTCCCAGAACTGATTCGCAAGCATGACATCGATGCAGTGATGGGCATCAACAATGTTGGAAATGCTTTCACGCCCTGGGGATCATCTGACCCCCTGTCCTTGGCCTCCCTTGGAGTCGGAATCTATCAGGCCGGGACCCAGGATGACGCGACGCTTTTGTACGAGTGTGTATCTACTCGCGCTCGAGCTGCGATCGGCCTTGCCTCACCCAGGGACAATATGATGATTTCCGCAGGAAGTAGTGCTAACTTACTGCTCTTTCATGACCGAGATGATACTGGATGTGGAATATCTCGTCCGCGTGTAAGCGTGGCAGAGGTGGTCTGGGACCCACCGGCGCGATGTTGTCGCGCAGTATTGGCGAATGGGCGATATAAAGTTTCAGGATCTAGTCCTAGCTAGCGCAGCCATTCAAAACGCATGAGGAATAGGCCGGTCCGTTGGTCTGCACGACGTTTAACTTGAAATACTACATCCCTTATCCGTTTCCTGCCTTGAATCTTTCGTGGCGAGCCTGCCTTAGTGCGCTCGGTATCAGATAATATCATGTGACCTATACAAGGCCACTATTGCGGCATTTTGGAACGTGTCACATCGTCCCTGGGTCCCTGGATGTCCACATACGTTGTAGACATAGGGGGCAGCTGGACTCGATCAAAACATTTCACAAACCTCGTGGACCCAATCTAGTGACCGAAACGATCGCGGTGCCTGAACCTGTGGACCAAGTACCCACATTATGTCATGAGGCGCTGTTCGACAAAAAAAAACACAGTTTTTTAGCAAACCAGGTACGGTTTCGGGTGAAACAATTGGGCCCTGGGCAAGACGAGGCGCATCGGGTGACACGGTCTAATGAACCACCTTGGAAGTAGATAGAGATGTAGATGACGATGTAGATGTAGTCGACTGAGGATCTTTTATCAGGCGCAACAAGCACCCCCCGTCAGGTTCGGTCAACCCCAGTTCCAAGGTTCCAACGTTCCGCAACGGTCGCCAAAGAGAGCCTGGAACCCAAGGAGCCCAAGAACTTAAGGAACCCAAGGGGAACTCCGCGCAGCTGTCTTCTTTTCTCTCCTCACATCCCCAGCCCCCTGTCTCGTACATTTCTTTCGATCCTTCCCATCTTCTTTTGGGTTTAGTATCTCCAGCCCGTGGGGCTGACTCCTTCGTCAGCGTCTCCCCGCTCTATCAGGGCCCCTTCAACACCACGTTGACCGCTCCAACGTTCCATCTATCCCCGATTTGCCCTGATCGTCATGTCAGCCCCCGCGCCCCCTTCACAAGTGGTGGCTCGCAGTCAATCGACCTCCTCTCGCACCTCCCGACCCCCCTCCTCCGATCTCCCCACCGCACTCGAAGCGTGGCGGTCCGATCGTCCACCTCTTCCCAGCCCCCTCCGAGCCAATACTCCCACTCCAAAGCTCCCTCCTATGATCGTCGCCCTCCATCGAACCACGCTGCGCTAGACAGCGTAGCCCGCAGAGATTTTGAGGCTTCCAATGTAGCCCGAATGCCTTCTCGCCGTGACCCTTCTGCTGAGCGCTCGCAGGAGCGCCCATCAACTGCTACTCGGACCGAATCCGCCCGGCGCCACCAGCGCAATTCATCCACCCAAGGTCATCAACGAGAAAGCGCCGACATGGCCAGCGCCGTAGCTGCTGAACGTGGACCTGACCCCGCGCAGCATGCGACCGCACCGGCTGCTTCCAACCAGCCCAGGCGTCGCACAACCATCACAACACCATCAGGCCAATGGGCCCTGGGGAAGACCATCGGTGCGGGCAGTATGGGTAAAGTGAAACTGGCAAAAAACATGGAAACCGGAGAACAGGTAAGGGCTTTTGAATCTGTAAATTTCAGTCTACTGGACGATGCATCTGACCCAATCCCATCATAGGTTGCCGTGAAGATTGTACCTCGAGTCTCGACCGAAGAACACCGCAACGGCCGTGATTCAGAGCGAGCCGACCGGTCCAAGGAAATCAGAACTGCGCGAGAAGCCGCCATAGTCAGTCTCGTGAGCCACCCTTATATATGCGGCATGCGCGATGTCGTGCGGACGACCTATCACTGGTATATGCTTTTCGAATACGTCAATGGGGGCCAGATGCTGGACTACATCATTTCCCACGGCAAATTAAAGGAGAAGCAAGCTCGCAAATTTGCTCGTCAGATTGCTAGCGCACTGGATTATTGTCATCGAAACAGCATCGTTCATCGCGACTTGAAGATCGAGAACATCCTCATCAGCAAGACGGGTGATATAAAGATCATCGATTTCGGTCTCAGTAATCTGTTTTCGCCACGAAGTCTGCTGAAGACTTTTTGTGGTAGTCTCTACTTTGCAGCTCCAGAATTACTTCAAGCAAGACAATACACCGGCCCGGAGGTAGATGTTTGGAGTTTTGGCATTGTGCTCTACGTTTTGGTCTGCGGCAAAGTACCATTTGACGATCAAAGCATGCCCCAGCTACACGCAAAGATCAAGAAGGGTGTCGTGGAATATCCACCTGGATTAACCAGTGGTGAGTAGTAGCATCTCAGACCATGGATTCGGCATAAGTTGCTCACGCTAATAATCTTAGAATGCCGTCACATAATTTCTCGGATGCTTGTCACCGATCCCAAACAGCGCGCTAGCTTAGCTGAAATAATGGCCCACCCATGGATGAACAAAGGATTCAACGCGCCTCCAGAAAACTACCTGCCTCAGCGCGAGCCCCTGCAGCTGCCCCTAGATGCAGAGGTCATTGAAAAGATGACTGGTTTCGACTTCGGACCGCCAGATTATATTACGAGCCAGTTGACTAAGGTCTTGGAATCCGAGGAATATCAGCACGCTGTACGACTCAACTTTCGGGATCAACCATCAAGCAACCAGGCAGACCGGAAACGCGGCGTCTTCGACTTCTATAAGAGACGTAACTCCGCTGCCAGCCGGGATACTCTGTCAGCACCCTCCGCAGAAGCGATCCAATTGGGCAATGACCCATTGAATGCTTACAGTCCGCTGGTTTCCGTCTATCACCTAGTCAAGGAAAAGCTCGATCGCGAGCGAACAGAGTCGCGTCCCGGGGCTCTTGGCTTCCGCCCAACTACCGCGGGCGAGACACTCTTACCCGAAGTCATCGCTCCAGAAGCTGCCCACACTAATCAATATCAGCTACCCGGCGAGAGAGACACCGGTCGGCGATCCCGCCCACGCGCCAGAACCCACGGCGAAGATGAAGTCACCGAAGGCATCAAGGACCTTCATTCTTCATCGCCGTCCAGACATGCAGGGTTGTCTGACACACCCGCGAAGAAGGAAAGCACTGCGGCTGGCATATTGCGGCGATTCAGCACCCGCAGAGTCAAGGAACGCAGCCGGGATGTCGAACGTGAACGTATCAGCACCCCCAATACCCCTACTCTCAACGTTCAGCCTCCTGCCGATTCTGCATCTCCGCTACACCGCGGCTTCAGTGTTCGTAGAACTCGACGTGCCGATCCATCCCCGAGTGGCATCCCGTCGGCTGGAAGCCAGACCCAGCACCAAGACCTTCTGTCGGCACCGGGCACTGGCGAACAGGCACCGCAGCCCAGCAAAGTCTTGGGTCGATCCACCAGCGTCAATTCTGCGGACTACAGACCCCGTAGGCGGCTCGGAGAAGCGACGCTGATGCTCTAGATGTGGATCGCCAACCTCCTTCCACTAGTGGTTCCGACCAGGTTGCAGCCAATGGCCCGCGGGATCAACTCGCTACGAAGCCCGGCACCCGAACGCACACCGCTCGTACCATGTCTCTGGGCCATGCCCGACGTGAGAGCATCCAAGCCCGAAGAGCCCGCCGCGAGGCAGCTCGTGAAGCCAACGTGCCTGAGGAAACAGATGCCGATATCTCCGGCGCTGGAACCGCCCTGGAGAGTGCCAACGAGGGTGAAGATTTGTCGAAGCCTGTCTACCTCAAGGGTCTCTTTAGCGTGTCGACTACCAGTAGCAAGCCTCTGCCTGTTATTCGTGCCGATATCATCCGCGTTTTGAAGCAGCTGGCTGTTGATTACGTCGAGATCAAGGGCGGTTTTCGCTGCCGCCACGCGCCCAGTATCGATCTAGAGAAAGTGGTGGATGTCGCCCCTCCTAGCCCCGACCGCCAGGGCCCGGTCTCCCATCGTCGACGCATCAGCTTCGGTGGCTTGCTCAACTACGATGATAGTCGGGATGACAACCGCGCCGGAGCAAGCAGACCACCGCGCCGATCTCAAGGACCGCCAGATCATAGTTTCGTAACCAACTCCGAGGGCTCTGACGAGTTCATTCCAAGAGATCAGCAACCGCCAACGTCTGCTGGCGAACGGGTCGTCGGAGAGACAACCACGCGCGTGCAGAGCGATACTGGTGAAAACCTGATTCTCCGATTCGAAATTCTTATCGTGAAGGTTCCTCTGTTCTCTCTCCACGGTGTTCAGTTCAAGAAGGTCTCGGGAGGTATGTGGCAGTACAGAGAAATGGCCAAGAAGATCCTCGACGCATTGCGACTGTAATACAGTCTTTTGCCGAAGGAAAAAGTGAGAAAGATCATATTTCATGAAACCGTCGCATTTCCCCCAACATGCCCCTTTTCGCTCTCACTCAAGGGAATCAAAACAAAAGCATAGAATTTTCCCCGCCTTGATGGCGCATCGCTCCGTGGTCCTGACCAACTTGTGTTTGGCTTTGGAATGACTTGAAATACGTGGCCCACGACGTCCACGGGTTATCCGCATGAGCATTATCATATTATCGTCTCCTATTCGCATTCAAAGGCCCTTGCTTTTTATTTTTATTTTTATTTTTTTTTTTTTGGTTTCTCCATTTCTTTTCTCTTTCTTTTGACTTGTTTTCCTGTTAGGTTCGGGTCTTTCGTGTTCTTAGCCTTATTGTCATGGTCTGCATCTACATCCTGAGGCCTATTTGGCCTACTTGCTCACATATCGTTAGCCAATGGAACCTCTGATTTTCATGGTGTACATTAAGTTTGACGGTGAATTAAACATGCGAAGGTGAAGCACTTGTTTAATACCAATATGCCCCTCCTAGTTCTTAATATTGAACTCGTTCATGATATTAAGCTCGAGGAACTAGGTATTATCCATATCTAATCCGATATACAAGTACTAAAGGATTCTTCTGAAACTCGATTGGGAGGCATGCACTCTCATTTGAAGAATTCTTATAAGAATTCTGGTATCTCAGATATGATTCTAGGCATTATGGTCCATCTTGTAGGAAGAAGGGTACTAGTAACACATGGAGAACGTAATATCATTGGCATCCAAGACTCGTTTAGTGCTTGGTTTTCTCTGGAATCAGGATGTTAGAAGGCATTCTTTTATTGTGATTGAAATCTCCAAGACTCACCCTTGTTCACCTCAGCCTTGGCGTCGTGCTCCTTCTCATCCTTCTTGTCGAAGAGAGCGTCCTTGGCGGCGCTTGCACGGGTAGAGACCTTAGCGTCGTCGTCCTTCGCAACTTGCTTGTTGGCCTCCTTGGAAGCCTCAGCGCCGGTGCCCTGGATGGACTCGGAAACGTAGTTGACAGCGTCCTGGGTAAAGAAGTTAGGCCTAGTTCCTGGGCGCCGATCTAGGATCCGAAAGGGCTGAAGGTCATACCTTAGCGGCCTGCATTTTGTCTTGAAGTGGGGTTTGAGTTTTGGAATAAAAGGTGTGTGATAATAGTGGTTTGCTGTAGAGCTTAGAGAAGAAATCTACTGTGTGGCATTCGGGGACTATTTATGCCTTCACTGAACCCTTTTCAGATCTGTGATGTAACAAATGGTCACCACTTTGACGGACTTGGTATATCGTGAGAGTGCCATACTCGCCGACGATTGATTGGTGGGTCGTGACTGGGTTGAGTGGCAAGAGCAATACCTGTTTGGCGTGTCACGGGATCAGAGCCGGAGATGGGTGATGTAGTCGTAGAGTTTATGATGTCATTCCGCCGCCGTACCTGCTTAGATCGACTTCCAAGGTCGAAATCACATGGAGATCACTGAAGTTGGCACAATCATGTGTTTATAGTGTTTAGGGTCCACAAACTACTGCATCTCAAGTATGATGGTCTAATGTTCACTTCGTGAATGTCTGTGTATTACCGAGGTACTATATGATAAGGGGAATGTAGAAAAGAATCCTTGTTACATGTAAGATGTCATAGACGAAGAGTAGCCAGCCAATCATCGCCATGAGGCTCATTTGGTATGATCGATCAATCGTTGAATCTTCTCCAGAATATCATCGGTAGAATAGGGCTTGTAGATGATATCATCCATGCCAGCCTCGAGCATTTTCTCGCGTTGCTCCGCTCGGACGTTGGCAGTCACACCTAATATCGGAACACGGGAACCACTTTCCTTGGCCAAACCGCGAATTGCTTTCGTGGCTTCATAGCCGTCCATGCCGGGCATTTCTTGATCCATGAGGATGCAGTCGAAATCGTTAGATTTCACTGCATCCACAGCTCCTTGGCCATCGAAAGACTCCGTAATATCGAGTCCCAAGGACTTGAGCCTCCGTGAAATGATCCGCATGTTGATTATGTTATCTTCGACCAAGAGAATTCGAGGGCGAGTAGTCTTATCCTCATCGTGGACTTGAGCGGCATCCTGAGCATCACGTTCTGTCTGCTCATTTGAGACTTGACGCGCCAATCCCAATGAGTACTTCGTTCGTTCATTATCCACCGAGTCCGCTTCCGATAAAGCAGGCTTCTCTGAAATAGCAGGTTTCTCAGTCGATTGATTCACGCCACTGAGGTCGTTTCCAAATGACTGAATCTCCGCACTGAGCTTCTCAACGGCAGACGTGTCGCCATCGCTGCCTTTTGCGTTTGCATTCGCCTCCGGGCTGGTCCGTCGCACTTTGAAGAAAAATCCGAAGGTGCTCCCTTCTCCCTCCTTGGAGCTGACCCCGATCTCGCCGCCATGGATATGGCAGAGCTTCCTGCAAACATTTAGACCGAGGCCAGATCCACCGTAGGAACTGTCCGTCCTGGGGTCGCCTGATTGAAGCGCTCAAATAACCGCTTTTGACCTTGGTCACTAATCCCAATTCCAGAGTCCTTCACTGCGAGCATTATGTATGCTGTTTCTCCGTTTCCCCATTCAGGCCCGGTGGTGGCATCGTCATTGAGCGCAGATTCGCTGGATTTGAAGAAAACCACGTTCGGGGGGTATGAGCTCGGGCGCTCGATTGAAGCCCCTATAGAGACTCGAATCCATCGCTCCGTCGTCGACCTGGCGGTGAATTTGATCGAATTGGACAGTAGGTTAACGAGCACTTGGTTCATCCGGTCAAGGTCGGCTATTACCCAATCAATACCACAATTCTCGTAGGAAATGTCGGCTGTATATTCAAGTTCGATCTTCTTTTTACGGACCTCGGGACGGAAAATAGCGAGGGGCTTGAAGAAATTCTTTCTGGGCTGACTCGGCTTGGGGGTGAACGCTAACATTTTAGCGTCCAATTTCGAATAGGTGAGAACATCGTCGACGATCCTTTGCTGATGCGTGACACATAGGCCGATGGTCTCGGCGGCCTCGGAGACGCTCAAAAGCCAAGATGGATTCTGCGTTTTGGGGTGCGTCGCCTCCAGAATATCTTCGGTGCAATGCAGAATTGCAGACAGAGGGTTTCGGATCTCATGACTGATCATGTCGATGAAACGCTCCTGCTGCTCCTTGCGATTCTGAGCAGTCTGTGCGGCTTCCTTTTGGGAGAGTTCGGCTCTCTTTTCCAATGTTATGTCCGTCAGTGTACAAATATAACCCGCTTTCCCTTCCAATCCGAAATATTTCAGATCCTTGTCTTCCAGCTCATGCATTATCATCGCACACCATGTTGACTCCGGCTCACGCGTGTGGTATTCAACGCGTAGTGTCTGCTTGTGTCGTGTGGCCTCGTCGTATCGGATGGCCGCGACTCGATTATAGTCATCTTCGTGTATCGATGCCAGCCAGCAATCGCGGAAGCTAGAGCTGGAACAGGGACCATCTCTCGGAATCGTCGGTTGGCTGAACATAACTCGTAGCGGTCATTTAATATGGCGATGCCATTTGGCAAAATATCGGCCAGCCGTTGTGCTGAGACATTTTCGTGGAATTCCAGCGACATAGATTCTCTAGACCCCAATGCCCATCAGGTGTCGGGTTTGATAAGAGAATCGAGGATCTTAGCGTGTGTGGGTCAGTGGTAGATCCTACAAGTACATGGAATCAAACCGTTATCCACCGATCAAAACAGATTGTTCGAGTGTTCGGCGTATAGTGTGATCGAAAGAGCGTTGCAACCGAACCGGACAAAGCTCAATGGGAGGGTTTCAGTACATGGGGATCATGAGATCATGAGTGCTGAAAATTTCGAAGTACTAGGGATGAGGGGATGAGGGGATGCGAGGAGGGTCGGTACGTCATTGATGGAGCCTCGTGCAGGTCGAATGCAATAAAGTGTGGGTGCGGCGTTCCCCACTTGCGCCCGTCCATCGTCACCGGAAGATGTATCCACGATCTCACCCACGGGTATGATCGGCGATCGAATGCTCAAGTCTTCCACGTGTCTACTCATGGTCTCGCGAACAGTTAGGATGGCGATTTGGAGCTGACTGTTTGCTATATTATCACTCTGGGCATATATATTCAACTAGCAGGTAGGAGTCGATGGGTACGGTTCAAGATTGGCTCAAGTCGCTGCAGTTGCCAGTTGACAGCCCTCGGCAGTCCCGGCAAATATAAGAAAGATGACTAACAACTGAGGCAGGCGAAGGCTTGTGAGAGGCGTCGTATCACACTGGTGGTCGTCAACACTTTCTTAAGACACAGGAGCACCGAGATGATCCATGATTTCCGAGTATCTATACAAGGTCAGCAGGCGAATCCAAAGAGTCATGTCCAAGCCATACATTTGCACTCTCCACCAGTCCCCTGAACCGTCTTGATTTTCGAGATGCGGGTTTAATAAGCGGTCTGCGACTGGTTCATCGTTCGGGTCGTGGTACGAAGCCAGATACGGGTGCGAAAGGGCCGCTGAAGTGTCGAGTCGCACCCGTGGGTTATAAACAAGCATTTTATCCAAAATATCGATGGCTGGAAAAAAAGCGGATCAGCTATGTGAAGTCTTTTTTGATTTCCCGGGGCAATAAACCACCTTCAGGTGACGCTTTTCGCAGATATTCTTTCAAGTCCTGTCGTTCTTTCGGTGGCGACGACTGGAGAAGGTTCAAGGTCTAGAGAGTGAGCAGGAGACTCGGAGACTCAAATCGCAAGGCCCAGCTTACATTCTTCGTGGTAATTGTATCTACCATGTCTTGAGGGACAGACCCAAGGACACTCGAGATAACCATGAACTGATCAAATGCATCTTTGCCTGGGAACAAAGGTTTTCCCTCTATCATCTCGGCTAGGATGCAAGCCGCACTCCAAACATCAACCTGTTCATCATAATGTTTCCAGGTGAGCATGGTTTCGGGGGCGCGGTAGAACCTGGTTGTGACATATCCGGTCATGAAGAAATCCACCGACCGGGCAAGGCCAAAGTCGCAAATTTTCAAGTCGCAGTTTTCGTTCACGAGAATGTTTGTCGGTTTGAGGTCGCGATGAATGACGCCGGCCGAGTGAATATATTTGAGCCCACGCTAATGATTATCATGATCTCTGAGCCTCGTTGATCCTTGCACCTCTTTGCCTATCACTTACCATTATCTGATAGAAGAAATACTGCGAAAACTGACTGTCTAGAGGCCCTTTTCGCATGATCTTCTCCAGGTTTGTGCTTAACAATTCCGAGACGAGGTATCTGCAGTCATCAGTACTTTACCAAGTGCCTGGTGGGATCGAGAAACATTATTCCATACACGTCATCAAGCGGCGAAATGAAGAGATCGAGCAAAGCGACAACCTAAGATCATCATCTGTCAGCGAGGGGCCACCTCCAAACATGTCCATACACAAACATTGTCATGTTTCAATTGTCGGAGAAGACGAATTTCTCTAAATGTCTGCTTGGCCGACTCGGGACTCTGGAATGGTGCTGGAATTTTTTTGATAGCCACACGGCTCGCCGCAATGCTGTCTGTCGCTGAGCTTGTCGCGATTTAGTGAGTCCCTAATACTGAATCTTCTATTGAATTCATACCAAACCGACCCGAGGCCCAAGCCTCCCATCTCCAGCACCTCCAAGTTCGAGTATCTTTCGTTGGGTCAGTGTGCGCGCCTAACCCTTATACTATCATTCTGCTGGGCCGGGGTTATACCTGTTCACTATGTCGAATGTGATGCCGCAGACCTCATGCTTGACGAACTCGGCAAGGCTCGCACTCTGGTCCTCCATGATGAGCTGCTTGATGAGATATGTGAGACCTTCGAGACTTCCAAGCCCCCGCCGCTTCGCGTTCCTATCCGTAGCACGTGATGATACTGTCGGAAGAAAGAAGAAATGGGTTTAGTTAGCAAGGCCCCTTAGCAATCTAAGCCATCTGGTACCCAATATTTCCCATGTGGAATACTTAAAATACTTCATCTACTACTCAGGATCATCTTGATCTGAGGCTATCAATTGTGCATTTTGATGGTCTAGATTTGGACGTGGATCTAGACTCCGGCTTGGGATGACTGGTGCTGGTACACGCGGACCCATTCCGAAACTCCCCACGGTGGAATCTCCATATAAGCTTTAAGTTCAAAGTATATAGCTCTGCTGCGAGATTTGAAGAAGGGCCCACTCGCTATTCCTTTTCGAAACATACAAATAGAAAATTTAAATTAAGGATAAAAGAAGAATAAAAACGCCAACAAAATTTGCCAGCATTGTCGCATTGTAGTCTGGACTCAGAGCACCGGTTGCCGGAGAATAAACGAAGCTCGGAAGATTAGGGAGATCTGCCAATCTGCCAGAGGCGAATTTTCAACGAAGCCCCCCCCGTGGGTCCCACTTTCTTACATTTCCACCCCCCCCCCCCGGGGCCCACTCCAACTCTTCGATTCTTCAATCGAAACCTGTCCACCGGCCCTTTTCTCTCCTAAACTCCCTCAAATTGACTGGCAGCGTTCCAGATGCCATCTACTAGGTCCATAGCCAGACATCGGGGGTGATGTCTAAGCCCGTTTCGCTGCCCGTGGCTCAGCACCAGCAGCTGAGTTACCACTCATCCAGGGAACGCGAATTGTTCAAGTACTGCTCCTTTCAAGCAAACCAAAAGGACACGTTCTAACGTCACTCTTTAGGTATCTGCCTTCCTACCTATTAGAACGGCGCAACCTGCCCTATGTCGATCGAAATACTCAATCCCCGGAGTCCGTGGCGCAACCAGGGCCGGATTCTGTCTTGACTGCATTGGCTCAACTGGGCACTCTACACCTTGATTCCTCGCGCGCCTTCATTTCGCTGTTTGGCCGGCACGATCAGTACATCCTCACCGAAGCCACTCGGACTCTGAGCTTGCAAGATGTGACTGACTCAACGGCGCATCGTGAACTCTGGCTCGGTCATTGCACCATTTCCTATGAGCGAAGTTTGTGCAGCCAGTTTTTGGACCCGACCAACGATAAGTTGGTGGTTGTACCTGACACAGCTCAGGATGAACATTACAGGGATCATCAGGATGTGGTAAATACCGCATACGTTCGCTTTTTGGCGAACAGCCCCATCATCAGCCCCAAGGGAGTGATTATCGGCGCATATACCGTCGTAAACGATAAGCCCCACGAGCCGCTAGATAGCCACCTGGAAAAATCCTTGGTGGACATTTCCAAGACGATCATGGATTACTTAGTCGCGACGAGGGCTAGAGAACAACATGCTCGTAGCGAGCGCATGATGATCGGGCTTCGGAGCTTTCTTGACGGGAAAGGGAGTCTCCGTGCCTCATGGGTTACCGACAACGAGGACACCTTCTCTCCAATTGAAGGATTTGGCGAAGGCCATGTCAATATGGAGCAGCAGAAAAAACAAATATCAGATAACGTGAATGAAGCAATGGATAACAAACCCCCCTTTGCGCGAACTCCCTTTTCGACCGAGCAACTTCCGTTCACAACGAGCCCACATGCTAGATGCACAATCTCTGCAGCAAAGGAATTTGGCTCCGGTGAATACCAACTCGCGGGATATCGGGAGTTTTGACCTGAAGTCAGCACCCTCAGAAATCAATGCAAAATCAGTGGAAATATCGCCTAAACTGGCCTATAAAGCCCAGATAAAACATGCTTTCTCGAGGGCGTCCAATATCGTCCGCGAAAGCATTGAGGTAGAAGCCGCGGTCTTCTTTGATGCCAACTTCGGGACTCAAGAAGTGCTTGTCAATGTTTTACAGTCCGACTCCGAGAGCAGCGGCCTCGAGACTTTTTCATCAACGGATGATGAGTCTCAAACCAAGAGAAAACCTCTGAAAAGAGATCTCCAAAAGATCGTGCAGAACGAAAATGCTGGAAAAGGCACGAAAAACCCATGCAAGGTACTTGGATTCTCCTTATCAAACGCATCCAGCCTAGATCAACAGTCTATTGAGGACGAAAACATTGCTTTGTCGGAAGGGTTCCTCGGGCAGCTACTGCGCCGATATCCACGGGGGAAGATCTTCAATTACGGCGAGGACGGATCTATATCATCTGAAGAAACCGGTGACTCCTTTTTCAAACCATCTTTTGAGCGTAATGCAGGCAAGAAATATAAGAAGACACGCAAAACGACTCTGCGCCAGGATGCTACCTTACTCTTACAGCTTGCTCCCAACGCTCGCAGCATCATTTTCTCCCCTTTATGGGACTCGCACAAAGAGCGATGGCACTCGGCCTGTATCTCGTGGACAAATATCCCGCACCGTATTCTGACCCCCGATGACGACCTCACATTCCTTTTTGCGTTTGGGCACAGCCTCATGGCTGAGATCCACCGGCATGAGGATCAAATGGCAGAACGAGCGAAAAGAAATCTATTATCGGGAATTAGCCATGAGCTTCGCTCTCCTCTCCATGGCATTTTTGGCACAATGGATATTTTGAACGAGACGGCTATGAATGCCCTACAGCGGGGGTTCATGCACACGATCTCATCTTGCGCTTTCACCCTCCTTAACTCACTTGATCAGCTTCTTATGTACGCCAGTATCAATGACGTGCCCCAGAACGACCAAAAGGCTCCACCTCTCCGTCATAATCAGTTCGGACCTGACGTGACATTTCCACTGGCGGGGACCGATGGCGACGACGCCGTGCAATTTGATACTGCAGTGGAGAATACTATCGAGTCAGTTTGTGCTGGCTATTTCTTCTTTGATAAAGATGCCGAGAACTCTATTCATTTCATGGCTGATACGGCCCACACAACATCGGAACCTCTGGGAAATCGTGTGATCGTCATTTTCGATGTCAACTACAACCGGAGCTTCAGTTTCCTCACTCGACCCGGGGCGTGGACTGTAATCTTGACGAATGTTCTTGGAAATGCCTTAAAATTCACGAGAGACGGACATGTCTATGTTTCCCTGAAGTCAAATCCAGTTCAGTCCGATTCGGCTGGTCCAATCCTTCAGTCGGATATCACAGTCACGGTTCGAGATACTGGATGCGGTATGAGCCAGGAGTTCCTCGATCATAAATTGAGCAAAGCCTTCTCCCAAGAAGATAGCTTGGCCACTGGCAATGGCCTAGGCCTCAATATTACAGGCAAGATGGTGGATTCGCTCGGGGGTAATATCCGTATCAATTCCGAAAAAGGTGTCGGTACTGAAGTTGTGATCACAGTAACTCTTGATCATGACATGGCCACCACAGACCCTCACGATATCCAATCAAGGGAACTTCTGCCCTCCCCTTCCGACTTCTTTGCTCGTGGGAAAACCATAGGAATTTTCGGGCCGGACTCTTCCACCGCAGATAATTATTTGTTTTCATCCTTGAAAAACCTCTGTCAAAATTGGTTCCACATGGATACCCGCGTGGCTGCGCCGTCACGAGAAGAGCTCGGCAAATGTGACTATTTCATCTTGACGCAGGGGTTGAGTGATATGAGCTTCCTAGATTCACTCTTCCCTGATACAGGTCGAATACTCCCACCTCCGATCATAGTGATATGTTCGTCGCCAAGGGCTGCGCATTCGATGTCCTCAGCCGTTCGACGTCGCCAGAAGCGCGCCGACGTCTTCGAGTTCATCAGTCAACCATGCGGACCCCGGAAGCTCGCTAAAACATTGGAGATCTGTAGTCGGCGGCAAGAAAGGCGATTTGATTTAATGCATGAGAACGGGGCTGCTTCGAAGGTTCAGGTAAGGGGTCCTATATCATCAACGCCCCGAGAGCTTGACAGGCCATTACCTCTCCCGCTGGATATCCAGGAACCCCTTCGACAAGTAGTACAGGTCCAGGCCACGGATCAACCGTCAGAGCCACTCGAGACACTGCTGGAAGTGAATACCCCAGCTTCCGAAGATGAAAGCCAGCCTCTTGAGCCAGAGAAATCTCAGACCGTGAAAACCCCCTCTACTGTGCTTATCGTGGATGACAACGACATTAATGTCAGGTTACTGGTGGCTTTCATGAAAAGGCTAGGCATTCAAAATCTTGTTGCGCGGAATGGGCAAGAAGCTCTACATTGTTTCAAAAAGAAGGCATCTGAAATTATGATTATTCTAATGGGTAGGTGGCGAGCAGGCTTTATTGGCCATGGTACGATAGGCTAATATTCGATTGTAAAAGACATTTCGATGCCTATCATGGATGGTCTCGAGGCCACCCGGCGGATCCGAGAGGTTGAGAGGATGATGGAAGGCAAAGAACGGACTTTCATCTGTGCGCTTACTGGCGTTGCTCAAACCGATACAGAACGCGAAGCATTCGGATCTGGGATGGACATGTTCCTCACGAAGCCAGTTCGGCTGAATACATTACGCCCGTTGATTGACGAGAGAATTCATCGATCACGCTACGACTAGGAACGAAATACGCGAACACGACTTGTAGACAACTTGAGAGAAATACCTTTCATAAGGCTTTTTTCTTAACACGATTGAAATTTGGTATATAGACGTCACACAATCCAAATACACGATACCCGGGTTGAAAGCTTTAATCTTTCTCTAATAAGTCTCAGACACCATTTCCTTGCCTAACCAACCCTCGAAATTTCCTTTGCCTTCGAAGCTATCATCCGGGACTTCCCCGTTATACGCACCACGATGGTAGCGCAAAACCTCGAAATATCTTTCTGCTGTCAGTTTTGCTTCATGATGGACAGGGAAGAGAGGGCAGGACACACATATGAGTTTTCCATTCGTCCTCTGACTTTTCTGACTCGAGAAGGGACCAGTCGATCTGCTTATCGAAAATAGGCTCATCCTCAGGTTCAGAGTACATTGCAACGTATGGGTGGGCCAAGCCGTCTTCTGTATTAATTCTTTTCGCGGGATCGAGGACCAGCATTTTCTCCAGAAGATCCACAGCTGCGAATATTAGCATCTGTCTAGGGTAAACCTAAAACATAGGCTGTTGGCATCAACGAGCAAGGGACATACCTTGAGGATCGGCGCCCTTAAAGACAGAGGCGAGTGACTTGGGCTTATGATCAGGTAGACCTTCCACGAAGTCCAGAGCCTGGAATCCGTTGTCAGCAAATCATATCTTTCCGCTTCAACGGTTCATGGAACCATACGTTCTTGCTATAAACCGTATCCATGACCTCCTTGGGCGGTTTGCCCAGAAGTTCGATTATCAGGGTGAGCTGGTGCACATGGTCCTTGCCAGGGAACAGAACCTGGCCTCGTAGCAATTCCGCGAGGATGCAGCCAACACTCCAGATGTCCACGGCATAGGTGTACCGTTGCCAGGTCAACATGACTTCAGGCGCTCTGTAGTACCGTGTCGTAACATAGCCGGTCATTTGTTCATCCTTCTCTCGCGCCAGCCCAAAGTCGCAGATCTTCAAGTCGCAATTTTCATTGATCAAGATATTGCTCGGTTTGAGATCGCGATGGATCACCCCGGCGGAATGAATGAATTTCAAGCCTCGCTGCGCCTGTTAGTTCTGCGAATTCTGAGTCCTGGTAAAGGGGGGGGCCCTCGTGGCAACATACCAGGATCTGGTAGGTGAAAAATTGAATAAATTGGCCCTCTGGTGGTTTCTTTGTTGACTGGAGTAAATGATGAAGATCCATTTGAACAAGGTCTGTCACCAGATATCTGCGGCGCAACTTGTTAGCATGCTACTACCTTCGAGCGGAAGATCGCTTTCATACACATCCTCTGACGGAGAGATGAAGATATCTCTCAAATTAATCAACTACCCATAGAATCCAAGTTAGAACTCGCTCTTAAAGATGGAAGGAATGGCGATTTACATTATCATGCCGCAGGTTACACAACATATGAACCTCGCGATATGTACGCTTAGCCACGCCGCTCGTCGCAAAAGGGTTCATGATCTTCTTGATAGCGACCGTTTCCTTGGATGTCGTGTCGGTAGCCGAGCTGAAAATGACTCTTAGGATGGATCTACCCTGGCGACTCTATCTGAGGTACATACCAGATAATCCCCGAGGCTCCGAGGCCTCGAGGTTTCAGATCCGAATACCTATCGGTCGTTTCTAGGGTCGTGCCCATAAGCTCCGTCTTTACGAAGTTGGCCATGGCTGGGATTGGGAGATGACAATCGTGATGGCATCATGATTGATGCCAACTGCCAACCGAAGATTTCAAATAGCATGTCGTTGGCGGCTACGTCATACTTGCCGGGTCGAGCCAAAGACCGTTTATCAGGTTCGCTTACCCTAACTGCCCGGTTTTGCCTCCTGCGCCAAACAACTACCTGTGGATAACTGGGGACTGATCAGCGATAAAATATTCTAGATTAAATCGAAGGGCCGTTTGGCGCCAATCATAAGTGGGTGTTTTTTCCGTGCGGCCGGTTCCATCGATTCGTGGCCTCCCGGACCTCGGCTCTCATTGACGTCACAAAACATTCTGTGGGGCAAAGCCATCTAACTTTGCACTTTACCACCTATTTTTGTCCTGTCAGACGTCAAGGTCTCGTACTAGTACTATAGGGCTATTATGTATCACAGTTTCAAGGGCGAGGAATGTCAACTTGCATATCCCGACAATAATTCATTCGAATTGGTGGCCTTTGCACGGCATACTCATTAGCGAGAACTAGAGAATTCAATAATATGATCGGCAATCTGCTAAGTAAATCCTCGAAGTGCCAATCTAGATTCTAGGCCTGATCTTGAGCTCCAGTGGGCAGCCGACGTTTTGGCTGATTTGCCCAGCCGTGTAGAACTAATAGCACTAGTAGCACATAAGATACATCTCAGCCTCCAAAGTCGATCGATGATCCGCTTGCATTGGCTTGCATGTACAATCCAACTCCACCGCTTGCGCAAGATGTTAAAATATATTATGAGGATGTTCTGATTCGAGAGATAATAAGTCAATAACACCCTGGCCTAGCTGTCGAGAAATACGCCAAGATCCTCGATTCGAATAAGCACTACGCAGTATAGCTCGGTAGACCCACACTCTTCACTTTGATGTTCTGCATTAGATAGACCCCAATCGATGCAGACTGACCTTAGGACTCGGAGATGATTCGGAGTACGCAAGACCCGCAGAAAACCGTGGAAAATCTCCCCCTCGGTCCATGTGGATCATCGCAAGATACAGTGCTTGTGCCCACCAGGGTCAAGCTTGGCCGCAACTGCCACGCGCCTGCCCGAGTACTTTTCGGTATACAGCGGCCCGGTAGCAGCCACGCATTAACTACCTGGGCTAGCAATGAATATTGAAGCCACATCTTATAGGGGGTGCTACCGCGGTACTTTGTCGGGGAAGCTTTTTGGAATCACTATTTGTTATGATTCGAACCCGTTCAACTGCTTCAAATTGAGGGCTCGGGACAATGGGGCGTAGTCAGCGACCAGCCCTGGATCGGTGCCTTGTTGGCTTATGCCAGCATATATCTCGATTCTCGACACGACCGGTTTGATCTCACAAGTTTCCACAGAAATTGCAAAGAGGCCTTGATACTCGTTATGATTCCCTCTCTATCAGAACATATATGTAGAAAATATCTCCAGGCAGCTCACTACTCGCTTAGTCATATCGTCTTCCTGCGCTTTTCGGATACCTGCCGTTGATTGGCGGACTGTGGATGCAAATTTGGGACAGGCACGGAAGGGGTCGATGGCATTTTTCGTACTTCAACGTAATAGAGCTACATCTAATTAGGCGATAATTTCTAGTAAGGAGACCTGATATATGGGCTACAGGTCCTGTTCAAACTCCAGAGGTCGCCATGCAAGCCCACACAAACATACTTGCCATATCCTTCTGCGTGCCTCGCTAATTGGTTCATTGCTCTTTAATTAAACAGAATGTTTAATTTTGCTGTAAATGTGCCGCCTTTAGGCTATCTCGTCCGCTCACGCCCACGAACCGCCATTTTCACTTGACTTGAACACCGACTTGTCGTTGATATCGAAATTTCCAATGTTTCACTGAATAAGTGCAGATATTAAGTTCAAATATCTTTTTTATAGTAGATACTGTATTTCCTTTCTAGGTGTCCTTCTGATAGTGATGACTAAGCAAGCTATAAAAACCGCTGTCCCTGCATTTTACGTGTCTCCCAGCTCGCCGGCGCTTCTGGTCGTCGTCGTTTTTCTGGGTTCCCCATTCTTCTGGGATCCCCACACTTGAGGATCTCTCTTCCCCCACACACTACTTCTTCCACGTTTTTTTTTCCCCTTTCCACTTTGTCCTTCAGTTTCAGGATAGCGTGCCACTGTTGACTGCATTCTTTGTTGCCTTTTCCTGGCTCTAGCTTTGTCTTGAATATCTTATTCAGGGCAAGGAGGGCCTCAAAATATCCTATCCAGCCTCTACTTCCCCAGTCCAAGATCCTGAGTCCTCGTCGGCAAGCCAGCTTATTTCCGCCTCTCCGTATCTCCTCGCACCTCCTTGCAGTTTATTTTACAATTTATTAGCAGGGGGTTTGACAGGCCTACAACGTTCCTTTGAGGGTTCATTGGCTCCTCCCGTCGCCTTGTTGTGCACGCAGGCGACGGGTTACGCTATGGGGTCCTCAAACATAGTCATTGATTTGACTGGCGAGTCGGATGATGAACAAGTGGTAAGTACACAGATCTCTTCGATTATCCCAAACCCTTCATCTGGACCCTAGGGATGTGTACGTTGTGGCTACTTTGATACCTCAATCTGCATAGCTCCTTCCTAGCTTGCACATTCCTAGGGTCTACCCCCTGGTTATCTTTCATCATGGGGACTGTTTTTATGCATCAATCGCATCCTGACGCCCGCTCATGCATCTGCCGACGTGCATTATGCCGGGGCCGCTCATGCTAATCAATCATGTTGACATCTTTGACTAACATTGTCATTTCCTTCCAGAACAACACGACAAGTATGCATCAGGACCACGTGCATGCTCAGCCTGGCAATTTGGATCCGACTAGGAAGCGTCTCTTGTCCCCCTTTACCTCTTTGAAACGCAAGAGCATTGAAATTGAATCGGATGAGAATGAGAAAGATTCTTTGTCTGACACTACGGCTGTGTCTTCTGAAAATAAGAAATTCCCGAAATCGAATCTCAAAAATTTTCCAGCACCCTCAAGTCCGCCTGCAACCTCGACCACGTTCCATTCCAAAGCAGTAAAGCACCATGTTAATGTGGTCATTCCTTCCCCGACGGCTCGGCAGCAAAAGGATCTCTCCAGCCTGAAAACTGAGGCTCCATTCCAGGGGTTGTCTACGGTTCTCTATCCCGTCGATGAGGAAGAAAAAAGGCAAGCTGCCCTGCGCCGTTACCACCACGCTCGATCTGTGGATACAAGTGTTGTGCCACTTATCATCTCCTGTAACCTTCCCAGCACTGAATCCCCCCCATGTCCCCCCTACTCAATTGGTACTGCAATCCTTCAGGCGAAAAATCCAGATGCTCGATGGCCCTGGGGTGACCTTCGCCGTCGACGATGAGAAGCTCGCGTACCTATCTACAACATTCGAATTCATCAATGACTACATGCTGGGTGAGTCTGTTACTCCCGTAGACGAGGCCTTCAATAGCGGCTGCAGTTGTGTTGGACCCTGCGATCCTGCAACCTGTGGCTGTCTCGTTGACGATTACGGCGACATCACCGAGGATAACGGGGACGCAAACAGCGAGGACGAGCAGGAGCCGATTGGAAAGATCAATCCTTACGATAGGAAGCGCTCAACTGCGGAGAAAATGGTCCTATCTCCCGAGTTCCTGAAGAAGAGGCAGCGAATCTACGAATGTAACTTCCGCTGCAGCTGCAAGGGTAATTGCTGGAATAAGATCGTGCAGCACGGGCGCCAGATCCGACTGGAGATATTCGACACCGGCAATCGTGGCTTCGGTAAGCTCTCTAATCCAACTGACATCCCCCGCCCTCCCCGCGATCACATTATCTTAACAGTTGAACAGGTCTCCGCTCCCTGGACCCCGTCGTCACCGGTCAATTCATCGACCGGTACCTCGGGGAGGTGATCACTGAGGCAGACGCCGACCTCCGCGAAGCAGCCGACAGCAAGAACAAGTCCTACCTCTTCAGCCTGGATTTCAACCAGGCCAACTTCGAAGAGGGCGACAAGCTGTACATCGTCGACGGGCAAAAGTTCGGATCACCCACCCGCTTCATGAACCACTCTTGCAACCCGAATTGCAAGATCATCCCGGTCTCGACCACCAACCCGGCCGACGACCACCTCTACCACCTCGCGTTCTTCGCGCTGCGGGAGATCCCGGCTGGCACGGAACTCACCTTCGACTACAATCCGACCGGGGCGGCGGAGAAGGTCGCCTCAGACGACCCGACCATCGTCCCGTGTCTGTGTGGGGAAAAGGTGTGTCGTGGCCAGCTGTGGCCGAATGCCCGCCAGAAGGGCCAGCTGCGACGCGACTCGGCGTGAGCGGGCGCTGGAAGCCTTGTTCTTCGCCCTTTGACTTTTTTTTTTTTGTTCCACGTATGATGACTACGAATGACCAGCTTAGGACTGGTGCTTTTAATACCCCATATGTGCATGAATCCTATTAGTACTCCATCCGCGCATCTGTCACTTCGGATATCACGTAACATTCAGATATATCGAAGGTAGTTTCTATCTTTGGTACTCTCATTCCTCTCATGTGCAGATCAGTCGTAATTATCTTGTCACGATGCGTACAAGGACCCATGATGGAGAGAGAACACAGGCTCCCTGTGAGGATATGCAGGTAGCTGACCGTAGTCCAACTTCGTTTAGCTCTCGCGACTGAGGGGCCAGCAGCCAGTTTTGATGGGATACTGAAAGATGTTCTCGTAAATTGACATTTACTCGGAGAGACCAAGGGAGAAAAATTACCAGCTTGCCGTGGGGAGGTAAGAGTATAGCGAATTTGAATTTCAGAGGGGACGAGGGTTGCATGAGACTTTCTTGCATGTGCTTGGTGCTCGAATTCCCGGGTCCTTGGTACTGCACCACGGGCGGCAAGGGTCCACGGAAGGTCCATTGTTGGCGGCGGCTGCTTGGAGTGTCAGGCAGGGCAAGTCGAGGCGTGGCCGGGCATCGAGTCCGGGCTTGGTGGTGCCGAAGGGAGTCCGGCGCTCAAATCTACTACGGGGAGTGTTTCGAAGCTTTGATTGCCAGCGCAGCTAACCTCCATCAATCATAGTTTTTATTCTTATTTTTGATTTTTGATTTTTCATTTCATTTTCAAAACTTCGCTCCATAATGAGTATGCAAAAAAGTGAATTAAAAGCCACTATCAAATTGGTATCAAGTATTAGAAACCCATCCTATACAAAATGGTGAACATTCAAAAAGAAAAAAGAAAGAAGAAGAAATTCCAGAACAGCTGTACACTCCAGAAAATAAAAAAAGTCCGCAGTCCTCAAAAACGCCCAAAGCCGTAGGTAAGAGATCCAGAAATCAGAACAACCCAGCCTGGACTTTAAGCGCGGCCTTCCATAACCTCAAAGATACCCCCCCATAACGAACCGGGGCTGCTGCACTGCTCGGCTGTCACTAGAAACACTTGACCTCGCCCCGGAACAGGAGCGTCGCTGAGGGGCACCCACCGCACCGATGCTCGACATTGCACCGGGAGCATGGTGGAAGCCCATAGCCGCATTCCGCTCGATAGGCCGCGGTTCCATGAGGTCCAGACCTTGGCGCTCAATAGCATCGCAGTCGCAGCGGGACTGTTCTTCGCTAAGAGCCATCTCGACTGCAGAGGGTCGGCGGCGGACGACCATCAGAGAAGAGCGGCCGCGGAGGACAGCGCAGGGGAGGACGCTCACGCCGTTTGCGGGCTCGCTGAGGCCATGGCGGGGAGAGTCGGAGTCTTCCTTTGCGGTATGTGGGTGGAAGACGAGGTCGAAGAGGTGGTCAGGCGAGGTCACCTGGTTGTGTCGACGCGTTGAAGTGGTTGGAGATGGAGGTGCCGATGTTGTAATAGAGCTTGGTGGGCTGGGAGTATCGCCCACGGGGAACTTCTTGGTGCGGAGGGTCGGGCGGGGAGAAAATGGGGATTGTAGTTGATCCATTTTTTCCTGGCTTGCCGCCTTAATTCTTGCTCGAGGATATTTGGTATCGCCTCCTGGATCCTGAGATTGTGATTGGCTGAGGTGGGATGTATGGAATGCGGGATGGGGATGGGGATGGCCAGGGTCAGCTCCCCATGTTCTGGAGAAGAGGAAATTGACGGGGAGAAAAGAGACCAGAGGAACGTTGAAGTTTTTAAGAAGTTAGATGAGTAGTGAAGATAAGTCATGAGGGCCTGCAAGGACCATGCAGGGAGAGTTTGAGACACGAAATTGAATATCGGATGCGGCCGTCCCGCATGCGGATGAATGTGATTGTGCCTGCCCCGGATGCGGTTCCCCAGCTTCCCATCGTCTCTATTGTTCGAGAGAACAATGGGGATGTCTAGGCTGTTTACTCCTCTTTACGGTCACATTCTACTCTCTGCTATCCAGGCAATCCCCTCAACCCTTCAAGGGCTTGAAATTACCTCTACAGACCGAATCCAATAGTTCGGCCCCACTTGATTCAGCCTGCACTCGGAAACCTTGAAATCCGCGGGATCTGAATTGAAGGGAATCTATATCCATTGTACTTGCCATGAAGGGCATTTTAAAGACACTGAAGGACAGAAATATATGTCAATGATAGCAAGGGGAAAAAAAGAAAAAGAACGAAAGAAAGGGAAAAAAAAAGAAAAAGGCAAATCCCACGCCGTTGCTATGCTCCCAAATGCTAGGATCAAGGAGGGTATTGTACAGCAAACAAAATGATGAAACTCAGCGAACCCTTCGAGGTCAGGAACTAGCTGAGAGAAAGAGAAGGAAAGAAAAAGAGAAAGAGAAAAAAAAGAGAGAATTCAAGATGTGCAAGAAAAAGAAAGCCCCTACCTCCCCCGTCATATATCCATACACCCATATTCGTCTTTCATAGAAAACACATTAACACGTTACCAGACAATCACCCGTCGGATGATTGCCCATCCGATTTTCGGTCGTCAGATCGGCGCTTCGTAAAGCTGCGCCGGATGCTCTCGCCCCAGGCGGAAGTCTCCAGGGAGCTCATCACGTCCTGCACGCTCATGGCACTGTTCTGCCGTTGGCCCTCGCCAGGGGTACCAGGTGATTGCGAGCGATCGGCAAGATCAAATGACGCTCGATCGCCGTACATGTGACGTGGAGTGCGCGACGGACTGAAGCTTGACCAGTCCGTTGGAGTACTGTTACCCGTTGTCCGGCCCGTCAGCGAGGTGTCCAGACGAGGCAGGTCTCTGAGGCGACCAGTGGGCGTGGACTCAGCCCGACGGTGCGAGGAGGAAGATGGCGAGAGCATGGGTGTGAACGGGGACTCGGCATCAGGTTGGTTCTGCGGTGTCATGGTACCCGGGGCGGGCGCGTCAAAGTCATCGGAGTCAACAGGATTCTCAACAAAGATTTCTGGCACGGTGAACTGTGGAGGAGCAGCCATCCGGCCTTCCTTTCTGCGCTCCACAGATCGTCGGAAGCGGCGTGACCAGTAGAGAGTGTCAAAGAAACTGATAACCGTGTTGCGACGCACAGCTTCTTCCACACGTTGAAGCCGCGCTCGGCGACGGAGGAATTCTTCCAGGCGCAGACTCTTGCTATCGGTGATGATCTTGTAATGGGCAAGGATCATCAGAATCTGATGGAAAGAGATACCCCGATCAGGGTCAGCTGACACTAAGACTTCCTCGTAGAACGTGTTAAGCATCAGGCGCTTGCGTCGGATTTCATCCACCCGGGATGCCCTCCACGATCCGGGCAAGCTTCTTAATATCGACGCCGTCGATGACATTATCTGTCTTGGGCTGCTTCGCCGAGGAGAAGGACTCTCGCGAACGGAACGGCATCGACGATGAGGACAAGGAGTAAACAGAACCTTGTGGATTATCAGTGCGGCATTGCTCGAGAATGGCGCCCACAGTGAAGGGCTCTTCGTAGATTCGCATGGCAAATACTCCGGACAGTTCCTTGATACAACGTTAGCTGACCACTTGGGTGAAAGCCTCAAGTAAAGAATTGACTTACCCCGAGTAACCGAGGGAACTGCTCTTTGCTGATGAATCCTGTGCCGTCCGGGTCATACTCGGCCCAGGCCTGCTTGAACCGACGAATCTCCTCACGGCTAATTGCATACAGCCCGCTGCTACGTTGGTAGACGTAGGAGAAACTTTCGAAAATGAGCGAGACAAACAGCGACACAAAAATATACATGCTAATGATGTTCCATGCAATGAACAGAGTGCGAGCCCATGCAGCACTGCCGCAGTCATCGCTGAGGAAGTCGTCATCGTATGTGCAGAATGGTGGCTCCATCGTGGCGAAGTCTTCCATGATCTCGTTCCAGCCTTCACCACAACTGCATCGGAAGAGCAGGATGAGTGACTTGGGAATATCTCGGAAATTGAGGTTGTTGGTTTCCTGACTGCCGAACTTGGTGAGGCCAAACGACTGGTTCATCGCAATGCCAAATACCAAAAACAGGACAAACCAGGTTGCAAGAAGATTTCCAATGACCGGCAGACTAGCCGCGGCGGTTTTGAAAAGCTGGTCTAATTGGTTGTTGCGCGGAATAAGCAGCAATGCAACCGCGACCAGGAATAGTTTATTGAGCTCCAGAACCGCCTGGGCCGGATAAGCAATGTTCAGGATAATGGTGACGAAGGCGCCAGGAACGGCCAGGATGGAATAAAGATCCCAAGAACTTCGAACAAATCTGTGCCACCCTAGCCCAACCAGGCGAATGATGACGTTGGCTAAGAAGATGAGGATGAAGAAGAAAATAATGATTGCTGGATAATGTTAGCAACCCTGAGAAATTGCTTCATTGGGCATGCGCCATGTCCAAACTTACAGCGCGTTAGCTCCCAAGCGTGTGGTTCTGGATAGTATTCCAGCATCAAAAAGACCAGATGAGCCAAGAGGGTACAATCAACCAGGAGCGCCCATCGACCGTGCTTCTTGACAGCAACTCGATAGCACCATTTTTGCCAGCCAGCGCCGCTGGCATTGAGAGATCGTTTCGAGGGGGATATTTGGCGCAGGAGCTTTCGTAGCTCCAGCCACGACCGTTGCTCGGCAGTCAAGAAGGCAACACCAGTTTGTTCCGTGTAGTTACGCATGAAAACGGACACAAACAGCGTCAAGACGAACACTGCACCGAGCAAGTTAAATACCACGAAAAAGAGGCCATTCTCCGGCGCAGCTCCCTCCTGTGGTTGTATCCCAGCCCTGATAATACTCATGGCACTATCCTGGACATCAATCCAACCCTCTTGAGAGACAATTTGGAACAGAATGAACAATGAGTCCCCGAAATTATCGAACGAGTAGTACGGATTGGATGCAACTCGGGGTGCGAGGACTTCCCAGTTGTAAGGTGAGCTGGGATACTCGTTGATGCACGCCGTCAGGTTTCCGGAGAAGTTGCTGTCGTTGCAGCTTACCATTTGTCCATTGAACAGATTGACACCGTAGATAGCAAAAGGGATCAAGAAACTCATCGAAACCGATGCGGCAGCAAGGACCTTCATGCCGCCGACTATGATTACCGAATGGAACGTGTCTTTAGCGCTATCGCTAACATTGAGCAGCCGTAGGGCTCGGAGTGCTTTGAAGGCGCCAATGGGTCTGGAGAGAGTATAGTCTTTGACCAACGAACTGCCCACGTTGATCCAGAGCGTGACTAACACGACACCGTCGATGAAGCCCCAGGAGCTTCGGAAGTACGCATTAGGTGTCCAGAAAAATCCGTCTGCAATCACTTTGATAACTGCCTCAATGGTGAAAACGACAGCGAAGCCCATGTCCGTGTAAACGAACCAGTTACGGTCAGAGCTGAAGTACTTCTTTTGATACAGAGGTGTGGTAATACAAGCCAGAAGCACCATGGCCACGATCGCCGCGTAGATGAAGGCTGAGAATGCGTACCACACGGGCTTGTACGGATCAACACCTTCGACCCGTTGGTTACCTCGGCCTGGGCCGACAATGCGCTGGCAAACCTTCCGGATTGGATCATGCGGCCCGAAGAGGTACAGCGATTTGTTATAATTCGGGTGTTTGACGAGGTATTCTCGCTGGGCCCGCTTCCTCGCCTCTGAAGCAGAGACCACTTCTCGAGCCATGGTTCGAGGGTCCAATTCTTCATAAGCTCGCGAGAATTGGAGCTTGGAATAGAATGGATTAGGCTCGCGGCCCATAACGAGAGACGTAATCTTGGTCCATATCTGTGAGAGGGCGCCCGGTTCAACTGCATCAGCGGCTGCAGTGTCGGGAACTGTACTTTCTGGATGGCGGCGAGCTTCATCCTGCTTTTTCTCGTCCTCTGCTTCATCCAAAAATTCTCGGACAACGGCGTCCTTTAGGAGCATCTCCAATGCTGCCGGTCCATGGTCAAGAGGATCTTTGTAACGGATGGAATCCCGACCAAGTCGAAGAATTTTGGAGAGGGCAAGATTGCCTTGGGTCTGTTGTCCAACGTGCTTCTGTTCGAGGAATGCTTTCACTTGTTGCAATCGTTTCTCATCTTCTGACACGTCAAAACTTTCCTGAATGACAGCAATGAACATGTTTAAGATAATGAAATTCGCCACAATAAACCATAGAATCACGAATGACGCAGAAATCCACGCTGTGTTGAAGTGTGTTGTGTAGGTAGTGGCGTTATACAGAATAGTAGTCCAGTTTTCACTTGAGAGAATTTGGTACATTCCGAGAAAAGAGTTGTAGATGTTGCCGAAAGTGATGCTGATAGAGTTGCCAGCTGAATCGGCGTCGGGGATTTGGCTTCGGAAAAGCTGTGTTGCGAAGATGGCAGCCAAAAAAGTCATCAAGAAAAGGAAGAATATGAGGTTCACCAAACCAACAGTGTTCCGGAAGACAATCATAATAAGCTTCCTCGTCACGGGAATCAGCAAAACCACTCTGTAGACCCGGAGGATTTGAAACAATGTCATGACAGTGTATGGTCGGCCGGAATTCTTGATAGGAGGTATCTGGATGAGGCAGGTTATCACCACAAGGAACAGGTCGAACCAATTGCGACGACTCCGGTGAAACGAGCGCCAGTCAGATACGAAGCGGAGAATAATCTCGGCTAGTAATACTAGGGTAACGACGGTTTCGGTGGTGTTGATAACTCTCTCACGGTCATCTCCCATAGTAGAGCTCCTCAAGGCCTGAATGACGAGATCAAATATGATGAGAAGCACCCAGAACCATTCGGTCTTGTCATAAAGCCGCTTTATGAAGCTTGGTGGGCGGGTTGAGGTTTCATCCTCCTCGATAGTGTCTATTTGCTGGACCGCAAAGGCACTGCGCTTGCTCTCCTCGCGAATCACTTGGAAAGAGTGCGTAATGACTGCGACTAGAAGATTGACGAGCCACAAACTCAATATGACTAGGCCAAACGCGAAGAAGAGCGCGGAAGCAAGATAGTCGCTGTCACATGTGTAGTAAAGCAAGTCCGTGAAGGTGTTGGAGCTCATGATGACAAAGACAAGCTCGATAGATTGCGCTATGTTATCGAAGCTCACCGTTGCGTTGTACGGGTTCTCACCTTCGACACAAAGCGACCCCATGGGACAGATGTATCCTTTGGGAGAGCTCCCTTGGACATCGCCTGAAGCAGTCAACCATGGCTTTTTCTCCCCCGAGCTGTCAAGATAACCTCCACAGAACTGGACGGTCCCCTCTGGGTCATTTAGAGTGAAATTATCTTGGCCGTCGGTGCCAATCCAGACGCAGGTCCTTCGAAGACTTGACTTGAAACTCTGGATGCCAACGATTGCGAAAAGAAGCCAAAAGAAACCAATCAAAAATGCGACATGCACAAGGAGAGGAGCAGCACGTTTCAGACTTCGAAGAATGACAGAGGTTCCGTTGGTCAGGGCGAGCAACCGAAGAATTCGAAGACAACTGAGCATGCGAAAGATGTATAATTGGTGGGCCGATTCAAGTCCGGAAATGGAGAGAAGGAAGGAGATCCAGAAAGCAACGACTGCAACAAAATCTAGTCGATTAAATGAATGTCGAAGAAATGCACGGTGGGCAAGTCTGACCCGACGCTTTTGCAGAGGATCATCCGTAGGTCCGGCGTCTAGAACATTTATGCCAGTGAACGTTCGGATGATCGATGCCTGGGGTTCCGCCGGGAGAAAGGAGACCTTCTTGCTGGTTGTGTTTTGCCGATATGGAGTAATGAGATTACGCCCTTTTTCTGCAATGGCCTTCCTTATCCCCAATGAGCGGTTAAGGGTGCTGTATTCTGTAGCATTAAAGAGAAACCCGGAAACAAGAACTTTGGCGACAATCTCAAGGGTATAGATGATAAAAATAGCGAGAAAAACATAGTCAAACGGCGTGTGTCCCCATCGCATGCCCATTGGGCTGCCGGAAACGGAGTTGGTGGATTCGATGATCAGGAGGATTGTTTGTATGATGATAATGACCAGAATAAAGGGCTCCATGACCGGGTGAACGAGAACATCACACAACCAGAGTCGCAGAGGATGATCGGGTCCCGAAAACCCGAGCGCTTTGCCTCGGAACGGGTTATTTCGATATCGCCATAATCTTCCTGATGCGCGCGTTTCCCTCGGGGGCAGTTCTGGAGCAATTGAGTCGTATGAGAAGTCTGCCGTTGCGGGGAGAGCTGGAGGGCCTTCCATTCGCGCATCTTTGTTTGATTCCTCCCTTTCAATGGACTGTTGCAAGACCTCCGGTTCATTACTCAAATTGACCACTCGTTGAGACATGGATTTCACCAAGGAACTCGCGCGCTGAAAAGCCCCATTGGATCCCGAGGGCGATAAGAGAGCGGGATCGTCGGCCGAGCCCACTCTCAATGTGAAGATCATCGCCAAGACGAGATCCATTGTCGAAGTTGACAGACTGGAAACTGGAATCGTTACTCCTTCGAATATCCGAGCCGGGCGCGCCGCTTATCGGTTGTAGATATCGAGGATCGGTCAATCCTGTCGTGTCATCTTCCACGTTGGGCAAGGGCGACGTAAAGTCGTGAGAGCGAGAATAAGAATCGTAGGAGTCTAAAGGTACATTATCGAGATCAGACGCGGTATCGTCGAAGCCATGTCCAAGCGACGGGCCGGATATTGATTGTCGAGGGTTGTTGAAGCTAATGCCGAAGGACATCGCCTGGGAGAGGGCGCTCGGGTCTTCATGGTCGTAAGCGTTCGTAGGTGTTATTCCCAGGTCTATTGGCGACTGCTCTGCAATGCTGTGATACTGTTGCCTTCGTGACCCTCTCCTCAATAACGATTGCCGAGAGAAAACACCGCCGCCACCAATGCTATTGGTACGACTCCTCCCACGTTCTTCTGGCGCATTCTGCCGGGTTAGATCCTGGAGCGGAATTTGATCGGCAGAGGAACTGTCGCCAGGGCCACTGTTCTGGCTATTCGATGCCATCGTCAGGCAGGAGTTGTGATTATCGAATGGCAGACATCGCAGGGCGTGGCCGGGGAAACCTCGAGATTGCCGCGACAGATACCAGAAGGTTCAGGAGACGAGGATTGGAGGTAAGGCTGAGAGTAACGGGAGGGCCGTAATTACCAGGCGCGTGAAGAATATGACCGCCGTGGTCTGGGGCTAATGGGGGGAAAGTGGCCGGGATGTTTAGACCCAGAAAAGGTCTCGGTCGCAAACCCACTTGGGAGTAACTAGCGTGATGGAATGCGATGATTGGTCAGATTCCAGTACATCGGTGGCTGAGGAATGCACCGCCCGAGCGTTTTAGTTTTAGCTCATCTGCGTACGTACTTCGGTTCCTACGGTCTATGTGAAATTACAATTGGGTCCATTTTGCTGCTCTGCCGAGTCGCAGTATACAAGTAGCCGGATTGGAAACTTCAGGGCCACGTAAGCAAACGAGCTGTCAAAGCCCTCCTGGGAAGGTTCTCTGCCTTCTACGGTGGAAAAGCGCTGCCTGGCGGGGGTACTTTTGTTACCAAAAATAGATCTGCATTAGAAAGGACAAAGTAAGAGCATCTTAGTCCGTCTCCATCCGGCCCGATTCATCAGGTGATTTTTGACTTTCCCTAACGCCATCTAGAAATGCCTCCACGGCTTCACCTCCACCAAGTGGTACTCCTCCACGCCGCATGTACCCACCGTTGGCAACCTTGATATTCAAAGCCTCGCTGATGCTGGGAAGTCCGCCGTCCCGAAGGGCAACGGTAAGACTAGATAGACTTTGCATGAACTGTGGGGATCGAAGCACTTTGCGGAGGATGTCTTTTTTCTGCGAGAGATCGAGGGAAAGAAGGGGCAGCCTGAGCGAGTTCCGGATCAGTGTCGGCTTCCGAGGCCTCAGCATTACCTTGAGCCAGCAGAAGTAAGGCTGGGGGCAAGAAGCTCAACAGGTGATCGGCGGTAGATTCATCGGCAGATTCAATGAATGGAAGCGTAGTTGGTGGTGGAAGAAGGTCTTGGAGGGTTGTAGATGGACGGTCGGGACCCTGAGATGCGCCGCGGCCAGCGCCACCCAGCGACTTCAAGAAGTCTTGAACAACCGAGGATGGATCGGAGTCGGTATTTGCTCTGGAAAAAGGCACAAGGCACAAGCGTTAGCCTTCTATGCACTGAAATGAAGTCAGCAGAGATATGTACCTACGCTCGTCCACCATCAGCACCACCTTCTCGCGACTCTTGACCTTCTTCCCGGACATCGCCTCCAGTTGCATCCGCACCTGCTCCACCGCTACTACCTCCTTGGTGGGTTTGGTCGTGATCCACGCCTTCCACATCCTCCATGGTCTCGTCGTCATCTCCTCCAGATGGTCGGTGGGACAGCATAGCGATCTCTTCTTCCATATTGACATCCTCGCCTTGTAGCAAAGTATCAACAATTTCTCCTAGCCTAAGATCTCGGTAGCTCCAGATGCTTGGGTTCCCGCTCTCGTGTTGTGGATGGGACTGTAGCCAGAACAAATGTCTCTGGGAGCTCGATGAAAACTTCAGGACAAACACTCGGCCATTCGTAACAGATTTACCGCTAGAGGGGTAGGGAGTGAAGCTTCCGTCAGTGGGGATCATCACTAGATCGAGCTCGGGCTCATCGAGAGGCGAGCTACGAGGCCGCCAGCAGAAGTGCACTAGCTCATCTTCGGAGTAGAGGTAAATATACCCCGGAGTCGGCTTAGGTTTCACGGCGGGGGGGTCCACGGAGGTCTAGACATATACAATTAGCAAAGGCAACAATCGATGAGAGCTTGAAGCTCGACGGGGCGGTAATAAATCAAGCCCAGGCCAGAACATACATCAAGGTCGCAGATACCTGCTTTAAAAGTGATGATGGGCTCTATGGACATGATGATGGGTCTGTTGTAAAATGAGCCCAGCAGAGATTTCTTCGAATGAGGCCCACGCCAGGTGGTTGAAAATGGTGGAGAGGTGGAAGGATATTTGGAATTGAGGTGCGGAGGGAAGCTTCAAGATACGTCAGTTCATGTTTGTGATCAGCCAGGTGACCTGCGCAAAGTGGTCCCCTGGTCTCCCGTATATTATTAAGGAATGCGGCTGTAAGGCAGCGAGGCTTCTAATTACCCGATCTGGAATATCAACAGAGTTAACGATGGAAGAACAGCCATTCAAGCCATGGGACCACTAAGAGATGACTCGTAACTAGTATCATAGGCTTTCTTGGTGCATGTTCTGGCTCATTTGATACGTATAGCGAATGAAAGAACATGGAAACTCTACTAGTACATCGCTTCGGGATCTACGAAATCGCCGGGAATTCACCGTGAGCTCCGGGCTTCCATTGAGTATAAATAACATCGCCAGCGTCTACGCTCCTCTTACTAAATACTCTAAGCTCTAGGAGATCTTTTTTTCTTTTTTTTTTTGCTCAAGTCTGAATTGGATCTATCCTTTTCCCCTCAGCTTCAAGTTCATCAGCACCATGCCTTTGAGGATCCTTGTATGCGGCGGCGGGTGTGCCGGGCCAGCACTAGCTTTCTGGCTTGCTCGCAGTGGTCATCATGTCATTGTGGTAGAGCGATATTTGGACCTAAGGGCTACTGGCGCTCAGGTTGACCTCCGTGGCCAAGGGATTGAAACGGTCAAACGCATGGGCCTTCTTGACACCATTCGCGGAAAGCTTGTCGACGAAGACGGTATCGCTATTGTAGACACCAATGGCACAATCCACGCAAAATTTATGGCAAATAAATCTGGAAAAGGTGCACAATCTCTAACGTCAGAGTTCGAGATCATGCGAGGTGATCTTGTGCGTATTCTGTATGAAGCGACCAAAGGTCAAGTGAAATATATATTCGGAAAGACGGTCGAGAGTTTTGAACAAGACGAGAAGCAAGTGACTGCCCATTTCTCCGACGGCTCCAATGACACGTTTGATCTTCTTGTGGGCGCAGATGGACAAGGATCACGGATTCGGAAGGCCATACTACCACAGGACTCACCGGAGCCATATCTAAGATTGGGTGTTCATATGGCATATTGGTCCATCCCCGGACAGAGGATGACAGTAACATCCGCAGAACATATCAGAGTTCAGGAGGAAGAATGATGATGCGTCGTACTCACAGTTCCACTGAAAGCCAAGTCTACTTTTTTCTCCGAGATTCGTCTCCGGAAGTCTCCAGTATCCAGAGAGCTAGTGTGGAGCAGCAGAAGGAGTTTTGGACCCAACGATTCCGAAGCGCAGGATGGCAAACCGAAAGATTTTTGAAAGGAATGGAAGATGCTCCTATGTGGTACTGCCAAGAAGCTGTTCAGGTTCGTCTTGATAAATGGCATAAAGACCGGGTGGTATTACTCGGGGATGCGGCTTATTGCGCTTCGCCGTTCTCAGGGATGGGTACCACTGCCAGCTTGGTGGGAGCATATGTATTGGCTGGAGAGCTTAATCGATCCCCAGATAATCTGTTGCAGGCACTTATAAACTACAACAGGGTTCTGCAGCCTTTTATCCGTGAGGTTCAACGAGGCGCCAATCCCTATATTATCCGATTAGCGATGCCAGAGAGCGAATGGGGCGTTTCAGTAATTCGCTTCATTGGGTGGCTATTCTGCTTGCTTCGTATTCCGGAACTCATTTCGCGATTATCCCGTGAGAATAAAGGCGGATGGGAGCTTCCAGAGTACCCAGAGCTTCGACATGGTTAAGCGCACAAGTTCGTCATGGCATGGGAAAGAAGTGAAAGCCACCAAGTTCTAAAGACATCTACAAGAACGTTCAAGCTGAAATGTGTGGCACGAATTGCTATTGAAAGCAATAAGCAATAGGCATTTACTTCAATCAATCTTTGATCTCCACTCTTACGATTGCATATGAGTAGATCCGTTATTCGTATCTAAGCAGTAAGGGTTGAGCCACAAAGAAAATCGGGGCCTGCCCGAACTAGTCTGTATAAGGAATCTTCCCCACCACGATCTCCCCGTGACCTTAGTTAACTAGCCAGGCGCAGTATGACTCAGCAGATTTTTGCCTTTCCGAATTTCTCGTAGTTCGGCTAACCCTCAGTCACGTGGATAGGGCTTGGTCTTCCCACAAACCCTCATGCAGTGGAGTCCACCGGCAAGTCCGCACATCATCCTCCAACAACCTCAACCGACAACCAACACCACCATCTTCGTCACAGCAGCCACGATGTCGGACGGCCAGACGAAGCAGTTTGGAAAGGGTCAGCGCACCGTGCCGCACCCTGCCCAGAAGGCCCAGAAGTGGTACCCCGTGGATGATGAGTCGCAGCCCAAGAAAGTCAGTATCCCCGGGATAGACAATGACAGCGTGGGGGATCAAGACAGGCACTGGTATCCTGGGTGACTTGCGCCATATCAGTCGCCTTCCTTGGATGCTACAATCTACGAGCATCTCAATTGCCGACAAAATCTCCTGGCATTGAATTGTGCGATTGGAACCGACGAGCCTAGATCTTTTCGAGGCTTGGTACACGAATGCATCGCAGTCACCATGGGATTACCAGTCTTGTCCTTGATACCGAAATCCACGATAGGATCATTCTGCATGTCTGGAATTGAAGATTAACACTAGCTTTACAGGTCCGCAAGTCGATTCGTCCCACCAAGGTCCGCGAGAGCCTCCAGCCCGGTACCATCCTGATCCTTCTCGCCGGCCGCTTCCGTGGCAAGCGTGTCATCCTCCTCAAGCACCTCGACCAGGGTGTTCTCCTCGTCACCGGCCCCTTCAAGATCAATGGTGTTCCCATCCGCCGCGTCAACTCCCGCTACGTGATCGCCACCTCCAAGCGTGTCGACATCAGCAGCGTTGACCAGAAGGTCCTCGAGAAGATCTCCGCCCCCGATTACTTCACCAAGGAGAAGAAGGCCGAGAAGAAGACCGAGGAGGCTTTCTTCAAGCAGGGGAGAAGCCCGAGGTACGTGCGGAGCATCCTGTGGGACATTTTTTCTATCTTGCAGGAAATTTTACGGAATTGAATCGGTACTAACATATACCCTATAGAAGAAGAAGGTTGCCAGCGCTCGTGCTACCGACCAGAAGGCCATCGACCAGTCCATCCTCAGCAGCATCAAGAAGGAGGACTTCCTTGGCAGCTACCTTGCCACCTCTTTCAGCCTGCGCAACGGTGACAAGCCCCACGAGATGAAGTGGTAAAAAAAAGTGAGATGCGACGGCCGCGGGTTCGGTAGATAGTTGGGGAGGACTCAATCTTTCAACGAGGGGCGGCTTGATTGCAGATCGGCATCCTTTTCGCGCGACGGGAAGAGAAAAAGGCTCATGACTCATGTAATCCAATACGAGGATCCGTCTATACTTCGCTTTTTTTTTTCTAGGAATATGCGGTAATTCGGACTTCCTGACTGTTGTTCGCCCTGTTTCAAGAATCCTGCTTCTCCTCTCTTTGCACGCACGCCCGGTCCAGCATGACCTCCCTTCTGTTCATCTCGGCGAGAGGAGGGAACAGCCGTGATGTGAAGAAAGACTTCAAACGAAAAAAAGATTAAAAAATACCTCGCTCCAGCAGCCTCGCTGGATTCTCTTTCATGTTCAGTATGACATACACTTCCAATTTCCAGGTTCAGGCGGCATTCCAAAATTGGGTACCCTAGAAGAAATCTTCCTATACATTACGTATGATTTCTAGATCTTTGTACTGCTACTATCATGGTATACTGGTGCTATAAAGTCTTGCGAACTGGCTTGCTAGTAGATGTTGACCTCCGCATTATTAGTACTAGTATCTCGACTCCCAGTTCTAGTCATCTATGTGTGATTCCAAAAGCTTTAGGTATTCGACAGAGATCGCATGTGTCTCGTACTCGCGTTGATGCAAGTTCGTTGGGAACTTCAAGTTTCAAGCCTAACGCCAAATTGAGCTCTATAGGATTTCCAAAAACCAAAGAAAAATTCGAGAATAAGAATGTACACAAGTATAAGGGTCAGACCAGGCATCGTAACCAGAACATATTTATCGACCTCGCGCCATCCACCGACGTATGGATTCCCTCCAATGGAATAATACTACTCACTTCGACCCCGCCGCCCTGCAGTGTTATTCCAGGGGCGTCGCCCACGGTTTATCCATTGCTAAATCCACCCCGTAACCCCCTCCCGGTGCGTCGTCTTTCGTCTGGAAGCCTGATAATCTCCCATCCGTTGCCAGCTCTGTATCATGTTCCATTGTTCTATGAACCATCAGCTCTCTATCTACCGTCTCCGGGTCATGTCCCTGGCAGTAACATGGTACTGTCCTCTCTGGGCTTCTAGTTGGGATCGGGACTGGGATGGTTGGGATTGAGGTCGTGGCGGGGAAACACGCTCACCCTGAAAAGCACCAGCTAGGGCATCTCCGAGGCCCCAAGGCGAGAAATTGATTCTCCGGTTCATCAAGTGCTCGTGGGCCTGCACTTCCCATCCTCCGATAAACCATTTCGACGACACGCCGATAGATAATCGCGTCAGGTCGGTGCCGTAGCCGGAATATACGCAGAGCTCTTCAAGGCTGACAATAGTGATATATAAGAAATACTCCAGGCAGTGCATGCGCATGAACACTACGGGAATGTATTGCGGTAAAAATCGGCCGAATATATAAGCGCCCGGATGATCGTAATGTGCCGTGAATGGGTACAGGGTATGCAGGCTGTGATACCAACTTCGGTGCCATGAGCTAAGGTACACTGGAACCACGTCGAAGCCGACATATGCATCTGTACGCCAGTGAAGAAGCCAGCGATGAGAAAGATAAGTGAGTACTTCGCGGCCGAAGAAGGCAAATAAGATTTTCCAGAATGTGCCCCATGGCATTGGCATATTGGTGGTGAGCCGGAGCATGCTTCGACAGCCTGTAGCATTCGTCAAGATCCAGTCAAGGCCCAGCTGAGAGACAAGGGCGAGACAAGTGTTGATCGCTGCCCACATGACAACCTTATAGACGGCTAAACTTGGCCAGCGTCTAGAGTCAGTAGCGGGTAGGCCTCTTCTGCCTCGTTTTTTGAAGTGTTCGGACGTGGATGGAAAGCAGATGTCGAATAAGAACATGGCAAGCGAAGGGATGTAATAGAAAATAATTTTGATGATCAGAGTGCCAAAAAGTATTACTTGCCAGGGCCTGTATGTCCAGATCGTTCCCGTCCATACTAAATAGAAAAGCATCGCGTTCCAGGGATTGGGGTACCACGGTGTCAAGGGAATAATCCCAAGCACAAGCAGTGGAAACTTCCACCACCTAAGAAACGAAATCACCATATTAGCGATGGTCGGGGGCAAAAAACAAGGATGTGGATCAGAAAGCTCGAGGGTCAACGGACGCGCTTAGTTTTGTACTTGTCGTGTGACTGAGGAGGTGAAGTGTTTTTATTTTTTTTTTTTTGAAAGACAAAGCATGTAAAGTCAAAGCCAGGTTGCTCCTGATGAAAGACAATAACATCGACTGAAAGCCCGTTTCTTAGCAATAATCTGTTTTTAGAATTTCCTACAAAGGGGAAGAAGCCTGCCGCAAGCAAAGAAAGGTGGGGTTGCGCTTTTCAAAATCTGCAAAACGACCAACAGCTTTAATGCACGACAATGGCGTGGTTCTACCGGGGCGAAGTAGAAGTATTAGAGGGAGTCGTATCTATTGGAGCACTTGAAGGACAAGCTGAAACCACAAAAGATACAAGGATTCAGGAGGCGCTAAAATATAAGGACTCACTAATGGGGAAGAAGAGGAGACGCAGCCACCGGCCAGGCAAGAGGAAAACACAAGCCGGAAAGACGCAAGGGACAAGAGGGTATAATACAAGTATTGAAGCGGAACCAAGGAATGCATTTAGCTGCTGTCGGCACACATCTACTGGGGAAGGCCATTGGTCTTTCCCCAGTTGAACGCCTTGTTGCGAAGATCGGGAATGACTTGGAGAAACACAAGGTTACTGAGCCAGCTGAGGAACGTATCGCCGATAATGCTATTGCGCGGGCTAGGGCCAAGAGCGGTGCCTTTCATAATGTTCCCGATGAGCATAGTGGTGATCAAATACTCGCCACGTTCCAGTGCGCTGATGGCAATCTGAGCAACTTCCTCAGGTGTCTGAGGCTTGTCAGATTCCTCAAGCATCTTGGTCAACTCTGGCTTGATCTTCTGCTCGTTATCGAATCCTGGACTCAGGATACCCATAGGGAAGACAGTGTGGATCTTGACATCGGCAGCAGGGGCAGTATTGCGGTGTCTCTGGAATAGGCGCCATTGTACATTTCAATCTCTTGGCTCAGAGTATCCGACAAGGAGCGAATGGCAGCTTTGGCGGGCGAATAAGGGCCGTAGCCGGCGATGGGAACAAAAGCAAGAGTTGAACAGGTGAAAATAAGGTGTCGGCGACTGGTCCGCATTTGAACGCTGGGAGACACTGGGGCAAGCCAATTTCGCAGAGTAGCGTGAGCCATGTTAGCGGCAGTCCAGTAGACGGTATCCATTTGCTGACGCTGGACTTGGATTGGCACCTCAGTGAAGAACCCTGGGTGGCAGAAGCCAGCACAGCACCAAACAATGTCTGGAGCGGCACCGTCATTCCAGGCAGTGACTTCAGCAACAACTCGTTCACACTCGGTGGCATCCGTAAGATCAGCACGGATATAGAGGAAACGCTGCTTGAGCGAGCTCAGCGCCTTCGACTGGAAAGGATTTTAGCAATTGCCCGTTAAAGCAGCCATAGAAAGCAAACCTTCAGTTCTTCCACAGTTGCTTCTAACTTGGCAGCGGTGCGAGCAACCACCACAACATGAGCTCCCTTTCCGGCAAGCTGACCAGCAACGGCACGACCCATGCCATCCGAGCCGCCAGTGATGATAGCGGTCTAGAGGAGTCAGCATATGAAGCAAAAGATATGATCAATGGCCGTCAATGGCAATTGAACGGGGATCTGAGATCTCTAAAACTTACACGGCCCTCCACAGGGAACTCATTCTCGCGGTTGAGCCCGAACATCTTGACAATGCTATAAGCGATAATTGTGCAAGCAAGTATTGATATCCCCAAGACTGGCGTGGAAAGATGGGTTGTTGGGATAAAGGAATGTGAGTGAGTCATATTGAAAGAGGAGGAAGAAATCAGTTCGGAAATCTGGATGTTCAACGTCTTACGCCTGCCTCGTGCAGTTGTGTTTAGTCTGATATTTGTCGAGAAGGAGCGACTTGATGTTGGGTGGGTACCGATCAGAACCAAATTACCGTTCGTTCAGGCGGGGGTTTTGTAATTAGGACATGCGTAATCTGTAATGGACTTTCAGGATGCAAACCAGACAATATTCCCTAATAAGGACTAGAGCTTATCGGGCGGTGAGTGAGGCGGCCCAAAAAATTATTCTGTCGAGACCGAAAAGATCAAGGAAACTACGAACACTACAATTTCAGTCTTTGTTCACCATGGGAAAGAAAAGAAAGGCTGGCCGTCCAGCGGCTCAAGCCGAAGCTCCTGCAGTCACCAAGTTCAACGTCGAGGAGCGCTTTGATGACTCTGAAGATGAGTTCCAGAACGGCCGCGACCAGATCCTATTAGACGAAGCTCCCGAAGCAAAACGCCGTCGCAGACTGGCCGAAGAAGGTAGGTTTCATTCTCAAATGCGCACTCCTAGCGCAGTCCGCTAATTTATTTTGGTAGACGAGGCTTTCCAAGACTCCGACGAAGAGATTCTCGGATACGATTCTGCCGACGAAGACGAGGACGATTTGGAAGGCGAAGAAAATTATGCCGAGGACGACCTTGATGACGATGATGATATGAACCAATCAAATCGCCATGATGCAGCCGATTCGGACGAAGAAGGAATTGCAGAATGGGGCTCGTCAAAGAAGGACCTGTACAACGCAGACCAAATTGAGACTGAAGTCGACGCTCTTGAAGAAGAACAGGAGGCCAAGAGGCTGCAACAGAAGCAGCTTGAAGCCATGAATGAAGCAGACTTCGGTTTCGACGAGTCAGAATGGATGGACTCGAACAAGGATGCCGCAGATGAAGCCGAGGGTGTGGGAGTCGTGACCGAAAAGCTTCCGCAAGTGGAGATCACTGAGGATATGGCTGACGACGAAAAAATGAAGATCTTGAAGTCCAGATATCCCGAATTTCAGCCACTGGCCAAGGATTTCGCTGGCCTTCAGACCACATACCAGGATCTGCAAGCGGAGGCTGAAAAGGCCTCATCCGCAATTCTTAGGACGGAAGATGAGGTCCCGCTTACTCCCATAGCGGTCACCAAGCTGAGGGCTCTGTCAACATATCTTGCTACTATCAACTTGTACTTCATGCTTCTGGCTTCCTCCTCGAACGGCACTACCAATGCTCCGATGTCGCCAGCGGAGCTTCGACAGCACCCAGTCATGGGCTCCCTGGTGAAATACCGCAAACTCTGGGAAAAGGTCAAAGATCTTGAAGTTCCGGAGACTTCCCGTGTCGTGCCAAAGGTACCAATCACCAAAGCTACGCCCGCCAAGGTTCAAGAAAAGCCCAGCAAGGTCAAGGAGGCTGTTGCCACCAAGCCGAAAGAAAAGAAGCTGAGCAAGGCCGAACGAGCCGCCGCCGCAGCCCAGGCCGAAGCCGAAGCTCGTCGGGCTGAGCGTGTCCGCGAAACAGAGGCTGGCTTTGCCGATCTCTCAGACCTGGTTTCCAAGTCAGCCACCAAACGCAAGACACAGAAGACCAAGGTCTCCATCCAAGATGATGATTCGGACTTCGGTGATGAAAATGCGCTCACAGCGCGTGAAGTGGAAGAGAAGCAGAAGCAGAAGCGCTCGCTACGCTTCTACACTTCCCAGCTTGCCCAAAAGGCCAACAGGCGTCACGCAGCTGGTCAGGACGCGGGAGGTGACGCTGATATTCCTATTCGTGAACGGCTCAAGGACCGACAAGCCCGCCTCAATGCGGAAGCCGAGAAACGTGGTCGTCAGCGACCCGATATTGGTGAAGAGCTGGGCGGTGATAGTGACGACGATGATCGTCGTGTGCGCCAGGAACTTCGCAAGGGTGGTAACCAGTCTGGTACCGATGATGAGGAATACTATGACATGGTTGCTGCACGATCGAAGCAACGCAAAGACGATAAAAAGGCGCGTGCTGAGGCTTACGCCGAAGCAGCCCGTGCAGGCGGCCAAGTGGAGATACAAGAAGAGGTCGGACCTGATGGCAAGCGCGCCATTACATATCAAATTGCGAAGAACAAGGGTCTCACACCGAAGCGGAGCAAGGACGTGCGTAACCCACGTGTTAAGAAGCGCAAGAAGTATGACGAAAAGAAGAAGAAGCTGGGTAGTATACGCCAGGTCTACAAAGGGGGCGAAGGTAGAGGTGGCTACGGTGGTGAGCTTACTGGTATCAAAAAGAACCTGGTCAAGAGTGTCAAGCTCTAGATCCGGGTGGCACGCTAAATTTTCATGGATATTATATTTTTCCCCTGGCGCCTATCACTATTATGGCAGATACTGGTGTTTCTACATAGATCCAATGTCATATTTCACAATTTATCACCAATTGAACTGCTCTCAATCCATACCACGGCCGATAAAAGTCGTTTCTCTTACTAGAGCCCATTCCGAGCCTCATCCCAACATATCCTTTAGCCAGGTATGCCCGAGGATATCTTCATATGAAACCCAAGAAAAAGTATGAGTCCAGGGCCACTTGAGATCGAGCCAAGTATGTACGCGATAAGCGATTATTTTTCCCGGTGAAAAGAACATGGCAAGTCATTAAATAGTATGGAATGACATCTAGTGCCCAGATATGAATTTTTGGGGCAAACGTCTTCTCCAGACTCTCTTCAGCCTTTGGATTCGAACATGCTTCGTAAACCTCGGGCGCTATGAAGCTTGCAGGACCATTGAATATGAACGTTCAATCACGAATCATTCTAATCAGTTACATGCCTGCGGCTGAGAGAGCTTGGCCATACCCTCTATTTCTCGGCTATAGCCAACGGCCTTGACCTTGGCGCGACCTTGCGAGCTTCCCTCACATCTGGTAGATCCTTCACAGTTGTGACAGGAGATTCTGCCCGCGATATTGTACCAGCAGTCCCGACCCCTGAATACCTTGCTTCCTTCCATAGTTCTAATTGTTCTCTCCGCCGAGCCCGACGGCCAGCACTTAAGGTCGAATCGAGGAAAGTGCGGTTTTAATACTCCGCATCGAGGTTTGGTGAACAGCTTGGTGTCCTTGGCAAGATCATGGTCCATGTATGACACAAGAAGAATCCCAGGATGATTGAGGTAAAAACGGATTGATTGATGAAAGATCACAATATTTTGATACGTATAACTCTGAACATGAATATACTGCGCAGGTAGACAAGACTATCACCTATGATGATATAGCAGCATAGGGCTTCCTAACAAGAACACAAAGATACAGCCACATGGCGAGGTGTCCCCCATCTAGCCTTCAGAAGGGTAAGGCCGGCATAAGTACGACCCAGGCCGCACTCGGTTTAGGGAACGAAGGATGAGCGTTGAGTGGCGACAGCAGATACGAAGGGCTTCTGTTAATAGCAAGGATCAACCGGGTGGAGAGCACCAACTAATGATGGGCGAGTCGCTTGAGCATAAGCGAAGAAGAAACCACCGTAGGGTTTATTCATGTTAATCTCTCAGGCGCTCTCAGTTCCTCTATAGTCACTGGCTGCAATCAATTCTTCGAGGGTGGCCTTCATGTGATGGTCAGCTTCCTCTGGAGTCGGAATAGTCATTTTGAGAAAATTTCGAGCTAGAGCATCCTTGGAAATGTGTCAGTGAGAATCTAATTCTTCGTCCACAAAATGGATAAATACCGCTTGCTGCAGTATCCTAGTCTCCTCTGCAGTTAAGGTGGCACATGCTGCAATGGGGTTCTCGCCTCGAGCCACAAGCAACGCGATCTCATTTGCCCGGGCGACGATCGCAGCATCGATACCATTGGTTGCGGCGCATCTAGGATCTTGTTACCACCAGCTCTAATTTCGGTAAAAGGCCAGCAAAGAAGTAAAAGAAAATAGCGCCACATACATAGTACCAAAGCTCTTTGTGCTCCGCCCTTTCCAAAGACTTGTAGACTGTCAGTAATATACTAGTAGAGTCATCAAGATATCTTTGCTGCTTACTTGTAGAGATAGGTAACCTGCTCACCAGCCTCTCGAGAATCTTCTTCACATACTTTGACCTCCATATGCGCGAGCTGCAATCGCGGCCGTAGAGGGAGAAAATCATTCTCAAAGATTTCGTGGAAATGAGTCGCAGCGAGGACTTTTGGCGCATCTTCGAGACTAAGCAAGTACTCGAGTATACCACAAGCTAACCCGATCCCATCTAGGAAGAGTCAGATTGCTTTCGCCAATCTATTCCTCGAGACGGGAAACAAACCGCCTTCATTGGTCCCTTTTCCGAACTCATCTATGAGAACTAGACTTCTCCCAGTCACTTGCTTGAGACAAAGTGAAACCTGCTGCAGGTCCGTCATAAAGGTGCTTTGAATCTAGAATCATTAGATCCTAGTACCAAACCAGAGTTTATCCCACTGACTTTTGAGACACTCTCTTGCGTGTGTATTTTGGTGAGGATTTTGTCGGTAATACCCAATTCTGCGCTCTCCGCGGGTACGAAACTATGGTTCCATTCGTTAGCTAGCTCTTTTAGCCAAAGCTAGGGCATTGGCCTGCCTTCCAATCTGGGCGAGATAAACAATAAGAGCAACCTGATATTTTCTTAGTAGATAGAAAAGAAGCTTAGGTTACTAGCCTTTTCACGTACTTGCTTCATGTAGACACTCTTTCCGGAGAAATTTGGCCCTGTCAGTAACAACATACTTGGAGTTGAAATATTGACTTCCCCGACTTCATTCTTGTTTGCTTCTTGGCCACCAACAAGCTCAGTGTCATTCGGCACGTAAGATGGGACCGCAAGCTCTTGTAGTATATGGCTTATGATTGTAAGAAACCTAGGGACACAAAGAGGTCGGCGATGAGCCCTGCTTACCGACCACCCTTAATCTTGATAACGTTTTCCGAGACCATCTGAGGTCGTGTCAATTTGTAAGAGCCAGCTGCTTGCGTGAGCGCGAGGAGGCTATGTAATTGGTCAACAGGGTTTGTTGCGCGTTCTTATCCAGCGAGTAGTTAGTACCTGTCGATTTCTCCACAAATATCAGAGGCGTCCACCAGGACATTCTCGTATTGGAGCATCCTTTGTGCCAGGTCATAGACTATTTCGATCTCTTTCTCTACAGAATAACTTAGATTGAATGACTCAGTGATGGAAAGATGTAAACGTACCGCATATCAGGCCGTAAATATCACCAAGTTTTTGATCAAGCTCTCGCATGCGGAAGTCCTTGAAATACGCTCTGTTTTCCGTAATGAAGACAAGCTCCCAGTCTCCGTCAGTTCCACTGTATGCAGCCTGGCCTCTTGCATTTAGGGGAACAGCAATATTGAATCCAAGCTGGGGGAAATATATCACATTCACATCGATATCGAATGTCTCTGGGATAGTTCTGGCAATATCGATAGCCACGTGCTTGAGAAGACTGCTAAGGCCATCGTACTGGTCTTTTATCCGGTCGAGCTCCCGGTCAACGCCTTGTTTCACAACCGTGCGGCCTTGCTCATCAGAATTGTCGATGTCGACCTATTCGAATGAGATATCGCTCTAAACCTCATCATGAGATCACTTACTATCTCTTGAATCATTCGGCCCACCCGGTGCAGCTGGCTTGCTTCAAAGGTACGAAGAGCCTATGAGCAGTTAGCTTGCATGCGACAAGAATTATGAGTACAGAATGACCTTGACACGTATCTTCAAGGCATCCGCTCCAGATACTTCTTGCATTGATACATGAATGTCAATCGCATAGAAGGCGAACTTTGAGCAATTGTTAGTACATCACAGTTCCGTAGACAGAAAAAGGACTTACAGCCAACAAGCTTTCCCACACAGTAGACTTGAAGCCTGTAGTCTTTCCACTTCCGGTACTAATCCCTTTATGCAGATTAATCATGGCAGGCCGGAGATTCTTGATGTGTTTTAAAGCTTTCGTCATTTTTTCAACAACAGCCATGTTATCTGGCCGCGAAAAAACACCAATGAAGTGATGACGTTCACGAATGGCACAGTGGTCTAGGCTTGGGCAAAAGATGATTTGTTTGAGCCTCGCTCTACCCTGAGGGGTATACGCAAATCGACGGAACAAGCCGAAGACCGATAGGCCTTCTTTGCCCGAAGAGGACTTTTTTCCAGGCCCCTGATTGAACATATTTGGATGAGATTCCGACTGTACTATCTGGAGCGACAGAAGAGCATTTCGACTCATCCACCTAATCGATGCGGAGATCAGCATTACTGAGATGGGCATTTCAGACGTGGACTCGATTTGTTACGGAATTGCAGACAAAACTCACATGGTGTCCTTCAGATTGAACATCTTCAAAAAATGGATTCTTGGTGAGCAAGCTTCACTGGACTCCGCGTTGAAATTTGTGGCTCGGCGCTTTTGGAGATAATTGAGGATGGCTCCCACACAGCCAAGCGTCACCGGGTTCTCCGTATTAATGGCGCTAGAGATGTGAAGCAAGCGGCCCTCATTTAGCGTGAATCCAATATTCTCAATGCCTCCTTCATCTGGACCAGCAATGCCGGAGTGTGGGACAAAGAAACGCATGCGCTGCTCGTGAGCGGATGATATCTCAAGCGCAGTCAGTCGAGTCTCGGCATCCGAGGGACTAAACTCTTGATTTGGACGAATATCAATCCGGTACGGGAGATATGATGAAGAACCTAAACCATACGATCAGTTGCATACCGCTGGCCCAAGCAATTTATTGACCTACAGTTATCTTGCGCCAGGTTTTGCTTTTGGTCAAGGTCAACTCGAGACGGCGCAACGACGACCGTTGGTTTGATTTGAAGAATCACTGTGAGCGGGTGAGCGGAGTTCCCTGTAGAATGGTGAAGCATATTTGAGATCTCACAGGTATCGATGACCTCCATTCCACCTGATCGACCATCACTTAGAAGATATAGGGTTTCCTCTTCGTCAGAATAGTAAGCGCAGCCTACAGTTCCATTATCCTTCATATCAACAGCAGCTATGACATGGCCGAGATCATGATCACTGAAGGTATCTGAATTCGCAGTTTCCCAATGATTTCCTGTCTGAAACTGGGTTCTCAACTGTGGCTTCGCGAAAGATGAGGTTTGGTGTTGAGTGGCACGTAAAGAGGATGGTCCGCTTGCTGCCGAATCAGATCTCGAAACTTCGCTATGCGGAGTGTTACGAGATGGCTCAGTAGCCGATGAACGTTTCCTTTTGAGTATCGAATGCATTGCGGTGTGCTTTGAATGGGAGTTGAAGATGGAAGAGATAATGTCAAGACAGAACTTGATGGTTTGTCACGGCGAGATCACGTTGCCTGTCACCTCAGCACCCACACTAACCCAACGATATGCGAATGTCAGAAGTATCTGGTTTAAATTCCAAGGATTCTACAAATTGCCAGTAGGTGCGATCTGGTATACTGTTCCAATATAAAGAATAGTGTTTGATAAATTACAATTTGAAGGGCATTTCGTACTAGTATACAATGTGAGAATGGGAGTGTATGCATAAATCCAAGCCAGTAAAACACCATAAATGCAACGTCAAAATACCTCCTGCATGTTCAAGATCATGCTTGTTCCTCTTCCCCTCCTTCGGCTGATATCAAAAGAGTAGATTTATCATCACTTAGCGAGACCCTCGCGGTTTGGCCAGAGACAATTTCGCCGCGAATGATTTTGTCAGCTAAGCGGTTGCCAATCTCTTTCGCAATCAGGCGGTTGAGAGGGCGAGCACCAAACTTGGGATCATATCCTTTTTCACATAGCCAGTCCTTGATCTCCTCATCGACCTGAAGGGTCATGCGACGGCTGTCAAGTCTGCCCTGAAGCTCCTTGATTCGAATATCAACAATATCGCGCAAGGCCTCCTTCGAGAGACGCTTGAACATAATGAACTCATCAATACGATTCAAGAACTCGGGTGGATAAGCATGCTGGACAACATCCATGACTGCTGCCTTGGCATCCGCAGGCAGTTCGGCTTCGCCGGTCTCTTCGAAGGTGTGAAGGGGGTCAATGCCAGTCAAGATATCAGCTCCCAGGTTTGAAGTGAGAACAATTAGTGTATTGCGGAAGTCTACTTTGTGTCCTTGAGCATCGGTGAGGAATCCCTCGTCAAGAACCTGGAGCAACAAAGCAGAGATATCCCGATGAGCTTTCTCAAACTCGTCGAACAACAGCACAGCATAAGGTTTGCGTCTCACGGCCTCAGTCAGCTGGCCAGCATCATCATAGCCAACGTAACCAGCGGGCGAACCAATAAGACGGCTGATGGTATGCTTCTCTTGGAATTCACTCATATCAAATCGCACAACGGCTGACTCGGTAGAGAAAAGAAACTCGGCCATCTTCTTGCACAGCTCTGTCTTGCCCACGCCAGTAGGCCCAAGGAACATGAAAGAGGCCAATGGGCGGTTTTCACCGCTCAGCCCGGCCCTCTGCATGCGAACGGCATTGGCCACAGCAGACAAAGCCTCATCCTGTCCACGGACTGACTTGCGAAGAGTATCCTCCATGTGAATCAGCTTCTCGACCTCTCCCGCCATCAGTTTGTTGACAGGGATGCCAGTAGTCCGAGATACAACGTTTCCGATGTCGTCGGCAGTCACCGAGTCATGGATAAGAGTTGGCTTCCCTTTTTCTTGCTCACTGCCTTCCTTTGGCAGCTTTGCTTCAAGATCAGGGATTTTGGAGTAGCGGAGTTCTCCGGCCCTAGCGAAGTTACCTTCGCGCTGCGCTTGCTCCAATTCAAAGCGAGCCTGCTCCAACTCTTCTTTCGTGCGCTTGATCCCATCGATCTCCGCCTTTTCAGTCTCCCAGACTTCAGTGAGTTGTTTCGCTTCGTCTTGTTTGGCCTTGAGATCTTCCTCAAGTTTTGCGCGTCGCTCTCGACTGCTCACATCCGTCTCCTTGCGTAATGATTCGAGCTCAATTTGAATTGTGGTAATCTCGCGTTCCAATTCGCGGATAGAATCGGGTTTCGACTCTTGCTGCAAACGTAGTGCGGAAGCAGCTTCATCAACCAGGTCAATGGCCTTGTCAGGAAGGAATCGATCGGTGATGTATCGGTTACTATACGTAGCTGCGGCAACTAGGGCTCCATCCGTAATTCGGACTCCGTGATGCACTTCATACTTGTTTTTGATACCACGCAGGATGGAGATTGTGGATGCAACAGAGGGTTCACCAACTAGGATTGGTTGGAATCGTCGTGCAAGAGCAACATCCTTCTCAATAAGGCGATATTCGTTCAGGGTGGTAGCTCCACAGCACTGAAGCTCACCTCGGGACAATGCCGGCTTCAGCAGATTGCTTGCGTCGATACTGCCCTCTGCTTTACCAAGCCCCAGCAGTGTGTGGAGCTCGTCGATGAAAAGGATGACTTTCCCTTCGGCATTTTCGACCTCTTTCAACACTGCTTTCAAACGCTCCTCAAAATCACCCCGAAACTTCGCACCCGCAATCAGCGAACCCAGGTCCAAAGAAACCACCCGTTTGTTCTTAATACTCTCCGGGACATCGCCTTGCACAATCCGCTGCGCGAGACCTTCAAGAACGGCAGTTTTACCCGTACCAGCTGCGCCGATTAAGACGGGATTGTTCTTTGTTCTCCGCGACAGAACTTGGATCGTGCGGTGGATCTCGGCATCTCTTCCAATGACAGGGTCCAACTTTCCGGCCTTCGCTTTTTCTGTCAAGTCCACTCCATATTGTTCTAGGGCTGGCTTCTCTTGTCCACCACTCATGTCCATGCGGTGAGTGCCGCCCGGCGGATGAGGGCGACCATTGGCGTAGTGGCGCACCGAGCCTGCGGCGGTGCAAGCAGCTGGCGCGAGCAGAGTTTGGCTTTTAGGGATGACCGATGAGCGCAATGATGTGGCAGTGGGAACTCGACTAAACGGACGGGATGGTGATCGTAGAAGCCGGCTACTGCGCGCAGCTAGAGATAGCCTCGCAGCCATGTTGCGCCGGGATTCGGGGAGGTAGACCAGATATAGATCGGTATCTGCGACTTGCTCTTCTCCTGATGGCTGTCGGAAGAGTATGTGAAGCTGTTTCAGCAATAGTAGCCTCAGAAAATGACTGTATTCCGTACGACTGCGAGACGCGCGCAGGGGGAGACAGTACGGGCGATATATAGGCTTCGCGGGCGGCGCGGAGGCAACGCGATGCTTCTCGAAGACTCCACCCATTGGGCGCTGAATGGCGGAAGCTCCACCAGCGCCCAAATTGACTGGACCAAGCTCCGTCACGACTGAAATCACGTGGTTGCGCCAATTTAAGTGAGAGAGAAAAAAAAACCTTTTACCCCTCGATCTCCCACTCTGTTTTTCTCCTCCATAACCCCCCCCCTTTTCCATCTCCCCTTAAAAAAAGGTCCCCCAACTTTCACAATGGGCTTCACCGACTTCGTCTCTGATACCGGCCTCACTCGTATGCGCTCCCCTGGTTAATCCTCAAGAACTTTGGACTGATTGCGTCGCTAGTGGCCAACAACTTCCTGGCCTCCCGAAGCTACATCGTCGGGTAAGACCCAACCCCTTTGTTTTGATGGGTCCCACCTTGTTCGTCGGTTCTTTCTTGTTTCCGTACCCTGCCTTTATGATGAGAAAAAATTGGTCCGTGTTTAGGAGGCGGCTTAAGACCCCGCTATATGACTACATCCAATTGCGAGCAATCGCGTCTCTGATCTGGTTTTGAACAACTTACCAATTGCAAACCTACGACTTTGACTCAATGGCAAATTAATTCAGGGCAAGTCACTAACTATCCTGAATAGCAATGCCCCCAGCCAGGCCGATGTTGTGACCTACAAGGCTTTCAGCGCCGCCCCTGACGCCGCGAAGTACCCCCACCTTGCCCGCTGGTACAAGCACATCGCCTCTTACGAGGATGAGTTCTCCACCCTCCCCGGTGATGCCTCCAAGGCTTTCACCGCCTACGGCCCTGAGTCCACCGAGCTTCCCTCCAACCCCAAGGACAAGCCCGAGGATGATGAGGAGGAGGACCTCTTCGGCTCCGACGATGAGGAGGAGGATGCTGCCGTTGTTGAGGAGCGTAACAAGCGTCTTGAGGAGTACAAGGCCAAGAAGGCCGCTAAGCCCAAGCCCGTTGCCAAGTCTCTTGTCACCCTGGAGGTGAAGCCTTGGGGTATGTTTAGATCGCATATTATCCCCACGTTGGCATACATACTAATCGCGATATTACAGACGATGAGACCAGCCTTGAAGAGATGGAGGCTAACGTCCGTGGCATCGAGATGGACGGTCTCGTCTGGGGTGCTTCCAAGTTTGTTGCCGTCGGCTTCGGTATCAAGAAGCTGCAGATCAACCTGGTTGTCGAGGACGAGAAGGTCTCCACCTCTGACCTCCAGGCTCTGATTGAGGAGGACGAAGACCACGTTCAGTCCACCGACATTGCTGCCATGCAGAAGCTGTGATTTAAATGACCATTCATGATGAAAAACCGGCATGATGATGGATTATGTCTTAGGAACCCATAGTTACGAAACCTAGAACTGGCCTTACCGGTCAGTGTGATGAAAAAAATCAAAAATTTTCATGACCATCAACACTCCGTTCTTGATATTAATAGACTTTCAGTACTCGATATACAGTAGACGATTCAGGTGACTTGACGAAATTTCGATGGTGGGGCGTTGGCGGGGTTAACGTCGCATGTGGACTCGAGGTGCCATCGCTGGCCATGCTAATTTCTAGGTAGCGACAGTCTGCTAGTTGTCAATGCCAGTTCCAACTTGGAGTTTGAAGGAATCATCCGAATTGGGGCTCGCAGGTTGGTTGTCATTGCAGTATTTCAGAATTCTCCAGCTTTTTTCTCATGGAGAATCTACTCGAAGAACGAATATAAATACATTCGCTCAAGTGGTTGAGTCTCTTCTTGGCGTCATTCAATAGATACTTACGACTTTAAAACATGCGTGCTTCCGACATGAGACAAGTACTCGGAATACTACCTAACTAGGCAGAAGCAATAGACCTACTCTTCATGGAGCAGATTCCCCGTTCTTTCCAACGTTCTACCGTAAAGCTCGCAAGTGCGGTTACATTTCAAGATTACCAACATAATTCTAGGATTCATCCTCCTAGGATCACGGAGCTGAGGCCAGTTACCAACTCGCAAGTAGTTTCAGAGGAAGAAATCCATTATGTTGCCGTTTCGGCTCTTATAAGTCTTCCAGGGCAGGTTCTGTTGTTCTCAAGGACTCGGAGTCATAGTCACGGCACTGTCCGAGTCCTTGATCCTTCGATTTGACGCGGATGGTATGTCTCGCGGTCCCTACATTTGGTAAGCACGTGTCATTCATTGAATCTAGAGATATCAACAGTCAAATACCTCAAAATTAAGAGAACACCGATGTGCAATGTATGCAGAGATCAGTATGCCCAGCACACCTTGAGATCGGAGTGTATGGCCAACCGGGGGGAAGGAATATCCCAATTGTCCGGTGTTCTGGCCGGAATCTTTCCAGTCTACTCCAAAATCCTCTATTTATGTTTATGGTCGGTGTAAGAGAATGCTTCTTGTATGCTCAAGTCTACTACTAGTACTTGTAAAATAGCCCAGCCCTGGAGACGTGGAGAGGTAACGCGTGTTTATGTAATCAGGATATGCGACTCCAGGCTTGGCGGTCTTCACTCTCACGTCCGCCGAGCTTGTTAAAGATTATCCTGCACATTTCAATCGGCCACTGGCCTTTTTCGTTGCCCGATCGAATGAACGGCTTTCGCCTGTAGGGAATCTACAGCAGACAAGTTGGCTACCGTACACTTCGACTGGTCAACCACTGCTATCCCACCGTCCAAGATGGGCTTCGTTTCGCGCATCGTCACATTATTTGGCCTGGTCCTCCTGGCCCATGCGTATGTGCTTCATATATTGACTAGAAGTCCGAACTAGGCGAGATAAAGCAAGCTAACATATGGAATTATAGAGGCTACTCCGCCCACGAACATACCGTCCTCTCGAGCAATGCCGCCGCGGCCATTCCCCAAGATATCATCATCGAGACTCTCGCAGCCGTGATTTTCGTATCAGCCGGGTTAGTCCTGGGCTCCGAGAACCTGAAGCCAATCAGCTGGCGTGACTGGGCAGGCGAGATCGAGCGGGACGGCGGTGCACGGAATCCATATGCCGCACTGGAGGAGCGGTATTCTTTCTGGGACATCCGGGTGAGTCTTCCCACCATGTGCCGGAGCTCTAAACTCTGGGTCCAGGGGTACGGTATATCAGTTCGCAAACAGCTGCTGACCGTGCACAGGCCAAGCGAAAAGAATTCGGGGACTGGATCCGTGGTCAGGATGTTCTGGCCAAATAGGGACCTAGGAAACAAGCTTCTGGACAATCCATGGAGCCACGCAGTGATCCTCCGTATAATATGCTATGTGGCAGATCCGAGGCGATTAATAAGATAGTGTGTCGCAATTGACTGACTTGGCCCACCGCCCTCGACAAGGGCTCTGCATGGTATACGTCGGCTTGGGTATTGCAAGTACAGAGGGTCCCTCGGCTCCGGAGGGGTGGCTGAACCCTCTGCAGCTCTGCAGGCAGATCGCCAGATCTACTCAAGTCCGGCTGCATCTATCATATGTAGAAAACAATTATGCGCCAGGTCATAGACCTTATTCCCCCTATGCATCATCTTCACTTGATTTGTTTCTTATGCGCCATCGTAGCTTTACGTCGAATCTACACACGGTGACAGACAGCTCCAATTTCTAGTGTATGGAGCACCGGTAATGACTCCATCTGGTCACTGGAAACCAGGATGTATATCAGGAAGAAAGGGTAGGAATGGCGTGATTGCAGGATAGGATGATCGGGCTCCCCACGAAGTATTGAAATATTATACATCTGCATACAAAATCTGGTGTGCGACCTCGCCTCTCGGGTGAACAGCATACGCGTGGCCTGTCACACAGAGCTAGGCTGGTCCGAAGCCGTTTCTGGACACGTCCTCAAGCTTAACTAGACCGTTCAGCCACGGTACGAAAATACCTGCACATACGCTGTACTTGCATTCCTCCTCACACAGCCCAATGGCTAAACATAGAAAATGGGTTTCCGTTGTCATGGCAAGACATGTCTTAAGCAGATGGGGCCTAACTCGAAAGTTCCACGTTATCAGGTGCCACTCATTTAGCCCAGGTAACGGGTAGATTAATACGAGAAACACAAACACAGCAAAGCTTGCGTGGGGTCATGAAAATCCCAGACTCATTCAGGAGCCCCACTGGCCCGGCCGATCTGGAGAGCTGCGTTCTGCAGTTGACCTGGACCTAATTGACCACAATCAAACCCATCGCCTGGATTGTTTATTTCCTCCTTAATTGCCCTTTGCTTTTTCCGGTGCTGTTCAGGGGCACCCTGCAACCCTTGATCTACTTGTCGTCTTCCCCCTATTCTTGGCTTGGGCCCTGTACTAGTATTAAATACACGACACCCTTGTCTGTAAATCCCTCGGTTCTCAGCGACCCAAAGTTGGCGCTGCCGATCTTTGTTTTGCTCTGGGCGAGGTGGACGGTACCCAGTCCGGCACTAACCAGATGTCTCAGGTCGTTGGGGGAACCCATCGCCTGGGCCTAGTGCCAGGTGTCTCACCCACGCCACATCTCTCGCCATCGGATAGACTAACCAGGTTAATGTCAACAAAAATAAACCGTAGAATTGGATAGAAAGAGAATTGGATAGAACCTTGGAACTGGGAGCCATTGACTGGCAACCGGTATTCAGGACTTCTCCACACCCTAAATCGTTGCCTGCCAAGTTTACTGTGCCGTGACGGGGCAGAAGCAACTGGAAGGGAATGCGTATGCCTCCGCGCGGTTCTTCGCCTGTGACAAGTAGTGTGTACGGAGTATACTCCGTACAGTATGTTTGTATGTTTTGGGACTTCTCTTTTCCGCTTGGATCACCGGGATCAGTACCGGCACCCTTCTTATTGGCGGCTTACTCGGTCAAGGAACGAAGGCTGGGGACGCCACCCACCAGGGCATTGCCGATTCGACAGTCTCAAACACCTTGAGATCGCTACCGCGTCTGGCCATATACGCAGGCGCAGAATTTCTCCCTGAGATCGTTCATTCCTGGAGAGGGGCGAGACAGGTCCAACCCTGCCATTGCTCCCTTCTGCGTGGCAATAACACGGTGGGCCTGGGAATGAGGGGGAATGGAGCGATAATGGGCCGAAGCTTTTCCTCCGTGAAGGCGTCCAAAGCACGGCAGGACTAGACCCGTACAGAGTCGGTACCAGGAAACCCACCACAACTGACCCCAAATAGAGGAGTCAAAGGTACCCTAAACACCAAACTTACGGATCTCCTGTATGGCCAGTGTAACCCCTCGACTAAAATAGAAAAAAGACCTTACAGATCCCGGCGCCCTAATGCAGCTGGGCTGTTCTGACTGGTCCACGGACCCCGGCAGTGTTCGTTATTGTGATATTCACCTGGAGGCTCCGAGCTTGCCTTGTTTGGTCCTGGTAAAACGTTCCCTGGTGGAATCCTCCGTAGTGCTCAATATAAATATACCCTTGGCCCTCGTCTTGGGATTCCTCTCTTCTTCAACCTCAGTCATTGCTCCACCTCCCTCTATCTTACGCCGATCAACCTTAATTCTCGCCCTAAACCCATCACGATGCGTGCCTCCATCTTCTTCGCTACCCTCTCGGCTTTCGCCATCTCTGGTGCCATTGCCCAGGACAGCTCCAGCGCTGCTGCTGATACCTCTGTGCCCGTAAGCTGAGACCATCAAATTGCTAAACGCAGCACCACGCCTAACGCCCGTCAATAGCCAAACCCTGAGACCCAGTATCTGACTGAGACCAACTCTCTCGGTGTCCCTACTGGACAGCCTTCGGTTATTACCTCTCAACCTGCAGTGGTGACTTCCCAGCCCGCCGTCGTGACCTCCCAAACCGCTGCCGCTTCCATCCCCGCTGGTCTCACTGCCCCCGTCGTGACCCCCGTCACCAACAGCGGAAGCACCACCCTAGTGACTGGCACTCGCCCCGCCTCCAGCTCCTCCACTGCCGACTCTTCTTCCTCCACCGAGACCGACTCTTCGTCAACTTCTTCCAGTGCTTCTAGCACTACCTCTAGCTCCAGTGCTAGCTCCAGCTCTGCTTCCAGCAGCCCTACCACCAGCTCCCACAGCTCTACCAACGGTGCCCCCCATGGCCACTGCGGGCATGGGTCTCGCTGCCGGTGCTGCTCTCCTCGCTTTTCTTTAAGCGGCCCATCTGTGATGGTGGTGGACTCGCAACCATGGATTTTGTTGCATATATGATTTCATGCTTGTGGAGACACTGGGATTGCAGGTCCAACATGGCTCAATTGTGTCGTGGACTGGATCTGCGGGATGAGGAATGTGAAAATGTCAATTTGTTCTAATCTTTGTGGACATGTTAATTATGGGCGATCTGCTATCTGGCCTGGGGTTTGATCTTTTTTTCAATGCGTGAATAGCATATCTGGGCGCACCCGTTTTTGAGAGTCTTTACGCGAAGGCTCTTGAATGTATTAGTCTAATCAAAACATACTATTCTTGCCATTTTATTGCCTCTGGCTTTACTAGTAGCTATGTAGAAAGCCAGCAAAGTCCCAATTGCGGTTACGCTACCATTGCTGGCCTGTTCGAACTGCGTGGACCAGGGTTTCGTATAGGGCGAGTCTCTCCTTGAGGTGGCCATGGGATGATTCCAGGATAAGCCCCTTGAAGCCCTGGATTCAGGTAAATGCTGCAAATTTAGTTCTTTCAAGGTCTTCCAGGGATGGGAAGTGAGGTTCCTGACGTGCTCCAGGGCTCCCCGGTGCAATATGACTCATGAGCTGTACTGCCTGAAGGGGCCGGAAGACAATCTTAGAAGTATAATAGGACCTGGCTCCTAACCGCATTTGGAAGTGTAATTGAAACGCGAGAACGCGAACGCGTATGACAAATCAGGCCTAGCGTGCCCGTACTGCCTCGACAACCAAACAACAACAAATCGAGAGCCGCTTCTGTGCGATTGCTGCTCCGACAACCACCCCCACGCCATGGTAAGTGCGGAGGTTGATGGCCACCACATGCCAGCCAGAGTAGCTGACGTCGCCAATGCAGGTCTCCAATTTGCGCCGGCTGGCGGCAGACCATGCCGCCCTGTACAGCTCCAAGCTGCCACCATACTATCTGCTGCCGCAAGATGACAGTCGCTTCAGCGCTGATGACTTGTCCCAGCTGACGGTCATGCTCACTGGCCCTCCAGGGACTCCCTATGAGATGGGATTATGGAGATTGCAACTAAGGATCCCGGAAGACTATCCGAATAGTCCACCTAAAGCGACCTTTCGCACGAGGATTTGGCATCCTAATGTGGAGGAACAAACTGGGGCAGTATGCGTAGACACATTAAAGCGGGACTGGCAGTCAAGATTGACCTTGCGAGATGTGTTGATTGTAAGTTGAGATCGCGGACTCAGCACACACTGTTTCTACAACAAAAGCGCTGACTATTTCACCTTCGCAGACTATTTCTTGTCTCTTGATCAACCCCAACCCTGATTCCGCCCTCAACTCCTCCGCCGGCAATCTTCTTCGTGATGATTACGATGAGTTTGCTCACCAGGCGAAGTTGATGACCTCTATCCATGCTCCGATCACCTCCGATTTACAAGACGCCGTTAGAGAAGCCAAGCACCGTGGTGAAGATACAATCCCAATGCCCAAACACAGAGATCAAGGCTCGATCTCCCAGCGTCCCCGCAAGCAGCAGCGCCTTCAGTCTACTGCTCAACCCTCTGTCCGCCCCCGAAGCCGCATTCCAACGCCATCCGGACATCTCCCTCAACTCCCTCGCTCGCCTCCACCGGCACCAGCCATGCCAGTAAACGAAGACATCATGACTGACAGCGAGAACGAGGACCCAGCAAGTGCAAGTAAAGAAAACAACCCGTCGCTATCTCCCTCTCCCGTGAACCTAGCCCCGCCAACCGTCAGCCCTCGGAAAAATGCTTTCGGCAAGCGACCCCTCTCTGTTCTTTCCGTCGCCTATCCAGAAGATCCAGACACAGATATGATGCTGGTGGACTCCGATTCGGATGGGGCGAACGACAGTCCTACAGAAATTAACCCTAATGCCGCCAATATAATCGCCAACATCCCCCTCCAAACCCCTTCGCCAGCTCCTACTCTTCTCGCTCCCACACACCGGTCTCTCCGCACCGTGCCAAAACACCGCGTCTCGCTCCCCCACGCCTCCGCGAAGACGTTCTCATTTATGAGGATGTCCCGGACCGCACGCTGACAGATGTTTCCCGACGCTTTGGCAGTGATGGAAAGGAAAATGAGCGGGCCTTGAAAGAAATTCCCGACCTTAGCCCTACCAGGCAAGCCGCCCCGATGAATGTGTTGCAGGAGAATAATGCAAAGGGAGTCTCAGAGCTCTTGGCGGCACACCTGTGGCAGGCACCTGGCACCAAGGCCTCAAAAAAGAAGGCAGGGGCTCAGAAAAAGGCAAAAACGAAGGCTCGTATCGGGCTGCGACGACTCTGAGTTGCAAACATTTGCTTTTCAGGTCTTTCTTTTGTTGATACTCGAAGTTGCATGCTGGTGTCGGTTTGTTTTGGTTGTGTTGTGTGCGGTCATTTGCAGGGCATTTCGTGATACCCTCTGTCCTGGCTCTTCTGCATACTTGCATTTATTTCGTTGCATATTGGGGATGGCATTACCGGGTGCATTTGAGTTGTGCAGCTTTCTGGCTGTGGCGCTGCATATGATCTGGTTATCTGATGTTCAAAGTTAATGGAAGTATATTTTGCTCTGCACTGGTTAATTGTAGAAGGATCACTGCTAGGCCTAGTGGTGTGTGGTATAATGAACAAAAGTAGCTTATAATAATACACAGGGGCTCTAATGAGTGCTAGGTAATGAAGTAAAGCAACTTGGACCCATAGTATGCTCAGGCAAATATGAATGGTAAATCTTCAAGATGCCAGCAGAACTGCTGCTATATCTCGGTGCTCTTGGGCTTGGGCTCTCCCTAGTGGAGCATCTCCTGACAGGCTACAATGTTCCAGCCATAATGAAGCTGAGCAGCTACAAATGGAATTGTTCGCCTGATTATTTACAATGATTAGCGTTACTGAAAACAAAAAATAATTGGGGTCGTCTCCTATCTCTCTCTTCCAGTTATTTCTTCCATATTAAAGGCTGTGCGTAAAACCCTGAACTCCAATCAGCCGTCGAAGTGGATAACCGTTCTATGGCCGCATTATTAACTCCGTGGTAGAACACTCCATTTCGCCCAGATAATGGAGCTTCTGTGTCGTCATACTGCTACCAATAGAATATTTCTCGTTACAAGTTGCTTGAGTCTTGTGTCAATCATGGTGCTTGAAGGCACCGAGCACGAGCACGAGCCTTACGTGGATTCTTCCATATTGCAGTATACTAGTTCAATTTCTACTGATTTCTATAAGAGCCAAAGCTACTATGTAAAATACCTGGATTAATGGAAACTCGCCGGAACTATCAAGCTGCAATCAATCTTTCCCTCTCGCACCTCCCTGGCCCGCACCCGTGGGAGCAAACCAATGAGGTGGAGATGCTCTGGACAAATAGACTGTTTCCCGGAAAAAATCAAGATGCTGGCACGAAAAGAGAAACAATCGCTGCGACATTTAACAAAGGTAGGTATCAGAGCTTCTCGAAACGGCACAATGATGGCTGGGTTAACACCACCGAGGAAAATGGGGGGAAAAGGGGAGATATCAGGAGCGGCCCTGATAATGATATATTCGATCCGCATGGTGGGTGACGATTATGTCCGTAAATGGGCAGGGAGCATTGACCATGAGGTCTTTACTCTCACGCCCAAAAAAGAATCTGCAGGATAGGCATGCAATAATATGTCCCAAGAAGGAGGAAATGACCGCTGTGGGATCCCTTTACAGAGCGTAAGGGTTCACGGACCGAACAGTGAGGCATCTTGATGGAATGGTTAGTTACGAATTTCTAGGGATTTTGCGAGAACTCTTGGAAGCACTTACGGTGGGCTCTTGCTAAGATCAGTCTTTAGGATGATAGGCACACGGGACATCTCAATGACATCCTGAATGAACTCGCCATCCTCTTCACGCAATTTGAAGAGCTTGAGGTACTTCTCCTTGTTGGTAAGCTTGCTCTCAGGAGCGTCGCTGGTGCTCGAGGCAATCTTAGGATCGGAACGAGTACGATGGGGAGCTTGCTGCAGATGGCCGTTGCGGGTGGGCGACGGCGGCATGCTCTGGGTAGACCGATCAGCAGAGCTGAGAGACACCCCGGCAGCCTGCTCAGTCACCTCGTCCACATCTTCATCATCATCAAAGAGGGCATCAACATCGTCAGCGGACATTGTACCGGTCTCAGTTTGCTTGCGCATGGCCTCGTCCTGCTCCCGGGCGCGTTCTTTGGCAGCCTCAGCCTCACGGGCCGCAGCCGCAGCCTGAGCAGCGCGAGAGTTGGTAGGCTTGGGGCGCTCATCTTCCGGGATGTAAGCAGAGGACGGAACACCCTTTTCCCAGTACAATTCGAGAATGCGGGTCTCCTTGCGGAACTCAGCCTTCTTGAGCGGCAGCTGATCGCAATGCACTCGCTTCTCAAAGCCATACTCGGGGATAAGAACATCAAAGGCCGACTCGTACACGCAAAGAACGATACCCTCACTGATAAGATCACCTCCAATCTCATGGCTCTTGCGATCCATGTTGCGACAAGCTTCAATGTGAACACTCTGCTCTTGAGCATTGTGAGCCGAGTCTTTCTTGTTGTTGCAAAGGTCGGCAGTCTTGTTCAGGGACTCGACATCATCCATGAATTCAATCGCTCCCTCGGAAAGAATGGACTCGAGCTGACGATGGACGACAATGTCTGAGTAGCGTCGAGATGGGTTGGTGAAATGAGTGTAAACGGGCACATTGAAAGTGTAATGCTGGCGCAGTTCGTCGCCAGAACCAGCCCCAACAAAGTATTTGGCGCGTTGCATGGCTTTAGCCAGCAAGGTTTCCATTCCCTAATCCTAGTGTCAGCTTTGCGAGATGAGATGTTTTGATTCAGACAGATTCATTCACCTTGCGGAGATCGACGTCCTGCACCTTGCAGAGAGAGCTCTGCAAGCTACCACTACTGGATGCGTCAAGGCCGTATCCAAGACGGTTCATGCGGTCGACGAACTGAGTCAGACGGCGAGGATTGGGGGAGGGCTGGCGGCGCAGGAATGCCTTTTCAGGCATCGCGTTGGAGATCTTGCGCGCGACAAAGAAGTTGGCCTGACGGCTCAGTTCTTCAACAAGCTCATGAGCTGGAGTGGAGTCGAAGATGTTGTACTCGACAGGCACATTCTCGTCATCAAGCTGTTGAATAATGCGCAAAGAAGGAACATTGGCCACGCGATTACCGAACCGCGCATCACGGAACTTGTTCGCAATGGTCTTTCGCATGTGTCAGGCAAATGAGCATGAAACGGAAAGGGGGAAAGGTAATATCTTACGTTCAAAAGCTGGATACTCTCGACGGCGATACCAGCATCGGTTTTATCCAATTTTCCGGTAAGCACGGAGTTAACCTCATCATATCCAAGACGGCCAGCGCTTTTGATGACGCCCTTGCCGATCCAGACATCGTCGTCAACGGCGCCAGTCTCGGGGTTAGCCTTGAATACCACACTGACAGTCAGTCGGTCCTCGCCAGGAAGTAGGGAGCACAGCTCAGTAGAGACACGAGGGGGCAGCATGTTCATGATTCGATCAACCAAGTACACAGCAGTTCCTCGCTTCTTAGCCTCCCGATCCACAAGAGAATTGCTCTTTACAAAGTGGGCAATATCAGCAACGTGAACACCAAGCTCAATCTTGCCATCGTCAAGTTTCTTGACGTGGAAAGCATCCTCCAGTGCCTGGGTGTCCTGGGGATCAATGGTGAAAGTGGTCTCCTCACGGAAATCGCGGCGTTGGGCGAGTGCATCACCTTCCTTGGCAACAGACCAATCCTCGTAGCCAATGCTCTTGATGACGGCATCAGAAAATTCGTCAGAGCCAAAGTTGTTATCACGAAGAAGAGCATCGGTCTCAACACGCAGGTCACCCATCTCACCAAGTTGCTCGACAAGGGTACCGAAGGGGTGCAGGGAGGTAATGGGCCACCGCTTGATGGAAGCAACAAATATACGATTGGCATAGTCCTGGTGCTTCTCCACAAAGTCACGAGGTGCTTGCTCGGTGGGGATTGCGATCAGAGGAACACGCTTGTCAGTAGGCTTGAACCAAACGATCTTAGGCTTGTCCTGGTGTCGATCCTGGTTACGGCCATTGCCATCACGGGATTGACGCTCAGCTTCTTGCTTTTCTTTAGTGGCCTGGCTGCTTGGCCGCAAGAGACCAAGGGTTCCTGAGAACATCTGGCCCGGAATGCGCTCAATGACAGCAACAACGTGCCCAGCGTACAGGGGCTTTTGCTCATCACTAATCTCATCCTCTTCAACCAAAAGCAAACTCTGGCCTTCAACTTCGACATCATCATTCTTCTTCTGCGTGGGACGCTGGCGAAGACTGCCGCGACGGCGGATGCTTCCATCTGGTCCAATTTCTTGCTTTTCATTGTTAGAGTCAGACCGTCCAAGCTTGTCGTTACCGGCATTGCTGCCAGACCGAGCATCGGTGATGTCTTTCCGTTTCTTCTTCTCTTCCTTCTCCTTCTTCTGTGACCACACCTCGTCGACATCAAGGAGCTCAATGGCGACAAAGTCACCCTCAAGAGCACGATTGCGATCCTTGCTACCGCAAATAAAGATGTCGGCATCCAAGTCGGTGGTTGTGACATAGGCATCAGATCGGTTCTTCTTGTTGACGCGCAGAACACCAGCCACCAACTGGCCATTGCTGATAAGAGCGGGAAGGTTGGCCTGGGGAAGGTAAGGAGTGAAAAGGGTCTTGCGTTGCTGCTGCTGCTGTTGTTGCTGCTGCTGTACGGTCAGCTGCGGCGGGGCATGCTGGCTAGCCCCAAGGCCACCAAGAGCCTGCCCATTCTGTTGCTGAAGAGCTTGTAGTTGAGCAATCTGCATTGGGTTCAGTTGCTGGTTGGCACCAAAGATATTTGGTGGAGCCATCATGACCCCTCCCTGAGGCAATTGGATAAGCTGAGGCTGACCAGGGTACTGGAATTGCCCAATGGAGCCCATAGACTGGTTCATAGAAGCTCGCGAACGATGGCCAGGCTGGAAGTTGCCGCCCTGCTGTTGGCCAAAAGGCTTCTGCTGGTCCTGGTTTTGGTTGTTTGGCTGGCGCCAATTTCCGTCAAAGTTTCGTGATCCAGAGCGAGCATGGCCTCCTGTCTGGCTACCCCGACGCTGGTTATCGGATTGGCCAGATTCAGGAATCTGCGGGAATTGGAATCCACCCGCACCACGACCAGATAGTGAGCCTCGGGAGCCGCCTACCGCCATGGACTGGCTTCGGCCATGACCACCAGCTCGAACATTACCAGCACGCTGCATACCGAGTCCCTGAGGTGCCGGGGAGGTGCTGGATGGTGGCTTCTCTTCTGATCCAGTCTGATTATCCGAGCCACCACCTGGGGCAGGAGCCTGGGGGAATGAGAAGCCAGATGCGGTTCGCTTCTGCTGTGCAAGCTCCGCGGCCTTCTTGGCCTCGGGCAACGCAAGAGAATGGCGCCGCTGGTGACCACCGCCGGGTGGACCACCACGTCCACGGCCATGACCAGTATTTTCAGTCTTCTGCATATTATTACCCTGTTGGTTGTAATCGGCATAGCCGGAGGCTCCGGATGAGGGTGCAGGAGGAGGCCCCATGGCCATGCCGGGAAGAGCAGATTGGTTACGACGATGAGTGTTGTGGGCCGGTGCATTCATGGACACCCCAAGTTGCTGCTGTTGGGGTTGTTGAGGCTGTTGAGGGAACTGGAAGGCAGTGCCGACTTGGGGGGTACCACCGCCCAGGCCGCCGCCGGGAGAGAAGGCGTTGACCTGACCCAGCTGCTGAGGCTGGAGCAGACCCATGTTAACGTATTGTTGATGTGTAGCCGCAATTTGCTGCTGCTGCTGCTGAAGAAGCTCAATTTGTTGCTGGATGGCCAGTTGTTCCACTTGAAGATGAGTGTTAGCTAGACCTCTGGCATGTCAAAGCGACAGTAAGGTTAGCAGGGGTTTTACGTACTCATCAGAGGGGTAAGCTCAGAGGGACTTCTCCGGTGAGCAATATGGAGCTTCCGACCAGCAGGGCCTGGAACCCCGGACTGGTTGTTCTGATCCATGATCCCAGATGAAGATGTTATCACTGGTTATCACTGTAGAGTGTAATATGCGGGGGAGGTGGAATGGATCCGATAACAAGAGAGACTGGTGTTGCCACCAAAGGCAATCGAACCGAAGTATTCAGATCACAGACCGACCGCAGATGGATGTGTGTATATGGGGGCGATGGTGCAACACTCGAAACGCTGGGAACAATTCTGGTAGCGAAGGACGGGGTCAGCACGGAGTCGATAACTGAGAAGAGTTCCTGATGAATGGAGGAAGATAGAACGGAGCTAGACCACAAGAAGGGGGGAGGGGGTGGAAAAGCGAATGATGCGACAAACAGATGAGAAGGAGAGAGGTGGGGAGTAATAGGATGGGAAGTCGCGATGCTTTTGGCTCAGACCTATTGCGGGCGGACACCTAAGTAGACTCGAGCCAAGCGGCAGTAACTACCGGAGACTAATTGGGTCCTGAGGCCCTTTTGTTGCATGGCGCCCCAATGGGGCCAGTGTAGAAAAATAGCTGTGAACGCCCTTACCTGCAAAAGAAACTAATGGCACGCCCCGAGCCCTAGCATTCCACAACAATGTCCGGTTGCACGTCGAAGAGAATGACAGCAAGAAGGAAGGAATCGGCTCGCATCAACCGACCTAGAAGGAACGTTGGGGGAGGAGCGAGAGAGAGATGGAAACTGGGAGTAGAAGGAAGAGGGGGGGAAAGGAGAAGAAAGGTGATGATGGTGGATACAAAGCCGGGTGTGGGGAGGGACCAACGTACCAAAACGTCATTTTCGTTTTACAGTGACTATACCGCCAATTCCCCCCAAAGGTTCTAGGGTTGCCTCCTATTTCCACCGTCAATACCTTGTTATGACAAGTCCCATACGACTCGTCCCAAGACGGATTCTATGGATGATCTCCATTGCTCCCCGACCACCTCATCAATTTATCTTTGACCAGTATGATCGAGTCCCGCTAATGCCCGTGCAATCCAGAACAAGCTGTATTGACATGGGGAGCCTGTTTCAGTGGTCTGGGGGCTAGAAATCTACACTGACTTGTTCAATACTGACGAGTGACACTAGCTCACGATAGAGGTATTGAATTCAGTCGAGTTGGATCATTTGGCCCTACACCCTAAGACGTCACCTCCAAGGGCCTCATAAAGAACCTTGGTAGTGTGTCTGTAAGCCCCTCATGGTCGAGGAAGCCTTGGAAAGGCATATCCGAAGGGTAGTTTTTCTTAAATGTTTGTCCTACTCAGCTCTAGTCTGCTTTTTTTAAGCATAAATGGATGATGCTCATCATGATGCACACGAACCACTCTTTTGGTCCGACGGGTGACGGAGGATCGCTGACTCATCATGTAATTTATTCCCGACTCCTCTGATAAACATCGCGAAGCCATAGTGAAGCCCCATGGGAGTGAATGGCCGTCGATGAAGCCCTAATATGATGCCCTAACTTTCAGGTAAGTGAATATGGTGAGTGAATGAGGCTCTCTGCTCAAGTACTAGCAGAGCAAGCTATATATACCGCGAGTACCACCAGGCTGATCTTTCTCCTGCACAGCTCCCAATCACACTCAATTTTATCGGTCCATTGATCTGCTGCGACTCCGTCATTTGCGACCGGGGCACTCCCGTTAGGTGCGAGTGACACTGAGGATCTTGCACGATATCTACTGTGTGGCGTGTCGATCTCTAAATCCAGCCGGGGTGCCTGTTTTGTTTTCACGACACCCATCTTCTCAACCTTCCAATTCACTACCACCAGACGATAATCCTGTCGCATACTTGACTTCCCAGCACAAATTGTCCTTCTTGCTGCTCTTTGCACCCTTATGCGATAACTCTCGCCCAATACCTTTCTTGCTCCTCCTGCAACCCTCCTCCACTCCTCTTCCCCAGCAACCTTCTCACCCTTCGTTCCCAATCCACAACTACGCAACGCTTAATTCATCGCGGCATGGGTGGCAGACCTCAACACGAGTCCCCGCGGGGCAAGGTGCATGTCCCTCCACTGGACAGCCCTTCCAAACAGCTCATGCTCGATTTGGTGCGCGACCTCGAGCAAGTTCGACTCTTCGACTATGAGCTCAAGCAAGCCCATGCTTACGAGCGCAAATTGTTCTATGATGAACTGGATGAGATTGATCGGAAAAAAGAAGCTGTTCATATGGCCGCCCTTGATAAAGCTGCAGCTCTCCACGACAGCCTCCGAAAGGAGGCAGAAGCCATTTTGCGAGAGCACAATCGCGCAGAAGAAGCAGAGCGACTCCGAAAGGAAGAGGCAGCACGCCTTGAACGGGAACGCATCGAAAAAGAAAAGGCCGAGAAACTTCGTCGTGAACAAGAAGAGGAAGCTCGTATCTTAGCTGAGCGCAAGGCTGCTGAGCAGGCGAGAAAGAAGGCCGAGGAGGACGCGGAGCGAGCGCGGCTGGCTGCGCAAGCTGAGGCGGATCGACTGGCTCGTGAGAAAAAGGAAAAAGAGGACGCGGAGAGGCGTAAGCGGGAAGAGGAGGCCAAAAAGGCTCAACAAGCTGCAGATGAGGAAGCCAAAACTCAAGCCCAGCAAAAAATTGGTGGCGGTCATCTCACAGCTACGGAGATTGACATTCAGAAGCGCTACGTCGAGATTCACAAAACTCTAAAAGAGTTTCGAGCTTGGCTCAAGGAGGAAGGGAAGAAGCACCCCTCGGTCAAGCAGGCCATGGGTGATATGCGCCGTTCTATCAAGAAGAGCGTTGGACAGCTCCGCGATGGCAAGGGCACCAACAAAGTACAGGTAGGCTCACATATTGCATCATTGGCAAGGCTTCTGTACTAACTTGCCACAGACAGCACATATTCGCGCCGAGCTCCAAAAGGCACCCACGGTCGACGGGCCTCTTGTTGACATCCGCAAATTTATCGCATTCCCGCCCCAAGAGATTGCACAGTCCGAGCAGAATGTTCCCGCTCTGATGATCTATGGGCTCAACATCTTCGCCAAGGCCCTTGTCTCAGCACTTCTCACGGAGGCTTCGATCAAACCCCAACATGCAGAACCTGTAGGCATCCTTGCTGCTCAGATCTTCTCAGGAGAAGAATTCACTTACAAGGGGGTCCATCTGTCGGATATCTTGTTGGCCAAGTATCGAGTTCTATGTCCGGCTCTCTGGGGTTTCACTGGCAATGAGAAGACCGAGTCCGGGCGCCGCGCATTGGGCTGGTGGCATGAGGCAGACGGTGGTCCCTTTGTCTCGGAGCAAACCCATTTAGATCGAATGACAGCTCTGGGGGCAGGTTATGCAGCGATCACTCTGCGTAACTTTGGAAAAACCAACCGTCGCAACCCATTCCCCAACACCATGTTCTGGGTTAGTATCCAAAAGATGCTTTGCTTGCCAGTGAACGAGATACAGGATACGCATTTTATCATCTTGCAATCTCTACTGCGATATTCCGGAGACCGCGTTCTCGGTTTCTTTGGGCAGCATGGTATGGCTGTACTTCGAAAGGCCGTCGTGGATATCCCCGACGCTCTGCCCAAAAAGAGTATGGCGGTGAACCAACTTGCTCTGCTCAAGGACATTTACCAGAAGGAGCTCGACCTTTGGCTTTGAATCTGCCTATCACGAACAGAAGGCACTACCTTGTATTTTAAGCAATCTACGGGATCTGGGACTGACACAATGGATCTTTCATCTAGTTAACGGTAGCTAGAATCAAAATATGAAATACCACCGGTAGAGCCTTGCAAGATAACGAACACGCGGCATCGTAGCACCTAAACATTAAGGAAGCAGTGGTAGGTAATTACACTTGATCCTTTGCAAGCTTCCAAGGTTGAAGGGCCTTTCTTTGACGATGCCACCGACGGCATACTATGCCAAAACCAATCCCTGAGCGGCAGATGGCAACTTTTGAGCCTAGCGCTCGAGTCATCAGCCACCACCTAACCCGGTACTTCCTCGTGACAAAGTAAAGAAATGTCCGAATACAAATAAGTTGCTAGTTCTTCCTTTCTTCTGTCATTCTTAGAGAAGCACAAATATTTCTGTGCTGTTTCTCACATATTTGCCGTGCAAAATGCTACCTATACAACTTCTCCAATTATCTCGCCGCCGCTGCCAAGCGGCGGCACCAGTCCCAATATATATCTCGCCGGCATTCCCATAGCATGCCCCGCCAACTCCCCTTCGTCAACCGAAACTCAAGCTACAACAGCCGCTTGCAATTGCCTTCTCATTGCGCACAGGCCGCATGGGCTCAACTAAACTTAAACGAAATTATCGGCCAGGACCTGTTACCAAGTCCGATACTGAGCACCAAAAGATGCCTTTAGTGAGCCTGGAGTCTCCCTCGGGATGGGCAAATGCATGAGAATGCTTTTATTTGGCGTACTCTGCATCTTCGGAGCAATTGAAACATGTTTCTGGGGCAAGGCTATTTGGATTTGGGGGGAAGTACCAGCAGGACGAAGATGCTTCAGGCTAAGTAGAAACATATGTCCGAGCTTCAAGTTTCTAAGGTTTATGTACACTAGGCGCCTCCTTTTCTCAGTTCCCAAAGAATAAATACCCCGCTCTCAAAATTTTCTCCTTTATGAACATACTATATATTATATATATTCAGTGGATCATGGAGATCCCTTGGACTATCCGTGCACGGGTTCTAAATGTAGCGAGATATTGGTCTAGGCCAGCGGAGACTTACCCCTTGGCTGTAGGGAGCGTCAATCCGCCAGACCGGACTTATGGGCCTTTCCAAGGCTCAGGTTGATTGGCCTTAGACTATCCATGATCCTTATCGAGCTTCAAGAGATCCTTGCCTTTAGGAGATTGGGAACTTGTCGTCTACTCCGTCACTGGAAGTACTAGGTCGCTTTAGGGACGCCTATAAATTCCACAGCCTTAATTGCATTTATTTTTTGGAGGGCAAAACATTTGCTACTACGATTGTGGAAATGACCGGTGATGTGGCTTTAGCTATTGATAGATCAGGCTACTCCGCCTCCCGATTTCCTAGGGTTAGATACTATTAGTACGTTTGTGACACCATAGAATTTGCAGATCTTAATTGGCCCAGTCTTGGTATGAGACAGCAATCGCATCTGTGAGAGGTAGCAAGTATTCGCGTGAAAATAATGGAGTACGGTGTAGTCGAAATTGAGTGACAGCTAGCATTCCTCGGGTTCGATGGAAGCTATGGAAGCCATCCGCGGTGCCCGTGGATCTTGAGGAATGTTTCACCCACGACAGGCAGAGGATCCTCAATGGGCGCACTAGAGAAGTTCTTGGTAAGATTGGCCCCTTGAATTCAGGGACCGGATGGTCTTGACCAATAAGAAGGTGCAATTGGTCCCGCGCGGATCCTCCAAGACCCTTCGCCCAGAACCGCCAAACCCAATCGGGCGTGCAGCGTCCCCCCCGTTGACTTTCTGGCTCTTGGGGTTTAGACCTCCAGGAGGTTGATCTTGGCCTTCATCTCTTGACGTTTTCCACGCGTCCATTCATTTATAAGACCCCCAGGCTCTCTTTCCACACTCCTTCACATAGACGCTCTTTCGTTTTTCTGTTTACTGCATCGGTCGACCCTCGCTTGGACGACCGCCCACACCATGCGTGTTTCTACTCTTCTCCCTTTCCTGCTGGCCGCTGCCCCGGCTGTGGTCTCTGCCCGTGGTACCCTGGGCTTCTCCCTCGGAGACAAGAACCCCGACGGAAAGTGCAAGACCACCAGCGACTATGAACAAGACTTCGATGACCTGAAGGACTTGGCCACCCTGGTCCGCACCTACTCCGGCACTGAGTGCAACACTCCCTCGCAAATCCTCCCGGCCGCTAAGAAGAAGGGCTTCAAGGTCGTTCTTGGTATTTGGTAAGAGTCCTACTCTATGCATGGGTCCATATACGTCATTCATATACATCGGCCGAACTATTGAATTTCGAATAGATCGCTGACAAAAACTCGAATTGAATAGGGTCGGCCCCCAGGACAAGAGCGACATGAGCACCAACGACCCATCCTTCGCCAAGGACTTCGCTGCTCTGAAGAAGGCCGTCCCCGGCTACGAGGACGTCGTCGAGGCTATCACCGTCGGCTCTGAGACCCTTTACCGTGGTGACCAGACCGGTCCCTCTCTGCACAAGTACATTGGCCTCGTCGCCAAGGAGTTCAAGGGCGTGACCGTCGGTACCGCCGACAGCTGGAACAAGTTTGCCGACGGCACTGCCGACGACCTGTTCACCACCGACACCGATGATGCCCCCATGGTTACCTACGTCCTGGCCAACGCATTCGCTTACTGGCAGGGAACTGCTGTTGACAAGGCCTACCAGACCTACTTCAACGACATGGAGGGTGCTATGTCGCACATCCAGAAGATTGCCGGCAAGAACGCTGACAAGATCCGCATTATCACCGGCGAGACTGGCTGGCCCACTGACGGTGGTACTGACTACGAGGCTGCTATTGCTGGCACTAAGAACGCTGAGCACTTCTGGAAGACCGGTGTCTGCGGATGCTTGCCTGGGGTGTGGACCTGTTCTACTTCGAGGCCTACGATGAGTCCTGGAAGCCCGACAGCGTTGGTGACAACGGCAAGCCCCAGAGCGAGAAGCACTGGGGTCTGCGCACTGCCGACCGCAAGTCCAAGTTCGACACCACTTGCCCCAAATAGAGAGATTCTCGTTGAGCAACGAGGTTGGGTCCTCCAGCTTCGATTCGTAGATACCATTTATTTGAACTGTACCTGACTTATTTTTTTGTTGTTCATCTTGAGATTGCATGTGGACGATGGTTTGACATCTGACACGAATGGAAATACGGATTTAACTTGGTCTTCAAGCCCGTCCACTCTGTAGTTACGGCGAGAACTCGTACCGAGGGGGTTTTCCTACTTTTTGTCTCACGGGGTGGTACATGCACGACCCTCTTTAGCCCCTGACCTTGAGGAGACAACGTCTATTGTACCAGTATACTGTCAGATATCTCTGAATCTCTGGCCACTACTTCTTGCATGTTAATGGGCGGACTGGTGAATGAGAATAACCAGTACGATCCTTGTAGTAGACCATAGATTCTGCAGTCGTCAATCAACAATAAGGGATTCTTCAAGTTCACGCGGTGGAGCCGAGGCATTATGTCATCGCAAAGGCCTCCACCTGGGCACCTGCAAACTTTGGGACGAGCTTCGGCGAGAACCACGGTTGCCAACCCCCAAATACCCCTGAAACGCTACTCCACGAACCAAAGAGTGCGTGTTTACTCCGTACACCAACGCAAGTTGCATGCAGAGTCTTGAATATCCTCGGCATTGCTGTTTACTGGTCTACTTGAGACCCCAGCAAGGGGCATTTTACAGTCACATCGAGTGTGAATTGTCGATAAGTCCAAAGTCGTGTGCATAGATACATGCCGGGTGGCGGTCAATCAACGCACATCTCTGGGGTACCTGCGCCGAAAGGTAAGGGTGGTCTTTCGCGGTTGGGAGGAGCAGCTCTGGTCATGGTACAAGGATTGTGCCCGTACAGGACTAGGAAACAGTAGAGGGCCAAAGGCGCGACCCGTGTGCGCGCGACTCGGTAATTAAAGTCTACAACGTGTCTTAGCGTATGAATGGGGGGGAAGGAATTTGTGACCGAAAATTAGGCACTAATTCCAATGGAGGATCGCCGTGGCCCCGAAAGGGAAGTAGCGTAAGTATCGGGTACTTCTAGACATCCACTAGAACGCATACTAGGGCACGTAGCCTCAGTAGTGGCTGCTCGGCCCAGCGAAGTACCCGGTACACTCGACTCGGTGACATAAGCCCTTTTTTCCACTCCCCTTTCTTTCTGTAGTTTTTTGAGTAGATTCTCGACTCTGTGTTCCCTTGGTTGCATTCGAAGAGAAGATAAAGCTCCAAAGAGGGGATTCGCCTGTTCTCCTTTCTTCCATTTCTTCGTTCGCCAATCACAGGCTGCCCTGACAAGGTCTTGAATTCCCGTTGGATTTCCATGCGTCAACATTCTGGACGATAAGCGGAGCGGCAAGCAAGTGCTTGCTGCAGGAGTCGATACGGAAGGTAAGTGATCTCATCCGGACTTTGGCGAGGCTTACGGCCTTGGTTTTGTCTTGGAGTGTCTTTGATTAGCATCTTGTTCCATGTCGACTCCGCCGACTCAGAGTCAATTGGGGCGTCCTACACCGCGTCGCCACGCGATTCCCCCTTCAATTGCTACCCCGACCCCTCCAAAATTTACTGACAAGTGGGATGCTTCTTTAGATCGGGATCCCTCTGCATCTTCCGCCCCTTTGGCGTCTACTCCTCCGTTGCCTCCACGGGATACGCGCAATCTGCGTGACGAACCGCGTCTGGCTCCCTCTTTGCTCTTGTCCTCTCCTCCCTCCGGAGACTCGAGTAGCGAGGCCGGTTCTCCTTCTCAGCACATTTTCTCCGCGGAGTATCACCCTCGAGCCCCCGCCGCTGCCATTTCTAGCCTCTCGCCGCGCGGAAGAAGAATCTCTCGCCTCTTCGCCCGACAATCGGAGAGCCGAAAGTAGTGTCTACTATACTACTGCCTGGGGGTCACCGTATGCAGCACCCAGCACGCGGCGACTCTCATTGACTCTAAGCCAATACGCCGGTGTTGACCGCGGATCTGGTGCCAGCTCGCCTGATAATCACCCCGAGCTCCGGAGAGCTAGTGTCGCTGTTAACGCAGAACAACATTTCGAGCGACGAGACGGAAACGCCGGTCGGACTTTCACAGATTTTACTCGGGATTGGCTCAACCAGTTCCTGAACGGACAACCAAGGACAGAACGGAGCAACTGGCTTAGCGACGATTCTGGAAGCGAGGCCCCGTCTTTTCTGACCGCGCAACAAAACCAGATCGCGGACGATCTCTCTGACGACTGGCTTGCTCTGGACGATACAGTTCTTGATAGCGATCTCTTGAAAACACCGACCCTTTCTGATTTTGTTGGTCGAAGAGACGCTGCTCGTTCCAAGACAAAGAAAGCTGCACACAAGCGTGCCGACACATTGCGCCAGGAAGACTTTTGGGGGTTCGCGTACGATAAAGAATCCCCTCAAAAAATGTCGGACGTAACTGAGTCACAGCCTCCGGCTGAGGTCACTTCACCGATAGAAAAGCCTCTCCCTCCCCCCCTTTAGGCCCAACTGATGACACATCACCAAAGACAATCGATGGACCTTCATCAGTTGGAGATAATATAAAGACGCAGGCCTCTGAGATCAATCGAGAAGCTACTCAGACCCCGCAAAGGCGGAAAAAGAAGCTAGCATGGAAAGGAAAAGCGTGCATCATCGATCTTCCCGTCGACGACAATCGGGGGTCCGAAGCGGCCGGTGGTAAACGTCTTTTGACTCGTCAAGATTTGGAAGCTAGAATGAAGAAGTGGGAGGATGAAGGATACGATATTCGAGGATTCACAATTGGCGAGATGGATGACTCGGCGGGCCCAACAGAACTCGGCGGCCTGACTCGTCCTTTGTACCCTGATCCGTCAGAGGTATACGAGGAGGGCAAAGGCCAAAAAGCCTTCATTCGGTTCCCCAACCGAGCAGTGTGGGATGCCTATGTGGCCGATTTGCAAGAAGAGAAGCTCCGCGCTCTAGGTGTATCATTTGGTGATGATGAACCAGGCCCCTCTGTCTCTCCTTCGAATGCCTCGATTAATCCACCTCAACCACCTTTTGGTCTCGTTGGATCACCACCAATCCCAACTGCGTCTGCTGCTGGCAACCATCTTGCTGCAACCTATCCTTTCTCTCCCCAATTCGGCCAGTCGACAGGGGCTGCCAGCGGTGGTATTGGTTCTTTAGCCTCGCCAGCATCGCAGTTCAGTGTGCACACTCCGTTCATGGGCATGGAGCAAAATATGATGCCAGGCTTGCCATTCCAATTCCAGCCGACTCCCCCTGCGCAAGGTTCTATGACTCCGCAGAGTCTTCTTCGACATGCCAACGGCTCGGCAGGACCGGGAGGATTCCATAACTTCAACTCTATGCTCTCACCAGTATCTCCTTTGCATGATCAAGGGTATGCTGGATTCAATGAGGGATTCACTGACAAGGATGTATATGATGACCGGTTCCCCCACATGGGTCATGAAGATGGCCCTCCCTTCCCTACTCCTCAAACTCCTGTCAACGCTCCGGACCAATTTCACGCGAATGTTGAAATTGCCCACCCCACGCCACGTGGCCACGGTCACAACTTGAGTGAGAGCCTCCAGAGGGGACTTGATCAGATGAATCACTCTGAGTATCGCCCTGATGACCAAGCCGAACGCCACGTGCCGCAAGGAGAATATAACAATCATCATGGTCTGAATGCCAACATGCTCCAGTCTCGCTGGGCTATGCCGGAAGATGAGCCTCAACGCGTCCAACACGCCTCTCGCGAGCCTTCACACTCATTCTCCCAACACCCACACCAGTTCTTTGGCGAGCAGTACGGACAGAACAACGTCCATGATCACGAGGGCTCCGATTTGGATACCAACCCCAGCCTTACTGGAACCCCTCAGACGCGGGGCTTGCCGAACCAGTCATGGCACGAGCCACACGCGAGCGGCGGCTCATTCCACGGCCACAACTCGAAATTGTCGGTTTCATCGCTTAATGTTGAAGCCAAGGAATTCGACCCGTCGGCCTCTTTCACTTCTCAGGCACCGGCCCTCGGCCAAAACGCGTTTCAGTTTGGAGGAAGCTCCGGATTTGGCTTTGAACCAGCACACAGCTTTGGTTCTCCCGGTTTCATGGATGCCCCTGCCCCTGAGTTTGGCCCTAAGCGCAGTACCTTCAAATTTTCTGCCCCATCTTTCAATGTGGATGCTCCAGTTTTCAACCCATCTGCCAGTATGCACTCAAATGCCAGCTCTGAGGCACCTTCAGCAAACCGGATCAAGATCTTTGGTGATATTGATATCAGTAAGCCCCCTAAGCAGTCGAAGGCCATCCCAATTGTCCGCCCAGATGAGGTCGAAAAGAAAGACCAGGACGACAAGGAGGATAACAAGAACGTGGAAGATGACCATAGCCGGCCCGTCTTCACTGACCGTCACAAGCGCGCTCGTCGGGCCATGGGACATGCTTCTGAGCCTGAGATGCGTTACAGCATTTCTACCCACCCATTCGGCGAGCACGGAAATGCTCAAGCCTCCAGCAATTTGCACCCCGTGGCTGAGGGCAAGGAGAACTCTTTGCCCGATGAAGGCAAAAACATCGATCGCCGTAGCAGTCCGGTGAGCGAAGCTGTTATTCTCTTCAATTATGAGAACGAAGTTGATGCAGCCCAATCATCTGTTCAAGGAGGGCCCGAGGCACAGGAGAACATCGAGAAACCTGCTCAAGAAAACGTTCCGGAGGCCAGCAGTTCAGCCAAGCATGCTACCCAAGACTCTAAAAGCAACGAATCTATCTTGTCGCCAACGGCCAAGGCTTTCGAGTTCAAGCCTGCTGTCCCCGAATTTGTACCCACTGCTGTTCAGCCTTCAAGCTTTGCCGAATCCAAGCCTATTGAAGACAAAACAGAGGAAGCAGCCGATACTTCTGCACCTAAACCGGCCGAGAAGAGGAAGGGCGGTCTCATGGCATCGCGTTTCGCTACTGACAGCCCACCTAAGTCCAAGCCGCCGCCAACCTCTGAGACAATCGGGACCGTCCCATTAAAGGCTTCAGTGGAAATCAACGCTGCTGCTCAGGCGATGCTCGAGCGCTACCGCGAATCTACCGAGGAATCTACCGACCAAGACGACATCGATGCTGTTATGGATCAACTGAACCACTCTGATGATGAGTTGGGCATTGAAAGACAGTACACTCCCCTTCCCTCACAGTTCGTGTCTGACTCTGTTGGTGGTCCTACTAAGGAGAAACGTTTTGGTTCTGCCGAAGGACGAAGTGAAGCACCCAGCCCCAGCCCTGGCGGAGGTCCCAGGACACATAAGCTCGACATTCCAAAGCTGGGCTCTGATGTTGACGGCCAGAGCAACGTTACCTTCTCGCCCCAGAAGTCCCTCATCTCACGCCTTCAATCGCCCGTTCGTCAGCTCATCACTGAGAATGACCACGTCAGTGACTGGGATGATATGATATCGTCTGGCGAAGACGAGAAATTCTTCAACCGTAACCGTTTCTTCGACCGCCGTATCAACGACCTCGTCGGTGCTGCTATTGATGACCGCCTCGGCCCGATGGATCGCGCTCTGGCCGTTATCCAACAGTCCGTCGCCTCTATCGCCTCTGGCACCGCCACCCGACGTGCTCTGCGCAGCGGGTCCGCCGAAATGGAGGACAGTGACGCTGATGACGAAGACGATGGAGATGAGATGGAGGGATCAGTCAGAGCTCGCTCGCCTCCACAAAAACGTGACCGCAAGCTTGACTTGATGAAGTCTGTTATGATGGAAGCTCTGGCTACTCACAGCCTGACTCCTCGCCCACAACCCGGCAGCCAAAGCGAAATGAACCTCCTGAAGGAGCATCTTGCCCGTCTTGAAGCTACGATCAGTAAGAAGATTATCAAGGACCCTGTTGCTGAGATCAAGCAGAGCATTGCGGATGCTCTTGAGGCGAACCAGGAAATGCAGGAAATGGCCAAACAACAAGCGCGTGCGCGCGACGAAGTCATTAATAATCTCAATGTTCAGTTGAAGGCCCGTGATGAGGAAGTCGAGGCACTGAATCGCCAAGCGCATGCCCGCGACCAGGACATCAAGGAGCTCCACCAACAGGTTGATGCCCTCCGCGCCACGCTCAATCACTCCGCTGAACCCGACCGTGGCATTGTTGATAACTCGGAAGTTCAGAGACTCTTGGAGGAGAATTTCATTCTCAGGGAAGAGAATCAGACTATCAAGGAGGATAATCTGAACATCAACAAGAAGGTCAAGGAAGACTTGGAGACTTTTGCGAGCGAGAACAACAACCTCAAGCAGGCCAATAAGGAACTGGAAGAGCGATTTGCTGAGCTATCTGTGAAGAACATTGAACTCGTCAATGAACAGAATGATGGCCGTCAACTTGAGCGCAAGAACCAGCAGCTCATCAAACAGAATGCTGAGCTTCAAAGCGAACGCGATGAGCACCTTGCTTCCCTTGACAAACTTCGCAATGAGCTTGCATCTTCTGCCGATGAGAACAGTTCTCTTCGCTCGAAGGCCGAGTCCCTGCGTATTCGTATGGAGGAGAGCCAGACCCTCCGAGCGACTCTTATCGAAGAGATGGACAAACTCAAAGATAAAGTTACCACTCTCACCAGCGATGTTGTCAAGAGCCACGCAATTTCCCGCAACAAGGAGCAAGACCTCACCACTGAGCTCACCTTCGAGAAGAGGGTCCGAGAGTCTCTTGAGAAGGAGCTTGCAGCTCATGAGGCTAAGCAGAAGGTGTTCGCCGAGATCCAGGTCGAACTTCAGATGGTGAAGCAGCAGAACCAAGACCTCACCTCTAAGAACGCCGATCTGAGGGATGAGCTTGCAGAAGCTAAGCGTACTCGCGCCTCCATCGAAGCTGATGTCCAAGCAGCCACCAGCCGAACAGCCGAAGCGGAGGCCCGCAATGCTAGTCTTCAAAAGGAACTGAATGAGGCCCAGCTGGCTGTTCAAGTCGAAGAGGAACGTCGCACCCTTCTCGTCAGCGAGAGTGAAACTGCCCAGAACACCATCGCTGGCCTTGAAAACTCCCTGCAAGGCCTTCGCGCGCACTACGAGAATGTTCTCTCCGAAGACAAGGCGCGCAACGAGCTTCACACGGCAAAGGCTCTGGATTTGGCAGGAAAGGAAACAGAGATGTACAAGAAACGCGCGGAGGAGCTGGAAGTCCGACTGAAGATTGCCGAGTCTGCTGCTCGTGCTGCCGCCGAAGCCGCCCAGTCAGCTAAGGCAAACCCCATCTCGGTCGCTGGTCCTACCCCAGCGCCTGTACACACGACTGCGCCCTCCATGTCCTATAACCAGGCGTCTCACGAACCTGATAGGATCTCCCCACAGGCACTGCGTGAGTCCATTCTGGTTCTTCAGGACCAGCTTCAGCAACGCGAGACCCGTATTGAGGAGCTTGAGCAAGAGTTGTCTACCGTGGACAAAGATGCCCCTAACAAGCTGAAGGAGAAGGACAGTGAGATCAACTGGCTCCGTGAACTGCTTGGTGTGCGCATTGATGATCTCCAGGACATCATCAAGACCCTGTCACAGCCCACCTTCAACAAGCACGCTGTCCGTGATGCCGCCATTCGCTTGAAGGCCAATCTGCAAATGCAACAACAGGAGAGAGAACGTGCTTTGTCAGGTGGACTTGGTGCTCTTCCTTCCATTGCGGACATTGCCGCCTCCCCACGCAATCTTCCTCTCGCGGCTGCCGCTGCCTGGGGAAACTGGCGAAAGGGCCGAGAGAACGCCAATGGAGGCTCAAACTCTAGGGAGCAGACTCCATCAAAATCGAGTAACACCGGTGGTTTCCTGTCTGGCCTCTTGACACCGCCAAGTTCCCACGTCCGTCCCAATGCTCTTCCCACTGGCGCTCCTCGCCCCTATACTCAAAATCGGCCCTTGAGAAGTCTCAACTCCACTCCTCGCCGAGGTTCCCTTCGTCAAGAAGTACCCGAAGAGCCACCCCGAACTCCTCCCCTCCTCCGCCGATCTAGCTACGATCACGATGCCGAGCCCGGAAACTACGAAGAGGACAACTTTGCCACTGATGATATCGAGAGTACTGTTGGAGGTATGGTATCGGCAGCACCTGGGGATGTAGGCGATGAGCCATTTGGGCCACAGATATCCACTCTTTCGGAGGAGCTTGCTGAAGAGTAATGCTCTTGATTACTCTACTATCCCTCTCAGATTGACACCCCTGAATAATCTTTTCATCTTTATGCTCGCGGTTTGCAAGTTCTTCCCAGAATGCCTGTGCAAAAGCCATCATACCCCCCCTCCCTTTAAAAATGTTCTCGATTTTCTGTTCCAGCGTTCCCTGATATACCTCCCACAACTCTACTTGACGCTCTTTATTCCTCCCTCCGCACATACACCCTTTTCTTCTCATTTCATTTCTATCCCAGATCTGTGATTTGATATTCAGCTTTGGATTTGCTTTCGGATTTTGATACCACCCTACTCTATCTTTGATCTATCCTCTTACCCCCTGTACATTGTCACATAGTCACATATTGGATGGTCCTATGGATCTCTCCACATACTCTTTCATGTCCCATAATTGTACCTGCATATTAATACTCCAATCAGTGCTCACTCTTTGCTCAAATCCCATGTTATCACCTCTTGGTGGCTCTGCATCTGCTGTCGCTCCTCCTCATGCCCTATGGCTGGGTTCATGTTCACTTCCTGTGGTCTACTGTTATACACTTATACCAATTGTTTCGAAGCTCAATCCGATATAGTTTGATGAAATTTCAACCTTATTGACATGACTATCGTACTGTTAACCTTTTCGTAACGACTTGTAGTTCGAATCCTGTGTGAAAGTCTGTCCTCGGTAACTCGATGCCAAGAATACTGTGATACAATCTTATGGTAACACCAGGGCAGTAGTGCTTTTGATCATCTGATATTTTGAAGATAACCTCATTCTTCGTTTGGTCACAACATTGGGATTATGAGGTTAAGATGTTGCAAACAATTAAATTCGAATATCTTGGCAGAATATTCATTGCTCATGATTCAGAAAGATCTCTGGGATAGTGTTCTTAGAAATTGTAGTGGTGTTGGGATGAGAAGATATTGCCCAGATCTCCACGAGATGTCAACATGAAGCAGAGCAATAGGCCGATCCCAAAACTCCTGTTGAGGTGGTCCGAGCGTTTCCACTTGACACCTTTCGCGTTGGCCGAGACCGAACCCTCCAGACTTCCCCCCTTTCACCCTCCAATTCGCCCAGGAGCTCAGGACAGACCACACAATGCGATTCTCAACATCTGCCATCCTGGTCACTGCGCTGGGATGGGTCTCCGCTGCCGCCGCGCACACCATCCAGCTGAAGGCTCATTCCCGAGAGTGTTTCCACGAGAGCCTACACAAAGATGATCTCATGACGGTCACCTTCCAAGTGGGCGACCGGGAATTCGGAGGCAGTGGGAATCTTGATATCGATTTCTGGGTACGTTATGGGAATTTCAGGGTCCGATGCAGTATCCATCGTGGTGGGCAGAGGGCACGATCAACTCAGGGATGCTGGATGGATTGTTGCTCTTTGTCAATGATACTACTTGGAGCATCAGATACCCGCTCCAACCTGATATTGAATTGGTTGGCTAACTATGCCCTGTGATCTAGGTTGAGGACCCCCTGCGGAACCGCCAGTACTACAAGCAAGCCGTCTCCAACGAGGACTACTCATTCACCGCCGCCCATGATGGAAAGTACACCTACTGCTTCAGCAACGAGGGCTGGACCTCTAACTCAAAGGAGGTCTCGTTCAACGTCCACGGAATTGTCTACGTGCCCGAGTCCGAAATGTCGCAGGACCCATTGGAGGCTGAAGGTAAGACCTGGGAATTATGCCTTGTATTTTCGATATAAACGGGGCCGCAGGGCTATCATGATGGATGGCACAATCGCTGACTTACCAATTTAGTTCGCAAGCTTTCCGAGGCCGTCGCACAGGTGAAGGACGAGCAGGGGTACATTGTTGCCCGCGAGCGAGTACACCGCAACACTGCCGAAAGCACAAACGGTCGTGTGAAGTGGTGGAGTCTGTTCCAACTGGCTGTTGTCATTGGAGAAGGTGTTTTCCAAGTTTGGTGGCTGAAGCGTTTCTTTGAGGTTGGTTACCATTGTCTTCGTGACTCATTGTGGATTAAACTAATCTATGGTCGCATCTCTAGGTCAAGCGAGTTGTCTAAGCATTATCTTCCTCCTTTCTCCTCCTTCTACGATACGATTGAAAATTAAAGAATATGATTTGAAATGTGATGCTGCCGACGGCGAATACGGGTCCTATTGAATTCTGGGTTACTGGAGATTAATCGGTCGCAATGATTATGTTCCCGACTTTTCATCTATAGCGTCATGCAAAGACGTCTTTGGTAGTATAATATACCTGTATCACCAGAGTTGGGCTACACGAGCAGGCGCATCAGCTATGTCTACGTATCGAGTTCGCGTACAAGCCAAGAGCGGCGAGAAGTTCCGGCCGAGTGCGTCTATTTCGTCGCCAACTGCTTGGCGAGTAGTTGATTTAAACAATTTTTCCGTTAATAGAGATCCTTCCCCCTACTTAATCAAGTTCAGTTGGGACGGGTTATCAGGTAAACCACCCCTGGCGAATTTGTCCTAAAAACCTTCAAAGTTCTTTATTCAACCCCGCATCTCCCGAAGTACCCTTCCTGAGAGAACCCGATCCCTACATGAAAGGAGCACCATTATCAGCTGGGGTAGGAGCCCCTTCCCTTACCACAATTACGAGGCTCTAAGAAAAGCCCAAGCCAGGATAATCACTGGCAGTGTCAAGGATGGACATCGACTTCCCAGGGAACCACAGCAACGATCGCCTGAGCACAAAGAACGAGGCGTTGTTCCACCTCTGCTGGCGACGACAATCGTGCTCGGATTGTTTGGGGGAGACGCTCCCTGCAGCTGGTGCGCCATGGTAGGTCTTACTTTCTCCGGCATCGCAAGTTCCCCCCAGAGCCCTGGCAGTCTGCTCGTTGGTGTCCTTCTCCATACCCTCCTTCGTCGAATCACATGTTTCAAAGCCTTATTTCGCATACCCCGTGTCTTACACTGCCTGCGCCACTGCATTCTCCCGCCTCCGCTTGTTTTTTTCCCTCCTTGCATACCCATCCTCGGAAGGGTGTTTCAGAGCGAGATACCTTACTGGCACGGACTATACTGTAGCAGGAGTTGTTAACCGTGCACTTAGTCCTCCACATGCGTGCCTAACGAGGCACGAGTGCCCATCTTAGCGCCCTTGGGATCGAAGGGAATTTGCCCACTCGGATCGAGCGAGAGGTGGGAGCTCCGCGCCGAGCCATTTGGTTGTTACGTCAGTACGTTCACAGTGTTGTCGATTGCGATAACCGTACTCGGGACCCTCTCCTGTGCTTGTGTGGGGTACCTCGCTTTGTGGCTTGCTAGTCGTATTCGTCGGCACTACAAGCGTGTGCAGTATGAGCAGTTAGATGACCAGCCTCCGAGGGGGCCGCGAGGTTCACCAGGATTCAAGTGGCTCTACTCGCTGAACCCAAGGGTACTACAGTGGCGGAAACAGGGGGGGCAATCAAACTTTAACTGCTGAAGCACAGCAGAATGCAGAGACGCAGCCGTTACTGGATTAGTGGCTGTGTTACAAGTAGCTCGGTGCGCAGATACTTTGATGTATGTATGAGCTTACTGAGGCTCGACCATACGAATAGGAGCAAGAACAAGAGACTTGGAATAAAAAAATCAACTGAACCAATTCTGACCGAAGGACGAGGCGATGTTTCATGCACCAACTTCCACGGAAGATATCATTTCTTGGATAACTTCACCAACTTGATGCACGACATCCCTATTGCGTGGAATAACATGACCACCTCCATGATCGAAGATATCGGCTGTGTCAGGATCACACATGTTATAGAGGGCCATGGCTCCATCCAGAAATGGGTCAGCAGCACCCAGAATATGGCAAGTGGGAATCTTGATAACCTCGTCCTCGAAATCATCAGCCAAAATGCATCCGCCAGTGACGGGCTCCACAGGAGGCCAACCACTTAAGAAGACTGCACATTTGAGCCTCGGAATCCTGCCTGACTCCTTATATCTTCTTTGTTCTTCGAGAAGAAGCGTAGCTGCGATCTCGGCTCCTTCGGAATAGCCCATGACACCCTCAATCTCATTATCGTTTTCCAGAATTTTAATCAGGTCGTCCATGACCGATGCAATACAAGAAAACGATGGATTACCGGCCTTTTCCCAGGCGCATTTGATACTAGCCTCCGGAGTATCGCGCTTTGGAAATCCTCGTAGATTCGAGTTCACCAAGTCTGGGCGATCCACCTTTGCAAATGAAAAGTTGGGTGGTGGTCCAAAAAATCCTTGGACACTGTCCGGCAAATACATGGGGACAGAGCCTTGGGTGAAATGAAACTTAGCATCGCCATGGGATTCAAGTGCCTCGCAGAGCGGGCCTAGATAGATGCGTCAAATTGCTGCCTCAGAGGTAAGATGAAGTAACGCTTCTGCCAACTTACCTAGTTGGGTTTGAAGAGTCTAAAATCAGTGCAAGATGTCAGTATCGATACTGTGAAGTGTGAGAAAGTACCTATAGAAGCTCCAACGTACTTTGGCACTCGAAAATCCACCCGGGAGACAGAGAAACTTCATCGTGCTGCGCTCTCGTGTCGCTTCGGTTACGGCAAAGTTCAAATTTAGTGAGGAGGCATTCAATAGAAACCTCGGAGATATACCCCTATCGACAATATTGCGTATGGAAAGCTTGGTTGTGTGTTTGACTAACCCCTTGCCAGGACTTTGGGAAAGGGTCATTCGCCCTTTGGGTTGGAATGCGACACGGGCCCTCACTTTAGCAAGGGCTCAAGGTGCAATCCCACGCCTCCTATAGCAAGCAAGAGCCTCGAGGAGAAAAAGCAGACCTTCAATATTGATCTGCAAGTCCTAGGGGCGAAACAAGCAGATTGACGGGGTGGTTGTCTTGCTTGGGACGCACAGCACGGAAGCATCGATCTACCCGTATATAGCAGGTCAGCCATGCATGGAACTCCACATCAAAGGCATCCCTATCCAATGGAGAACTCTCCGGTATGGGGGCAATTACGGCATAGGGATCTACAGTCACGACTGGGGTGGCAAGCAAGGGAGCCTGTCGACTAAATCGAAGCCCTTCTTCCCTAGGTTCTTCACTCGATCCATAGCTATAGTTCTTTGCGATCCTCGAGGGCTCATTTATGAACATACCTGGTCTTGAAAACCGCTCTTCTCGTTGATTCCGCACATTTTCGATCGTTTGTGACAGTTCGCTCACCATTCCAGTCCTTTCAGTTCTGAGTACATGATTCGATTCTTGGATAATTAGGTGTGATTCAAAACACGCCATGCGTCTTCAACCACCGTCGGGGTCCGGTACGCCGGTCCCAGGAAATGAAAATACACCAAAGGAAAACACTGCCACTCCGCCAGAGCGTCTGGCCATTATCGGTATGGCATGCCGGCTGCCAGGCGACGTATCGACACCAGAAGATCTTTGGAATCTATGCGCAAGAGGTAAAAGTACTTGGTCCGAGGTACCAAAAAGTCGATTCAACGCCGAAGCATTCTACCACCCGAATCCAGACCGACCAGGCGCGTTCAATCCGAAAGGAGCGCATTTCCTGAACGAAGACGTGGGCTTATTCGATGCACCGTTCTTCAATATCACGCTGCAGGAGGCGCGCTCGCTCGACCCCCAGCAACGTATCATGCTCGAGTGTGTATACGAAGCGCTTGAGAATGCCGGGATTCCGACTCAATCGATTGCCGGTAGTAACGTGGGTGTCTTCGCAGGGAGCTCGTATCCTGATTACGATTTAAACAACAATATCGATGCTGAGTCTATTCCGATGTATGCGGCGACTGGAATGGCGACTGCGTTGCAATCGAACCGCATCTCATACTATTTTGACCTTCACGGCCCTAGTGTGACCATCGACACGGCTTGCTCTTCCAGCTTGGCTGCTTTACACTTGGCGAGCCAAAGTATCCGGAGTGGCGAATGTTCTATTGCGATTGTTGGTGGATGTCATTTGAACCTTCTTCCAGAGCCGTTTATTTCCATGGCACGCCAGAGGTAGGGAGTTTATCCTTGTAGCGGTGGGTGCACTGTACTAACATGACATGTTTTCAGACTGCTAGCCGATAGTGGAAAATCATACGCATTCGATGAAAGGGCAACCGGGTTCGGTCGTGGCGAAGGCGCAGGATGCATCATATTAAAGTCTTTGAGTGATGCACAGGCCGCCAACGATACCATTCGATCCGTGATTGTCAACAGTGGCGTGAACCAAGACGGCCGCACAAGAGGTATCTCCATGCCCAACAGCGATGCGCAGGAGAAATTAATGCGCGAGGTCTATAGGACTGCGGGCATTGATCCATCGCAGACTGGTTATGTCGAGGCCCATGGCACCGGTACCAAAGTTGGAGATCCTCTTGAGGCTAAGGCGCTAAATGCGGTGTTTGGCGAGGGCCGTACTGCGAAGCAGCCTCTGTTGGTCGGCTCTTTGAAATCCAATGTTGGCCACTTGGAAGGCTCGAGTGGTGTTGTGTCTGTCATTAAAACAGCTTTGATGCTCGAGCGGGGCTTCGTTCTGCCGAATTGCAACTTCTCCAAGGCCAATGAAGAGATCCCCATGGATAAGTGGTGCATGAAGGTGAGATTATTTGACAATATGCAGGATGATCGGGGTATTAACAGCCATGCTAGGTCCCTAAGAAATTATTGCCTTGGCCTCGGGGCAAAACTTACGCCAGCGTGAACAACTTCGGTTTTGGCGGGACCAACGCCCATGTCGTTCTAGAGCGTGCCCCTATCAAGCAAGATGACGGAGATCATAACGCAGAGGAAATGAAACGTCGGGTGTACATTCTTTCTGGATTCGACAAGAGAGCAGCGTCAGAAATGACGAATGGTGTATTGAAATACTTGCACCTGAACCCGCCTGCTCTCCTCGATACCGTAACCGACGATATCGCATATACTTTGGGTCAACGCCGCAGTGCCCTGCCTTGGCGTGTTGCTGTGACTGGGTCTTTTTATCCCGAGCTGGTCGAAAATCTTTCTCATTCCGAGCCTGTTCGTGCGGGCCGTGAGCCGACGGTGGGCTTTGTCTTTACTGGCCAAGGTGCCCAGTGGCATGGAATGGGCAAAGAGTTGCTAGACAGATACCCAATCTTTCAAACCACCATGGAGAGGGTTGATACCAGTCTGAGAGGGCTGGGCGCTCAATTTTCCATCATTGGTCAGTATAACCACTTTGTTCGCAAGGGACCGGAAACTGATTTTCTCTTTCTAGATGAGCTTCGCTTGGAGAACTCCGAGGAGAGTTCAATCTCTGCCGCATATATGAGCCAGCCAGCCTGTACAGCAGTTCAACTGGCACTTGTCGATCTTCTGTCGTCATGGGGTGTGCATCCGAAATCTGTGGTTGGGCATTCAAGTGGTGAGATTGCTGCAGCATATGCGGCTGGAATTTTGACGCTTGATGAGTGTGTACGCATAGCATATTCCCGAGGCGTCGCTGCAGACGTGGTTGCAAAGGATGCATTAGTCAACGGTGCCATGCTAGCGGTTGGCGCCAACGCCGGAGAGATCCAGCAAATCCTCGATGCCATGAGGGGCCAAAGAGCTGTTATAGCGTGTGTAAATAGTCACTCGAGCGTTACGCTATCTGGTGACAGAGACGTCATCGTTGACTTGCAAACCGCACTCGATAAAGAAGGCATCTTCACAAGGATGCTTCACGTGGATGTTGCTTACCATTCTCATCACATGCAACGGGTTTCGCAGCAGTACCGATCACTGCTTGGAAAGATCGCTCCTAAGGATTCCACCGTGCCATTTCATTCGACAGTCCATGGAAAGCTTGTTCCTGGAAGCACACTTGATGCCTCATATTGGGTCGAAAATCTAGTATCGCGAGTCGAATTCGTCAAGGGTGTCCAAAGCGTCCTTGACAATGACCGGAACGGCGAGCCGATTGATACCCTAATTGAGGTTGGCCCTCACCCTGCGTTGCAAACACCAACAAAAGATATTGTTCGACTGCATGCTCCGAAACGCCCCATGGCTTTTGCACATACCTTGAAGAGGAAGGTCGATGGGGTCGAAGCGGTTCAGCAGCTGGTCTGCTCCCTCTTCACGCAGGGGATGACCCTCGATTTCGAAGCGATTAATTTCCCAAATCTGAGTCGAACGTCCAGGAAGCCGGCTGTTTTGAAGGACCTCCCAAAGTATCCATGGAATCATTCAGAAAAATACTGGTTCAATTCGCGGCTGTCGAACAACCTTCTCCATCGTCAATTTCCACGAAACGATCTATTGGGGTCATTGTGCATAGAAAACGTGGAATTTGAGCCCCGATGGAGAAATATCATTCGCGCTGATGATCATCCATGGATAAGACAGCATAGAGTTCACTCTAATAATGTCTACCCCATGACTGGGTACTTGGCAATGGCTATGGAGGCTATCAGCCAGCATGCCCAGATACACCACTTAACTCCCGGCAGGATCCAGCTCCGCGATATCTCAATTAGCCGCGTTCTGACAGTTCCTGACAACTCCCCCCGTTGAAACGATGTTCACATTGCGACCATCAAGGTCTGAGGCGCCCGGGAAAGCGATTCTCGGCTGGCACGAGTTTAAGGTGTTTTCCTGGGCTGAAGGCCGTGGATGGGATCAACATTGCAGCGGCTTCGTCATGGTGCACGAAGCGAAGGATGTGAACCCGGTAGATGGCGACCGACGAAAGGCAGCGCTTGAATCTGACTTGAAACAACTTGCAAGCGACATTTGTGCTTCCTGCACAGTGCCCGTCGACAGTAAGGTTCTCTACGAGAATATTTCTGCTGGCGGGGTTCAATATGGTCCGTTGTTTCAAGGCCTTTCGGATATCTCTGTCGGTGTGAAAGATAAAGCAATGGCGACTCTCGAGGTCCCCGACACCAAAGCGAGCATGCCTTATGAGCACGAAACCGACTGCATCATCCACCCGGCAACGTTCGACCTGTGTTGTCAAATGATGTGGGTGCTGCAAGGATTCGGTCAACCTGGACCAAAGCAAACATATGTTCCATCTCATGTTGATGAAGTCTCGATTTGTCTGCATCACAAGATCAAGAAGGGCGACAAAATGCAACTATTTGGACACCATAAGCTGGATGAATCGGCCAGTGCAACCGCAGATAACCGGATAATTGCCACTATTCCCGACAACTGTGCTGAAGTTATTCTTAGCATCGGTGGCATGACTTTGACACCCATCTCCAACGACATCAAGGGACACAAAGACACTGTACCATACCCTATGTGTTACAAGATGCACTGGGAGCCCTGCTTTGAGTTTCTTTCCGCAGACCAATACCGAGAGCTACCGCGGCCCCTGGTTGACGATGGCAAAGGAGGAGAGAGGACACACAACCTGGAGAATATGGCATTGCACTGGTTGCAGGAGATGCTCCAAACTATTCCAGAAAATGAGGTCTCGTCTTTTGAGAGTCACCATCAAAAGTTCTATCGATGGGCCCAGGAGACTTGCAGGGATGCCCCCAGGCAGAATGCAACCCCTGAAGCCATTGAGCATATGAGGAACGTGAATGGCGCTAGTAAGCTGAATTGCTTCGTGGGCGAGCGTCTACCTGACATTCTTCGGGGAAAAGTAGATGCCTTAACGTTGCTCCTTGAGGATGATATGCTTGGAAAATACTACGAGGATCTGGACGGTCTCCGGGAATCTTATGCCAATGCATCCATCTGCATCGACAAGATGGCTCACCAAAACCCCAATTGTAACATCCTTGAGATCGGTGCAGGTACTGGTGGCGCTACGCTTCCCATCCTGCAAAGCCTCGGCGGCAACAAAGCTGGCTCAATTCCACGATTTGGACACTATACTTACACCGATATCTCGCCTGGCTTCTTCGAAAAGGCAAAGAGCAAATTTGAAGATTGGGGCCGCCTCATGAGCTACCAAACTTTGGATATCTCTTTGAATCCTGTCGACCAGGGCTTCAAGCTCGGGTCTTTTGATATGATTGTTGCTTGCAATGTGCTTCACGCCACTCCTCAAATTGGCCAGACAATGGCCAATATTCGGTCCCTTTTGAAGCCCGGCGGCAAGATCATGCTCATTGAAGAGACCACTTCCAAAGCCATTCACTTCCCATTCGCTCTTTTGCCTGGATGGTGGTTAGCTAGTGAGGAAATTCGCCAAGATGGGCCACTCCTGACTGCCGAAGGATGGTCGAATGTTATGAAAGAGAATGACTTCTCCGGAGTCGACCTATGCGTGGAGGATTATCCTGGCGCATCCTACCACTCCGGCTGCGTGATCATGGGCACAGCAAACGCTCCGCAAAGTGGCCCGACCAACCCGGAGAACTCATCATCGTCGATAACGATAATTTAGGTAGCTTGTCACTCCTAAGCCTTGAGTCTAAGCTCAAGGATATCACTGGGGTTTCTCCAGTCATAGCGCCAGACCTTGAGCATGTTGATATCACTGATAAGTGGTGCATTTTCTTGGGCGGAATGGACAAGACAATCCTGTCTCATCTTACAGACGAGAAGTTCAAAGCCTTCCAAAATCTGGTGAGAGGTGCAAGAGGCCTACTGTGGGTGGTTCGCCACACCAAGTCTGACGAGAAGTCTCTCGGATCGAACATGGCAATCGGGCTGGCCCGTACAGTTCGTTCAGAGACCGGGCTGCAATTTGCAACCTTGGATCTTGGCGAGAGAGAAACCGTCCCGGATTCCGAAGCTGTCGAACATATGATCAATGTCTTTGGAGGTGTCTTCTGCCATAAATCCCAGCTTATGCAAGGTGACATGGAGTTCGTTGTCCGCAACGGTCTCGTGGGCGTACCACGCCTCTTGGATAATCCAGAGCTGAACTTGAGCGTTCAGCTGGAGACGCCAGACGCGCCTCCCCAACTCCAAAGCTTCAAGCAGAAAGATCGCCCTCTCCGTCTCACCGCTGGGCCGGGTCTCGTTCTCGACGAGCTCTATTTCACGGATGATGCCTCCCGCAATGATCCTCTACCGGAGGACCATATTGAGATCAAGGTATGCTGCACTGGTCTAAATTTCCGAGACGTCCTGATGGCCATGGGCCAGCTCCGGGGCAATAAGCTTGGGCAGGAATGTGCGGGCGTTGTTAGCAAAGTCGGTGCTGCCGTCAGTGACTTTTCAGTCGGAGACCGAGTGACTGCGATGTCGCCTGGATGTTTATCCACATACACTCGATGCCATTCGTCTTGTGCTTGGGTCATCCCATACGACATGCCATTCCATGTCGCAGCCTCGATTCCCGCCGTATTCTGTACTGCATATTACTCCCTTGTAGAATTGGGCAACTTGAAACGAGACGAAAGTGTTCTGATCCACGCCGCGGCAGGTGGTGTCGGCCAAGCAGCCATCATCGTTTCACAGAGCATAGGTGCGCATATCTTCGCCACGGTCGGAAGCCTAGAGAAGAAGAGATTTTTGATGGAGAACTATGGTCTCAAAGACGAGCAAATATTCTTCAGCCGTGATACTTCTTTCGCAAAGGGCGTTCGCAGCGCCACTGGCGGGGAGGGCGTTGATGTCGCTCTGAATTCGCTTAGCGGGGATGCTTTACAAGCGACCTTTGAGTGTGTGGCTCCCTTCGGTCGCTTCATTGAGTTGGGAAAGCGTGATATCACTCAGAATTCACGATTGGAGATGGCGCACTTCAACAATAACGTTTCCTTTGCGTCTGTTGACCTGGGCATTGTGCGGGAGAAGCGTCCGAAGTTGACGAGAAGGTTGATGCGCGAGGCGTTCCACATCTTTGTCAACGCGAAAGCTCATTCGCGCTGGCCCATTACCTCGTTGCCTATTTCGGAGGTCGAAAAGGGCTTCCGTGCTCTCCAGAGCGGGCAGGTAATTGGTAAGATGGTGGTCGAGATGACGGATACGGCTCAAGTGAAGGTAAGATTCTACACCTCGTATGATTGAGGACCAAACGGAGCTAACGGTATAATAGGTACACCCCGCGCGAAAAGAAGAGAAGCTCCTGCATGGCGATGGGACGTATGTGGTTGTTGGCGGAACCAGTGGTATTGGATTGGATATCGCTAGTTGGATGCCATCCAAAGGTGCCAAACATATTGTCCTCGTTTCTAGAAGCGGTGCTTCAACTGAGGTCGCCCAGAAGACCATTCAGGGCTTGCTCGATGAGGGAATCAATGTGCAGGTATGCCGCTGCGACGTTTCCAGTGAGCAGAGTGTGGAAGACAGTCTAGCTTCCCTGCTGAGCCAGATGCCACCAGTTCGAGGCGTGGTGTATGGCGCGATGGTCCTTCGAGTGCGTATACCCCTTTCTCCTACCCTGAAAAAACCCTTGCTAACATTGCAATCAGGACACGCTCTTCGAAAAGCTCACTTTCGAAGATTATGAGACCGTGATGAAGCCTCGGGTCCACGGAATTTGGAACTTACAGCACGCCCTTGAGAAGAACAACCGAAGCCAACCTCTTGACTTCTTCGTCACCTTGTCATCTGCAGCCAGCTTTGTCGGTAACTTAGGCCAGTCTCCCTACGCAGCAAGCGGAACATTCATGGCCGCCCTCGCCGCATACTCGCAAGTCTCAAGCATCCCGTGCACAACCATCGATCTTCCGATCGTGCGCGGCGTGGGATACCTCTCCGATGACTCCAAGCGAGCCCAGATCGAGTCATCTCTCGGCACAGAATCCGTGGACGCAACCGATATCCGCGGCCTAGTCGCAGCGGCCATCCGCAACGAAATGCGCGAGACCTGTGACGGACACTGCGTCGTCGGATTCAACGGCGTGAAAACAACGCCGATCAGCGAGCAGCCATTCTGGGTCAATGACACCAAGCTTTCGCATCTTCTCCGCGTTTCGACCCTGGCTGGAGAAGGCACTATGGCTGATCCTGTTGCGGCGAGCGAGACAACTTCTCCTGCAACGGCGATCCGGCAATGCTCGGATCTGGACAGCGCTGAGGCTATTATCGTTACTACTTTGGGACAAAAGATCTCTAGCATCCTGATGCGCTCGGCAGAAGACTTGGATCCTTCTGCGCCTATCTCTGCTTACGGGTTGGATTCGCTCGTGGCGATTGAGATTCGAAACTGGATCACGCGGGAGTTGGAGGCGAATTTACAGATTTTGGAGATTCTTGCAAGTGATTCTATGACTGCTCTTGCAACACATATTCTGAAGAAATCGGGGATCATGACCCCGGAGCTGAAAACGAAATGGGGGCTTGATGCGCCTGAAGGGCGACCTGCCCAGGGGTAGAGGAGTTTCATGGATGCGTTTGGGGTATTCATTTCATACTGTTGGAAGTTTATCATGGCATATGCCGTTATTCTTGGACTTGATACATTTATCGCAAGCACAAAGATTGCCTTGGGGAAACTCTAATTCGTAGGTATCATGGTATATACAAGTTCGGAGTTCTGCTCGTAGTCCCGCCCTCTTTCCAAATTTCAGTCGGGCTCGCTTATACTCGGAAAACACGACATCCTAGTCTACAGTCGTCGTCAGTTGGCCCCCATTATGATATCCACTGGTACCCCTTCCCAGGCTCCGAGACGTTCCAAACCGGGCCTGTTTCTTCACTATCCACGAATAAGTAACTGCGCATCACCCTCAAGTACCGTGGCTCGAACTGACCATGCAGCGAAGTTTGCAAGTAGCGACTGGAACAGCTTCACCAGGGCTGAGAAGGAGAGGTGCGCTGGGTGCAATCAAACGGCTCATCGATAAACCAAGTCTTATGCTGCGAGTCGTAGACAATCGGATATTTGGTATCCGCACCACAGAGCTTGTCGATCTGCGCCTCATCGCCCGCACTAATTGTGAACCAATACTTGTTGGTCGTAGAGCTGATCTGCTCGCATTTGTAGAAAAACCCCGTCACGCCGTCCCCGAGCACATCGCTCCGGAAATCCGTCGCCAGCTTTCGGTTGAGATTGATGTTCTCGCAGTCCTCCTTTAGGCCTCTTGCGCTGGTGACATTGGCTTGCTTCGTGGTATAGGCCTTGGCAGTGTGCGTCCCGTTCGCAGACCATGTAAACATGGGCAGCGCCACGGCCTCTGCGACGCTGTCGAGCAGGAGACTGTTTGGGACGTGCAGGGCGCAGCCGGTGCTGGCAGCGAGAAGACCGACTAGGATAGCTCGAGCGGAAACCATGTTTTGGATTGGACGGGGAGAAGGGAAAACTCTCGTGGTTACATGCCCCAGCTTTTATGAGACCCCAGATTACCGCCCCGGACTTGTCTCCACCTCGTTCTTCGACTTTCCCAAAGAAGGTTAGGGAAAGTGCTGGTGATGATGATGTAACGCGGGTCGATTCCTTCGCTGGATCTGGTGGGGATACGCGCGGTTAGACACCCTGAAAGGGGCCAAGGGAATTTACGCATCCAATGGCTGGAGATCATGCCGTTGTTTGCTGAGGAAGCTGATTACTCGGATGTTGCTGAATCTTAATTCTATTTCGGCAGGGATTTGCTCATCTGGATGGCGGCAGCATTCAGTCTGGACGAAAAAGCAATTGATTGCAAATTATTAGAATTGCCAAAGTCTGCGAAAGTGACCACATCGAAGCCACTAGTCTCCTTCTGGAAAACACTCTGCTGGGAGGCTTCGACCAGTATCCAAGCCATCTAAGACCGTATCCATCATATCCCCATGGAGCAAGCTCTCGTAGATTAAGCTTACCCAGCTTCCAATTGTCTTTTTGCTATCCGTGGGGAGACCCTCTTTCGCATTGTAAAGTGGATCATCTCTAATCCCACCATGCAGAGGGATGTGGAGCTTCGCACGCACCCATGAATACAACTGTGCTGACCCCGCGCCAAGTTGCGTGACGACTTCAGCAGGGGGGATGGTTGGGTTTGGGTAGAACATTTGGTTCGCTGTTGCAGAAAGAGTCTTTTCGAACTGGTTCTTGAACCTGAGCAACGCGGCGCCGGAGAAGTTCTGGTCATGTTGTGCCAGAAACTCGGTGACGGGCAGCATGACGGCCTGGACGACCTGCGGGATACGGTCCTTCCAGGTGTTGTTGTTCCAGTGATACCACGTGGATTCAATGACTGGGAATAGTGAAGCTGCAAGAGCCTCAGTCTGTGTATTGGTCAGGCCGAGACCATGCAGGATACCATTTGATGTGGTATCCTTCAATTGTTCACAGAAGTTGGAGAGGAACCGCCTATGATTCGCACGAATGTCAACGGCCTGACTAGACACGTACATGTGGCAGGCACTCATATGAGCAACCAGATCCACAGCCTCCAGGGTCCGCCTTGCAGAGATCAAAGCCAGCGAGTTGATCCCCTGGTTATGCATCTCCGCCGACATAACATGGGACGAGACGGGATGGGCCAGAGCGGCCAACTCCGACATATAAGCCGACATATTGACATCAATGCCCTTCATTGTATAGTTCTCACGATCGCTCGCATTCAAATTGGCTTCCAGCCCATTGTTGGTGGTAGGGCCAATCAACTCGGACACCTGGGACCAGAGCATGCGGCCAATCATCTGGAGCGCCAGACGAGTTTTGTCCATGGCGGACGTAACCACAACTGCTTGGAAATTTCCCCCGGAATACACATCCCCGCCGGAGGCACCCTCTCGTGGGGTGGTATTGACCAGTGGGTTATCCGAAGTGGAGTTTAACTCAACCTCCAGCTGATGCTGCGCCAGGAGCAGGTCCTCCAGATACGGGCCAATCCACTGCGGGGAAGTCCGTGTCGAATACCGATCTTGCCACAGCCCGTCGCCGGTTCTTTTCCGGGAGTCCAGGCCGTGAACGAGTTTCGAGCCGCTCAGGAAGCGTCGGATATTGCTCGCGGCCTCGATCTGCCCCGTGTGAGGTCGGGTTTCGTGGATAAACGGGTGACTCCACTCCACGTTTCCTCCTAAGCACTCGGCAGTGAAAGCCGTGAGCAGCTGTGAGAGAAGGGCAAGCCGCTGCGCATCGTAGAGGACCAAGCTAGCCACCGCCACAGATGGTGCCGTGCCATTGATCAACCCCAGGGCTTCTTTTGGACCGAGGCCAGAGGGCGACAGCCCGCTTTCTTTCAGGGCTTCCGAAGCAGGCAGCACACGCGCGCTCTTACCTTTCCCCACCTGGACAAAGACATCGGGGTTTCCGGCAATAGCTCCGGCGATGTAAGACATGGGCATTAAGTCTCCGGACGCGGAGATGGTTCCTCTCAGAGGCACCATAGGGGTGATGTCATGGTGCAACAGATCAACCAGGCTCTGGAGAACATTAATTCGAACAGCACTGTGTCCTCTCAGGTTTTGGTTGGCTCGGGCGACAATCGCGCCGCGAACCCAAGAGGGGGGCATCACATGTGACGGCTCGCGCTCAGAGTTGCTGCCGAGATCTTTGTCGGTGGATGTGATGATCGCGCTCTGTGTATGCTGGAGCAGATGGATCTGCAGGTCCAGCACCTTTTTTGTACGAGTGTCGGCACTACCGCCGAACCCAGTGTTGACGCCATAGACAACATAGTCGTTCGAGAGGTAGTCGGTCAGTGCCTTGACGCTGAGTTCGAGCTGCTTGGCCAGCTGTTCGTCGTCACTGATGCGTGGCTTCACTCCGTGGCGAGCGACCGCGACAATAGAGGCAATGTCTAAGTTGTTACCGTCTAAGACAATGGATTTCTTGTTCTCTTTCAGTTCTTGGAGGTGTCTCCAAATGCGAAGCGTTGCGTTCGTGTGGGGCGTCGTCTTAGACACGGTCATTTTGGATCAGGAGTTGCATCTAACCTGAAGCGCTGGAGGATGTCGAGCTGAAACCTGGGGGCTGGGGATTACGGGATTAGAAGAATTGGGAGGAGGAAAACGAACGAGGTTTTAACTGCCCCGTTTGCCCCTGGCGAGGCTCGATCTGGTTCTGACCTACTACCCTGTTTGTTGACTGAGGTCATAGCCCCACGGTCGATCTCTTGTGTACAGATGCTTATCGAGTTGCATTTTGAAAGGGCCGATGGAAGCCGTGATCCATTAATCCTGTAGTGGCTATGAGGATGTAGATCCCGTGGGCTGGGCTTGAGGGATTCGCCTCCAGGAAGTAGGAATCGAGGGGCTTATGTGCATCGACCAACCCTGGGATTCCTTAACTCTATTCCATATCCACAATGCCGAACCCCACCGCCAATTCCAACGAATGGCGAGGCTGAGATACATAGCCCTCACGATCGTGTTACGGAATAAGATCGTCATGGTTCGGCATTTTTTTCGATAGCGTGCGTACTACGCCTTGCCGATCCCTGCTTGGGTTTCGGAAATCGGCGAGCTAGCCTTCTAGCTGCATGGTGGCAACATGCGGCAACACGCACATAGGTGTCACATCTCCTGCAGATCTGCTTCAGCTGCGCCTAGAAGCCGAGCAACAATAAGAGAGACTAGCAGACCCCATCGGCAAAGTCTGCCATTATGGTGTGGCTAGAATGTCAGTCAGCTCTGACTGTGCGGTTGAAACGCTGCATGCAAGCTACATGAAGCAGGATTAGAGCCCCCAGCTTAGCTGAAAATCCGGAGGGGCATCTTAAGCCCTGTTCGTAGATTAGCATCCTGAAGGTGCCGGTTCTGTGGACAATTCGTGGTTGCTCGAGGGTCAAAAAAAGTACCGAGAACTGCATTCATAAGTGGTATTTAGGTCCTCCGGGGACCACCATTACCTCGAACATCACAGGTTCGCTCCAAGAGTTGAACTATTTGAGTGATTTTATCACGACACGCTTTGTTCCAGTTACGAAGACGCTTCTCGAATCGCGGAAGGCGCTCGGGGAACATCCGGTGCTCGGATATTGCGATCGTCGCATAGTTCGGAGGATTACTGCACCCGCTGTTTGTAGAGATATCGAACCCACGTGATAGCTCGCGATTGACTCTCACAATAAATGAACAAATCGCGAAGGGAACCCCCAGCGAGTAGTTGGGTTATCGCACCACGAATCCACAGTAGTGTTGGCCTCCCTCAGTCGTATCCTATCTTATAGTCGAGCCTACCGTAGAATAGGCTTTACAGATGCTATTCCCGCTGCTGGTAGTATGCGCGCCTGCCCTTCTAGTACCCCCGATACACGGTAAGTCCCTCGAATGCTCCCCTCGAGGTGTTGGAAGACCATGAGCCACACCGTGTTTGGAAAATTCACTATCGTGTTGCGAGAATATAACTCTCCTGAAGTATAACCCTCGGGCGCATAACTATGGATTACGTGATGAATCATGCTCACAACTCTCTCTACAGGCGAGGCGGTTTGATTCTAGAAGGACCTGAGACCTCGATAGATCCCAAACTAGACATTGGAAAGAGCGACCGGGCTTTTCTCCGCGCGCTACCCCCGGGATATGATAGAGGTCAATCCAACGTGATTGGGTACAAAGCCCCAATTGTCGGACCCCCTATCTAAATATGTGCCGGACCCATCGTTCATTGGGCCCTGACGTTCGCGATCGTTTTCAGCCGCCAATAGATATGGATAAGAAAACTCCATGGGGCCAAGCCAATCAGAACCACTCTTATTATCGAGCCCCCCCTGGGCCGACCCCTGTCAAGCTTTCCTCCTGCGGGCCGCGGCACTGGGGTTGTCCGCACTTTGGCTTATCTTGATCGTGTGGCCAGGTCGGAGACCTCCGACAGCCTGGTCTGGGGCCCCTGGGTTCGCTTTCTCTGTGCGGTTCAACCTCGTATAGGAAAATTATGGGGAACCCCCCGACGGCTGTTCCGTCTCGTTGTTGGTTAAGATAAAGCATCGATATGGGAAGTAATAATGGCACTGATATGGGAACTGATATCGCTGCTCCATATAATCGACTGTCGCGTGGACTTCCTGGGTCCCCGGGCTTGCTGCTCGAATATGTGAATCCACACCCCGTTTCCAGGGCATATTCCTCATGGCTTTTTTAAGTCAGAGATCCGTTTATGATGAGGGTCCTGAGTTCCTCCGGGACGTATGGGCTCTTGCAGGGGTCGCTATTTTGATCTTTGTCTTAAGGATCGTGGCCAAATTCAGGATCAGGAAACTTGGCCTTGATGATTTTCTGATGGGTTGTGCATTGGTTAGCAGGAATCCTCTTGTTCCTATCGCTCTGATGATTAACACCTGCCTCCTGACAGTGTTTAGCTTTGGTAGGATGTGCGCTCATCACGGTTGGCGTCCACTATGGATTCGGCCAGAAAGTGGGCGATCTAAGCGAAGAAGCGGCCTCCAAAGTCATCATGTTCGATTATCTGGCACAGACATTCGGTCTAGCAGCGGGCGCATTTGGTCGGATATCGTTCATCGTGTTCATCCTTGGCCTTCTTACATCCCGGTTGTGGCAGCAGGTGGTCCTCTGGATTCTTGTGGCGCTCCAAATCACAGTAAACGCCGTCTTCATCGTTATACTATTCGTCCAATGTCCAGGGCACCAGTCGGCAATATGGCAACATTCCGACAAGGAAAAGTGCTGGAGTACCCATGTACAAGCTGATTATGGATATGTTCAAGGGGGTAAGTTCCGCTGGCGACCAAGGAAGATCCATTGAGCTAACACGAAGTGCAAAACAGGGTTCAACGCAGCAACCGATCTCTATCTAGCACTGTTCTCCACCGTCATATTTTGGCGCCTCAATCTCAAAGTGCGAGTGAAGCTTGGGCTAGTGGCTCTTTTAGGCCTGGGGCTTTTGTATGTACTTTCCGGATACCCTATCGCAGCCCAAACTCTAACATATAATCTCCCAGTGCAATGGCCGCAGCTATCATCAAGACAGTGCAAACGCGCATCCTTGCGACCCCGGATACCGACCCTACCATTGCGACGGTAAACTACGACCGATGGCTCTTCATCGAAACCTATTTAGTGATAATTACGGCATCGATTCCGAATATCAGATCTTTACTTAAGTCGAGAAAGAGCAAAGGATCCACCCAGCACACCCATGAGCTGAGTTCTCGGTATGCATCTGGGTCGAGGCACTCAGGAAGAATTAGGGGCCGGGTCTCTTCGATCGACGGGAAACGGATGGTCAACGCCGACGAGACTGCAAGTGACGATGAGACATGGCGAAGAGATGAGCATGACTCGACGTACGAGTCGCAGTGCTCCAGAGAATCTGTTATAATATGTGTCTGACCCGAGCCATCAATGAATCTTCTAATGATTAATTCGTACTTGATCCGAGTTGCAGTCAACCCAGATACGTCACCTGCGTCATAACGAATATTGAAGACAGTAAAAATTGTGCCTTTGATACTCGAGAGGCATCAATCTAGGCGCCACGTGTACTAAGTTAGACAGGCCCCGATAATCGCGGCGAAGGGGTCAAGTATCCCATCCCCGCCGCTCGTCAATTCCAAGTGCATCTGATCGACCTCGCAACATCTTCCTCGAAACTGGGGAGAAGAAGGTTCGCAGTTGGGTTTCATCTGCACTTTCTATGTAGCGGGTGAGACAAGTGGTGCACGCCGGCAATTGAATTCTATAGCCGAGCGGCAATTGAAGGGAGAAAATGCCCTCGCCAGGTCCACTTGAATGCATTGGAGGTCCACAGGTCCTGTTGGTGAGTAGGAAAAGGCAAGTCATTCAGATAAAGATGAGAACGAGTCTAGAAGTTCGCAAATGGTGTCATCGATGAACCTTAGCAGGATTTATATGCAAAGGACAGAAAAAGGAGGAGAAAGGTGACTGGTGCGAAAACAGGCTCAGCAGAGTCCAGCAGTAAGAAGTCTCGGTCTGCAGTTAGTCCCCAAGCGCCGCCCACATCGTCACCCACATCGTCACCCACATTTGGCCCTTAGCCTGCCGCAGACTGTGGGGTACAACCAATGGAAGAGACCCGTGTGACTGCAAGTTCCATGCGCCACTGGACATTAGCATTGGTGGGTAATTCGAGTTTGCACCCCAGGATTGGTCCTCCCCACCATGAAAACCCCGCGACCCCCATCGTCTCCCCCCCATGGCGGTCCCATCTGACCCGAGTCCCCGACCTGGAGGGTCGCGATCTTCAAGGGTTACGGCCTCTCACAGCTGCAATGACCCTCGAAACTGGGCCCGTGTTTGTCTTAGCTCCAGGTCTCGATGCGGTTACGTGACTAGCCCAGTCGTCGGCCCTGCCAGTCGGCTCGTGTCTCCTGGTACTGTTGCAGATGCTGAAATTGTTTTAAAGAGGCTGCTCTGCCCCGGAATGTGGGACTCTTTTGCTGGGGAACCCAGTGTTGAATTCCTCCCTGGGCACTTTCAGCGTTTGAAAGCTGCAAGTTTCCATCATGGCGCCATCCATCATGAAGAACTATCGCGTCTATATCCTGACCTCTGTGGCCTATCTAGGCTCCCTGCTTTTTGGTATGTCCAGTGGCACGGAATTTCTTGCTGCCCACCCCAGTAACATTCGACCCGTCGTTGCTGAAATCTACCCCTAGGATATGACACAGGTGTCATGGGATCCGTCCTCGCCCTGGACAGCTTCAAGAAGGACTTCGGCCTCCCAATTGGAAAATCTGGTTTCGCGGACAGCAAAAATGCCCAAGTCTCTAGCAATGTAGTCAGTCTGCTGACTGCGGGCTGTTTTTTCGGCGCAATCCTTGCAGCCGCACTCAACGACCGATTAGGCCGCCGCTACGCACTCATGATCTTCGCCATGATTTTCCTTGTCGGAGCTGCTGTCCAGGTTGGCGCCCACCACCAGATCGGCACCATCTACGGAGGCCGTGTGATTGCCGGCTTTGGGATCGGCGGAATGTCCAGTATCACCCCGGTCTTCGTCAGCGAGAACGCTCCCCCCAAGTACCGTGGTCGTATTGCTGGTATGTTCCAGCTGTTCCTGGTCACCGGTAGCACGTTTGCCTACTGGCTCGACTATGGTGTGTCGCTGCACATTCCCGAAGGCACCAGCCAGTGGCGTATTCCCGTAGCGATTCAGCTGGTCCCTGGGGGCCTGATGCTCATTGGATTGTTCTTCCTCAAAGAGTCGCCCCGTTGGCTCATGACGAAAGGTCGTCGGGAAGAAGCTCTTCACGCGCTTGCTTACATCCGCCACGAGACGGAGGCTAATGCGGAAGTGCAGCACGAGATTGCTGAGATCCAGGCTGCCATCGAGGAAGAGAATATGCTGACCGAGGGCCTTACTTGGAAAGAGTGCCTGGAGAAGAGCAATCGCTACCGGTTCTTCCTGGCATTTGTGATCATGTTCTGGCAGCAATTCTCTGGCACCAACAGCATTGGGTATTAGCAGTCCCGTTGCGGACCCAAACGCGCCCGCGTTTGGGTCCGCCACACCCTACTGAAAACCACACCCTGGTGAAAAATTTTTCACTCCACCAACTTATTCATTATGGAATACCACCTTCCCCCCCTCGGAGGGCTCCAAATGAAGGAGATCGTCTTATTGAGGCCTTTGAATTTGCCTCCTCTATTCAAAATCCAAATCTTTCTGCAATTTCGCGCCAATTTGACGTGTCGTATTCACGCCTTCGGAGACACTATCTTGCTGGCATAAGTTCGTGGAAGCGTCAACCAACACACTCTGCATTAAATTCGGAGCAAACTCGTGCCTTAATAGAATGGATCCGGAAGCTTGATTCTCTATTATCTCCGCCCACAAAAAATGATATTGTGGAAGCAGCAAGCAAGATGGCACAACGCCAACTTAGCAAGATGTGGGGAGATCGATTTATTTCCCGGCTACCTTCCGACCTTAAATATATTACCCAAACTCCGTTCGATAAAAATCGAATTGATGCTGAAGTTTATGGAGAAATTGAACGCTGGTTTTCTAGTTGGCATTCAATTATTAAAGATATCCCTTCACGGAATATCTATAACTTCGACGAAACGGGGTTCCAGATCGGTCAAGGTCGACCAGAAAAAGTTGTTACTTCGACTCCATATCGAACATCTCGACTTCCTACTACCGAAAAAGGAGAAAATCTGACCTCTATTGAGTGTGTTTCTGCCGATGGTCATGTTTTACCACCTTTTTTTATTATAAAAGGGCAGAATTTTATGGAAAATTGGTTTAAAGATCAAGATACTATTCCAGATGATTACTGCTTTGCTATATCAAAAAATGGCTGGAATACTGATCGTTTAGCAGTTAAATGGCTTGAACATTTTATTAAACATACCCAAGATCGTCTACAATCTCCAAAAGAGAAGAGAATTCTTCTTTTTGATGGTCATGGAACACATCTCACGGTTGAATTTCTGGTTATGTGCGAGAAATCGAATATTATACCAGTTGTTTTTGAACCTCATACAACGCATTTAATGCAGCCTCTTGATGGTCATGCTTTCCGGAATCTAAAGCATTATTATAAAGGCTGTATGAATCGTTTATCACGTTGTCAAGCAAATTTTGACACTAAACGTGATTTTTTCCGTGAGATAGCAGAGATTCGGAACCAGGCCCTACAACCTCGTGTTATTCGTGCAAGTTGGCGTGATCGTGGAATTTATCCTATAAATTCTATGATTATATTAAACCAACTTCCCGATCAAGATGAAAGTTGGACCGAATTTTTCAATTGGCCAGATATAACTCCATCACCACCGCCATTACGATGGGATTCTACTCCGACATCCTCCCCTATTCAAACAGAACTTCCATCTGAATTATCCGATTTTAAATCGAATTTTGCTAAAATCTCTCATAAATTGAATAAGATTGAAGCTAAATTTGGATTTGATCCAAATTTTAATAAAATTCGATCATTATTAGATTTTCAGCGTCGTGGAATTGATGTTTATGTCAATAAGACAGCTGCTATAGAAGGGAGTTTACAATCAATTTTGAAACAACACAACAAGGAGAAAAATCCATCTATTCGGGGAAGCCGACGGAAGATATTATCTAAATCGGCTAGTTTATCTCGATTTGATGCAACACATTCAATTATAGAAAGGGAGGAAAAAGAAAAACAGGCAGCGGAGAGGAAGGTGATACGCGACCGAAAAAAATTGGAAAAATCGGCCCCACCACGCAGGGTTCGAGACCCAGAAACCCCTACACCTATTAATTTAGATTCAGACGGTTTATTTAGTGTTTTCCAGGCTTAAATAGCTTCAAAATTGAGTGAGTTATCATGAATTGAAAACTGTAAATTTTAAAATTTTTCAGTAGGGTATGGTTTTCGGTAGGGTGTGGAGCATCCAAATGGGCCCCCCCATTTGGATGCTTACGGCATTGCTATGCCCCAGAAATCTTCCAGTCCGTCGGGCTCAGCTCTACGGACTCTTCGTTGTTTGCCACCGGGATTTATGGAACGGTGAAGATCGTTGCTACTGCGATCTTCTTGTATATCGGTATCGACCGTTGGGGCCGAAAGAAAAGTTTGATCGGCGGCGCTGCGTGGATGGCCTCGATGATGTTTATTATCGGCTCTGTGCTCGCGACTCACCCGCCTAATCCAGACAGCAATGTTGTCTCCCGTGCCTCTATTGCCATGGTCACCATGATCTATCTCTATGTCATTGGGTACTCTTTCTCCTGGGGTCCCACACCCTGGGTTTACATTGGAGAGATCTTCCCGACTCGCCTCCGTTCGTATGGTGTCGGCGTGGGCTCTGTCACCCAATGGCTGTTCAATTTTGTTGTAACCGAGTTCACTCCCCATGCTGTGAACAAACTCGGATGGAAAACTTTCCTCATGTTTGCCATTTTCTGTACTGCGATGGGAATAACCGTTTTCCTGTGCGTGAAAGAAACCAAGGGCCGTACCCTGGAAGAGATGGACGTGCTCTTCGGCACCATTGACGTGGAACAGCGAAACGCCGATGTCGAGGCTACTCTGCAGAAGCATGACGTGGAGCACGAGGAGCACGTCGGACCCACCAAAGCCCCAGGTGAACGGGCCTAGTATGCTTATCTTTTTCATCTCGTATGGAATAGATTCCTTTCAAATGGGCTGGGAACTGGTCTAGAGGATAAACGTGATACCACGGCGGATCCTATCATCAGGGTGTATATGTGATTAATATTATGAATTCCGTGACGAGACAAGACCTCAAGCAGTAACGGGCGCTTCCTCAAGCCACGCCCACTCCATCGTAACCCGGCCTTGTTCCAGATTGGCCACCTTTTCGAACACAGCCTCAGTGACATCCAAATCTGTCGCGGCACACCCCGTGCACCGGTCCACAACCTTAACATCAACACTCTTATCATTGCGCCGGATCCTGATCTTCAACCCGCAGAGAGGATTCTCATTTGGATTCGACCCTGAAGCCGCAGCATCGAACAAAATATGTGATACCGCACATATCATATCGGAATCCGAGTTCGTGTATCCGCACGATCCAAGCGCCGGATTGTAGTATGTCAAGTCGCCCGAGTAAGGCCCGCCATTCGAGCTGGGGAGGGGCAGGTTAGCCGTTCCACTAGAGCTTGTCAGTATACGAGCTGGAAGTCCCAAGATTGAAAGAAATCGCATATAGCATACTTTTTGCCCACCGTCAGCCCGACCGCGAGACCAATGATCAGTGCGATGATAACCACTGCAGCAATGATCCCTAGGATGAGGTATTTCCGCGATTGCCTTTGCGCCGCGAACCACGCCGGGACGCCGAAGAAAGGGAGCTTGTGCGCGGACTTGCCGACGGGGACGCTGGCTTGAGGCTGTTTCACGGCCGCCGGTCCTGGCGCGGGCGCAATGGGGACCGGCTTGCGCTTTGGCATTGAAGTTCGAGGGTCTTGCGCATCGTGTGTAACTGGCTCTTTCTCGATGGTATGGGCGTCCGCCAGTGGGGCAGTTGGAGGAGGGTCAGTGGGATCCATTGGGTTCTCTTCGGATATGACGTGGCACAGGTAATTAGTTCATAACGGTCCTCATGTAAATTCGGCAGTTTACTCCATGAATTGCAATGTTCCTCGAGACGAGCGCACGGAAAGTGACAGGGAAAAAAAAGAGGCTGGTGAGAGACAAGCTGGGAGACGCGAGAACAAGAAAGGATAAAACGGCGGGGAGCGTTTCAGGGGTTTAAGTGCGGACGGGGCGTGGGGTGATTCGACTGTAGATATCCGACTTTGTCTCAACCGATAAGAGCCAAATAAAAGAGCGACTGTATGTCCTCTCGAAATTGAACGCATAGGATCGCCCTTATCTTCGGCAAAGATCGTCAGGGCGCAGGGCCTCGGATGCGATCCTCATTCCGAGGCTTGTACCACTGCAGCTATAGAACGCTCGCAGAGGCCCCGGCCCTGTTGTATGGACATGGGCTCATCAAAAGTACGAGCAGTTAGGGAGAACGTCGACAGAAGCAAACCCGAATGGAACAGCTTCAAGTATGGACTCCTACCAGCTCCCCGCGCAACGGCCTCGCGCCCCACCTCGAAATGCGGAGCTCAAATTCTTCGGAATTCTCCAATTGTCCTTCCCCAACTTCCTCCCGCCTTCCAAGACTTTCGAGACTTGCAGTCACATCTCGATACCATCACGCTTGTCGCGTATTCGTCCGAGCTCGAGAAACACGCGCCATGTTTCCATAGCAGGGGCGTTTATCTTCCCCTCTGAAATCGACGGTGACGTACCTGGCCGGCATTAGCGCATCGCGTCCCGCCAGATGCAGCAATGGCAACCCGCCACAACACCAGGGACTCGGAGATCCTGAGTGAGTATCTCTCACGACGCAGTACACATACGTCCAAGAAAGAGGATAAGTCTCTATGGGGTCGCGTGAAGAAAGCATGGCAGAAATGTGGCCTGGACAAGCACACCGTCATCCAGATGATAAAGTAAGATCGAAGCGCGGGTTGGGATTGAAGAAAACCAAGTGCCTGCTAACCCGATTTTCGTCAACAGAGGCGGCCTTGCGCCAACAATCGCAGTGGCGATGTAAGTATCTGCGCAATGTTTCTCCGGTTCAGTGCCAACCTAACACCCAACTAGCTACCAAGCTACCGATGTAGCAGACGAGTTCACCACGCTGGGCTATCTGCTCCCAATCGTCTCTATCTATGGATTCCCTGTTATGCCCCGCGCCAAGTTCATCCAAATGTTTATAGTGGATCTCATGGCCGTCTGCATAGGGACTTGCTTCGCGCTGCTGACCATGCTCTCCAGCGTAAAAGCGCGGCAACACACCGAATCAGGATCAACTACCACATATAACTCTTCAGCCTCCGCCGTTACTGCGGTCTGGCTGTTTTTTCAAATCTGGATGGTGCATACATTCCGTGCGAAGTACCCCCAGTTCCAGTTCCCCGTCATCATATACTCGTTCTTCGCCAACATCGCAGCCATCTATGCACCCCAGGAGGCAAATATGACATCTGCATTCACATTTGTCTTGAGGCTCCTCAAGACCTTCTTGACGGGGTTAGCTCTCTCGGCCGGCGTGTCGCTGTTTCTCTTCCCGAATACATCCCGAAAAGCTGTTTTCAAGCAGATGGCCGGGTACATCAATAGTCTGCGCACCGCGTTAGATGCACATGCAGTGTATTTCTTAACGTTGGAAAGTGATGACATGTTTGGACGCGCAGAGACATACGATTCCTCGCGTGAGAAATCGAACAAAAAGGGAAAGGTGTATAGCCCGGAGGCCGAGGCGATTCGAGTTGCGATCCGACAGATCAATGACATGCATGCGAAGCTCCACGGTGACTTGACATTTGCTAAACGGGAGTTTGCACTTGGAAGGCTTGGCCCGGATGACCTGCAGGGCATTTTTCGTCATTTACGCCAGGTTATGATCCCGGTCACTGGGCTAGGCTTTGTAGTTGATATCTTCCAACGACTGTCCGAGTATAACCGTTGGAATCCGCCCATTGACCCAACTGTTGGAGTCCTCCCTGATGGAATACGCGAGAGTGTTGTGCGGGACTGGAATGAAATTATGAGGGCAGTGCATGATCCGTTTGCGACGATCATTCAGACTATTGATGAGGGATTGCTGCATACTCTTTATGTGTTTCGATTGGCTAAGCCGCCAAAAAGGATAGCATTGGCGCAGGAGGTGAATGGCGATGGTGTGACGCATGACCCGAAAGATGTCGAAGCTGAGACGGAAAACCGAATGCCCGGTGAAAAGGGGTTTGCAAAGCATTTCGAGAAAAAGCTAGCAGAGTTCCGAAGAGCTAAACGCATCGCTTTGGAGACATGGGCCGAAGAGAAAGGCATCTCTCTCCCACCCGATTTCTTTGATCACCCCGCGTCTGTCCAGAGTTTGAAGGGCGACTTTTTCGATGCGTCGGCCTCTTATCAAGACCGGAGCAGACGGCAACTATACCTTTTTCTCTATGTAAGTTGCATGTGTCCCTTCGTGGTTTGTGGATTTAGCTAACTGTCATATTAGATGGAGCAATTGCTTTACTCGACTGGGCAAACTGTTTTGACCTTCATTCTGTTTGCCGACGAGGTCGAAGCGAAAGGCAAGCTGTCACGAATAAGGCTGGTCATTCCAGGCTTCAAGCGATGCTGGAAGTGGGCAAAGAGCTTCTTCGACTTCGGTGATAACCATGAGGACGGAAATATGGGCGATGTACACACGCAGAGCTCCATGTTAGAACTGGGGGAAGCCTACAGGAACCGCAAAGACCCCGAACACCTGCCACCAACGAATTGGTTTCAGAAATGTGGTGACAAAGTCCGGATGATTCCGAGGTTCCTTAGGTCGTTTGAGGCTAGCTACGGATTCCGGGTAGCATGTGCAACCATGACCATTGCCGTTGTAGCATTCTTACACGATACCCAGCATTTCTTTACGAAGCAGCGCCTAGTGTGGGCCATGATCATGGTCAACATGAGTATGACACCAACCTCGGGTCAGAGTATTTTCAGCTTTGTTCTCCGAGTTGCCGGTACAGCTATCGCTATGGTTGTTAGCCTCCTGGTGTGGTATATCCCGGCCAAAAGACGCCTGGGATCATCGTATTCCTCTTTATCGCCCTCTCAATCGGCTTCTACGTACCCATTAAGATGTTGAGATTCCGACCGATCGGCCTCATCGGTGTCATCACCACAGCTATGATTATCGGGTATGAGCTGTCCGTACGCAAAGTCGGGGAGGCAGTCGCTACTTCCAACGGACAAGCTTATTACCCGATTTATGTGCTCGCGCCTTACCGTCTTGCGACTGTCAGCGGGGGGATCGCTGTCGCTTTCTTCTGGACATTCTTCCCATACCCCATCTCTGAGCATTCAGTTCTACGCCAAAACCTGGGGGCTTCACTCTATTACCTCGCTAATTACTATTCCATTATCCATGAAACCATAATGGCTCGCATGCGTGGTGAACAAGGCGACATGACCCTCAAGACGTCTGCAGGACGCAAACTGGAAAAGGCGCGTGGCAAGGTATTCTCGAAGCAGATGCTCATGCTGAATAGCCTCCGCACGTACTCCGGCTTCCTACGATGGGAAGTTCCTATCGGTGGCAAGTTCCCGAAAGACCAGTACGACGCAATCATCCTCTGTATGGAGAAGTGAGTACCATCTCTGTTTCTCTACCCCCTCCCTCCTTTCCGTCGCACTCACTAACCAAGACGTCCCCACCAGCATTGTGAGCTATTTAAGTTTATTAGGGTACGCCTCCGACACAATGATGCGTCTGGGCGAAGACGACGATGGGTCAGGCTCCGAGTGGTTACGCGACCTGCGCAGACTGGTCGGCGAAGCTCAGGTTACCACTCATGAGGTGACGACACTGCTATGTCTGCTCTCAGCAAGCATCACCAACCGGCAACCGTTGCCACCCTATCTCAAGACGCCTCGGCCATATAGCTTTTCCAAGCGGCTTGAGGCGCTTGATAAAGATATCCTGAGTATCCAGCATATAGCCGAACCCGGTTTCGCCGCATTTGCAGTGCTGCAGATATCTACTCGGTGCATTGTGGGTGACGTAGATCGGCTCATGCGGTGCGTCAACTCCGTTCATTCCTTTCTTTGCAAGGTGAAAAACTGCTAACGCTCTGTTTTCTAGGTGTGTCAGAGACCTAGTCGGAGAGCTGGACTTTTCTTTCCACACCGTCACCACCACGGACGGTAGCATAACACACTCGAGAATGGCATCTGCGGCGCCATCGAGGGTATCTGTGAATGAAGCGCAGGCAGCTGATCGTGATAAAACCGCTTAACATCCGCCAGGGCCAGTTGTGAAGCAAATATGTAAATAACTAGAGACTAAGCATAGCCGAGTAAGCCAATCGGCTCAAAATTAGCATTACAGTCTAGCTCGAGAGCAATCCGAGCGCATGATATCATTACGCTTGTCACACGATTTTCAACACATTCCTTCGATTCGATCCCAGAAATGGGGGAAACAAACTCTGAGCCTCGACCGGCGAGAACTCCGCACCGAGGAGCCAACGTGCATCTCCGCTCGTCGCTCCTCAATAAGTACGAAAGGACGCAATAAGCAAGCATGAATAGAAAGGAATCTCAACCGACGACCTATTTTAAATCCTATCAGAAAGGAACGAGTGAACAATGTCCCAAGTCCAAATTGACCCTCGTCCTTTGCCGCCGCCGCCGACAAACACAGTCGGTACCCTCTTGACTGGGCGAAGACGTCGCCGGGTACTTTGAGCGCGCGGTGCGGTTCTTCGTAGTATTGGGGGGGTACGTTCTGTCTAGGTTTTGGGCTGGAAGCTTCATGCCATCATGCTTTATTTGAAGTAGAAGTGACAGCCACCAAGAACCAGCGTATTTACACATGGATGCAAAATGTGGACATGGTTATGTACATAAGCGAAGAATATTCAAGACAAGAACCACCAAAGCAGACACGAAAAACAGCAATCCCCGGAGAAAGTAACCAATGATCGTCGTAGAAGAGAAGGGAAGAAAAAAAAAGAATTAGAAACAGAAAGAAAATGGACAAGGAAAACGCTGTCTGAGGCTTTTTCTATCGTAACTCCGTATGTAGCATCAAATCGGATTCATCATGCTTGCGTTCGGCACCGCAGGCTCGAGAGCCGCGCTCGAAGCCACTGTAGGCGTGGACTTGGTGACCGGAACCGGGGACACGGTTGTAGGGACGCTGGTATCGAGGTGAGAGGGTGAACGGCTGCTCTGACTATAAGATCGGTCCCCACGAGAGACCGTGCTCCCCGCAGTACTGCTGCCCGGCTTGCCGCCACGCTTGACCATCTTTCCGAGTACACCAACGATCTCCGCCGCATCCTCGAAGCTCTCGTCGTCCATGCCCTCTTGGGCATTGTAGACGTCGGCAATCGCATGCTTGGCAACACGGCGACAGGCAATTGGGTCCTGGAGACAGTCGTAAAGGTAGGCGGCGTACTCGAGCTTGACCGATAGTCGGAGTGGGTGCGAGCCTGGTAAGAGTTTATCGGCGAGGATAGCGGCGTGGTTGAAACAGGCGGTTGCGGTGGCCGTGTAATCCAGCGGGGGAGAAGGAAAGAGGATGCCGGTTGGACGGGTTGGACGGGAAGACCGGGAGGAAGACCAGGTGTTGGATCGGGGGTCTTTTGAGTGCCGCGCGATGTGAATATATCTGCACCATACATTGATTCGTGCTTGAGGTTGGCGGGCACGTCGGTCGGCGCGGGTTGTAGGGCCGGTCTTTGGTGGAAGAGCACGAAGATATGGTAAAATGAGGCACGCAGCTTATACGCGAGGACCTTCAACTCGATCGACTTGGCTACCATCGGTAATACGTAGCCCTCTAATATGAATAACCCTTCGCGCGAAAGCCATATTATATGGTGGTAAAGTTGCAGAGACTTGGTCTCGCGCGTAATGTCTAGGCGGCGTTGTCGGCGGGCCCGGAGTAGTTTCTTGGACAGCATCACCGATAATCCGAGGATTTTATAAAGCATTGACGATAATAAAGGGTTTTCGAGGGCCATGGCGGCCGCGAAAGTGCCCAAGGCTTTCTGATCCACCTCGGAGGAGGCCATCCATATAGTCAATGGTCCAGAGGCTGGACAGTCCATATCGAGATCGTCAGCCAGCTTATCGGGCACTACAAGATAGGGAGACATTTGGGACTGGTGAAGATGGGAAAAACGGGATTCGATTTGATTGGAAACAGGGTTTATATAAGGGAGAGAAAAGACGTGGGAGAAAATGCAGGGAAGACAGAGAGCATGCTTACCTAGCTCGCGCGCGCAAACGAAGCTTCAAACGAACCGACGCAGCGTGTAGACCATGCTCCAGCCGAGCGCGAGGATGGACGAGGGCCTGAGCAACAGGGGAATAGGCGCCCAAGGTCCAATCCCCGCGTCCAATCTCCCTCACCAGACTCAATTCTCTCGAGGATTCCGCTTGAGGATGTCCGTATCGCAAGGTTCGGTTCAGCGGGAACCAACCCGCGGTTTGGTGCTGCTCCAATTGACCAATCGACGGCCGCCCTGCTCTACTTCACCAGTATGTCACTTTTTTCTCCCGTGCAACAGGATCCCAAACACGATTGTGGTCGATCGGTTCTCGATCTGTCGAGTCTTGAGGTTCGTGCAGTTCGTGCAGCGAGCTAGCGACGCAAGGCGTGGGAGTGGTTGGAGGGAAGATCGCGGGTGACCCTGGCGCATTGCGATGCGTCGCAGATGGAGGAAAGGAGCGAGCCCGAGGGTCTTAAGAAAGTGCCAGCGCACTTTGTCGCACTCGCCTCCGGGATTGTGCGGGCGGGGAAAAAGAATGTCAGGCGGGGGAGACAGATGGTCTTGGGGGGGGCCCAGCGAGCGTGGATGGGCTGCAAGGTGAAATAGGGATCGCCCAAGCTATAAGGCCGAGACAATCCCGGGCCAAAAAAAAAAAGAAAAAGAAGATTTAAACGATGTAAAGACGTCAGGCTGGAGCCTCGATAATGACGAAACTGTATTGGTAACGAGCTGTGAGGCGCAAGCTTGAAGCCCTAGCACTATGTATAGTATCCGTGCAATGGAAATCAATTCGCCTAAACCTGACCGGATGTACATAGATTACCAGTGCAGAAAGCATCAACATCGCCCATGCCCTAAACCCAGCCACCCTCTTCCAAGTACCAGGTTCTTTCTTGTATGCCGGGAATAACGATTTTACAGCTGCTACACCGCCAGCAGAAACCCACTTAGCCGTATACAGCATCCTCCCCCAACCAGTTTCTGGCTGATCTGGGTATCTCAGACCATCCTCAGGGATGCCCAAGCACAGATCGAAGTGGCAATAGACCCCAGCCTCCATCGCGTCAATGATGCGCTGTTCTTTTGCACAGACTGGCCCACTGAGTCTTCCCCCCAATGGACGACCTCGCGCGACCCGGAGCTGCACTACGTGGCAGCGGCTCGCTAGGGTTGTGCAGCCGCCTCACTGGGTTGTTCGATTGGTCCCCAAGTTTCAATTCCCATAGATTGTTTAAGGTACCAGAGAGGGAAAGCACGGACGCTGCCAGCGTGGCAGGCGTGAACTTTTTCTCCGGTTTTATCGCTTTCCTGCTCCTTCAGGTTTAGCTCGGGTACCCGGCGCCAGGTCACTTGTACTCCGTGACGAGATTGGGTTTGTTGCTCGCCTGATAGGCGCTGGTTCTTCATTCTGGACTCGCCTCTCCAGAGAGAAACCAGGCGCAGATATAGCCGGCATTTCAGGGGAGACAGAGACGATTGCCAGCGCATAGCGCCCCAGGATCGACTGTGGGTTTGTCTCCGTCGGGGCGCAGGACTGTGTACTGGTACCCGTCGGGCGAGTACACCGCCAGAATGATGTCGGATCCAGCCCCTCTTTAGGCTAAGGAGTTCATACTTTTTTCGTAACGATACAACTCATTGATGCGCTGTTAAGGTAAGAAATTTCTTCACGAAGTTAGGCGTCATTTTTTCGCCTCTGGCCCGGCCTGCCAAGCACAAGGCCTGGACGGAGAGGTTTCTTGTATCTTGGGCATGCGAGCTTCTTGTTCTATTTTCGAAAACAGGCTTCTTTCCAGTGTCCAAGTGTGTAAAGATGGTACCGATGCAACAGATCTTGGTCATCAACAGAGTTTCGTCGACAGGTTGTTGTACAAGTACTGGCTAGTCAGTATACTCAAGTGGTCCAGCTCATAGACCCCGTTTTGCAATCAGAAAAAACCTGCTCTTCACATACTCGTGCCGGAATAAGGAACAGCGAGCATCCGCACATGTAATATGTCGTATCTCTGAAGGTATAGGATTGACCGCATATGCCTAGAGATCCCTAGCTATGAAGCCTTGCTCTTGATCTGTCAATGAATGGTTCCGTGGAAATAGGAAACGGATCCAATTCGAACAATAAGTGCACTCAAGACGCAATTGGCCATGCACTCCACATTATAAGCATGGTTACCGTCCCTAGGGGAGCTATTGCCGGTCTGCCCTTATAGCTTCTCTATGCATATCATTAATGGTATCGGCAACTCGAACTCTGCATCTGAATCACGTCACCGAGGAGATATTCCGTCATATCGGCCAATATTGCAAGGCGGCGTCTGGTACTGGTAGGTAGATAAGCAATCCCGACGCTGAGTCTTCGGCAACAGCTACTAGTATTCAGCGCATTTACAGCCAGCCAATCAATTCATCTGACTTGTGTCCGAAATCATTCGACTAGACCCAAGGAGGCTGGCAAAGACCAGCTTGACGATGCCATTCGCCAATCTCTAACCAATGAAGAGTTCCGATGCGGTGGCAAGGGAAATGAATCGGCACGGTATATAGAAGCCCTTGAGATAGGAACAGATTCCCGGTTGTGTATACCAGGTTCTTCAACTGTATTCGTAACATATGATCAATGTACCCGAAGATCCAGAGTCGATCCCGATTCTAAATGTAACAAGAAAAAAATAATAATAAACACCGCATGAATGCACAATGGATCTCCAACCCACCGAGATGCAGCCCGTCATCAAATGCAAGTCCTGAAAGTATACATGTCGTGAAGTACCTATTGTACAGCATCCAAATCATCACTCAAATCATCTACATCAAGGAATCCCGCGAACGCCCGCGACAAGAAGGCGCGCCAGGCCTTGTTAACCTTAGGCCGCTTGGCCACCGTGGGTTGGCTATGGGGTCTGGCAGATGCATCTCCCTCCTCGGCAATGCGAATCGCGAGCTCGTAGAAGCTTCGCACAGTCAGATCCTTCATCCGGTATGATTTGTCGTCGGTGCTATATTCAACCTCAAACATCACTCGAGGGTCGCTTTGTCCGCCCGCAGCAACCTCCGCGTTGATTCGGGTCAAGTTCGCGAAGTATTGGGTATAGCCAAGGAATGAGAGGGCCTGGTTGGAGTATGCTGGGCCGGGAGGGCTGGTTGGCGACGGCGCATCTGGCACCTTGAATTCTACTTCGAACCCAGGCGTATTCTGACTCGAGACTTCAGGGTGCTCAGCAGAAACATCCGTGTCCAGAACAGATGGCTGGTCGTCTGCAGCTGTAGTGCTCTCCAAACCTGTAGTATTGTATTCAATCACGCGGAGCGTCGGGAAATAATTTGGCACCACGCTGGGTGACACCAATGTTACACTGAATCGTTCTGCCAATGGCCCTCCGACCTTTTTGAGAAACTTGCGGCGTTTCTTCTCAAGCTTCTTTTTCTTGTTGTCTCCCTTATCTTTCTTGCCCTTCTTCTTCTTGTTGTTCTTCTTCGTCCTCACGGCCTCCGGCTCTGCTGCATCCATTGTACTGCCATCTAAGCCTTCAAAGGTACCGCCTGGTGGATATGGCAGTTCGGCCACGCTTCCCGCAGGGAATTAATGTAATCCGCTTTCGAGTTGATAGAAATCCTCTCACTCGTATTTTTCTGCGCCAGAAAGGCAAAGTCAACGTCATCACTGTCCTGTAGCATGAAATGATCGACGTTCATGTGTCCATAGAGGCCGCTCACCACCACATCGCGGTACCGATCCAACCACAGTGTGTACTTCTGCCAGCAGGTCTCGTCCCAGTTGGTCTTCTCCTCGGTGCGCGCCGGGGGCACATGACCCATCAAGATGGCCTTCATGTTCCGGCTACGCAGAATCTGCAGCTGCACCCGGAGCCATTCCATATGCTCGTATCCCGGCTGGGACTTTTCGACGCAGCCATCCACCGCGCTGTTGGAGTCGAAGAAGTACATTGTGTTCAAGCTAATAACAGCCAGCTTGCCCGGAATGACCTCCGAGGTGAACCACCCGCCTGCGAGAAAGCTGTGGCGCTGATCCTCGGGGATAAAGTCATGCCATACCTCCGCGAACCTCTTAGTCCATAGATTAGGACCTTTCCTGAAGATATTATGGGGCGCAATATCGTTGTTGCCGAAGGTCGGCACTACAGGCACCGAGATGTGAGGCACGCCGCGAACACGGTCAGAATTTTTCCGGGTGCCGAACAGATCAATCCATTTCTGCGCCATGTACTGGTTGAGATCGACGATTTCTTGCTCGGACCGGGGGATGAGCTCGTCGTTATCGTGGCGGGCGGAGTCGCCAGTCCAGATCACGAAGTCGAGATCATCCTTCAAATTTTCGGCCAACCAGCGGAACGTCTCGTTAACAAGTGTGTAGGGAGAGTCGCAGTCCGATCCTTCCTGTCCGAAGTATCCTGCGACGCCTTTGCCATGGTGGCACGAACCGTCCTCGATCGAAGCGCCGTATTTGTAGTATCGGTCGGGATGAAAGTCTAGAGCTTGTTAGAAGCCGAAACTGTTGCGCGACAAACTGCCACCCGGGGCTCTGAGCTCACCTGTTACGTGGAGGAATTTCCCGTGTAGTCGAGGCGCCGATGGCTCCGTCAAGGGAGCTTGAGGGGTTTGGAATATCGAATCGATTTGAGATTCCACAAGCGGAGCGGCCAAGGGGAGTTGCTCGACAGGCACCGCCGAGACCGCCGAGAGAAGCCCTAGCAGCAAGACGGTTGACTGCATCATTGTGCAGGCCGGTCTTCAGCTGAGCATGCAGTGGAGGGGATAAGAAGGTGTTTCTTTTTCTTTTTTTATCTTTTTTTTTTTCTTTTCGTCTCTTTACCCTTTTGAGCTGCAAGATCTTATCACCAACCGGGGCGCTCACGTCACTCGGCGGGCCCGGCAGAACCTACCAACAGCCAATCAGAGGCCAGATTGGCGTGTTAGGCACCGACAATCACTCGCCGGTTCGTCCGAACGCAAAAAGGAGAAGGGACGCACACAGAAAGGGGATTTGGGAGGAGGTAGATACGAGCCAGACGTGAGATGGTGAGATGACCCGCACGGAACTGAGAAGCAACTAAGAATGAAATAAGAAATAAAGACTGCAGATTTCCCCGGATCGACTGCCTGTACTGCAATTGCTATCCAATTGTTCTCGCACGTGCTGAGAACCCTTCGACGTCGGCCTTGGGTACTGAATCACTGCCACAATCATCGATACGTTCTAGATATGAAGCCTTGACGGAAATAAAAGCTCTAAGATTCTATTCTTCTATTCTACATTTTGACAGGCAGCACATAGATGTGTAACCTTCCATCCGGCCAGCTGCCGCCATCAAGTACCGCGAATACGCACGCGCAACTACCAAGGTCCTTGTATTCTCATGAGCGACCATCCATGGTAGTCGACCCCGAATGCCAAATCTAGAACCTCTGGCTCAATGCAAGCTTTCTTGGAACAACAAGTCCGGAAAAGGAGAAGAAGAGACGAAAGAACAAGAAATCGACCTTGAGGCTGCTCGGGACTACTATAATTTCACGGTATCCAGCCATGTTAATCTTGGTACTTGCCCGCCTGACCTCGGAATCCACATCCCACGATCTATTCATCAATTAACATTTCGTTCATATGACCCTGTCTTGTTTACTAGTAAACTGATAGCTAGACCAGCTGGAACTTTTCTAACATGCGGCCACATGACGAGACTTGTCACACATGTTGAATCCAAGACTCGACGTCAAGAAATCAAAGTAGTCTTGAGAATTCTCATCTGATGACTCGCAGGGAGCCCCCCAACTCCAAAATATATTAATATATCAGTGAGTGACTTGACCCCCTGACGCCCTCGAGCATATAGATATATTATGCCTGAAATAAACTTCGATCGCCACCAGCATGTGTTACCGCTATTACTAGCATCGCTCTCTACTGCGACATCACGTCAAAGACTAACGCGCACGGATATTGAAGTAGCATATCAAGAGAGCCCATCTTATAACCATCAAAATAAGACTTAGCCGTGGACTGACCATCCACCTCACTCAAAGGGCTATCGGCCCGTTCGACAGGGTGATGATGACCCGCGAGCTCAACAAGAGGCTGGGAGCAACCAGGAGCACGGGTTGAGAAGCGACCAGCGGAGTGCGGTGGTTTCTCTGAGTCTCCCGAAGGGTATGCAACGTCAAATGCAGATGCAATGGTTCCGTAAACGGAGTGGAGGCACAGAGAGTTGGCGGGGCCACATCTTTTTGGATACGACTGATGCTCAGAGTACACTTTCCCACCCCGGCTTAGAAGCCGTGAGACAAAAGTACAGGACTTGATTTGGTCCCGATGGCTCATCGGAGGAGTGTGGACTCAAGTTCCTGGCTAGTTGGTTGGTTTAGATTATTGAAACATAGTGATAATAGTGAGCAAACAGCTTCATTTCTCTAGAGAGCCAATGCAGGTCATCGTTGGATGGTGCAGCGCAGATGCTTATTCCATAAGGGTGCCCGAAGCGAGTTTCTCATGGTCTGAGATAATGTATCTCACATTGGGAGGAGAGCACTGACATTGAGCCCCCGTTATACTTCAGGACCAAAGTGCAAGTTACACAGATACTCTTCGTTTGCGCCAGTAAATTCTAGTCCACGTGCCTGACCCTGGAGAAACTCAATAGGACGCAACAATTATGGCTGGAATCCTTTCACCACGACAAAAGACTTCGAACTATATACGAGCCCCGTAGTATTGCCTCCTCTACAGCCCCTCGAAGCCAAGCGGGTGGTCCCTGGAGAGAACTGTCATATGGCAAGGGCCAGTGCATTAAACCTCTTTGACGTCTATGACAGCCCCGCCGCCCTTGGGATCCCATCCTCTCTTCTAAAACCATGGTTCTCCCTTCCAAATATCCAAAGTTTCTGTACGTATACTAGAAGAAGAGCTTGTTAACAATGGATCATCATAGCCCAACCAAACTCTGTCGTCAAGTACGAACAGGCCCGTTGGTACCGGTGGTCTTCCGGTCCGCCTACTGCCGGTAGAGACAGTAGAACTGATCCATCCAGCAATCTTCAGTCTTCTAATTCATCGCAGTCTTCAGTCTTCCAATTCATTCTAACCAACACGCTATTGAGCCGACCTGTGACGCGTGATTCCACCACCTCTCCCCCTCAGTGTGTCTGAATCGCTCCTTCTTCAACGAGACGTGTCCTGTCACCCAAATCTGATCGAACCCCGTAAACCAAGCCTTGGTCGACTTCCCCCAACCATCCGAAAGGACGACGTTTGTCCAGACACCCTTCTTTGCCATCCTTTACGACACTTTTCGCAATACCTCCTAGCCTAGCATTTCCTAGGGAGATGTATGTTGAGCCTCCAGAGATTGAGTAAGGTTGACCAAAGCTGATAGTTGGCCTCCACCAAACCCACAGTTTCTGATCGCACGATTCATCCTCCTCATGTCTCGCAATATGCCTGCTCTGACGATCGATAGCCTCGAGGCTCCAGGCCTTCAAGCCCGCCACAAGGGAGGCAACTTTGCTAGTCGCAACCCCGGTGTCATCTTGGTGTTTTGCATTGTGTTCATTGTATTCCTGGGACTGTTATCCCTCTTCCTGTACCGGCAATGGCTTAAGAGAATGGCACAGAAGCAGAATTTCGAGACGACAGAGGCTTAGTCCTGCATTGCTGTTAACTGGATTACATGGCCACGGGAGAGGTATGCTGTTCTGCTGCTAGGGAATATTTCGTGACGCTTAACAGTTTCAGATATTCAATATCATCAAAGGCCATACTATTTTCTGTCAGGGTCAAATGATAGCTTTATTATGGTTGAAGTCTCTGAGTGTGGTTGGGCATGGGTCACCCAGAGATTCTTCATAGACAGGGCATGGAATAAATGCAGCGATAGAAGCCGTAAGGTATTTTGGGTTAGAGAATCCGCAGAATTTCATATTGAAGAGATCAAATTCCGCAAGTGGATCCAGGTACCAGATACGAGTCAAAGGCGTCCTGCCTATGTTCTTTCGACGTAGTCAATCAACAAGTTGGATAAGCCCATTTCACGGGCCCAATTGCGTTTATACTTATCTGGCATTTCCTTTCAGACTCTTCAGTCCTTCCGGTGAATTTCCCCCGGTGACTTACGACCTTGGACGGCCTGAACCTAATTATCCTTGCGGAAAACAATTCCGGAGCGGCTTATCCATTGGAGCCGGAGCCGTACCTCCCGCCAAATTCGTCGTGGACTGTAAGCTTCGTTCTTTACTCTTCTCCAGAACCTCAAATGAAAACCTGAGATGGAAATGATTGTCGAAACAAATTGAACTAATACCATGATTCGAAGCAGCTCCGTTTGCCCGTCTAGACATGGGTACAGCCGCCGCTCGACGCATCATCTTTCGACGCTTGACGCTCCTTGAATCTCATCCCCTGCCGCCGAGCTCCCCGGAGAATGCAACAATTCCCGAGTGCTCTCATTCTCTGCAACCTCAGTCACATACAGGTCATCAAATTTAGCCAAGAACGCATCCAGCTCGATCTCATCCCTCTCAGCTCGCTTCATCGTGAGCCCATAGTTCGGATACTGGCTGTTGAAGACTTTGCGGTCTTCAGCAGACCAAAATCGGGTCTCAAAGTCGATGAAGAGGGCGTCGGTTTCAGGAGGCAGCGTTACTTCCATCTGTTTCGCCGTTACTTGGACCAATCGTAGCGTTCCCTTGCCAAGCGCCCAGAGATTGGCGTTGGATTTAGCGGCCACGCACAAGCTGACAAAGGCGTCACTGTTCTCCTTCTCGTCCAGCTCCGAGAGCAAGGTGAACATGGCGACTGTTACCCAGTGAACATTGACCGGAGGTACGTTATTCGATCCCCATAAATCGCGATTCAAATCGGCGAGTCGCCCGCTCTCTCGGGCTGCCTCCAAGCAGATCTGTTGAGCACGTTGGCGCGCTCGTGTTTTCCAGTCAGGCTCGCTTTCATCTTCAATCTCACTCTCAACCTCACTCCGGTCGTCGCTGTCTTCCTTTGCCGGGAGGTTCCGCATTAGACCGAATAATGTTTGGATGATCGTTTGATACATGAGGCTATTCAGAAGGGTCAGCTACTAATTCGGAGTTTCAGACTAGGGCCGATCACGAACTGGAAACTCAAAACATGCGGCGTAGCGCTCTCTGTCTCCAGACAACTCGGAAGCCCCTCATACCAGCCGCGTAGGCGTTTGTACGCATTCTCTATCATCCCAACCAAGTCGGTCGTCAGCGTCTGCCTCTTTCCGTCGAGTACGCTCCAGCTGAGATCATGCGTGATGAGGCTCAGATCACAAAACGCATCGAAAAGACATTGAGTGTGTGATTCCGTATTCTCCGCCTTGATGGGATAATTTGACCATTTGTCGCGGTGAGGGTCGCGTTGTGAGAGATATCGCGGCATATGTGGAACTTTGACCGGTGATCCCTTTTGAAAGGCCACAGCGGTCATCCTGCAGTTTAAACATGATTAGCATCCAGGCATGTTCACTGTCAAGGGTATCCCAAGGTTATAGATCTCACGAGGCAAGATTGAACAGCCCCCATATCATACTTTCAACGGCCCTTGCATCCCGACGGGTTTCCTCATCGGCATTTCGTCCCGGCAGTTTATGCTTTTGTGCTAGCTCGTCGACGCCATTTGCCATCTGATGAAGATAGACCCATCCATTCCTATCCTTGCCGACCATGCACGTCCTGGTATGATCTGAATAAGCTAAGAAACTGAAAACGAAGGACGGCGTACTTACACGACGTAAAGGACGCCAAGGCCTTGAAGGAAAGCCACGCTCACCTTACCCGTTGCTTCGTCTAGCAAACGTTTCGCTTCTTTATAGAAGTGTAGACCTCGAGACCAAAGATGTGATGACACTGCATACGCCTCGGGATATTCCGAGTATGCCTAATGTCCAATGTCGAATCAGTATACACTCTCGCGTCAGCCCGCTTCGACAACAGATCACTTACACAGGCGTCTGCTAAGATGGCGTTCACCAAGAACGGTGAACAAAATCGAGACTCGAGGTTCCCCGACTGCATATCACGAATGAAAAGGTCGCGGTCGAGAAAATTGCAGAATGGATGAACCCACGTGAACCACAATGAAATGAGATGGGAAACAAACCCATCGTCACTAGTGACACTTGTCCACGGAGCTGCAGGCACGTTGAACAATACTATATCCGAGAGATGCCTCGGATCGGGTCTAGCCAGCATGGTCCTTTTATGCGATTCATGCCACCGCTCAACACCACTGCAGGCATCTACCAGCTCTGGCGTTTTTTCTAATTTCGGTTGTCTCATAATGTCATCCATGAACGCTTTAATCTCGTCTAATGAGGCATGGCTGCGGATCAAATTCAGAATCTGCGCTGCGGATCTCTTGTCGGCTTCTTGAAGCACAGACACCAGTCGATCTAGCAATTTCCCTTTTTCTTGAAGAGTGTCGACTTTTCTTTTCAGGCCCTGTTTTCGACGTTGATCGCCCTCCTCATCAATGACGCAGGTGGTCCCCTTTTTAACACAATGGTTACAAGGTATCCCGCCAGAGCACTGTGAACTTGATCGCATAAGTAATAATCTGAGGTTTTTCAGGCGGGAAACCTAAGCTGACCTTCAGTTTGCGCTGCTTGCAGCCCACACATGCTACTCGAGCGTTTTTCCTTCTGTTATTGAGATCAGCTGGTGGTGTACTGGGTCCGCCTTCAATCGACGGCAATAAAGGCCTTGATGGCTGTGGATCACCCATGATATCAGCCCGTTTTCGACTGTATTCGACAGCAGAAAATTATGGCTTCATGACCGGCCAACCTGACAGGGGGCCTTCGGCTCTCAGCAACAGGGTGGTTTCGTTGCTACTGGTTGGGAAGCTAAGCCAGTATCGAACTCGAACGCACCGAGTTTTCAGCGGCCAAACTGGCGCTTCTTCCACTAATTTAACCTCTCATACACCTGGAACATGGCAAGACGAAGTGTAATTGGGAGGTAAGTCGCACTGCGGGACTAACGCGCTTTCGGATTTTAAGAGGGTCTCGGGAATGGGGCCCTTCAGAGCACTATTCCGATATTTGCGACCGGTGATTGGCTCGGATTGGAATGCCGAGCATTAGCCTCCCTTTTGCCCTTGATTCTTGACTCTAGAAGCTTTTCGTCTCTTTGACGCGGGACATGAACGGCAAGGGACCCGAGGATCAGAAGCCTCTTGGGGTCGCAAAAGTTGGCGAACTGACCTCGGCGGAGCACATCTCATACGGAAGAAGCGGCTATCGAAGCAATTTGTCCTTCTCCCCCCCGGCCTCACGATTTGATTTGACCTCTCGGATGTTTTCATCCCCTCGTCATCCAGGCTGTTTGTCTCCACTCATGATCTCAGGCACCACAAATTCCTCTGTTGCTGGGAGGTTCTATTCCGGGATTCACAGCTCGAGTCTTGGGCTCCAGAATTTCCCTTTTTGGGGTCTGGATATTGACTTGTTCCGCATATATCCCTCCTTTGCTTTTCCTTTTCCTTTTCCTTTTTTTTTGTTTTTTGTTTTTTGTTTTTTTGTTGGCTTTGGAGTATGATCACCGCCGGCCAAAGTGACAGCCACAGTCAAATCTCGATCGCTGCTTGGATCGCCACACATATTCCATTCATTCTAATAATGGAATTTTGCTGCACTGGAAATGGCGGTCATATTTGCCCAAGGGCTCAGATGAGGATAGTGCCTCGTACTGTTTGCTATTCCGCTTTGAGACGCAATGGCGGATTTCTTCCCCGAGCGAAATGAATGGCTACCGGCGTTGCGGGTATTCCACTCAATCTCCAGATCCCACCGATTGGTCCACCAGACGTTCTGTGATTGGGCAAATGTCTCAGTCACTTTCGGCTAGACTGCGGGATATCGCCCGGTAGCTTGCTTATGCCTCGAACTGCCCTGAACTGCCCTGAACACAGCGGCCACTTCCGGTCTGGACACCTCCATTGAGCGATTGGCATTTCTCAGCCATGCTGATTGATACGCCTCTTCGGTGTCTTAAAAATTGGGCTCGGACAGTGTTGTGACATATTAACTGCGTTGCTACCCAAATCGCATTGTTGCGCATTTACCCCGGGGCACTTCCCGTATTACTTACGGGGCCGGACAGTCCACTTCAAATGACTTGAACCCGTGAGAGCCTGGCAATATGAGCTTTACCATTTGATTATTAAATAATGACGACGGACTTGCGTTATGAGTTTCCCACGATATCAATTACCCTATCATTGTCCGTAGCATGTGCCACTACAGATTACCCGCCGGCGCCTTTTCAGCCGTGATCCGCTCCTGCTGCGAGGAATGCAATGATCCCGACTCTCCCTCACCCTCGAGGGTCGGCCTTTCCTCATCACGCCTCCAGAAATCCTTCTGTCCACTCGCAGCTCGCTTGACCCAAGGCGGAAAGAACCCACCAGGCACCTTCCACGACCAAGGATCCGACTCCTCCCTGTTCGGAGGAACAATTCGGCCCCCACTGATCTTCTCCAGACTCCACGCAATTCCGTTGAGCGTGATATAGCTGAGGATCCCGGCAATCAACCCGTACGCGATGCTGTACGTGAACGGCATGATGGCAATCGTCAGGAACGCGGGAATCGCGTCTCCGTAATACCGCCAGTTGATATCCGCCGCAGCCTTGGCCATGAGCGCGCCGACAATCACGAGCGTGCACCCGGTGGCCCAGGGTGGAATGGATGCGAAGATCGGGGCGAAGAATACGGATATGAAGAACGCGATGCCGGTCATGCATGAGGTCAGGCCTGTCTTGCCGCCCTCTGAGATTCCAGCACCGGACTCCACGAATGCGGTCACGGGAGGACTGCCGAAGAGTGACCCGATGGAGATGGAGAGAGCGTCCACCATCTATGTAGTCTATTAGTCCTGGCCTGGTATTTCGGCCTGGTATTTCGGGTCCCTGTGGTGGGATCTACTTACATAGGCAATCGCACTGCCCTCAAAATCTTGCGTCTTCTCGTCGATAGCACCGGCGAACCGAGCCATGGAGTACATTGTGCCGGTTGTGTCCAGGATGTCGACATACAGGAAAGTGATGAAGGCAAGGCCGAACTGGCCGCCGTGACCGGAGATGTCCCATTGCTGGGCAGTGAGCGTATGCTTGATGGGGTGGAAAGTCACGACCTTTTTGAAGAAATCGAACATGCTCGTTCCCAGCTCTGTGTATGGGAAATACGTCACAGGGGTGGTTCGGGGCCACGAGATGATAGACACCAGCAGGATCCCGATGATAACGGCGCCCTTGATACGGTACATCATCAGGAGTGCAGTCAGGACACCTCCACAGAAGATTCCGACCCACATTGTCGCACTCCGCATCTTCTCGCTGCTAAGACATTGCCCGGTCTCTGAGCTGATATACTGCGGCGCACATCCCGCAAGCTCAATAGGCGTGTCAGTTCCGCCCTGCACCAACCCGATCCCAGCACTGTATGTTAACCCGATAAGGGCGAGATACAGTCCGATGCCGACTCCAGTGGCGAGCTTGATCGAAGCGGGGAGTGCACGCGCGAGCCATTGGCGCATACCGATCAAGGTCAGGCCGAAGAAAACCCAGCCTTCGACGAATACAGCCGTTAGCGCGATAGAGTATGGGATCATGCCCGAGCCGTGCACGCCGACCACCGTATACGCAAAGTAGGCATTCAGACCCATGCCAGGCGCGAGGGCGATGGGCAAATTGGCGAACAGGCCCATGCAGAAGGTGGACAAGGCTGCGATGGCTGCAGTTGCTGTGACAAGGTCACGCTTGACTTCCTCGACACACAGCAGGTATTCGGAATTGGAAGCGCAAAAGTCTTTCATGCTCTCTTCAGGGCAGACGCAGGTTCCACCGGTCTCGGAGGTGATATTACTGTTGACGGAGATAATGTAGGCCATGGCGAAGAAGGTGGCAAGGCCCGCGCGCAACTCTGTGAAAAAGAAAGCGCCTTTCCGCTCCCGTGGCTGGTGCTCTGTTAGTGATGTGTATATAATCCTCCGGGGTAGGATGAACTTACATGGCCAGAATTCTCAAGGTGAAACCACCGTCCCACGGGGCTACGAGCAACCCGCAGGTTAGTGTCGTGGATCCAGGCGCTGAAGCCCATGGCGATGTATATCGCGGGAAGGGTCGCGGCAAGCTTGAAGGCGCTGGACCAAAGCTGCTGGGACCGCACGAGCAAGACAGATGAGAGGAAAAGGCCGGAGTCTTTTAAAGGATGGGTATCCGACCTTTCCGCCAACCAAACCCTCACGATAAGAAGTCACCAGTAAGAAAAAAAAAAATTCGCCTGAGCGTGCCCTCTCCGCCGTCTGGGTGTCCTTGGCAGGCTTGGCGGGTCTGATTGTGCTCTTGTCGGGCGGGCGATTGGCTGCTGGACTCGGCCGTCTTGCTCTTCCATGGCTCGTCCTCGGCAACCTCCGTGGGGCCAAAGTCGCGTGAGAAATTTCACACGAGATTTTATTGCTCTTACTGGTTTCATCAGGCGGTCCAGTTCCCTGCCATACGAAGATTTGGTACAGGTGGTCCGGGGTAGCCAGCCACATTTACTAGCTCCAAGGCTTTGAGGATAAGATACAGGGTCCCTTGAGGGCTTATCTACTGTTTTCACGTAACACCGTTATCACGCCCATGGAACTCATTAGCAATTCCGCTGAAAAGTAACCGTGAGTTCGAATATCTGGCGTTCCCGCCTACAAATAGTCGCGCACATCAGGTCACCGGGGGCGTTGAGTTCATAGTGCCAGTTCCTTAGAACTTGCATCATGTTGTTACTACTTGGAACTTTCCACATAGTAGCAATAGTATAAGAAACTTCAATGACGACCGGTTACTTGAGTTGGACAGGAAGTCTGGAAACCCTTTCTGAGGCATATCAGTACCGTCTTCCTTTGAATTTTACTCGAGGTCTCAGAATTTGAGATCCTGAAAAGTTTTTTGTGGTCTACTAGTAGGTCTGCGTTGCTAGTATTGGAGGTAGTTCCAATAAGATATCTCAAGGTTTATTCGCGTTTTCACTCGTTGCCCTCTGTATACCTCCAGCACCCAAGATACCTTTTGGGTTCAGCGCCCCAGTCAAATATTGGTCAGATTGGGGACCACTACGGCTGTGTTTCCTCGGTATAATATGACCTAAATATGAGTAGAGGAGCAGGGAGCCTTCTCTTGCACCATTGTTCCTCGTTGCTCGAGCAATGAATGGTCCTTGATACAAGAACCAAGAAAATCGTCCTTTTGAGGAACACAACAGTTGAGCAAATCGAAGCGGAGACGCCAGAAGTTGCTTTAGATCCAAGCCAGGAACTGAAAGGAGCCGTACTGGACAAGAGAATAAATCCTTGACCCCAACAGAGTGTTCTTATTCCTGGAGAAACTCAATTGATGCCGAGTACCAAGCCCAGAAGGAAGGTATCCTCGCAGTATATCTTTTCGGTGTTCACGATACTCTATTGTTTCTAGATGTTTCATGTCCCGTTCAGACAAGGCTGTGCTACCTTGCTAGGGTGATAGTGACCCAGAAATGCATTGTGGACCGAGCTCCTCGCTAGTGTCTTGATTCTTACCCTTCTTATTTATTGCATTCAAGATCATTATTCTAGAATTTGTTCATGCCAATGCTATAGATTATGTGGTTATTGGAACCTATTATGCCTAGGCAGGGACAGTTTTGCAGGTCAGGTAGCCTTGGTAGCCATTCCTTCGTGACCGAGATCAACTTGAATCTGCCTCTGAAGTATTGCATAATACGATGGCATACTCCCCAATACTCAATCCAAAGGTGGCTACATCAGCTCCAAGTTCCAAGTCTACTTCCAAGATTGCTGCCAGGCTTTGTCTACGCCATGGCGAGTCGCGCTCCTTTCACTAGGTAGACCCTACGTGTTATAACATCAACCCCATCGCTGCTGTGCCTACTTCAAAAGCCAACTCACTCCTTTACAGTCTGGCTCGCAGGGACATATCGATGCAATGCCGATAGCACAGTATACAGTTGCTGAGTGCTTCATCTATCCCGAGCCTCCTTGAGCCATAATGAATGGGATTGAGCAGTTAAATAGCCACCAGTAGCCCTTATGGTAGATACCACGGCTTAGCATTGTTCCATGTTCCGGCAGCAATGGGAAATCAGAAATCAGCAGGTCCGAAGTCTCCAGGCTTGTCCAGGCTCGGACGGTCAGTGCCAGTCCAAGCATGCAACCTCGCACGCTCACTGGCTCGCTTAAACATGACCCACGTTATACGCTAGTACACGCTAGCGGAAGATCCCTTCACGGGTCCTTTGCTTCAACATAAGTATACCCATAACCCCCAGTCTTTTTCCTCTTCTTTTTTTTTTTTCCTTTTCCAGCACTCTTTGCCATTTGGCTTAGATCAAGTGTAGTATCTGTTCTTTTCAGTTTAATCGCTGAAAGCGTTCTCTTGAACACACGATTATTCTTATTTTTGGAAACCGCGACTGGCCTCTGTGCTTGCGCATGCTGGTCGCACAGTGTCATTGGGCTCACACTATCCCCTCTCGACGCGAACACCTTTTTCATCAACTGTGTCGGCTTGTCCGATCGCTTGGAGAAGATTTGGTGTGTCTATAGTACCTTATGTCTAGGCAGGATGGGTGCCTTATGTTCTTGTTGTTCTTGCCCTGTACTGCTGCTGCCATCTAGTAAGAGTAAACAAAGCAGGACGTGTCGCAATGATGCAGGCCCATGCATCCCCAGCCTATTGGATTCTGCTATGTCGTGGTCTCATGTCCTTTATCATGTCCTTTACCAAAATCAAGGCTGTTCAAAACGACACTTCTGGCCCCTTCATGCAGTTTTTATTGTACCAACGATCTACTCAGATGGAATGCAGTCAGAACTTGAGTGACGCCAGTAGAGTAGCTTTACATACAACGATGGATCTCTAGGCTTAGGCAATGTTTCGGGACATCATGATATCCCTAGGAAGCACAATCAAAACTTGAAGTACCGTAGGAGAAGCCTAGCCGATATTAAGCCCATGGCACCACGAGTATCTACCCATTCTCTACATGGATGTCTGCTAATTAATATTGTCCACGACTTCGGACTTGGATAAGGGTATATCCGAGTGGCTTCTCTGATGGCAGATACAATGCCTGCTGGCTTAGTTCAAACGGTTTTGTGCTGGATGGTTTGATTATGCCCCGGCCAGAACAAATATTACTCCCAGCTTGCAATCATATCTCTCTGCGCTACTGTTGGTCAAGTGAAGGAAGCTATGGATATATGTCTGTTCATATGTGCCCAGAACCATGATAGGTCTTATATATACTTACCCCGCAGAATCCAATTAAGGTACCTCGGCAAATTCCTGCCGGAAAACGTGGTTCCGTATGATACACGTCGCTTATTTTTGGTGGATATGCATTAATCTTCCAAGGTTGGAACTACCCAGTTTATGTAAGATAACTACTGTATACTCGGGTAAAGAGGGATTCCTTGTCGTTGAGAACGATTAGACTTATATCTACATTCCTTCCATTTCCGTTCAATACGTACGGTAAACAATGTACTCCGTTCCAACAGATCCTAAGGTCATGAATACTTCAAGTGGCCAATCATACATGAAAACCCGTAGTTCTTGTCAACCAGTCTGCGCTACCATGGGTCTAAATAGACTGCGGTAGCTTGACTGAAACCTGTTAATCGTATTTCTAGGTTGCTACTTCAGGACAACCCCTCACTTGGCGTGTCTGTCCTCCGAGGTCGGATCTCCATGAACTGTGAACCCTGCACACATTCGTCCCTCGGTCATAATCTTTTGCGCCTTCCCGAGATCCTTTCTAAGCAGAGGATCCCACTCGAGAGACTCTCCTGAGCGACCGAAGAACGTCCAAGCCTACACCTACACCCATCCCAGAGCACTTATATTCCAAAGGTAGCAAGCAAGAGTTCAAAAGTCCTTCCAACATGTCTGAGGTCCACGGGTTCAGCGACCCATCTTTCGAGCCTGTTCGGGAGACCCTGCGCCAAAGGATCGCCTCAGAAAACGAACTAGGCGCATCCATCTGCGTCAACATCGCCGGCAAAACTGTCCTCGACATCTGGGGCGGCCACGCCGACCTCGCCAAAACCCGCTTATGGGAGAAAGACACCATCGGCCCCGTCTGGTCCTGCTCGAAGGTGGTCACCAACCTAGCCGCCCTCCTCCTCATCGACAGAGGCCTCCTGGACCCCGCCGCCCCCGTCGCAAAGTACTGGCCCGAATTTGCCGCCAACGGCAAAGAGACGTCCTAGTCTCTCACGTTCTCAGCCACTCGTCCGGCCTGGCCGCCTGGGAGACCCCCTTCACCAAGGAAGACCTGTTGGACCTGGAGGCGTCCACCGCGCGACTCGCAGCACAGGCCCCCTGGTGGACCCCGGGCTCCCAGAGCGGGTACCACCTCTTGACCCAGGGCCATCTGGTCGGCGAGATTATCCGGCGCGTGACAGGGAAGGGGCTGCAGCAGTTTGTTGCGGAGGAGCTGGCGGGCCCGCTGGGCGCGGACTTCCATTACGGGGTGCCCGAGGAGCTGTGGCCGCGCACAGCGGAGCTGATCAAGCCGGCGGCGCTGCAGTTGCCGATGGATGATCCGGACAGTGTTTCTGCGAAGACGCTGCGCGGGACACCGGTGGGTCTGAGCACGACAGGCCCGGGGTTCCGGGGTGCTGTGATTGGGGCGGGTAATGGGTTCTCGAATGCGCGGGCGTTGGCGCGGATCGGGTCGATTGTTTCCCTGGATGGGGTGGTGGATGGGGATAGGCCGTTCTTGACGGTTGGGGCGGTGGAGAAGCTCCAGGAGGAGCAGGTTGCAGGGCATGATCTCGTTGTATCTGCTTTTGTTCGGTTTGGGCTTGGCGTCGCGCTTTCTGATAAGAGGACGATCGAGTGGATTCCCGAGGGGAGGATTGTGTACTGGGGAGGATGGGGAGGCTCGATCTTGATTATGGATCGTGACCGGAAGATGACGATCAGTTATACTATGAACAAGATGTCGTCTGCGGGGCTCCTTGGAAATGAAAATACCGAGATCTATGTAAAGCAGATTTACGAGATCGTGGAAGCACTTGCGTGAGAGGGGAAAAGCGACCATTACGTTCAAAAACGACGATTTTCCTGAATACATACTATATACACAGTCGTCCTCAGGGGCTCAACTGGGGCGACTCAGTTCATTATACTCACAGCCAGTAGCGCCCTATACCGAGTATGACTTTGGCCCCGGACCATGGACTGATCAGAGAGGTCCCATGGAATCGTTTTCCTTCAAGAAGACTTCTTGCCCTTCGTGACCTGCTGTTTATTACCACCGGTCTCATTGAAGACCAGCTCGTCCCGCTCCCAGATCAGCTCAACAGCGGCGCCAGTAGGACCAGCGACGACCGCCAGCAAAACAATCTTGAGCAGAAGGCTCGGCCACGCCACGGTGCTCAGAATCTGCTTATGAGCAACCGTATAAAGGCTGATAGCCCAAATCAAAACACCAGCCGAACCGATCATATAGTCCCAACGCAAAAAGACATGCACACCATCAGAAACGGTGTCAATCTTCAGCCCCGACCACGGGAGCGGGACAGAAAAGACCTTGGACGGATGGAGCGCATCAACGAAGCGAGCGTCAAACAAAGCAGGCGCCACAATGGTAGTCAGAGAGACAATCCACGTCACTAGGTGAGCGAGGGCTGCATGGCCGAACGCAAACGCATACACCCACCGCAAAGCAGACTTCGCAGCCCGCTTATTGTTCGAGTAGAACGGGGACAGCAGGTAGTACGCCGCCGTCGTCAAGATCGAGACATACGCGGGCCACGGCTGCCAGAGGGCAATTGCGATCTGCTTTAGATCCACGGTGAGCACGGCCGGGGCGGGCAAGACCATGAATTGAGTGGGGACCATAAAGCCGACAACGAAGACAGCGGGCAGTGCCGCGAGAACCGCGCGGGGCACGCGAATGTTCTCAGCGTGGGGGCGAGAAGCGGTCACCGAGCAGCCCAGCTGGAGGGCACACAGCAGAGGCGTCGCGAACGCAAAGGTGAACACCTGCGCTGCGAGACCGAAGATAGCGGGGCTGTGGAGGTCCGGTTAGTTGGATCTCGTATCCGGGTTTCTATTCCAAAACGTACTAAGCGGCGACAGTGCCCGAATTGCCCTTGCGCCAGGACTCGAGCACAATCAGCATCCATGCTGCGCCGAAGGTGCCCGAGAAGCCAATGCTGTGCAGAAGCAGCGTGGCGTTCTGGCCGTCCAGTGCCGGGTAGAAGAACGTCGTCAGTAACGCAAGGAGGCGATCGACGGGCTCAAACCCGGTATAGACGGTACGGAGAGGTGCATTGACTCCAGGCAGCTTCCCGGAAGCCACGGCTTTGTGCCCTAGCTCATGCAGGCCATTGGCGTAGGAGAAATAGAAAATCGCGTAGAGCGCGGAGGCGCTCAGCGAGAATAGAACGGCTCTCATGCTTGCAAATGGGTCATCAGTCTAATCGTCGGGAGCATATCGACGGGAGATAGGGGACAGTAGTTATATTCCGTGGTAGAGTACCTCCTACCGAGGTTTCATGATTCGCGATATGGAACTTCGGCTGCCGATCGCAAGTCGTCGATTTCACATGGATTCCCCCACACTCGAGCATCGTGCATGCCTAGACGGGGTTAGTGGGTCTCCGTTTATATGAAGGCCGCGGCTAGTGGGGGGCCGCTTGAAGCAACTTTGAATTCACGAGGTTTTCTATGGTTTATAGATGTTCGTTTATGCCCTCGATTGGGCTTGACGAATTGTGATAGGTGACGGAAAGGTACACATGCAATATGCAAAGGCGGCTGTGCATGAAATCGGACGTATCAAACAGGATGGGAGTTTAGGCGTAAGAGCCCATTTACTCCCGTCCACGGGTTAGGATCCGGAATGCACACCGATGTTGAAAGGAATCGAATAATGACTACAAACTTGACCCCCGCGAAAGCAACGCTTTGTAACCCGTCAAGACTAAGAGCAACAAAGAATCGGCCCGACGGAAAATGTATTCCAAGCAGTTCAACGGTGGGGCGCCAATCGCGACCGCGACCCTTCTCCACCTCTTAAGCGTAGCAGACCTGACGTAACGAATGTCGCCGATAATGAGAAATCGGTTGCGGAATTCCAATGGGAAGACAAAGCTTTTAAATTGTTCTGCGAGCTTTATCTCAACTGGTACAACTATCCGAGTGCTGAGTTGAATATGACGCAACTCATCCAATCCAAGTTCATATTCCATGGGCTGCCAGTTCTTGCAGACGAGGGACGGACAGCCATTGTGGTCGGAAGCAATGGGATATCCGGCAGTTATCAATTGAAAGTCCTGGCCGAGTCTCCTCGCCGATGGAAAAAGATCTACGCTGTGTCTCGTCGGCCTCCTCATGGACAATGGCCAGACCATGTGGAGCATGTGTCAATTGACCTTTTGCAGGACCCTGAAGATATTGCGGCGCAATTCGCGAAACGGGGCATCAAGCCCGACTATGCCTTTTTCTTTGCTTATATTCAGCCGAAACCCAGGGATGGTGAGGGCATCTGGAGTGCAGCGGAAGAGATGGTGGCTGTCAACAGTGAGTACCCTGGGAAGCAAATGTGTTAGTGGTCTACAGGGCTTGCAAGCTAAAACAACTACTTCAGCTAAGCTCCTGGGGAACTTCCTTGGTGCCCTGGAGGTGAACAAAACTATCCCTCGGCGAATCCTGCTGCAACTAGGAGCGAAGTATTATGGGCTGCACGAGGGACCGGCGATCGCGCCTCAAGAAGAATCCGATCCCCGGCTACTTGGGGGCCCACCCAACTTCTATTACCACCAAGAGGACATGCTGAAGGAATTTGCAGCGAAGCATAAGGTTGGCTGGAATACTACCCGCCCGTCTCATATTATTGGGGCTGTGCCAGATGCTGCCATGAACTTGTGTTATCCCCTAGCTGTCTATGCCACAGTGCAAAAGCATCTGGGAGAACCACTGCAATTCCCAGGCGACCCGACCGCATGGGATCAGACTGTGACACTTTCAACTGCGAAGGCCTCGGGATACCTTGGGGAGTGGATGGTCTTGACAGACCAGACGAAGAATGAGAGCTTCAACGCAGTCGACGACTGCCCTTTCACTTGGAGCAAATTCTGGCCCAAGCTGGCAGAGAAATTTGGGATCCCCTGGCGAGGCCCTGATCTCAGCGACAAAGCAGTCTATGAGACCATGACGCTCCCTACTTCCCCGCCGCGAGGTTATGGGCCCCCCGGTGTGCTTCGGTATAGCTTCCAGCTTGTGGAATGGGCAAAGCGGACAGAAGTCCAAGAAGCGTGGAAGAAGATTGCTGAGACCTATAGTCTATGCGAGAAGGAATTAAGAGATGTAGACGAGGTGTTTGGCTTCACAGATATCGCTGTGGCCATGACGTATCCTATTCGCTTGAGGTAAGACATCTTAGCAGCCCTGGCCCAGCCGTCTTAGGAAGAGTTTCTCGAGACCCATGAAGCTGACTGTTCCCAAAATTAGCATGGCAAAGGCCAGAAAATTGGGATACTTTGGGTTTGTTGACTCCAATGAATCCATCTTATGCACCATGCAGGAGTTTGTGGATCTGCGGATGATCCCCGAGCTTCATCGGAAAGCCATCTGAATTGAACTTTGGGCGGTGCGAGATCACATCCAGGGGTAAGACCATGAGACGTGAGGGGAGCAGCCACGGGCCTTTTTCAAAGCGACAGGGGGTAGGGGGAAGCGTAAGGCTGTAGCTAGACGCAAGCGAGACGTGCAGAATATGCAACATACGACAGTCACCTGATGTTGTTGGGTTTCCCCACTGTTGACCGCCCGTGCCAACGCAATGCCAAATTTATCACTTCATCTTCAACCCCCTCTCACCACTTGTCATCCTTTAACAGTCAATCTTTTGCTTTTTGTTTTCCTGGCTATCCAATCAAAATCTTTGATCCGTGCCCGGATCGCATGTCCCAAGCTTTCGCTGTTCTCATCCACTGCTCGGGGCCAGCGAAAGCTTCCCCCGTAAAATTTGTCAACATGCTACGGGATTCGGATATAGATTCCATGAACACTGATCTCTCTAAATTGTCCCGAGCAAATGAAGAGCACCACGACAATGTGCAAACTTTGCTGAAGAAGTTCAAAGACCTTTTGGATGACTACAGCTCTCTGAAAAGTGACTACGAAGAAGTCAAGGAGGGTCGGGAAAAGTACAAAAAGCAAGCTCGGGGCCAGGCATGTGATCGCTGGATGCCTATTTTCATTGGGAACCACCGCTGACTTTTTCAAACCCCAGGACCGCAATCCTTTTGTTCTGGTCCTTGTCGATGGCGATGGATACCAGGTACAATTAGTCATTTTTCCATTTGATGCTTTTCGACTAACTTCTGCCACCTAGTTTCATGAGAGGTATATCAAGGCTGGGAGTGAGGGCGGAATCAATGCAGCCCGCGAGCTGAATGACTCTGTTAGAGAGCTAATGCATGCCACCATGGGGATGCAAGCTGACCAATGCCGTATCATGGTGCGCGTCTACGCTAATATTTTGGGATTGTCCAAACTCCTCGCTCGCGCTGGCTTGGTGGGACACGAAGCACGCGCCTTGGCACCTTTCACGTCTGCGTTCAACCGTGCCCAGGATTTGTTTGATTTTGTAGATGCTGCGGAAAAGAAGGAAGGTAGCGATTTCAAGATCAGAGGTACCTAGCCCTTTCCCGTCTACCCGACCCTCTTGTTGGAGGCTTGAGCTTATATCGTGACAGAAATGTTCCGACTTTTCGTTGATCTAAATCAATGTCGCCATATCTATTTTGCGGGCTGCCATGACACCGGGTTCGTCTCTATGCTGGCGCCCTACCGGGGACGGAGTGATCGCATTACTCTCATCAAAGCCGCTTCCTTCCACCGTGACTTCGAGGACCTGGGCCTACCAATCAAGGAGCTACCTGCCGTATTCATGTCAGGGCCTCTAGTTGGCACAAAGTCATCCCCTGTACACTCCATCAATACCAAGATGGCTCCTGCTCCCCCCCCAATGGCACTAAGGCAATTTGCAAACACTTCCAAAAGGTGATTCTTTCTTTTCCCCTGACCAGATCAGGTCATACGGTTGCTAATGTATTTTTTTACTTCTTTGACAGGGGATTTGCAAGTTTGGAAACAGCTGTAATAAGCAGCATATCATGCCAAACCAACAACTAGCCAAGTCTACAGGGGAGGAGTCACCCAAACCTTTCTGGTCTACTACCCCTGTTGTGGGTCGGTCCCGAAGACTTCCTCTTCGCTACGTTACCACCCCCTAGTCTCAAATCCGAAGAATTTATCCCGATCAATAAGGATGGTGAACGTCTCGACACTTATTGTGCCCACCCATCCCCGGATGCCTTCGATGCATACCACCGTCGTGCCAAAGAAGCCAAAGTCTGCAATAGCTATCACTTATCCGGCGAATGTGGCGACATGAACTGCCATTATGATCACAGCGATGTCTCCAACACTATCATCGATGTCCTCCGGTACATTTGTCTGCAGCATCCATGCCCCCGAGGCGGATCGTGTCGATCCATTAAATGCTACATGGGCCATATTTGCCAGAAGCCCAACTGTAAGGCTGTCAAAAGTTGGCAATGCCGGTTCAACCTCCGCGCGCATTCTGTTGACCTCCAGGTCGCGCAGTGGGTTGCGCCAATCGACCAACCTGAAGAAGACCACCGATCTTCGATCAGCGCCGAATCGTTTGAAAGCAATTCTCCCAGCACGGTCTTCTTCAGCTAAATGTTGGCAAGCGCTCGTAATCATGGGACGCAACTCACAAAAACTAGAATTGATCTTTTCCCGCTTACCGATTGGCATGTGTCAACCGTCATCTGTATGTGCGGAATTATTGCGAGGCGACACGCCATGGTTATCGCATAAAGGAGTGTAGGTTGTTGGGTTTAAAAAGTGAGTCTTTTGCATAGCCGTGCCATGGGGATAGAAATGTTCCGGATCGCAGCGCTTCTCAGACCTCGGGAAGAAATAAGGTGATTACATCCGGCTAGTCTAGCAGTCCGTTGCTCTGAATGCCCTATTTTACCTATACACCTAATGTGTTACGGTAAATTATAATGGCAAAGATCTCTATTACTGCTGCAATTTCGTTGATTCGGTCTTTATTGCTTTTCACTTGCATTTATCTGTGAATGTACATACGGACGAACTCGTTCCGGAACTTGAATCTACTACCAGAATGTGACTTCTCTTATCCCGAGTGGTTCAGCCTATCTTTATCCGAGAGAGAGAACCTGAGTTTCACGTCACCTAACCGTTCGAAGAAAAAGGATGACGGTAAATGCAGAGCGCGGAGAGCCCATAGAATTCCCGGTCGTGATGCACCAGGCGCTGCTGGTTTAGAGTGTACGGTGGGCAAATGCCGGGAAAGCATGATGGACGAGCTTACAAGCGAGTGACTGGAGGGTACGCGTAACGATATACTCGTGGCATAGATGCTTGTTTACTGGCAATTGGCGATTGACTACCTATGTGGGCAGCTACCATGTCCTTATTTCCCAGCGCCACGCTTGACCTTTGCGTACGCTTCCTGGACTTCCTCGCGCGCTCCCATCAAGGCCAGCCACTTTCGAATCAAAGGATGATTATCCAACGAGACCCCAGCGAAGGAGTGTTGCCTCACCCACGGCTCAAAATGGTAGTCGACAGCAGTAACCCCATTCGGCAGGACACTGGCCCCCCCCGACTTCTGCAACTGTCCTTCCAGGACATCATAGCAGCGAAGTGTCTGCGCCGTGTATCGCTGCAAGGCATCTTCATTCGGAGATGGATGGTAATGTCTACGACAGGCTTCAGCTCGAAATTACGACTGCCGGTTCTACCGGAATACTCACCTAAACCAGTTCGTCTGCCCTGTCATCGGCCCCAGGGTCGTCAACAGGAAATACTCCCACTTCTCAAAGTCCACCAAGTCTTGGGCTGAGCTCCCGGGGGGGTCCAATGGTGTTCCCCTTGTCATAGACTCTGCGCACGTAGTTCATACATGCGCCTGATTCCCAGGACACAACGCCCGTGTTGGGATCCTCGAGGGCGGGGACCCGGCCGTTCTCGTTGATTTTCAAGAACGCAGACCCCTTGACGCCTGTTTCGGGGTTGTCGCTGAAATCCCACTGCTTGACGATGTATGGGACTTTAAGTGATTCGAGGGCAATGGCCACTTTGATTGGATTCGGGCCTGTGGCATGAGCGTGTAAGATGAGGGGTTTGACGTGGCCGGACATGATCACAGAACCGATCTTTTGTACGATTGTGCGTGCAGGATGGAGATGGTGAAAGACGGAGAGGCTGAAATGCGGAGAAGAGGCAAGTGAATCGGGAGTGTGATGTCAGTGGTTACTCATGGCGGGAATCTGTGGCCACTCAGTCTCCTCGGCCGAGTCAGGAAATTTGTAGTTGTCAATTGGGTGATTTAGTCAGGGACTGGCGGCTTGGAGTTGTTCAAGTCGACTGCCCATTTGAGCGCATCCCCTGGGATACAACAAATGAGGGCTTTCAAGTCCGGGAAGCGCCCAGCTTCAACTGATCAAGTGGGCACTTCCATGGAAGTGGCATTGCAGGGGGATACGGCAGCAATGGGAATGGGATTCTTGCTTCCGTAAATAACCTACTACGTGTGTGCTTTTCATTGCGGAACAGACCTTTGCTGAACTCATTTCTGCAGGCTGCTTTTGCGGGGAAATGCCCTCTAGCCGGGCCAAGCGTGGAGCGCGGGGAAGTGGGGAGGCCCTCACTCGCACGGCCTGGCCTTTTACATCCTAAGATTACTGGCGATTTCCCCGATGGGCTCTGCGGACTGGGATAATCTGCACTGATGGCTCTTGAATGCATAGGCGGAGCCAATGGGGTGTATGGCGCGTGTGAGCGAAGCCACGGCGAAAGCCCAGATTGCGGACCTGTCATTATGATTCCACCTGAGAATGAGTTACTACATGGCGCGGAGGCCTTCTAGAACATACCCCTAATTTCAATAGCGCTGACTCATATGATCGCATCTAGATATGAATATGCGTTGTAGATGAGATAGATCAAAATTGCGAATTGACCCCTAAGACCTTCTAGCACCTCTTCCTGGTCCCAATCAAGTTAAGCACTGGATCCTTCAATTGTCTGTCTGAGGTCAAGGCCTGTTGCTTACGAAATCCAGCTATGTATTCTATTACAGTTCATTAGAGTAAATAAACATCCTATAGATGAAGAGCTTCGTATAACCTCCACCTTCATGTGACAAAGACCCTCTCAGAGCCTCCGGTCTCTCGGGCTGCTCGGATGCGATGCATCTTGAGGGTTATACCGTCCCAATGCACATGTGAAGAACTTATACCCCCGTCTTGAGTCACATTTTCAAGGACACCAAGAAACCCCATGCCTTCCAATGGCTATAAAGTCACCACTCCATTCACCACTCTGTGCCCTGGACAATCGGACTTCCACAGTCTCAGACCTCGAGTCCAATCCAATAGAGACCCTTCTTCCTCAGTCTTATGATGTCGTGTACCATGTCCAATCAAGATACGCATCAGATCGCGATGAGTACATCCCCATCGCCGCATGCTCGATGGGAATGGGCCATGTAGGTCGAACAAAACCTACTTAGATCGACGACAAGTGGACTAATCGAGAGCCCGAGATTAGCGTCCAGGCTCTCTCGAGCGAGAATAGGATTATGGGGATAACCTACGAGGACTCTAAACCGTGGCGCGAGAGGAATATGAGAGGGTGTGACTGGGAGGCGGCGCCCTACTTCCGACTGACAGCCTGCTGTGTCGAGGAGTCGGATATGCTAATACAGGATGCCGGACCACGTGCTGCAGGAGGTTGGAGCAAGCGTAAGTTTTGCCGCGCGTTAGCTTGTTGCTAGTGCCAGATTAGGGCTGACGTCGGCGAGTAGGAGATGGCTCTGGGGGGGGGGGGCGAAGATGGAGAATCTGGGCTTGATCTTGCCCGGCTAGGCTATTACTTGTACTGCATGCAAAATGCCCAAGGGTTCATGTATCCGGTGAGGCGCGGCGTAGTTCTATCCTCGGTCCTTTCTTCCTGGGTGCGAGAAGCAGGATCTACTATCAAGATGATCTCACGATGTGTGGCGAGAAGTGCTTTGACGAGAACAAGGGCTGGTACACTGGCAGTATGAGGTCCTCGGAGATAATGGTGCCCCGCGCGGCGCTGGCATGCACCAGCTACGTACTGGATGGCGAGAGGATGGGACTCCGAGTCTTCATGGCCCACATGCAACATCTCATGGAGATGGTCTGGGATGGCAAGGAGTAGCGCCAGGGAGATGGAAGAATCCAGTCTGCCCGGCACAGAGTTGGCGGCCCTCTGCTGAGGCCGGGGCAGGAGGGTGGAAATAAGAGTCTATCTGCAATGAGGAGAGATGATCACTGGCGTCTCCGAGCTGCACGGCTCCATCCATGGCGGATGGAAGGTTGGAAGGCCTGTATTGCCTCCAACATGATTGACTGGATCTGGACCTGGTAAGCAGGGGGTGACTCATACGTAGTATAGTTTTCTTTTCTCAGTGGAGGCTGATACTCGATGGGATAATTGCTTCCTTGCCAAGGCCTCATTGCTCTCCAGAACTAGGAATCCATGAGAACTCCAATCGGCGAGCACCCTCTTGCATCTCTCGTTGCTCCAAAATGCCTGAACCCCACGTTTCCCGCTCGGATCTTTCGATCTCAAAAGCGACCCCTCTAGACGTCCCCGCAATTAGATCGATGGTAGATGCAGCCTACTCCAAGTATATCGAACGCATTGGAAAGCTCCCCGCCCCGATGGCGGCTGACTACCACCAAGTCATTCGAGAAAAAGACGTCTTTGTGTTACAAGACCAGCACCAGATGGTCGGATCCATCGTGCTCCACGACGATCCCGCTTCGTCCTCAATCATCATCGACAACGTGGTAGTTGATCCCACGTCGCAAGGCAAAGGCTACGGGCGTGTTTTGATGGACTATGCGACGGATGTTGCGCGGTCGCAAGGCCGGTCGGCGCTGACCCTGTACACGAACGTGAAGATGTATGAGAATCTTGCGTTGTATGCGAAGATAGGGTTCATGGAGACGGGTCGACGGACAGAAGAGGGGTTCGAGAGGGTTTATTTTCGCAAGGATATATAAAGGATGCTCTTATATTCCCCTAGGCCAATGCCAGTTCAACTTGCTTCCAGCTTCAGGTCCGAGTCGATATGTCTTCCCGCCTCAGAGGTATACACGGTTCAGTATGCACTCTGGCTCTACTCACATGCTGTCTGACCGAAGATGCGGTCTAGGAAAGTAATTTGTCGTGAATCGTCTATGCATGCATGTGTGGCATTATCCACCTTAGTAAACTGCTGTTGTTGGCTATAGTGATCTCCAGTCTCAAACTTGAAAAGAGACGTGGAGGAATCCTTCTGGGATTACTAGCGGTCCGTAATCCAGCTGAAGCTAATGATGCGACTTATTATATCATCGTGAGGATGGACCTAGTACTGCATTTCGTGATCCTGACCGTCAAGACTTATCATAATCTGATCTCATCCAATTATAATAGGAAATCTGGAGGCTTCTACCTCAAATGTACATGGGAATCTTCAAGAACATGCTCCAAGCCAAACCAGTCCTCCGAACTGAAAAGGGAAAACTTTTCATGAGATGAATATATACGTTGCACGTCCCGAAAACGAGACAAGAGAATAGGGAAGAGGTCATCGAATAGGGAACGACGTCCAGTGAAGGAGAGGGAAAGTGGGAGGGGAAAAGAAAGAAAGAAAGAAACACAAAAGAAGTCACCCGTAGGTCATCAAGAAGGTCATCAGAAGAATGGGAAGAATGCGACCGGGCTATTAATATGCATCTGTAGAAAGAAAGGCCGTCGAATATAGAAGGTGCTCGAGTCATTTCGAGTCACTAGGGGTATCAAGAGTCGTATCATCGCCGCCACAGAGTCCGTGAAGGGGGGTGAGTGAACTCGTTCTTCGGGGAGGAGGACGAGCTGCCACCATCGAGAGACGCAGGCTCGTGGGTGATTTCGATGGTGGTCTCCTGGTACACTTTGCCGTCCATGGGGCCCAGTTCGACACCGGGCTGGACGATATATTCGGTGGACCCATCGCGGGTTTCTTGGGCTCCGCCCACCTTCGATGGAGAACGCATGTCGGCGGTGATTGTGGTCAAGTGGGTGTCGCCGCGACGGCCCTTGCTGCTCGGGAATCTGTTGTATGAGCGGTCGTGGCTGTCTTCGGTGTCGATGAGGAGACTGCGGCGGGTGAGAGTGTAGAGCACGACATCGACAAGTCCGGAGGTCGTCATAATGGCACCTTGCAAATCAGTTAGTTTTGGAACCACCATGCCCATAGAGGAGGGGGGAAGATCGCGTACCAGCGCAGCAGAAAAAGGTAAGGGATGGGTTGTCTCCGTGAGCAGATGCCATTCGTCCCGCGGCAAGAGGAAGCGAGAGCACGATATACACAATGGGGTAGATTGTCATGTATCCGACGACACGACGCAGCCGCTTCAGACTTTCCAGTTGACTGTTGCCCAGAATGGCGGAAGCTTTGATTTGTTTCCGGAGCTGGAAGTACATGATGGCGTAGAGACAGACGGTGCCGAACTCCGCGAGGAAAATCCAGATATAGTGAGTCCAAAGACGGGCCGCCTCGTGCTTTTCGTTAATCCAGCACCAAGCGCCCGAGGGAACATAGACGTCCGCGCCATAGAGACAGAGGGGAATGATCACGATGAGGCAGACCAGACCCCAGACGGCGCAGACGAACCCTACAAAGACTTTGTAGCTCATCTTGTAGCCCCAGACAACGAGCAGGAAAGTATGGAAGGCAATGGCCAGCACGAACAGTCCACTGCCGGGGTCGCCCACCTGAAGCCATAGACCCTGCAGGAAGCACCCGGCGGTGCCGGACTTGATCTTGTTGGTGATGATCCAGTTCAAACAAATCAAAAAAGCGAGGGATTGCTGGAAATCGGCCAAGACAAGGTTATAAATGAGGATGATGTATTGGTTGTAACCAATGTATCTGGCGTAGCTTTTTCGCCAGAAGATCAGGCGATATGTGATGAAACAAAGTAAACCGCCTGTTGCAAGGAACGAAAGGAAGGCCAAGACCGAGATCGCAATCAGGCCTCGCCGTTGAATAACGGGCAGCGGGTCGATATCCAGCGTCGCCTCGCTCGTCAAGCGGCGGTCCAGGGAATGGCCTGTTGGACCTTCTGTTGACATCATGGAGGCGAGCAATGAAGCAGCCATCGTGGCGGCGCTGCGGGCTGCAATCACCAGCTCCTAGAGAAGTCGGGCTAGATGTTGGAAGACACAAGAGTCCCCCCCCTCCACTGACGGTTCTCTTAGAGATTCGCCGTTCGCTTTGACGGCCCAACCGACAGGGGATCGAAAGACGGGACAAATCGAAATCCGATGTTCGAAACAAACCCCAGTGTGCACGATGGGTCTGACCGTCTCCGGCTCAGGTATCAACCGGGACAAAAGTACAGCGGTTGCTGTCCCTGGCAGAGAAGAAAGACAGAAAGGGTTCGAATGCTTCAAGCCACCGAGAGGCCAGAGTGCGGACGACCATCAACATTTTAGTAGCCCTTCCACCCCTGTTGCATGGACTGGGAAAGGAGACAGGAGATCCACATGCGGTGGCCATTCTTAGGCCCTGCAAACTTTAAAGTTCAATAGGGAAAAAGACTACGAGAGACCACGGCCAAGCTCTTCACAAGCCATTTGCACAGGTACTCCGCTTCTTCGTCGCGTCTAATCATTAGGTCCTATCAGGGTCATCTCCGCCGGAGTGGGGGGAGGGCAACTGGAGCAGGGATCTAGTTCCGCTGGTGACAACCGGGTTGTATGGGTCTATGAGATTATCCGTGCAAGACATTTCGGTCCACTAGCGATGATTACCAGAAGGCTGAACCGTGCCGCAAGGTCCAGGCGGGGAGGATAGCCTCTTTTTATTTTTATTTTTATTTTTATTTTTTTTTCCCTTTTCCCCCCTTAGTGAATGCAGGGCCAACGTTTTAGTCCCAGGTGGCTGTGATCCACCTCACGATTCCCATCATGTCCTCCATGGAACGTGCCGAATGATCGAGAAGAATAGCGCCAAGAGCGGTCCAAGAAACCCTCGTCCGCCCTATTATTTGAGATAGTGAGATGTATAGGCTCTGAGGATCATATGCCCTAAATATTAGTCCCTGAATGGAGACCCCATACTCCCATACACCACCTGGTCAGGCCCTGGGCATGGCGGCAACATTCTTCCGAGGTTTTGCCACAGAGCTTCTGGAACGTTTAGCGCAGGGTCCTCCAGTCGGAAATATGAGTCCTAAATGATCCTTGCCAGTACCGGAAAGCGTTAAGGTGTTACTAGCCCCGGGCACCTTTGGCGTAGGCCCCTGCCAGCAGCAACGAGACCATCGGGCGTACAGTACAGCGTCCTGCGTGGACACACGGGATAGTTTGACTCTCAGTTCAGAGCTGCCAGCCAATAGTGGACACCTATAACGAATAAGGTTTCTCGGTTAAGACCACTTGATCCCCGCAGCGGCTGTAACCCTTCTATTTGCTTTGACCGGCGGTGGAGACTAGGGCTTCTCGAAAGTACGGCAGCGTCCACGAGCGCCCCACCAGGTGAAGAGTGCAAAGAAGAGTCCGTCTTCTCCGTACTGATCGCCCTAGGCAGGAGTATTTAGCAGCAGGCCTATCCATGGGCTGGAGCCGGGCTTGGGCCCCGGAGCATAAGCTTTCGTCTCCAGTTGAGGCACCTGTCATTGGTGTAGGAGCTTCCAAATTCTTCCCGTTGACAAAAGTCTCCCCCCCCAGCAGGGTTTTCCTTGTTCCAGGCTGGGCTTGGCTTGTATCAAGATACAGCCACCTTCCCCCTCTCCACTCCCGCCTTTTCCCCCTCAGGCCCCGCGTGCGGGACTATGTCCGTAGAAAAGAAAATAGTGAAACAATGGCAATGGGGAGGGCGACCTCTTTAGGTGCCGGAACATAAGATGAAATCCGCGTAAGGTAGGGGGGGGGGAGTCCAGCAGGCCAGAAGTTGCCATCGCTTAAAATTTAGCTGATTAGTCGATCGACATGTCCCTTGGGTCATGGAAGCCCCACATCGTTTGGGGTAGAAATTATACGAAGCTATATTCAGCTATTATGGGGGCGCGTGCTCCTTTTGACGGCAGGCGATCCGCTCGAACCGGAAACTTGGAGGGGAGCCGCTAGTATTTTAGTTGACTAGCAGTAGATCCTCGAAAATTACCTAATTCTTACACCGGCAGGACATCCATTGGAGTCCCAGGGGCATCTGGTAATTAGCCGAGTAGCACAAGTACGCAAGCGTGGTGGAAGGTCTCCGCGGACAGAGAAGGGGAGTTGGACTTCGGTGTGTACGGATTTTTCCTAGTACCGCGCAGAACCAGACAGCATTCTGACAGCCACATGGCGGTCCCTTCAGACGACTTGCATGGCATGAACCTCCCAGATCGAAGAACTGGATCAGATTGTACATCGACGGTACTTTTACTCCAGATTTGTTCAGCGTGAGCGCCATTGATCCCCTTTCTGTCCTTCCCCATCGGGTTAGCCATCCCCAGCCGGACTGTCGATCTGAATTTTATGTGTGGGGACTCGTCGGCTTTTGCCCTGAATGCTGCTTTGGCAGGAAGGCCCGCTGTCAGGTTGAGACTAGAGCCAAACTTTATACTCCAATTATTCTGAGCCTTGACGTATGGCAGTCGGTAGGTTTTGCCTCTAGGGTCCTGCCAAGGGCCCAGGGTTCTTTCTTCGAACTATTTGTGCTAGAGAACCCTAGAAGAGTAATAGAAGAGAACGCTATCCCTACACTTCGAGATGTCTGATTCTCTGGTGTGGCTTTTACCAATCGGGTGCTTTCCCCTGTAAGGTAGCCTTGTGAGTTCGGTTTCTACCTTTGGTCTAGAAGGGTCATGTGCGCCACAGCAGCTGTGCTTGCTGAATGATTTCACACTAGTCGCAAGCGTGAAGACTTGGCTTCATTTGCTCGCCCTCGGCTTCATATGAATTGAAGTGCCGACGAGCCGGGTTCCACAGACTTGAAGGATCAAGCGCGCATGAGTCTAGGGACCCTAACGCAGATGCGCATCTCCAAAATCAGACAGAGCAGCACAGACAGCAACACGGCCCGGAAGCCTGACATGAATCCCCAGTTCGACTATATCGTGGAGCCTTGGAACCGATTCTGGAAACATGATGGTGCCTGCCAACATATAACTTTCATTATCACTCCATATGCACGAGGCAGATCTGTGTCTCCACGTTGAAAAAGCATCGATGAGAAGTTTGTGTAATCTCGATCTTCTCAAGTGTGCTTCCAACACGGGCAACCTTATATTCGATAGCTAATAGGATTGTTCTTGAATCCAACGAAGAAGCTACGGCGGAAAATCAACTAAATCGTATCTTCTCTCTATTTCCCTTTTATTTTATTTTTTTTTTTTGCCTCTCCCATCCCCTGAAAGACGCCAAAATGCCAAAAAGCCTCTCCACACATCGTTTACCCATCGTTCACTAATCAAACCCCTCCGCTTGAAGTGGAGAGCGCGGGGTGATCCCTTCAGCAGGACCAATTTTCAGATCCACGGCCGCCTTTGGCCCTCCGCGCATGTACGATCATCTAGACCGAAGTTTACCCCGGGGATGAGAGACGTTCCTCGTCCTGTGGCTCAAAAATGGCAAAAACCATCTTCGAGAACCGGGAAACCCCCCAATTCACGGACCCTGAGTTCGGCGGTCCTGGTGCGGAGTACCTCTATCATGTCTGACGAGTCTTGGTGAGGAGCCTAAATGACGGGACAGGGGATGCCCTTGCCCACGGAAGCCCATCACCCGCAGTCAAGCGTCGGAAGATGGAATCCGGTGAATCAAATTAGGTTATCGAGGTTTGCGCTAGCGCGGATCGTGAGAGCGGCTCTTTCCAGATAGGGGAACTCCTACACCACAGCGGAGAGTAGCCGGCCCAGGTGATCCTCTGTACACATGAACTCCCTGGGTAATGGACAGCGAAGGGGGCCAAGATTGAGCCCCCTACAACTCTTGCCACAAGTCCAAATTTGGGATTCCTGGCGTATCGACAACGCGGAATCCTTCTGGATCCGTCGTAAGATCTCGTTGGATAAGGAGTCAGTTTCGCCCCAATCTCCGTGCTCGTCTATTGCCGTGTTATTGGAATAGTAATCAGTTTCCTTGTTTCCCCGTCTTGTGGTGACGGGTGATAGGAGGCACTAGAAGTAAGTGTACGAGAGTGGATGCTGGACAGAGGATGATTCATGATTACGGAGGTCAATATCGGTGTGGCGGTCGGCGTCTATCATCTGGTGAGCAACCTGGATCTCTCTGCATAGTTGTCTGAGCTTCAAGGATGCATGTGTGGCAACAGAAGGAGACTTGGGATACATTAATCTTTACGTCCAAACTATGCTCAGAGTCACGGGCTTGAATCTTGGGATCGGGTGGTAGGTCGCCTACGGTCACCCATCCTGACGGTCCAATGGAGATTTGATGTGGCGAGACGTCGCCTGAGTTCTGTATGACCCCTATATTGTCCGGTCTCGCAGCATGGGAGAACTCATAGCTAAAGTATGCATTTGGCATTCATCAATCATACCAGATACAAGCCAACCGACGCGCAAATACAGATATGACATGCAAGAAAAGAAAAAATTTGGCAAACGGGGCATCCGGGTTCAGGGGAGAGTTGGGTATCGTCGGTTCATCAATCCATACGCTCGATGCAATAAATAGCCGCCTCGCATGTCCGTGAAATCCTCTGTAAGAAACATCAAAAGTTTTGTCACCCTGCGCAAAATAATAGATACTAAAAGATAGAATGAGGAATGACTCGCGCACGGGCGTGCTACCTCCGTCGAGGATTCCGCGAGTCGCGGCGCGGGTCGTGAACTTCCTCGCCCTCATCCTCCTCTTCGACAGGCGCTGGCGTTCGTCGCTCGGTACGCCGCTTCGGGCGTCGGCGGCGGTTCGAGCTGATGTTACTGGCCGAGTCGTCGGGGGCCAGGGAGCGGTCGTCGTCGAGGAAGTCGTCTTCGGTTCCGCTTTCCCAGACACCGACGCCGGAGAAAGGAGTGCCCATGCGGGCTTCAACGTAGGATCCCCGGCGGCTTTGGTTGGCGACGGAGAGGCCGGCACCACGTTCGCGAAGGGCTCGGCGCACCATCTCAGCTTTGAGATGAAGGGCTTCGAAGGCATCCTCCAAGGCCTCCATACCCTGGAAGACGTCGCGCTCGATCTCGGCCAGGACTTGAATCTCGGTTTCCTCGTCCAACGAGATCGGTCCGCCATGGGCCGGGGATGAGGGTCCACCGCTGGGTTGGCTGGAAGGGCGGAAGCTGCTGTCCATGTAGTTCGGGGTAGCACCGCGCGATATTCCGCCGGGGCTGTAAGGAGTGGTGGACCGACTGCCAGGCCAACGACTGGGAGGAGCTGCGTCTTCGGCACCGCTGCGAAGGAAACCATCGAATCGACCGGAGATCAAGATTTCCCACTCATCGTCACTGATTGCGGCCAGGGTGGCGAGGACATGGTGGAGCTCGTGGTGATTGAGCATGAACATGGCAGTCTCGGGGTCTCGAGGGAGAGTTGGAAGTCGGTAGAGGCGTTGAATGGCGTGAGCTGATGAGACGAGCGCCGGGGGTTTTTCGGGCATCACACCGTCCACGGCAGAACGCGCTCGTGGAACAGGAGTGGAAGAGTTGATTCCAAGCAAGGCACAAAAGAGAGATCGTTGCCATGATTCGAGGTGAGTCAACATCGCAAACGTCAGCGTCTCATCGTCTACCTCCTCGGGCGCGGCGCTACTCGCTTGGTCAGGTTGTTCGGAGAGCCACTTGTCGACCGCCACTTTGGTTTTTCGAGACTGACGGATGAAATGTTCGCGATATTCTTCGGGAACATCAACATCAAGCTTCTGCATAGGAACATGTTCTTCACCGAGACCCATATCGACCGTAGTGGGTGCCATTACAAATGGAGGCCAGGCGGGTAGCTCTCGTCGTCCCGAAACCAGCTCTAGGACCTCCCCCCCAGCTTACGCCTTCCGGACGTTCTTCGATATCCTCGCGCTCGCACATAAGACAGCTGCAAGGCTCCGACGAGATGTCTCGTGCAAAAACAGCCTCTAGTCGGTCAAGGAGCCGTCGCGCGACGGAGCGATATCCAGTGGCAACCGCAATCGACCCATTTTTACTCATTACTTTCGAGTAATCATCCAGCAGGCGGTTGAAAGGCTCGAACACTCGAGCTGCAGCTTGCTGGGGCTGGGTGGCAGACTGCGCAAAAGGATCCGATGGAAACGGCCCAGCAAGTAATGTCCGCGGAACCTTCGCGTCAAGCCCCCCCGTGCTGCAGCAGATAGTCCACCCTGGGAATAGTGACGGGGACTTGAGGCGGCGGGGAGGGGGCGGAGGTGCCCCATACGCTGGGCCGGGCGCAACGTGTCGTCCATATTCGAGGGATTCATCACTCGGGGTATGGCGATGCGATGCGGCTGAGCGAGTCTGACTGCGGGATGGCGGCTTAGCGGGCGGCGTGGTGGATTTTCGAGGAGGGATATACTGTTGGTTCGGGGCGATAGATGTAGCATCGGATCCGTTGTTAGACTCCACCCAATATCTCGTACGGTGTTATTTGAACGGGAAGGCGACATGGTAGAGCGACTCGATCGCTTCTTCGGTTTCTTCTCATCACTCGCTTTGGATTTGGATGACCGGTGGCTGGTACGTGATGGCTCATCATGTTTGGAGGACTTGGATTTTGTTGAATCGGCCCTTGCCGTTTTACTGGATTTGCTTCCCTCGTCTTTCTTGGACCGAAGGCTGGAAGTGGAACGATTCACATCACTCGTCCGTATCTTGATAGTCGACTTTTTAGCCTTCACTTTTTCCGAGCTCTTCTCTTTCGGCTCCTTTCCCTGCTCTTCATCCGGGGTGCCCTTGCGAGAGGCGGGCTGGTCAAGGCCCGTCAATGGCGGACTTGGCGGGGCGTGATGATTGTCAGTATGCCCATTGCTCGCCCTATTCTCCTTCCCGCCATCGTGGTTATCCTCAGTCAGATCGGTCGGGTCGGGGGTAGGGATGTTCTGCTTGGTGCGAACATCCTCCTTGCTATGCGCCTTGGAGAAGGACGGGTAGGGTAGGCTGGTTCTGGACTCAAGGAAGGAGGCCGTCCCCGACCGGCTCACAGTGTCAATGTCGACTCCCGGCATCGAGGACCGGCGACGTGGGGGGTCGCTGAGGGAGGTCGAGGCGGAAACAGACCGAGCCGTGGATTCGTCGGGCTCAGGATCCTTGGTTGGGTCGCGGGGGGTGGAGCGGACCTGGGACAACTGGGACGACCGCTTGGGACGTTGCTTCCAGTTCTTCGAGGTCTTGGAGGAACGAGGGGTATTGTTAGGTCTGACTGGGAAGAACATGGCGGGATCGTGAGAAAATCGTAGCCGCACGAGGTGGATCCCGTCAGGCTCGGGCCCGCTGGTTCATCGGCCGCCGATTTCCTCGAATCCCTCAGGAGACTCTAGGAAGGGGGAAAAAGCTCCGCCGCGGGAATGTGACTCTATGACTCTATTTCGGGTTGCCAATGCGCGTGGCTATGGTTTGCCTGGCGCTTAACTTGGGCGGAAGGGCTATTACTGGTCGCAAAAGGCCCAGGGGGGGGCTCAGCGCTTGTGTCGATCGCACGATGGCGGGAGGGGCCCCGGCATTCCGTGAGAAAACGGGGGCGAAGTGGGAATTAGGCTTAGGCAGCGGAATCACGTTCAAAAACCAGGTGAAACCTGCCTATCCAGGCATAGATAATGCAGGGTAGCGAGATTAGAGTGGAGTGGGAAGAGGAGGAAGGAAGTGGACTTTCTATGCGGTGAACAGACCGACACTTGTTCGCCCCCGCCTTAACTGACGTGGTTGATGCTGCATGGAAGCCTGATGGGTCTTCCCCTGGTCGAATCGCCTAGAATCTCGAATCTCCCCCGGAGTGCACCCCCTTATAGGAAGAGGCGTGTGTTTCAGGTCTCGGAAGCTCAGGGCGTCTAAGGGGAATCTAAGGTACAAGCTGCGTACTATCTCATCATGAAACGGGGCCGATCGGACTCGAGAATAGAGTTAAAGCACAGATGCTGTGGGGGTATCACTTAGGCTAATCTAACAAAACAAAGAAAAAGATTCAAGAAAGAAAGAAGATAAACCCCCGCTGAACAATCCTATTGACCTTCCCAGTGCAACCCGTTGGAAACTTTGACCGGCGACGTCTCCAACACCCAATTGCCGTCCGCTTCGTGCGCAACTCCTCCCGCACGTGCAGCTCGAAGGGTCTTCTCCGTCGCTGGTTTCAGGTCGCCTGTCCGATGGTCCCATTCCCAGCCCTCCTTAAGCCACATCCATGTGAGATATGCACGTAGTTCTTTGTCCATAGGCAGAACGGACTTCCACTCAGGAACGAAAGCGGGTTCAGTTGCCCCAGTGCCCTTCCAATCCGTAGCAGTGCCCCGAAGCTCGTCCCGACAGAAAATCCGCCAGCTGTCCAGCGAATATGCACCAATTCCAGGTAGATGTGCAACCTCCCATCCCGATCGATGGTCCTCGTCATCAATGCACTCTCCGCGACCGATGTCTCTTCCGTCCAATTTTCGCGGATAGTGCATCTTGCGGTAGCGTTTGTCTTTACAGGGTGGATTCGTCTGCCAGGTTTGTGCTATTTTGATACATTTATTGGCGCGTTGGTTTTGAAATCCGAGGCAATGAATCATATCCACCAGTTCCTTCTGGTCCGCGTTGGCCATGGCGTGGATAGTTGGATACCTTTCGAAGACCTTGAACAAAATCGGTAGAGCAACTCCACCTCGAGTTCGGTTTAGGAAGATTGTGGCGATCAGAAGTTTAAAGGGCTCATGGGCGAGCTGTTCCTGAACAAGCCCAAAAGCAGGCGCATCGAGAGGCGGAAAAGGAAGGCATGACTCTGGACCGACATGTGCCTGGGGAAAACAAGGCGAGACCTTCGGTATCTTGGGTCGTAGGGGTTTCGTTGCTTCGGGGTGGAGAAGACCAGACCTCTTGGCCGGTGTTTGAGGGGGCGAGTTGGTAGGTTGAGACACAAAGTAGGGGCTTTTGGCAGGGAGATGCTGGTCAAAGTGGTCGCCTCACTCGCGGAGCTTGGCACGTGTACTGTAGTTGGGATCCCGACGTCATCATCAGATGAACAATCAGTTGAGGCATCGCCAAGGGACGAGTCCGATGACACGAGGTTGGCTTGGAACCCCAGCTCTTCGAGATTTGGTCGGGTATGCCTTGCAGTAGCTGGATCACAATTGGTATTTGCAGGCGGCAATCGAGATGGACTCGGCAATGTACTCTTGAGAGGTACGAACGGAAAATATTTTGACTTCACCTCATCATCGGCTGTCACACTTGACGAATCATTGGTTATTAAAAATCCGACCATTCGGCTGGGTCGGGTGATAAAGGCATGAATATGCTTTTCCCGGATCGTCCAGTGCTTGGTGTTTGCGGCCCTTCGACGACAGCATTGACTGGGGTTGTCGCTCGCTCGATCCTGAGAGATATGTCTATTCCTCTCTCATTGTGAGCTGGTACATTTGCCTCGGCGCCAACCTCTCCATAGTTGCGCTTCTTATTTTTCTTCTTCTTTGATTTCTGCCTGGAGGATTTATCTTCCTTCGGGTTCTCCTCTTGGTCTCGAGAGTCATCATGAACGAATTGGGGACTTTCAGTCAGTTTGTGCTTTGACTTGCGGTCATACTTGTGCTTTCTGTGTCTCTGCTCTGCGCAGAGACTTTTGGGTTGGACTACCGGACCATCATTTGCACTCTCAGACTCTCGCCTTTTCTGTTTCTCGAGCGCTTTCTGTTTCCTCTTCGCTTTCTTCCTCTCCTTCCTCCCTAGCTTCTTCGCCAACTTGCGTGCTGCCCTCTCCTCCTTTTCTTGTTGGACCTCGGCGATGGCGAAGTCAACTCCGGTTCTGGGACCATCCGAGGCAGGATTGACGAAAAGATAGTTGGTGATGGGGTAGGGTCGATCCCATGCCATGTTGCAGTCATATCGACACTCGAGGGCGTCGAAGGATTGATATCCTGATTATGATGGGTCACGCTATCTTGCGCCTGAAGGGAAGACTTATATTTGTCTGCTTCAGACTCTGTGGAGTCTCGTGTCTCGTGTCCACCCTCATCGAAACTGCTGGATGGCATAGGTGGCTCAGGTATCTCTGCGGTTATGTTCTTGGCGATTTCGTTGGCGGAGTGTACCGAGGAAGATCGCCGCCTTTGTGTCTTCGGGGACGGAGAAAACGCTGACAGGAGGCTTTTCGGTTGTTGAATTCCATCTACATCTCGGCTAGATGACGAAGATTGACAGTGGGGGGTATGAGGCGGAGGGGTGTTCGGCGAAACAAGTAGCTTAGTTATGTCCTTTGCAGTGTCTCTTCCAGCTTCGCTGACGGGATCTTCAGCTTTGCGCGTGAGTGTATACCGCATTGGTAACGAAACAGGTGACTTTTCCATCTCATCCGTGATGTCTTTGCCGCGATCATTCACCACAGCATGGTCAGACGACGGGGATGGATGACTGCCCGGCTGCTGGCGCCTAGAGCCTACGTCAGTTTCGAGGACGTCGTTTGAATCTTCCCCATTCGTTTCATGAGTAGATAGAGCAGCGATCGAAGAACGTCGTGAGCGCATCCTTTGGCTGAGAGCAGAAAGGGGCGATTCAGGCTCCTCCCGCGTCGAATCTGCTTTGCATTCATCGACAAAGCGGACCGAGTTAGAAGACTCCCGGGAGGGCGCCTTGTGGCCGTTTGAAGGGGTGCATATCACGGCAATTGCATTGTAATCTCTCGAGCTATTCTTGTCGGCACTCAAGGAGGGTGATGCGGAGTGACATATGCTCGTGTTCCGGCCGGTTGGAGAGGAAGCAGACGTTACTCTCTCATGGACGAGGTTCCTGGTGGCGTTATCGAGAGGATTGATGGAAGATGAATGTCGTCGGTGCGCCTTCTTTGTGCTGGGAGACGCATATGGGTACGACATCTCGTCCACATGACCGCTAGCTTTGGTAGGTGTGCAGATAGGAGATGAAGGCTGCGCCGGAAAAAGGATCTCGCGTCCATTAGCACTCTTCGGCTGAGGAGTTTCTGGCGCAGGGACTGTATAAAGATATCCAGATGTACTTCCGATTCTGTCTGCGGCCGACATTGGATTGGTACCACGAGAAGGTGACTCGGAAGCATCGCGCATGACGCTATCACTGGTCTCATTGGCAGTATGGAATGATGACGAGGAACCGCTAGAGCTTATTTTCTGCCGCTTGTAGTCAATATCGGTTTCAGTTGAGCGACGCCGTTTTAGCGATTTGAGTGCTTTTGGAGACATGGATAATTTCTGGCTCTCAGCTGTATCATCGATCTCTTTGCCGAATACAGCGGGGTCGACGAAGCTCTTTATTTCCAAGCCTGAAAGCCCACAAACATCCAAGTAATTCCAACGCACGTATGCAATCAGTTTCGAAATGGAGGTGTCGTCCAGACCTGCAGCCTTCGATTGCGTTTCTAGCTGCTCGATAAAGCGTAATCGAGCATATCGTGACACGGGCTGCGAGGGGTTTTGCATGAACTCGTGGCTGGCAATCCATATCAAAACATCGTTCTTCTCAAGGTCACCGACGGCACCAAAGATATCATCTTCTCCAGGCACATCATTGTCCCACACATCGTCCGCAGGAGCCTTGTTCGTGTGCTCTTCCGGGTGCGCGGCGGTGTCTGAATCAACAGGCTCCATTGCAGCATTTCCATTCCTCGGCTTTGCGGTAGATTCACGGCGGGGAGTCATCAGAGGAAGCGGGAGGTTCTCATCGTCGGAGGAGGGGAGCTCGACGGGAGTGATGACTCGCGTGGCGGTGGTCCGTACCTTCCGGGATTTCTTCTTGGGTGAAGCGACGCAGGTGAATGGGTTTGAGGCAAATTGAGAGACGGCGGCTGTTGATGGCTCCAATGGAGTGGTCAGGGCTGAGGAACTTGATACACTCCCACCGCTCGAGAAAACGCGGTTTACGGGATAATCTGGCTCCTTGGACGGCTGGCGCTCATCGTCTTCGAGAATGCGGGTGATTATGTCCGTGACTTCGTTCGGGAAGGGGGTGTATCCGGCAACATTGGAGGCAGGCCGGGGTGAAACCACGACTTGGACTTTATCTGCTGTCATGATCAATGTACCATCAGCCGGCTCTCCATTCGGAGGGCTGACGCCAGGGGAGTATCCTGGTGCATAGGCGCTGCTCCTGCAACGCTCTTCTCCCTACTAGGAAGAGACCTATTAACAAAGGAAAGGGTTCAATGAAGGGATTGCGTATGTACTATGTATCTCAAAGGAATGGAGCGAAAAAAAAAATCCGGGGACGCTCTGTTTGCTTCCCACAGAAAAGCGACGCGGGCGCACGGGCCAAGTCGCGATAGATCTTATCGTGCGGAGGCTAATTTGGTCCACAGATTTGATAGGTTCTGTTCTAGACCACGGGCTTTGTGATACATCAATACGTGTCGAAAATCTCTGGAAACTCTGAAAACTCTGAATTCTATTCATATATTCATCTAGATGGAGTATCCTGCAGAGGTTAATTGTCGGGGTTCGCCCGCAGCATCAAAGGTGCCATTTGGAGACACGCGAATTAGCTGTGCCGAGCTTTGACCAGGAGCAACCCAGGTCACGTTGTGGCCCCGGCTTTTCATGAACGCAACAGTAGAGTTGTCATAGGCGTATTCAAAGGTAGTCTGGTCAGGCACCAGCTGATCATGTAGCCGTGGCTTTGCAAGAGCTTCAGCTGCGTCGAGGCCTTGATCGATGACATGGATAATGCTCGCGACAGTGGCAGTGATGATTCGGCTACCACCAGCTGAACCAGCGACCAGCGCAAGCTGTCCATCAGGTCGGGTCACGATCACAGGTGTGATGGATGACATTGGGCGTTTCCCGGGACGAATAAAATTCGCCTCAGAGGGGATAAAGCCAAAGGAGTTCGAGACCCCAGGGATGGAAAAGTCTAGGTGGAGTATTAGTACTTCAGTTGCTAGTCTGTTTTTCTCCGGTATACTAACCATCCATTTCGTTGTTCATAATGATGCCCGTTTCCGGGACTAAGACCTGGCTTCCGAAAAGCAGATTCACGGTAGTTATAGAGGAAACGGCAAGACCGGTATGATCCGCCACGGCAAGGTGCGAAGTTCCAGGGCTGTCAATCCAACCGGTTAGTCCTGGCTTTTTGCTTTTTGGTACATTTCGGATGGAGATAACCTACGTCTCCAAGCTTTCGAGACCGGACGGGTCATAAGCGGATACGTTCAGAGTATGCTGGTCCGAGATCTTGCCCCGGATTTCATCCACAGTCGACTGCTTCAACATATCTCGCTCGTACTTTTCCATACCTGGTACAAAGCCTGGGTCTCCTAGCTCAGTTCTCTTGGTCATGTTAGCATGATGTATTTCGATTCCAGCGGGAGGAAGTACCTGGCCATAGGCAAAGCGAATCGCCTCGTCGAATCGATGAGTGCTAAGATTCAAAGTTTGCTCAGAGGTGAAAAAGTCATCGTAAGTATTGAGAATACTCAGAATGCTGAGTGCGACCGAGCCACTTGACGGCGTTGTTGTGCTTGTGACGGTTTGTCCGCGATAGGTGATCTGGGATGTATTCCGGATGGCAACTGTATAATTGGTTAAATCCTCGACAACCATGGTGCCATTTGCTTTTTGAATAGCATTGATCATTGTATCGGCAATTGCACCCGAGTAAAACGCGTCGGGCCCTTGCTTGGCAATGGTCTCCAGTGTATCGGCATATCGCTTCCGTGTAATGATATCGCCCAGGCCAAGACGAGTTCCATTGGGAGCGAAGTCAAGAGCCCAGTTTGGATCGTTCGCAAGAAAGTCTTCCCCTCTGGAAGAGACAGCAGCCTCGCTGTATCGGACCAGATCTTCGGACACGGGGAATCCTTCTCGTGCAGTGCGAACTGCCGGCATCACCACAGTTGACCATGGGAGGATACCGTACTTCTTGTGAAGATATTCTAAGCCGCGAATTTCTCCGGGTACACCACTAGTCAATCTGTCAGTCTAACTGATTTTCCCAAGAGGGCCATGTCGCCTACCTAGCAAGTCCTCCGTAAACAGCGGCGTTGGTATTGTTTTTGAACATGTCTTGATATGCTGCAGCTGGTGCCGTTTCTCTGAAATCAATGAATTCATATTCTCCATCGGGAGACCTGACCACCATGAAGCCGCCACCGCCAATACCACTATGATACATTCCTAGAGATGGTGTCAGACTAGGAATCCGGTTAGGACTTTCTGGCCCGACTTACCAGTCACACCAACACATAATTGACTCGCGACCAGCTATATGGGGAGTCAGTACCGAGACTTCTGTGCAAAACTCGGAATACGTACTGCATCAGCTGCATTCCCGCCCATGGTCAGAATATCAATTCCATGTTGTGAGCAAATCGAGTTCTCGGTCGCAACGGCTCCCCGCTTGCCCGGGCCAGGATCTTCATTCGATCCCAGCTCGATAGGAGAAGTACGCCCCCGGGGCAGATATGAGATTAACAGCACCAATGATACTACTGCGAGGAGTCCCATTTTGATCGAGGGCACGGAGCACGAACGCTTCCGCTGAGTACCACCTGATAGGATATGTGCAGGGTTGCGGTCCTCCGTTGAGGTATCCGATGAAGGCAATAAAGGCTGCAATAGCTGTGAGCGTGGGACTTTCCAGTGGGAAAACGGGCGGGGAATGGAATATCGTCGCATCCGGTGCTCGTACCTTTTTCTCCACATCTTGGGCGGGGATGGTTGGGTGGTACATCGCGCCGAGAAACTATGTACGTCTTGGCCCGAATCGGGCACGCTCTCCCTTTTCTATGCTACTAAGAATGACTCGGCGCAAAGAGCAATGACTCGGAGCAAAGAGTTGGAGCAGTCGGAGCCTCCGGGAGTTCTTATCGCAGGACCACAATCAAGGAATGATTGAGCGGATCCACCCCGCGCCCCCTTCTTCAAGGCGCTGGGTCTGCTGATAAGCCATCCGAGAGGTCGAGCTCGAAGGAAATTTATAAGCTTCACCAGTTGGCCTGTGGGCATCTCCCATACGCTCGTGGTCGCTTCGATCCGCTTTGATTTTTATTTGATTTGATTTGAAATTTTTTTTTTTGGATTCCAGATCTCGAGTTCATATTTCTCGAACAAATTGGAGCAATGGCTCGTGCCTTTCGAAACAGATCTCGTATTGGCGTAGAGACTGGGCCTCGCCAAATCTATTCAGCTAGCGCTAGATATGATTGAATCGCCATGATCGGCTAGTGTTTCCCCTCTGCCTCGCAAATTCTAGCAGTGAGCTTACACGAAGTCCTGGCTACTAGAATGAACTACCGACATTGAAGTTATCCGAATTGATGGTATTAGAAATGAAGAAAAAGCGTCAAGCTTTCAACCGTATGCCAACATACCAGGACACCAAGCATCCACGTAGTTCGTTGGATAACCACATCCTTGTGATATCAAGCCATAATATCTTTTGATCAAAGTCACGCGCGTCATAACCGTCCATCCGAAATATCAACGCCGTGCTTCATCCACGTAATAGTATCGCGCCACGTGAGCGGAACTTCGTCCACGTGCTCTAAAATGCCCAAAACAAGCCTCCGGCCCCAGTCCCGGACATACCAACGTTTCGACATCAGATGCATCCCCACGGCATAATGGAGAAACAAAATCCGGGCCATCCAATCACCTTGCTGCAACAACGAAATGTACTGCTCGGTGACAGACAGGGGCCAGGCCATGATTCCCCCACGAGGGCCCCTCTTAGGCCATGGTTCAATGGCCTGGATGGTGGATTGCCAACTGGCTTGGTAGGTCACTCTGTTGGGTGATTCGTTGTTGATTATGAGAGGTTCGATCTGTCGAAGAGAATGTACGAGATTACTGTGACTGGGTGAGTTTTGATTCCCTCTTTGTCTTTTTCTTCACATACTGATGGACATCAAGCAATTTCTTTACATTGTCATTGGTGGATGGATCGCTGTGTCAGAGATTAGCAGATCAGTAATATTGGGTAAACCCTTTCTTGTGTATAGTGCCAACTTACCTCATACCGTGGCGATCATTCAATGGTACTTCGGTGTGGCCAATTACTAGCCACCCATCCAGCTCACCTTCGGCACCTATTTCATTCATCCGATGAAAAAGCATAGAGGTCCCTGATAACAGCAACCGCACTTCTGTCACCCGAGAGACAGGGTCTTCAGGAACCCCGTCGAGGGATATCACCGGGAAGCCGGTGGCGAAGATGAGAATGAACACCGAAGCCACAAACGCGGGCTCGTAGTGCCGCTCGGTGATCTCAGGAAGAGTTCGGCTTAGGCCCGAACAGGACTGGCTTTGATATCTACTGGCCGCATCTAACCAGTAGTCTCGATTTTCTGGATCCAGGGAAGCAAGGTGCAGCGCAGCCAAGGCCAGGATGCTGTCAAGTAGATATGGAGAGGCAGTTGCCATCTGGGGGATTACGATGGAAAGATGATAGCCGGAAATCCCATCCTCGGCGAGTTCCTGACATGTAGAAGTCAGATATTGATGTATCAGTCGCATTTCTAGCATGCGCGTGGCCACTGGCAGCTCGCCTCCGGGGGCCACCCTGCTACCGGCGCGTGTGCCACTGTCGGAGCCGTCGCGACCAAAAGAATCACTCGAACTCTCAACATCCGGTGGGTATACACATTCGAGCTTACGCTTTTTGCAGAGGGTGCATTTGGGGACCTCCTCGTCGCACTGTGGATGTAATCAGATTTCCGTGGTCCACATAGAATGGAGGCAAAGTCGCCTTAGCGGAGGGTTGCGCGAGGGCCCAGTGTACTCCTCTTTGAAGGCCCTCTTCTCCTCGGATGCGAAACCCGACCGCGCCGACCCTTGTGAATATGACTTACTTTGACATGCCGTCTCTTGCACTCGGAGCAACCCTTGCGGGATTTGGTGTGGCTCCGCCGCAGGGGCATTACAGACGATCACCCCAACCCCCCGAAAGAAAATCGTTGAGTCTCTCTCATTTATGGCGATGGCAGTCCCATCGCCAGCAACAAGGGAGAAAGCAATTCAATAATCAGCTAGCGCGATCTGCAGGGCTGTCGAGGTCCGGATTATATAAGCAGCTGCACGAAAATCCGTGGGTCTCAGAGTCAACGCACTTGACCGTCGATCAATTACCGGCCCAATTTGGGGGCCAAGTGTGGGGGGTGATCTGCTAGCGCCTTAATGCGTATCTTCAACCCGCGTCTTCTACTTGGGAAGCTATGCGTAGATTGCCGTCCACTGGGATTCGCGTGATTGCACCTTTGCCCCGGGGAGATTGCTGGATCCAAATATGAGATGTGTTCTGTGTGACGGGGCTCGCATTCAAGGCGCCTACGTGGGAGTGTAGCGTAACTTGGGAACTCGGGCTTGCATGTGTGTTCAAGTGTTCAAGGTTCGACTGGCTTCTCCGACGCTCCATATGTATGCCTATAATCTGAAAAGAAGATGTAATTCCCGATCAGAATTTTAGAGGCGATGGAAATCAAGCGAGCAGAGAGTGCGACGCCTCATCCCCCCGAAACCCCCTCCTCGCGGAAATGTGGGGCCTCTGCTTGTTCTCTTAGTGTCCGGTCTAGGGCGTTCTAACTGCTGGAACCTCTTAAAATTAAACCAGAATGAGGCTCGTAGTGGTCTTCAATTCTCATACTAGTAGATAAATAAACTAAGATGATAGGTGAAATATAGCGATTCACACACGGCTCGAAAAGCAGGTTCAGTCGGTGATAATTCCACTGTCAAGCTCTGATTCGAGCTCTCCGGTGATTAATGCCTTATTTCCCCTGACGATCTTCATTTTCATTCATGATTTCATGCTTTACCTTCCACTTCCTCTGGGGCAACCACCTATACCCACCATCGGGGATAAATTAATTATCCCGACTTCATCACCATGGATCCGATTTGAGAGATGGTCCCGCATCTATGGCCCAATATCCACTTTATGGGTCGGTCGGCGCCCTACAATCACCATACTATCCCCCAACATCGCCGTAGACCTTCTCGAAAAATGCAGCACCAACTTCAGCTCACGACCGCGGTTTGTGATGGGCGAATTGAACTGGACAATGCTGGGATCCTCGTTCAACCCCAAGGCAAGGAATGGCACACCCGAAGACAGATGCTGCATCAGGCTCTCTACCCCTATGGATTCAAAAACTATTCGGCAGAGATAAGTTCCACGCATTGTTCTGCTTCTTTGAAGGTGCCGGGCAGGTATCTCGCCGGATCGTTGCAGTGGCTCAACCGCGTGCCCAACATATTCGCGCCATGGAAAGCAGAAACCCAGCGCAGAGGTCGCGAAGAAGCCGCAGTCAACATGGAGCTAGTCGAAAAAGCCCATTGCGGGCCGCAAAGACCCCATGGGAAGTCCCAGATTCACTTATCAAGTTCCTTCTCGAAGCCCCCAGGGGGGGGGGGGTGGTATCTTTCGAGAATAAAGGAAATCTGCCGTACTTGAAGCGCTATGCTCAGAGGTACTCTGTATCCGCCCCGTTGCTGTGCTTGGTGGCACACTCTATGCGAATTCAGTGGCTGTCAGATACCCTGGATCCTTGATCCCAAAGGGCACCACTATTCTGTCGAACTCTTGGGCAATCAATCTCAATCCGCTCTACTACCCGAACCTTGATTGCTTCAATCCCGTTCGCTTCCTGACCGGGATCCGCCCCGAGCAGCCTGTCTTACGTCCCAGAGCTTTCAGATGAGGATTTGCTGGTGAGGTCTCCGCCAAAGCTACATTATTCAAAGGATGGTCACAGCTCATTTTTCTGGAGAAGACGCATCTGCCCTGGTACAGGACTAACCCAAAACTCTTTGTTTACCGCGTTGGCACACCTTTTCTGGACATCCAAGTTTACGCCCGTCATAGACCCAGATTGAACTGAACAAATGTATGATACTTTCGCGTATGCTCAAGGAATCAATATTCTGCCATAACCGTTTGATTGTGTCATGAAAATTTGGAGTGAGAGCCGCAAGGCAGTGCCGGAGAAAGAATTGGTGGCTTCTATGCAGACAATCCGATCCTTTGCTCCCTTTGATGAGTGAATGATGGATCTTTTTCTTCTTTGTAACTTACTCAAAATTCACATACTATCGTTAATTTTATTAAGTGGAGTTCACGAATTTTGACGTACTGCTACTGCGTTGGGAAACGTAAGCACGCAAAGTCATATCACTTCGGTAACCATACACCTCTTCATATTTGGGCGGCCTGATAAAAACGCCATCTGAGTAAAAGAAGCAAGTATGGCTGCAACCCATGGTGGAATTTATCGAACATCACGTTTGTATACGATTTAAATCAATACCGGCCTGTTACCTGAACCATTATGCAGCCAGCTCCAGTATTGAGAAGTATGATCGGACAAACAAAACACTACCCAGAAAATTATTGGAATATTCTCTCATAATCTCAATATTTTATTGAGACCCCTGCAGTATTTTGTTTTTCAATGTTGCAACTGGTGTTCTCGGCTCAGCCGAACATGTATGCTGTGTTCGAGAAGCCGAGGCCTGTATGAGGGCTAATAAATCACGTGGCGCATCTACAACCAATGAGCGCCCCACGTTGGGCCCAACTACGGGAGCGCTAACCGTAAACGTACTAGCGTTCATCGCCATGAGGTATACAGGTCTATAAAGATCTACTGTACGCGCGTTGCTACGATGAAGTGAAAGATCCACGGGCTACATGAGGAAGATACTGTAAGGCCACACCATACTCGCATTCAACTGTGCTATCCTCCCCCTCTCCCTTCTCCCCCTCCTCCCCTCCCTCCTCCTCACCCCCTATTCCTCCTCTGGTGGGACGTCGGGTGGACCTCAGAAACGGTAGTTGTCATGGCCAGCCAGGTGTAAGAACAGGGGGCACCCTCTACATGCGCCACCCCCGTGTGAGCTCTCGAGAGAGCTCTATTGCCGCCCTGTATTCCTCCTGGCTGGCCGGGGTTTCTTCTCCAGCTTGCACCACTGCAGAGCTGGTCGGTCCACTTTCTGGCAGAGACGCACCAGCTTGCGTCGGCCAACCTGAGTCTTGAACCGAGGGTTGGCGCATCTGCGCATCGTCCGAGTTGTCCCACTCCTGAATGAACTCGGGCGCCGTCCACCCCGGATCCAGAACGGGTTGGTGCACCTGTGTATTGGCTGAGGTGCGCAACCCACCAAGAAACTCGACCGGCGTCGAGTTACTTGGCCACCGTGGTAGCTGCTCAGTACCAGGACGCGCTAGTACAGCTCGTGCTGGTGCTGCAGCTCGTGCTGGGGCCATCGCCCCCAGTTCCATTAGCGAGACAACTGGGGGCAGGTTGGTTGAAGCCCGAGCAGCCACGGGTGGTCTCTGGTCCTCCTGGGCGGCGCCAGCTTCGGCCTTGGCCTCGTCCTCCGCTTTTGCTTTCTTCCGCGGTTGCTCGTTGCCGCGGGCCCTGTTCTCGGCGTCCTCGCGACGCTTGCGCGCGTGGCTCTAGAGAGAGTCTGTTAGTAATTGCTGTGTTAAGGTCGATGAGCCTTTAGTGTACATACCGCGTTGGATTGGTCTCGACAGGGCTGGCAGAATTTGCATTCCTGGCCTCTTCGACCCACGAATTCGGCGAGGGGCTTCATGCGATAGCATCGCCCACACTGCTTCGTGGCTGGGGCTTCCATCTTGTTGATGGAAAGGAAATGATGTTTTGGTGCTGCTTGTGATGAGAGTTCTGATGCAGCGTGTGGGGAAAGGCAGATGGTGGGGAAGGGGAAAAGAAGAGAAGTCGAGAAATTTGAGAGCTTTTAAATGACTTCTAAAGTGACTAGGAGCTCTATTCTGCTTCACTTCCTCGTCATATTTCACGCCATTATAAGCTTACGGGTAAGGCCAAGCTCAAGGCCGTGAATGGAGATCGAATTAACTACGATGAAGGCTACACTACAGGTTCAACACCCAGTCTAGCCTCTACCATTGTTGGTCGAAGAAGGGCACGAGCTGACCTTTTACACCAAGGCTGTCGCGGTGAGTTATTTGAGAGCGGTCAGAGTAGGCCATTGTCTTATCACCATTGCTACTAGTAGAGTCGCCTACATTAGGCACGTGCTACCCAGAGAAGAGCAGCCTCTCTTGTATTTCGACGTTAGGTCTCTTATGAATGCGTTTTAGGCGGATGATGGACGTTAGGCTGGCAATTATCAAAGCCATACACGCTGCTCCATTTCGTAAGGATACTTGAACGTAGATCTCATGTTCTTGTGTTAATGTGCCCATCGTTTCGTCGAGTACTAACTGCTAGTTCTTTGGAATTATGCCTCTGCTCTCAACGAAGATAATGTTTTAATACGTCATTCATTTGCTATTCTAGTCATTCGTTATTCCTGAATCATGGAGATTATTTTCCATGAGTACACACGGTGTCCTTATCTCTGGCGTGGTTAGAATTCGACCTGGGCGAGCCTGCTTTTTCTTATACGCTCGCCATAGAGATAAAAGATTATAGGCAATGGTGAGAATGCGAGCCCTATGAATCCCAATAGCGAATTACCCCAGCCCAGGCCGAGAGCAGAATACATACTGGGTCCGGCAAGGGGAAGCAATGCTCCAACGAGGGACCGAAGGACGGTGTTAGCAGCCACAGCAGAAGCAGCATAGATAGTGTATGCGTCAACGAGATAAGTACTGACGGTCATCTGCAAGCAAAAGCTGATTAGTATGGACATTGACTCGGGGCTTTAAGGTACTTACAAACGACAACAACATGCCAAGGCCCAGTAAGGATGTGCCAATGATGGGAACAATCCAATGGGTCCTGTAGTAGGCTGTCCATCCATAGATGAACAGGCCGCTCGGGACCAGAAGAGCCCCAGGGATCATGGGAGGCAGACGATACTCGGGCTTTGGCTCACCTCCGTGCTTTCGTGTAAGGAATTTCAGCAATGAATCGGAGGTAGCGCTCAGCACGCTAAGACCGAAAAGAGATCCAATTCCGATCCCGAGATATGCAAGACCCACGGATCCTTGGGACCAATGGTATTGCTCGGTGAAAACTTCACTGATGGTGGTGAAGAGAAGATACAGATATCCGTAGACGAGTGCCACGTACGTCGAGAGCATGATGACAATCGGCGAGAACACCAACATCTTAACCGGTCGGACGATTGAGAACATGAACAACTCACGTGGGGTTTTTCCTCGATCGAGGACGGAGCGTAAGTTAGGATTTCCAGTCTCTTTGCGCAGTTTCTTTGCCTTTTTTTCAAGAAGCGTTGGTGCGTATGACTCTTTGATTGTAAAATACGAGCTGATGGTGACAGCGCCACTCTGTGAGTGGGATATTAGCCCGGGTTTCGGCAAACCCTGAGAACATGCGTCTGGACACTCACCGCCATTGCCAGCACCCAGAAGGTCCATCGCCATCCTTTGGCCTGTGAGAGGTATCCACCCGCTATCAAAACTCAGCGATTGCGAACTCCAATCTCAGTAAGATACACGGAACTCACCGACAGGACCAACGACTGGCCCGAGAATAGGGCCCATGGCCCAAGACGATATTGCGCGTCCTCTTCTTTCTCGGACATACATGTCTGCGATGGAACCAGCGCCAATCGTCAAGGGGCAGCTTCCTGCGCAACCCGCAAAAAACCGGAAAACAATCAAGCTGCCAATTTCTGGTGCGACGGCACACAGTATCGTGAAAACCACGTATATCACATTGCACACGTTGAAGATAATTCGCCGTCCGTAGATCTCAGATAAAGGCGCAATTAGGAGTGGCCCGATAGAGTATCCGAGCAGGTAGACGGAGACAACGAATGAAGACAGCAGAGTACTTGTGATATGGAAATCTTGAACCAGCTCAATCACGCCAGGTGCGAACATAGACGACCCGAGAGGGCTTCAAGTGTATTAGCGAAAGTCACTCTGGCCTCAGGAGAATGCTATTCCTTACGTAAGAAGCGTAATGAGCGCAATTGACACCGTCGCCTTCAGTTTCTTGCTCTTGGACCAATTGAGCGGGTTCTCTGGGTCGTCGGGACCGTCCCAGTCCACGATATTCGGATCTTGAGGCTGTTTGCTCTGCACCTCGTATGTATTCTCGGATTCACGACCCTTTTCAATATCTAGGGTGTCATTGATGCGCTGGACTTCGTGGCTGCTTGCCCTGGGGGTGGAGCCGCTAACAGAGGTACCTATACTCGGACAGAAAAGGTCAAAATAAGCTCACGTTTCGTCGCATGTCGATCCAAACTTAGGTATGCAACACATTACAGCAGACATACCTTCAGAGTGCTCCATTTTCTGTCTGGAGGACGATTATCGCATCCGGCTTTGTTGGGGGTTGGGACGCTGTGCCGTTAATTGGTGGAACAAAGCTGGTTGGATGCTGCACGCATAGGAGTCGCAAAGGCTCTTCGGAGGATAATGGCCCGGGTCGTTCAGCGTGAAGGTAATCGTCCGATGCACTTAAAAACGGACGAAAGATCGTAGAGGAGAAAGTACTCAGGTGGATCGGAACTACTAAACACGGGGATTTCTAGCATCGGCGCGTATCTTCCGGTTCAAAAATTTATGACAGTTGAACATGCATAAGAACATGCGAGGCTTCGCCCATGGGTCCAAAAACAGAAGATGTGCATGGCTTATGCGCGGGCCTGACTATTAGTCGTATTCGCTCTCGGGTCAAGAAATCCGGAGGAATACGGTGGACTGCCATTTCCGCTAATAAGGGGGGGTTATTGCTATTTGACCCTGTTCTTTTCCGACAAGTAGGACCCCTGGCTTTTTGTGATACTTGAAGCCCTGATAACTATCCAGATTTCCCTCGAGGTTTTGAGAATATTTACTTGCATCCAAAGTAGCCACAGGGTTCATATTACACAGACGCGATGCCCCACATGGAAAAGAGGGGGAAATATCCGGGGATGTGGGGAAACAGCTACTCGATTCCTATCTGACCAAGCTCAAGCCTACCCTCGAAAATTGGGTAGGCCACACTCTAGCACTATCTGGGTTCATTGTGAAGGTTAATTCGTAGTCTCTATGGGCCGTAATTATGCAAAAAAATCGCTTGAACTCAGCTCATTAAAACAGCTCAGTTCCCCCTTTTCCCTTCCGAACCAGCACTTTCGGTTTCTCGAATCACCAGCCAAAGAGGTCTCCGGAACTCGGGTTCTCCGTCCTCCGATCTGTATTCGTGCTCCCTGCGGTCACGGCTATCACGGCTACGTTCATCACGACGACGGTCCCTCTGACTATCCTCTGGGTTATTCTTCTTCTTCAGCACATTATTGAAACGATGCAACTTCGATTTTGGAGTCCAAGGAAGAACATCAATGTCGAGCTCAGCGATCCACGGCTGCAGAACTTGAATGCGCCTCTTCTGCAGATATAACTCCTGTGCTTCATTGGACGCAGGCTGCGAAAGTTCGTCCAGTTGCCGAACGAGCGGCGCTTGACGGTTCATCTTGCCATATTGATCAAGGATAGGAATGTGGGCGATATGCGCGATAGCATCCAGCTTCGCGATTTCGACTTTCAGCCCACGTGGGCCAAAGACTTCCTTGTTGGCTTTCTTTATGGCCAAGTCGGCGCGGCCTTTCGACACCCCATAACCGCCAAGGCTGGCTAGTCCGCTTACTGCAGAACCAATCCAGCGGAGGGGGAAGAGGATTGGAACCGCTTGCAGGATGCCGCCGGTGACATCGAGCACCTGCAGAGGTGGACTGGTGGACTTGACTTCGTTCAGTTCGTCGAGGAAGCGGTAGAACGAGTCTTTGGGGAGTTTATATTTCTCGAGGATGGGGGCGTAGGCACGAAGGAATGGAGAGACATTTTCGGGACCGATTGCTGGTATGACAATTGGCTTTTTGTGGTCTGGGATGGGAGGATATTGATTGGAAGGGTATGGGCCTTGTTGAGGTGGGTATGGCTGGCTTGGGTACTGGTTGAGCTGCTGAGGGAGGTATGCGCCAGGCTGTTGACCGGGGTACGGCTGCGATAAGTTCGAAGTAGGCTGGTTTGCAAATGCTCCAGTTACATGACCTGAGTCGTTCAGATCCCTGTCGCGGTCTGGCTGGCCCCCAGAGGCCAGACCTTGGTCAGGAGCTGAGTACTCGGGGGTGAATACGGTGGGAGCTCCACATGTGGCCCTGCATTGGATGGCCCTGCATTGGAGGTCGAGGGGCCGGATAATTCACGTTCGGAGGTATTCAAGTCCTCGAAAGGGTTGGCTTTCTTTTCGTCGGCCATGATGAGGATTATGCAAAGGAAGTGTCGGGTGGGAGCCTCCAATTCCCATGTTTCTCTATGTCTTCTAAGGTGGGGGGGGGGGGGGCACAGCGCGCGGCTGCGAGCTGACATCGGGTAATTCTACTCTGCAGTGCTTGGCCTTCTGCTCAGCCACAATTGGGGTCAAAATATTAGATTCTAAGCGGGTGAGACGAAATATGACAAGGAATCAAACCGTGAGCGATACTTAGCATGGCATGCAAGGCGAATGTGCTAGTCCAAACACGGTAATCAACGCGACGCTTACCGTGTCCCAGCAGACCCAGGGCCTAGTTTGATCTAATTTAGGTGTGGTTCAAAAAGATCGGGCTTGTCACAACCTTCTCTCCGCTCCATTCACGGCCCACAAAGTACACGCCGTGTGTTCCCTTTCGCAGAGGTCGCAGTGCGGCTCTGCCTTGCACTCGGCGTGGAAGCTCGACCACTGGAATGGCCTCGACTCGGACAAAGAGTTCGGCACCGCCCCGAATATCAATCTTGCTTCCATTTTCACGTTCGGCCTCCTTCCAAGAGGTTGTGAGCTCAAAAGTAGGCTGAGCTTTGTGTGGGTTCCCCGCTAATACATCGCCTACTTTGACATAGCCGCCCAAAGATCCTGCAACGACAATACTAGAGGGAGCGCAATCACCTGCTAGTACAATATTCACGCCATCCAAGTCACCGCTTGTCTTGCTAGAAAAGCGGACGACAGAGTCACTCTCCATACGGGCAAAGTCTTCAGCATTGTTTTCATAACCTCCGAATGGCATTATGCTCTGCACAGAGCTATCCGACAGGGTGATGGTACCATTCCACAACGCCTCCCGGTAGCGATCGTACAGTCTTGCTCCGCCATGTCACACGCAGGATTGTCGCGGGTAGTTGAGCCTCGGACCAGAAATTCCGGCGCCAGATCAGTCCAGAAGCATCGAAAGCCTCGATAGACGAGAACCCCTTCTCACCAAGGAAGTGATAATCGAGCTCGAACGGAACCATGTTTACCAACTCAACCTCATCGCCCTGAAAACTCTGCCCATCGGGGGTTGAGACCAGTCCCACCAACCGCTGCCCAGTAGTCGCGAACGTCCGCCGCGCACGAAGAGCTGCAGCGACATTCTCACGATCAAGACTAGGAGCCAAGATTCCAGTCAGACCTCCCCTGGTTCCGAATACCGCCGTCCCAGGGACGCCGCCGCCGCAGCGGCCGCGATGTTCGTCAGAATTGGCAGAAACTCCCAGCTTCCAACCTCTGCGCACAGCATCCCGCAGAAGCCACTCGAACTGGCCCCATGCACTTCCGATCTCGACCAATCGCTCAAGCTGCGGATGATGCCAGGCAAGATTGCAGCGTCGGCCACCGACATGGGGGATAAGAAGATGAGATTCTGCTTCGCCGGCATAAGTACAGTAAACTTCGTCCAGGGGCCATGTGCCTGGGACAAGGTCATCAGGGCCGTCTTCCGACCATTCGAAAGAGCGTGCCACATTCCCATGTCGGTCAAATGGGAATTCAGGAGAGTATTTTGTTGGATCGGCAAGGAAAATGACGTTGTGGTCGCCCCCAGCAGCAGAGTTCCCGCACCATTCAGTGCCAGGGAATATGACAAATCTGCCTGGCTCATTGAGGGTTTGGATCAGCTCTACTGTTGCATCCCAGCGAGCTCTCGTAATCTGAAAATCATTTGCGGTGTACCCGAGGACATCGAGTCCTGCAATGTCTCGGCCGTAGGAAAAGTTGTAGATGGATGATTCGGTTCCGACAGTGTCGTCGGAGTGTACATGCAAATCACCGAATAGGATCCGCGGGACGGAAGCATTCGAGGCAATGGTTAAGTGGGAGGTTCCAGATACAACGACTGATCCCTCCTTGTTTTTCAAGGCAGTTTCGATCGAAAAGTCGCCATCGGTGGGTAAGCTTAGGTTGGAAAAGATGACGTTCGTCCATCCTTCTTTTGCACTTGGCTGCTCTGCTGCGATCATTATATTCGAGCTCTGATCGGAGATCTTCAAAGTGAAAGAGTGGTCTGGTAAGTCACTAGTCACATTCCCCCAAATGTCCTCTGCGTGCACATGGACCTCAAAGGGTGTGTTTGATCTGAGCAGCCTTGGGGACACAGCCTGGATTCGGTGGACTGGGCCAGCCACAATATTCCAGCTTAGATCGGGGCGAATTGGTGCAAAGCGGCTGGGAAATCTTAGTTCCACTGGATTGTGGCATGAAAATTTGGGAATACACTTACGACGTCCCAACAGGGTCGATATAAAACCGCCATCGGAAGTCCTTCTCGACAAAGGTTTGAGCTCGAGTCCCCCGTCCTCCATATCGACGGTCGCCTAACCGGATGAGGATTCGGTCTCCGGGGTTCAAGTAGCCATCGTGGACATCCACAACGAGTGCTTTCTGGAAAGGGCGCTCGTGTCCTTTTTGGTCGAAGCGAATACTCAGTGATTGAACGGTAGCTGGAGTTTGACCAGGGAATAGCTTGTTTGGCACATATTCAACACTAACATAATTATCCTTCGTGCGGTCTGATGTTTGAAACAGAGCCCAGTCCTAGATGAAAATGTTAGTCAAACGCTTCATGATAAGTTCCTACTATACGAAACCACATTGCTGTCTGTACAAACACTCACCGAGTAGAATTTGAATGTACCTTTGATCCAAGCACCGTCTGCCAAACCAGACCCTCCTACTTCATATTCCAGCAAGATCTCCGTCCATTCACCCGCTACTAATGTCGTAGCGTCACTTTTGACGCGGCCAGTGAAAGGGAGTTGCTTGATATATTCATAAAGTCCCTCGGGGGCGAAGTACTCGCCCGCGAGCTGAGCCCGATCATCCTGGGCCAAATATCTCATAATAGGGACTTTCTGTGCCAACGATAATTTTTCCTTCCCCGCTCGCAAATATCTATGGAAGGGGTTTTAATTCTAAAAAGTTGAGACCGTGACGAGTCAGGTCGGCATAAACCCGCGGTGGGCCGTATCAAGCTGGTTATGGCGCCATTGCGGGAGCGGATGTCGAGATCATGAAGATGCTTGCCTACACTTCGAGCTGTTTGAAGAGATACAGCGTGGACATCTCCATTAACTACACCGCGCAGTTTATGTTAGCGCGAAAACGGCTGCAAAATCAACATGACCGATGTATTTTCTTCACCAAATTCATTTCCCATGAGAACCAATCACGATTGTGCCTCCGCATACATGGGTCATTATATTGAAAGGCTCTCTCGACCTTTACAGACACAAGATCATCGCGGCCCTCTTCAGCTTCTGGAAGTGATGGCTCGCAGCGAAATCGAGACATCTCTGCTTGACAGACCCTTGCTCAAAGTCTTTGGACTCTTTAGCTTTGGAGGGTAGTTCCACGAAGGCAAGCACCAAAAGAAGAACTGCGGTGGTCTGGCCAAAGTACCACCCATTTTCGTACTTTATTTCTCTCTCAATCTTGCCTTGGGTTGCCTGTCGGAGCGCAATAGACATGTAAAGATGCAAAGGGATATATAAGATTGCGAACAAAAGAATATAACGCCTGGGTTTTATATTGGCAAAGCAACTAGCTAGAACAACGATTATAGGCCAAGCTCCCGTAACAGAGATAAACCTGGTCGAGAGCAGGACGCGAGGCGCCTGGCCCGGCTACCTTCAAGCAATAGAAAGAAGAAAGAGAGAAAAGTTAGAATGTCTCGGAAAGTCCCCCTAAACCTGGTGATAGTTCATGGGTGCGGGTGTTGCTTCTTGAAGCCTGGTGTATTCTCCTTTGCTTGGGTGATGCCAGCTTGGATACTGGAGTTTCCCTAGTAGGGCTGCATACGAGGAATGAATGTGGTACTAGTACCTACGAGTTGAAAGCACCTTTCGGTGGCACCTATCGCTGGTTCGCTTCCTTTGATCAGAGAACTTCTTAAAGGAAGTTGGGCCCTTTAACCAAGAGTTTCATTAATTTATGCTTTGTTCGATAATTGCGGAAGCTCAATGGGGTTGTTACTTTAGCGTGTATATGCCTTCTGCTAGTTCTTTGTCGGCGGCGCCCCTCCCTATATTGATTCGGACACATCAAACAGACCAGGGTAGGGAAAAGCTTTTTTATACTGGTATGGTCCACCTGCTGCTTACTGTTACAACATCCAGAGGGTTGTAAAATCGTCCTCCACTCTCCAAACATGTCTTACATGAATATTCAGCTCGCAAAGAAAGCTCGAGATCTTGATGATCGTTCCCTTTTAGCATATATCCGAGATAAAATTCGAGATGGCGAATATTATTATCATGATGAAGCCGATATGAATAATTTTACACACATTGTGTCGGTTTGGGTATCTAGCCCCGATGTTGCTCTCCGCGAATACAATGCGTTCGCAACTTTGAGTCGATGGATTCATGACCTTCCTATCAACGGGCTTCCGCTCAATCGACGTCATATTTTCCGCTGATATTAGGATTTTATGCCGCAATTTGGTTAGCTAGACAGGATAGGCGCCAATCAATGTTGAGATCGTTCATTTCATTGTCTACAGATCACACGTGTGAATCACACTTCTCTTTCGCGCGTAAAATCAATATAGATCTCTTGTAGATAGCCCCGGGGGTTTCGCGGGTGATTAATCAACGGATCTGCGGGGAGGCGACTTTTATCTCCGGCTGACAAAACTATCGCCGTGGAAGCTCGTCGAACAATTTGCCTTCCTACATCAACGGTCCCCTCTGCCTGAACTCGATCATCGAGTCGGGATTCCAACCTTCACCTCACACCTTATCACCATGGACTCTCTCGAGTTGACAGTGCACCACCAAGGCACGCCCCATACTTTCCAAATCGCCGCATCAGCAACTCTCCAAGACCTCTCGAACCAGATCGAAACAACCTTGAACATTTCAACCGCAAACCAGAAGCTCCTTATTGCCCCCAAGCCCGGAATGAAGAAACATCCATTCCCACCTGAGCCTCTGTCCACGCTGCTCCCCCTCTCCTCTCCGAAGTTCAAGATCACTCTCCTCGGAACACCCGCCCAAGCCATCGCAGACCTCCAAGAACAATCCGCCACAATCCAACGCCAGCAACAAGCCCGCGCCGCCGCCCGCGCCTCCCAGCGCCAGCGCGCCGTGAAACCATCCTCCAGCCGCGGCGGCGTGCACACGCTCTCCTCCTCCAGCAACAACTACACCTTCCACCGCCTCCTCCCACTCTCCTACCTCCCCAACCCAGAGCGCTCGCTGCACTTCCTGGAGCGGCTCCGCGACGACCCCGGCATCCGCACCGCCATGGCCAAACACCAGTTCTCCGTCCCGCTGTTAACAGAGATGAATCCAGCAGAGCACACGACCAGCGAGTCACGCACGCTGGGCCTGAACCGGAATAAGGGCGAAGTGATCGAGCTGCGGCTCCGGACGGACGCATATGACGGGTACCGGGACTACAGGACTATCCGGAAGACGCTGTGCCACGAGCTAGCGCACTGTGTGTTCGGGGACCACGATCGCAATTTCTGGGATCTGACGAAGCAGATTGAGCGGGAGGTGGATGCCGGGGATTGGAAGTCCGGGGGTCATCGGGTGAGCGAGCAGGAATTCTACAACCCGGGTGATTGGGAGGCGCAGGGGGGATGAGGAGTACATTGATGAGTGTGGTTGGACGGGTGGTGAGTTTGTGCTGGGGGGGGTTGGGCTCGAGTGGCGCGTCAGGGTCGGAGTCTAGGAGAGAGATTCTGGCGCGAGCTGCGGAGGAGCGGATGCAGAAGGAGAAGCAGAAGCAGAAGCCTGACGATGCGCAGGGGTGAGGTGCGGGTCTCTTGTCGTGCTGTGTTTTCTGTTCTCTACTCGCGTCTTTTTTTTGGCATTATCGATACCCCCTGCATTAGTACATGTTTCGCCTCAGAACTTCTTACGGTTGATGACTATGATTTGCATTATGCGAAGCGGGAAAATATTGAATGAAATAGAACTCATGCATTTTGTACGTTTCGACTATTATTGGATATCAATTTACAGCTGCTCGTTGACGAACAGACCAGCCATGCCTTGGCCAGTTCCAATACACATGCTCGTGACCAAGATCTTCTTCTTGGTACGGCGGGCCTCGCTCAAGATCGTGGCGATCTGGCGAGCACCGGTGGCGCCCAGGGGGTGTCCAAGGGCAATGGCTCCACCACGAGGGTTGACCTTGGCGTGGTCCAGCCAAGGTTCTGGACACAGTAAACGGCCATGGATGCGAAAGCCTCGTTGATCTCGTAGATATCGACATCATTCTTGTCAAGCTGGAACTTGCTCAGCAGCTTGGGGATGGCAGCAGTTGGACCGATGCCCATGACACGGGGAGGAACGCCGGCAACGGTGGCTCCGCAGAACTTGGCCAGGATAGGCTGGTTGAGCTCGATAGCCTTGGATCGGCGCATGAGCAGGACGGCGGCAGCTACCATGACCATGTTAGTTTGGACACAAGGATAGTAGGCATTTCACTCAGAAAACATACCGCCATCAGTAACCTGGCTGGAGTTACCGCCAGTAGACTTGTCTCCAAACTGAGGGAAGGCAGGGCGAATCTTGGACAAAGACTCATAAGTAGTACCATATCGGATACCGTCATCGGCAGTCAAAGTAACTTCCTTGACTTCTCCGGTCTTAGGGTCCTTGACCTTGACAGGAATAGGCACAATCTCATCATCAAACCAGCCCGCCTTCTGAGCAGCCTCGGCCCGATTGTATGACTCTGCGGCATACTTATCTTGCAGTTCGCGGGAAATGCCAAAGTCCTTGCCAACATTCTCTGAAGTCTGGCCCATAGGCTGCATACAGTCAGCAGCTTCTTGGTTGCGCATGACCTCCTCATTGAATGGCTTCTCGAGACGGTCGCCAGAGGCAGACATCAGCTCCGCGCCCAAGGCAATACCGATGTCAATGGAACCGAGATGGATCTGGTTCGCGATATCCTGGACGGCCTTCAAGCCGGAGGAACAGAAACGGTTGACACTGGATGCGCCCGCGGTGTGCGGGATTCCAGCTGCCAAAGCGGCAGCACGCACCATGTAGGCGGCCCTACCCTCGTTCACCTATCAGTGTGTCAGTTGCGAATCCTTGATCCTCGCAATTCGATACCAATTCATGTATCAAGTCTTTCGGCTTATAGGACGTACGTTACCAAGGCACACATCCTCAATCAAGGCGGGGTCGATCTTTGATTTTTCCAGGGTCTTTTTGAGCAGCGCATACACGATGTAGTCAAGTTCGCTGTCCTTGAAGCCACCCTTTCGGGCCTTGGTGAGAGGGGTACGCAGGGACGCGGTGATCACCACATCGTCGGGGTTCTTCTGGGTGCTGTGGAATATTCTTAGCCTGGAAATTTCTTTGTTACCCAAAATGCTGATTCTTACATGGCACTAAGTCCACTGCTGTTGCCCTTGAGATGGCTCAGGAGTGAGTTCAGACGGTCTGCGGCCATGGTGACTTATATTTAGGGAGACTATGAAAACCCATATTAGCTCATTCCTATCCTTGGCATATCCGTTTTTGCTCTTTTAGCCTCCGCATCCCGGCAGGACTGGGTATTGATGCGGGGAAGCTTGCGCAGCCGAGTCTGCCACCAAGGATCGTTCAAAGGTGACGGAGACAGAGGTGATGGGGTAGAAAGGAGGTATCACTTACAAGATTGACAAAGGATGCTGGTAGAGGGAAGAGAAGAGAAGGGAAAGGCGAAACAGGGCGGGGAGGGAAGAAGACTCGGGGAAGAAGTAAAAAAGCTGACTCCGCATTAATGCTTCCCGCAAGTACCGAGGCCCGTTTTTGCTGCACCCTTTTGTACCCGCTACTTGAAGCTCTATGGTAGCTTCATACTGAATTCAGGTACCCAGTACTTCTACGCTTAACCTGCTCAACACGGGTCCAGATTTGCCTAGGTTAATACTCGGCCTTCCGTATTCGGATATGTAATCCCTCATGGTCAATTTTTATGCCTCGCTATCCAGATCCTGGCTTGGGACAATTTGTCACCGCGTCTACCAAGGCACAACACCCAGCTCATCCGAATACTGGCCCGTTTCTCCATCTTTACCCAATGTCGCCAAACGAACGATATTCATAGCAGACGCAGATGGAGGTCTTCCGATTCCCCGATTCCCAGTAAAATTTGTATTTGTCAAATTGGGGCATGAGGCGTTGACCTTCCACCCCCTTTCCCGGAACAGCGCTGCATAGTGCAAGGTCAGCATGTTCATCGCGGCCTTACTGCTGCGGTAGACCGGGAAAGACGCACTCGACATCCTCTCGAACCAGGATGTGGAGGGATCGGTCCGAAGTCCAAGGGATCCCGTATGAGATGAGACGAATACAATCCGCGCAGGCGTTGCCGTCGATTTCTCCAGCAGCGGCGTGAATGCTTCGGTGGTGATGGCAGCACCGAAGAGATTTGCTTCGTATGTATCGCGCCAGATCTGGCGCTTCTCTGACAGAGTAGGGATATGGTTTTCATCTCGGCCCTCTCCCTTATGAGCCATCTCAAGACTAATGCCGGCGTTGTTGATGAGCACGTCCAGCCTTCCGTATCTGGATTCGACTTGCTCCGCTGCTTGTTGGATGGAGGTATCATCGGTCACATCGATCGTGATCGGCTGCACGGTCTTTCCGGATGAGTCTATCTCTGCTGCTGCGTCTTGTCCATTTTTAGGATTGCGTGATCCTAGGAGGACGAGGTAATTCTCGTGGGCTGCAAGTTGCTTCGCGACATGATAGCCTATGCCTTGGTTGGCACCAGTAATCAGGACGATAGTCTGGGCACCTGAAGACATGTTGAATAAAAAAGAGGTAGGAGGATTGCTTCGTGTTGTAGAAGTCGGTCCGACTAGTATTCACGGCCTAAGTGGATGTTGACCTGCTCGGAACTGGTAGACAAAATTCGCAAGGGGCTTTCTGACTTGTAGGTATATAGTCCTGGGTACTAATCAGATATCCCAAGCTGCCAGCAGACTTGGCTACATGGCTCTTCTTTATAATCCTCAGCATAAGCCTTCATGTCAAATTTGAGTAGGCATTCAACGTGACCTATAGCGGACATTACTGTTAAAGTCCGAGATCTTTTCTCAAAACGGAGAGGCCCCCGATTAGGAAAAAATGAAGTCCTCTACTAGACGGGAATAAGATCACGCTGAACTGAATCACATCAATGTCTACCCATTCATACGGCGTTTAGCTCCGTGAATGCCAGTAGGTTCAGCCTATGCTAGGTGTCATCTACCTTGCCGCACAGAATTTCTAGGATACCGATATACACGCTACGATGCAATGTTCTTTGGTGGCCTTGAGTCAGATGAGACATCCAAGCTGCAAGGCTTCCAAAGTCCAAGTACGCAGTATTAATACATGAGGGGATTTTTTTAAGTAGGTTTCTAGCAAAATCGTACAAAAATTATCCGCCCCGAGCGTTGCATATGCGTTCCGGGTTATAGTATACTTCATACGCCTTAATCCTAAGCGAAAAAGAAAGAAAAAAACAAGATAAGCAGCATTCCCTATCCCCATCAAGACTTGCGCCGAGTTGAAACCGATCCAAGATGGCACCCATGTGAATATCGAACCGAACATCTTTTTATCAAAGCGACTATTGATGGCCAGCATCGTGGTCGCTAATGACACTGCCAACCTCTGACCAACTGGCAGGTGTGTGAAGATCGTCAATGGAATGCACGTCAAAATCACTTAGACCACCATCAGAGAAAGCGTCCACCGGCTCACGGGCCTGGTTAGAGCTACCTGCAATAGACGAGGCGGATGATATCTCATGCTGAGCTTGGTCCCCAATATCTAATCCGCTTATACCAGACATAAAATCCGACTGTTCGGTTTGATTCGAAACTGGAAATGGGTGAGAATAGTAGTAGTCCGCATGGCCCTCGGTATGGCTGGAATCAGATACAGGAGACCGCGCCCCAACGGGGGTTCCGCTAAATGGGTCAAACAATGCCTCGCCGGGTGTTTCTGACGTGGGGGTAAATTGTACATCCGATTCCGATGGATGATGAGATACCGTGTCTGAAGAAAGATCCAGAAGCAACCCTGAATCCCCTATGCTTGAGCCTTGGGGAGTATCTTTACTGATGCCTCGGCGAGTAGGCTGTTGTGCACCGGTATCAACTGCAGTGGAACTGGCGATCACATCGTCAATTTCAGCCTCGACATCTTTGGCGCTCAGCAGGTTGCCATCCTTATCCACCAACGTATCAAAGCTGTCGAGCGGTCGTGAGGAGTTTCGTGCACCTCGAAGTGATTCTAGAACTTCTGCGCGTCGCATAATCTCGGCCCGAGCAAGGCGTCTGCGTTCCTCTGCTGCTTCGCTCTCCTCTTCGGTCATAGATATGTCCTCTCGGTGGGAGTCAGAAGGGTGGATTTCATCGCCCAGATTGTGCAACGCGACGGCGAGCTTGCGTCGGGAGTTGCTCAGCCATTCTTGGAACTGAGGAGAATTGTAGACCGCGACACCTGCTGCTACTAAGACGGATACCGTCACCAGAATACCTGCATAGTCGTCAGTTCTCAAGCCTTCGTTGTGCGGAGAACTGATAAGCATCAGACCGCCGGATGGTGCCGGACAGGAAAAGCAACCCGGGTGTCTCGGTGCCAGTGTAGCTCCTCACCTTTTGCAATAGGAGCAGGCATCGTATCTATTAGCCTGTTTTTGTTAATTCGATAGTTTGCAGAAGCCCACTGAGAGCTATAAGAAATAAGAAACTTGGAAACGCCAAGCTTGCCGGAACAGATGATGATGCCTGGACCCACTTACATAAGAGCTATTTTAGGGTGGAAGGTTCCTACTCAAAACCGGAGGCAATCCGTCGCGGCGCCCTGGAAATATATCGGCGCAGAAGACAGATGATGACTACGTTTCAATGCCAATTTCAATAATGATTAGCCGCCATCCAGTTATTTTCAGGCTCTTTGGAAATCCCCTGTACGAGTAGTAACTTATCTTCAGAGTAAACTTCGATAACAAGTGCTCAGTATTCAAAGTATCTCCCAATATGGATGTACTCCACTTTAAGCACGAGATACGGGAACCAGTACGGCATAATGTGTGTTAAACTCGGTTTCAGATCTCTCGTATAAGACCGCCCGTCTTGCTCTGGACTCTGCTGAGCGCGCCCCCCCCCCCCCACCCCCCACCTTATCATGCACGCCCCCTTATCGCCCTAATACACCGCCTTTGAGGCCCCGCGCTTGGGTGTCCAACGCGCAGTTTGTTTATCTCAGTTGACTTCTGTGGTAGCGAACATGTCGCGCCAATCAACACAGCCCCAGCGGCCTCTGTCCCTGACAGAGGAGCTCGAGAAATTGGAGCAATCCATCACATTGACTCTCCAAGGTACGCCACACGCTCAACAAGTATGCGCAGGTGTTAAGGTACTAAACGCCCTTTCACTCTCTAGAAATCGACCAGAACTTTAGCCAAGCCCATAGGATCGTCACCACGAGCATATTGCCTCTTGTCGAACAATATACAGAGCATTCGCGCGATGTTTGGGATGGTGCAAAGGTGAATCACATTCGGGTGAAGGTATCATGGATGAGTACTGATGCAATGAATAGTTCTGGAAGCAATTCTTCGAAGCCAGCGCCAATGTGTCTCTGTCTGGCTACGAGGAACAGCCCAATGGCGATGAAACTGAGCAGGAACCGACCGGAACCGAAGAAGAGCTCTCTACTGATATAACACAGACCAGCACCCTGGTAACAGACGAGTCTGGTGAAACGCCCATTTTGCAACGCACCACAATTCCCGGCCACGGAGATGATCTGGATTTGACTTCACTCGCCATATCCTCACAGAGCACGCCGCGGGCCCCTGCTCCACACGATGAAGATATGACCATGTCCACTCTTGAACACTCCTCGTCGTATGAAAATCTGCGAAAGCAGATCAACGAATCCGAGGCACCGTTCGATATGCCAGATTCTTCGACTCTACCGTCTACTCCAGGCCGACAGGCCTATTTCCCACCCGGCATCTCAGCGGAAAGCCCAATGTCATCCCCATTCATCCCGCCTGTGTCGACCACCAAGAACCCCTCGGCAGTGAAGGGGTCAAAATACCAAAAGCCGTCCGACCCGGTTCTACACCGAGTAGCAGAGAAAACATACCGTGTCCAAGCAACGCCGTTGGGCAAGGGATTCCGCAACGCAGCCGGTGGATCCAAGTTCGCAATCACCCCAAAACCAGAACCCTCGAACTCCCGATATGGTTACGACGATTCGCCAATCTCTAGCCCGGAACCAGAAGTACCGCAGCTGCATTCTGAGGTTTTCTCTTCGCCGATAAAAGGCGTGACTGCGACCCCGGGGACAAATCGCAAGCGAAGAACTAGCAGCAACAAGCTTCGCGGCACTCCGAAACCAGGCATGAGTGTTTTGACCCCTGCGAAGCACACCGGTACCAGTCGAGCTCTGTGGGATAGTGACGATGACCTTGACGATGACCTTGGGCCTAGTCCGCCAAAAACGATGCAGTTTCATATTCCTCAAAGCCGATTGATGAAAACACCAGGTATGCCATAGCCTTAATTCTTCCATGTAAGCGCTGATGATGACCTAACACATATACTATCAGCCAAGGAAGCTTCTAAGCGCATTGTGACGGATCTATTGGCTACGGCCGGGGCTGACGACTTCACTGACGATTTCGACGACGGCCAGAGTCCGAGTATCATTCGCCGTTCAGACAAGATGGAAGATGACACATTCTAGTTGTATGGAATCATAGCCATTACGGTTTCAGCCTAGATCCATTTCTTCCAATTCGCCCTATGAAGAATATGTCTGGAAAGATTACAATCTGACCTTTCTAACCATCCTAAACCTTCGTACTAAGTATCGTGATTGACTTGGCTTTATGTAACAATATTAGAAGTAACTAGCGGCCTGCCTAGTCTAGGTACATATCATAAGATGCGTAAGATACAAGAACATGCAGTCAAATCCACCCCGATATCTTTCACTAAGCCGAACTCCGTACTGTAAATCAAAATGCATATCATTCATTCAAGAAAGTTCCATCCCTTCGTCATCTGCATCGATTTCGGATAATTCATCCGCAGTCGACCCGAGTCGTAATCTCGAGCCTTTATTGTCTCGGTCGGGCCCATCACTACCAAAAGAAACCATCTCGAGCTCAGGCCCAGCAACGATGCGGCCCTCGGTATCGACAACTTCGCAAAGGTCAATCAAGCTCTGGTGGCTGAGAGACTTGAAACCCTCGGAGCGAACCACCCGCCCCCAGTTGGAAAGGCAGAATTGGGCTGCGCGTCGCATCAGCCAGTGCTCGTTGGTTCTCCCTGCCCGCTCCCAAACAATGGCTGCGTTGTCCACATCGAGTTCACGGCTCAGTCGGTTCACACACAGGAGGCGCAGTTTTGGCATATCGTACAAATTGGCCATGACCAGCATACCAGCGACATCTACCACGCTCGACCGGTTTTCGGGGGGCCCGGCGATACTGTCAGTATAGAGGTAGTACAAAAATGAGCGCACGACCGAATAAGGCTCAGGGATGTGCATTCGTTTGGTATGGTACTCCGCCATTTGGGCAGAGTACAGCCGCTTGAAGTGGGGCCAACGTAACAAAAGAATAATCTTGTGAACATGGATGGGATCTGAGGTCGATGGGCTCGGTTCAACAAAGGTCGGCGACAGACCAGACGGTCCAGGTGTACCGTAGTCCACGTCATCGGTCTCTTCACCATCTCGGATGGCAGTAATCAAGAAATCCGCTCCACTGCCGGATTCAGGACGCTGGTCGAAAACAGACGAAAGATCCGCACCGAGATTTGATAATGCTGAGTTATCTGACCTTTCTGGCCAGGGAACGTCTGGCTCGGGAGTCTCGGTAGTAAGGCCGTTCCCTAGCAGACCGTATTTCTCCAGATCAATGGAGAGAATTTCACTCATGTGATTCTCATCAACGGCCCCAGGTGCATTCGACAAGTCAAGGCTGCAACCGAGCAACCACGCCTTTGTCCCCTCTGTATTGACTGTACAATAGTGCCATCTATAGCCAGGACGGAAAATTTCTCCTCCATCAGCTAGTCGTTGCCACCGTAGGGAGCTCAACTCCAACACGGACAGATTGCAATCGTGCGACCGAACTGTCTCTGACGGGGTAATCAAGTCAAGGAGAACACCGGATGCAAAAGATTGGAAATGAGTTCCTGAAAAAAGCGCCGGTACATTGGCCCCAGATTGAAACCGGAGGCAAGAAATAGCCCCTGGCGCCTGGGGCTTGCGCCGCCAAAGTTCCGGACCTGAACGCTTGCCGAATTCGCCGCATAACTCCCAGACCGGGGTGACATCTGTGTTGATTGACTGAGAGATAGAGTCTGGATAATGAGCAACGGGAAGTCGTTCGTCCGGGGAGTCCATGGTACCTTGCGGGGTGGCGGTTCCGGTCAACGAGGGCGAGCCTTTGAGATCCAACCACCAAATATCCGTGGTGCGTTCCATATTGGGGCCTAACCCTCCAAATATCCAGAGGCGGTTGCCCCAGACCCATGCGGTATGGTCAAAACGAGCTGTGAAACTCCAAGTGCGAGACCATGTCCATGTTTGTAGATCCAGATATGTCAGGTCGTCTAAAGTGGCGTTTGACTCGCCTGAGATACCCCCGACGATGAAAAGCTTATCTTCATGGATCACGGCGGCATGTCGAGCTCGTCCCCGGGGAATAGGTCCGCGGATGTCGGGAAGGGTCCACGTGAAGGTCTGTAGATCTAAGATGACAATATCGGATAAGTATTCACGGTGCTCATTTTCACCCCGAAAACGATCAATTTATTATTGTACAGGGTGGCGGTGTGTCCTAGTGGCGAAAAGCTAGTAAGCCGATGAAACGAATGCAGGAAGGAGGGATAGCGTATACCCATGCGAACTCCTGGAATATCACCATAGTTGTCGACGAGATCCCACTGAAGCGTGTTCAAGTCTAACCCGCAGGACGTGGTTGTACACTATTGTACAATTATTAGCTTGCGTGGTGAGAAAGTGCAATTGTACTTATAAGAACCGCGGACCTTCATCGGTGTATTGGTCGAATCCCCCAAAAGCATAGATGCAATCATTGCCGCAATACGTCACCGAAGCGTTCACCAGGCAAGCGGGAACATGGCCCTGTGCCTTCTGCACGGTAGGACGGTAGTCAGAATTCGTGGGGCGGCCGCCCGCAGGGCTCGCCGGTAGCAGGTATGCGTCCTGCTGTTGCATCGGAAGTCTCGAGCGAGCGGTTGGGGTGGTCGGATTGGAGAGCCTTGAAGATCCCGCCCAGGTTGAGGGGAGTCGTGCGTGTGGGTCCTGGTGGAACGACGAGGAGTGGGGGGCGGCTCCCGCCATAGAAGCCAAGGGGGACGGACTTTTGAGGCCAAGACCGAGTGTATTCACTCCAAAAGCATCGAGGACCTCAGTAGCGCTCAAATAAGATAGTCATTTTCCACTAAGGGGACAATGACGCTGCTCATTTGACAGGGCTGTTCGATTCCCCAAAGGCACAATGCCGCAAAGGGCAAAGTGCTTCGCCATGTCATGTGCCGTCATGTGCCGGAAGGCATTAAACCTAAAGCAGAATAGCGCATCCGTACCTGAGGTAACGGTTGCCCCGGTGAACATCTGCCATTCCTGATCCAGCATTCTATTTATTCCTAGTCTCGAGGTTCCCTCCTCCTCCTCCTATATTCTCTCTACACAGCTTGTGTCTCCTGTATTGGTTCTTTGCATTGCATTATCCTCCAGTGGCTGGATCCGCTGCGTTTACTAATTACCTGATATCCAAAAGCTTTCGACGTCAAAATGGCGACAGCTACAGTGACTACGCCGAAGAAGAGCCACCACGGCCTATTTTCCAGCAGGACGGCTGGTGGTCGGATGCCTTTGACGCCTTCTCCTCACGCAACCCGTACCGCAACAATTACTCCTCAGGCTTCTGAGCAGGAGTCCCCCTTTACTCCTCCTCGTCAATCGGACATGTCTCGGGGGAAACCACAGTCGGTATATGGCGGCGACCTCTCATCCTACTTTGCCAAGTCCAACCCCAAGGCCAACCCAAAGGGGAGTGCAAAGCCCAGCGCTAAGCCTTCGACTCGTCCCACTCACCGGGACTCGCCCAAGTCCAACATTGCTTCACGGGCCCGGAAATCACCCAAGCATCTCGAGCTGGGTGTCTCTGACTGGTCTCTTCCGGAACAGGCCCTTCTTCTTCACAGTCCCCTTCTAGGGAGCGCCGGCGTGAAGTGAACGTTCGCCCTCGCCCTGGAAAGAGCACATTGCGAGTGGCTCACAATACTGGTGATCGATTTATCCCCAACCGAAGTGCCAGTGAGGGTCTGGTGACCACCGGTGCAGCGAAGCCGGAAGACAACCAACGTCCCAAAACCAGTAGTGGGGAGGGTTCTACTGTCCTTGCATCTGCAAGCGCTTTTGACATCAACGCTCGAGCAGCGGAGGACGATCTTACATCCGCACTGGAGAACATGGGATTAGAAGACAATGAGCCTTCTAGCTACAGCCGCCCCGCCCCAGACTCAGTTGCATATGAGTCATCATTGGCCAACGCCTGCGACATCAACTTGAACACACGTATCCTGGCATTCAAGCCGCCTCCACCAGAGTCCACCAAGCCCATCGACTTACGTGCTCAATACAACCGTCCTCTTCGCCCCTCCAAATCCTCCGCCGCTCAGTTCCGTCGCCGTGTTCAGACCGCTCCTGAGCGAGTACTGGATGCACCCGGTCTGCTCGATGACTACTACCTCAACCTCTTGGATTGGAGCTCTGGCAACCAGGTTGCCATTGGGCTTGAGCGCAATGTCTACGTCTGGTCCGCTGAGTCGGGCACCGTCAACTGTCTTCTGGAGACATCACCCGATACATATGTGAGCAGCGTAAAGTGGAGTGGCGACGGTGCCTATGTTGGCGTTGGTCTTGGAACTGGTGAGGTTCAGATCTGGGATGTTGAAGAAGGATCCAAGCTGCGCAGTATGCATGGCCATGACTCTCGTGTTGGCGTTATGGGCTGGTCCAAGCACACTCTGTCTACGGGTGCCCGAAGTGGTCTTGTCTTCAACCACGATGTTCGTATTGCTCAGCACAAGGTCGCAGAGCTTGTCTCCCACACTTCCGAGGTTTGTGGTTTGGAATGGCGTTCCGACGGCGCACAGCTTGCTACTGGTGGTAACGACAACATGGTGAATATCTGGGATGCTCGTTCTCTCAATGCCCCCAAGTTCACCAAGACCAACCACCGTGCTGCAGTCAAGGCACTCAGCTGGTGCCCCTGGCAACTCAACCTGCTGGCTACCGGAGGTGGATCATATGACCGTCACATCCATTTCTGGAACACCACAACCGGTGCCCGCACGAACAGCATCGATACTGGATCCCAAGTCACCAGTCTTCGCTGGAGCAATCACTACCGCGAGATTGTGAGCTCCAGTGGCTTCCCAGACAACTCGTTGAGCATTTGGAGCTACCCAACTCTCGTGCGCAATGTGGAAATTCCAGCCCATGAGACTCGTGTCTTGCACAGTAGCCTGAGCCCTGATGGACAGATGCTTGCTACGGCTGCTGCAGATGAGAGCCTGAAGTTCTGGAAGGTTTTCGAGCGCAAAGCCGGCACCAGTGCCTCGGCCTCGCGTGAAGGCGGCGTTGGAAGCAAAGCACAATTAACCAAGGCCATGACGATTCGCTAGATGATTGGATCTTCTGTTGACTACCTTTCTTCGATTGTCTTTTTTTTTTTTTTGGGTTCTTGTTTTCTTATGTTAATACTTGGCTTTTTGATGATCATTGCACCATCGACGAACGCATTGGGACATTCATTTCATGTGGAGTAATAGGGCTTTTCTACACGGGGACTGGGGAGTCTGTCAGGAGCTGTATCTAGTTTTGGAATTGTACAAAATTGGACTATCATGCATCGAAAATACCTCGCCTATGCGCACAGAGAGCTGCGAAAGACAAAGACAATGGCGTATTTAATAGTTCGGGTCTAGGAGTCTCAATATCCGCTTTACCCTGTGTATGTATGACTAAGCGTCCGGAAACTGGAGTAATTTCGACTGCGGCAGCCTGACTTTCACCTTTACTACCCTATCGTCGAATATCCCCACGTCTCCCTCCCCTCTTGTCTATCATTTTAGAGTGTCTTTTTCCTTACTTACCTAGACTATCTATCGAGGCTCAGACGCTGCAATCTTGGTGAAGGTCTCAAGTGAACGTACGTCACCGGCCACCGCTCCAACGGCATCACCCGTTGCGGCGGAAGGGCCCCTTCTCTCGCCAACCACCGCGTTCTCTGTGTCTTCCTGGGCGCTCGTTTTCTCATCACGTTCGCTTTCTCGACGCGTTTCTTTCATTCCAGCCCCGACCATCCGCAGCCATGTCCAACCAGCAAGTTGTAAGTGCGGTCTCGCGACATCCTACCCTATCAAGTTACAAAGACAGCGGCAACAATAGGCATGACAGACCATGCGTATTGCTATCACTTTAGAACGCCCTTGCACATTTCGAGTCTCAAATGAAGAACGAAGCTAACCATCGGCGGTCATAGGGTCCGGTGTTCGAGCGGGTGATCCAGGAGGTCTGTGACGCCTCTCAGGTCGACTTCGAAGAAAGTGGTGTCGACCAAAAGACACTGCTTGATATGCGTGAGGTAAAGCCCCCGATCCTGGTGTTTTCTGGGTGCATTTCCAGGAGTTCGTGGACGATGAGATCTGGGGTGGCGGCCAAAGCGGGGGCCCAAGATGGTGCGGGAGGCGGTGCTTATGGGGGGAACACCAGCTTTTGAGAGGCTCTTTATATGCGCCGCTGGTACCCGCTTAGGCCACCACCAAGCGCTATCATTTGTCGATTCCCGGCTCCCTCCCCCAGCCCTACAATAGAACATCGAGGTTAATTTCTTTTTCTTTTTTTCTACAGAATTGGCAGCAAAAGCTTTCTTCTTTGAATGTCGCCCACTTCCCTTGGGATCCTCCACCACCTCAGCCTACCCCTCAAGCTGCTGCTCCATTGCCACAAACAACTGTTCCATCGAATGCCCCCCGTCCGCCCCGCAACATATGATCCCTCCCGCCTCTGTGCCACAGTCTGTCCCGACACCATCAGCACCGGTGCATGCTCCCGTTTCAGCGCCTGGGCAAATGCCCTCGGTCGCGGCAGCCCAAAGCCAGCCGCGCATTAAGACTGAGCCCGGCACCTCCCAACCCGCAATGCCTCCCATGAACCCCATGCAGATGAACACTAATCCACATGCCGCTCGTGATCGTGCTATTAGCAATATACAGCAGAAATATGGCCCAAGTGCAGCCCACTCGGTTAGTCAACTTCAGGCTCAAGGTCAGCATGGATATTCTCCGGTTGTGAACAACCCTGCCCACGGCCATATGCCACATATCAAAAACGAGCCTGGATATTCACCACTTGGAAACGGTCAAACTGATGGCGGCCGGGATGATCCTTTATCAGACTGGAAGGCCGAGGTGGCTCGTCGCCGCGAGGCAGCCCAGAATGGCGAAGGTGATCGTATGCTTCGCGAATATCTCAACCAGAACATGGTCAGCTTGGAAGGTGGTGGTCTTCTCCGTCCCATGAGTGAACACAGCAAACCTTCTGCGGCTTCACGTCGAGCGGCCCGTGCCGCAGAACATGCCGATCCTCGGACGAGTTCCACTGCGCCCCGGATTCCTGGCCAGTTCGACGGCCCTGAAGAAGAAGACGAAGATGCGATCAATTCTGATTTGGATGACCCCGACGACCTGGCCGGAGACGACCAGGATGCTGAAGAGGGGTGATGGTCAAGTGATGCTCTGTACCTATGACAAGGTCCAGCGCGTGAAGAACAAGTGGAAGTGTACCTTGAAGGATGGTATCCTCACTAGTGGTGGGAAAGAGTAAGTTTTCCCCGCTCAGTCTCAATTTTTTCGATGTTTACTCACTCGAACAGATACGTATTCCACAAGGGCCAAGGTGAATTCGAATGGTAAATCAACATCATGATCCAATTTCTACCACTCGACCCCACACTTTCTTCTTTCACGCCACCCTCCCGTCCGATCTGCAATGATTATCTACAGTTGATTATTCTGAAAAGCCCTAGTGAACAAAATCAACAGAAAAAAAAAAGGAACCTTGAATAATTTTTTTGTCTCTACCGTTATGCTTTCCTATGGTGGGTGCGGTGCGTCTTGATCTTCTTACGATTATTCCCAACGGTTATTCTTATTTTTCTTGATGAACTCACGGGCGGACGCTTCACGCTTACGCCACGAACTGCTTTCTTACTTTCCAATCGGAGCTTTCCATTTGGAATCTCCGGCGCTCGTATGCAGCTGGGGTTTTGCCTTTACGAGTGGCCTCATGTCACGATAAACCCTGCTTATGTACTAGAATGAAATGCCAAAAACTCCATAAACTTGGATTTTATGAGCCTACACTTACGAGTACAAATTTGACAGGTAGAATAATTGCAAAAGGAAGCAGGGGAAGACTTGGAATTGTAGAGCGAAACACCAGACTCAAATAAATCTAGAAACACGGCAGTAAGTCATGGAAAGACGAAAGAGCAAGCTGGAGATATCAGGGGAAAGAAACAAGTAAAATGATCAAAGCTCAAAATGTATCGAAGAAAACAAAGAGAAAATAGAAAAAAAAATAGAATCACAATCAAAACCGTATCTACACGATCGACGCCGGAGAACCGCACTTTTGTAGTTTTCCCATCCACCAGTCCCCGCCGCATCAGGCCAGGGAAGAAAGCGAACAATCAAGGTCAGAATAAGCCATCGCTATAGCTATTTCATACCCGAGGAAAATAAGGGTTCCCTCAGTTCCTAATCACATCCCAGAATCCCAATACCTGAGCCCGGTGTTGCTTTCGAAGAACGCCGTAGCGTCAACGGGTAGCGACAACAGACAGGTCAGTATTGAGGCACCCATTGGGAGGATCAAGTAAAGGGGAACAGATAACATGAACAATCGAAACAAAATGGAGCAAACGTAAGCCAAAAAGCCAGCCCGCAGAACAGGGGAAAGAGATAGCATCCGAAAACACAATAACGCAGGATATCAACACAAAATACACCCCGAGGGCCCTCAGGCAAAAGACCCGGTGTATCAAAAGGCAGAGGGCAGAACAAATAGTCTTCTAGGCAGATCTTGGAGGTCTTGATCGCTCAGAACGAGACGAAACTCGGTAAATAATGAATCCCACGGCAAGCGCATGGAACCAAAGGTGAGCAGCAACAGAATGGAACATGTCCGGGATAAGAAGAAAAAAAAATTTGAGGAAATAAAACAGGCATCAAAACTCCAAAGTTCATGACATCATGTTTGAGGGGGTATAAGATAAGACATAGCCACCCCATGAACCGTTGACATCGTCCGCATCAAATAATGATGTTGATATTATGTATGAACGAGCGAGACTCACATGAGGCCTTCTTCGCCAATCCCGGGGAGGCCAGCTCCAGCAACGTTGATGTTCTGTCCTTGCATCACACCGCCGCCCAAATTCAGGTTGCGCCCCGCTGCAAGCTGGAAATCGGGGTTGCAGGGCGGCGAGTGCGATTTGTGGTATTTGAGTCCGTTCAGATTCTTGTAGCGCTTGCCACATACTTCACAGCGATATGGCTTCTCTTTCTCCATGCCCATGGTGCCTGGGTACGGCGTTGAGGTCTCAGGATTGACGATGGAGAATGTTCCGTCCGCATTATCATGTAATTGTTGGTTGTTGTGCCCATGCTGTTTAGATATCAGTTAGATACAAAATTCCGATGGCTTTGAGACGATCAATGGAACTTACAGCCTTGTGGTACTTGAGACCATTCTGGTTCTTGTAGGCCTTTTCACAGCCGATGACGGGGCAGCGGAATGGTTTGGGCTCTTCGTTGGGAAGGATCGAGGTAGTATCGGGCACCCCAGCCAAAAGTTGTTGCTCGCGAATTCTTCGCGCAATATCACTGTTGGGGCCGTATTGAGCACCGCTAAGTTTGAATTGGGCGTTGGTTCCTCCCATCCCTCCAGTAGGGCTGAAGAGACGCTTTGCGGGCTCATCGATGCACAGGTCAACCATATCGTTGTTGCCGGTATATCCTCCAAACTGATTTCGGTTCTGGCCCATCATATTATTCTGCAACATACTCAGGTCTCCGAATCCACCTACAATACTTTCGTCGATCTCGGACGGCGTTCCTGGCGCTGATGAATCCGGAGTGTTCCGAAATTGTGATGATTGAAGAGGGTTGGCCATCAAGGTCGGGGTGTTGACGGAAGAAACAGTAGGGTTATTCTGCAGGGAAAGTGGCCGTGCAGATGATCCAATTGGGGTGCCCGGCTGAGAGGGGGTGTTGAAGCCCTGATGGCTAGGTAGCATACTCAGATTTAATTGCGGGCCCTGATTCGAGTTGCCAAAGCCACCTTGGCCACCCTCACGTAACTGAGGAGAGAATAGCTGGGAATTACCGGCATCGTCGTCTTCCATGGCATCGTCCAACTCCATGTCATCGATCGTGTCTAGATCTACGTGTTGTGACGGCGACTGGTTCTGACCCATATTGCGCTGCAAGTCCAAGGTGCGATCTGGCGGGAGGCCACGCCCTTGATTGCCATGTTGCTGGCTCTGTTGCTGTGCGATGGCGGCAGCCGCCAAGGCAGCCCGGTTATCACCCTGGCTCGGCCGATGTCCTTGGTTGGGCGATTTGGTCGCATGGGCTTCTTCGTAATGCTGTAATAGGTCATGAAGTGTCGGTAACGTCACACCGCAGCAGGAAAAGTCCCGCATGAAATTGGCCTCCAGCTTCGGGAGATATGACGAGGAATGAAATGAAGGCGACTGGAAGGTAAAAGGCGACGTGCCAGTCATGATTATGCTGCGGAGAAAAATTGCCAGGTCAGTCTTGATGCCGTGCGACAATTCGCGACACACAGGTTTTTTCGCATTTTCCCCGCGCGCCTGGATGGGGAGATTCCGCCACTCACTCATCACGTATCCAGCTCCCGACCGATACACCACCCCAGCTCATGCCGCCTACCAAGCTCCCTGCGAGCGACTCTCGCCGGCCTTTATCACGGGCGGACCCGGACATCGAGATAGGCTTTGTCCCATTTCCCCATTGTGCTGCGGCAGCACCGATCGAGTCCTTACGAGGTGGCGGTGCTTTGAAGACTCCGAGGCCTCCGCTGGCATGATGTGATATGCTGCCGGTGCGTTCTCCAGCGCCGGCTTTCTGCAAAGCCGAGGTGAGATTCGAAGCCTGCTGACCCGGTGGTGAGACCGAAGTCTGGCGCGTGGAAATGTCGATTGGAGCGGCGCCCGTCATGACGGAGGAATGGGGGAGATATATGCAGGGCGATTTAGGTTTTGCGAGAAATAAAGAACAAGAAGAGGATAGGAGGCACAGGAATCCGTGTGGACGAAGCGTATCTTTACTCTAGCAGAAAGTTTGGAGAATCCTGGTCCCCCGATCTGCGCAAAAAGAAGTCGCCCGATGAGGTGACGGGGGAGTCGGGAGGGGTATTGAAGAGGATAAAGTCGGTTCCCTCGTTCGGAGTGCAGTTCGGTGGACTCCAAAGGGTACCGGGAGGTATGTGACGAACAGACGACTTGGGAAACTTGTCGTCCGAATGCCCCTCGATGGGTGTGAACTTTTGAGTGGATGGAGGTTTTGGGCGGGTTCGAGGGAGTCCACCCTCGGATGAAGTCCCGCTCTGACTGGGGCCCAGCGGACCAGTTTTAGCTGAAGTGGCGATAGCACGCCCCCAGTTGCTATTTCGGGAGAAGTAAGGTCTACAGAAAGACCTGGAATCTTTGTAATGCTTTAACGCTCACAAGATGGAGGGCTGGTTGGGAAGGGAGGGAGAGTATTCGTAGCGATGCGCTCGATGGAGGACTATGGCCGAATGGCACCTTTTCCGCGTTGGGACTAGCGCGGTTCTGGTATTACGCTCCACGTGAGCAACGATCGTTCATTCGCTCCTTCGGACTGGTGAAATTGTAGTTCTTACACGATATGATTCAGTCTCTGGAGTGATGAGCTCCTTCACCGACCCGGTCCCGGTCTCAGGAAAGATGGTCATGATAGTTCACTCCTTTTATCAAGGAGCAGGTGCACTATGAGATCGGGATCTGGGGAAGGGCGAGGTATGCGATGCCGGGGACCCAGAAGTACAATGATGCCACGACGTTACCGCTTGCAGGCTCAATACCGTGACGGGGCTGAAACACGGTAATAATTCTCCTTGTGCCTTGCCCGTGGCCCTACGTAGTATAGTCTACGTAAGTAGAATAAAATAGGTCAGGGGATCCCAATCTATTCTACCCATACTAAGCCATACCTTAAATTTGGGGGAACGCCCGACATGCGCTAGCCATTGATTAGCGTTTGAATAGCGCCGTCCAGAGCCAGAAGATTCCCCGATGAGAATCTCATGTCTTGCCGACTGTGGAGACCGCGATCCAGCGAGATTCAGATGCATCGTACGCCTCTGAATCGGCTGATTCCCATGGTTATTTTCTTCTAGACAAACCCCGTTAAGGGCCCAATATCAAAACTGCAGGATAGATTCAAATGCTCCCAGATCTGGGGTCATGCAAGGGGCAGATAAGCCCGGTGGCGAAGGATGGTGATCCGCCGAGGTCGCCAGAAAGAGTCGTCATTCGGTCACCATTGCGCATCCTATTACCCGGTCGGGTCTCCTGTAGTCTACAATCCTCTCGTCCTATCGTCCCATACTAGCGGTCTATACAACTTATCTACCTATATGAATGATCTATGATTAATATATATATCTTGAAGAAAGCATTTCTGGAATATGGCTATATGTTCTCCGAACACCCCATCCCCGTAATTATGATTATTCTCCTGTTCCGACTAATGTGGCGAACCCAGAACAACGGGTCTTGGCGTTGGCGCTAGAAACGCGGCAGAAGCATTCGGTCGACCTTCGATCAATTAGCGTCGCCCGGAGTTCTTTAGGCCCGTTGAATGTTTCAATGATACACGAACACACCGCCCCGCTTTCTACTCCAATTTGGGACCCTCGCGGGGCCTGTATCCCCTCGAATCGCGGACAGGACTATACCCCAATGATCGCCGTTCATCCACACGCAGTCACCAATCCCCTCAGTTTGGGAGATTGCGTATCGCGGCCTCAAATGGATAGCCCCGTCCGCGATCAGCAGCTCGCCTGAGTCTCCCGAAAAGGAACCTCGCTGCGACTCTTCGGAATTTTTCCGGGGATGCCTCGGTGGCATGATGACTGTGCAGCCGCCTGTTCAAGCTGTGAACCTCGGATGTGATAACTTCTTGAGCTGCAAATGTGAGAGCGATCATGGAGAATTTGATGCAGCTTCCCCGGGTCGCAGAAACATTTTCCAAACGGTCTTAGTGATATAAGTATAGACGGCTTTGGATACGGCGAATACTGGCATGTAACATGTAAGTACGGTATGTGAGCTGTAAAGAGGTCCCCCATTCGCTGGAGTCCACCGCCTCGGGTCAAGTTGAGGATTCGATCTACGAGAACAAACGTCACTATGAATTCACTTAAGCATTGATTAGAGTTGGTCTTCATGAATCGATTCTACACTCTCCCATGAATTATTGCCAATAGCACTAAGATTATTCGGTTCCTAAACGTACGGGAGGCCTCCTTCTCGGCCAATAACTGGCACAGACTACAGTATTCCGCAATTTGACATTTCAACATAATGGGGTCTCGAAGTGGCTGGTTTATCTGGCTAGCCTATTATAAATTACGTGGTCAATCGTACGCAAGGGCCTCCACGCCCAGATCATCAAAGTATACTGTAGTATGGAAGAGCGGCCTCCAATTTAGGTTGAAGTTGAAGGTCCACATATACTGGGCCAAATTAAGTAGAACAATTGGCAACGGCTAGTAGTTGTCGAAAAGGAAGATCACCATATCGTGACCTGAGATACAGGTGCTGTGGAGGTTTGCTGCGAACCTGCTGGGGTGTCCACGGCAATGGAGTTGATGTTGGGGCAAGGTTATCTATGGTTGACATACATCTCGTCTGATCTTTTTGTGGAGCAAGATGAATACTGCCGTTGTGGGGAAGGGCTTGTCGTTGTCTTGCCTCTGTCTCTTTCTGTTCCTTTTTTAGCTCTCGTTTTAAAAATCTTGGTAAATCTGCAGTTTGGACGTTCTAGCCTCCATTGACACTGGAAAGCTGATGCGCTCGCTTACTCGATCGCGAGTAGGGAGCTAGGAGCGATTTATGTTCACCAACACTGGTATCGACGATCATTACTAGCACATACCACGCAACTCAAGTATTGTCGGGGTGGGTTGGAGAAATAAGACAGCATGTGAAATTCACAATGCTTCCATGATCATGCCACTCCCAGAGCTCGGTCATTGTCACGGGTACTAACCCTCTGGTGAATTCGAGATCAAATCAGGCTTACCTAGTTCAACTCCAAGTTCGAGATATGGGTATTCCACAAGCATCGGTGAAACTGGTGTTAATCGAAGCTAAAAGGGAAGTCTAGTAGTATCTTCAGATCAGCTGGTAAACACTTTCGCGTTCTCCTACCCGTGGAGTCGTGGACTGTAGTGGTGAGTTCGGTAAACTGGCACAAGTACGAGCGGTATCCATGGATGCCTAAATATCAGTACATTTCATTTTTCAATACCTAACTAGGTAGATACTGGTTCTTTCGCACATCTCTTGAAGACATCTTTGAAGTCACGACCTCACAAATCACGCCACAGCCTCCGTATATCAGCTTTTGGGCAAACATTCCTCAAAGATATCTGTCTGGAGATTAGAGTCCCGGAGCCACATGCACTTGTCATCAACAATGAAAAGACATGTTGCAAGATATACCCCAGGTTCTAGACCTTGTTCTAGATATGCAGATCAAGGTCCAGACAAATCTAATCTCCGCAACCCCTATCCCTTCGTTTTCCGGCCGGCTAAGACATCCAGAATAAGTTTCCCGAGTCCCTTGCCGATTTCTTCCGACGCACATTTTCACATTTCCCCGCACCGTCACCCTTCGACTTCTCCCGACAAATGCGGGGTCTGCCTAGACATCTGGATCTGCAATGGATGACATGTTGGCTCTGTTGCGAAGCTCAAGTTAGGTGCGGGCGAACCAAGAGGTCGGGTGAGATTCTCGGGTGAGATTCGGGGTATTTCGGCGGCGCTTGGGTTCAAGTTGCTGGATGTGCTTAGTTTGGGGTTCGACACTAGTATTTGCCCTCGGGATGTGTTTATCGTGTTTTCGAATTCATGATCCATGAACAGGGGGCGATTCCAAGTTGTAATAACCTGGCTTAATCATGCAGTCGCAGGTGCGAATACTAGCTTGCCAGTGGGTTCAACGTCAAGTTGTTGTCGAGATGCGCAGTAAGCTTTCGGTGCCGTTATATGTATGCACGACATTATCAAGTTCGTGTCTGGCCATGTGACGATAGCTTCTAGAAGTGTCTGTGAAGAGCCTCAGTGGATTCGAACTTAATATGAGGTTAAACTAGTATACTGGCGTGCAGATACTAGTACGAACATGCCCTACTACCATTGAATGATAAAACCGGAAGAAAAGCTCACCAGAGATGCGTCTGATCGACAATGACCAATGCTTCTTCGAGGGACGCGAGACACAAGACACAAGAAGCCTCCCTACAAGAATGAATAAGGCCCTTTTTACAAGAATAAAGTTGGCTTGATAGGTAACTGACCTCCCTATCTTGTATATTCCGAAACAAAAGACACTGGGCACACCTTCGGAAATATCCAGTCTCGTGCCAAGCACCAAATCACTATTTGCACTGCTACAGGGAAACTCGAATGAGTCGTTGACGTGGACTTGCATAAAAGGACATGTCAACCCCCACCATGGCGATGATTGGGGATCGACCTGCATATTCAGGCGTCCGAATATTTGTCAACTGGGCAGCTTCGCGCTCATGTCACCCTGCCGCTAAGGAGGGGTCGGAACGAGGGGCCGGACCAAAGGAAAGAGCTAAAGAATGACCATGCCAAGGGAGCTTTGAAACAAACACCGTCTTAGCTTTTATTCAAAAATCATCCCCATCTTATCTTGCGCCGAAGACGCCAGTGTTCACCGATGCCCCATTCAACGCATCAGGTGGGAGTCGTAGGGACCTCATGCGCCATGTGACTACAACCAAGGCAGATCATTGGACGTAGATACGATTGCAGCGACAGCAATATAGTAAACGTTGCACATCAAGATCTTCAGCGGAAGGAGCGGTGCGGGGGGGCGGAAAGGCACCATCTTTAAGGGGGCCCCTTCGTCGCTCCACCGCAGTCTCACCGAACGACCAACGCAGCACGACCAACGCAGCACAGTCGACACGTAGGACCGCGGACCAATACGAGGAGAAAGCTGATCAACGTGGACGATATTGTCATTCCGCGAATGCGAGCTTATCAGCTGGCATGGTAACAGGAATGAGTAGAAGCCGACTTGGCAAGGTTAACAAAAAAGAAAGGATCTGGAGATCTTCGTGAATCAATCTTGGCTGTGCAACATGACCTCAGCCCCAGAGCCAAGGCATATCAAACACCGGCCTTGGCGGATCTTCAGCGCGTCCACTTGGCGTTACTTGGCAGGTATTCAGGATCTCCTCCCTCGCATCAGGAGCTGCTTATTGTCTGGGCATTACGGAGTATGTGGTAGTGGACTAGAGGACGTGGGAATTTCAAGTGGTATTGCAAATTGGCCTAATCTTGGTTTCCCAATTCATGCATCAAATCAACCGAATCAGATAGCGCCGCTAACGCCCCTATTGCTTTCCTTCAGATCCCTTTTGGGATGAACCTTGGTTGATCCTTCGTAAACCAACGGGAGAATAGAACATAGTGATCCTTGGGCTAGGAAAAAAAAAAAGAAGTATAGATCGCTAGTGGGAATAGAACACAGAAATGACAAGGACGAGGTGGATGCTGCTCTATTGAGAAGCACGGCGGGACTTGGTGTTGCCCAGGAATAGGTAGCCACTCGGGTGAATGTCCGATACAGCCGACGAGGTGGACGAAGTGCTGTCAGCGCGGTGCAATTTGGAGTGAGCGTCGACAGCGGTAGCCTCGGTCAGGACTTCTTCGTCGTAGCCGCGCATGTCAGGAGTTGACTCGGTAGGTGACAGGACCAGGAACTTGTTGCCTGGGTGGAAGGGGGCCGATGAAGGGACCGAGAGGACGAGGAAGCGGCTGGTGGGAGTGTAGGTGTACATTGTAGGCAGTTTTCTTTGTATGGCAAAGCGTGGGAGTCTCTATAATGCGGATGCCTCGAGATGGGTAAACTGGAAAAGTTTAGGCTTTGGTAGAGCGTAAGGCAGCGGGCTAGAGGTGGAAAAAAAAGTGAGCCGAAACAGGGAAATTCGGCCTCCTTTATATCTGACCGAGAGACCGAGGGGTATCTCAATGATGCACGAGGATGTCGATCTAGCGTATCTCAGCTTGGGTGGAGGGTGGATACCCGAACTTGCGTAGGAGCAAGCCTCCCCGCGATAATCGGTTGTAATAGGTAATTCCGAACAAGCTGATAAAACCCCCTTTCGCCCACTTAGATGCCTTGACCCAGAAAAAGAAAGCACAATACTCCGAAAGGGGGGAGGGGTCTGACCGGCCAAGATAGGGCTATCGGTTTATCTTGCAGCTATCGTTCTGCCTCCCTAATTCTTCGCCAATTTCGCCCCTCTTGGCTCTGGAATTTGGGCTGTCTGGGGTCACACCGGTACCAACCCAGGCGATTCATTCCCAGACAAGACACGGAGGATACCACTCTCTTCTTGGCGTTGAACCCCCTGCTAGAGGAGTTTTAGCCACCCCATTGCGCAATTTGAACTTTCTGTTCACTGGGATCGCCCCGCGGCAAGCCGAAAGTCAATGAAAGCCTCGGAAGATCCGCTTATCCGCAGATTTCCAGGATGAGGGGCCAAGCAGAAGGAATTTCACAGGCCAACGGGGGCCCCCTTTCCGTGTATGGTGGGAGACAAAGTGTTACTCCGCATCTGGGGGCATAGGTGCTGACTTGTCCCCCGCTAGATCATCCCGATTGTATCCGCATTTCGAAGGCTGTTTCTCGCATGCCATAGATCATACTCAGCCAATCTCCGAGTAGGTTTTCCTTTCCCTCGGAAGAATACGTGATCTTTGGCTAGAAGCAGAACAATGATACGGTAGGTGACATCATAGACGCTGCGACCGCGTGTCTCGAGATCCCTAGAGCAAAGATGCCGTTCAACTCGCGTGCTTATTTGTCGCCGAACAAGTACGCAGCAGAACAATCCCATGTGAGAAAAGATTTGAGACCGCTGTTCATATCCGACGGAGCATCTCGTAGAAATAATTTTGTAAAATGTCGCAGAGAGGAGAGGGTTCTCCGGTCGCTTCCCCGGGGTCCGCATGGGGCACAGGCTGATCAGGTTGGAAATCCTAACAAACATCGTCCTCTGGAGCACCGTCACGTGTTATGTTGCGCCCTGCGACAAGTCCATTTTGTTTCCCTTTGTTCTCCCCTGAAAATGAGGAAATTGGGGATCCTTAGCGACAAGATCTTCGAAAGGTTGAGAGACCAACAGCGCTTAAACTGTGCCAGGGACCTGTGGAGACGCTGTGCTTGGTCGCTCTGTGCTGCCGTCCCCATCACCCGGACTCGCAAGGCACAACAGCACAGTTCCAGCAGTTTCGTTAAATGAGCTCGACTGCGCCGCTCCTGCAATTCCCTCGCCTGTTAGTCAGGCCCCAGAGGGGTCTATAGGCCCAGAATCCACCGTTGTTTTAATGACTTCTCGGCGGCTCCATTGCCAGGCCCCATCAACCCAACATGAGCGCACAGGAGCTTGCTATCCCAGATATGACAGGTGGTCCTTCTTAGCACCGGCTTTTCGAGCTTTCTTGTTCGTCTAAGATTACCACCAAGCAACATCGACCTGCGATAGCACAGCCTTTGCAAAGTCTAAACTCCCATCACCAACTGCTCGAGCCGCATGGGTTGTAACCGCGCTTTCTTCGACCAATGACGCATACTTGAGAGGGATAGACATGGTCTATCCTCGGTGCCCCCCCCCCCCCCAACGTTGTCAACACCGCAGGACCCCTGCGAATGTCCAAGAGCTTTTGCTTCCGGATCCTCGTTCTAGCGGCAAATCCTCAATCCCATGGTTCTACGGGTTGCTTGGATTGATCGTGGGAGCGGTGATTGGTCGCAGCCGCCATCCAGACCACGGTCCCCGTCTACTAAAATTTTCCCTAATTGGTCCACATTTATTTATTTATTTATTTATTATTTTCGACTATTCCATTTCTCTCTAATATCATAGGACCAAATCAACCAACACAGCCCTGGGGGAGGAACTTCCTCCCCCTCTCCCCCCGGCTCCGGGACACCACATGGCCCCCCTTCTGGAAGTAGGGTAAAGAAAAAAAAGAAAAGAAAAAGAAAAAGATGGACCCGAAAGACCAAAGAGCTGTGCATAGGCTCTCCACGAGGCCTGCGGCGGGTGCCCCAAACCAGTGCGAAAAGCAAGAAATGACATGCTGTACATGTCAGGTGAGCTAAATGATATGTGCCTTGCTCTTTGTTCGCGCAGTGTTGGGTGTGATGTGCCACTCTATTCGTCGAAGGGGCCGGTGGGTGCACCTGTTGGTCGAGATACGAGTCGCGGATTTGGCGCGGGTCCTACGGAATGATGTCAAGGCTGGCCTGTGAGTAGCTAACAGAACTCTAAAGCAGATTGGAGTAATCGCCCTGATCAACAGTTCGCTGCGCACTTTGCAAAAGCTCACCAGGTGCGCCCCTCCCCGATGATCCACATAACCGCCATCATGTCTGTATTGTTGGCATCGTCCGCGCGCAGAGACTCGATCTTGCTCTCGGCCTTCCCCTCTTTGTTCTCGTCACCTTTGCGAGTGACCGCCAACTCTCGGGATGCATATCGCTCAGCAATAAGTCCTGCGCAGAGGCGAAGAGGGGGCCCAACAGAACGGTGGCAGACTGATTGTTGCCTCTGTCCTGTCGAGGGGTTGGTGTCTTTGTTCTCCGTATGCACAGCGGGCGTAGTCACTTCATTTTGATAGATATTCGAGGATGCTCGATATAAAGCTGGCCCTGAGCCCCTTCTTCCTTTTACTAAATCCAAGCCATTCAACAATCAACCTTCTACTACTCCAAACCGTTCCTCTACATCTTCACTCCAAGTCCTTGGGATATACTCCGAACTCACTATTTCTCTTCTCCTTCTGCGAGTTTTCTAATTCGGTCCTCAATTCCACCGAAAAGATGTGTTCCGTGTACATTTTCGAATACGACTGCGGCTGCACCGTCGCCGAGGGAGGTGTTATCCCCTGCGCGAAGAAGGGCACGCCAGAATGCAATGGCGTGAAGGAATACCACCGCAGGCGAACTGGCTACAACTGCCCTCTACACGAGTGAAATGACAAGAAACAAGCGATTCCCAACTCCAAGGTTTGTGGTACTCGGTCTACCGTCTCTTTGAGCAGGCGCTCGCTTGGATAGGGTTTTTCAGAGCCTCTAACACTATCTCCGCAGGCACGGTCTGGCCATGTAGGCATCAGCCGAAGAGCCAATCTCCATGGCCATAAGTTCCAACACCTGCGCCTATAGATCATACCCGCATATTGTGGATCCAAGGGATAGTTTTCTCGTGCTGTGCCTGTGATTGTGGAGCTTTTCCTTCTTTTAGCCTTTTTTCCCCCCTTTCGTCTTATGCTGGATTCGATTGTGTCTCTCTTTTTGATCTGGTCTTGAAGACGGCTTTGTAAAGTACCGACCTGTGATTTACCAGATCCAGTTAATAGTACGTCATTTTTTTCGACTTAACAGCTCGACATGGGCGTGTTCAGCCTCGATCCGTGTACTGTACTGGACAAGCATGACCTGTTATTGGCCCCCTATATCTCGAGATCCATTCCAAGTCCTACAGAAGACGAAGGAATACTAATTAAATGGATAAGGTGCCTCTAAAAGCTACCTACCGAGTGACTGACTCCTAGCTGGGGCTATGATAGAACGGCATTAGACAAGAGAATACCCTTAATAGCATCCATTGAGAATTAGTGGTCGTCTCCAATCATTTGAACCATCCTAGATTTGAATTGATAAGTGGTCGGGGTATTAGGGCCGGTTATACAGGCAGTAAAGGAGGTAGGGGAGAGGGTAAAATAGGGGAGGGCGGAGGACAGTAGAGAGGGGATGGGCCTCAATACCCTAGCGAGCGGGGCGATAAAGCGCCCCGGGGCCATAATCTTGGTCTTGGGGCCGCGGATGCTATCCGGCCACTTCTCGGAGAATGCGGAGCTCTATCGATTCGGTGATTGAAGCCATACCATAGATTGACGCTGCGCAAGGTTCCTTTTTGAAAAGCTGATTTGCATGGCGGACGTTGATGCTTGAAGTTGATGGTCTTCCTTTCCTAGAGTCCGGAATCACATGAACCAGCATGCTCATTGACGCTCTATCCCTTGACCTGTCGAAACTTAATAAGGGCAGTTGGTCGCTCAAGCTAGAACCAGACTTGCTCGGCGGCAGAGGGGCCACTAAACTTGAACAGGACTGCAGGCACGGACCAGCGGCGTTGGCCCAAGAATCAACCATGTCCAATGATCTTAGTGAAATTCCTCTCTGGCCAATCAGCACTGCGTGAATTAAAGTTCAAAAGCTCTTGTACGGAGTACGGAGTAGACTTGAATTGCTTTGCGTCACGTTGCGTGGTCGATCTACGGCGTCGTTGCAAATCACGTGGTCCCGCGTTAACCGGGTTTCGCCTCTGGCGCTTCTTCTCTCCCGCGTATACCAGGATCGTGGAACTGGAACGACGAGGTCATCTCCGCATATGTGATGTCCATCGAAGTCGACTGGGCGGCGGCCACCTCTGGCCCGGACGGTGAAGCCCTAGCGGAGCGGATTCGCGCATTTGTCCACGACAAGTTCCAGCAAGTACCTCTGCCACGCTTTATCCGCTCAGTCCAAGTACATTCCTTCGAGTTTGGAACAATTGCCCCCGACTTCGAGATCAAAGACTTCTGCGAACCATTCGCCGATTTCTACGAAGAAGATGACGATGATACGTCCGCAACATCAGAGGAGCTTTCAGAGCAGTGGTCTCACTCTGACTATGACGATGGCCTGCAATTGAACCACGCTCATAGCCCTCACAGCCATCCCCCATACCCCGGTGAAGCGTTCCAGCCTTCCGCCCTGCGATACCCATTACCCCTTGGGGACCACCTCAATCCGCACTTCCTGCCCCGCGCAGGGACCCCCGGCATCCCAGGCGGCACGTCCACCCTTGGCCACCATCTGATGTCGTTTGGAGGCCTCTCAGGATCTCAAACCCCCCCTTGCAGCCATCGCGGGGAGTAGCCAATTTGCAAACGGTTGGCCTGAGCCGCCATTAGCTCAAGCTAATCGCCCACGACCTCGCCCACCCCAACGGCCAGACCCCGAACTCGACACCACCACCTCCGCCTCACGACCCTCGACCGCAAACACTCACCCCTCACACCCATCCATCGCCCAAACTGGCAGCAGCGGATCAAACCAAAATGCTCCAGATCCAGCCGACATTCCCCAGCCCTCCACCGAGCAAACCATCGACCCTTCCGCCCCCATCCCGCCGCGCATGCGCGAGCGCCGCCCCGAAGATTTCCAGATCTTGTGCCACGTGAAGTACGCCGGGGACGTGCGTATGTCACTTACAGCCGAAATCCTCCTGGACTACCCCATGCCCAGCTTCGTGGGGCTGCCGCTCAAGCTCAACGTTACAGGGATCACGTTCGACGGAGTCGCTGTGGTCGCGTACATTCGCAAACGTGTGCACTTTTGTTTCCTCTCGCCGGAAGATGCGGATGCGCTGCTCGGCTCGGAAGCCCAGGACCAGGGGAGTCGGAATCCCAGCGATGACGGGCGGTCCCGGTCTGGGAGTGACCAGAAGCGGCAGGGCGGGTTGCTGCAGGAGATCCGGGTGGAGAGTGAGATCGGGCGGAAGGAAGAGGGGAAGCAAATGCTGAAGAACGTTGGCAAAGTGGAGCGCTTCGTACTTGCTCAGGTGCGGCGGATCTTTGAGGAGGAACTCGTATACCCCAGCTTCTGGACTTTTCTTATCTAGGACTGACCCTAGGAGAATTGGAATGGATATCCTAGGATTGAATCCCCTTTGAATGGTCAAATATTGTACAACTACAGAACTTGATAATTGCAATGATGTTATGACCCGAGAAAATTATCTGCAATGCACAGTAACCTGGTCCAACTTAAAAAAACAAGAGGGGAAGATGAGGCGATGTCAAATAAAACATCATCCGCAAACTCTTTGAGAGTATCTTTAACAAGACAAGCGACAGAAAGAGAAAATTCAAAGCTTCTTTTTCGAAAACTAGACTTCGTCCAGTTGAAACCGTGAACGGCTTGAGACTCGATGCACTCAAACAAAAGCATACCGTGCAGGTCAGCACTCGGCGAGGTAGGCAACCATAAGTCTTCAATCAAGAAGTGAAGAGCATGTCATTGAGAAAAGCCGCTTCGAAACAAGTACGTGAGGGACAGCTTAGAAGCACAGAGGCATAAAAGCACACCACAATTGGCTCGAAACAGTCCTTTTTGACCAAGGAAAATGGCTTCCTCTACTGGCCCTTCTTTTCGTTCTTATCACCCTTATTACCAGAAACCTGGTCACCGAGCTTGTAGTACTCAGAAGACAGGCCCTCAGCCTGCTTCTTCAGGGTCTCGATATCGCGGTCCTTGGCCTCGAGCTCCTTCTTCAAGCGACCAATCTCACCGAGGGAGCCAGCCTCGGCGACGCGAGCAGAATCCTTGCCACCAGCGCGCTTGTCACCCTCGAGCAGCTTGACACGGTCCTCAAGGCGCAGGACCTCCAGGATCATGGTGTAAGTGCGGTTGAGGATCAGAGAGAGGAACAGGGTGAAACCGCAAAGGTACATGTTCCGCTGGGAGTAGAACTTGCGGGCTTGAACCTCCATGCGGTCGGTCCCGAGGTGGGCGGCGCTATTCAAGGCGGATTTGTTAGCATTGTACGAACGGTTCGGGCGAGGAACTTTCGGGGAGCGTACCCGATCCCGTTGCCTTCCTTCGAGAATGCAGACAGCTCCTGCTGCACTCGGAAGACGCGGTTAACGCTGTCAATGAACAGGATGAGGATGAAGATAAAGGTTATCTGAGACATGTAAGTCAATGCATGATGCAGTAGGCGGCGCTTTGCGGAGCTCACCTTCAGGCCATATTGGAGTTTGGCTACGATCGGGCTCTCCGAAATGAAGGCGAAGAGCTTCCGCTTGATGGTGAATGGCAGAGGCACAATGAGGGCCATGAAGACCGCCATCTCAAACACCAAGAGAAGAAACGTCTGTCCATCGTATGTTTGTTAGCATGGCGCTTAATACAGGAAACGTTGTCACAAAATTGCTGGGTCGGCACATTCTGGATGAGCTGGTGCTAGCAGCTAATCTGCAACAGCCCACCGGTCGCACGGAGAGAAGGCTGGATACAGAGGGTTGCCACATACAAGACTGTAATAGAGAGTCATTTTGACTGGATTGAAGTTCTGAATTGGCCCTCAACGGCAAAATCTGTGGATGAGGAACAGGGGTAAGTGGGGTTGGTTGCTGGGGACTCGGAGCTCTGACACAAGCTAGCTTGTGTAAACAGAAAACTAGCGAGACGGATATCAGAGCGAAGACAGGCAGAAGCCAAGTAGATGTAGAGAGGAAATCTGGAATGCTCTGCTGGTAGTTAGGCAGCAAACAGAATTGGGGCCAGCTGGTGAAAGTTGGCAAGTTGAACAAAGCCTCTTTTTATGGGGGAAGTTCCCTGCTCACGGCGTGGACGTCATCGATAGATTCCGCACGTGATCATATAGGCAGCTCTATTCACCCACTGCTTCAAAACATTTTACGATTGGGCATTTACTCTGAGATTTATGAATGCGAATCTCTTTGAATACGAATATCTTTTGATTCTATTGACTTTTTATCATCTTAGCCCTCGGCCTCGTAGGCGTTGGACTTGTGCTTCGGCTCGAACTTGAAATCCGGGTGTGCTGGGCCAAGGAACATCTCACTTAGAGAAATATTAGTTTATCATGCTCACGAGAAAGAGAATAGCAAAGAAAATGTGCTTGGCTTACGTGATCTTGATCCAATCCTTGTAGTTCCCACTGCCCATAAGAGTCTCCAACTCGTTACGTCCGCGCCAGGCCCTGGGGCGATCGTTGATACGAGGAGGAAGATACTCTAGGATCCCGAGCGGAACATATCGATAGGTAAAGCTGAGCCACTCAAGCAGGAAGCGGCGGGTCGTGCCAATGCCATACTCATCTGATCCCCAAGCCTCAAGCCCATACTTGGCGAATTTCTCGACGTATGCGAGACGCTCCGTTGCAGACTTGTCCAGGTACTGCCCCGTCTGGATTTCCTCGAAGATCCAAGGCTTAATCAGGGCACCGCGTCCCACCATGACCGAATCCACACCAGCATTGCGGATGTGCTCGTCGTAGTCAATGTGCGAAATACAATCACCATTGCCGAGGAAATAGGTCTTGCCTCCATTGGGCAGGTACCGAGCATCGGGTTGGCGGATAGTGTCGGTAATTGAAGCGTTTGTCTCGTTCATGCGCTTGATCAGGGCCGAACACTCCGCAATGTAGCTCCAGTCTGCCTGACGTGTATATCGCTGCTGTCGGCTTCGCCCATGAAGCGTAATAGCGGCAACACCCGGAGGGCCAACCTCAAGCCGGTTTGATTCGTGCCCACCCATAACGAGGCGTTCAATAAGCTTTTGTGCCGTTGGGGAGTTGTCCTTGGTTCCCATTCGAATTTTGACAGTGATGGGGATCTCTTGGGAGACCATATTCATACCCCGAAGCATCTTCTCCAGCTTAGATTGGTGATCAAGGAGGGCAGAGCCGGCACCTTCACGGAATAACAGCTCGATGGGACACCCACAATTGAGATCGATGACACGCAAATTAGGAGTGTACTTTGACAGAGCCTCTGTTGCCTTGAGGACCTGCCATGGCTTGTTTCCAGCGATCTGAGCGCCGAACTTCATATCTTTAGAGTTGTCATATCCTTGAACGACGTTCTCCCCGGAGGTAATGGTTGGAGGAAGCATTTCCGACTCATGGGCTTTCAGTAGAGTCCACTCAGACTTCTGACCTTGAATCAATGGCAAGCTTAGGGCCATCTCAGAGTAGGTGAACTGGGCACCGAGATCAGTACATAGTCGTCGGAATGGCAAGTTACCCTGAGTCGTCAGAGGGGCGAGTGTTGGAGTCTCAGGACCGAAATAGATGCGGCGTTTCTCAGAGGGCAAGAATGGCGGTTCAGTGTACGTCGCTCGTTGTTCTTCTCGCACTTCCTTGGCCTCGTCGGCATCGTTGGTTGGAGTATCCTCGCCTTCCTTCTGCTCTCCTCTACCTTGCATCTCTCTTTCTAGCTCCTTTGAAACCGTGTTAAGCCACTGGGTAACGGCGTTCGCGCGAGTGAGTTCATCTCGCTTGCGAGAAAGCGCGAGCTTGTCTTCCGCAGAAATAATATTGACAAGCCCATCTTCAGAGGCGAATGGAACCCTTGGCTTGTACCTCGCCTTCCGCTCATCGTCCTCCAGCAGAATAAGCTCTTTCTTGCCATCTTCTGTTTCCCGCTCAGTCGAGTGGGAGCCAACCAGGCGGCACTTCCACCCGGAGTGACACTTCCCCGAAAGTATCCCACACAGGGCAAAGGTTGTTGAAGGTTGTAAGGTTCTCGCGCTTGTGCTCTGTCAGATAGACCCGTAAGTCATGCTCCATACGGCATTTATCTCCGTAGGTACACTCCTTTGGCGAAAACTCGGGAGAAAATGCTCGAGACAAGCAAAGAGCCTTCGCATCCCTCGAGCTGCCGAAGCTACGGTTGGTGTTCTGGCCCGTGGGCTTCTTTTTCTTCTTGTCCTTCTTGCCGCCAGACTCGCCTTCGCGTTCAATATGAGACGCTTCCTCGGCAGCATCGTCGGCATTGGTCTCGTCAATTGCTGGTTGCTTGGGCTCGCTGGGAATTAGAAACCTTCATTCTTGTAAGCCCGCTAGTCGAACATTGAGCAGAATGCTTGGGGGTATATACTCTTTTTTGATGGGCGCAATTCCACTCTCACGCGGCGGGCGCTCTGACCCATCCATTTCTGAGGAAGGATCTAGTCGTGCCTTTTTGGTAGGAGGTTCATCGTTTGCATTGGATCCGTTCAAACTGTGCTGTTTCTTATCCAGGTCCTTGTCGGCCAGCCCTTGGGCCAGACTTGAGTCCATTGTGATTTTAACGTAGCCGAGTCACCTTTGCCTCAATCAAATCGGATCGTCCCAAGAGATTCACAAAGTCTCGTGGAAATATTGCGGGGAGATCAATCGGTACAAAAATTCGAGCACATGTTTGACTTGTTTGCAGCTCATTTTTCATCCAAAAGAAATCTCAAGACGCGCCGATAAGATTTACCGATAAGATAGTGCGGAACACCCAAACCAACTAAACCAATGCTCTCTGGCCTGAAATATGTCAACTGTACAGCTATAATCGATTTGGATTACTATTTGTGATTTCGGTTGATGCAAGTCTTAGTGCAATTTGTGTTTGAACTGTGTCTAATACAAGACTTTGAGTACTTTTAGAGATGTGTCTCTTCAGACTAAATGCATTCGGTATATATTATGCTTACGATACCTGAGTAGTCGCGATGTTAGCTAACACCAAAAAGCGCGCCATGCAATACCAAGTTGGAATGTCAAAGATGTCGCATGTGGCTGAACTTTGTAGGTGCAAGTCAGATGTCTAGAAACCAGCGGAACATTTGCCACAGTGTCGCAACCCCACCTTACATTGTTAGACAAGTGGCGCAGTGGCTGTGTAATCTGGGGACTATGGCTGTGCTGTGACTTCATCCATGGATCCCACCATTAGGTTTATCTAAGCGCCCAGACTTGGGGAACAGAGCCCTTAACTAAGACCCCTCCTTGTGGCTTGGCTGGCGCTTGGAGTATTATTTGTTTTCCCTTTGGTCTTTCCATTTGTGACTATCTGTTCTTTCCACCCCGTCTCCCACTATCCCCCACTATTTCTACTCGATTACACTAAGACTCGGTGATACAACTGCAAACTGTCAATACCTGGGGCCCTTATCACTGGCCTTGATCGCGGCAGAAATTCGCGACTTAACAAGCATACAGCCATGTCGGGCGCTACGCAAGATCCGCGACTGCTGTTCAGCGTCAACAATATTCGTGCCTTTCACATCCAAGATGGCGAGGAAAGCGAGTTGACCCCGTCGGGTCCACAAACGCTCTCGCTGCTGATGGTGCCAACAACACCTTCTACTCCAACAACAGCACCAGGCGCAGAGACACTAGAGGAGGACTTCTATCTTCATCTGTATCTCCCTCCAGAACTTGATCTCGCATTACCGGCGACGACCCAGTTGTTCCATCAACCACCGGATAGTTACTTGATTCCTCGCTGGGACATGGCTCCCGATGCTGGTGCTTTTATTCGAATCCAATTCCCTGCCGTCGGGTCTGGTCCTGATAAGGTGACGCAAGACGAGATCGACACGTTCGAGACCATTCTCGCCCAGTGTACGGCCTTCCTCGATCGGGCCCCGCCCGCAGAGAAGCCGGATAGCAAGGGCTATGCGGCGTATAACCCGGCCGATTATGCGCCGGGCGAAGGATATATATCGTCTAGTGGTGGCAAGGATACGCATGGAAAAATTGTGCTGGTAGACGAGGAGGACGGAAGCGTCGTGGGAGAGCTTGGCGACGGTTACGACGTGGTAGAGGATCCAGACGTCAAGCCGGGATCAAAGAGTGAGCCGGTTGTCTGAATTGCCATCGTATCAATTGTGGTGAGCTAACAACGTATCTTTTCTCTTTCTAGGACCTGTTGGTATTGAGCTCCCCGGCGAGGGTGAGGGCAATCGTGTCAGTGTCAGCAATGTCTCCGAAGAATACCTAGCAATGTCGCGACACCCTGCATACAAAAACTCGACTATTGTTCAGACGTCCGCCACCGCATCGCGTCTGATCGTAACGGGGTCCACCTATCTTGCCAATGCTATTACTAGCGGAGCAGAGAGTTTCACGAAGAAGACGAAGCCCAATGCCAAACCATTGGCCTTCTCCGATGCTACACATGCACGTATTCGCAAAGTTGGCACCTTCTCCTCCGGCGCTGCAGACCTTTCATCACGCACTCTTGGTCAAGTAGAAAAGGTAGCACAGAACCTAGGAGCATCGCTCGCCCGCAAAGATAACAAGAAGAAAGGCGTGGACCGCAACAACCCGCCTTCAGATTACAAGCCAGGCGTGCTGAACAAGTCCATGATCGCTTTCTCGACATTAGCCGACGGTATTCAAGAGGGAGCACGAAACATGCTCCTTACCAGTTCCGCCGCAGCCAGCACTGTGATCAGTCACAAGTATGGCAACGAGGCCGGAGAAGTTGCCACTAACCTGACTGGTGGTATCAAAAACGTGGGCTTAGTATACATTGATGCTACAGGTGTCAGCCGCCGGGCCATGCTCAAGTCCGTCGCGAAGGGCATGGTTGTTGGTCGCATGCGTGATGGCAAGCAAGTTGTGGTCGGTGCTGGCGACGGGGGCCAAATGCCACTCGAGGCCCAGGCCGCGATGGCCCAGTCTGGCCTGCAAGCCATGGCGCCCGTGATGCTGGTCGGCCGACCCCCACACCTCCTCCGGCATATGGTGCCCCAGGCACTACATCACTGGGCGGGACGGCCATGTCTGGGGGAAAGCGGTAGAATGGCAGAACAATATTAGCGAAGTAATCATGATTGAACATTTTCTATGGCAAGTGCATTTCATGCCTTTGGTAGCGGGACCCCCTTAATCTGGGTGCCAGTTTGCCTGTATGTTTATTTTTGCCCAAATACCAGTGCTTAATGGGCTTTCTTGCGAATTTCGCAAGTGGATGAAAGGCTATGAGCTGTGTGCTGCGCTATAATTCAAACTAGTGGTAGCAAAGAACGGTGGCTTGACTCGGCTTGTTTGTCTTTACTGCTAATTTCATGCTATTAAGCTTTAGTTTTGCCTAGTCTACCCGGACTTTTCGGACAACTCTGGAGTCTTCAAAGACCTTATCCAGAATATCCCAAATCTACTGCCAACCCTTCGAACTCTATAAAGTTATACTGTTGGAATTGATCCCACATACTGACGGTCGCTGACAGTCCCAGTCAACATTCCTTGACAGTAACTTGGCGACCGCGAAATGAGCGAAAGCAAACCATGGCGAATTCTGCCTATGGCCGTTGAACTAACTAAACTCTCTTAGTTAGCATACGGAGTCACACTATCACACGTGACTCATCTACCGGTATGCAGAGAAGCAGGTTTTCCACTCTAGCTCATCCATCATAAAGTATCCTCCACGGGTACCACCTCCGGAGCTAGCCGCACGCGCGATTGGTTGAGAGATCAAAGTTTCGGCCGGGGTGGAACAGCACATTTCGGCGATTTCATATCTCCCATCCAGTCCGAACCCCATCGGGAAGCGAGTCTAGCAGACGTATGTCATTGGGTGAGTGGCTATTGGAACATCTGTTGCCGCCGTCGAGCTCGATGGGGTCTCGATTGGATGAGAGTGTTAGATATGGGCAGTCAGCCAACGCATCAGCCGCTTGACAGTTGGCCGACCCACAGACGCACCCAATGAGGCTTGTCAGCAAGACGCAGTGGTTGATCTCTTAGGTTGAATTTTGGGGGTGGCAAGGGACTAGTCTACACCGACATTGCAGATGGACGGAGATCATAGAGTTGATAGGATGAGACCTCTGAATGGTGTGAAGGTCCGCATGCGATTAACCGGCTGGAATACCGAGGAGTAAGTAATCGTGCCGCGGTGGAGCATTTGGAGAGGAGCAGGCTAGTTCCCATCGAAGACCTAGGCTTTAGCGCCCAGCCCTCCCCAATCCAGGAACCAGCCGCGAGCAATGGAAACCCTCCCGAGGTCCTTAGATTGCTGCTGTCCGTGGATCCTAGGAATTACGGCGCCTTAGGTATTAAAGATTGGGTCCAGCCCTGGGATTCGCTGAACCATTGGATGTGACAGAATAAACAGCCAAATGCGGGCCAACCCCTGGGTCAAGCCGATGCTCAACCATGGATTGCGGTGAAACGAGACTTTTTCCGATCTGTGAAGCTTGAGAGTGTCACAAAGTACCCAATCAATTGGGCCGTGATTGGTGGTGAGGAAGGCCTGTTTTGCACCAGGCCTATCATTATCTAGAAATGGACTTAGGGTCAAGAACCAGAGCATAGGCCAGTGTCAACATCCCGGTTTGGGCGTGTTTACCGCTTGTTGCCGGGGAGCCACGTTCATCTTGTTTAGGGGAGAGAGGAGGTTGAGAACCGGGCCATGAGCGGGAATTGGCAATGGGCCTGAAGCAGAAACAGAGATGTGTTTTGCATGGCAACTTGAAGATCTAGAGAACTGAGATCCTAATGCCCCAAAAGATCGCGATGGTGTACGCCGTAGCTGGCCTAATGACGATCGTCGGTGCTAGCAAGCAGAACCCACTTTTTGCCAACTCCAGCAACTCGAAACAGCCGGTCGCAAGCCCCCCCCTATTTTCCTCTCTGATTTGTTTCGTGGAAGAACATACCAAGATGCTTCTAAATTTATGACTAGACTTTTGATCTTCGTGAACCATTGTTGTGATTAGCATGGAGCACTGGAGACTCTTCAATCGGAATCAATCGACCTCTACCCCGTACATCTTGATCCTATCTCGCGACAGTCCGAGCTCTTTTAATCTATTAAGATTCTGTAACGTCGGTTTAATTCCCGTTTAAATACTTTCCTATGACGAATATTTTTTCTGTATGGGGATCCCGGCCCCATCTGAGGATCCGCCCTCGGGCCTCGCGCCCGTTTCGCTCTATCACAGGGAGGCAAGGGACAGTGCTTTTTGGTGATTGAAGAGCAGTAGCGCGCGGTGGCTTCTCGTTAAATACGGCAATGGCTAGGTATTCTCCTCGCCTCATGGGTTGCCTGAAGAATTATCGCATCGCTAGAGGACTGTCCGGAATAAAAATTGTGTAGAGGAACTGTGTAGCCGATTATCACCTCCCCCGTATACACACCCTCGGTCCTTCTCTCCAACCTACTGTTTTCACCACTGGTTTAGTCAATTCCCCGATCAGATCTGAATCTGACAGAGCTCGCCTGTAATATTCGAGAATCGATTTGGATCTCCTAGAGGTGCTACTGGGAGTAGCTCCAGCTCGCCAGTCGAGGCTCAGACCCGCTTGCTCCCCCAGACTAAAAGAAACTAAATCGACCAAACCTGCTCGTATCTCACCCTCCTCCCTCCCCTCCTCTCTTCGTCCTTCCCACCCGCCCCCCCCATCCTCTTCCCGGGGCTTCTTGTCGACCTTTGGGGCCTTTTGTTTTTCTTTCGCTCTTCTTTCTTTCGTGGTGCCTATTTCGCCGCCAACCTCTTTCTCCCCCTTTTTCCGCTCACGGTGGTTCCCGGTCCCTCGCGCCCCCTGTCCGCCCCTCCGTTACCCTGGCTTCGATCATGTTCAGCTTCCACAATTGAAACCGTGGATTGTCTGAGTGGGAATCTCAATCGCGTCTGAGACATTCGATTCCGCGTTTGTTTCCCTTCCCCAGTTTCGACAACGTGCGCCCATCGTGAGGAAACTTCGACACTGCAGTGCAGGTAATTCCCCGCTGTCCCTTTAGTGCCCTGAGTACTTGTTTTAGACGCGTCGTTTGCTTCGAATTGGCTAGATCCGGGTGTTGCAAAAGCTTGGGTCCTGTTGTACTTGAGAAGGAGAGCTTTTCATCAATGTTCCTACACTGGGCGGGTCTGGCATTCTTTGATTCCCCTCCCCCCATTCCTACATTCCTCCGATCGAATCTTCTTTTCATTTTTATTTCTGATAAAGTTGAAGTGCGATCGATCTAATTGGCGACAAAAAACCGACCGTGGAGATTGATGAGGCTAACGCGCATGCTTGCTCTTGAACAGTTGTGAGGCTGAAAGGTCGACTCGGCGAGTGCGACCGATCGCCTAAACCCCTGGTTACCACCAAACACCCTCCGGAGGGCTTGGTGGTCTTTGCGCACCAATTGTGCCCAATTGGTCCCAGCTCGGGACCGATCTTCGCCCAAACTTGGGTATCTCATCTTCCGAAGGGCGTGGCGCTTCTGCGCTTTCGTTTTTAAGGTATGTAGTGAAGGGCAATATGATACGAAAACCGTCGCTGCGCCGAGTCCACGAAACACCAGCGGCCATTTGAACGCACATGCTCATCATTTTCTACAGCTGTTTCGGAGGTTAGCGGGCAACAGCTTTTCGTGGCTATGAGCACTTCTCATCAGCCGGCATTGCCACTTCCCGCCCATACATCGCCAGCCTCGACCCACCCGGCAACATCTCCGGTTCAAAAGAATGCGCGCTATCCCGATATGCTAAGCTCACCACCGATCCCGCCGCGGACCTCTTCCACGAATCACGCGCGCCGCAGCCCCAATGGATCGAAGGATAAGGAGGGCCGTGGAAAAAGCCGATCTGACAGAAAGGAAAATCGTGAACGACGTGAGGATCGCAATGGCAAGAGTCGGTCGCGTCGAGCCGACCCTGCAGAAGAATCGACACGTGAATCTGGCCGGTCAAGGGCTCCACCCCCGGCTACATCCTCAGTGCAGCCGGAGGACGATGCAACGATTCCCAAGGAGCCTAGTACAGTCCTCAACACAGTTATGGTGAGCGACCCTGCTGTGGTGCGTGATAGGGAGCAGGAACGCCTGGAAGAGGCGTCGCCCGCGGCTGTGCCCGGTGACTCCAATCCAGACTCCGGGGTATCATCTACTGCCTATCCTCCAGAGGAAGCGTCTGCGCCTCCGCGCCGTAGTCGGCACGATTACAGCCACACGGTGAAACGCAAGGAAACTACCTTCGGCTCGTACATTCTCGGACAAACACTAGGAGAGGGAGAGTTCGGCAAGGTCAAATTGGGATGGAAGCGAGATGGCAGCATCCAGGTCGCGATTAAGCTGATCCGACGGGAGACTCTAGGATCGAATCCATCTCGCCTACCGAAGATCTACCGCGAAATCTCGATTCTGAGCGAGCTTTCCCACCCCAACATTGTTCGCCTCCATGAGATGGTGGAGACTGACCGTCATATCGGTATCATCATGGAATATGCCTCCGGCGGTGAGCTCTTTGACTACATCCTCAACAACCGCTACCTCAAGGATAATTCCGCTCGTCGTCTATTTGCGCAGTTAGTGTCGGGTGTCGGGTATCTGCACAAAAAGGGTATCGTGCATCGTGACCTGAAGTTGGAGAACCTGCTGCTCGATCGAAACCGTAACATCATCATCACGGATTTTGGCTTTGCCAATACCTTTGATCCAGTCGATCAGCTAGAGGAGGAAATTGAGTACAACCTCACCAACAAAGAATATGTGAAACGCAAGCGCCTCGATAAGCTCGGGCCCAATGGATTGCGCCGGGGTGACTTGATGCAGACAAGTTGCGGTAGCCCGTGCTACGCTGCTCCAGAACTTGTCGTGAGCGATTCGCTCTACACAGGACGAAAAGTTGACGTGTGGAGCTGTGGTGTGATTTTGGTAAGTCAAGGAACCTTTGAACTTTGCATATGGCTTATGGCTAACTCTTCATGCAGTATGCAATGCTGGCTGGCTACCTCCCATTTGATGACGACCCTGCCAACCCGGATGGAGACAACATCAACCTTCTTTACAAGTACATTGTCACCACTCCTCTTACTTTTCCCGAATATGTCACTCCCCATGCGCGTGATCTTTTACGCCGTATCCTTGTTCCCGATCCCCGGAAAAGAGCGGATCTCTTTGAAGTTGCACGCCACAGCTGGCTGAGCGAATACTCTCACGTTGTCTCTCATATTACCAGCAGTACGACGAACGTTGCAGATATTGCTAACGCTACTGTGCCTGCTGAAGGCTTCCCCGACGTACCCACTCTCGCTCGCAGTGCTTCGGTCCGCGAAGCCCCCAAGACTAGCCAAGGCAATCCTCCCTCGGTTGGTGGCCTTAATCATCATTCTGGTGACATCTCGCAAGGCTCTCCAAGTGACCGATCCAAAGCCTCAAAAGACGCGAAACGACGAACGGTCCAGGTTGAATATGTTGCTCCTCAATCCCAGACGGTTCGGGGTGAACCCCAGTCCGGGGCATCTGGGTCACGGAGCAGAGGAGCTATTGTCAGTGATGAAACTGCTGTGGCCAGCGACAAACGAATTGATCCAGCACCCAAGCCGGTTGAGAAACCACCCGTCGATTACGACAAGCCTCTCCCTACCCATTTCCCTCGCTCCGCCTCCGATTACCCTACACTCTCCAGCGGAAGCAACGCCCCTGCCCCCGCCACTGGCGCTCGCCCTCAGACTGGTGGCTCCATGGCATCATACCACACAGGTCGTCTCCCATCTCGTGGCTCCTACGGGCAGCCGGTTGCACCTATGCTCACGACGGCTCATACGGAAGCCCGACTGGCACAGCCTAAGAGTGGCCAGTTCTCTTCCCCCAAAATCCCGCCCAGTCGTCCAGTGCTTCTATCGGACGTCCTAGTACACAACAGCTTCCTTCATCTTTCAACCCGACTCCCCGGCAGGATCCACCAAAGAGCGGCCACAAGCGGTCGAGTACGGTGTCAAGCATTGGGGAGAAGATTTTTGGACGTTCTGGCTCCATCTTGGGGAGTCGTGGCTCCCAGGGTAATGGTGCTCGAACGCGCCCAAACAAGCGATATCCTCCGACTAGTATGAAGGATCCGATTTCACGAGAAGACTCACGACTTTCCATGGATTCATCTCGACGGTCGATGCAGCATTCACATAGTCGCAAAGCAAGCGAAGGTACAGGGAAAGTCGTCCTCGTCGTTTCTCTCTTCTTCCCGCATCATTCTCTATCAAGGGACTTTCTAGTCGAGCTCAGACTCCCGATGAGATCGCACAGACTCCACGAACCGCCGATCCTCAGAACCAACGGCCAGCCACTGGGCCCCCCCTCATTCGTCCCCACACGCAAGACTACGTTGGTCATGAAAACATGGAAATTTTGAACGAGGGCCCTAGTAACGCGGTCCACCAGGGGCCAAAACCAAACAAGCCGGAAAATTCCAGCTACGAAGCTCACATTGATCAGCAATTTGCAGAGCTCGGATCCCGGTTTGAACAAGGGCAAGATCAGTTTGGTAACTTCTCATCAGAGGAGGTCCACAACAATGATGACGACCAATATGCGGGCCGCAACTACACCCACCAGTCCAAGCCCAGCTACTACGATGATTACAATGGCACCTACGAGAGCTTGCCTCGACAATCTATGCAGGCAGGCCGTGGCAATGGCCGTGGAGCCAACGTCCTTCAAAAGAACAACCGCAAATTTGCTGATGCGTATGAGTTCGAGTCTCACCATTCGGGGAGCTCCGGTGCCGCGCGGAAAGTCATGGACTTCTTCCGCCGACGTGCCAAGTCTCGAGCCGGTGATGAGAGGTAATTCAATATGCCTCACTTTTAGAGCATGCTTGAATCAAAATCCACTCAAAACAGCCCCTTCTTGTACCTTCTTCCCGCCTCTCGCGCCAATTGAGAGAGAACTGAGAATGTTTGGGAAGCCATTTGATACCCTGCTTTTTGTTCTTCTCCCCCTTTTTGTGCATGGAGCGAAACTCTTTTATCTTCGGTTGTTTTGATCATTTTATCTAGCATGCCTAATTTTCCTTTGTCTAAATACATTTCCTTTTTTGCCCCCTCTCATTTCATTTTAATGCACCCTTCCCCCCCCACCCCTTGCCCCCTGTGAATTACATTTCTTTTCTCTTGTCACTATTATCCCTCGGCTGTAAAGTGGGATTGAACCTATGTGTCTACAGCCTTTTTTCTAAAAAAATTTCTTTATCATTCGAAGCACTCATCCGCATCTTCCTAACCTTCCCCTTCATCTGTCTTATGTGGAAGTATCCCGAGTGGTAATTGAATTCTGTGGCACCATTTTCTCTGGTATTTTGTTCTTCCGTTTCTTTATCTGTGTCGTTCTGGAGTGGCGTATTCATCCCTAGTCATCTTGGTTATCGGTAAATTAGTTTCTGTTGGCCAGTCTGGCGAGCTGGTCCTCTATGTACTCCAGTTGGATGTGTAAACTATCTCGACAGAGGACTTGCTTGCTACTCAAGAGGTTTTGGCTTCCTTCTATCTGAACATCCTATTACCCTTCGTCCTTGATAGGATGGAAGTCGTACGCATTATCCCTTCCAAGTCATGATGTACTAGTAGGAGCTCTCTAGTTGCTGCTCTGCACCTTCAAGTGCGCAATGCCCACCCGATCAGCTTCCTGGTTCAAGCTTGCAATCTCACTCGCGGCAAAAGGAATCCCTTTCTCCCGACGCTGTTCCTCCGTAATCATCTCAATCTCCCCGGGGAAATAGATGCGATCCACGCCGGCCATCTTCTCCGACTCCACCACCCTCTTATACAAATAATCCATCCGACCTTGAAACTCCTCCATACTCATAAACAGATCCGGCTTCACCGCAACAATGAAATGTCCCACATCAGCCGGCCTCGATGGATCATACGGATTCGTCACATGCCCCGCAAACGCCGCCCCGGAGAACACCCCCCGAGAACACATCCATCATGATCGACAACGCAGACCCCTTGGGCCCTCCCATAGGCAACATCACCCCCTCCAACGCCCTCGCCGGATCATCGGTCCTCGCCCCGTCCTGATCCAGCGCCCAGTCCTCCGGGATCTTCTCCCCCCGCCGCAACGCCTTATAGATCTTCCCCCGCGCCGCCACCGACGGCGCCATATCCAGAATAAACGGCCTCCGCGGATCCCCACTCGGCGCACCGCACGCAATCGGCGACACCCCCATCAGCTTCTCCCGCCCACCCCAGACCGGCAGCGCCGGCGACGAATTCGTAAACACCAACGACATCATGCCCGCGTCCAGCGCCTGCCGCACCACCCACGCACTCATCCCGAAATGATTCGAGTGCTTCACCGAAACCATCCCCATCCCGAACTCCCGGGCCATGCGGATCGCCGCGTCCATCGCTGTGTGCGCCGCCACAAAGCCGAACCCATTGCGTCCGTCGACCTGCGCCGCGACGGGCGTGACTTGGCGCAGGGTGGGCTGGGCGCGGGCGTCGAGGGCGTTCTGCCGGATGCGCTCCATGTAGGAGGGGATGCGGTTGCTGCCGTGGGTATCGACGCCGCGCAGGTCGGCGGCGACCAGGCATTGGGCCACTATGGCTGCGTTGGCGGGTGGGGTGCCGTTGCCGAGGAGGATGGCTTCGACGAAGGCCTGGAGGTCTGAATGGTTTATCAGGTGCATTTGCTGGGGAGTGGGGTCTGTCATGTTGGCATTCATATGAACTCTTTGTTCTTTTCTTCTCCTTTTCTTTTTCTCTTTTCTTTCCCCCCCACTCTTGCTCTTGGGATATGTGGGGTTTTCTGCTGGTTGGGGTTGGGAATGGCTGTTTGCTGGATTGGAGCTTTACTTTTTATCCTGGGGAAAGTTGGGGAGGAGGCTCCCGTCGAGTCGGAGTGCTTCCGTGGGTGGAGTCGGACTAGGTGCTGTCTTCTACGGCGAATTTCTTGAACCTCCGAGGGGTGAATTAGGTACTTTTACACTCATGCACTCATGCAGAGCAGGAAGCACCTTCGAGAGGCTCAATTTCTCGGCTAAACGGTATAATAGGGCGTATAGCTCAGGGGTAGAGCGCTCGCTTTGCATGCGAGAAGTCTGGCGTTCAAATCGCCATTCGTCCAATTCTTTTTTTAAGTGCCTTTTTTGACTCGCCGAGGCTTTTGACATGTATTGGGCCAGTCGAAGACGGCGCAAAGTTTCTTCGATCGACAATTAGAGTTTTCTTGTCTCGAAGCTGAGTAGGAAGTAATAGGACACCGATCTTAAGTGAGTGTCCCAACCTGCCTTGTCATAACCCATAACCCATAATCACTGACGAACCAAGTTCAGCCGGAAGAGTAGGATTTCAAGCAGTCGACATGCGACGAGCGAATATAAACATTGTCGAATCCAAATATGCTTTTATCCGTCTAACCTGGCCGCTGTGCAATAGGTCACAATCGAGAATCAGAAATCCTTGCACGTGAGAAGAGTAGTCTAGAAGATATAACTCTCCCTGCACTGTGCCATCTGTACAGATGGATTGCCTCGGTTGTATGTCTCATCCGAGTGTCTTGAACAGAAAGGTGGAGCGGAGCAGGGGAGATCTCGGGTCGTTGTTTTCCTTGGAAGGAAATCCAGATTCCGACAATCTGCTTCTAGCGTTGGCCTTGGCTAGCCGGCATTCAGGAAGTAGAACTGATTGCCAACTGATCGCCGCGGGGTAGATTGGGTTATCTTGGGGTTATTGAAGGATACTAGAAGTGCCGTAATATCCAGTTCCTAAGCGTCATAATTGACTCGCGAGTGGTGACTACTGAAGCGCTAGCAGTAGACTGCGGGAGCTTCATGTCAAAAGGAATATCTATTGTCCAGGGAGAAGACACGGTGCCTACGAGCACCCCTAATCCTCTATGAGATCGGGTTCTCATTTTGCTGACCCTATAGGATGTCTCGGTCTTTTCATCTCAGCTCAGTGGGGAATGGTCCGCGGAAACACTGTCTCATATACTGCTTACGGTATGTAATCTAACTGGCTAATAAGCTTGAAATCGAACAAGAAGCTCACAGTAAGGTACTACCGCTTGATTTACGCGGGATGCGGCACAATCATGTCCCGTTGTTGAGTAAATCGCAGGAAGATGGGCCAGTTGCCTTAATCCCCCCAGGCTTAGAATAGACTGCCTCTCCCTCCAGTATCATTGTGGTCGTAACGGCATCCAATGCGGAGGGAGCGGAATCACGTGCGGCATGCAGACTGTTAATTTACATGCCTGGAGAGATGGATTGGTTCCAGACAAGCTTCTCTCACCATTGGATCATCGCAAAAGTACTTGACAGGCAAAGCTGTTTCAACGGAGGAAATTGAATCAGTTACTAGGATACTATCCTCTAGCTACAGTGCATAGCGAAAATGCTTAGACTCCATGTCTGTCATATCCTTGAATCCATCGAGTACGGCTTGAGCGGAAGCATCTCCTTCGAAATGCTCGATAGGCCCAGTCGCCGCATCCCTTCGAGCGTTCTCCCATCTCATGGCAATGTAGGCTATGATCGACAGAAATATGATCCCAGCATAGCACACCAAGAGCCCCAAAATAGCAGAGGAGTATCTGGGGGCTTCCCGGGAGAAAAAGATGTTCGCGCCAGCGACATTGCCAGCGGCATACAGAGTAAACCAAAGCCCATTGGCGAACGCTCGCTTGGTATGCCCGGCAACGTTGGTAGACAGTAGGTTCCAAGAGACAATGACCGGCGCTCCGATAATGTACTGCAGCCAGGTACACCCAACCAGCGTCCAACGGTGATCAAGGCTGGTGAACCGAATACCGAGAAGTCCCGCAAAGGGTATGAGGCTGACAACGGCGAGAACGATACACCGAGAGTTGGGAACATAAGTCGCCACAAGACCGCAGATGGGAACAATCACGGCCTCAAAGGCTCCCGTGGGTAATTGTAAGAGGGTGGCGTATATCCCGCTGAATCCAAAGCCTTTGATCAGTGCGGATGCAAAGTTGGAGACGCCGCCGTTGATAACGCCACAGGCAATGCCAATCCCTGCGCAGCACAGAACTTTGATGTCGTAGAAGCTCTCTAGTGCTTGGCCCATCTTGATCTGTTTGGTTTTCACGCCGATCATGTTCTCTGCCACCCGACGGACCGCAATGACGCGCTGGCGATGAGTGAGGAATGTCGCGGCGCCGGGCGAGTCGGGCACCACGAGGAGGAATATACAGCCGCAGACAAAGTTGAGGAGTCCGATCGTCAGGAAGATAAGCTTCCAACTGTGTAGCGTCGTGGTCTGCGCATGGCCAAGGCCGAAACCAAGAAGAGCTCCCACCATAGTTGCCATCCCATTCGCGCTCAGCCAAATGGCCATGCGCAGGGGCTGCTCGGAGCGTTTGTAGAACATGGAGGTCAGAACCATCACTTGTACCAAGTCAGTCGTCTTTCAGCTCTCGGTTTGAGTTCCAGCCTTACTGCATGGGCTAACACCTGCTTCTGCCATCCCCAGAAGGAATCTCAGAACCAGAATGCCGGCATAGTTACGGGCTCCAATATGGGCAATGACGATGACGCTCCAGATGAGAAGCATCCCTCCCATGTACTTGGCAATCGGGAGTTTTTGAATCAGAAGATTTGCTGGAATGGCCCAGAATAGATACCCAAAGTTGAAAATGGCGGCTACCCAGGAGTATCGTTGGCCCTCCAGCCCGAGATCCGGGATCAAGGTGTATGCCGAGGCATAGTTTAAGGATAATTTGTCTGTAGCATGTTAGGAAGAAAGCGCTTGGATTATCAGAGGGCTGTGATGAAAGGTACCGAGAAACTGGATCACATAGGTGACATAGAGCTGGAACAGATGTGAGTAGGAAGATGCCAAATCATCGTCGCAAGGGGTACGTACCATTGGCATGAGTCTCCAGTCCAGAATCCGAAGAACTCTTGCGCCCTCTTGCTCCACTTCATCGGCAGAGAGCTGCTCAGCCTCCGCATATAGATTAGCGCCAATATCGCGAACATTCTCTAGTGCGATGTCCTTCTCCACTGCGTTGGGGTCCACCTCCGGCTTCTTGTGGTCCATTTTGTATGAGAGGAATATTGATCAGACGGACTTCGCCTTCCCTTCCAGTTCTACAAGCTCCTTATATAAACGTCGTATCTACCTTTGTTATTAAATCACTGCCAAGTAGATAAGGTGCAGCGGTAAATCGTTATCCCTGTCTGGCGATAGGCGGAGGACCCCCGCCTCCGATATGACGTGGGGAACGCGACGGTCTCCATGGCGGACTGTTGTCCGCTGCCTCTGCGCGCATTTCTATGGGATCTAATAATGCCGGACATAAAACTGTGCGCAAGTACTCGTCTCAGCTCAGGCATGCGCAGACTGTATAACTGTTCAGTTGGCCGGTCCTAGCTTGATTGACTTATGTGCCCCTGTTCCCTTGCATGATGGCTGAAATGGAGGGCAAAGGCTTTTCGCTGCTGGATGCCAGTATCTCAGATCTTCAACACGCCCTATCAGCAGGCCATACCACTAGCGTAGATCTGGTCTCTCGCTACTTGCGCCGAATCATCACCTATGACGCCAATGGACCAAAACTCAGTGCCATTCCATTGCTGAATGCGGGCGCTCTGGAAGAGGCTGCCGCGTCGGATGCATGGCGTGCAGCAGGCCATGCACCCAGGCCGCTTGAGGGTATTCCGTACCTTGTCAAGGATAGCATCAAGGTGAAGGGCATGACCGTTGCCAACGGCTCGCCAGCCTTCGAAACCCTCGTGGCGACAGAAGACGCTGCCTGCGTCCAGATCCTCCGAGAGGCTGGTGCCGTCCTCCTTGGTCGCACGAATATGCCAGCAATGGCATACGGGGGCATGCAGCGTGGCTCCTGGGGCCGAGCTGAGAGCCCTTATAACCCAGAGTATCTGGCAGCCGCCTACGCATCCGGTTCGTCCAACGGCTCTGCCGTGGCAACAACCTCCAACTTCTGCGCATTCTCTCTTGGGTCAGAGACTGTCTCTTCCGGGCGGTCCCCCGCCTCGAATAATGCCATTGTCGCTTATACGCCGTCCAAGGGCCTTCTTCCACTCCGCGGGGTTTTCCCACTTTACCCGACCTGCGACGTCCTGGTGCCCCATACCCGGACAGTCATGGACTTGTTCCATGTCCTGGACGTACTGGCAGTGAAGGATAAAGCCCCCGTGGGAGACTTCTATAATGAGCAGAACGTCGTTCCCATTCCATCCGTCGAATCGATCCGACCAAAGTCCTTTCTCACGCTAGCCCACCCGACATGCCTGCGAGGAAAGCGAATCGGCGTTCCATCAATGTACATCGGCGGCGACGACTCATCACTGGCGCCCATAAGCAAAGTGCGTACTCGAGAGTCGATCATCAAACTGTGGCAAGAAGCCCGGGGTGCCCTTGAAAGCCTCGGCGCCGAGGTAGTCGAGACAGACTTCCCCTTGGTGACAAAGTACGAAGCCAACGCCGCATCCGGCCAACTAGTCACTGTCGATAACTTACCTGACGGCTGGCCAGCCAAAGAGAGATGTGAGGTCGTCGCACACGCATGGGATGACTTTCTCGCTGTGAATGGGCAGGAAGACCTCAAGTCACTGACGAGCGTGGACCCCGCGACGATCTTCCCTCTTGCACCGGGGTCTCTCCTCGGAGCACCCGAAGCCGCAAACAAGCCACGATGGGGCGAGATCGTTGAATACCCGCGCAATAAACCTGACTCTATCCTCGACATTCCAGGGATACACCAGGCGATCCGCGCTTTGGAAGACGCACGCAAAGAGACATTTGAAAAGTGGATGGACAATCTCGGCCTGAGACGCCGTAGTCTTCCCTGCAAATGCTGATATTGGCGCATCGAATGCAGATGTGGACGAGCAGCAGTCGATGTTCGCGTGGAGTAATGGCGTCAAGTACTCCAACGGCAACAGGCCTATTCGCCATCTCGGAGTGCCGACTATCTCGATCCCAATGGGTATCATGGAGGATACGCAGATGCCCGTTAACCTGACTTTCGCTGGGAAAGCCTACGAAGACACGGCGCTGTTACAGTATGGCTATGCGTTCGAGATGGCAACCAAACGCCGTGTCCAGCCGCCTCGTGTCCCTGCTCTCGATTCTGACCAAATTCTGCGCAAGAGTATCACCCGTGACATCTCCTCCCAAAATCGCCTGGAGCTCTCAGTGGATAGAAAGTCCAAGAAGCTGGTGGGAGCGGAGGTCCAAATCCATATCGAGGGGTCGCTCAATGCAGATGCGGATAGCATTTCTTGCTACATCAATGGCCAACCCTACAAGCCCGCTTTGATGGAAAGAGCATGGAGTATTGTCGTCTCTTACCCTTCTTCTGAAAGAGACGAGCCTTGGAAGAGATGGAGCAGCCCTGCCCTGACTCAGACAACGGTGCTTATCAAAGCTTCTTCGAGCAGCGGGGCTATTGCTGGGAAGCTGGTCATTCTCTGAATGTACTAGTATATGTCAACTTAGATGAACTCATGTCCATTATTTCTTAAGTCCTGTTGAGACAATAGAGTAAATCGCATTCTGATGTTTTTTTTTTTGGAACAGAGCGTCATGCTTTATAAGTGGCTCAACTGCGGGGAAATACTTTTTCTTGTCTAGATAAGAAAAAAAAGCAAAGTTTGTCAGGAGCCCTTAATCTCTTGTACTAGTAGAACCTAATTTTTGGTGCATGCAGCTAAAGAGCTCTAGTGCGTGATAGGAAAGGGCTAGTCTACCACCCCGGATTTGAGCACACCACCGATCTAAACGTGAAACGAGCAAAGCTCGGATTGAGCAAGGATTAATTAAGAACTAGAGATGGGGGAAATCAAGAGTCTGTAAGCCCCTGAGTCGTTCATTTGCTATAATATGCCGGGCATAAACTCATCGGCTTCCCCATATTGCACAACGCCAACGTACATCATATCTTCAATCATTCCAAGAATGGCCCTATGAAGATACTTCTTTTTGAGCTGTTCAAGGTACATCTCGGCCTCTTCGAGGGTCATCGTGCTTTCGCTAAGGCCTGGAGCAGCCTGAGCGGATGTCCCCAATATTTGCTGCTGTATGAATTCAAAGATCTTGGAGTAAGGAAGAGCATCTCTCCACCGATCCGCAAAGCAAGCCATGCTCTTGGTGCATGCATTGATCGCCTCCGGGGAGTAGTAATTCAGGCTGATGTCGTCGTCGAGGCTTCTCGCGATGGGTCTAGTAGCCCAGATCAGATAAAGAAGCATAATTCCAGCACGAAACTGATATACCAGCTGTCGGGCATGTTAGATATATGAGCACCTTCCATCAAATCCTCACATTGACCAGCACTTACTGCAGACCATGTAAAGCACAAAACATGCCCTTCCGCCTGAAGGCGGCGATACTCTATACATACTTCCACCACTGCGGCGAATATGTCTTCGGTCCCCTCTTGGTCGAGAAAGTTTTGCTTCTCCTCCATCAACATCAAAATACTATAGTCGTACAATTTGGCCATCCAATTGGGATGGTAATAGCCACCCTCCACGTTTGCTTTGCTGAACCGAGGAATGTCCTGTCGCCATATCTTGAGCGCTGCCTTAATTGAAGCGTTGATCGCGTGCCTGTCCTCGAATAATTGCCACTGAGAGCCTTCCAAAGATCTTTTAATTTTTGACTGAATTTTCCGCAGCCTGAAGAGATGGCTCAGGGCTGGGTTCGTACTTGGCGGCGGTTGGATGCTATCACCAAGCATGCGCATCTGATGCAAATCGTCAGTTCTTCTTCATTTGAAAACAGCAGAGAGGTGGACTGATACTCACGTCATCGTCAACTGTGCGATAGGCATCAGATACGGGCCGATCCCACCCCGATGTAATAATGACATTCAGCATATAGCAAGCAATAAACATGTCTTCTGTTAAAGGCTCCCCCGACCGAGCAATGATTTGGCCATCCGGGTTGGCGCAAGCGTGTTTCCGGATTTCCGTCATCGCTGCTGTGCAGAAAGGCACTATCGAAGACACGGTTGTGGCGATGTCTTCAGAGGATGGAGAGTGCAAAGCATACACAATAAGAAGCAACGAGGCTTGGACCTGGAGAACCATAGACGGATGCCCGACGACGTGAGGATAGTAATCCATAGCCGAGCTGTAGAGTTCCCTTGACCGACGCGAATGTGTTTCATCGCCGTGCATGATGCTGCAAAGGGAGGCGCCGATGGCATATACCATCCGCAGGAAGAAAAGGTGCCATGCACTTCCATTAACGTGCTCGTCTCTTTGCCATAGTTTCCATGCTGATTCGTTTAGAAAAGGCCACTCGCGATGCGATATTGAGAAATAAAGTGTGGTGTATAGCTGGAGTAATGCATCGCTCTCGGTCACTCGTATCGCCGTTTCTCGTATTGGGGGGGTAGGAGGGGCTTCTGTCAAGGCGCAGGAAATCCAGCTTGTCATCGAACATTCGGAGACGTGATTCTTTCGATGCTGATTGTAGAATTGGGGGTGACCAAGGTAGCCTGGGGTTTATTTGCGACGGAGACCGCGGCGTCATGGCGCCTCCGTCAGAGGTAGGGTCTGCTGTCCATATGGAAGAGTTGCTTGGAGTATTCGCCGAAGACATACAGAGACCAGCGCCCCGTTCAGCTTCAATGGAATCTGTCTGAATACTTCCATCGCAAAGCTCCACGGTACTCCCTGACTTCCGAGAGCTATCTTCCAGCTCGGCAACTCGCCGCTCCAGTTCTTTCAAGTATGCGAGCGGAATTGTCACGCTATCTCCAGATCGTCGAGAGCGAGCCGGGAGACACTCCGCGCCTTTACGAAGGCATTCCCCACAGGTAGGCTTAGCATGGTCGCATTTGCGCTTCAAGCGGAAGCAGCGCGCGCAAGCAATATCTCTCTGCTTCAATGGACGCGACATACGGGAGTTGGAAGAGGGTAAGTGCGGGGATTAGCGGAGACGTTTATATTGATAAGAAGGTTTCGGTCTCCACCCGAGACTGGTAAGACCAGAGCTAGACTGATACCCCCGCCGAATCATCGAATCACGATAGAGATAGAGATACAGGTATACATGCAAGGCCCCATCGTTATCAGCTCGGATCCCTGTTCCGACTATTCCTCTCGGACCCAGCTGCCTGTCGACGGATCAATTCCGATGAGCTTGGGGTCGACGTTCAACATCTTCAGCATGGCTTGCATGGTGAATTCCTGTATATGATCGGCCTCTTGTCCAATGGAATTGCTTGTCAAAGGAGACATACCTCATCCTGTCCCTCGCGGAGCTGCACTGTACCATTGTCTTCCGAAATAGGGTCTTCACCAACGCTGCCGCGTCCTTGAGCCTCGTCGTCAAAGCCCCACTGCGCAGACTGACCCTGGTTGCGTTCCCTCCAGGCTGTTATCCCGCCCATGCGAGCAACTCGTTCTTTGGCACCGGTGAACAGCTCATCGGCTGCTTCCTGCGCGACGAGTCGCCACTTTATGGTTAGAGCTTTAAGCTCCACATCCTTTCCAGAGGATTCGATCTGGATCGCTTGCTGAATGCGATCGAGCTCTTCGTCCAACGATTTGAGCTGAGCCTGTAGGGATCGTTCCCGTTTCTCTAGCGCTGAGCGCTCTGCGTCAGCCAGAGATGTTCGTGCTGGTCCACCGAGACGAAGGCGGACGAGTCGCGGTTGAAGTTTTGGATTGGATGATAACGATATTTCTTGATCGCCTTGAGCACTTTCTTTCATGATCGAGTACGCATGGCTTACCCCAGGTTGAGCTGGTGCGCTTGGATCCGAAGTGAGAGATGGAATTCGTAGAGCCGCTTCGGAGGGTGAACGTTTGAGCGGAGACTTGAAGGGCATAGCCAAAGTGGCCGCTGCATTCAGGTAGCGCTGCTTTTTAGAAGGCTGTTCATTGGCCATGGTGATTCGTTGGAAGGGGAAGGAAATGCGAGATATGAGGAAGAAAGTTTACGCTATATGTACATGACGGGGAGAGATGGCATTAAACAGAGAGGGCCTTCCTCAGTGTCCCACCCCGCCGGCAACCCATTGGGCGAACTCAGGGGCGTTTGGGTCAGGGAAGAATCCACGGTCATTATCTACATTATCATTGGCATTTCCGTTCCCATTGGCATTGCCACCATTTGCGTTCCCGTTCGCATTGGCATCCTGGTTGGGCCGATTGCGTTGCTGCTGCTGCCGAAGATACACCAGAACAAGGAGAGCAGCAGCCAGCCCCACGATAATCAGGCCTTCCAGGATCCCATCGTCAATGTCAAGCTCGACATCGTCATAGTACCCATCATCCTGGCGCTCTGACTCTAGACCCCTTGATCCCATGAAGTCATCCTCGTCGGCATGGCTATCATAGAACTCTTCGTAGTAGGCCGCGGCATCATTTTTGATGAAAGCAGTGTACCACTCTTTCAATGTGCGAGGGGGTTTGGAATCTAGCGGGAATAGAGGTCAGTGTACGTTCCAGCTGCAGGGGAACAGATTAGATGACTTACCCTCGTCGTCGCGGATTGGATTGATATCTCCATTAGTGAGCTGGTTCCAGTATCCCCGAGCTCGTAGCTTGAGTAGACTGAGCTTGACCGGGAGGTATGCTTCCTTATTAGCCTCCAAAGCTAGATCGTAGTATCGCTTCGCCATGTGGAAATCTTGTGCTACAGCGACACCGTTCTCATGCATCCAGCCCAGATTCCAATATGCCTGGGCACTGTGATGAGCCTCCGCCGCATTATGATAGCAAATTGATGCCTTCTCAGCATCAACTTTGGAACCGGTCCCGCTGAGATAGTAGTCGCCCATCTTGATCAATGAGTCGATATTAGCTTGTTTCGCTGAGCGGGTCCAGTAGATCAGCGCAAGTGCCGCGTTATGCAGCAGCGATGAACGACTCTTCTGACCCCATGGCAATAAAGCATCCAAAGGGAACAGCGACCGTTGCTCATCTAGAATGAAGGCAACATTTGCCTGGGCGTTCTCGTAGCCTTGCTCAGCTGCCATCATCGATGGAATGAGAGCACGCTCTTTATCGCCGTTCTCATACGCTTCATTGGCTTCTGCGAAGGCCGAGTGTAGCACCTCTGCCTTCTCGGCAACGAGCTTGTAATATGCCGCTGCAACGCCACAGTGGCGGCTTCTCCCAATGCCGAAGTTGGCCATTTCGGCCAAATAATAAAACGCTTCCATCCAGCCCAATCGAGCCGCCAGTTCAAAGTAGCGAGTGGCAGCTGGTATATCTCCTTGGTCAAGGAAAAGTGCACCCAGCCGGACATGGGAAGCAGCTAAGTCCTGATCAGCGGCCGCCGTGAAATACGAAGACGCCTTATACGCATCCTGATTGACACCATAGCCGTGAAGGTACATCAATCCCATGTGATGCTGGCACAAAGCATCTGCGTTTACGACACCTCGCTTAAACCAGGTCAAGGCCGTTCCAAAGTTCTGCTCCACACCTTCGCCGCGCAAGTACATTCGACCAATATGGCCTGCAGCTTTGGCGGCTAATTTATCGAGTCCTGTAGGTGCATTCTGGGAGATTGACCCGTCTCTGTTCCAGTACTTCCTAGCAACGATCTTGAAATACCTCATTGACTTTTTGAAGTTGCGAGGCAGACCACGCTCGCCCTCATAATTCATCTTTGCCAGCGTGTAGGTAGCCTTGAGCTCGCCTTTTTTAGACAAGAGGTCCAAATACTCCAGCACGTCTTCCACGCTGGCATCAGAACTAGAGTGCGATGCGTCCCGCGCATTATACCCAGAACTGGACACACTGGCCCCTTCTCCATAAACACCACCTTCATCATCAGCCCAGCGATAGGACTCCTTGATCATGGAATTGCCGCCTGGGGGTCCAGATCGGAGGTATTGGATTGCCTTATCAGCGACTTTCTTGTAGTATACAGTCGCACGATCGCAGTCCTTGGGAGTTCCAATGCCGGTGTGATATCGGTATGCCAGGGTCATCTCAGACCGTGTATTGCCAGTCTCCGCCGCGAATTCGTGATACATCAGCGCCCGGGCTTGGTCTCGTTCAACCGCACCACCGATGCCCGTCGCATACATAAAGCCAACCATCGACTGGGCTGTATTGTTTCCATTCAACCAAGCCAGTTCGTTGTACCATAGGAAGGCCTCGCCAAAGTCGCGCGGGTAGGTAAAGTTACCGTAGAAGTTCATCTCCGCCAGCAAGAACATCGCGTCAGGGTCCGCATCCTCATCAGCTGCAGCCTTCAATTCTCTGACAGCTCGCGCAACGGTCGGGTTTATTTTGGAATCACTTTTCTCGGTGGTGGGCCCATTCATAAACAGAAGCCGGAAGACTTCGCCGCCATAGTGAAGGGCATTTCCAAGCAGCCCGGTCGGCCTATCCGTACGCACGATAGCAGGCTTCGCAGTTCGGAGGGTATCCCACGCCTCCTGTACTCTTTCTACAAAGCCGAATCCAGACTGTTTTAGCGCTCCAATACATCCGGGGATCATCACGCGACAGCGGCTGGGTCACTCACGGCTAATTTGGTAAGGCTCTGGTTCTGCAGTGCCATCTAACGGTTCGGTTGGCTTCTCATCGGGGTTACTTGGCGCTGACTCGCCTAGCGGCGCTTGGTTGGGCCCTGCTGCACATGTCTGCTGTAGTAACACTGTGAGGGGCTGATTAGCACGAGTTCGCGAGACGGAGAAGAGGGCCCATACGCAGGGCGGGCAATAAGCTTGAGAACGCGGTTCTCATGATGCTTGGAATCTAGATAGGAGCAAGGAAAAGAATCGCATCGCGACTCTCCGAGGAGAATGGAAAGTTGAAAGGGAAGCAGCTGTAGCTTACGGGCCACTTGGCTTGACGGAGCTTCATTCTGCCGGGAGGACAAATCACCGCTCCGCTTTCTATACAAATCATCGCAAGCCCATTCCTATTCCCATCCTAAGTTCTGCTAATGACCAGGTCGACCTCTTCTCCAGCTTCCAAGGAAACATCAACTACAATTTCACTTCCCTCGCATACCTTTTGCCCAACCACGTCACCCTGCCGCTTATAAACAGCCCAGCGATCACCGGGAAGGTTCCGGGCCGTCATGGTCACATTAGCCCGTTTCCCCTGCCACTCAGAAAGGGTTACGATCAAAACCTCGGATTTCTCATCCCACTCTCCACGTAAGCAATTCACTCCACTGGAAAGATCAATGCCGTCCACCCAAGGCCGGGTCTGCAGCGTCTCTCGTGTCCAAGGCTGCTCCCACATCTTCTTCTGGCCATCCGCGACATTCAACCGAGCATACCCAATAGCTCCATTTCCAGTAAATGGCTCCATCAGACTAAGTCGCCCAATGGAATCAGTACTTGAGTCATTCCGTGGGTAGAAAAGGCCACCTTTCTCCCACGTGGGCCGAAGATTCTCATCAGCAAAGTGCAGTAGTCCCTGCAGCTCCGTTGATTTGCCAAGTTCCGAAAGCCACTGAACAACATAGCCCAATACAGGCCAGCCGTATTCCTTTTTACCAGGAGGCTTAGGGACGGAATCCTTGGTCGCCAAGTAGTGCTCACGAGCCTCTTTTATCATTGCAGATGAGACATCCTTGATTCCATTTTCTTGCATCAAGGCCCGTAGCTTTTGGGCAACTACCGGATGATGAAGCTCGACCGTGCCATCGACGTTGGTGATGAATCCAGTTGAATGTGCTTCGTACCCGGACTCGACAAATTCTGGGTTCCAAGCATGCATGAAGGCGGCAGACCTATCTTATTAGAATGTAAGCGAAAGCAGGGCAGAGCTAATAGCACACCAGGCAGTGAGCGCACAACTCTTCGGCGCAAAGATGACGTTCTGCTTGACAGCGACAAAGTCCTTGAAAAGTTCTGTATTGGAAACCAGATTTGACTTTTCCAATGCTGCCCTGTATTCCTTCAAGACGTCGTCGGCGGTGTGGGTTCCGTGTCGGGCGTCTAAATATCTCATTCCAATGATCTGTTCAACGTAAGCAAGGCGAGCATTTCCACAAGGACGACCGATCCATACCGGGAACTGGTTGCATGCAACAAACACGACATTTGGCTCACAGCATGCTCCAATCCACTTATTCCTCCTCATTTCACCAATGATAGCGTCCTGCAGGCTGCGGATATCATACTCGAACGTCTCAGGACCCATACCCCAGAACATGGGATCCCAATGAAAGGTCAAACTACCGGGCTTTTCGAATTCGTCATCGTCAAACAACATAGTATACATACCAGTCATCAAAAGCAGATGGCCACTGTACATGATATTTTCTCGAATGATTGGATCAGCCCAAGGCTTCCGAAGCTCCTTGAGATCTGGATCCACGGCCTTTCCCGACTGAGAAGTGAGATACCAGTAACCCCAAACTTCTCGACGAAGCATTTTATGAATCAGCCGACGCATCAAAGGCTTGAATATTCCTCTCATAGCTGGCATCCGGTGGTAGTGGGTTACACCGGATGCGTATGCCATTGTAGCGAGCTGGTATCGATATGCATCGAGGAACTCTTGTGCCGGCTCCTGTGCTCCCATGTGCGGCCATTCTCCATCATCTGCCGTGGCAAGGTTATGAAAATGGCGGAGGTGGCCGGCTTGCTCCTTTGACAGCTTGGGATATCGTTCGAGGTCGATCGGGAGGTCAGGTTGCGGGGCCGTAAGCATAGCAGTAGCCGTTGCCACTCTTGTTGTCGACATTGTTAAAGAACCGTGATTCTTGGATGATTACCCTCCGTATTGTAAGGATTCTTTCAGATCTAGCCGGATATTCGGACAGTCTCAAATGAGAGTATCAAGGTCTTCCTACTTCAACTCTTACAGCACTGAATCCTGGGGGATTTTGTCCGCCAAGCTTACGGCGCTATGCCAGAAAGAGCAACGATTCTATGATGCCCGATTGGCCTAGTGCGAGATCCCAAGGGCTATCCCGGAGATCACCTAAGTTGGTAACAGCGCTGTTTCCGTTGAAGTCAGCGTTGAATGCGGGGCTTTTTTGGTTCCGGCGGGATTCACAAGGCTTTACGTTTACGGTATTTGAAAACTCGGGGGGTTCCTGCAATAAGCAAAAGTCTTATCTTCCCTCTCAACAATACATGCTACATAATGATGCTATAGTAGCTAATGGCGGGCAGAAGAAATAATTGAAAGACGACCGTCATTAAATTCTTTTTTATTTGGGCTCCCTGCGGTCTGTGTACAGAACGGGAGAAAAATCACAAATACAAATCCCCAGTGCGCTCTTCATGCAAAGAATAAGGAAAGAGAAACAAAGTGGGAGCCACGGAGGTCTCTCAACAGGAAGCGGCGTTCTAGACCCGAGGGCAACAGACAGCTGAGACAGGATCCTTCAATCTGCCAATGGGGCCTAGATCTCATCGTTCCTTAGGAGTCACATGGCAACTGTTGGGGATAACCAGAGGTCGTTCACAATCTGAAAAAGACGAACTGACGGCTGAAACTGGGGGGGAGGCATCTTGAAAAGCAGAATAAAAATTGAAAGGTCCAGGGGCCGTAAGAATAGCGTAGGACATTGCTAAAAGAAGAGATACAGTGGAAAAGGGGAGGAACGTCCCCATATCATGAAATGGGTTGGAAAAGATGGGTTGGAAAAGATGACCATCCAATATCGAGGCGTCAAGAGCGAAATGTTTCTTTTTTGCGGTTTATTCAAGGTCGGTGATGGTACAATGGCACAGAGCGAGCCGAGGGGGAACGCGCTGCATCCACCGAACTTTACTGGCGCGGAGACCTAGAGATGAGGAGTCAGCTTTGAGCACAATAACAGAGCGATTTGCTGATCTTACGTTGGGCTGTAGGCCGGTGAGGTAGGGCTGTAGCCAGGCGAAGTAGGAGACGTCGGAGAGCCACCAAAGTTCGGCGAAGTTGGTGAGTACGACTGGGGGCTCGTAGGAGACCACCCAGGCGAGGTAGGAGTGTACTTGGGAGACGTGGGGGAGGTAGGAGACATATTACGACCACCTCCAAGAGCCGGGCTGGTTGGGCTATAGCTTGGCGAGGTTGGGCTAAAGGCTGGCGAGGCCGGGCTGAAGCTGGGTGACGTCGGGCTGTAGTTTGGCGAAGTGGGCGAGAAGCCAGGCGACGTCGGTGAGTACGAAGGCGATGTCGGAGACGCACCGTATGGTGACGTCGGCGAGTATGCAGGAGACGATGGGTGATATGTCGGACTCGTGGGTGAGAATCCAGGGGATGTAGCCTGGAAACGGGGGCTAGTCATGCTTAGACCAGGAGAGGTAGGTGAATAGCTCGATGACGGAGAATAAGCCGGAGACGCCGGACTAGTGTTGAAAGGACTGCTAGGTGAATATCCACCGGGACTACGAGCTCCAGGGCTGAAGCCACCATAGCCATCCGCGGGCTGGTACTTGGTGAAACCACCAGGAGACGCTGCGCCGGCCTGATGGATAGGCGAGAAGGTGGCATCGGCATCGCCATCGATAAACCCTGTGGTGCTCTGCATGGGCGAGCCGGTGTCATACTGTGTAGCAGCACCATCGGGGATGAGAGGGTCCTTAGCGCCTTCCATGAGTCCGAAGCGAGCATTGTTCGACACAACGGTGTTGAGCACATTCTGATCCAGGTAGACATCGAACTCTCCTGTTCCAGCAGGGGCCATCTGTCCAAGGATCAAATTTTCTGAAACACCACGGCAATCATCAAGCTCTCCGAAGGCAGCAGCCTCCAGAAGGATTTCCACGGTCTCTTCGAACGAGCATCGCATCAGTGCACCGTTGTCAGCGCGGTTGATACCGTGGCGAGTCACAGGGGTCAAATGACCACGAACGGTCATGACATCAATGAGAAGGGCCAAGTGACGGTGGTTGACATAAGAACCGTCGAAAGCCAGCACCTTGGTCAACTCACGAAGCAAAGCAGTGCGCGCACCCTCGATACCGAAAACTTCGAAAATCTCGATGAACTGGTTGGAATACGTACGAGTCGCATCGACACCAGGGATCGCAAGAACCGGAGCCAGGGCGGATCCACTCGTCTCCAGGACCCATTCTTTGCAGAGAGGATCCGATTTGCTTGTGTGTAAGGTACCATCCTCGAGAACACGCATCTTGCTAACTTCATTGATGAAAGCACGTTCAACGCCAGGCACACCACGGAGGGTGAGGGTATCAAGAAGATGTTGCTCAAGCTTCTTCAAGGTGACATCGTATTCAACATCGTCATCATCATCATCCTTGGTGTCTTGAATTTGACGGATTCGAATAACCTGCTCATCGGCGTTGTTATCACTGAAGATCACAGCAATATCGCGAGGGTAGGCCTCTTTGATCTTGCCAGCAACCTCCTGAACCGTCAATCCCTTATCGAGAAGCTTGGGTCGACTGAGGACGATTCGAAGCAACCACTTGGACTGATTGGCAATATCATCGCCGACATCCTCGGGAATGATGAAGTAGGATTCGACCATGTCCTTATCATTTTCGATGACAGTTGATTGAATGTCTGGATCGTAGTAAATCTCGGTGGCCTCAGTTACGGACCGCAGGCTGGTATGCTCGACTGCACTACGCAGACGCTTGGCACTCTCCTTATTGAAGGTATTAGCACCCTCTTGATAAACGGTCAATGAAGGTGTCTTGATATTGGTCGCAACGTTCAGAATTTCCTTGAGACGGGGCACACCCAGAGTGACGTTCTTAGACGACACACCGGCAAAGTGGAAAGTGTTCAGAGTCATCTGAGTGGCAGGTTCACCAATGGACTGAGCAGCCAAGACGCCAACCATTTCACCAGGATTGGCTTGGGCACGAGCAAAGCGCATTTCAATGGCACCCAGGACATGCTGGAAAGCAAGCTTGTTGAGCGAGTGTTCAGTGACAAGTCGCTTGAAGGCAAGACGACTGCGCAACTGGGCCTTGAACAGCAGGGTAGCGTTGTATTGAGCCTCCTGAGAGATCGGATCGTCTCCACGAACCACCACCAAGCGATCCAAAAGAGCCTGCACCTGTGGGATAGCTTCAGATGGATCCAGGTCACTAATGGTGCCTTCACGAATACGGAAAGTGCTCCGCGCCACGTCCAAAATGCGAACAACGTTGATAGGCAACTGCATCATCTCATCATCAGTGAGAGCAACCTCCCGAACAATGGCACGAGCTTTGAGAAGTTCTTCCCATTCTTGGTCAAAGTGCTTCTGCACTTCGATATCACCCGCGATCTCATTAGCCCGCTCCAGGACGTCAGGACCTAGGGTGAGCTCAGGGTCCATAACGTCAACGCGGAAGCGTTCACGGAATTTGTCATCGGAACACCGGAGAATGTCAACCCGCTGGTTCTCAATGTGTTGTCCATCTAGACCGTCTTCTCCGTAGATGAATTGGATAACGTCATTCAACGAGTTACGCACAGTTCCATCGTACTTGACCATGACTTCTTCCAAAGCCTTGACAAGCTTCCGCTGGATGTAGCCAGTCTCAGCAGTCTTGACGGCTGTATCAATCAAACCTTCACGACCAGCCATGGCGTGGAAGAAGAACTCGGTGGGTGTCAGACCACGCAGGTACGAATTCTCGACGAATCCACGGGATTCTGGTGAGTAGTCATCCTTGGTGAAATGGGGCAGAGTGCGATATTTGAAACCAAAAGGAATACGTTTTCCTTCAACTGACTGCTGGCCGACGACGGCTGTCATCTGAGAAATATTGATAGTCGAACCCTTGGAACCGGAACGAGCCATTTGGATGGCGTTGTTGAGATCCTTGAGACTCTTCTCGGTGGCATCACCAGCCTCGTCACGGGCGTTGTTCAAAGCACGTGAGACCTTGCTCTCGAAGGTCTCACGCACGTTCATACCAGGCAAAGCCTCCAGGGTGTTGTCCGTAGCGCTAGCAGTGATCTCCTCGACTTCCTTCTTTCGCTCACGAACAGCTTCCTCGATCTTCTCAATAGTTGCCTTGTCAGGGATGGTGTCACCAATACCAATACTGAATCCATTGTGAAGCAGCCAGTAGTTGGTAATACGCTGGGCCGCTGTGAAGAAGTTCACCGTCTGATCAGGGCCATATTCGTTGAAAATGACGTGAATGACACCACCACCAGTGGCCCCAACAATCTTCTTGAGAAGCATGCCGTAGAGCAGCTCTCCTCCGTGAATCAGACAGCCGCCATCGTTGAGAGGAGAGAACTTCTCGCTCGGGGGGGGCGCCGTCTTTATCGACACGAAGGAAGTTGAGACCACTAGGGAAAGCCATGCTGATCATCTGCTTGCCGGTCCAACGAGGACGAGGCTTGAGGATAGCAGGGGGCGGAATGACACCATCCCAATCCGGCACCCACATCATGATGTTCATTACCTGGTCCTGGGTAAGGAAAACGTCACGGCGAGTAATTTTGTAGATACCGCAAAGACTATCCTGGACGATACCCATCAGAGGACCGTTTCGCTGGGGCGACACAATGTTCTTAGGAACAAGAGCAAGTTCCATCAGCTCCGCTCGAGATTCCTCGCTTTGCGGGACGTGCAAGTTCATTTCGTCTCCATCGAAATCGGCGTTGTAGGGCGAAGTGACAGACAAGTTCATACGGAATGTGGAGAAAGGCATCACGCGGACGCGGTGACCCATCATAGACTCCTTATGAAGGGATGGTTGACGGTTAAAGAGGATGACGTCGCCATCGTCCAGATGGCGTTCAACCTTCCAGCCATAGAGTAGCTGTTGAGCCCCTGCGCGCTTGGCATGACGAAGATCAATTCGCTCGCCATTGTCACGGACAATGTACCGCGCACCAGGGTGAATGTTGGGACCATTGGACACCAGAGCTTGCAACTTTTCAATATTGTAAGGTGTCACAACCTCAGGGTAAGTCAAGATCCTCGCGGTCGAATAGGGAACTCCAACTTCATGCAAAAGCAAGTTGGGGTCACCTGTAATGACCGTTCGAGCAGAAAAATCCACTCGCTTACCCATCAAGTTCTGACGCAGACGGCCCTCCTTACCCTTCAAACGACTGCGCAAAGCCTTGACAGGTCGGTTTCCCTTCTGCATGGCTTTGGGCTGGCCGGCAATATCGTTGTCCATGTAGGTCGCAATGTGGTATTGCAAGAGTGACTCGAATTCACGAATGACATGTTCGGGTGCACCCTCCTGCTCACAACGCTGGACATTCTGATTGGCGCGAACGATTTCGGCAAGCTTGTAGGTCAAATCGTCCTCACCACGAGAACCACTAGTAGCACCCATCATGACACTAGGGCGAACAGTAGGAGGAGGAACAGGAAGGACAGTAAGAATCATCCAGTCTGGGCGAGCGTAGTCGTTGCTGAGACCCATAATGCGCACATCCTGCGGAGAAATTTGCTTGAAGATATTCAACGCCGCTAACGGTGTGATAACCTTCTTTTCAGGCTGTGCCATCTCGTCCTCCATCATGCTCTTGCTTGGTTTCCATGTACCTACGAGGGTGATTCCCTCTTTGCGGACAGTAGGCTGGGCGTTGCCACATCCACCGTGGAAATGACGTTTTTGGTCTTCCTTCGACAATTCATCGTCATCAGGTGAAGGGTCGGCCTCGCAAACCAATATGTCTTTCGAAAGACGCCAAATGGTGTCAAATCGCTTCTTCGGGTCTCGCGTACGGGTCGCCTCTAAGAATTTGGGATCGCTCTTTTGTTTTCCGTGTCAGCAAAGCAAAGAAAAGGGAAGGTAAGAAAAAAGTGAAAAAAGTGCCATGCAGAATTTGCGTTGCCCAAGCAGATGACTAACCTGGTTTGCCTTGATCTTTCCGCAGTTGTGGCAAACGGTCTCCAACAGCTTCTTAATTTTTGTCAAGAAACCTAGGAGCGGGAAAGACAAGATTAGCATATGCGATTCAGATACCTCAAGCGAACCCCTTAGACACTCTTACCAATGTGGAAGACGGGCGATGCCAGTTCAATGTGGCCAAAGTGTCCAGGGCATTCCTTTTGGCCTTCTTCACAGGTCTCGCAGTTGTATTGGCGGTCGATGGTTCCCAGGCGTGGATCATTTACACCTTTGGTCCTGGGCCGCTGTCTTTGTTCATCCTGTGGTTTTGGTCCATAAGCCGCGATCCGGGATTGAGCCTTTGGGCTGAGTTTCCGGAGGTAAGCATCACTTACCATCGTCTCGGGGTATTCCACGTGGACCACGCTCATCCGCTTGATTTCCTCGGGCGAGAAAAGGCCAAACTGAATCTCCTTGATAGTGCGCAAAGGCGCCTTGGAGTAAGGGAAAAAGACGTTCGACATTTTGGCGGCGGTGAAAGCGGATTGTGGGAGGTATTCCTGGTCAGCGGGTGGAAGCGCGCCAGACGGGTCAGATGTCAAGGATCCTGGTTAGTTTTAACGCGCAAAGCCTGAAAAGACAGAAAGCCTGGAATCCTGGAAGTCGATATCACGCGAGGCGATGATGAAACGAAGGTGGTGTGGAAGCAGCTGGCCGGCTGAGGCCTTTGGCAGCCCTTGCCACGAGGGCGCCGGCGACCTGGGGTCCTGAAACGTCGCGAAGCCTTAGAAAGGAAGGGCGAAAGGCATGCGCCAGGTGTTGCCACGTAATGTAAGTATCCAAGGGAGGTACCGCGATGTGAAACGAGATATCCTTGGATGTGGAGGTGATGGGGGAGGTGGTCGGGGGAGGTTGAAAGGGAGATGGTGCAGGCGACCTTTCCCGTTGATGGGGCTCGAGTTTTCCCTGTATTCACTAGCGCGCCGGAGACTGGTGTCGGGCCTTACCGCCTTCCTCTTATGGACCCCTCAGGCCGGGGCGGAGACTGGCAGAACCCGCAAAATTCTCCATTGCCTGGTACTTCGGGCATTAATTGCCACCTCTCACCGCCATGATACCGCCCAGATACCGCCCGCTGAATTATATCCATTATCGGTCCCAGGTTTTCCTTGAAATCTCATGGGAAACAAACAATTGTCAATGTCTACGCACAGATTATAGTCTCACTTATACCGCTTCCAGATATCGCTGCATGCTTGCTGTACAGCTTAGTCTCCTCCTTTGAGGGGAATTGCCATTTGACTGCCCGCCTCCTCGCGACACTTGGACGTCACAATGAATCTCTCACTTGTTGATCCATTTATTTTGGCTCAGGAATACCCAGATACCCTAACAGAAAAGCTTCGTACGGTTTCCCTGGGCGCTTTTATACACATCGTTGCTGATTGTTCATAGAGAGTGGTCACGCCAGCTGCCTCCGATTCAACCATACCGGCGATTTCCTAGCCTCAGGTCGGGTTCGTCACTCCATACCCAGGCAGAGGCATGATTTGCGGCTTCTACTCACGAATATCAGGCTAACTTGCTTCTCTCAGGTTGACGGAACAGTTGTCATATTTGATATCGAAACCAATGGCGTTGCGCTCAAGCTACAAGGTCACACGCGCCAGATCCAATCCCTTAGGTAGATTCGCCCAATTCGCGGAGCACTTGTGCGCAAGGCACTGACTGTCTCAATAGCTGGTCGAGAGATGGACGATATCTGCTTACCTCGTCCCAGGACTGGAAATGCATCCTATGGGATCTCAAGGACGGCTCGCGACTGCGCACAGTAAGATTTGAAGCGCCGGTCTACATTGCTGAATTGCACCCGTTTAACCAGTACGGCCCCACCGACCTATCGACATGTTGATGTATATCGGCTTACCCTGGCTAATTTCTCAGTCTCCTCTTCGTCGCATCTCTCTTTGAAGATCAACCCGTCCTCGTCGATATATCCTCCCCGAAAGCCATCAAACGAATTCTCCCATCCGCCCCTCTACGCCCTCAGGCTCCGAACGGCGAAGAACTCACGCCCGAAGCAGCTGCCAAACAAGCCGCGCAAGATGCGAAGCATTCAACCTGCGTGAGCATATTCACGGCATTGGGGAACCATGTAATCTCCGGCACATCGAAAGGCTGGATCAACATCATCGAAACCGAAACCTGCACCACAATCCACTCCTCCCGGCTCTGTAACGGCGTCGTTATCCTCATCCGCCTCTCTAAGAACGGCAAAGACCTCCTCATCAATAGCTCCGACCGAATCATCCGCACCGTCGTAATGCCCGACCTCTCCCAGCTCGGCATGGGCCTTGAACCCGCCAATATCAAGCTCCAAATCGAGCATAAATTCCAAGACGTCGTCAACCGACTCAGCTGGAACCACGTCACGTTCTCCTCAACCGGCGAATTCGTCACTGCAACAACGTACATGAACCCGGACATCTACGTCTGGGAGCGCAGCCACGGATCCCTCGCCAAAATCCTCGAGGGAGCCCGCGAAGAGCTCGGCGTGGTAGAATGGCACCCGACGCGACCCCTCGTAGTTGCCTGCGGGCTGGAAAGTGGCGCCATCTACGAATGGTTCATCATCACGCCACAGAAATGGTCTGCGCTGGCGCCCGATTTTGGCGAGGTCGAAGAGAACGTCGAGTACGTCGAGAAGGAGGATGAGTTTGACGTGCACCCGCGGAGCAGGTGCACCAGCGCCGGTTGGACCTGGAAGATGAGGAACCGGACGTCATTACCCCGGATCCGAGCAAAGTAGACACCGACACTGATCCGGCCCACGCGTTTGCGATGCCTGTTCTGATGGATGTCTCGGATAGTGACAGCGGAGAAGACATCATTGCTGTTGGGCCGGGGACTATGCGTCGACGAACGCCCGGTGCTGGGCGCGATGGGCCTGAGACTGAGGCGGACGCTGCCCCTCGTGGGTCCGGTCGGAGTCGGCGGCGGTAGATTGACGTACAATAGAGAAGGGTGGTTTATTTGCATAGGCGCGGCGTTTTATTTTCTTTGCAGTGGCGTTCGGAATAAGCCCAGGGATAGTGGACTTTGTTCCGTCAAGGATCGGATCGATTTGGCGTGCGCGCAGGCTTTCAGATGGCTACCTGCAGATGAGCTTCAATCAATGTACTACATGATTTGATGAGAATAATCATACCTATTGATACCAGTACATCCAACAATGTCTCAATGGCCTGGGGTCAAAGACCTTCGGAACTTAAATATACCCGTGTGTTGACGAATATAGACTTGCCGTACAGGGATCGTGCAGTTGAGAGGTACCCGAAATTTTGAAGCGCAATCAGAATGTTTTGAATGCCTATCTGTCACGTTCATTTCTGGAAATGCGACATGAGAGTCGAAATTCAAAATCCGATTGCTTTTGGTAGTAAACCTTGAAGGTTGCCAGAAGGGTGACGCGACAGGTTGGTGGAGATATATCCAAGGCCTCGGGAAGAGTCAAGATTAGCAGCCGCGAGTCTGGCCGGGTCTATTCGGCGAACACACTTGAACCCCAACAACTAATATCGATAGTATTTAGATTAATTCCTGAAGGGATCCTCAGGAGGTCGGATTGGAATGAAGAAGGCGCGATTTCAAGTCGGGTCAGCGTGAAGTTGCTCAGACACGTACAACTCTCGTTACATGACCTAGTAAGCATATGACTAATTACTATAAAACGTTCCAAGGTTCCAAGGTTCTTCCGAGTCTGCACGGCATTAGTACACTGCCTCCTAGTGCTAGTACTGCTCTATCGTACTCTTCTATAGTCGGAATGTACCGGTACTGACGCCACGGTGTTCTACAGGGCAGCTTACAGGAAACCTGAACGAAAAGAATACCACCCAAACAAGACGGCATTGTCCGACAGCGACTTTAAGTTCGTAAAAGGATAGAATTGGGTATATACCAAGCACGCGAAGAAAAGGGCATGAAACGCCATGAAGATGCTAGAACCAAAGATAGAAGAGGTCGTTAAGGGCTCTGCGCTCAGATGAACTCCATTGTATCACGGATGATCATAGAGTGATATGCAAAGGGAGGAGGGGGTGGTAGCCTGCTATCACGGGATCCACAATGGCGGCTGAGAGGGTATGATCTAGTTCGTATCGTGCATATTTTATCTGGAAGGGGATCGGACTTTTATATCGGCGCGGGTTGAAGCTGGTAAGAGAGCTTGCCAGATGAGGTGATACCGGGGACATTGATATCAGCGCTAGCGGGGGAGACCAAATCGTGATGGGCGGATTTGGGGTCACGAAGAGAAAAAAAAAAAGGCAGCCCTGCGCTATCACAGTAGAAGGCGATGTCCGTTATTCGTATCGATGGAGCGGTAGCGGGAGATGGAATGATATCAAGCTGGTGGACAAATCAATTGGGGAAAGGCTTTTGCGCTTGATAAATATGCAGGATGTTGTAGCAACGGATCTCCCGATTGAACGCTTCGGTTTTCACATTGTGTGCCAAGCGCCGAATGCTAGCGAGATCCCAGGCAGGTTCCGTGCGAGTAAAAGGAGCCAGACAGAGCGTCTCAACACTCTCAGAAATGGCAAGATTGTACCACCGGGCGACCTGGCGCTCGTGATCGTCATCGTGCCACGGATTCATTGGGAGACCTATCACTTGGTGGTCGATTTGAGTGAAGCCAGCTGCTTGCAAGTCGGCGATGGTTTGGCGATAATCGTGGGCAATTGGCCGGTTGTTGGCCTCCGTAGTTTTCTTCAGTAGCTTGTACCACTGCCGCATGGCCGTCGAGCTGAGATCCCGGTCATCACATCGCGGTTCAAAATCGATTTCCACTTGCTCAAACCAAGCTCCGGGTCGCAGGTGCCTGAATGCCCGCTTGTACAGAGTCGGCCAACTGACGACACTTCCACAGCCCATCTGCATGTGGATCAAGTCCCACGAGTCCTCTCCTAATGACCACTGGCCGTCGAAATCGAACGGAGAATAGAAGTCGAGATTCTTCGGACATTCGGTAGGCTGGATGGCGGCCAAATCGACCCCCACGACATGTGAATTCTTCAACTTGCTCGCAACGTCAATGCACCAAATGCCGGTTCCGCAGCCCAGATCCAGAATTCGAGACCCGTCTGTGTGCGGGGCATAGATTAAGCCATCCTTAGCCCGCGCCACGGTGAAAAGCTTGTGGAAGATATCGAGACGGTCCTGCTCTTCCTCATCACAGGGTAAGAAGTACTTGTTTTTGTGATATCCATGGTATTTTCGTCCATTCTCTTCCTGGAGGGGGTATTTCTCGGTGGAGCTAAAAGGACTCAATTGTTAGCAACAACTTTCCGTCATAGTTTCATTTACCCCCAGCAAAGGGTGAAAAATTGCGGGAGGAAGCGAGATCAACATACTCAGCCGGGGCCTTGTAGTCCGACACTTTGCGCTCGGCCACCACTATTGGCGGAGATGAATGCGATCCTCGTGAGACGGCGGAGGTATGCGAAGCCACCGATCCATTGCTCGCGAAACGGGCCGCGCGGCGAGCGTCGTAGTCTCGCTGCAGCTCGCGGTTCCGTTCCCTTTCACGATCGCGATCACGCAGCTCGCGATCTCGCTCGCGTTGCCTTAGTCGCTCTCGTTCCCGCTCCCGCTCCCGCTCCCTTTGTCGTTCCCATTCACGGTCTCTGGCTCGGTCTCGCTCGGACGGGTCGCGATCGGTGATGGCGTAGATGTCCATAGCTGCGGAGGCGTGTCGCGAGCTGGCCCGGTCACTGGATGGAACGGAGCCGGAGTGGGATACATAGTACCTTGAGAGGCCGGAATCGCTCAAGGGGGTGGACTCCGACTTGTGTCTTTTGGGAGGCGGGGAGATGGTACTTATTGGAGGCAGACGCCGCCAATTGTCGTGGGAAGAAGACATTGTGCAGGCGCGAGAATCGCGGACGATTCAGGCGCGTGGGATCAATGGAAACGAGCGTACATCGATCAGTGTGACGGGATACAAGGAGCCAAGCTAAGGGGGAAAAAAAACCGACAGGGGAAACAGCAACGCCAGAGTATGTGTGAGAGAGAGAGAGGGGTTGGGAAAGTTAAGGTTGTGTGGTTGGTACCCGGAGGACCCACGGGGCTCAGAATCAAAGAAAAGGGAAACCGAGGAATCCCAAGGAGGACTAGCTATATTAATAGGGAATGAATGAATTAGAAATTATTAGGGGAATCCTAGCGCTAGACCTTGGTAAGTCAAAAGTACCAAAGTACAGGAACCCCAGAGCAGGAAAAAGCGGGCACCTCAAAAGACCAAAAAAGAAAAAAGAAGGCAAAAAAAAAAAAAGAAATTGCGTCTCTTCACTTTTGGGACGCACTTGATCGGGTTAAGTACGAGAGAGGTCCGGGGGGGGCCAAGGCGGACCCATGTCTCTTCAGTATCAAGCTTTCTTTGTTTGGGAGCATCCCAGTTTGCGAATCCTGTAGATCAAAATAGGGTATACACGCCCAGATCATAGAGCACTTCCAATTGTCACCGACACCTGGACAAAACCCAGCAGGACCAGAGTAGAAGAATTGCGGACCAGGTACTCCGTACTGTAGGCGCCAGAAAGGTTCCACCGGTGATCATTCGACTGCATTTTCTGAGACCAATAGACCCGGAGATCCAGAGCCTCGGGTTTGGCCACGGACCCTGGCTGGTCCAGCGGGGCCCTACACTATCCCGATCCAGTCATCCTGCTGCGGTTTAGAGTTGGGCCAAAGCCCCGGGCTTTCTAGGGCTTTTTGGGGGAGCTTTTGGGCTGATCATGTCCCCACCTCCGGGCGGGTACACGGTCCGCCTGGAGCCTACAAATCCTGGACCGTCTGGGTCCTGTCAATTTAAGCGACGCCGGTAGTTTCGGGGGGGAATTCACACCCGCGAATCTGGAGGATCCTTGGGTCCAGCTGGAACCTTTTCAATCCCCCCCCCCTTCTCGGAGTTCTCCGAACTGCATATGTCCGGCGTTCCAGGAATTTGATCTCATGAACATGCGTGTTTCCATGTTGCCACCGAACCCAGGGCCTCGGGTGGATGTGACGCTGCGAATCATGCTGGTTCTGCACACTCTCGGGACGTATCCTGGTTCGTCGCTCTACGCGTCGTACTAAGGCTAGCAGCGCATTGTTCCAGGTGCCTGGGACGGGGGCGCATCACTCACGGAATATATAGCCCGAGTTGATGGCTTATCGAGCTATTACTGCGTAGTATGACTCGAACCCTCGGGTGATTACCGTTGTGACGCCCTGAACATGACTTTAGACCGTACTTCGTACCGGAGACCCCCCCCCAACCCCCCCTGGTGCATCCTGGTTACTCCATACAGATCATCCCCTCCCCCAATCCCTCAAGCCACTGCGTTTTGGGCATCGGGATCTGTCCTTTCCGTCAAATCACACGCGACGATCCCAAGCAATGGCGTAGGTGGGGCTCCACCCGACCCCAGATCATGCCTTTCTCCCCGAAGCCAAAAGGGCATGAAGACTGGATGATTTCAGTTCGTAGATGTCGTATCCGGATCTCGATCGTGGATCTCGGCTTTGACGAAAATCCTCGTTCCCACAGCCCTGAAATTCGACGATAGGCATGATGACCTTTTCTTACGAGGCCTGAACTCTGCTCTCCACCCGCTCCAGACCTTGTCCGGATTTGCCGATCCGCCTTCCGTGCCATGGTTCTGCCGCGCCTCTTTCTGACTTGCAGCGTGCATCAGCCTCCCCTGGCAGATCGACAGTTTGAGATTACAGTGGCTGAATGAGCATCCGAGGATTTGGAATTACTAGCCCCCGTACTCCGTAGGGACCCTATTTACGATCCGCTCGTCGAAGCACATCGCGGTCCTCGTCCGAAACTTGCCACAGATCATAACCGCCCGGCGATGTGTGACGGTGGATACTGTCGAGAGTATCACATCCGAGTCTGTGATTTTCAGTAGGGCATGGGGGCGAGGAGTCGAGTGCAGAACGAGCCCCCGCTCCATAGAGTTTCCGTTCCCCCCGGATGTACGAGCCGGGAAAAAAACAACCAGCGGGCATGTACTGTTCATCCACGGCAGATCGACATGTGTCACTCAAGCTTAGCGAAAGAAAAAGGAGAGGCAAAAAAAAGGGCAATTAGCAGACAGGTTCCACGGGAGCTCCTCCTGCCCGGAGATCGGCGGCGATTTATCACTTTTCGCGGTTTGTGAACTCCAGGAAGTGCCCGATGCCACTGATGGACGCACAGAAGGTTTGTGCCTCGAGAATAACTCCCGATGCCCAACTGAGCAACTAGTTATCTTTCCTCAAGCGTAGAAGTGGGCCGACGTTGTGAATGCCGATGTCGTCGCTACTGGTCTACGTGTACCATTCAAACACTATCCGAGGCCCCGGGACATGATGAGCGGACAGCCCAAGCCCTCAACCAAACATGGGGAATCTATTCCGTACTCCAGCAATCTCCAATGACGGCACAGGCAACTACTTCAAGCTAGCTCTTCTATACATCTTTGACCCCGCGTAAGCCCTCCAGTCGTTCCAGCTGATCTTGGCTCTCTCCGCAAGTGGGACTCCATGGGACTCTTTTCCGAAGTGTCATACATCGAACATGCAGCAACTAAGCCCTTGAAGCCATTGCGCCGGGAATCGGAAAATTCCTGCGCTTTGATGCAAGGATAGGCCCAATGCCACTCTATCCTGGGTCAATCCGCCCCCTTCCCCTGAGGAATAGTCAAGGCACGATACATCACATCACATACCGGTATGCAGCGAAACATTTTTCGCATTCTACAGGCGGTTGCCCTAGTGCAGGTACGAGGGCTACGGTAGGGCATTTCGCTCGTCCTGGCTTCTGACTGTAGATGAAGAAAAAAAAAAGAATCTCGTTATTCAAAGTCAATTCCTGATCGGGTGCGGGTTTCTGCGTGCTGGTGTGGTACACAGCTTTCATATCACCCGAGCCGCGGGGGTAGGGGTATCCGGGTTCATGGATGAACCTGTGGACTTCTATAACGCAAGACTGAGAGGTTGAATTGGGCTCGTAATGCGAAAGCACGGCTACAGGCGTCAATACATGATTGAATACTGTGATTATCATGGTTCCGGTGGTACCCAATAGCATTCCATCTTTATAGCGATGGGGCTGGCCACGACAGGAGAAACACTGCTAAGCTACAGGGCCCCAGGCTTGGACAAAATGGCAAATTCTCGGCCGAAGAAAAGAAGCATGCAGAAGAACGGCCCCGACTGTGTTAGGGATGGTTGAAGCCCCAGTGCTGCAAGCTGAATGGTTTCGGGCTGGCGGTTGTACTTGTTGTGTAGCCTTGGAGGCAGTCGTGGGCGAAACAATATCTGCGGCAATACACTGGATGCTTTTCTTCCAATCGAACAACATGCAGATTTTACAAGGCAGCCCATGCGTGGTGCTGAGCTTATGAATGCAATTTCATCATGGTAGACATGGGATATTCTCGAAAAATTTAATATTATAGAGAATGTGGCTCTAATAACCATGTGAGAATTCCACCTCGGAGGATTATCCATCTGACTCGGATTAATTGCGGCCGCCACACGTAACACTGCCTTGGTGACCGTCTGCCCGACGACAGAAGCAGGATGCGTAGATTGGAACATCAGCGCCAGCAGTGGCTCTTGACAGAAGAGGCTCAAGGTCCCGAGCTTCCGCATCACGCCCCAGCTTCAGAAAACATTCGTGCGCTCCATGAAGACCCCATACATTGTTAGGATGCCGTAGAGCTCGGGGAAGAGTCTCACTAAGGCCCAAATCAGCTCTGTAAACCTCAAGGGACTGCTCAACGTGGCCCTGCTCCAACAAAAGAGCTCCATATGCGTGCCGGGTTGGCTGCATCCAGCCCCACGGCTCATCATACGGGAGATTGTCTTCTAGATGGATAGCCGAGCGGAGGCTCTCGAAGGCCGCGTCAAACAGCCGTTGGCGGTAAAGCAGCTCTCCCTTCAACATTTCCCGCGCAATGGCTAGAATATCTAAGCATGTATTATTGAACAGGGTGCGTGATTCCGGAACCCGGCCAACAGCCTGCTCGAACAGCTGCTGTTGGTTTGATGCCTCATCAACATTTCCTTTCGCGGCAAAAGCAACACCCTTGGCATAATGGGTAATTGCCGTGGTCATGGCGTAGAGTCCTTGATTTTCGGGGATTTGGAGCGATATGATATCATCCCAGCGCCCAAATCGAATAAGGACGTGTGCTCTTAAGGACAAGAATGCCTCTAGCCAGTCTGCCATTGGCGGCGATTCGACTCGCAGTAGACTTTCAGGTATCGATGCCTCAAGTTTTGCAGTTGTGTCGATCGCGACCTGGAACTTCCCCGAGAACATAGCAGCATATACACAAAAGTGATAGTCGTGAGACCTGTAGAGAGTATAGAAATTCAGGGGCCCGACCTCCTTGACATATTTCTCATCGGCTGCAATAGCAGCAGTGTTCCAGGTAATAGCATCTTCGTATTTCCCACACAAAATGTCGAGATGGGTCGGCATATGCTGCAGATGACCCCCATCCGGCACAAGCCCACGAAGGCGATTGGCGATCGGAAGGGCAGATTCGGGCGAGGGTGACATCTCCATGAGATGAATATAGAGATGCAACAGCCCAGGGTGCCCGAGGGCGCCGGGGATCCCTGCTAAAGCATCATCGATAATCTGCTTGACTTCCAGTGTCGGCGCTCCTTCCGTAGGTTCCCCGGTTTCTAAGCTCCACAATTGCCATGGCTTCAGGTTCATAAGGGCGTCAGCATAGATAGTCGCGACGTCAAGGCTCTGAGGGAAGTCCCTTTGCACACTTTTCATTTCCTCCGCGAAACTCGCATTCCATTCTTCGAATGTCTTGACCGGCACTTCGTCCGGATAGCGGGCTTGAATAGCTTTTACAAAGGCTGCCTCCAACGGCGAGGCTTGCTCAATATGAGCCAAGGCAGATTGGGCAGCATGATAGCCTCGGTATACGACTTGCTTCAGCTCTTTCTCGTCAAAGAAGCCCCATGGCTTGTTATAATTGGGACCAATCGCGTAGGCTAGACCCCAGTATGCCATTGCACAGGTAGGGTCGGCATCGATGGCTCGTTGGAAACATGCTATGGCCTCTTCATGATTGAATGCATAGCTCCAGATGAGGCCTCTGTCGAACCATGCCTGGGCCTGAGGGGAACTGGTTGTTACAGGGCAATGGTAGGACCCTAGGTTGAAATAGGTTTCCGACATGAGAGTGATTGCTTTGCGGAGATAGAGTAAGCCTGACGAGTGCAGTGCTTATAGCCCTAAACTAAACATACGACCCTAGGGATAGGCGTGGCTAATTTATAATGCTCCGAATAGCCCGATGCCTTCGAGATCCTCGGGTCTATGGATGCGAGTTAGCTGCCCAGCTCTGGAGTGGTGTGATACGATGACAAAGATCCCCGCGGCGAATCTTGTGAAGATTCATCTTTTAACGTAACTAGGCCGAAAGAGGCAAATCTTGCGCCTCTTTCATCGATATTATATGAAGAACAGAACAGGAGTGCGTTTAAATCCTTGGAATTGAAAGCATTTACCTCCAATCCCCATCCGAAAGGACTCTAGTCCCATTTTGGCTGTTGGTTGTATTCGTCTTTGCCTGAGGGATCAGGCTGAGGATTGAGCCACTGATCATAAGTGCTCCGAATTATGAGACGAATTGCGCCTCCACGAGTCCCCACCAGTCTCACAGCTTAAATAGAAACCAAATAAATTGCTCCATACCAAGAATAACCATAGCCCGAGCATCAATAGTCCTTAGAAAAGTAAACAAGAGACCAGCCAAACCTAGACCCACACTTATCGCCCGCCCGATTTTTCACTTTCTTATCCGCAACTTTTTTTTCCTTCCCCCAAGCCTTGCCTCCAACCACCCTTCACACCATTAGGGACCATTCTCTCCCCCCGCAGAATGGACGCCCAAGCCTATCTAATGCGCCACGGCTGGTCCGGTCCCGGCAACCCCCTCAACCCAAACCAGCGCCCCGGACCGCACGGCGGCCTAGGCCTCACGAAGCCGATCCTCGTCGCACGCAAAGCCAACAACCACGGCGTAGGCAAGAAGACCACCAAAGATGCGACGAACCAGTGGTGGCTCCGCGGGTTCGAAGATGCGCTCAAGGATCTGGGCCAGGACAAACCGGTCGCGGCGCCGGGGAACGCGCTGACGAGTGAATTATACCGATTCTTTGTTCGCGGGGAAGGCCTTGCGGGGACTATGGAGGATAACGATGCTGCTGGCAGCGATTCAAGGAGGAAGGAGAAGAAGGACAAGAAGGAGCAGGAGAAGTCAAAATCCAAGCGCAAGCGTGATGCGGATGATGATGGCGAGCGCAAGGCGAAGAAGGAGAAGAAGGAAGAGAAGGCTGCGCGGAAGGAGGAGAAGCGCAGACGTCGGAAGCTCGATGTCGAGTCTTCTGGTGAGTCCAGTGGACTGGAGAAGCCGAAAGAGAGCAAAGAGGAGCGTCGGTTACGACGGAAGCAAAAGAAGAAGGAGAAGAAGGAGAGGAAGTTGGCAAAAGAGGCTCGCAAATCAGACGAAAACAGCCCGGGGGGAATCAAGGATCACACCAAGTCGAAGAAGTCGAAACGGGGTACACCGGAGGACGACTACCCCACGCCCATGTCGACAGAACAAGAAACGGATACCATCGAGCTGAAGACCGAGGCGAAGAAGGAAAAAAAGAACAAGAAGTCACGGCGCCAAGATGAGGATGGTGACTCGAGGTCGAAAACGAAAGCTCAGAAGGAAAAGAAGGGAGAAAAGGGCACCAGCAAAGCCTGAGTGGGAAAAGGTTATTGGAGTTTAAAAAGCATTGGATATACTCGGTCCATCAACATTTTGCATACGCGTGTACTCTGGCGCGATCAAGATACCCATTTGTTCAACGGAGGCTATATTCTATTAGGATTTTTGATTGCTTCTTATTTTCCTACTCAAACGGGTATCAAGTCTGCGCTGGCAGGGTGCCAGGCTTATTCGAGAGGATCCAGGGCCGCCTCTCCCAGAAATCATCTTTGATAATGTCAACATGGTCTACCACTACCCGAGCCTTTCGACGGAGCTTGCGAAGCTTGTCTTGTTGCGATCTTGATTGCTTCGGTTCCGGCTCTGCAGCCTCTTCTGTTGTTGATGCAGGAACTGGTTGCGGTTCCTGGAGCTCGAACTGGAGGGCAGTTAGACAGGGGAATCGGTCCATACTGGAATGGACGTCAAGTCTTACCTGGCGATAAAGGACGCTCCCTTTCTTGTATATTTCCTCTTCGTTGTTATAATTTATGCCAAAGCGTTTGAAGAGGATCTCATTCTTATCGGCAGAAACAGTGCCCTGGTGCCCTGTCAGCCACGCACTAAAGCGTTAGCGTAGCACCGAAAACTTACCTTCAACTCCTGCTCGGCGTCTGTATTGCTCATTCCACCCTTGAGCACCATGGTCCAGAATGTTGTATTGTAAAGGTTGTTGATATGGCCTTTCCATACAGTATTAGCAAGCAGATCTTATCGTATGCTTGGAATTAAACTGACAATCGACTTGTCTCCAGCTCATGTAGTCTCTGAGAATTCGATTTGAAGGATATATGACCGCGCGTCCATCAAAGGACGGCAAAAATGGTGGCTGAAGCGGCTTATCGGGAAAGAAATTTGACCATTGATAGATGTAATGTGCTGTGAATGTGGACACAATGGTGGTCACTAGTTTCCTGGAGATAGTTTAGCATCGCCCGCTTCATATTCCCGGTAGGCGAGACCTACGCGTTTCGTCGCTCGAAGAGCTGACAAGTTGGATGGAAGACAAAGCTTGGAGGAGGAGGAGTCAGTGAAAATAGTCCAGAGGGAAAGAAGAGATGGGTATACCTGAACTCGTCGCTGACGCCATAGGCGATGCATAGATCTGGCAGATCCTTCATGACCTCAACTGCGGCCGTATTCATGAGGTCCAGAGCCCGGCGGTCATTAGGCTTTTGAAACTCATAGTGGTCTGATAACCTAGACATAAATTTCAGCGCCTGATCTGGTTCTCCAGGGTTGGGAAGATCTACTTGTGAAATCCTCTTCCGTCAATGCGGACCACGATCCACGTATTGGGAAGCAATACATCAGGTTGCTCAAAGTCCTTGACGTATTCGAATCTTTCGGATATGAGCACTCATATCATGTGAGCTACTAGATTGGAATGAAGGATGCTTACTTTGAATTGGCCATGTTTGTTGCTTGAAGCACTGCGGCGCGGGATGTTGAGTCGGATTTGATGAGTCGATATCGCATTTTGTGCGATCAGTTCCGCCCGGATTGGGTACCTGACCAGACCTGAATTCTACCAAACCACAACATTCAAAGTCCTTTCGAGATAGCTAAACCTTGAGTACCAAATCCTTCCGAAGATTATTTAATTACGCTCGCGAGTTTACGGAAAGTGATTCTGGATGCCGAACTCAAATGACTATTTACTCCATCGATTGGGTGAAATTTTACTAATGACTTATGTAGACTGATCCAATTGGAGCGGGGATATACTGGAGAATAGGAGAGATAAGGAATGGATTCGGCTTAACTATCATGATGGAATCTCAGGGATGTCCGGGATTTCATCGTCGCCGGCTTCGCTGGCCCGCTCGCTCGTCTCGCTCGCCTTGTCAGACTTGCGCGACTTACGCGAAAAGAAGCCGAGGCTGCTGCGTGTGGAGTGGTTGGCAGAGGGAACGCTAGAGGCAGTACTGTCTATGCTCTTGCACAGCTGGGCATCACTTGAGACATCTTCATCGATCTCCGTCTGTGCAGTGTCGCCCTTCTTGGAGAAGAAGCCAGAGCGATCTTTCCAGGAGCTGAATTTGCTCGAGCTACCTTTGCGAGTAATCTTGCGAATGAATGATTCCTTAGAGGCGTTGTCCACGGACGCTCCTGAGGGCACACGCTCTAAAGATTCGTAAGAGTCACCTGTGAAGTGGGAGAGAGAACGCGAGTCGCGAGAATTGCGAGGCTCAGACGGAGATCCATCATCAAGGTGGATGTCGCAAGCAGCGTCCGACTGCCCGTCCAGTTCTTTGCCCTGGTCGGACTTCTTGCCGCTGGAGAAGATAGCCCGAAAAGACGGGGCCGCGGGATTGAGTTTGGGAGTCACTGGTCGATGCGATGAGGAAGGCCGAGTGCCAATTGGGGCTTGGAGTGGCCGAAGTTGGCGATCATGTGCCTCCTCAACAAAATCCGGCTCACCGCTAAGACCCAAAGGAAGATGTCCAGAGGATCCATACTGAACAGATGGACGGCGAGAAGGTGCTCTAGACCATGGCTGTGGTGAAGCCCAGTCCAAGCCCAGTGGACTATTTCTGTGCCCAGTTGGCTCCAGAGATGGCCATCCAAAATGTCGGTTATCTGTGGAGGGATGAGGGAATTGATTTTGGTTGTCAAATGAAAACGTAGACGAGGGCCGGGGAGATAGCGACCCGCGGCGGACACCACCAAGTAGAGACGATGGATCAATAGGGTCATGACGAGCACTGAACTGATTATATCCCGATGTGAGATCGGCGTGGCCACGGTTGCTCGCACCCCCGAAACCAAATTTACTGGACGAGAATATGTTCGAGAAGGCAGCACGTCGAGAAGGAGGGTGGTCGGAAGACGTGTCATTCGTCATATCCCCTGCGTTTTCAGTCGCCCCAGCAGTGTTGCTACGAGGGAACAAGGACATCGGATTCGCCCAATTCCCGGTATGGCTCAGCCTTCTCCGACGAGACCCTATAGGATCGAGTTCATCGATATTTCGAGGGAAGGACTGGCTTTGGCCTGCCTTCAAGGTTCCTAGCATGGGCGGTTCGTCGGCAAGTGTTTTACCGCGAGGGCGATGGAAACCAAAAAGACCAGAGAGCCGTCGGGATGCGCTCTTCGGGGCCTCCTCAGCCGTTGATAATGGCTGGGGCTGGGAGCCCGAATCTTGCCGGTTGAGTGTCTCCAAGGGACTTGCGAAGATACTGCCTGGTCTGCTGCCAGAGGACACCGGTGAAACAGGTCCATGACCGAAGCTATCCAGTGGCACATGTGAAGAATCCATTGTCGAGAATCGTGGACGAGCTACAGGCCGGCTGAACTCCGGAGATTCTTCATCTCCAAGAAGATCAGATGGCAGTAAAGCATCGGCGCGGGGGCTCATCTGAGGATTGTTGTACCCGGCTTCGGCATCAGAGCGCATGATCTCTGGAGGATCGAGACCGGGGAGTGTCATCCCATTGTTAATATTGAAAATAGCGGGACCAGGTGCGAACGGAGGTGAATTGGAAGAAGGAGGATTGTAATTGATTCCGCCAGGGAACGTTGGCTCCACACCGTAGTTCATCGGTGAAGATATGTCACTCGTTAGAGAGCTGCGATGACGACGGGGCCGAATGGTGGCATTGTTTGACAAGTCCAGGTCCAAAGCTGGTAGCGAAAATGGGCCAGTGCTACCGGATCGTTGGGTGGTGAGCCACTTGAGCCGCTCCTGAGCTTCCTGGTATTGTTGTTGTGCCTGCGTATGAAGATTCACAAGAGTCGCATAACGAGTCTGTAAACTATGCAACTTGAACTCCCATTGTCGAGCACGCTCATTATCAATTCGGTCCAGTTCCTTGCCATCTTCGTTGTCGCCATCCGGGGCCCCTTGCCTTTCTTCCTCGAGTTTCTTGATGCGTCCTCCTTTATCCTGAATCTCGTCGTCGATCACCTTCATCTCTGCTTGTTCTTTGGCAATCTTTTCACGAATTTCTTCTGCCTTAGCTTTGCCGTCTTCCTCCAATCGTGTTTTTTTCGTCTTTGGCCTGCGCAACGTCGGACGTCATACGTGCGATCCTCTCTTGCCATCGTACGATGTCGTTCTTGCGTTTCTTGCGCTCCGCTTCTTTCTGCTGAAGAAGACGCATGCGTTTTGATTTTTCGCTCTGAACAGTCCGGTTGACGCTTTCCAGTTTCGAGACATGCTTCTTGAGATCTCCGCTTACTTCATCTTTCTCTTTAACCCGTTTTTTCAGGTCGTCGCGCTGCTTTTCAAGTTCCTTGAGCAAGGCAATATGCTCTTCCTCCTCTTCGGCCGCTTGCTTCTCCAGACTTTCATTGTCTTGCTGCAACGACTTTAAACGGTCGGCCAATTGCTCTAGGCTCCCATCGCGATCATTCTTACTTGGGCCCCTAGGCGCATCTTCGGAGTTGCTGTAATCTCCCTGGCCAGTTGCGGGAGACAGGCGGCGCCCGGCAGACGGGCGTTTCCCTCCCATTTGCCCAGCGCTGTGTTCACGAGCCATAACAGGAGCGGAGGGAGTAGGTAGGCCGACGGTCGATCGAGGAATTGAAGCGCGGATCGTAGGGCCGGTGTTCGGAGCATCTTGTTGGGTTCGGGACAACGGGAGACATTTCGTTCGGACATGGAGAATTGCACTTGGGGTCTGGAAATTGGCTGCACTCACGGAAAGGACGCAGATGTGGTAGATGTTTCCGGGGATAAGGTTTAGGATCTCGACTGCGGTCTCCGCTCGCTTCGATTCGCCAACTAAAGGTAGACACTATTAGCATATGTGAGGTACACCTCAAGCCCATGATTTGGCATACCTTTGACATTGTTAACTTGGATGATATGCTTGTGAATCGAATTATGGAAATCTGGTTGCTTCCATGCGATGCGAATCTCACGGGCCGTAATCTCTTCCAATGTGACTTCTGGGGGCGGTGGAATATCGAGGCCCAACTTTTCGACCAGCAGATCATTCGGGGTCTGACAGACCTGCCACGCACGATAGAGAAGCCTAGGAAGGTGCTCTGTCAGCATTGAAAGCGATTTGTAGTATTGTCAACCTCACGTGGGACTTACCAAATCAAAGCCCAGAGGATAGAGACTGCCAGGAAGAGAGCCATGACGCCACGCACCCTCACGCGGGGGAGGATGGCTGGATAGGCGTCGAAGGCAACGTAGAATGGCTCATACATGCCAGCGTCAGAGACCCATCGACGCGGGCAGCAGAGAATATACGAAGAAGGCTTGAAGATGGTCTTTCCGAGTTCCAGTTCGGTGGGATACGCCACGTGATCTTCATTCCCTTAGTCAATAATTTCCTCATGCGAACTAGCCTTATAACGTACAGCGATCGGCAGCTAATCTGTTCCAGGAATAGCGTTGACTCAACTCGAAGCATCGCAAGGTATAATTACTAGTCCATTTACATTCCGCTTGAAGTATCCCTGAGCAAACTGTCATGACAAACCACCTTCTTACAGCGGAGTACACCACGCACACCCTGAACTTTAGTCAGGATACGATGATTGTCGCACGATGCTTGATTCCAGACATAAGCAAGGCAGCCAAGTCCCTTTACTGAGTCCCACTCAGGAATGGGCACACTAAGTATCTCATTGCGCCAAGATTCTGAAGGCCTTTCTTACGCTCGTCCATATCCATTTCCCCATTTCAGATACCCTTGTGGACGACACAGTGCGATTAAATTTCCGGCCGCCCCTACCTGAGGATAAACACCAATGGATTGCCACTGGGATGGTGACTAGGAGCAATGAGAAAAATTGGCTAGAATGACAGTAACATTGCCAGCAGACAGCTGCACGCTCAACTTGATTTCCGTCGAATTCATCGCCCAGAGGCCAAAATTCAAGGACTAACCATGCCTGGAATGTAGCTAGGGGACATAATTGTCGGTTGCCCGCATATCGTATCACGCTAGATAATGAATAAGTGTCGGGAGTAGGAGAGACAAGCCATAGCGTTCGTGTGTTTGGATGAGAGGGGCGTTGTTGGAAAGTACCTCCCTGTCTCTACCACAGAGCAGTATTAGCATAAGAAGTTCCTGATCCGACTGGATATCATTACCCCTTCCATCCGGTTATTTGATTCCGTAAATTTAGGGGAGTGAGGTTTGAGCAGCACACTACGATACACAAGGACAGAAAGATAGATATGGCGACTGTCTTCGTTGGCGGGAGCTTCTGACAGAAATGCAAGAACAAAGAAACATCATCTCCCAAAGATTGCCATGTCTTTACAGAAGATTTCACCCCAATGATTTGTATTTGAAGAGAATGCAAGGAGTCCTGCATATATTTAACCGGTTCGATATATTCAGGGCCTCAGATAGAGGACCTGTTTCTGTTTGGATAGTATAGCGGCACTATACAAGGTGCCTCATCAATGGGTTTAAGAAATCCCCTGAGGCGATGATAATAGTAGCCGGCATCGGAGACACATGCACATTGATTGATCCCCAAGGTATTTTTCACGATGGGCTGTTTTTCCTGCGGAAAATGCAGTTGCTCTGCTCATTCCAGTTAGTACCAATAACCAACATAAGATAATTCCTCCAAAGAAGACAATGACCTAGCTATGGATGCACACCAACATCCTCATGGGTCCCACATTCTAGAAGGAGTTCGAGATCGATACCGTAGCTTTCCTCATCGTGGCCAAACTTATACGCTGGTTTTGCGATAAGCAAACGTGTGGCCCATGACACCCTTCTGTTTCAGCAGTTGCTGGCCTTGCTGGAGCTGGAAGTCCTCACCTCGTGGCCATTGCTACATTGTGTCCGGTTGGTGTTAATGCGGTATGCTTAGGATTTGCCCCGACAACCTATCAAGATCTGCTTATTATGCGGTCTGGATGCTGATCACTTGGCCAAGCCGTTGTGGCTCTTGTAGCCTGGTATGTTCAAGACTGAGAAATTCTGTGTCTGAGAAAGCCCCTGCTGACCCTCACTACAAGACCGTTGACTGTCAACTCCAGCTGTGAATCTTCTCGTGACCGTACATGCCAAACCAACCTGGCCCGATGCTATTCGTCCCGGATCTTTGACGGAATGATTCCGTCATAATCCTTGGGCGATTGTTTCTCAATTGGTTTTAGGGGGTTGAGATCCCGAAATACCGCAAGGGAAATGATCAGGAAACGACAAAAGTCGTCACGCAGATTGCCGAAAGAAATGGTACGACAACTTGGCTGACTGAAACCAATTTGGAAGCCACCAATGACCGATTCCGGCCAACCTCGTCGGGCGAGGAGACGGACAACGCTGGAGCCAGGGATATTCTCTGCCGCAGGCTCTCCAAGTAGACATCGTTTCTGAGCTTTTGCAACGCCTGGAATGGCACTTTGACAAGGTTAAGGAGGTTTCCCTGGCGCCCCATTGCAATGGCCCCCGGCCTTATCCCGCAATCATTACCCCTTCCGTGGGATAGCCACTAGTATGCCGATTGAGATATCTGAAGCACTCTTTATTGTGGCAGGCTTTGCAATTGGCACTCCCACGGACATCTGGAGGAATAGAATAGTCGAATATAATTTTGTTAATATACGAGTTTAGCCTTAAGCAAAATTGCAGGCCTACCACGATCCTAACACCATTTGGCGATCTATGCACGACCGAGGTGGCCGAGTTTTGTGAAAACGAAACAGTCTGAATTCAACAGGCATGGGGCTGAAGAATTCTCGAGAACGGGTATCAACCAGATCGGCACTAACCCTCGTATGTAAGGGCGATTGTGGGTCATCCATGGACTGGTTGCATCACGCCTCGGCCTGCTTACCTAAATTTCGTTGGGCTGGTTGGTGCATCAACATTCAACAACCTTTGTGGGTGGTGTGGGAAAAGCATCTTGAGGCCTCCATTGTCCCACTCTCTTTCTTGACTCCCCCGGTTCTTCATTGTTCGTAGTTCTCCCCCGTTGAGGTGCGGATGACCTCAGTGAGCTGACTGTCACATGGGCCCGACGGTCAGTCCTCACTTCTCCGACCCTGATCCTGCTTTCCCCTCTTGATCGTCGCCCCCTCAAATCCCTCGTTTCAAAAGGTTTGGGGCCTCTCTCGTTCTTTATATTCTTCCAGGGCTCTCCTCCTGCAGCATAGAGGGTACTTCCCCAAACCCAACATGCAGTACGTTCGGAGCCTCAGCGGCTCCGTGTCCAAAACATGGAACTCGATCAATCCCGCAACTCTCAGCGGGGCCATTGATGTTATTGTCATTGAGCAGGATGATGGTACGTCATGGCCAGCTTGTTTTTTCTGTCACAACGCATAGCTAATCTGTACTTGTCGCGCAATAGGGACCCTGGCTTGTTCGCCCTTCCATGTCCGCTTTGGCAAATTCTCGTTGCTGCGGCCGTATGAAAAGAAAGTCGAATTTCATGTGAATGGGGTTAAGCAGGATTATGCCATGAAATTGGGAGAAGGAGGCGAAGCGTTTTTTGTGTTCGAAACGACCGACGAGATCCCGGCGTCTTTACAAACCTCCCCGCTAGTATCTCCGGCGGGGAGTCCGAAGGTTCCCAGCGAGGAATTCCCGCAGTCTCTCCAGGAGCCAGACTATCTGGATCTGGGGAAGACGGCGATGCACTCTCAGAGGGCGCTAAAACCCCGGACAGAGCGAAGTCTCCAGGAATACCAATAAGTCGAGCACGAACCGATTTTGGTATGACCATACCGGATATCCAATTGATTCCCGAATTTACTTCGCTAACCATTCTGTAAGGGACGCTCACGCCTGTTTCGCGCTCCCCCAACGAGTCTGAACTTAGTCGCTCGCAACCAGATCCCCATCTCGATCATATGATTGCCGACAGTGCAGCCTCGACCCGTCGTTCATCTGCCGCCGACGAACTCGCTTCCGGTAGCCCCGAACCAGCAAATGATGAAGCGGAGCTGCGAGCTCATGCTCGCAGTCCTCCCGCGGTGTCCTTTGACGAAGCCCTCTCCCGTGCAAAATCCTTGTCGCAAAAGTTATCAGGCTCAAACATTCCCTCCCATGTGACGGAGACTGGCGATTTGATGCTGGATATGACTGGTTATAAGAGCAACGAGGACGATGCACTTCGCGCAGAAGTCCTTGCTCGCAAGATTCTTGCTGAAGAGCTCGAGGGTAACTATGACATTGGCGCTCTTATTGGTGCCGATGAGCATGGTAATCTTTGGATCTACAGCAGCGAGGAGGCAAAGGAAGCTGCCAACCGGCGGGCCACCATTAATGCTATGCGACCCAATACCGCCATTAGTGATGATGCTATCTCAGATCCGGGATATCACAGTGAAGGTGAACATGCGAACTTGAACTCATCGATGCCGCTTCACCATCGGACCAAATCCGACCTTCAGCCTGGGTTTCCAACCCCGCCTCGTTCACCTCTACATGACTCCTTCCCTGGTGAAACGCGCAACTACGCCAAGACCTTGCGTTTGACTAGTGATCAGCTCAAGGCATTGAACCTCAAGCCAGGGTGCAATACCATGTCCTTCAGCGTTAATAAAGCCGTTTGTACAGCTCACATGTATCTGTGGAGTGGAAATACGCCGATCGTGATTTCTGACATTGATGGAACAATCACCAAGTGAGTGGACCTGTCAGCTTTTCTTATTTTTATCTCAAGTGAGCTAATATCTCTTAGGTCTGATGCATTAGGCCATGTATTGAACATGATCGGGCGCGACTGGACACATGCTGGGGTAGCCAAACTCTACACTGACATCGTCAATAACGGCTACAATATCATGTACCTCACCAGTCGGTCCGTTGGACAAACTGACACGACCCGAGCGTATCTGTACGGGGTATGCCAAGACGGCTATCGACTTCCAAAGGGACCTGTCATCTGCAGTCCAGATCGTACCATGGCTGCGTTGAGACGAGAGATCTACCTCAGGAAGCCCGAGGTCTTCAAAATGGCATGTCTGCGCGATATCCTTAACCTTTTCCACGGAAAAGAGAACCCATTCTATGCTGGCTTTGGTAACCGATTGACCGACGCCTTGAGTTATCGATCCGTCAACGTCCCGTCGACCCGCATCTTCACCATCAACTCCAATGCAGAAGTGTCCTTGGATCTGCTGAGTCTGAACAAGTACAAAAGCAGCTATGTCACTATGCAGGAATTGATTGACCATTTCTTCCCTTCTGTCAGCCTTTTGGTCCAATCTGGAGGTGAGGAATATACCGATTTCACCTACTGGCGCGATACACCGCAAGACCTAGGAGGACTTTTCTACGACTGATAGTGAAGACGAGGATGACGACGATGGCGATGTGGACGAAGATGAAGAAGACGAAGTTGCCGATGATGAAGATGATGTTGAAGATGAATACGATGAAGATGAATCGAGCGACCCCGAAGGCAGTGAGTACGATGAGGAAGGCACAGACCTCGGTGCTAGCTACATCTCGCATGGCTCAGCCCTGTCTGACCCAGCGGGGTCAATTGTGGATTCAGTTGAAGTCGACCAACCTCTGGCGGAAACGGAAGACGAAGCATTGCCTGAAATAGTCAATGCTGGTACAAGGACTCTTCCCATCCGCCCCAAACCGCATGGAAATGATGAGTAGACCTTACATGCGCTGTTTTCCTTGCTTCTCTTTTCCGGCTCAGCCCTCAGAACTTGCATTTGCATAAACCGCACCACTGCAGCATGATACCCTTGCAATCAAAACTTTCAAGATAAAAGTCATGAGGAGTTTGAGCCTGCATCTGTTATATTGTTTGTAAATTCTTTTGCTTGTTGATGCATACAAGGCGCTGGAGTTGAAATTTTACATTGTACACTCAGATACTAGTCAATAAATCTCGGGCTCTATAATAGGTATGGTCTTAAGTTATCGACTCGGATTTTCTAGTAAGCCAGATTGAAAAGTCATTTATGCAGAGAGTAGATCATAAAGCCATTCCGTATCACTTACGTTTAGGGACATAGCCCTCCACTATCCTAACCACTCTCGTGAGCAAGACTTCCTCGAAACAGATCCTACATGGTCTCTGAGATTTCCTAGCGTACCACGTACTTTAAACCATAGGAAGCCCGAATATGCTATGTACACAAAAGTAGCACCCACAGTAGGCATCTTTCATTATGAACATTTAATCAAAACGTATGACTATTACCCTTGACTCGTCAGTGGCAATAATATAGCTATTCACAATAGGGGATAGTCATACCTCAAATAAGGTCAAAAACTGAGTCCCTTGAAAGGACCAGTCTGTGCCGCCTGTGTATGGAAGACCTCACCTCAATCCACAAATCAACACCCGGGTCTCTAAATCACCACCAGGATGAACATCCTGTCTAGCCCACCGTTCCACACCACTTTGCTTGGACTACCCCATAAAGCCTATTGTAAAGACTGGCTCTACATGGAATCAAAGATTTGATTTTTATCATCTTTTTTCCCATGTAACTTGAACCTATCGTAAGATTTAACACCCAGTTCTGTAAAAAGTCACCAGGTTCCAGATATTGACACCAGGTTCGAAAACCTGTTTAGCACGCTATTCTATGCCATTTTGCTAGGACTATTCCGTAAATCTCACCTAGTAGTACAATTCTGTCAGGAAATCAAAAATCTGTTTTTGATAGAACTTGAAGCCTATACCAAAGGTTTAATACCATGTTCCATAAACTGACACCCAGATAGGCAGATCACCACCAGGTTTCAGAATATGTCCAGCCCACTGATCTGGGCCGTTTCGCTTAAGCTATCCCATAAAGCCCATTTAATTTGAGGAAATCAATAGAGCATGTTTTGATAAATTTCAATATTGAAGATTCGGTACCCGGTTTCCGAAAAAAGTTACTAGGCTTAGAAACTCGCTCAAGGAGCCTTTCAGTATTATTTACCAACTTCCTGCAAAATGCGCCAGGTTCCTTGAGAGGGTCAAGAATCCGTATCAGGTTTCATTCTCAAGTACGCTGCATTCTGTGACTTTCCTGAAGCCAATAAAAAGCATAGCGAAAGGACCTTCTGCTGAGTAGCCCGAAGCGGTTAGTGCGTCGAAGCTCATCCTTTTCGGACATGCAACTTCTCGCCGGCTCGTTTGAAGGTCACTTTACACCCTCTCCCACTGGACACACACTTCTGGGGGCAACCAGCAGCCCTCACTTTCTCTCTCGTCGCGCGCAAACTCCCCATAACATACAAGAATCAGATTCCTCCAAATCTATCCCCCGCGCGACCGGGGCCCTCGATTCATCCCCATCCGCGACCTAATCCAAAAGAATCCCCATTTCACCTAAAAAGAAAGAAAAGAATACAATGGCCTCCCCAAGCCAAACTCAAGGGTCTGGGCCAGCAACCCAACCCCTCACCCCACCGGCAGAGTCCTCCTCAGCCCCAAACGGCGTCCCAGCATCAACCGCACCCGCACCGGCAACAGCCCCAACAACCTCAACCGCACCACCCCCACACATCCCGGGAACCTCGATCCAAGACAGTGGCAAATCACGACGCCCGCGCGACGTACGGCTCGTGCACATGCTCCTCGCCTCGCTCGGCGTCACAAGCTACCAAGACCGCGTGCCGCTGCAACTCCTCGACTTCGCCTACCGGTACACGTCGAACGTGCTGCAGGACTCGGTGCATCTGGCGACGGAAGGCTATGCGAACGCAGTGGACAACACGGGGGCGACAGGCAAGAATGCTGCGGGCGAGGTGAACAATGTCTCGCTGGGCGCGCTGCGGCTCAGCATTGCGTCGCGGCTGCACTACCAGTTCCAGGCGGGGCTGCCGAAGGAGTTCCTGATGGATGTTGCGTCGGAGCGTAATCGGATTGCGCTGCCGGGTGTGTCCAGGGGCTTCGATCAGGGGAATAACCAGGCGCAGGGGGCGGCGAATCAGAGTGTTATGATGGCGGGGATGCGGTTGCCGCCTGAGCGGTTCTGTCTTACGGGAACTGGGTGGAACATGAAGGATGAGTGGGAGAGCGAAGGGGAGGAGGATCTGCCGGATGCGACGGAGCCCGAGGGGGGAGAAGCGGGCGAATGAGAATGAGAGCGAAGAGGGTGAGGAGGAGGATGAAGAGGATGGGAAGATGGAGGATATCTTTGGGGAGGATACTGCTATGGGGGAAGCAGGGGAAGGTGATGAGGATCAGAAAATGAATGATGCTTGAAGTTGCTGCTGGTCTCGTTTTATGGTCTTTAGGGGTGTTCGTGGAGCCTGGCGTTTTATGTCCTGGGTTTCAGTTCATGTTAATACTCACGATACTGGGAATCTTACTAGTCTGTCTCCGTATGAGACTACTCCCGCAATACATCTATTTGCGCCTTGATATTCAGCACCTGCCTAGTTTTACGATTAACAAGTCTTAGCTGTGTCGGCAAGGACAAGGGCACGTCGGAAAGGGTCTTATCATGGATGTGTAAAAAAGGAAGAACCTTGGAAACTAATGGAGGGTTCATGCTTGCCTCTATCTACTCAATTCTACAAGAGAACCCGCTACGAAGCGTCTATAAGATGAGGACCATCTGTGTAAGTGGGAAGTGCCAAAGTAGCTTTATTGATGCAGAATTGTTTTGACATATCGTACAGGAACTGAATCCATCCCTTAGGATGATCATGCAGGACATATGCCCCAAGGAAACGCCTCATTTTGCAAAACGCCAGGAGCAGAGAAGTAGAAGGCACAGATAGTCATGGCGGTAACCGATGACAAGATGGTCGAAGCAACAGACCCACAAACGCCGAACCCATATAGAACAATGTACACTGGAAGATGCAAGGAATATGATGTAAAAGACCCAGCGGCCGCCATACTCTCGTCAAGAGGACGAGGCTCAATTCTTACGGGCTTGCTGTTGCTGTCGTCGCTCCTCATCTTTGCGCATCATTTCATCCAATTGTGCACGGCGGGCTTCCACGCCTGCTCGCTCCTCCCTGTAGGCCCTGCGCCTCTCGTCCACCGTGGCGAACCATTCTTCGCGCGCGAGATCCTCGTTTTCCCGGGTGGCATGTTTCAGCATGCATGAGTTCATGGCAAGTCGTTGCTCGCGGCAGACCCATGTCGCGGTGACAGTCCTATCAACGGCACATTCTGCGAAGGCTATTTGGGTTGGATTGTCAGCTTTGGTCCAAACCATGGCATTTGATACGAGCAGCTCGGGTCTTCAGCCTAAACAACCGATTTTTATAGTATAGAGTGAAACTACATGGTGTAGGAGAACAAGTCTTGAGTCCGTGCACCCCACAGATGATCCCATACCTTTGATTAAATCAGCGCACTGGGCTCTTACGCGCTTATGGAAGAGTTTCTGCACTTCTTGCTCCTGGGGAGCTGAGAGAGGAAGGGGGTTGCGGAGATTGTATTTCGAAGCGGCAGGGCTCGGCGAATCTGCGGGCGCAGATGGTGTGGCCATCGAGAGAAGACGTCGATCTCCGGGATCGAATGGTAGATTATCTGATAGGCAGCAAAGCCGGGGTCCGCGGTGGCTTGGAGTCGAGAGAATGGCTCAATTGGTAAGCTACCAGACAGGCAGAGATTTATCTGAATGCTCGAGTCGCGGTAATGTGGCAAACTGGTGCGAAACTGCAGCTTCCAAGAGATCATACAGTCTGGCCAGGGAAATGGTGCGAGCTGTTGATGCGGCGGAGCGTGAGGAGCCGGGGCGGTCGGTGCCGGCAAAAAGAAGAAAAAAAAACCCTCTCGTTCTACCTGAAGATGGTTAAATGCTCTTCGTACAAGCTTCTCAGGTCATTTGCATTACTCCTTATTTTCCTTTTTCACGGCTGCTTTGCTTTTTTGAAATTGCCTTAATCTTGGCCGACTGGCCTTTGGTTTCTCACAACTTTTCACAGCATGTCTTCCATGCGCAATGCCGTTCAACGGCGCAACCACCGCGAGCGTGGCCAGCTCGAAGGGCGCGAGAAGTGGGGTATTCTTGAGAAGCATAAGGTGAGCTATTCTATTTGAATCCTCATTTAGGATCTTTACTAAGAATGGTGCTAATATGGAATAGGACTACTCGCTCCGAGCCAAAGACTACAATGAGAAGAAGGCGAAGCTCAAGCGCCTTGAAGAGAAGGCACTCAACCGAAACCCCGATGAGTTCCATTTCGGTATGATGGGCGACCGCAACCAGAAGCAAGGGAAACATGGTCGCGGCAATGTGGCAAGACCTTCAGCGGCTGGGCTGAGCCATGAGGCAATCAAGCTGCTCAAAACCCAGGACAAAGGATATTTGAAGACACAGTCAGAACGGATACGAAGAGAAATTGAGCGCCTGGAAAGTGATGCCAAACTACAAAAGGGGATGGATGATTTCTTAGGGGTCAAGAGCCAGGAAAAAAAGGAAGAAGAGTCGGAGGACGAGTTTGACAGCTTCGATGATCTGGATGATCTTGCCTTTGGACCACCTGCCAAGAAAAAGGCTCGCAAAATCGTTTTTGCCGATGATAAAGCTGAACAGCAAGATCTCAAGCGCAAACGGTCGGAAGCTGAGGAGATGGAAGCTATGGATGAGGATTCAGACGAATCGTCCAAGAAGGTCCACAAAACTCCTAAACAAATCGCGGCCGAACGCAAGGCACTCGTTGAAGCTCGCCGAGCTCGCTATATCCGCAAGCGCACGGTGCAAAGCCGAGAGAACAAGCTCAAGGCTCTCCGGAAACAATTCGCCGAGCTTCAAGCAGCTGAGCGCGAGCTCGATTGGCAGCGGGCCAAGATGGACAACTCGGTAGGCGGTACGAACAAAAATGGGGTCAAGTGGAAGGTGCGAGAGCGCAAGCGCTGAGAGTGGTGTTTCCTTACGAGTTGATGATCTTGTTTTCTCATTTTCTATCTGTATTGATACCAGCATAGAAGCGGAGTTCTGGTGTATGTAAATGGATCCTGTGATTTAGTCTTGTCCAGACGCCATGAAGTCAATTTTAGATTGGAGACCATAAGGTGAATAGGGTACTCTACGTATCAGGGAAGAATTGAGAGCATATTCTGCCGATCATACGATCTATCAATTGGAGTAGCAATCATCAGCTCACTTTAGTCCTCGGATGTGGCGGGGAGCTAAACAAACAAGGCAAACCTGCTTTGTCTTCCAACGACCCCCCTTGGGAATCCACGATTGTTTGCCGTCTAACACCCCCCCCGCTACGGCGGCGATAGGCTCTTTCAATGGACGAAGCACTTGGTGCTTCTCCGGGCAGTACTCAGGCGGCATGTCAGCATCGATCCCCTCCCATCCACGACACCTTCTGGCGTCGCATCTTGACCCGCCTCGCCGTCTCCATAGTGAACACCAAAGGCCTCCGGCACCTATTCAAGTCGCCAGGAGGCGTAATTTTCGTTTCTAATTTCTGTATCAAGGCTGGTCCTTTCACAACCCTTGCGGAGGCAAATGTCCTGCGATTTGTTCGCGAGAATACGACGATCCCGGTGCCAACCGTCTATTGCGCCTTCACCGACCAGGACCGGACATACATTGTCATGGAGCGAATTCGGGGCACTATGCTCGCCTCAACATGGTACCGACGCTCCGAGGAGTCGAAAGCGAAGATATTATCTCAGCTCAGGGACATGGTCCAGCAGCTCCGGAGGATCCCGCCACCCAAGGACATTGGGGTCGCGAATGTGGACGGTGGGCCGATATACGACCCCCGACTCCCCAACGATTCATTCTGGGGACCGTTTGACACGATTGATGACTTCCATCGGCAATTGCGGCAGGGTACAGACGGCCATCACCCGGAGGACCCGCCCGATCTCCAGGAGCTGATCAGCTTCCACGAACGCCCGAGCCCTCCCCCGGTTTTCACGCATGGTGATCTCAGCAGCCTCAATATACTTGCAAGAGGGGACGAGATAGTAGGAATTGTGGATTGGGAGACCACTGGATGGTACCCTCCCTACTGGGAATATACGTCCGCAATTCATGTCAATCCGCAGAATCAGTTCTGGCAGGATGAAATCGACAAATTCCTCGACCCGATGCCGTACGAACTGGAGATGGAACGGATTCGACGGCGCTATTTTGGCGACTTCTAAGTTGTGACTAATTTTCCACTATACCCTCTGGTTCTTCATTTGACTGGCGACATTTTGCATACCTCGTTTGGCCACTTTCTTTTTTTTTCCCCTTTCTTCTTTCCATTCAAATTTGCTTCTGTTCAAGCTGTAATTAGCGCGCAGCTCTTGCATGGTACATTTAATGGTATTGTGATAAGCGAGTCCGAATCCGATTGACTGTTGCATGAAATGGTGACTGGTCCCGGGCTCTGACACGGCCGTGATTATAAATTAATGCTGAAGAGTTTATGTGAGCGTGTTCAGCCCTACCTGAATACAGGCTAGTTGCAATCTTACTCCGCTGACGTTGGACTGGAGTATCCGACCGCGGTTTAGGCCGCTAATTGCAAGAACTGAGAATGGTAGAGGCCCGACAAACAGCAGTAGTGTACCAGGAATTGGGAAGAGAAAAAAAAATAAATAGAGTCAGGCACCTTCGGGGTGAGTCCGAACCGTTTCTATGACGCGCTGATGATCTTATTTTGGTTTGGCACGGGAAGAACCAAAAAATCAATCTTACATCTACATCGCGGATTGGCCCAAGCGTTCAGGCGGTCACCACTAAAATTTGGGCGAGCTGAATTAATTTCCCAAACACAAAACTTTTCTTCTGCAAGCATTGCTGGTCTTCTGATACTGTGCCTCGAATCTACAAGACCTTTCTCTCCCCCAAACCCACCGCAATCGACCAGATCTATGCATTTGCATGGGAACAAGGATCGCCTCTATGTCACGCTCTATGCCCGCGGCGGGCAGCCCAAGATGCCGGGGCTAGAAGACACGTAAGAACCGCGTCGAACTGCACTTTTCCATGCCCTTCGCAGTCGCTAATAACATCTCAGCAGTTATCACTGGGCGTTCATCGTTGGACCGAAAGAAGAGCGGAAAGAGGGCGCTCGCGGCAGACGATTTCACGCGAAGGAGATTATCGCAAACCGCCAATCGGTGTGGAAATACGAAGCACGCGGAACCACCCTAGGCCCGACCTCTATGCTTTTAGTCCGAATCATGGTTGGCAAGGTTGCAGACCTTGATCGCCTTATCGCCGTGTTCGAGAATACCCCAATCCGCGGCGGGCAGCCGGGATACGACACGTGGAACTGCGTGGCGTGGATCCAAGAGGCGCTGGAATCTGCCGAACGGGATGGGAAAGCCCTCGGGGCAGCTGTGACCGACTGGAGCTCTGTACGTGACACTGCGATGTGGTATGTTTCGAAGAAAAAGAGTGAGCACCGATTCGACGGCCAGGCACACTTCGATCAGTCTAAGACGCCAACATGGGATATCCTGGAGAAGCGAGAGACGATTCCTTGACATGAGACATTGATTCTGTACATAAGCTCTGTGATTGGGGGGGTGTTTTTTTTTTTCCTTTAGCGACGGGTATGGACTATAGACTTCTGATTTAGGCAACTAATAAACTTTAGCATTTAAGCGATCAAAAGCTAAGTTTTCTCTGCATGATTTGCAACTCCACAGTAGACCCTGCATGAACCGGCCAATAAGATTCGGACGTCGTAAAGTCCTCCAGAAACAGTAAAAGGCTTGAGAACGTAGGCCTTAGCAATAACCCATGGATTATTTTGGTCTTCAGCATCAGAGAGGGGTTTTTTTTTTCGGTATGGAGACCTTGATTGCTAATTACACTCTGTGAGTGGCTTGGCCTCCTATACGACGTCGCAAAGCAACCCCCTCCGGCGTGCTTCTTAACCTATTTGGGACCATTCATCCTTCCGGTGTCGGGGCACGACGGTCAGACCGCCCAGGTAATCCCCGCAATCTGATAGGACGAGTGCATCTGGGCACCTTGGGCGATTATAAATGGTGGGCTTACTAAGATATCATTTATCGCAAATATCGCCACCCCTCACTTGCGGATTATTTCACTCTCCTCTCCTGGTTCTTCTCCAAAACATACAATGGCGCCCTCATTTGTGACCATTGACACAAATGACGACGATGTCTTCATGGCGGGCGGTCCCCCCCGCGAAGCCCGTCGACACTCCCCGCACCCTCCTCCTTGCTCCCCCCTCCATCGCCACCCAGGAGGACAAACTCCGCGAGCTCTTCACAGCTTACCCTCGCCAAACCTCCGACCTTCAGATGCTCGACCGTCTCGCTTCCGGCGTCGTTACTCTCCCTTCTTCCGCATACGATCTCGTCCTCATTATCACCGATGCCGATGGCTCTCGCCGCTCCGAGGCCCTCCAACTCCTCACTCGCGATGTATACACTGCTCTCGTCCCCGCCATGAAGCCTGGCGCCAAGTTACAGACCCAAGACAAACCACTTGATGCGACCGAGGCCCTGGAGGCCGTGCTGGCCGGCCTCGTACAGAATGATTCGGGATTCGAAAAACCTAATTACGAACAATCATCCGCTGTCCCACTGAAGCTCGGAGGAAAGAAAAAAAAGACTACTGCCCCGGCTGCTCCACCCGCAGCAGTATCATTTAATACTACTGCAAACGGGAATGGGTTCGGGTTCGTTGGACTGAACGGAACCGACCATGACCTGGACGAGGACGAAGATTTGATTGATGAGGACGATCTCTTGGACGAAGATGATCTCGCCAGACCAATCATGCCGCGTATGCTTTATCCGAGGTCACCCCCTTTTCAACGTTACAACATCAAGCTAACTATTCTCTCCACAGCCCCAGAGTGTCAACCCAAGACCGGTCGGAGGCGGCGAGCCTGCAAGGATTGTACCTGCGGTCTCGCCGACCGCCTCGAAGCAGAGGATAAGGCGCGCCGAGAGGCTGCTGATAAGAGTTTGAACGTGATGAAGCTGCAGACGGACGATCTGAACGAACTGGATTTTACCGTGCAAGGCAAGCAAGGCTCGTGTGGAAGCTGTGCGTTGGGCGATGCGTTCCGTTGCGACGGCTGTCCATATATGGGACTACCTGCGTTCAAGCCAGGACAGGAAGTTCAGATCCTCAATGACGTTGCGCAACTATAGATTTTCAATTTCGGCATCGGTGGAGACCCGATCTCGGGCGCTCCGTTTTCTCTTTATCCACTTTTGGTCATTGTTCTTGTGGTTTTCTCTTACGGATAGTTTCGAGTGGCTTGGAAAGTGTCACGGTTCTGGTATTGGGCTTGCAAATGTACCCCTCATGATAGGCGTTTAGCAAAAGTATCTAAATTTCGTGTTTAATTATTATCAGATTTTTCTGCTCGCGAGGATTTGCTGCCCTGTCAGACATGTGGGCCCTGACATCAGCAGAACGTCGGTCTCGGTGCTGCTGATCTTTAGTCTGTAGTTGAGCCTCTGGTGCGAAGGATTTACAAGGTGTTATGTCTTAAATACGACTTCCACTTCTTCAAGCTGCAAATGCGACTGTTCACTAGGTAGGAGACTGGAGAACATAAGTACAGCATGAGAGTAATGTCGACAGGAAATGCCACTGTGACCAACCACTGAATTCCAACGTAAGACTTTTCGCTATTTTTAAACATTGATTCGTAAGATCTATAGAAAGCCAACAACCCGAGACCGCAGCACTACGAGCGATCCTTCTGCATCTGTGCAACACGAATACTGACAGCTCTCTTGTGAGCGTCCAGGCCTTCCAGCGCAGCCAGAGTCTCAACAGTCTTGGCCAGACCCAGAAGACCATCAGCGGTCAAGTTCGAACTTGTGATGTGCTTCAGGAAAGAGCCCAGGTTGACGCCCGAGTATTGCTTTGCGTATCCGTAAGTAGCTACAAAAGAATAGTTAGTGGCTGATCAGCGACAACATGGTTCATGGGGAGTGGATATCATACGTAGGGAGTGGTTAACACCAGCGGAGTAATCACCAACACTCTCAGGAGTCCAAGCGCCAATGAAAACACTACCGGCATTCTGCACAAGGTCCACAGTGGCCTCGGCGTCTGCAATCTGCAGAATCAAATGCTCGGGAGCATACTTGTTGCTCAGATCCATGGCCTCCTTGATATCCTTTACAACAAAGGTAACAGAATGCTCAATGGCGCCGCGGACAATGTCCATACGCGGGAGAGCTCGGGCCTGCGCATCCACCTCGTCTTCGATGGCAAGGAGCTCCTTCTCGGACAGGTCCACCGCGATGAGGACCACCTGGGAGTCAACGCCGTGCTCAGCCTGACTCAGAAGATCAGAGGCAACGAAAGCCGGGTTGGCGGATTTGTCTGCAATGACGAGGACTTCACTAGGGCCAGCGGGCATGTCGATACTGACGCCGGCGGACGTGTCGTTCGACACAAGCATCTTAGCCGCAGTAACGAACTGGTTGCCCGGGCCCAGAATCTTGTCGACCTTGTTGATGCTTTCGGTACCGTATGCCATGGCGGCCACGGCCTGAGCACCACCCGCAAGAACAATGCTCTTGGCACCGATCTTGTGGGCGACGTAGACAATCTCGGGGGAGATGCTACCGTCGGACCGGGGAGGCGAGGCGAGAACAATGTCCTTGCAGCCAGCCACCATGGCAGGCACACCCAGCATCATGGCGGTGGAAGGCAACACAGCCGTTCCACCAGGGACGTACAGACCGACGCCCTCAATCGCGCGCGAGAAGCGGGAGCACACCACGCCAGGCATGGTCTCCATCTTCAGAGTATCATTGCTGCCCTTCTGGGCGGCGTGGAAGCGCTGGATATTGCCAATTGAGACATCGATAGCCTCTTGCACCTCGGGCGAGAGCTTCATCAGCTCAGCTGGGAAAGGAGCCTTGATAACGGGCGAGGTCAATGAAGTAGCCTTTTCGAACTTGTGGGTATACTTGAGCACTGCAGCATCGCCGTTGATGCGGACATCCTCAACGATAGGCTTGACGAGGCCAACAATTGCCTCGTTGGACTTTTGGGAGGGACGCTTGAGGAATTCATCGACTTCCTTTGTAGACATGGCCGAAGTGACGACACGCTTCATTTCAATACGAGAGCGGTCTTCCACGGGTTCCGCCTTTGCGGGAGCAGGGGCAGGGGTAGGAGCAGGCTTCGACGCTGGAGCAACAAGGCCAGCTTTCTCGGCCCATGGGCCCTTGGCATCGCCCTTCCTGCGCTTGACCTTCAAGCTCTTCAGGTCGAGGTTCCTCTCAATGTCTTCCAGGGTGACACCAGCGGCAATGCACTTGGTCAGGGCAAAGTAAAACAAGTCGGCCGCCTCAAAAGCAACCTCTTCCTTCGTCTGAGCATCGCACAGCTCCTGAGCTTCCTCCATGATCTTAGCCGAGGTGAGCTTCGGGTCATTGAAGAGACGAGCAGTATAGGAGCCCTCGGGGGCACTGGTCTTGCGCTCGGAAAGAGTCTTCTGGAGGCGAGAGAAACCCGCAGAGGCGCCAAAGCACGTCTCAGTACCCAAGTGACAGAAACCTTGCAAAATGCACTGTTAGCATAGGGGGGGGGTTTATATAGAACAGGGAAAGGAACGCACCTCGACCAATCTGCTTCACTACGAAGACAAAACAGTCGGCATCACAATCAAATCCAATGCGAATCAGCTCTTGCACATCACCACTTGACTGGCCCTTGTACCACAGCCCACGCTTGCGACTCTGGTACACACCGGTACCGGTGCGGAGAGCCTCAGCGATACTTTCGTCACTGCTCCAGACGAAACCAAGGCAAGAACCGCGTTCATCCGTAACCGATGTAGCATACAACCCATTGGCCTGGTCCGTGACGGCGCGCGCGGCCAGAAGCTTCGCAGCGGAAATCTGGTCAGCCGCATCCCGCTCAACCGTCAATTTCTGCGAAGGGATAACCGCAATCGCACCCTGCTTGGTGACCTGGATTATTGCTTCCTCGGAAATGGCCTGGTCTTCGTATGTGACGAATAGCCGAGGAGAATCAGAGCTAATGCTCAATTTTGTAGCGGCGCTGGTAGCCGCGGAGGCCTCGGTGTAAATGCTCACGTCGTTGCGTTCGGCGGAATCGGCCGAGATCCATTGCTGAAGGGTATGGATCTGGTCATTCAGCAAGGCCTTGACGAGAAGACGTGATGAAGGAACGGATTGCTCCTGCGACAGCGCAGTCAATTGCTCGAGGGAGATGAGGATCTTGGCAGCGCCGGCGTTGAGAATGTCGACGAGATCCCCGGCGGACTCGACAGCGGTCGCATCAATGAATACATCGAGGGTTCGGAAGTGCTCACGCAGGAACTTCTCAGCCTCGGCGAGGGTCGACACCTTCACCAGCACGCGTCCGAAGTAGGCGATTTGCTTGAGAGAGAGGCCGGAGGTGGGGGTGGAGGGGTACGATATGAGGAATGGTGTGGCCATGGTGGATGGAGTCGCAAGCACAAATGGCTAGTCTCCAGGGATATCTTGCGCCCCCTAAATTCGAAAAGGCCGTACGGGACGCAGTATGTGCTGAAGAGGCGTTGATGATTGAGTCACCGTTTTTCTTTTGGCCGCAAGATATCGTGACAGGGAATATATCCACGCACAAATTTAATATGTACACTTCTAGGCTAGCTTCATACGGCATGGACACGGGCTATTCAGGCCTGGCGCTAGTCTTTACACGGAAAGGTTATCCGTGTGCTTAAATAATCCCACGCTGCATGTAAGGATACTCCGGATCGCCCCACTAAATCATCGCCGATGACGGACGCCACGGACGACTAACATTTGCTGAATATATATGACCAATGAACGGAAGCAAAATACTTGCTCACCTCTGCTTCTTTATTCAAGACCGAGTTACCATCCCATCCATTGACCCTAAGTGACGGACCCTAAGGGAAATGTCTAGAATCTGACCATTCAATATGATATTTAGCTCCCGGGCAAGGTCCTGTTCTTCTTGGGAGATCTACATCTTATGGAAGTGCCCAAGGGAATCTATGATGGTTGATTTACACGTCAATGATTGGCCTCGTATGAATGACCTGCCAGGAAGGCGCCCCATGGTAGGACAGCTATTAAGGCGTATTTAGGGTCACCCTGCACATATAGACAGGGAAACTACAAGCGCTAGCGCTCCTGGATCAATACCGTGGTAGGTTTTGTTTAGATTATAGACACGAGACCTAGCCATTGTGGTCTATACCCAGGTCATTCTTCTGATCTGTCTTGTAGATCACCTATTTTTGGTACTGATCTGGGAGGAATGGATTCCTTACAAGTCAGCGGAAAGAAGCTCATTAATGTGGCGCATCAAGGTTGCGAAGTGGCTGAATATTGCCGAGCCCTGGTTCCTTGCCATCTAACTCGACAATGTTGGGTCCGCAATACTCGGTGCTATTCTACCAGTGCTTACTCCAATGCGCGTCGTGTTCAAGATTTGATTGACAGGTTTGCTAGAGCCAAGCAAATTCATAATAATAGTCAGACACAGATGACCACTAAGTGGTAGGCCATTGTTCAATGTCACTGGATGTACGGGTTTGTATACATCAGCGAGATTTCCAAATATCCTAGTACTCCGTTTTCTTGGGTCTAATCAACTAACCCTAAGCTCGCCAGCAGTTCAGCATACACGGGTTCAGCCAGAGGCTACCCAGATGCCTGCGAGTCAAATTAAACCCGAAAGGGAAAGAAACTCGATCTCTAATATGAAAGGCCAATCAAAAGTCACAGTATTTACCGAGGATCGGGTTTGAGGGAAGAAAGCTACGATCGGCGCCTGGAGTCATTCTTGATCGAAATGCCAGAGTCCCAGGGGTGGTATCTTGCATGTGGTATGGAATCATAGAAAGTGACCTTACCTGACAGACTAGGCGCGAAGAAAGCTTCTGGACGACAAAGGTTTCACATGATTCACGTCACACCAACCCGGCACGGGCTGATCTGAGGCGATCACGATGCATGTTCCCACGCGGGGGAAGGATCAAATGATACGGCGCCATCCGAATTTAGCCCCCAACCCCAGCCTAAGGGGTCAGGAGTAAATTCTGTTGTAGTATCCCGCAAGCGCTCTTCAAACCCAGTTGCCAAGACCTCAATGGATTTTGCAGCTCTCGTCGGAAGAGTAAAAATGCCCGCAAAGCTCCGAATGGTGGCTTTGGAGACCGGGTTCCACTGGCGGCTGCAGCGATGCGGTCATAAGGCTTCCTTCCCCTCCTAGTCGGACAGGGGCCCAGCCCCAAGGGAGGACAATTGGGCTTGGCTCTGCCTAAGGCGTGCAGATGGACCCTTCCCCCATTTCGCCAAGGGATCCTCAGGTCACATAGTGATTGAAGGACGGTTTTACCAAAGTGTTGTTGATACCGCGGTTGGGCTACAGAATGATGCATAGAAGCCGAGAACACTGTAGAAGACGGCCGAGGCGAGCAACATTCTTGCGAGACACTCCAGAAGGGCCCTTGCAGATCAGTGCTTGGACCTTGCAGGAATGGAGTCCAGGGGATCTTCGGCACTAATGGTCGCCACAAGTTGTAGAACATGCAGTGCGGAGTCGATTGAGTAAACAAAAGATCGCGTGTGACGGGCTGCTTCCCCTTTCCGCTGCGCACATCTTCCCCCACTCCCCCATGCCTTGATCTATTCAGCTACTTTATTAGTCGCCTTGGCCCATCTTCGCTCGTTTGCGACTCCCTATCCATTCCCTACACCCTGCGCTGTTGATCGGCTCTGGTAAAACGCCATTTTTAGTTCCCTCTTACCCCTATACTATACATCGTTCTTTTAGAACCAGAGCAACTATGCGCTCGGCATTGTCGCTGTCCCTGGCGGCACTGGGCCTATTGGGATCGGCGAGCGCCTTTCCCCATCCCCAGCCTGAGACGGAGGCTGTTTTAAGTGCGCGCGCTGGGAGCCAAGGGAAGGCTAACGCCGTGAAGGAGGCTTTTCAACATGCGTGGGATGGTTACATGAAATATGCTTTCCCTCACGATGAGTTACACCCCGTCTCCAACGGACATGGGGATTCACGGTAAGCTTGGAATGCCGAGCTCCCAGTAGGCCGAACTGAAATTGGTGGGATCATTCATTGACCAAATCCATTAGGAACGGATGGGGCGCATCAGCGGTCGACGCGCTTTCGACCGCTATCATCATGGGCAATGCAGATGCAGTCAACACCATCCTCGACCACATTGCCAAGATCGACTATACTCAAACTAATGACCAAGTCAGCTTGTTCGAGACCACGATTCGCTACTTGGCTGGTATGCTGTCTGGCTATGATTTGCTAAACGGGCCAGCTTCCGGTCTGGTCTCAGACCAGAGCAAGGTGGACACTTTGCTGACCCAGTCTAAGAACCTGGCCGAGGTGTTGAAGTTTGCGTTTGACACCCCATCCGGAGTGCCGTACAATAACCTCAATATCACTTCGAAAGGAAACGACGGTGCCACGACCAATGGCCTCGCCGTGACGGGAACTCTGGTGCTGGAGTGGACTCGTTTGTCCGACTTGACCGGCAACGACGAGTATGCCAATCTCAGCCAAAAGGCAGAGTCGTATCTCTTGAACCCGCAGCCTTCGAGCGCAGAGCCCTTCCCCGGCTTGGTGGGAAGCTCCATCAGTATTCAAGACGGTAAATTCACCGATAGCGTGGTCTCCTGGAACGGAGGCGATGATTCATTCTACGAGTATCTGATCAAAGCGTACGTGTATGACCCCACTCGCTTTGCGACCTACAAGGATCGCTGGGTCCTTGCAGCGGAATCCACTATCAAGAATCTCGCGTCGCACCCGAAGCCCCGCCCCGAGTTGACATTCCTGTCTTCGTACAACAACGGAAATTATGACCTGAGCTCCCAGCACTTGACCTGCTTTGATGGAGGCAGCTTCCTTCTGGGTGGTACTGTGCTTGGCCGACAGGATTTCATTGACTTTGGTCTTGATCTTGTCCACGGTTGCGAGGCTACCTACAATGAGACGCTCACAAAGATCGGTCCCGATTCCTTCGGATGGGATCCGTCTAAGGTGCCAAGTGACCAGCAGGATTTTTACGAGAAGGCCGGCTTCTACATCAACAGCGGGTACTACGTCCTCCGTCCGGAGGTGATCGAAAGCTTCTATTATGCGTACCGTGTCACGGGTGCTGAAATCGTGAGTCTTTTCCTTGTTGTTATCCAGTGGGCTCCACTAATCATGCATAGTACCGCAACTGGGTTTGGAACGCTTTTGTTGCCATCAATGCCACCACTCGCACCGACTCCGGCTTTGCCGGCATCACCAATGTGAATGCTCCTAACGGTGGCTCCAAGGACGACAACCAGGAGAGCTTCCTTTTTGCCGAAGTTCTGAAGTACAGTTACATGGTTCATGCTGAAGGTAAGCTCCTATTTGCAGCGTACACGGAATGAAGCCTGCTAACGATCGTAGATGCGGAATGGCAAGTTCAGAAGGGTGACAAGAACACGTTCGTTTTCAACACCGAGGCCCACCCCTTCAGTGTCAAGCATACCTAAGATGGAGGTAACTGGTCTCTAGTAAATAGGTATTCAGCATGAGGTGACAGAAGCCTCAAATATATTTAAGATCATCATTCCTCTGAACATTTCAAAAATATTTCTTTAGAGCGAGGCTAGCAGTGGCCGTTCAACCCGTCCAGACTGCCAACAGTGTACTAGAGTTCTTAGCAAGTCACGAGAGTCGAGTATGGTGGATTATTGGATGAAGTTAAATAAACCCTTCAACCCTGGCTATTCTGACCCGCTCTAGTGAGTTACTTTTATCGACCATGACATTCTGGATTATTCACAGTGCTTGCCGATACTTGTAAAACCAGCTCCATCTTCCCTTGTAGCCTATTTGGTGTGTATGCCATGCTAATTGCCTGGTTCGTCTAGTATATTCTTTTCTCAAGCCCAGCCTTTCACCAAATTCTGGGCTATCTCAACAGCACCATGTCAACTGGCCCCTGGTGAGTAAGGCGCCTATTCTTCGTACGCCAGGACGTCAGCAACCTCTCAACCCGCCGGCGTACAAGAGCCGCTGCTCTGACACCGCTCTCTATTTCTCGTTCCAATCGCTTTGACGAAGGAAAGCCCAACCGCGCATAATGAAGATGTGAAGTAGCCGGAACAACCAAGGCAACTGCCCGGAGCTCAATCGCTGCTTCCATAGAGGTGGTCATGATCGAACATCCGCAACCTCGTTGTTGAACATGAACCTTCACGAGTCGTCTGCAAACACCTACTCTGCATTTCCACACCCCATTCCTATTCACTCATCCCAGTGGCAGTCGTCAAGAACGCCCCCGTCAAGCTTCCACTCTTTAGCAAGATGTCCGGAATTCCGCCAACCTCTCTTGCTACCTGGAAAGCAGTTGCAGCGATCTTCATTTCCTTGACCGGCATCCTTCTTATTGAGAAGATCTATTCCAACAAGATCAGGTTTCCGTTGAACATAGGGTAAGCAACATCAGCCGACCCAGGCTGTTGGCTCGTGCTGATCTTTCAACAGAGTCAGCAATCCCCTGGGAATTTTCCCCGGCTGGGCATCCGGGCTGCGCTCTGGAGAGAGCCAGACAAGCCTCCTACACAAACGGATGGAACTGCACAAGCAGTCGGGGTCCAAGAAGGAAAAGAAGAAGCGAGGTGAAGACCTCGACTGAAACCGGCTAGCATGACAGTTTGTGTTACAACCAGCGCATCACTGTTCTTATTCTTTGCTCGCATTCGACGGATTTGCAAAGCGACACACGAAGGGGGACATTCACGTTGGCGATCATGCGGGTTGTGACTCCACCGGATCCACTCCCATGCGCATATCTGCTCGATCCCGCTCACCTTGGTGGCCGACCTTGCGGGCGTCTATAAAGCCTTGTAGTGAATTCCAGTCATTCTCTTAATCAACTTACTTTATTCTCTCTTATTATCAATAAATACTCATCTTTCTACCCCCGTTTCCCAGTGTTCCGTCTTTCAAACCCAGCAAATCTATAATCTATTCGAATATGTGCGGTGATACTACCCGAACCGCCAACGGCGGAACCATCGCTGTCGTCTTCCCTCTAGACCAGCTTTGTTCATCGAATAGCTCGGTCGCTTCGCTGTCTTCATCCCCGGACTCAGTGACATCCACTGCATCCATGTCTCCATATTCATTGTTCTTCCGCGACCCAGAGTCAAACAGTCGCAAGACCAAGGCCACTTTCCACATCGACGATGCCGACACTTACAACGCATTGCGGGGACATCGGCAACTCGATATGCGTATCGAGTGAGTCCCCACGATTGCGTGCTTTCCAATGAAGAAAGGAAAAAAACTCATTTGTATCCCCAGGAAATACGGTGACCTCTCCACAAACACGGCAACGTCTCCTCCTCCACTACACAAATTTCGACTAGACTTCGCCCGGGGACAGTCCACGGCAGGGCCGGCACCAAGGACGGTAGAATTCGAGCTGCCCGAACGGCTGGACCTGGGCGCTTCGGAGAAGGGGGTTGTGGGCCGTCAGGTCACGATGGAAGCGGGCGGGTCAATCCTAGGGGTCGGGATCGTTGGATACAATTAGTGCAATGACTTTATGACTTCTCTTCATCTTCTACGCAGTTTACATAGCAAGCTCATTTTGCTGAGAATATTCATTTGATTCCAGTCACATCGTCTAGCTCGCCCTTGCTACAGACTGTCTGGGATTCTGATATTCGTTGAAAGCATGTCCTCGTCTGGGCCTACAGCTTGATTGGATTCTCAATGCCCGCGGTGTAGCGCTTCTCCGCCTCGGCCCAGTTGATAATGCTCCAGATGCCTTGGACGTAGCCAGCCTTGTTATTGAGATACTGAAAGAACATCAACCGTTAGTGCATCCATATGAAGACAACTCGAGAGCTACTATGTCGGAGAAACTCACCTGGAGGTAGTACGCATGCTCCCACATGTCGACTCCGAAAAGAGGAACATCAGTGCTGGCAACAGGATCCTGGTCCTTGGTCGTCACGATCTCCAGCTGGCCCTTTGGCCCACCAACGCTCACTAACCAGCCCCAGCCACTTCCCTGGATACCCAGCAGTGTGGCGTTGAAAGCCTCCTGGAAGGCCTTCTGCGATCCCCAACGGGAGTTGATAGCCGAGCCCAGACTGGGGGCGGCACTGGTGATGTCGTTGCCTGGGGTGCCTTGGGGAGTCAGGTTCTTCCAGAAGAGGGAGTGGTTGATGTGGCCTCCGCCGTTGAACTTGATCTTCTGTTGCAGGGCGATCAGGGAAGGGACGTCGTTCGCCTGGGTGGCGGTGACATGGGAGCTCAAAGCCGCGTTGAGGTTGTTAACGTATGTTTGGTGGTGCTTCTGGTGATGCAGCTCCATGATCTGCTTGGAGATCACGGGCTCGAGGGCCTGCGGGAATTAGTTTAACTTGACGGAGTGAGACATGGAGAAAGTCCGAGACTGACATCGTAAGCGTAAGGAAGGGGAGGGAGAGTGTGTTGCTGAGAGGCCATGTTTGATTTGGGTGTTGGAGATGAGTGTCAAGGAAAACGAGATGTTGGGTAGTAGAGGGATAGGATAGGACCAAGAGGGGAGTCTCCAAGGTCCTTTCCCACTGCCCCTCTTTAAGTGTTGCCCCCAAGGTATGACAGCACGACCTAAGCTCCCCCCCTGCTATGATGTATAGGCAAACAGTTCCCTTCCCTTCTCATTACTAATGCGCTTCATGTTGCGCAAGATTGAGCATATTTCCATCGTTGGCTCCACTGGAACGGGCTGATTCGCTTCTCTGGCCAGCAACAAGGGTTCTGACGATCGTCACGTCATCCAGGAATGACAATCATATTAGCATATGAGCTCCCCTCTTGGTTTGGGCCTCTCTGGAACATCGATCTGATGAAGTGAGACTTGGAGATGACTTTGCAGAGCTCAAAGTGAGTAAACGCTGCACCATTAAGTATACTCGCAGTGCATCGGCCAATCAGCGTGGGCCAGATCCAGCCCGAGATCACACCTCCGCACCATCACCACACTTCATGCTTTTTCCCACCGTGCGAATATCACGAAGTCATCTAAAATATCCCGAATCAATTGTCCGATCTATAGACTTGTCAATATGAACGGAGCTAAGTCAGCAGTCCAGCCAGTGATGAATAAGCCCCCCACGTGTTTCCACGGTTGCGGGGTTGGAGCCGATAGATGAGCCTCGGTCCCTCGGCGCTTGCCGGTCTTTCTTTATAGAGCTTCCCCGTCGGCAAGTCGACAGTACGGCAGTCAGACCTCACCTCTCTCTAATTAAGTGACCGCCTTTACTCAGGAACAATGTCAGCCGCAGAGCAGGTCAAATTGACCAACTTCGAGAGCATTTTCTCTCTGGAAGGCAAGGTCGCCGTGGTGACCGGCGGGTCACGGGGATAAGGCCTACATGCAGCATCCGGGTTCGTCTTTTTTTTTCCAGTCCACACTTGCACCACATCTGACATGGGGCAGGATCATGCAAGCGGGTGCCTCGAAAGTGTACATCACATCCCGGAAGAAGGCAGCCTGCGATGAAGCGGTCGCTGCGCTGAACGCCTTGCCCAACAAGCGACCAGGGGCTGTGGCGATCTCGGTCCCAGCGGATAGCTCTCGTATGGATGAGTTGGATAGACTCGTGGCTGAGATCAGCAAGACGACCGATCATGTCGATATCCTGTTTGCCAATGCCGGGGCTACCTGGGGTGAGAAGTTCGATACCCATCCGGAGAAGATGTTCTCGAAAGTCATGGATCTTAATGTGAAGAGCATTTTCTACACCATCCAGAAGTATGCAGCCGATTCTCTTCAGATCCCAGCAATGTATGACAGCAAATTTGCTAACCGCACGTCCAGGCTTGCACCTCTCCTCAGCGCAAAGGCCACCCGGGAAGACCCATCTCGGGTCATTGTCACTGCCTCGGTCGCTGGTATCGGTATTGGGCAATTGGCGACAACGCCACTCCCAGCTACTCCGCATCCAAGGCGGCCGCCATTCATCTGGCCAAGAATCTGGCGGTTGAACTCGGCCCACGGCACATTCTGACCAACGCCATCGCACCGGGCTTCTTCCCTTCGAAGATGGCGTCGGGATTGATTGAATCGAAGGGTGGGCTGAGGCATCTGGAGGAGTTCTCTCCCAATGGTCGCCTCGGTCGTCCTGAGGACATCGCGGGCTTGGTGGTCTTTTTGGGATCACGAGCGTCAAGTCACCTCAACGGAGCAGTGATAACCACTGATGGTGGGGCCGTCCTCAAGGGGCGGCTGTAGACCGCGGATAGCTTACGCAAAGCAGAGTCAGCTTTTTCACCTTCGGGCTGACAGAATAACAGTGGGCTATGTCATGAAATACCACCTAATTAACCGTGGATTGGTGCCCATATCTATTTCATATTGAACTCGTACTAGTAACCATTTAAGAAGCGTGGCACTGAACAATGTCATATCATTACGGCCAAACTCGAGTCTTATTGCTTCATCAATTTAGGTTCCTTTAGGCACAAAGGTGGACCACACTCGAGATCAGGATGCATCAGCAACCAAAACTCAACCCAAGCTCCATTCGCACGGAACCGGTAGTTTTTGGTCTATCAATTTCTTTTCCGAAGGGGAGGAGTGTCAAAAAAAAAAAAGAAAAGAAAAAAAGAAAAGAAAACTCGTCAGAATTACAAACTATTCCACTACTTAACACCTTCGACACGTTCCAAATCATAGCCGAACATTTTGATCGGCAATTAAGTACTCCAGTCCACGTTGTGGATCTACCCTGCATAAATGCGGCACATAGGGTTGAATCCGGCACATGGTTCGCTGTATCACATTGCATAGGTCCGAAAAACTATACTGGCCCGGCTGTCAGCGAACAATCACCCATCGGATGCAATGGGAGACCAGTGATCGACACCCGGGAGTCATCGTTTGCATCAAAAGGATCGGCGCTATTGGGGTTTGTTGAGGCGGGTGCCATGAGCAAGCGAACCGGAGCGCGCACATTTTCGGAATAGGTGGATAATCTCCCAATAGCGCGGCTTGTGAAGCGGGAGGGGAAGTTAGCTGTGCCAATTGATCTACGGGGTGAGGGGTTAGATGGAGTTTGTAAGTGCAGGATCTGTGAAGAGCCCGGAAGGACGGGCGCAGTCGAGACTCGCGGTGCTAGAATTATCCCTGGAGAAGAATATCGCGCTTGCATCTATGCCTCTCGCTTATTTCCTCTACGGCTGGACGTCAGATTGCTAAGTTATCGGACCCGTGGCTTTTTTTTTCTTTTTCAGCCCTGGGTTAAGGTCGTGGCTGGCTTACCGTCCGGACCATCCGGTGAAAGGGGGGTGAAGACATACAATTTGCCTTTGGATCAAGCTTCATGTTCAACAAGTCGTGATAGATTAAGATTGTATATTTGTAGCTTTTAGTCGCTCATAAGGATTCGAGGTCCTGTTTCTAGATAAGAGAGCGCTTTGTCAATCCCAGGCCAATCCAGACAAGACCTTTTTAATGTGCGTGCGTGCGGTGGGCGTGAGGGTGTCTCTTGTTGAAGAAAAGCTTCCAGATTCCCTCATCGAGGTCCTTCATTTCGCTTTCAATTTGCCCCGCGATACCACCGACGACGGCTCCTGTGACGAGGTACTTGGGCTTCTCCCATCCGAGTGCAGTGGGGAGTCTCTCGTTTCCTAAAATCCATCATCGTCAGCGGCAAGATATGGCACAAAGGGGGCAATAGAACTCACGGAAGAGGTACTCCGCCCACGCCTTGTTCGCCGTTGCGGTATTCGCGTCGCCGATAGTAGCGATCAAGACGGCAGACTCGCCGTAGCCCGAGTCCAGGAGATCCGTTGAGAAAGAGGGGTTTGTGGCCTTGGAAGTGCTGATGCGGGCGTGGCGAGCCTGAGCAGCAGACTTGACATTGATCTCCGATCCCCAGGCCATGAGAGTCTCGGCGAATACGACGGCGTTGAAGCTGTGGTCGTTTTTGCTGAAATAGTAATCCTGGCGACTGTTGATCGAGTAAGCACTGCGTCCGAGCGTCTATATCCGATCCTATGGATTTCTTCTTACCTCAAGCTCGCATCGTGCTCAACGACCTTGTGGCGGCGCAAGTCGGCCAGAGAGAAAGTAGTAGCGCCCTCCACCGGGTTCGATGCCAGAGCTTGTTGGAACTGGCCGATGGCGGTCTCTTCGTCGAAATTCAGGGCCGACACCAGGGCAGTGACCACTTGGTCCTGCGAGATATTCTTTCCATCGTGGGGAGATAGCCGTGGTTGGCCAGAGTGTTCAACATTGGGCACGGCGCCCGGACTATTCGTTATGAGTGACTGGATCATGGGACTCTGGAGTACTGCGCTTACTATCGCCGGGGCCCGCGGGCACCCAGTTGACATCAGGGTGGTCGGCGGGCAGGCTAATGGCAGAGGCCGTGAGAAGCAGCGACGCAAAGGCAGCAATTGTCAACTTCATTTTTGCTGGTAGACTGCTGAGCGAAAAATTGGGAGATCTAGGTCGTCATTTATGTAGATAGCTAGGTTAAAAGTACCGAACCTGACAAGATTATCTCGAACCACCGTGGCTGGCAGTAATCAGGGGGCATTGTGGACGAAGCTACGCTAACGACTCCATCCAGGTGCATCCAAGTCGGTTCGGTGGAGACGGGCTGGAAACTGGCTTTGTCTCTTCTCATCTCAAGAATTTGAAATACTTCAAAAGAGGCTTAGTTGGGGAGGAGATCACTTGCCCGTGATTGGCGGCTGTTGTTGTTCCTCTTTTTTAGCGTGTAGACCGGGCCAGCCTCGCCCCCCCGGGGAGGGTGCTTACACCAATCGTCCTCGCCCGTCTAAAATTGCGATAACAGCACACTTTGTGGAAGGAAACCGGAGGCAAAAACATGCCCATCGAATTATAAGCGGTGACTCTCGAAGTCAGACGGACCGATCGGACAGTCGAGGAACAGAGCGCCTTCGATCGGTGGATCACTCATTTTTAGTCTTAGTGTGCACCGATGCAGAGTTAGCGCAGATCTAAATGATGCCCCGCGGGTTTGCAGGATCTCCTCCCGGCAATACGGCCTAGATTACCAGATGGTGTGGCCTGAATGGCAGGGGGACGCACGCAGGAACAAGGATAAGGCCAGGATCATCCAAAAAGATTTGACGAATCTCCCGCGAGATCGACCTCAAGTCCACTCGATTCCGTGTCATCCACCCCGAAATTGTGACTCTTGCCCTGATCAGCGGCACACATCAGTACTGCAATCTCTGGGCCCATAATTTGAATTTTGAAATTTGAGGGTGCTGCGCTCATCGCCTGAAGCCCAATTATACTTTCACAGGACAAACATACTCGGTGTGTTGCCAGCCGCCCATTGCACCATCATATGCAAACTATATCGCCTAGTCCTCATCCTGGAACGAATTGCGCATGTTTCAGTGGGAGGACATCTTTGAAGGTTGCGAGCTATCTAGTCAGAACCCGCAATCAGTAGGCTAATACCCGACATGATGCGAGTCCTAGCTACGGTTATTCCGGAAGTATGCCCACGCGCGACCCAAGGGAGTAAAGTGCAAATGACAATTGTACTTTCGGGCGATTAGAGGCCTCCGTCGAGACAAGGAAGCCGGGACGAAGCCTGTCATGTCCACAAGGGGCCACATTAAGATTTGGCCGAGGGACTTCTTTCTCGATGACACTAGCATAAATGTCAGCATAGACAGGCCCCATAGCGAGTCTAGACCCACTCACTAGCGAAGAGTCCCGTGGGATGTACAAAAGTACGAAGTACATGGATCCTCTGATTTGGAATAAAATCAGTCTGTGGAATAGACTTTTCGGAGCACTCGAACCAGAATGGCGGAGAACGATGTGACAAGTGGGGCTTTTAATCCGGCGATGAGTTCCCGAACATGCTGACTATTCCTAAAATCAAGGGTATCAAAGATCGATTTTCGATTTCTGTACAAGATTGGACTTGTCACTAGGTTTTGGGAATCGGGCAAACCCAATGGCATTTCGCACTCTGTGAAGCCTATTCTATGGTAGGCTCTTATATGGTATAGGAAACAATTGAGGCCCATTCAGTTGCGCGGGCGTTTCCTCGGGCGTTTTCTCCCTTCGGAGCGTTCCCTCCGTTTTGCGTTCTGATATCGGTTTATCCTCCCCTCTATATTTCGGAAATAGAACAGAAGATCGCAGTAAGATAAGCGTTCCCACTCTTCACCGGATCGAGACACCTCCACTTTGATTATAGGCAGCAGGCCCGTATACAACCGGTCCTTTCTCTCTGCCTCGGTAGGTTGGCGGTCCATTATTTCTTTCCAGTTGTGCAATCGGTTCGAAAACTCCATGACACCCTCGCCTTCCTTCTGCATGGAAGCGAACCATTCTTCCTTGGCTTGCTTTATCTCGGCCTTGGTGGGAACTCTTATAAATTGGCGTATCCAATCGAGGAACTCCCCATAGGAGATTGGGCCGTAGTACTCGATTTCGAATACCATCCATCTCATTTGCAGCCACGGCGGTAGACAGTCCACGGCACAAAGAATCTTTCTCTCATCGTTGATAAAATACCCTTCGTGCATTTCGAAGAACCATTCCAGCCTTGTGCACATGAAGTCACAGGCTTCCTTCGACCGTCCGTCAAAGCGTGGGAGATCGCTGGCATCGGGGGCGATGTCCGTTCTTAACACATATTTTCCCGTCGAGGGGACCTGATACAGCCCCTCCATCTCCAAGGAGCTGCGTGCTGTCGAAGAGGGCTTTATAGACATTCGCAGTTTCTCCTCGAGGTGTTTTATCTCCGTTCGAATGGCTTCGATTTGCTTTACCTCTAGTTCACGGAGCTGTTCCTGCGTCTTTCGTATTGCCGATTTGAGCTCGAACTCCTTTAACGATCCCGACTCTGCTTCTGAGGGGTCGGTGTTCGGGCGTTTACCGTCTTCCTTCAAAAGGATCTCTTCGACGCGGCCTTCCACCACGGTAGGAGCTTGCGTCGGTGTTGTAGCTTCGAAGGTCTCAGGGGGGTCATCCTGGCCACTGTATACAGCCGATCGACTCCGTGGGTTGTGTGGCGACATCTTGGCCCCAACAATCGAACCCCGAATTGAGAGCGATTAGAATGTGAAGTCAGAAATAGCAGGCTATTATATGGGACAGGATACGACTGAGGGAGGCCAATACTACTGCGAGTGCGGGGTAAAACAACTCGATGGTAGCAGGATTTGTTTTCGCGAGCCCCTTATGTGGGTCTCCGTGCGCGGCTCCGGAGGCGCCTTCGTAGTCAAACAAAGCGTGTCGTGACACACTCAACACATTTTATAATCTGGAGGTGCTTTCTAGATCTGTGGGTTGGTTCCTGGGCTGGATGCTAAGACTTCAATATGACTTGTAACTATGTGGTCTTATGTGGAATAGCCCTCCCCAGGCCCTTGTACTCCATTTGAATGTGGCGCTTGTCGCGTTTGCCTGTCCATTGTGACTTCGACATCGCAGGCTTCCTGTAACTCTGCATGCATCCATCTCAGCATATAATGCTCGGTTCCTTCAGCTGGCAGCTTTTTTGTATTGGTTGCCCTGGGTACTACTACTCTAGTAGGTCAGTAAATAGCTCTCGATGAGGCTTGTGAAGCATACCTGTGTTGTTGTTCCGCTAATTGAGCTAAACGACCACCATATCCGCACGTCATGTCCGCACTTGATGCGTGGGTATGCCCAGACACGCCTTATATAGTGCACCCTCTAGCCGGAATCCGTGACAACTTCTCCCCTCCCCATATGGTTTGGGGACTAAAGCATCTAAGGCAGGCAGACATGATAGTATCAGAATCAGGATTGAGTAAATTTCACTTGTTCCATCATTCGACCGCGGTCTATCTTCTAACCTGGTGGTATTAACACCAGGATTGAGAAAATTCTAGCTATTTCATTATTAACCCGAGGTCTATCTTCTAACCTGGTGGTATTAACACTAGGATTGAGAAAATTCCACCCATTTCATTATCAACCGGCGGTCTATCTTCTAAACTGGTGGTAAACACCAGGAATGAGAAAATTCCACCCATTCCATAGTTAACCTGCGGTGAATCTTCTAACCTGGTGATATTAGCACCAGAATTGAGAAAATTCTACTTATTTCATTATTAACCTGCGGTCTATCTTCTAAACTGGTGGTATGAACACCAGGAATGAGAAAATTCTACCTGGTTCATTATTTACCTGCGGTCTATCTTCTAACCTGGTGCTCAGTCTAAAATCCTTGTAGTATTAACACCACGATTAAGGAAATTCCATCTGTTTTATTACTAACCTGTGGCATATCTTCTAACCTGGTGGTATTGTGAAGGAACATCCCTGGGCTAATATTCGATCAAAGACTACCATATCCGCGCTTCATGCGCGGTGTTATGGACTAGCGTAAAATAGCCAAAGCGCTAACCAAAAAGGCTACAATGATCAAGTTCAACTTGATCATGGCTATTTACCATTTATATGTAGCGTTGTTCTGTAACACGCGGATACATCTAGGCACGCCTTATATAGTACACCCTCTAGCTGGAATCCGTGGCAGGTATAAACACCATGATTGAGAAAATTCCACTTGTTCTATTATTGGCCTGTGGTCTATCTCCTAATCTAGTGCTTAATTTAGAATCCTGGTAGTATTAACACCATGATTGAGGAAGTTCCACCTGTTCCATTATTAACCCACGGTCTATTTTCTGAACATTAATACCATGATTGAGGAAATTCCACCTATTCCACTATTAGCCCACGGTCTATTTTCTAATCTGGTGGTATTAACACCAGGAATGAGAAAATTCCACCCATTCCATAATTAACCTGCGGTGAATCTTCTAACCTGGTGATATTAACACTAGGATTGAGAAAATTTCACTTCTTCCACTATTACTCCCTGGTCTATTTTATAACCTGGTGCTCAGTCTAGAATCCTGGTGGTGTTAACACCACAATTGAGGAAATTCCACCTGATTTATTATTAACCTGTGGTCTATCTTCTTATCTAGTGATATTAACACCAGGAATGAAAATATTCCACCTATTCCATTGTTAAGCCGCGGTGGATCTTCTAAACTGGTGGTATGAACTCCATGATTGAGAAAATTCCACCTGGTTCATTATTAACTTGGGGTCTGTCTTCTGACCTGGTGGCATGAACACCATGATTAAGAAATATCCACTTGTTCTATTATTGGTCCGTGGTCTATCTCCTAATCTGATGGTTTTAACACCACTGTTAAGGAAATTCCATCTGTTCTATATTGAAGCCATAGTCTATCTTCTAACTTGGTGCTTAATTTAGAATCCTGGTAGTATTGACACCACGATTGAGGAACTTCCACCTGTTCCATTATTAACTCGTGGTCCATTTTCTGAACTGGTGGTTATTGATACCATGATTGAGGAAATTCCACCTGTTCCACTATTAACCCGCGGTCTGTTTTCTAATCTGGTGGTATTAACACCAGGAATGAGAAAATTCCACCTGTTCTCTTATTAATCTGTGGCCTATCTTCCAACCTAGTGCTCAGTTCAAAACACTGATGGTATGAATACCACAATCAAGGAAATTACACCCGTTCCATCATTAGACCACGGTCTCTGTTATAGCCTGGTGCTGATTTAGATAAGCCGAATATCTCCCAGGGTTATATCAATGACAATACAAGGTACTAGCGACACTCGCCGCAAGGTAAGGCCTTAAGATAAGACTCCTGTGTAGAGTTAGGCGCTCCATATATTAGGCGCCCCGTGTGTCAGGCGCCTTATGAATCATGTCATATAAGCAACGGCCGATACCATGTATCCCCTGACGGTTGAAAGGAACTGAACTTCTCAATCATCTTGATCAAAGTCTAGCGAACATGTCATGGTCCAAAGTATGTGAGCGGCGGTACGAACGTCCTCTCGGCGAAAACGAAACCTTCATCAAGATCGTGGGCGATGCAGCTCGTCCATTCAATCGTGACCACTGGTCGGTGAATATCATTGCCTCGGTGACCCCTCTGGGCTCGCTCGCCAAGGAGGACCTCTGCTCCCTCTTTCGCGATGCGTGGAAGGCTTTGCGATTCCGCCATCCCACAATCGCCGCCTATATCGTGGACGAGACCAAGTATGTCTACGATATCCCCGATCTCCCATCACTTGAGGAGTGGGCGGCGGAGACTTTTCAGATAGTTGAGGACAAGACAGTAGATGAGGTCGTCGCATCTGCCACCCGTGTCCCGTATGCTACTATGACTTTCCTTCCGCAGACGGGCGAGCTGCTGGGCCGCTCGCAACACTGGAGAACAGACGGCATCGGTGGCTTGATCTTAATAGATGACTTCCTCGATCTCGCCACGTAGTCCACTCTAGATCCGTCATCCCTGCCATGGGGCGAAGAGACTGCCCGGCTAGCACCGTCTATTGAACAAGCCACTGCCAGCTTCACAACATCGGAAGAGCAAGACAAGCAGCTAGCCCAACAGCATGTGGCAAGTTTCGGCCACGCTGTCGGAGCCATTGGAATCCCCTCCCACGCGCCAGTGGAGACACTTCCAGGCGGTGCATGCTTTTGCCGTCTGCACCTCACGGAGCAAGAGAGACAAAGACCGTAGTACAAGGGTGCAAAGCCCGCGATCTCTCCGTGACAGCAGCAGTACACGCCTCAGTGGCTGCTGCGAACTATACGCTAGCGACTGCTGACGATCGGAACAAACATTATACAAGTACCATTCGTTACAGTCTACGCCCCTTCCTACCAGCGCCGTACTCCGGTCGCCAGTGCGCCAGCACAATCTTCACGACGGGCTGGATGTTCCCTGTCTCGTCCGAGTCGTCGTGGGCGGAGCGCGCAAAGGCGTACCATGAGGAGTACCGTAAAGGCCTCAGTCATGAGTACCTCTCGGCACATCGCGAGTACGCTATTGGGCTGTGCGCTTTACTTCGTAGTTTGCCGGAGGACGCTCCTTCGCCGGCTGATGTGGATATCAGTAGCCTTGGTGTGTGCGAGAGGCTTGTGGCAAGAGAGAAGGGGACTGGCGAGCGGAAAATTCGCGTCGATCGCATCTCAGGTGGTCTGGATATGATCAGTAGGCAGCGTATGTGTCATGTCTGGACTTTCAGAGACCAGCTCTGTTTCAACTTGGCGTATAATGAGGCATTCTATGGAAGGGACGAAGGGGATGCCTTTTTGCAGATAGTGAAAGAGTCTCTGTTGGAAGAACTGAAGTAGTTGACAAATTAATCACCCGCCGTTCTTGCTGCTATGCGTTTATCCTATACAGTCCTGGTATCAGTATTTCCCTTCGTTGAGAGTTAAAAACTACAAGAACAATACAAACGTTTCCATCAAGAGCCCATTCAAGGTCCGCGGAGACTAAACTGGTTAGGGTAGTTGCTTCCGCGGGCTTCCCAGGCCTCCATAGACTTTTCATGGCCCCAGGATTTCCATCCAGATATAAATATAAGTGTCCGATTCTTTCATTATGTTCGAGTAATAACTACCCTCTCATTCAACTCCAGCCCAATACACCCGAATAAATACCCACGAATGTCCCCTGCACATTTCCGCGTGGGTATCATCTGCGGAAGCACCCGCACGCCGCGCGTAGGCGACCAGATCACCGACTTCGTGCTCGAAACCATCAAATCGCACGAGAAGGCAAAACAAAAGGACACGGAAGAGATCCAGACAAATCCTTCTTTTGAGTTTGACTACATCGATATCAACGACTTGTCTCTCCCATTCTTCGACGAACCAGGCATCCCATCCAAGATACTCTGCCGAAGACTACACACATGAACACACGCGCGCGTGGTCGCGCAGGGTATCCGCGCTGGATGCTTTCGTCTTCGTCACCGCGCAGTACAACTGGGGTATCCCGGCGCCGCTCAAGAATGCCATTGATTTCCTCTTTAATGAGTGGAAGGGCAAGCCTGCGATGATTGTGTCCTATGGAGGACACGGAGGTGGGAAGGCGGCTGCTGCGCTGAAGCTGTGCTTGGCCGGTGGGATAGATATGCGGGTTGGGGACCGTATGGTTGTAAGTCTCTCCTTTCCGGACAGGGAGGTGCTTTACCAGGCTGTTCGTGGGGAGAAGCTAGGGTTGGATGCGGAGAGTACGACTGGGGTCTGGAGCTCCGAGCGGGGCCATATTACGGGTGGGTGGGATGAAATGATTGGAATGTTAAGAGGTTGATCTCTGGACGTTGATGCTCGTGTTTTTGTCTGTTTTACAGCTTCTGCAATGTCGATTCAGTCCTTGAGAACCGAAATAATATACTTCGCTACGAATTCCAGACTAGGACAATCCGAACCGCGAGGACTTCGTCAAAGTATACATGCTTGAAGCCACAGCCCTGAGCTGGAATTTTGCATGATTATAATCGGGGGTGTGAGGCTAGCTTTTGGCCCTGTACGGCTCGGTCGATAATCTCCATTGCACGGAACAGTTCATAGTCCCGTTGCTTGGGGGTAACGACCTGGACGGACAAGGGCGAATCAAGGTAGACTCGTCGGTCGATTGACTTTTCATCCCCTGACAAGTTTGCATTGTTAGCTTGATAATTCCCCGGGATAAATCTGATGAAAGACGAGCTTTAAAAAACTTACAGAGCAGCCGGTTCTTTGCATCATATTTGCTCAGAACCGGGTCCTTGAACTCCTCGCCAGGCTGAAGATCAGACTCGGCAAACGCCCGCACTGGCACATTCCCTGAAGGGTAATCAAGAAGAACAAAGCATGATGTGTAGTCGACTAATCCGTATTTGTCCAGTTCTGGTACAGGGTGCCCTGCTTGCGGGCAAATGATTGCATCAATACACCGCTCGTGAGATGAGCCTGATGTCCACATCTTGAGCATCGCCTTTTCGATCTTTGAGCGCTCAGCCTGAAGTGCCGCGACCTTCCCAATGGGCATTGGTTCATGACGACGGTACCAGGAAGTAAGCCAAGGGATCAAAGGCTCTCCAAACTCTTCAATGGCGTCCAACATCTTATTGGTACCATCGACCGCCATTAACTTCGAAGCCAAGATATGGCACTGAGCAAATTCGGGAGGAGGCGTGATCTCCACGACCTTGACTCCAGGCGTATGCCGTAAGATCTGAGCAACTTCGTCAAGCACCCGAAGTGATCGGCGGCAACGGTGTGACATTGCCGTTGGTCTTTAGAACCCCAACTGTATAGTTGCGAGGGGGCGAAAGCGACCCACCCACCGAGGGTGCAGGCCAATACCCTGGAATGCAGTCCTCGCCGAAAAGGTCAGCCCGAGGGACAATTTCAGCAAGAACAGCGCCCAGATCGGCTACTGAGCGGGCCAGCGGGCCAGCGACGGCCTGGATGCCTGCCCGGCCTTTCCCAGGAATTTGTCCCTCTTGCTGGCCACCATAAGGCACATGGCCGTGACTAGGTTTGAATCCGTAGATACCCTGACACATTGCCGGGATTCTGATCGAGCCTCCGATATCCGTGCCGATGCCCACCATCGAGCCTCGCATAGCGAGGAGTGCGCCTTCTCCGCCAGATGATCCACCCGCTGTGAGCTTTCTATTTAACGGATTGAGAGTTCGGCCGAACAAATGATTGGCGCTGTCAAGGCACCCGAGGGTCTGGGGGACATTGGTCTTGGCTATGATGACTGCGCCTAGCCCGTGTAAAAGGTCGACTAAGGGGGCATTTTCGGGTGCAGGCTGGAAGGCATATGCTGCTAACCCAATGCTCGAGTCGACGCCTTTGATCCAGAAGGTGTCCTTCACCGAAATGGGGAGGCCATGTAAGGGACCGACCGGCTTGCCAGTGCGGCGCAGATGGTCATCCAGCTCTTTAGCGCGCTTCAACGCGCGGTCAAATAGAGGCTCCGTCAGACAGCGAGTAAGCTGGTGGGCAATGGCAGCTCTCTGGAGATCCGTGTTAGCTGTTGACTGGAAGCTACGATTGGATTGCTTGGGTCTATTTAGCTGGCTCGTACCTTCGAGAATGCTCGAACTACTTCTTCGGCGGTGTATTTAGCAGTGGTCATAGCAGATACAAGTCCCCGCACATCATAGTTCTCCGTGATGATCAATTCTTTATCAGTGAGGAGTCCACACCGCCGTGGAATATCGATGACTCGAACTGGCTTGTACTGCTTTGGCCCTTCAGATATAGATTCCGCCGGCGAGAGCATCCCCGCGGGGATCTTGTCTGCTGGAAGCCTCCATTCGTCAGGGATGGCTGCAGCTAGCTCAGCTTGCTTGCGCTTAGCAATTGCCACATAGCGAGGCTCCTGGGGTACCATTTTGAAGGACAACCTGGAGAACTTGGGAATTGCTCCTATGTCGTTAGTGAAGAAAGTGAAGAAGCGTAGGGGTGGGCCTTGAGCTTTTGAACTCCACTTTACCGCTCGTGGTTACCCGAGGCGACTGTTCTCGCGTTGTGGCGGCATATCTTGACGCTTTACTCCGCATATGCTATTCTCCAGTGATTTACTTCGGCTTTTACTATATACTGCAGATCTTTTAGGGCCTCTCAAAATCCAGTATTCCACTTCAAAAGTGCCATATTCATTGAAGAACCATCGATACAGACAGCCTCCATACTCTGTAAGATGCGGGGATTGCGGAGACGGTCGCAAGCCTCGGCACGCTGGTTGTCAGAAGCCTGTCACATCTACAAGAGAATAGGATAATCTTGTGGTCTTATGAATAGGAGTATCCAATGGAAGAAGGAATACTGAGCATAGTAGGTGATCTGTCTATCCTGACTTGTTATCCATTTACCAGTACTAGCTACACAGAAACCTCTTTGAATGTAGCCATGCTTCAGCACGCATGTACGCGTGCTAGCACCGCGCTGATAAGACTCGAATTGAACTTCCTTGATACCAAAACTCAAATACACCCAGCCAGTCTAAACCATTCTATGATCACTCATCAAAACCGAGACACATCGCGCCCAAACATTCTATTGAGAGTCCACCGAAACGCCACCCGAAGTTTGTTCCTCCAGCTGATGCTCATCGTGATATAGGCTCCATCCCAGATCCAGGAAGCCAGCCGGCCCCTGAGTCCTTCGGGAAGATACTTCAACCGTTTTTTCCCATCCCCGTTATGTGGAATCTGCATCAGGGCTTTCTCTTCACCTATGTATGCCATCGTCCCCAGGTCACGGAACTTGAATGGCGCAGTCTGGCCCAGGTCTCTCTTATTGAGACGCTTGCCGAGCCACTTGGCCATCTGATGTGTCGCTTGGGCCGTTGCCGGCGGAGAACCTGTCTCCAGAACGGCGTTGTCTCCCAGGCATAAACGTCCTGGAGGACTACATTACGGCCTGTTTCGTCTTTCAGCTGGACCCGTAGGTGACCATCGACAAGCAAAGCTCCATTCTTGGCTTTCTTAAATTCCCATGAAGACTTCTCCGGGGCTTGCGGCTGGTCCGGAGCACCATCGCCCTCGAAGCCAGTGGGCAGAGGGCCGATTTTGGACAGAGTGTCTTTCACAAACTTGTTTTGTGCATTGCCAGTCACCCAGACGCACATGCCAACGCCGACTTCCCCTTCCTCGGCAGTTTCGAGGGTCAAACAGCCCTTGGGGTCCATATGGTATGGTGGAGGAGCCCCAGGCGGGCCCCAGCGAAGACTCTTAATATGATGGGAGGTCTTGATATCGATGCCCTCACTCTTCATTGTATCCATCGCATACTGCGAGAGGGTCTTGTCGAACATGGATAAAACATTCGGGGCAACGTCATAGAGACTGATTTTGGGGATATCCCGCAGCGCAGGATACACCCGCATAAGGTCCTTATGAATGAAGTCCCGTAGCGAGGCAGCTAGTTCCGTACCCGTTGGGCCCGCGCCGACAATCGCGAAATGCAAGAGCCATTTCTTCATCTCCGGGGTCGTCGTCGGCAACACCGCCAGCTCGAATAGCTCGCGAATCCTGCGCTTAACGCGCTTCGCATCCCCGATATCCTTGAAGAACAGCGCATTGTCCCGAACCCCCGGCGTGTTGAAGGTGCGGGCCACAGTGCCAACCGCTATTACCAGTTTATCATAAGGCACTTCAAACAGCTCCCCTTGCTCCCATTTCGCGAGGTTCGCGGGATGACCCTCATTATCTTCCGTACGAGGTGTCTGTGTTACACCGCTTTGCACGACCGTGGCCTCGCACAGAACCGTCTTCTTCTTCAAATCGAGGCCTCGGGCCCGGGCTTGGAAGAAGTCCACTTTGGCCCTGGGGTCGCGCACAGGCTCGACGAGGTTCGAGAAGTCCAGTGAGCCGCTCGCAGCATCCGTCAAAAGCGGCGTGAAGACAAAGTAGGAACGTGGTGAAATTACCAACGGTGAGAACTGCTTCGGGTCAAGGCAGCGACTGAGTGTGTATCCTCCCCATCCGCTCCCGAGAATAATGACTCGTTCCCTGGATTCATCAGATGTGTTGATAGCCGTGGTATGCTCCACACGGGTTGCGAAGCCCCTCCTTTGCAGGTTGGAGAGCAGAGACTGGCTGCGCGGATCTAGATGTCTAAGGCGCGATCCACGCAATTGACCAGCGACCGAGCGGCCTAAGGCCACATCGAACCTAGCCGGCATCATTAAACGATATGGAAAGTTGATAGAAGTAAAAAGTTCAAAGAATGGCGAAATAATTCATTGATACCTATGACTCCCTTATGACTTCATTCTTATTTAGGAACCTGGCCTGGGTGGAATCGGATCGGAAGCTGAAGGAATCAGCTCCACATTTTCCGCCTGGGGAACGGCAATCTAGGTAATCTAGGCCTGCAGAACCCAGTTCCCCGTTTCCACGCTGAAGATGGTTGAGACTCGACCTCCGCGAAGGGCGACGTGCGGAAGCGCTCGGGAACATCGGTGGCAACCAGGCGCGTCACGTCTGATCGCCAATTCGGGAAGGTTAGGACTTGGAAGCAACTTGGAAGCACTAGACACCAAGTCGAGCAAACTGATTACATCCGGGCTAGAAACCGCAAAGAGTGGAAATCATGCCGCTCACAATGGACGAGCCAACTTCTGTTTGGTGTTGTCATCGCCGCGATGGACACCTGGGGCCGATCTATAGATTAAGTTGCAGTAGCAGAAACCGGGATGCCCCGGGTTCTTTTATCGATAGTTCGTTACGCATTGGTACGCTTCCTTGATATTTTGGAAGCCATTAGCTCCCACGAGTCTCTCAATGGAATCTCCGAGCGGGGTACATGTTACGTGGCCGCTCGAGTGTACACAAAATCGGCTCTCGTTCTGATCCCACCAGGTCCCCACAGCTGAAATCTTTCCAAAGCGGATAGAAGCTCCACAGAGTAGAGACTTGAAAAAAGAGAGCAAAAAGGAGTCCACATGCTGCCCGCAGCATGAAGCTTGTGAGATTATATTTAACATCCATGCGCCAACGAATTCTCGAATTACCAGTACATAGTATGGGATATAGGAGATGCTTATGACCCGTGGACCAGCATGGCAAATTGGGGCACCAGTGCCCTGACAGAGAGCGTCAGCATATTCGCAACCTCGAGAGCGGAGTCATGGGCATTAACTTGAAAAATCATCAGGGACTTACCGCTGAGCCAACAGATATACCAACTGCAGAAAAACGGCCAGGAGAACAACCATCATAGCTGATTCACAGTCAGTTTTCCGTCTAGCCAAATCTTGCGAGCCCATAGGTCCATCACACACATTGGGATTGTTCAATTATACATAAAAAAGAAATGGGTGTCACGAACCTTCACGCGCCCCAGCAAAAGCGGGACGAGACAACCCTTCAGTACTCTGGCCCTTCAATTTCAGCCATGACGGCATTAGATCCTTCTTGCACGTCCGACCCTCCACAACCCAGCACCCGCCAGGGATGCGACGGCACTCTTCATGCCGCCGGCGGCGCTCCATGATGCGACGAATGCGCCAGTTGCAAAATACCTCGTCTGTGCGAAATGAGCATTCCTCCATGGGGCATTCCAGTTTGTGCTCGAAGCGCTCAACGAGCCAGTCGACTTTGAGATCAACGCCTGTGTAGACAGTGTAGTAGAGCCCTCGGCAGGTGTGTTTGAGCGCCAGCGCGTCCGGATAGCTGAGGAAAGAAGCGATTTCCATGTGGATGTCTAGAGGGAGGTCCATGAACTGTATCTGTGGACGCCGTTTGTTACCTTGATCTCCAAGGTCCATTGCGGACTTGATTCAGAAAGATCGAGGGTGCGGCCTTTTGTGGTCGCGGGACTGCTATAGCCTGTCGCAGGGGTCCAGACTGAGGCTGATGTTGAAACAGGACGTGCCGGGGGGGGCTCCTTCCCTGATTATCCGTGCGCACTATATAGCTGCCTGAGAGCACTTAGTCACATGGACCTCCAGGAGCCGATGAGACTGGAAGCTATTCCTAGAATCGACTCGTGAATTTCATGTTGTGTGGGGGCAAGCTGCGATCGACGTGTTTCAGATATCAGGCTGAAACTCTATGTGGCGGCCATTAACTGGTCGATGACTCTCATCCCTTATCAGAAGAGTATAAGCCACAGGTCCACGTCCAGGTTCCTTCCGCAAACTGGTTCTTCTTTCCGCAGCAAAATACGCGATTGTATGTATACTCGCCCAGCTGCCAAGACGCCCAGGTGGCACAACCACCGCTGACTAAGAGCGCCTTGGGAGCCCCAGAATTCAAGCCAAGACCCGCGGAACGTCTGATCTCGAAGCATTGCCAGCTTTTCAAACTACCATCCCAAACCCTACCATGTCTCAATCCAACGCCCCTGGCAACCCTCCAGATGGAGGACGCAAGAGATTCAATCAAGAAGAATATGCCCAGAAAGCCGCCGACGCGGAAGCCAAGCGCAAGGCAGAAGGCAAAGCCCGCTACGAAGCAAAGCTGCTAGGCAAGAAATACCATGCGCCCGTCGACCTGAGCAGCCTTGAGGCCACGACCGCCCGTCAGTCTCGGATCGATGTCGCGTCTATGGTGGGCAAGACCACGATTGTGCCAGCAGGAGCAGCCCAGGGCAAACGCGGACATGGCGCGGGATTCTACTGCAAGGACTGTGACTTGACGTTCAAGGACAATATCCAGCTGGTCGAGCATTACAACAGCAAACAGCATTTATATGCGACGGGCCAGAGTGGCGAGGTGAAGCGCGCCTCGGTGGAAGATGTGCGTCTGCGCTTGCGACTTTTGTCACACCAGAAAAGGAAGAGGGAGGAGGAGGACCGGAAGGTGTGGCAGTTGGATCTTGGGCAGCGGTTGAAGGAGCGAGAGGAAGAAGATGCGAAGGAGAGGGAGGAACGACGACGGAAACGGAATGAGAAGCGTCGCAAGGGCAACGGGATCAAGCAGGAGGATGACGGCTGGGAGGGTCGTTTGGGCATTATCGCTTGATCGGGATGAGCCAGCTTGAGTTTTGCCTTCTTGCATGATACCCTAGGCGTTTAGATTATGCATCCTGGACATGTTCGGATTGTGTCTACGAGGTGGCGTTCAGGTATATTTGTATTGGGCTATTCGTGCCGCACAGGAAAAAAAAAACCAGTCAATATTGAAACATGACTATAGTTCCCAAAACTCCAGAGACCTAAAATATCCAAAGTATCCCCAACTCCACTGTACAATGCTATAAATCAGTACATTCAATGGCCTGAAGGCGCTGCATGGCCCGACCACCCTCTTTCTCAAACTGACCAACAAGTCGTTCACACTCGCGTTTTAACCTCTCTTCGCCGTTCTTTGCATTCCAGTGGATCCATTCTTCCACGGTCATCTTCCTCTCAGGACTGGTCAGACTACCCTTCAGGCCGTTGAAAAGACCAGAGATGTCAGCATTCTCTTTGTCGCTGGCTTCTCCGAATAACGCTTCTTCGATGTCTACAGGAGTCCAGGGCTGACCAGAAGCGGCGAATCCACCGTTGAAGTTACGTTTCGACGGAGATGGAGTCTTGGCCGCTAAGGGAGTGCGCTCTCCGGGCTCGATGGAGACCGGTGGCAACGCCTGGCGCGAGGCAGAGAGTCGGGAAGAAGGCGGTTTGTTTTCTGCGTCAGAGGACTGAGGAGACATAGATGGAGTGTTCTGGCGAACGATTGAATGCCGCGGGGCTGCCGGGCTGGGCTTGACAGATGACTTCTTCTGTGAGCTCCGAACATCGGTTGGTTCCTGTAATTCTCGGACAAAATCGGCGTAGTGCTCCTCTTGTGGAATGTCACTATATCGTTTGGCCGTCTTGGGTGGTACGGGGGTCTTTTGTTTCGCGCTTGATGGCTCTGGCCGCTCGGGGACATTGGTGCGGCTACCACGACATCGACTTCGTCTGCTAATTCATCGGGGGTCTCAAACCCATCATCCACTGACGGGGACATAAAATCCGGCTGCATTTCCGTTGGATCCTCCTCGGGCTGGGGCGTGGGCTCGGGCTCGGGCTCAGGCTCAGGCTCACGACGTGGAGAGCCTTGCTTCTTAGGCTTCTTAGATTTCTTGTGTTTTTCGTCTTTCCGAGAGGCTTTCTTTGTCGTGGACTTCTCAAGAGATTCAAATTCAGCATCATCCTTCGGCGCTGTGTATCTCTGTGGAACAATATCCGGCACGGCCTCAGCCTCTTGCTTTCGATTGTCGATCTCCACGGACACGAACGATTCGTGGGCTTCATGCTCGTCCATGTCGTGGGACCCGCCCTGACTTGCAGATAACTCCTCAGTCGTAGACCTCTTCGCTTTTGCATCATCCTTCTTGCTCTTCTTGGTGCCCTTTTTCTTGGAGCTCTTCGTTGACTTAGTCTTGGGAGGCTCTTCAATAATGTCTAATTCGGCAGCATCGGGTTCCGTCTTGTCTTCTGCACCGTTTTGTAAATGCTCTGCAGGATCTTCTGCGTCCACAGCTACCGGCTCGGCAGACTTGACCGCAGCTTTGGCTTTCTTAGAGCTCTTTGACTTCTTGGGAGCTGGAGCAGGAGCAGGTTCTTCCTCCGGCTCGGGTTCGGGATGGGGCTCAATTTCCATTGCATCCGGTTCGTCTGCTTCGAGACCAGCTTCTAAAGCTGCGTCCAGTTCCGAGTCTTGTGGGACTTTCGCTTCCGCTTTCGTCTTAATCGCGGCATTGGAAGTGATTGAAACATCGGAATCCTTACGCGTCTTGGAAGCACCTTTTTTGGTCCCTTTGCGGCCCTTCTTGGGTGGTTCCTCTTCCTGCGCCACTGCATCTTCTGGGAAGATGTCTTGCATCTCGTAGTCTTTGGACTCGGTCTGCGGAGGTTGGGAGATAGAACTTTCCCGCGTCTTGGTATGGCGCCGCTTGCTTGGTGGTTCAGTCGGCAGTTCTGCGGGCTCGTCAGGTGCAGCTGAGACCCGCTCATCATCAGCCATTTCATCACTGACTCTTTTCTTCCCTCTTCCAGTTCGTTTAGGCTTAGGTGGATCTTCTTGTTCGAGTGGGATGGCGTCGACTTCCATTTGGCCCTCGGCGTCAGTATCATCTTTCTTAGCCTTAGCACCCTTGCCCTTGCCCTTAGAGCCTTTCTTTGTTGATTTATTCTTGACAGTGGACTGAGACATGATGCTTTGATCCATCGAGTCGTCCATGTCTAGGTCTGGCGCTTCAGACGCAACATTTGCAACCGATTGGGTGGAAAGTCGGGAAGAAGATGCCTTGGAAGTTCGTGCTTTCTTTGATCGAGATCCCTTGCCTTTTTTGCCCGGTGGTTGAGCGAATACGAAGAAGGAACAATCAGAGGATCGGCGGTAGTGTTCATCACTAGGACATGTGTTAGCTTGCATCGAAGGGCAGGAGCGAACCAAACTTACAATGGGTCATCCTGGGGTTCCCAGCCATCTAACGACAGTTTGCAATATGGGCAACTAGCTAGATCATCACTCTCGTCTGTTGGACAGAAATACCATCCACTCGCAACCATCTAACCCCCAAGTCAGTTAAACACTCGTGATCAATGACGGCTGTTCCAAAGTTGCGAACCTTGTCTGATTGGCAGACCCACCCGCGTTTCCCATCGTGCGGCCATGCTGAACCGAATGTTGCTAAACGCGCTTGTGTGATCCGTTCGCTCGTCGGGTCTTCGATTGTGGCGGGATTTGAGCTATTTTGTTGGATATCCATGATAATGGCCCAGCCACAGTCAGGAGAGTGTTTCAGGTGCTCCGTAACTGGATTGTCGTCCTCTTCCCAGCCGTCCAAGGCGCGGCCGCATTCGAAGCATGTTGTGTTATCTGGGTTCGTCTCATAGGGTTTGTAGTAAAAGCCTGCATGCGCTAACTGTGATTATATTCGCGTTAGAGTCGCATCCATTGCAAAATTTCAACACGGTTTATTTACCTCTGCTGGCGACGGCTTCTGATGGGGCCATGCGATCGGCTGGGAACTCTTCGTAGTTGATGATCGCCGTCTTTCGGGCTTCAGTACCGTGTCGAAACTGGCCAGGCGGGCGGAGAAAGTGTCCATTTCAGAGCTCATGGTGTATCTGAAATGTAAAGGACAATAAAGTCCTCGGTTCGCAATTAGAGGCCAGATTTGGTGGTCGAGGATGCGGGGTGGTGGTCGATGTTGATACCGTCTGTTTACACTATCGAACCCGTTGTTATGCGAGACGCGGGTTCACGTGATCCGATCTCCATTTACCTCAGCCTTGGTCGACGTCAGATTCCGGGATTCTTGAGCGATTTGTTGAGCGGCATTGATTCCAACCATTTTCATTCTCTTCCATTGACTCTTTTTTTCCTACTCTCTATGATTCGGACGTCTACTCCCCTTTGATCAACCGACCTTGAGCCACGTGCTCCGCTCATTTGGCATCTCCGAACACCATGCTATCCGTACGTTTGGGCTTGAACCCTAAATACTCGTTGCAGGCATTGCGATATAGACTGAACCCCTGCTGACCTCTTATTCTCTAGGTGGCCGTCTTCCGGAGCGGCGGCACTAGCTCCCTTTGGCGTCTTTCTAGTCAATACTCTTCTTTGGCCCGACTGCCCGCTTCGATCCGCTGTTTCACCCGAGACTCCCCCCTCGGCCCATCACACTCCTTCCTCCAAATCTACACAGAACAGAAATTCCTCGAATTCATCATTAGCATACAGCGGTACACCTCGTCGACTTTCATATGCGCCATTCTCAACCTCTACTCAAGGATCCGATACCGCCGATTGGGATCATAACCCGAATCTTGCTATTTCCAATTTCTCTGAACTTCCATCCAAGGACTTTGGTGTCAACCAGCATATGATCATAAACCAAGAATTCAAAGAGGCTCTTCGTCAAATTCTGTGGCAGTTCCGCGCGCCTATCCGTTATGCCTTCGCCTATGGATCGGGCGTGTTTCCGCAAAATGGTAGCGCAGCTTCGTCCTTGTCCACTCACCCGTCCGCACCCGCCGCCATCAAGAATATGCAGCAGGGATCAGGGAAAATGATTGACTTCATTTTTGGCGTATCCTACTCTCAGCATTGGCACTCCTTGAACCTTATGCAGCACCGTGATCACTACTCTGGACTTGGCTCTCTGGGTTCATATGCAGTCTCCCAAGTCCAGGATCGGTTTGGCGCGGGCGTCTACTTCAACACACATGTCACTGTCAACGGAACACTGATAAATACGGCGTGGTCAACTTGGACACTTTATCTCAAGACCTTGCCCAGTGGAATACATTGTACCTTGCAGGCCGACTACAAAAGCCCGTAAAAATTCTACGTGACCACCCCAAAATCCGCCTCGCGAACCAGATCAACCTATTATCGGCCTGCGAGTAGCCTTACTTCTGCTCCCAGAGCGCTTCACTGAATTTCAGTTGTACAACACCATTGCTGGTATCAGTTACATGGGTGATCTTCGCATGGTGCTTGCAGCGGAGGATCCCGGGAAGGTGCATAACATCGTCTCGGGCCAGATGACGCACTTCCGAAGGCTCTATGAGCCACTCATTTCGAACCTGCCTAATGTCGATTTCAATGATCCTCGCTGCAGCCAAAGCGATTGGGTTGATGATCCCAATGCTGTTCTCTCGATGCAGCAAGCATGGATCCTATGAAGCGCGGAAACATGGTCCGTCGCCTTCCCGAATCATTCCGCGAGAAACTTTACTTCCAATATCAAGGTCGATACGCTATCCCCCGCGCTGAATTCAACAAGATGATGGAGGAAAGCACCGACACGAAACAGGATATCGTTCGCCGGCCACAAGGAGGTCCATTTGAGCGTCGGATTGCCAGCGATGACCGGCTCAAAGAAGAGGTCTCGACAGCAATCATGAAGACTATCCGATGGCCGAGCACAATCCAAACCATCAAAGGACCATTAACGGCCGGTTTCCGCAAAAGCTGGCTTTATCTCAGAGAGAAGCGCGAAAAGCACAAGAAGTCCCAAAAAGCTCTCAAGTCACAAGCCACTGGGTCTACGTCCGGCGAGAAGGCTGATACGAAGAAAGGTCAGTAGTTGTTCAGTCGTTCAGGACAGGTGACCTGAGACGGTCTGAATGCATTGATAGCGTGGCAATGACACGGTGGTTCTAAACATGGTTCTTTGCATACATGAACCCTATAAATACTACATACATATTGCATCAATCAAAACGGCCTATAGATTCACTAACTCGAGCTTCCCCCCTTACGTTTTTGATCTTCCATCTTCCTCTCTCTCTCCCTGCTGAATGTGAAGAAAGAATTTTGAAAGGCCGGTTCTAGCAAAAACGCCCCTGGCATCTTTATACTTCTCTGCTCCAGGGTTCCGAGTCTTTGAGATCTTTCCTGAGGCTACATACCAAAAAGCTCTGTACTTACCAGTACCACAAGTCTGAGCAAGGTATTTAGTCCGAATATCTAAGAGATATACCATGATGGACACTGCCTTCTGCCCTTCCACCGAAGTACCACTAGCATCGGGGGTCTGTAGCTGCCTGGAAAATCCCCTTCGCGGAAAGTATGCTGAGCACCTTCTACATCCACAGTTTGCACGGATAAATAACACCTAGCCTTCTAGGTCACACCCGCAATTAACGTCAAATTTATTTTCTGGGGTTGTAAGCGTTTACGCGGTCTCAACTTTGGCGATGTTGGTGCTAATGGCCGGAGCTGGCTTGACTCATTGTATGACTCCAAGTCGATTGAACCTTGGGAGCTTTTAGAAGAACCCCCTCCGCCGCCCCGCCCCGCCAACTTTTTTCGTTCTTCCAACATCGTCTGTCTCCAGACACAATTGCTCGCAATGACACCCAGAGTTTCTCCGTTCGACCTGTCAAAATGCGCCCGGCCTAATATTCTACAATTACAGCCCTACCGCTGCGCCAGAGAGTAAGTTCTGCCTGCAATCGAGCTCCTCCGATCTCGGCCTAATGAGTCAGTGACTACAAAGACGACGGTACGAACGTGCTTCTAGACGCCAATGAGAACGCATACGGCCCCGGCCTAGCATTGAACAGCGAAGGCGCTCTCCAAGCATCACAAACCGGCGAAGCGACTGGCGCCTCGAAGCCCGAGATCGACTTCCTTGGCCTAAACCGATACCCCGACCCCCACCAGATCGAGCTCAAGCAGCTCTTCTGCAAGCTCCGCAATACTCACCACCATACCTCCAAAACCTTCAGGTCCAGAGAGCCTCTTCGTCGGCGTCGGTTCCGACGAGGCCATCGATGCGCTGCTCCGCTGCTTCTGCGTGCCGGGCAAGGACAAGATCCTGACCTGCCCGCCCACATATGGGATGTACAGCGTGAGCGCGCAGACCAACGATATTGATATCGTCAAGGTCCCACTCGACGTGGACAACGGCTTCCAGCTGCAGCCCGACAAGGTCAACGAGGCTCTCGCGGCGGACCCATCCATCAAGCTGGCTTATATCTGCTCCCCCGGCAACCCGACCGCGAACGTGATCCGCAAGGACGACATCCGCAAGGTGCTGGAGCACCCGACCTGGAACGGGGTGGTCGTCGTCGACGAAGCGTACATCGACTTCGCCGCCGAAGGCTCCAGCTTAGCGGAGTGGGTGACCGAATGGCCTAACCTGGTGGTGATGCAGACGCTCAGCAAGGCGTTCGGGCTGGCGGGGATCCGGCTGGGCGTGGCATTTACCAGCCCCGAGATCGCGCGGCTGCTGAATAGCCTCAAGGCCCCGTATAACATCTCGAGCCCCACGAGCGCGCTTGCGACGGCGGCCCTGTCGCCTGCCAACCTGGCCGTGATGCGCTCGAATCTTGCGCGGATCTGCGCCCAGCGTGACCGGCTCCTGCGTGAGCTGCCCCAAATTGCGGGCGTGGGGCGTTTCCTTGGCGGCCAAGACGCGAATTTCCTTCTTGTGCAGATTTTGGATACCGACGGAAAACCCAGTAACCCGGTCGCGCTCGCAGCTTATGAGGCCATGGCCGAGAAGCGAGGGTGGTAGTGCGCTTCCGTGGCAGGAGTATGGATGTGAGGGCTGTCTGCGCATCACCGTCGGCACCGAAGCCGAAGTGACCAAGTTCCTACAGGAGATTCGCGTGGTGCTGGCAGGCCTGCATGCGGGTGTGGGCATCCAGTCTCTCCGTGACGAGGTGCAGCGGGAGGAGACTGCAGCGGCGGTTATTGCATGATTTCGGTTTATTGAGGTTATATTACTCTGCCTAGCCAAGACTCGGGTTATCTTGGGGGGGGGGAGGAACTTTCAAAATTGGACTATAGCGAACATAGAGTGAATTGGATATACTGAAACTATTGAAAGCCACAATATGCCGATGGAACAATCCTTGAATGAGTCCATGAGATTCAACAAGCTTAGGCAGCACCAAAAACACACTTCGAAGGAAGGCGTTCTCTTATCGACGACAAGGATCGGGGTATCCAGCCCTGTTCACCTCGTCTCCACCGGGTCGGTAACGGCAAAGATAAGGTGGGGGCCCTGTTATAGCAGTTCACTGATATGAACAGGTCATTCCACCCCTTTTGGTTTCTTGCGAGGGACATCCCACGGCCAGGGTGGTTTCATCTTGATAAGGGAAGAGGTCGTGAGATGGGGAGGATGGGCTTGCCTCGATTAAAATTGCCCGGATTGCGTATCCCCTCATGTGTTTGCCACTAGTTGCTATCGACTTTCTCGCGTGGAATTTCCCCGCTTGGGCCACGCATCGCCAGTTTGTGATTTGCCCTCAACGCTGTCCAAGGTCAAAGCTTCCGGAGTCCGGTGGGCCCGTTCTCCCCTCTACGGAAAAGATCCATGACCTTTGAATCTGAGCTGTTATCAGCAGGTAAGCGGGTAAGCTCGCTGGCGGTAAGCTGAATGGGACGATACATGCGGTGGCTCAGTTGGCGATGGCTGACGTCGAATCAGAGCCAAGGATATTGATGGCTTGGGACGAGATTAGTGTGCTGCTTGTCACTGGCCCGTGTTTATCGCCCCCTAAGCCTGGACATGTTCGACTTGCTTGCGCCATATCATTATTGTCTTCCCTTGGGACCCTAGAGGTGCTCGGTTTTTTGTAACTTTCCACGCGGCTCTATTTGATCGGCCTTGTTCCCTCCCAATTTTGAGGTCCGGCCGTTGTAAATCGTCCGATTTCTGTGCAGCCAATCCCTGCGTCTCGCCGGATCGCACCGAGTCCATCTTTTCCCCACACTTTGGCCTCACGTGCGACATGTAAAGCCGATCTCTTCCATCTACAATGACGATTGTTTTCCTGCAAGTGAAAGAGCTCTACAGCCGATAAAGAGAGGGCTATATACCATCTACCTCTCCTTCTGGGAGGTGGGGGGTTGAGCATGTCGAACGGTATGAGCCTCCGACCCAAGGTGCCTCCAGCGTTCGAGTCGAGAGAAGACATCAACCCTACTCTCTTGATGAGCTGGTGGGCCACTGGGTTCTCGGTCATCATTATCGTGGTGAGACTCTGTGGGCGCTATGTTCGGGTCGAGCGCTTCTTCACTGAAGATAAGGTGATGATGCTGAGCTTGATCCCGCTGGCGATTCGCATGGTCTTTGTTCATTTTGTCTTGACGCTGGGTACCAACAATGTCCAGACCGCCGGGCTTACTGCGCATCAAGTTACAGACAGAGAATTGGGAAGTAAGCTTGTTTTGTGTGCTCGGATATTCTATGCGATCTTGTGAGACTCTCCTGCATTTCCCCCCAATCCCCGTGTCATCGGGTGCCTGTGGCCTCGCTTGAATCTGTCATACTCATGCAATCCCAGCATTTGGACCGCCAAATTAACCGTCTGTGAATTCCTGAAGCGAGTCACTGGCGTGGTCTGGCGCAAGTCAGTCGCAATTTTCCTTCGATTCATCCACTTCTTCCTCGCCTCGACCCTCATTGCCGTTGTCATCGCGACGCTGGCCGAATGCGTACCTTTCGACCACTACTGGCAGGTCATTCCAGATCCAGGCCCTTCCTGCCGATGCGGATATGCACAACTAATCACCATGGGTACTTGCGATGTTATCACTGACCTACTCCTCGTCGCTTTTCCCGTCCCCATAATCTTGACGGCTCAGATGCCGCTCAAGCGCAAAATCTCTCTGGTCCTCCTATTCTGCCTGTCGCTGCTCCTGGTCGGAATCACATGCTATCGGGTTCCATCAGTGATCCAACGGGGGGGAGATCAACCATATCGCTCTCTCATCGCATCACTCGAAATTCTAGCTGCGACAGCCGTCTCCAATGCACTCGTCATTGGCTCCTTTGTCCGCGACCGTGGCGCCAAGAAACTGAAATACAAGCGACATTTGGGTTCTGCTTCTGTCACAGAGAGCGTCGACGGTAGCTATATGCGCAGAAACACTGTCATGCAGAAACAATGGGGCAGCGACTGCGACCTCGCCGCGGATCTAGGTATGCGCCTCGATCCGGATCTGTGCCCCAAAGAATCAATTCCAAGCGATGCTACGAGCCCAGTGCAAGCACCATCGGCACCTATCCAGGTCGCTCGCACTGGATCTATAGACCATTCCTGGTCATTCCGAAACAGCCGCCAAGCAGAGGACGATTGTATCTCAATCACGGACAGCCTTGACCGGAAGATCAGCCCACACGACTATATCAGGAACGAGCAAAACCCCTCGAGAAAGAGAAATGCCGACCCCTTCAACAGTCTCCTCCCGCCGGGTATCTTTCTTCGACGTAGGGGGGTCTACTCAACCAGAACCCGAATGATCCTCGTCCATCTGCTCTTACCTCGGCTCCTACTGCAGCACCTGCTGGAGCGCAGGCACGGAGCACGAGAACTTTCCTGGAAGATCTTGGTGTCATTTCACCTCGGTCCCCTGTTTCTCCTTCCACACAACCCCAATCCTCGCCCCCCGCATCCAGCGTGCAGCAAATAACACATCTTCTTCCACCGTATCGCGTTTCTCCGCAACCTTCCATGGACGTCGAGCTCCATGATGTTGGCGGGCTACTTGGAAGTCGCTCGGGTACTCGTCCTTGAAACAGGGTCAGCATTTAAAGAGTCCGAATTCATGAGAGTAGTAGTACTCCGACTACTCGACAGCAGAGCGGGAACTATCAAGCCCTGAACAGGGCCCTGGACACCCCGACGGCCCTTTTGAAGGGCTCTCCCTCTAAACTGGGGGCCTCGCGTTCATGCGCAAGGCTCACCGAAATGATGCGCGAGGACTGGCCCGAATTGCCCTGGCTTCTGAACCAGGTGAAGAGCCTGATCCTCCAACATATCATCAACCAGTGTCATGAGGCAATATCTCCGGCCTTGGGATGCTGCTTCGCTATAGTGAACACTTGGTCCACACCGAGGCTGTGTTTACTGGCTGGTTCGCTTACATCAATGCAATGATGAACTGTCACAGCATTGGAAAAAATGGTATCCGTCTATTAGAGACAACACAACCGGTAGACGTGTACGACATTTATTCATGCTTGACTGGCAGAGATATCATACCACAGTTGCCCATCGTATGTCCGACGACAAGTTTTTGAAGTCCCAAGACTATTTGGAAGGATGGATGGGCTCGTGTGTACATGGATAAAGTATAATGACAATATCGTCCGAATCAATTTGAATCTTTCCATTGTTTCTGGCTTGGCTTGATGTCAATTAGGGGAGTCATTATGATACCAGCAAACTTGTCGAGGGTCGTTTAAGCTTGGTTTAAGCTTGGTCTTGTGAGAATAGACCGGTCTTTTAGTTCGGATAACCAGCAGCCACGCCCCCTAAGTTCAACCTCGGGGATTAAGGGGAACCAGACAGGCCGATTCACAGAAGACGCCGATAGGATCGTGGGTCTCCACATTTGCCGGAAATCCTTGCTGTTGAAACGGGAACTTTGGCATGTAAAAGGCCCAGGAAGCATTGAGGTCTTTGCCGTGCAACAGAATGAACAGTAAATAAGCTTGAATTGGAAGATGCAATTGAAAAGGTAGTCTAATATACACAAGATCCTGATTCCAGGAGAGAAAGCACCTCGCCATCACCAACGCTCGAGTATCTCATGCGTTCATCGTAGAGATCTTGATCAGGGTAACATGGCCTGAAAGAATATAACCCCACTCGCCAAGCTGTATTATACAGCCCCAGTTTACGCCATGCGTGAGCCGCGCTTGGGCAAAACAAGTCCCCGGTTATAGAGCTCGGCATGGATAATCTTCTTGCGACCGTAGGCCTCGTCCTCGGTGTTCTTGTTGATTCGCTTGCCGGAGAACTGGATATTAGGCGGCAGAACACCGGCATTCTTCCTCCTGGCAAACTTCCGGATGACGTTCGGGGGCTTCTCCTTCATCTTGGTGGTCATTGCGGCTACAAATTGGGCAACGCTCGAGGAGGAGCTGATCGCCTTGTCAGGGACGCGGCGGTGGGTCAATACGGAGAACCGTTTGGCAAACTAGGAAAAGACCATTTGGTTAGCACGGTGATTAGGCATTTGATTGCACGGAAAGACACACATGGAATTTGACTTCTGGGTCGATTAATGAGAGGGAAACGGTATCGGGCTTCTCTCCCTGAGTAGGGGTGGCGTTCTTCCCGGCTCCAACCTTCTCGAATAGAGCGACAAGTTGGGTCTTCACCTCCTCGTTGGGAAACCGAAGGGTACTGGTCTCTGATCCCTCCACGATACACTGCTCGGCCAAAATGTTCTTCTCTTTGTTGTATAGAAGCGTGTGGACGGCATCCAATGGTTTCCCACATAACTGCAAAAGGCAGATTTCCACCGCCACTTGATGGGCAGCGCTGGGGGTATCTTGACGAACACGACTGGCCTTCCCATTGTATCTAGAGACATAAGAAATTTGATCAGCACAAGGTATCTCCCCTTTCACCCAGACCAGATATTACAAGCCGCAGGCCAGAGAGGCTTTCCGGACATACCGTTGATACTTATCCGCCTCGGAAGGGCCGTGGTAAATCCAAGCCTTCTCCGGAGCGAAACCAATTCTCTTCAGTCCATGCCAAGTCTCGGCTTGCTCATAACCTTTGGCCAGCGTTCCTTCGTCGCCGAAATCCGCAGAGCTGTCTTCTTTTTCATTGGCCTCTGGCTCTGGCTGGTGCATCAGCTGGGATTCGCCGGTGTATGGATCCTTTGCACCCGGGGGATTCTCGGTCTTCCAGAGCTGGCGGCGGGTTCGCTCGAGGAATCCATCGCTGGCGTAGCGGCGGAATTGGTTGGCAATCGGTGATGCAACGTGGGAGACAGTTTGCTGTCTGCAGCCAGAGCAGACATATAGTGCCTCCCCTAAATGGGAGCCGCATAGCTGGGCGCATGGTTGTGGTTGATGTTTCTGGGCAACTTTTGCTTTCCGCGAGATCATTCCGCGAAACAAATCTCGGTGGCACGTGATCTGACTCGGCACTAGTGCAGCAGCAGCATACTCATGAAAGGAATACAACATTTCTAGTCCGTATTTTGAATTTATGCTGAGCTTTGAGGGATTTGAGTATCGCCATAGTGCATGAGGAGATATATTCTGTCCCTGGCTCCTAATGTCGGCCATGCGAGTATCTATCGGCTCTACTTAGATCGAATGTTACAAGGACGGAGATTGAGCAATGGAAATCATACATTATAAGAGTGACTTGTATACATGGAACGCTGATATCATGGCCGATTTCTTTTGTTTTCAGAGAAACCTTCGTTAAAAAGTCCCGGAGGATTTTTTCCTTTACTCCCGAACAAACATACTGGCCATACCCATACCAGTACCAATGCACATGCTGACAACACCGATATCCTTGCCACTGCGCTCAAGCTCAGGCAGCAGATCAGCAAGCTGACGAGCACCAGTAGCACCAAGAGGGTGGCCAATCGCAATCGCACCACCGTTGGGGTTCACCTTCGCCTCGTCAATACCGAGCTTGCGAATACTGTACAGAGCCTGCGACGCAAACGCCTCGTTGATCTCCCACACTCCAACCTCAGGAACCTGGATACCGACCGTCTGCAGCAACTTAGGGATCGCCACAGCAGGGCCAACCCCCATCTCATCCGGCGCGCAGCCCGCAACGGCCGTCGCCACCCAGCGCGCCTTGATAGAGCCCGACAAGCCAAGCTCCTCGGCAGTCGAACGACGCATCAGCAGCGCAGCCGCGGCTCCATCGCTGACCTGCGAGCTGTTGCCAGCGGTACTAGACCCATCCGCCTTGAACGCCGGCTTCAGCGCAGCCACCTTCTCCAGCGTGAGGCCGTGGCGGATTCCATCGTCCTGGGTGACGGTGACCTCCTTGGGCTCCGCATCGGGGTTCTCGGCATCAATCTGCTTGGTGGTCACGGGCACGATCTCTGCATCGAACCGCCCCGCCTTCTGTGCCGCAGAAGCCTTCTTGTGCGACTCCACCGCGAACGCGTCCTGGTCTGCGCGCGACACCCCGTAGCGCTCCGCGACGTTCTCCGACGTAATGCCCATGGGCATGATGCAGTCGCGCGCGTCCTTGGAGTACGACTCCTTCAGCTCGGGCCAGAGAACGGTGGGGATCGCGCGAGATCCGTAGTTGCGAGTCATGGACTCCATGCCGCCGCCGACGCCGGAGTTGATGGCGCCGGCGCGGATGCCGTAGGCGACGGCTGTGATGGCAGCCAGGCCGGAGGAGCATTGGCGGTTGACGGTGTTGAAGGGCACGGCATAGGGGAATCCGGCATGGACCTGGGCCATGCGGCCCGCCTTGGCACCGCCGAGCTCCTGCAGGACGGAACCGATGGTCACGTCGTCGATGAGAGCTGGGTCGAGGTTGGGGTTGGCTTTTAGGGTTGCGCGGAGGACGTTGGCGAGGAGTTCTTCGGGATAGGCGTCTTTGAAGCCGCCCTTTTTGGCGCGGGTTACTGCTGTGCGGAGAGAGGAGAGGATGACGATGTCATTGGGGGATTTCTGAAGCACTTGCTTCAGACCCCGTGGGATTGGAGAAGCCATTGTGAGGGTTGTGTTCGGTCTATTCGGTATGCAAGGTTCTATGGCTGTTCGGGCACGTCTACTGAAGCAACTTGTCTGGCTTCATGAATGAACCAAAAAAAAAAGCACAGAAGCAAGGACAGAAAATCAACCCCAGAGGAAGATCAAAGTCCGAGCCTTTTAAAAGAGGTGCCGGGGTGAATTCCGGGGTCGGATACAGAGTAGCGTGTGCTGCACCAATCCCCTCGCTACATCCAGCCCCGTCCGGCACTGAAGATCGGCTAAGGGCTCTGCCGCGCATGCGGGGGGACCACCATAGGGGGATACACAACTGTGCAAGTTGAAGCAAGACTGTATTTAATATCTGCATAGTATGCGATAATGACCAAGTCTTGTTACTTGCGCGTTATAAGTTGAAATATGAAGCTCGCTCTCTACCGGACGTTCGGATCAGATGGGGGGAGATCATCTCGGAAGAACCTGGCGCTTCGGACATTGATGTCCGGTAGAACTAGGAATTAGATCCACCGCGGATATTGACCTCCTTGGCCCATGAACACAATTTCTCAAGTTTATTATTCCAGATTTCTGTCATTGAGCTACTAAGGGTGAATAGATACTCTGGTAATAAATTATGCGTGCATGTAGCTTCGGGCGTGCAGATCGAAAATGTCAAATCGAAAATGTCAAGTAAACCTCGCCGTAGCGCTGCGGTTATCCGTATCAATACCAGCTCGGGCACCGATCAACTCACATCAACATCCATCTTTGCAAGTTCCATTGCCTCAACCTTTCAGCGGCTCACGGGCTGGGTCAAAACCCAAGCACTCATTGATTCGGCTATTATGTTCTTCTCCCGGGGAACCAGCCAGAACAACACCTGGGCATTTACTTCCAAGTGTCGAATCCACAGATCCACCAGTCGCCACAGGCTATCATTCGCGACGGGCTTCCCCTTACAATTTTTGAAACCGTTGGCCTTCCACTTAGGCAGCCACTCGGAGATACCCTGCACAATGTAATTGGAGTGAGACTTGATGACAAGCGTATGCAGGGGCCATGTCTGATCCATTTCGCACCGGCCTTTCTTTTCATCCTGGAAGAGATCGATTGCTTTGACGAGGGCGGCAATGCAGGCCTTCAGCTCGGCTACCTGCACCGTGTGTCGTTCTTCTTCGATTTCAACGGCTAGGTTGTAGATATTCTCGTGTCCGAAGAACACGGCCATCGACGCGCGCGGCTTGTCTGGTGTCTGAGACGGGGCCTCACATTTGCCATCAATGGACAGGATCACACAGCCTTGGTGGTAGGGGAAGCGCTGGCATTTGGAGCATTTGGTTGTGGCATCAGGGCACGCGACGTAGATCCAGTTTCCCCATGATACTTCGATGTCAAAGGGCTGGAAGTGATCGGGGTACGCGTCTGCGTCGAAGCGTCGGATTGGATCGACAACGAAAGTGTCATCTCCAACTGCTTTGTACTTTGCGAACGCGACTCGATCCTCCAAGCTTCCCAGTGCTCGAGGGAGATGGAAAGGCGAGCACTGACCTACCGGGGTTGTCTGCGCGCGGTTATTGTTAGCAAAGTCCCCTAGTCTCAAACAGGCTCCTCTCGGCGGAGGCAACGGCGCGTTGTGGTTTAATGTGGATGTACGTACTTGAGAGCTTGATTGGTTCTTGCGCTGCTGGAAGGCGATTCGTTCCTTCATTCCCTTAGGCATGGTGGTTAAGACGATGGACTTGGGGGGATGGAAGAAATCAACGATTAAATGATGGAAGAGTTGGCGCTTTGAGTGGTGAAGGAACAAAGAGGAGTATTTGAAGAAGCAACAACTATTGTCGGGGCAGTTTTGTTTTTTTAAGCTCTCACAATGAAACCTCTGGTGGCCACGCCGCCTGCCAAACGAAACAATGAACATATCTATACTTGGCCTTACACCGCTTTTAGGAATCACTTGAGATCGACCAACGCAGGCTTTGGGACTGTCGGTTTATTGTTAAATACTCACTAGTGGGAAATTCATACAGATTGAATCTCTGGATAGGTAATTGATCTGGTATCACATTGAACGCTCCTCATCAACATGCAGTAGCAATACGGTCTGGCGCAAAGGCCTAAATTTTAAAACGCCGCGGCTTTTTGAGACCAGATAGGGAAATGGGGTATCATGGGTATCATTAGCGCTTCTTCCAGTCCAAGAACACCCTAATCTCGGATGATGTGAAGGTAGTGCCCTGGGACATGTGCTTGGCACTTCTCGCAGTTCCTGCGAAACCCCATTGCAACCCGAGGGGTTTTTCGTTGGGCAGGTAGGGTGAGTGTGGGCGAGATGGGAGTATCCTCTGAGGCTGGCTGCAATGGTACGCCGGTGTCATGGCTCAATACATGTGAGTACTCTGGTGCCATGGACACGTCGGTTGGCGAAGAGTGCATGCCGGCCTCGCCCGGGAAACTTTCCATCATTTCGAAATCGCTGGTTGGACTCGGGAAGGCCATTTGAGAAGCGTTGCTATTCCCAGTGTTATACTCACCATCGACCATGGCATTTGACCCATTCTCGCATGCAGTCGAGGACGGGGTATGTGGGCTGGAGTAGACGCTATGTCCCATAAACCTGCCGAGCAAGTTTGGCTGTGGCGTCATACATCCACCTAGATTCCCCAAATCTGTAGGTTCAATCTCAAGCGGCGACTCCACTGGAGTGATTGGGCGCGCACCATAGAAAGGCATATGGGTCATATTGCTGGAGCGAACGGGATGCATCTTCTCAGGGATGTGCATTTGCAAGCGAGTCCTCTGTGTGTTCGTTTATAGAGATTAGCCAGAGCTTCTTGCCGGGAAATAGCTTGAATGTGAGGCAGCGCGAGCTTGTCATACCTTGGGTTCCTGAGCAGCAGGCTTCCACGCAAGCTCCTCCTCCAAGGAACGCTTGAGGCCAGCCATGACTGCTATCAGACTGCAGCTGGCCTGTAGGCAGCCTCGAAGAAAGTTCAATGATGCAGAGAGTGGGAAGCATGTAATGAATGCGTGGAGAGCGTGGAGAAGCAAGGAGCTCAAGTGGAGGGTGGCGATCCGCCGAGTTATCTCCGGTCGGCGTTAAGCCACCAATCTGAATAAGGCTATTATGATTACCCTATTATGATTACCGGGGCCTACCAATTCATCAAACCAAAGCTTTTTAGTCTCTAGCGAAGAGACTATTCCATGAGATTCCCATTAAGCTAAGGGTCAGGAATATCCCTACAGGTGCGTACCGATCATCTGTCAAGGATCAAGACCCTCCTACAACTAGCACCTACTAGTATTTCAACTAAGCTCAGCTGGTATTTGTTCCGCTGCACCTGTCTTAATCAAGAACCCCTGATCAGGGTCATGGACTATTTATAGGCAGTTATACTAGTCGGGATTGTACTAGTAAGTGGAGTAAAGCCCAGCTCGCGAAAGGCGTCATCTTTGATGTATTGGGGAAATGTACGTGATGGGCGATGACATGTTACACAACGTACGTGAGAACATGAATATCACGAGATTTCGTCATCTCAGATTCCAGCCGGTCGTACCAGATCTACAGCTGCCATCCAACCAACATGCTATGGAAATCATCCCCCAACCTAACCGCGGGCTGCGTGTGGCAATGATTGGCCGTCCATGTCCTTGGGCTCCTGCAGCCGAGTCACTAGATCTGACTGTCAACAGGATATTCAGCTCTGCAGGGGCAGAATTAGCATCTCCGCAGCAAGGTCCTGAGGTCCGGTGCAGTTGACCTGTCATAGTTTGCATCCTGGATATTCTCCGGTGGTACTTTGATCCAGACATATATAAAGCCCAAACCGTGGCGATTCACGGGGGCCCACTTGGCCCCGATACTCTTTTCTGCAATTTCTGGCATCCACATTTTCCTTCTCTCAACTGCGTCTGGTGAGTCAACCCTCTCTTGGAATTTTTTTCTTTGGATTTTTGCCTTCGCTTTTCCACCTCGCGATCGTGTCAAATTTCTCTAACTTGGACTCTGCGCAATAGCTTGAATTGGTCATTATCGCCAATATGCCTCTCGTCACCACCACCGAGTTCAACGAGGATACTCGAGGTATGTCGTCTCAATTGTGCGCGTAACAATGGTGCGCGTAGAAGGCTGCTAACCTCATCGACTAGTCCTGGGCTACGACGCTTTACTGCAGCCCCAGTACTTGCAAAAAAGAGATCGCTGCGGTGAGTCATCCGTCTTTTTTTTTTCCCCCTCTTTGCTTTGTGTCACCCCACTTTCGTAGATCCGGAGCTAATTCAATTATCATATAGCCTGCACGCGCGAAAGAGACCGTCCGCAGAGGCCGCAATGAGGCTGTCGAGATCATCGAGCAGCGCGATGACCGTCTGATGGTCGTCGTGGGGCCCTGCTCCATTCACGACCCAGACACTGCTCTCGAGTACGCCCGCCGCCTGAAGGAGATATCCGACAAATTGTCCAAGGACCTGCTCATCATCATGCGGGCTTACCTCGAGAAGCCCCGTACCACCGTTGGCTGGAAGGGCCTGATCAACGACCCCGATATCGATGAATCGTACGACATCAACAAGGGCCTGCGCATTTCCCGGAAGCTGTATGTCGACCTGACCAGCACCGGTCTGCCCATTGCCTCCGAGATGCTCGACACCATCTCCCCCCAGTACCTCGCCGACCTGATTTCTCTCGGTGCGATCGGTGCCCGTACGACTGAGTCGCAGCTGCACCGAGAGCTCGCGTCCGGTCTATCTTTCCCCATTGGCTACAAGAACGGTACCGACGGCAATCTGACCGTCGCCGTGGATGCTATTGGCGCCGCTGCCCACCCTCACCGCTTCCTCGGTGTCACCAAGCAAGGTCTGGCTGCAATCACCAAGACCTCCGGTAACGAGCACGGCTTTGTCATCCTGCGCGGTGGCAACAGGGGAACCAACTACGACCGCGACAGCATCCGGGGGGCTCGCGAGGCGCTCCGCGCTAAGAAGCAACGTGAGGTCCTGATGGTCGACTGCTCCCACGGCAACTCCAAAAAGAACCACCTCAACCAGCCCATCGTCGCCAAGGAGGTTTCCGATCAGCTCCGTGAGGGCGAGACCGCTATTGTCGGTGTCATGATTGAGTCCAACATCTACGAAGGTAACCAGAAGATTCCCCCCGAGGGACCTTCCCACCTGCTCAAGGGTGTCAGTATTACCGATGCTTGTATCAACTGGGAGATGACGGTCGACGTACTGAACGATCTGGCTGATGGTGTGCGCGCTCGCCGTGCGGCCCTGAAGTCCGCAACTAACGGCGCCCACTAAGTTTCACCATTTGTTTCCCCTCAACTCCTCCCTATATCTTTAAAAGTGCTCTCGGCCGTTGAGATTTCGCCAGTCGCGTTTTCATTCCGATCACCGTGGGCTTGACCCCGAGATGTGATTTAGATACCAAGATTTCGGCTATGAATTTGAAGCGTTCCTTTCCAAATCTCTCTTCGGCATTGCTGTAGATCTCAAAATAGAATTTGCATGTGCATGTTCGATATAATAAAATCTGGTAGCGGGCTTAGCGTTGTTGATGTATGTACTGAAATTCAGCTAGCTCTCTCCAGACAGCCCCACTCTCAGACCCCAGAATCACAATTGACAGCTCCCTGTTCTTGAAACAAAGTGTCCACGGGATCGACGATGAGATTAGCATTCTCCACCGAGGCGCAGGGGCCAGGTTCGTGGTCCTAAGCGGTCTAGAAGGTTGCAGGCTTCAGGGGAAAGTGCTCTTCCGGAGAATCGGGATGGGGCCCTTGCCGAGGCATGAAGTGGTCCACCAGACACAATTATCCCTCCTAGACTTGTTCTGGTGCATGGCCGATGGTCAATTTTGTTTTGGGTGGGGACTTTGGGGGCTTATTTGGCTCAAATTATGCTACTTGGATCGAGAATCTGGGACTGATTCGAGAACCACTAGTAAGCGGAGAAAGGTGCAGGTTTCTATGTACTGTACAAAATATACACGGAGGCATCCCTCGGGCTCTGACACTTGAGATAGAAGACAACAGGAATGAAAGTAACGCCGGAAACCCCCAGAGAAGCAAGCTGCGAGGATAGGGAAGAGGACCTTCACAGTATGCCATGCAAGAAAAGAGAATACTTCGTATGGCGATTGAGGTCATGACTGTTTCCTAGAAAGGATGCCAATGACCCCAAAACAGAGCACTGATGAAACCGCAGAAGGGCACCAGAAGTTAGACCAATCTCCAGATTCCATCTTGTTAGTTTTGGTACATGCATAGCAGACTGGACCGCGTAGGACCGTCTACCAGGACCGTTTACCGTCCAGTCAGCCAGCTCATCCAGCTCCGTGTCGCCTCCTTCGCAGCCCGCTCCGCGTTCTCACCCATTACGTCGAGCTGTCCAGGCACTGGAGCGCCAGTCTTAGCGGACGCAACGTCAAAGGCCTTCTTGGCATTTACGGCATCAGTCACGCTGACCGACTCTGAGCCATCCGCCACTTCTGATGATGCGGCAGTAGCAGTTGCTGCAGCGGCGGTATCTTCGGCATTGGCCCTCTCAAACAAAAATCGCTTTGCCTTGGCCCATGGACGATTCGCCTTCTCTTCCTCGCGCTTCCGCTTCATAATCTCTGCAATCTCCACCTGCTTAACCAGCTCAAGCTGCTCTTCGGTCGCGGAGCCATTAGCCTGTGCAATGCGTGCTTGGTTGAGCATATCCTTCTCTCGCTCGATGAACACCGCCCGTTGGCGTCGGTTGTAGAGTGTCAGGGAGACAAGGGAGTACACTGTGAGGATACCGCAGACACCTGCAAAAAAAGGGGAAAGAAAGGACAGGGTTAGCCAATTGCACAGAATGGAAATCAAGATAGCCCAATCCCATAGCCTATACACAGATCCAGCTAGATTATACAGAGTAGCATAACGGGCCACAATTTCCAAGTTTCCTCCATATGGGCCCATCGGTAGAGAATCATCACATACCCGAAGCAGCAATCAATGAGTAGACCACACCCTTGTGCGCCTTATTAGCAAATCTCCGACCGGTTTCAATCCATCGGTCGGCTCCAGACGAAGCCTGGGCAGCCCGGGCAGCTCGGGCCTGCGCCCGCAGTCGTTCCACCTTCTGCTTCGGCGTCTCAGGCTTGCCATCAGGCCCCATCTGCACACGAGCTTTTGACAGCGGATTCTTTGGCTGGGCTGAATTTGACAGGTCATAAGGCTTGGAGCTGGCGTATGGCCCTGTGGCCGTGAACCGCGTTGCGTCCGCGGCGGATCGGGACATTGTTCGCGTCCGGTTTCGAGGTCAGGGAATAGGGTTGAGGGAACGGCCGTGGGAGGGGGGGGGGCGCTGCTTAGCCAGTTGAGAGAGTCTGACGAAGTGAAGTTCAGGCCCTCGCAGTGAATAGCTGAGTGGGCGTCGGCGGCGCAGGGCGATGCCAGGGATTTCTCTCGGGGTGAAGTGGAAGGTAAATTTTCGGGCGGAGATGCGCCAAGACCATCATCCAACCTGACCTTATCGATTACCGATCCCTTCGGTGCTGCACGCTTGCATCAATACAATTGCGTGATGTTTGCCTGCACTGCTTAGGCTCTTTTTTATGTATTTCTTACTTCGGACCTATCGATATGACAAACTCTTATGATTCCTCGGACTTGAACTCCGTTCTCCAGACGCTGTCTGGTCTAGCACGCCAGAACGGCTCCCAGACACCGATTGTCAAAGCTTCAGAACCGTGCTCGAAGGTTCAGACACGGCCAGAGAGTCACTATACTCCCCAGACCCGAAACAATATCTCGTCGAATCCACCAGGTGTTGATCCGAGTACAATTACGAGTTGGCCTGCTGCATTGCGCTATGTTATGCGCACAGTTGGTCAGAATGAAGAGACCCAGCGCCATATCCGCGGCCTGATTACGAGCCAGCATACGCATGAGCTGAAATGGTGGAAAGGCCGGGAGGTGTTGGTCGAGAAGCAACTTTCCCGAGGTCAAAAGCAGAAAGAGCTGGCCGAGTGCCTGTGAGTATCTTCACCTCTGGTGACCAGTCTTCGCCTCTATATTGGCGCAGAATGTTCTTGGACTAACTAGGTTGAATAAGGCGCCTAATTGGTGCACCAGTGGACAAGACAGAAGTCCAGGTAAGCTAAACTCCCTGAATTTCGCAGGGGTCCTAGACACGATGCTTATACTATGAAAGAGTGCACAAGAGCTGCAAGCAGAGCTTGCAAATTATGATCTCAAGATCTACCGCGCCGTTGAGACTATGGCAGACGCCATGACGCGAGAACTCAAGGCTCTGAAGATACCGTTCTTCGTCATCAACCGAAACCTTATTGATGACGCCACGCTCAGCAAGGCCGAGCTTCGAAGCTTGCAGCTTCGCATGCTGCAGCTGCTTGAAGACCTTTGCAAGGAGTGATCCTACCTCAGAAATCACGGGGGCCAGAATATACTTTTTGGAAGAAAACCCCCACAAATTCGGTCGGCTTGGCTTTGACAGGCTTGAGACCCGATCAACTCACAAGACGCGGACAAGGATCATTCCAAAAGCATCCACTGAATCGTACAACACTGTCCCCATGTCGATGACTATAGAGAGAGAGGGATGTCAACATCATACTCTTCAGAGTCATACTCACCTTAAGTCACTATGCGCTTGGAAAGAAGTGGGACCTGGATCTTCGAATCGACCTAACAATATGCATGTCTACACGTATTCTAACCGAGGAACTGATTTACTCGCGGACTTCTCCCCAAGCCCTTCAAGAATACTCACCCTAGCGAATGCCCAGTTGATTAGAGCATTCTAGCTGTGAGAGGCGATTTGGATCAGCTTTGCACAGTCTCTGCTTTGTGTGCTACATAGCCCTATCGATGAATGTGGAAGGGTAGATCTAGGGTAGGTGCCTGTTAGGAACGAGATGATAGAGGGGATTTCTAATTTGAGATGAGAGATTCGCCATGTCACTCCACGGGAAGTTTGTGTGGTATCATCCTGCCATCAAGTTTTCTTTCTAAGAAAAAAAAATGACATGTCCAGCGGTGCTGCTATGGTTTGGAAGCTTTTGTAAGACGTTTTGGAAGTCTGGTGCTGGTTTCTTTAACCTAGTGGATATGAGATGGATCAAGTAGTGTCTAATCTTGGTTCATCTGATAACCACCAGGTTTGATGAAATTCCACCAGAGAATAGATCTTTAATTGTTTTTCGAGGACTGGTGGATATCAGTTGAATCAAGTAGTACCTCATCTTGATTCGTCCGATATCCACCAGGTTTAATGGAATTCCACCAAAAAATGGATCTTTAATTGTTTTCGAAGTCTGGTGGATATCGGATGAATAAAGTAGCGTCTAACCTTGGTTCATCTGATAACCACCAGTTTTGATGAAAATCTACCAGATCTCATGAAATTCCACCAGAAAATAGACCTTTAATTGTTTTCGAGGACTGGTGGACATGAGATGAATCAAGATTAGGTGCTACTTGTTTCATCTGATATCCACAGGTGATGGGGTGGCCATCTGATGTCTCCTAAAGTCCTCCAAACGAAGAGCACTTAAGGCACGGCAAACCAAATCCTTGCATCTTTCTCAACTTTTCCCACTTTCGCCTCATGAACATACTTGTATCGTTGGCGAATTTTACTCCATCTAAGTTGCGACCAGCATCACTTTTCTTTCTAAATGTATCGGCGGCGAAGCATCACGTACGATATGCAATCTGCAACGACTTAGGGGTAGGAATGATTTTTTTTTTCTGTTGAATTCAATCTCAACTTCGTGAATAGAACATAGATATGCAATGACCGTATGGACCAGGACCGGCTCCAAACAAAGATAAAGTAGAAAAGAACGGATCCCGCCGACCCATGCCGAAGTAAAGACCAGTGGAACCGGAGAAGAAAGAGACGACCAGACTCCGCCCAAGCCAGTGGAAAGAAAACAGCGTAAGAGTCCATGAAACCAATGCAAAACAAACACCGGCAAATGCAAAGCTCCGAAATGGAAGATACGAAGAACATGAACGAAGCTTCCAGTCCACCTCGCTTAGGGGCATAGCATAACATGATAGGCCCTAGTGTGAGGACAAAAACTGGCCATACGGCCATGACCGATGAAGCAGGGAGTAGGGGGAAAGAAATATGACAGTGAAATGGAATATGTCCCGTATCTATGCGTGGTCGAGTTCGTGAATCGCTGATATGAGAACTAGAGGATTCGGCGCCCTATAAGGCGGCCTTTTCGGCGACGGCGACAGCGACAGCAACCGCAGCACCCAGAATGGCGCTTTCGGGTGCGGGATCAAGACGAATGGCCGAGGAAGAACCGGGATGGGTCTGCTCTGACAGTTGGTCGAGATATTTCTGGCAAGTGTCGCGGAATCCGGGGTATTTGTTGATCACGGTACCGTCACAGGCAATAGATACGGTCTTGGCGGAGTCCTCGCTTTCGACAACAGTGACCTCAGGGATATCCTTGGTCAGAGATTCTGCTACAGAGATGTGAGGTGAATCGGCCTCGTTGCGCAGGCACCACATGCTGTGGATGCCAGTGGCCAAATAGCCAGCGGCGCGGCGGGAGACGACTTGACTAACGCGGCGGAGGAAATGCAGATCATCGACTGAGGGGTAGCTGTGGAAGGTGTGCTCTTTCTGGAGAAGAGCTGCAGATGCGGCCATGGACACAGTCGAGTCCTCCTCGATGAACGCAACGATGCTGGTGTTAAGAGAATAGGGATCACGCATCGAATGCGGAAGTTCGCCACCAAACAGATTCGCGGTTTCCACAGCCTCCAAAATAATCAGTCGCACGATTTCACCCAGATATCGGCCGGTGATCATGTACTCCAGGGGCTGATAATCGGGGCGTAAATGGGTACGGTTCAAAACCTCGTCCCACCGAGTCATGGGCAGAACGCCACCACCGAACATGCTCATCTCACTGTTGATGATGACGTTCTTAGCGTATTCAAACCATCCCTCAGGACGGACACCGAACTTGCTGCGGCCGATTTCGTGGACAGGAAAGTGAAGAGCCATGTTGGTACCCGTACCCAGAATGAGAGACATCCGGGTCTTCGGATCAACATAGGCACGCGACAGTAGCGCAGCAGAGCTGTCGTTGACGATAGCGGCCACCTCAACATTTAAGCTGCGTTTACGGCAGGAATCAATTAGCAGCTGCCCCAGCTCCTGTCCAAGCGTACCATCTGAGCAATGGAATCCCTTGCCCATGTGAATCACCAGCCCACTGCTGACGGAGGTCTGGTCGATGGGAAATGACCACGACAGGCCCATCGACAAAGGGGACCTCCCCACGGCCAAAATCGGTGCCCACATCCTTCAACATATTATCAATTTGCCCAGCCATCCAGTCAAAAAACTTTGTTCCCTCCAGTAGCTTAATATTGTTATCGATGCTTGTAGACGAGACCCGTACAATGCGCATTTCCTGCTCCCGCCCGGACAGCTCGATCAGTGCAACGCGGAACGTCGATCCGCCGACATCCAGTGCGATGAAGGTGCCTTTCTCGGAGCCGGTGGGAAGGGCGTGGGTGTGCGAAGGGAGCATGCAGCAGGGGCTGTTCTGAAGGCAGTGCTGGAACTGCGCGCGGATCTTGCTGGACATGTCGACCATGTTATCGGTGGTGAGCGGGGAGGTAAAGAGCCTTTCGACCTCGTCGGCGAAGTCATCGAGCGTGCGGCGGCGCCAGTGAGCGCCCACGAAGGGCTTGCGGCGGCGCCGCCCAAAGCCGCGGAAGAGGGAAGGGAAGAGAATCATGGTCTCGATGGCGGAGACGACGTTCTGAAAGAGCTCCTGTAGTCGGTGCAAGACTTTGACCAGCGGGGCAGACATGATCAGAGCCTGAAGCGAAACGAATGGGAGAGACTAAACGGGCGACATGGGCAGATAAGACGAAAGCGGCAATTCTGGGGGGAGTTATAGGAATAGCAGCGAGGTGACACTCCCGTGGAGAGTAGTGTTGGAGGTGGATCGGGGGGAAGAGAGTAGCAGAGTAGCAGGGCAAGAAAGAGCTAGAGAAAGGGTCCCCACCTTCAGCGAAGACAAGAAGTCAACAAGCGAAGCATGGATCAACATTGGTCCATTCTTGGTTGACAGTGTCACCGGAGTGCAACTTGAAGCCCTTGCGGTGTCGCAAATGCTTGGGGGTGGGTATTGGTATGGTACGGTATGAGAGTTTGGGATGTCTTACACGCTTAATTATTACCTGCATCGGTGACAGCCTTGTATCGAATACCTCACGACTGCGGGCCCAGCCCTACGTTAACAGGCAGAACTCCTACCAGGCTGGCCGCGTGGCGAGGGTGGTATTGCGAGTGTTTTTTTTTCTTTTCTTTTCTTTTCTTTTTTTTTTTTACCCTGTTTACTCCGTACTGCGGAGAAACTAAAGTTTAGGCTTTTTCCCCTGGGATTTGGGGAACTCCTCTTCGAGGTTTAGCCTCATTTAGGATTACGATCTCCTTATCAGGTGTCCCCTCCCTGTCCCTCCATCGATCAAAATCACATCCGTATTCTCTATTCGTCTCGAGGACTCGATCCTCGTATCTTCCCCTCCTATCAGCTCGATAATTTCGTCGACATTCCAAGCGTGGTATGTTCGATGACCCCCTCTGGGTGCAACGGTGGTAGCCGGCCCAACTGGTCGGGACCGTTACACTCGTGTGGAACCGCCCCAAACTACATAATCTCCATAATCTCGTGGGGGATATCGACACTTATCTTTGTCTCGGCTTGAAACACGTCTACCATTTCTGCTGCTAGTCGTACTGGTAGAGTATTATACCACGGCTCTACCCGTTGCAACTGCCATGATGCGGAGATCTTGGACCGTGACAAAGCGGGACCCGTAGCATTAAGTGCGTGTTGGGGTAATCAGGCTCACCCTTAGTATATCTGCTACACCGCCATCACACCCGAAATACTGTCGGCCGCTGGAGTCCAAGCATCAACGACCGGTCATCGAGCAGTACACATCCGAGGTCCGCATGAACTGTAGTTGATGTAGTTTCACACTGGTCATCCTTGGTAATCCTCGACATTTCACTCTGGAAGACATTCCATTAAAAGTAGGCGCAGGATGAGACACCAGAGCACGGCTACCACCAAAAGGACATCTTGTCTAGACAAAGAGCCGTTACAGTCGTCATGAGAGGTCAGCCCCAGACACCCGGGTTGCTTGCCCTGCACCTACCAGCAAGCCGTGGGAAGATCGCCCCAGAGGTGGCATTCGAGGTGTAAGCCGCAAAGTCCCTAATCCTCCGAAGGCAAGTCCAGGGCCATATCTATACGACTTGGCCGGTGCTCCACCGCGACTCATGGCAATCAATCTGATCAACATGCAGATCGACTCGCTCATACCTCTTAGCATCGCGGTGGCTTGATGGGTATGTAACACAAGATAGGGTACCTGGTCTATATCAGAGAGGGTGCCCAAGAAAAAAGGTCCCTGCTCGCGTGCCGCTCTAGCTCTGACTCAGTACGGAAACTTGTACCTAGGTAGCTCTATTGGATCCTGAGGGTCTGGCTGGCCCCTCTTCATCGCTGCAGCTTTCTCCAGGGAGTAACCCCGTGAAGAACTGCGGGGAAACTTGGACCAGGTCTATGTGCAAGCTGTTGTTTGGCCAGGATGTCAACTTGCTAATTTTCGTCCATCACACTCAGTCAATGTTCAGCTGTTGTAGAGGTTGAGCTAATACCCAATACTCCTATCGAGGTTTCGGCCAACTGAGGGATATTCGTGTTACTGTTGAAGAAGCAAGATGGGATGAGTAAAAGTCCCTTGGATCGGGTGAGGGTTGGCTCTTAGAATGTATTGGTGGAAGTACCGTCGCCAAGAATACTGGAAAATGCATTATCACGCATCCAAGGGATGGACTTGGCACGTTGTTATCTGTGAATGCCACTCGAAGCTGCCATGTCTTCTATTCTCAACACTCAGTGCTTTCATTCCATGCTAGGACACGCTGACGGTGACGTCGCAGTTGGCAAACGTAACCATATGGAAACATGATACCCTGTTTCGCATCATAACTGCTTCAACATAGCACCCACTGTTTCTGCGGCCGGCTCTACAGAGTTGGACTAGTCCCTAGCATTCGTTGTTCGCCCCCAGTTTGACCTCGGAGAATCTTCTGCTCTTGTTACATGACCACCGGACAGGGCTATCTCCCCAAAATCATATCCTACCTCCTATCACCATGTTATTCTCTTCGGGCCAGGTCTGCAAGAGCGCTCTAAGTTCGATTGCAGAGAGAAACCCTTGCAGCCATCCGCAACCTCGGCATAGTCTTTAGCCGCAGCGCCCACCATCGGATCGTATCACGTTATGATCTAATAATCGTCAAGCCATACGAATGAACACGGTCTGCCGCTGGCATTGCCCGTGCGTGTTCCGGACCCCTGGCAACCGGTGGTGGGTGCCCATCGGAGGCCATGCTACAGAGTCTGTGCTGCGCAATACACGTTGGAACCATGGAGGGCCTGATTAAACGATATTGGGAGCCAGCTGCCCCTCTTCATCTGTAAACACAAAGAAACTGACCTGAAACCCCGGTAGCCAGCTAGCGGCAAGCCTGACAACAACCCCTGGTTTTCCTACTGGCCTCTTACACGCCAAGCCAAACTCCAACTCCAACGTATCCGCCCTACAAGGCGAAACACAGTGTGCCACAACGAACGTCCTCCGTGGAGTCTGCGCAGGCAGCAGGTATTGACATGCATGAGGTAACATGTTTTGCGTCACCCCTTGCGTAGGCATTGGTGATTGACGCCATGGAGCATACATCACCAGCCTCGCTCATAACCGGGGCTTTGTAGGCGCTTTGGCGCCGAGCTTCACGTATAGACTCGAGAGAAAGTACTGTCTACAGCGACGAACCTCTCGTGCTCTAGCCTCGGGTAAGGCTTATGGTCTACGCGGCCTTGCCGAAGACCGCGCGTTAAAGCCGCCACACGATCTGTGTGGGGATGGGCGTTCTCGAGGGTTGGTGCTTTTTGGAAGGTCATCTTGGCTGCCGCGGGCTCCCGGGTTAGTGTGTATGTGAAGGGATCCATTTTTGGGGTTTCAGGTTCGTTAATGATCCTGCGACATGCACTCCGTACGGGGCTTGAATGGAGCAGGAACAGAACACCCTTGGCAAGGTCGAGAGACCAGTATGGTCTGGGGAACGGACAAGTCGGGTAAACTTGCGTTCCTGAATCATAGATGATTCCGCTGGGAGCTTGGGGCTCTGCCAAGACCCGGCTCCCTCTTGCACGACGATGATAATCTCCCGGGGGCCATGTCGGCGCGGTCTAAGTGGTTAGGCGGACTTAATTGCGGGCACAGGGCTAGACCCGGTGGGTACCGATCGACGTGGACGAGAAGAAAATGGGCAGAACATGGACAGAAAATGGGACAGCGTGCGTCAGAGCGGTGGGACGGGGTGGCACCGGGCGCAGAAACTATTGCCTATGACAGCAAATACGGAGTCTACAGAACGGTGCTCTTTCGTTGCTACATACTCAAAACAATTCGACAGAAGACAATCCTACTGGAGCTACTCAAATCTACCCACATTGAATCAAATTGAATCACAGCTTTTCTCGCCACTCCTTGCAAGTTAGTAGAAGTCGAACGCAACAACAGGGCCAACTCCCCAATGCCAAGCTCTTCGCCGTCCTGGAACCGCCAGTCAGCGGCCGCAGTCGGCACCTGCGCCCCAGTGGCCGCGAATCCATGACCAATGGCTAGCGAGAAGCCAGGCTTCAATCTTAAGTCTGGTGATCGGAGTATTCTGTAGACTTTTCAGGAGGGTGAAGACTTATCTACGGAATCCCGACGGGCCTCGCAGGGCATCACTCATGTTATCAATCAGAGAGGACACGAGCTAACAAGTCACCCGAGTCCGCTCCAAATGACAAGGTAAGAGAGCCCAGATGCTACACAGGAATTCCTGAAGAACAAGGTCAGGAACTGGGTTCGCAGGGACGAACCTCGTCGGCCAATAAGACGCGTAGACAAGCGGCAGCCCACGCCAACCACATTCAATCGCGGTTCCCCACAAGGCGAACAAACCGAATGGGCTAAGGATACTCCGTACGGGGAAAGGATACGAGAGGACGGATTCCGCTCTTCGACTGCGTGGCATCTCTCCACTGAAACAATGCCAAGAGCCCTCGTCAGATTCCCTGCCAAACTCCCCTGAAGCGGAGCCCTTTCTCTCCCTGGCTCGGGCCTCCACTTGGATTCAAAGGCCCCGGCCTGTGCTGTTGCTTCGACTTTCTTCTTCTCGACTTCTCCCCCTCCTGGAAGATTCGCCTTCCTAGCCACTCCTTCCATAATGTTGTTTCGGAGCGCGTTGTTGTTGTTCGTCGTACAGAATGCCATTGCGGAGCGCCACGATGCCGATTTAATGTCCTTCGTGACGGTGGGTAGCCCGCATGCATAGACCGGGAGCACGCCATCAGTGCTGACTATCGTTCGACTCTAGCTTCCCGAAGTCCGCGCCTTAAAATGGGAGGTTACCCACTACGATCGTGAACGCCAAGCCCCGGGGTACTGGTTTGTGGCGCCCTACGGCCAGATTTGCCCCGGAGAACCCAACCCAGAAGTACCAGCAGTACCAGGTTGGGCCGTACATCTATGATAATGATGGCGTATGTTTGCAATCTCTTCATCGCGACTGCCGGTTCAAAGCGCAGAAGAAGCGGAATGCTGATTGGGTGGTTTTTCATAGATGCTCATTTGGGCCGGCGCACCTTTATACGACAATCGCAATGTCTTTGACTTTAAGCCGAATTACAACGCGGACGGCGAGCCGTACCTGTCCATGATCGTCAATTGGGACATCGAGAACCATAATTCCGACAAGGGTCGCGGCGTGACCATTAATAAACATTATGAGGTGCAAGGAGAGACCAAGCCGGACGAAGCAGTCCACGATTTCAACATGCACGAGTACAACATCTTGGACGGCGGAAAGACGGCCCTGACGTGTGTCTATCGCTCGGAGAAGGTCAATCTGGCAGACTTCGGTCGTCCAACGGAGGAGAGCTGGGTCCAGACCGGTGGATTCGCCGAGTACGATCTCGAGACCAACGAGATGCTGGTCCAGTGGAACAGTGCCGACCACATCGCACTGCACGAGTCGAACATGTTCCATTCGTACGACAGCGCTGCGGCGGACGAGCCTGGCTGGGACTATGTGCATGCTAACGCAGTCGACAAGAATGCGGCTGGCGACTACATTCTTTCCTTGCGCTTTACCGACACTATCTATGGAATCTCCGGTGTCGACGGAAGCATTATGTGGCGGTTGGGTGGCCTGGAAAGTGATTTCACGCAAGACTTCACGTTTTCCCGACAACACGACGCCAAGTTCGTTTCATCTGAGGGTACCAAGCACGTTATCTCTCTCCTCAACAACGCCGCTGACGAGCGCGGGAACCAAGAGAGTATGTCCTCTGTTCTATATATCGAACTTGACACCGAGACTATGACCGCTGTCCTTCAAAAGCGCATTAACCGCCCGGACAGCGGCTTCTCTCTCCTGCGTGGAAGCGCGCAGACTCTCCCGAACGGTAACACCTTTGCTGGCTGGAGCCAGTATGGATACCAGAGTGAACACTCCCCCGAGGGCGATCTCTTGATGACTGCCCAGTTTGCTTCGGAACGGTACTCGACTTACCGCGCTTACAAGGGTGAGTGGAATGGCCGGCCTCTGACCCCCCCCGGATGTGGTAGCAAGCGTGTACGGGACCAGCAACACCGACATTACTACCATCATCCACGTCAGCTGGAACGGTGCCACCGGTGTTGCCGGCTGGAACTTCTATGCTCAGGCTTACGACCGCGGCGATCCCGTTCTGGTCGGACACGCCAACAAGACCGACTTCGAGACTATGTACATCGTCGACGGATATATGGACTGGATCACCGCCGAGGCCGTGGATATCAACGGCAATGAAATGATGAAGTCGGGCATCGTGCGCAGCGCAGTCCCCAGCAACTGGAAGGCCGTCGGGTTCCAGGGCGCAAGCAATCCCAGCCCCGACGACCCATCTCTCATGTCATCCATCCACGAGAACCCTGACTTGGGCTCGGTACCTGACGGCGAGTCGGATGTGGTCGATGGCAGCAAGACAGTTGGCTCAGCCGTCTCGGATTCCTCGTATGCTGACGCAAAGGAGGTCGCCAAGTCCGTCTACAAGGCCTACGACGTGATCCGTGGCGTCGGCGGCCTGCTGCTCCTGCTGCTGCTTGCGTCTTCTGTTGGCGGCGCAGGCTTCGCCATCTACCGGTACGTAAAGGGCCGGAAGAACCGCGCTTACCAGCATGTCGCCACCGACGAGGATATTCCTACCGAGGAGATCCACCTGCGCTCTCAGGCACCTCAGTGATCCCTTTCCTTTCCTTTATCTCCTGTTACACTATATCCCTTTTGTTTTTTGTTTATCATTCATGATTAGCAGCGTCGCATCTGCATCTACCTTTCCTATTTGGAGGGCGGCTTTCCTGGCGAAAGGTGCCGCCAGAAGAACTCTATTTTTTACACGCAGGACCTGAATGAAAACAGAAGACCCCCGGGGTCTGAGGATATGGACATACAGCATCAGGTTATGATGCCCTATATCATGCACATCTGGCGTTTTGGGTTTGGGCTTTTATGTGGAAGCCTTGGGTATTTCGCTTCGGTATTTTGGAAGCTTGCCGTCCTTTGTTACTTTGCACGGGTCGCTTGGCTTCGAGGCTATCTCTCTTTCTGCTTTACACTTGTGTAATATCCCTTGAGGCTTTCCTTTTGTAAGATGAATCGAAGGGGCACTGTACATACATCTAAATTCTCTTCAATATCCGATATGAAGGTTAGTCTCTGATTCATCTGACTTTCTACTGGAATTAAGCAGATCATGATAGCGATAGACTCAGCGGAGGACCTGAGGACGATCCTACTATTAATCGTAATACCGGTACTAGTAGGTTATTTGGACGGAAAAGATCGTCCGAAACCAAAGAGCTATATTTGTGGCATGCAACCTAGGTTTTCGATCCGAGTCTCCAGATATCCTTCCACGTTCCGGCCCAGCGCTGGCAGATTCAGCCGAATTTTGTTCATAAACCTACAAAGCAATGTTAAAAGTCCCATAAGCCATTCGGCCCGTTGATCGCAGTAGGGAGGATCTGGAAGCCGACGCCACTCACCCCAACACCACTTGCCACTTCACGTATGACTGCTGGCAGAAGTGCTCGCTGAAGTGGCAGCAGGACGTGCGAAAGAGCTCTTACCGAAGATTCCAGATTAAAACGGCGTGAGATTCTAAATGACTTACAAGAGGGCAAGAGAGTATAAGAGAAACTTAGATCAACAATCAAGAAGCAGATACATTAGAGAAATATCTATAAGAATCATACCAATGGGTAGGAAAATAACATGACAGAGAAATAAAATGATAAAGGCCAAAAGAGAGAGAGAGAGAGAGAAAGAGAGAAATCAAAGAGAAGAAAAAAATCCTATACATCATAAAAGCCCTCTATGGTTGGGACTTGTTCAAAATAATCTCCGCCAGCGCCATCAAGGACCCGCTAGACAGCAACTCCAGCACCTGCACGTTCGCATTCGCCTCCCGGGCAATCCAGTTCCGGATCTCGATCGCTACCAGCGAGTCCAGACCCAGCGACGACACCGTCACCGATGGATCCATATCATCCAGTGAAATCACAAGCACCTGCGCCAGCTTGGCAGCAAGGGCCTGGTAGCAGATCTCCAGCGCAGCCTCCTTGGTCTCAGCGCTGTGCAGCATCACATGCAGCGGCACCGACGGGCCGCTCGCCCTGGACCTCCACTGCCCAGCTTCTCCTTGGCCGTCTCGTAGAGCACGCTGAACTTGGCGTCCTGCGCCCAGAAGTGTTCGAGAGTGGCTCCGAGACTCAGACCGGTGATGCTCTGCCCCGAGCACGACCGCGTCAGGTCTCCCGTGATCGCGGCGCCGAGCAGCGCGAGCACCTCGCCTTCATCCATCGTGTCGCTGCCAATGTTCTTCAGCACCTCGGCGAGTCGCTTGGCGTCGACGTCCGCGAGGTAGCCCGCGTCGCTGACGGCGGTCAGGTCGATGGTAGTCCCGGCCAGGCCTTGCGAGCGACGCCAGCTCATGAACTCATCGAGGAAGACGTTTGCTGCGGCGTATGCGGCTTGGCCGCGGTTCCCGATCACGCCAGCGACGGAGGACAGGGCGACGAAGAAGCCTAAGGGGGTGCCCGTGAGGACGTCGTGGAAGTTCCAGGCCCCCCTCGACCTTGCCGACGGCGACGGAATGGAAGTCGTCCAAGGTCATGTTCTCGAAGAGCATGTCGCGGAGCACCATGGCACCGTGGACGACACCGCGGACGGGAGGAAGGCCCTTCAGATCCGTGTGGATGAGCTTCTCGACGGATGGCTTGCTGCTGACGTCGCACGCCTTGACGGTGACGAGAGTCTTCTCGGCGGCAAGCTCGTCGATCAGAGCCTGGACTCTATCGTTGATCTCAGCGCGACGGGACACGAGTACGATGTTCCTTGCGCCTCTGGCAGACATCCAGCGAGCCATGCTCCGGCCCAGACCACCGGTACCACCGATCAGGATGTAAGATGCATCGGCCTTCAGGAGGGTTGAGTTGGTCTTGGGCGCAACAGCCTAGTTTCGTTTTATCAGTAAGTTTCTTTTTTTTTTTGGCTTTGTAGTCATGTAGTAGTTCAACATACCTTAACGTGGTCACCAGGATGGGGAACCACCACGATCTTACCCATAGCCTTACCAGTTTGCAAGGTACGGAAGGCAGTCTCGAGCTCGGAGATACGATATGTAGTAAGGGGAAGGATAGGGCTGATAGTACCCTGCTTGAGAAGGTGGCTGACGAAGACCAGGAGGCGGTTCATCAGCTTGGGCTTGTAAGCCGCAACCTTGGTCAGATCGACGGAGGCGAAGGTGACGTTGTATTCGAATGGCAGCATGTCCAGACGGGTGTTCTTGGTGATATCCGCCTTTCCTATCTCCACGAAGCGGCCGAACGGAGCAAGACACTCCCAGGTCTCACGGAGGAGGTCGCCAGCGAGCGAGTTGACAACGACATCGACGCCTTCGCCGTTAGTCAATTGGCGGATGCCTTGCTTGAACGAAGTGTCGCGACTGTACAGGATGTGATCCTCGGGAATGCCGTACTGGGTCATCAGGAAGTGCTTCTTCTCGACGCTACCGACGGTAGTGAAGATCTCTGCTCCGATCATCTGAGCAAGCATGATGGCCGACTGGCCTACTCCACCAGCACCAGCGTGAATGAGGACGCGCTCGTCAGACTGAAGACGACCAAGGTCAAAGAGCGCGTAGTACGCAGTGCAGAAGACCACAGGAACAGTGGCACCGACCTCGAAAGACATATCCTCCGGAATCAGAGCAGCGCTGGTACCCTTGCAGCGAGCGTACGTTGAGTACGCACCCAGAGGAAGAGCCATGACACGGTCACCGACCTTGACATGCTTCACGTTCTTTCCTGCGGCCGCAACAACACCAGCACACTCGATGCCAATGTATGGCTGAGCTAATTGGCCCATCGTGACGACGATATCCTTGAAGTTGAGGCCCGTGGCCTTAACCTCGATCTCAATGTCATCGTCATCCAGAGGCTCGGGCTCCTCGTCGGTGAAGTAGAGGGTGTCCAGGGCTCCAGCACTGCCAATCTCCAGCTTGAAGCGGCGCCCTGGCTGGTGGAACGGCTGCGATGAGATGGTCATCTCGTGAGTCTCATTGTGCACGAAGGCATTGGCTGCCTCGTCATCTCCCACACGGGGGACCAGGAGGTCAGATCCCCGAGCCTTGAACTCGAAGTCCTTGCAGGGTTTGCCCCCATCGGTGGGCCAAAGGACCTCCATGGCAGACAGGACGGATCCGGAGGGGTGCTTGAGATCCTCATCGGTGATGCCGAGAGTAGCAACCTTGGCCAAAGACTCGGAACGCAGACTGCGGGTAAGACCAACAATCATGTGAGCATCGGGGCTGTCGGCACGGTAGACCCAGATAATGTGGGAGGCACTGAGAAGAGTCTTCTGCATAGACTCGAACTCGGGCTTGGTGAGGTCGCGCAGAGTCTTCTTACCTGTTTGGAGGACGATGACATGCTTGTTGGCGACATCGGCCGATCCAAATGTGGCGACTGACGGCTCCCAGCCAGCTGCGTAGCTAGAGATAGCACCCTTGATTGTTTCAGGATTGCCGTCGGGCTCTCCGAACTGGGTGATGAGGACATCGGCCGAGGTGACAGAATGGCCATTGACGTGACCGTTAGCATGGCCGTTAGCGTGACCATTGGCATGACCATTAGTCTCACCACTGGCATGGCCGTTTATTTCCTCCACCTCCTTTTTAAAAGCGTTCTCCGCAGCAGAAAGAGTAACCCACTCCAGCTTGTAGCAAAGATCACGAGTCTCAGGGCCCCGCATCGAACCTGGGTCCTTGAGGGGAGTCATGATAAGGCCCTCCATGTCAATCAGGACCTCGGAGGAGCCTTCGGGAGTAACCCAGAGATCAAATTTGGTCGGCTCAGGGCTGGGCTTGCTGGGGCCGCCATTACACCAGGCCTTGACGAAGTCACCAGTTTGAGAAGGGATCTTATCGTGGATAGTCAGGTTCTTGATCATAGTAGGCATGTAAAGGGTATCGAGCTCCATGCGACCGTTGCCCAGGATGGGCCAGACAAGGTGAAGCAAGCCATCCAGGAAAGCGGGGTGGATAGTCAATGGAGCCTCGAATTCCTTGGGCATCATGGTCTTGGTGTCGCGAACGAATAGATCGGCACGAGAGTGGCGAGAGTGGGAGTAGATGTTGTCCAGGCCCTGGAAGGCAGGACCGTAGCCAGCGCCGACCTCAGCCAGGATTTGATACATGCTCTGAGCGTCGACCTTGTAAGTAGCCTGTTTAGAAACTGTGGCAATCTGCTTCTGGAAGCGCTTCTCTTCCTCTTCGGTGACGGTCGAGACAGCACTGCGCTGGCTCTTGTTGGCCCGAGTACGCACCATACCTGTGCAGTGCTCGATCCAGCCACGCTTGGTGGTCCAAGAGCAAATTCGGAATTCATCCCAGACATCAGAGTGGCCACGGGTGCCCTCTGTGTAGGGGCGGAGAGTGATGGTAGTCTCCGAATCAACCTCGTCCGTCAAGACGAGCGCCGAGCCGACCTTCACTTCACGGAAGTCGAACTGGGAGAAAACAGCATCGTGCTGTGCTGCGCGACGTCGTGCTGCCTCCACAGCCATAGAAAGGTAGCCAGCCATGGGATACACAGCCATGCCCTGCATCTTGTGCTCCCGAAGCCACTTGATATCATCGAGATGAATGACATTGCGCCAGGTTGGCTCTAGGTCGTTAGAGTACATAGCCTGGGTACCCAGGATGTCGTTTCGCACACCATCGCGGTGACTGTGTTTCTGCGCAATGCGAGACTCGTGCCAATACTTTGTGCCGTGCTGCCACGGGTAGCGAGGCAAATCTGTGAGGAAACTGCGGTTCTTCGCTTTACTAGTGGGGAAGTTTATCTCCGTGATGTTTAGATTCATGCCTCGAACAAAGGCAGCACCGGCAGCGTCCAAAACAGACTGAGCAGCCTCCGCGTTACGAACCACGGTAGGAGCGTACGCAATCTTGGTGGCCGCCGATCCAAGGGTCTTGAGAGTATCCAGAACCGGGCCCTTCAGAGCAGAGTGAGGGCCAACTTCCATCAGCAAGTTGGGTCGGGTCTCTTCGCTTCCGCACATCTTGCTGAGGGCGTCAGCAAAAAGAACAGTAGAGGTCAAGTTCTGCACCCAGTAGGCTGCTCCCAGCTCAGATGGCTGCGCAATATTTCCAGTGACGGAAGAGAAGAAGGTGGCTGTTGAGGTCGCAGCAGGCTTGATAGACTCAATAGCCGACAGATAGGCCTCGGCGACATTCTTCATGTGGTCAGAGTGGTAGGCGACGTCAATCTTAAGCTTTCGGTTGAAGAGCTGCTTCTCTTGCAAAATAGCCTCGAGTTCGTCAACAGCGGCGACATCACCGGAGACAGTAACACTCGAAGGACTGTTAACACAAGCAATAGTAGCATAAGCACCCAAAGTCTTCAGCATGGGCTTGACAGCATCAGGACCAGCACCAACAGCTATCATGGTACCCTTCAGATCAGTGCAGGTCTTCTTCAGCAACTGGGTCATCTGGCCACGGCGGTAGGCAAGAGCCATGGCACCCTCCAGGTTGTAGATCCCGGCAGCATAAGCAGCCCCAATCTCACCGGAACTGTGTCCCACAACGGAAGAGGGCTTGACACCCCATGAGGCAAGAAGGTCCGTCAGCGCGATCTGGAGCGCTGTACATGCCGGCTGGCTCAAATGAGGAGAGTTGATCTCCGACTCAGCAGCTTCCTTCTCGAGAGCTTCCAGAAGAGAGAACTCAGCACCGAGATCCCGCAAGCAGCGGTCGGCCCGTTCCATCGCACTGGCGAAAACGGCGTATTCCTTCATGAGAGGCATACCCATCTGAGCCCATTGCGCACCCTGTCCAGTGAAAACAAACGACACAGTAGGAGCACCCAGCACTCGAGCGGGGTTGACCTTCAACTGCGCGAGACGGATACCGAGGCCATCCAGTGATGGAGCAGATAGGGCCACCCGGTATGACAAGTGTGACATCTTGCTACCCACGGTGTGGGCAAAGTTCCCGAACAGAGACTTTTCGAACACTTCGGGGCGCTGCTCAAAGTAGACACCGAAGTCCCGGATCTTTGTCTTCAGCGACTCCTTGTCGTTGGCGGAAATCAGGAACAGTTTGTGAGAAGGGTCATTGTCGAGATCGGGGTTATCTTGGGTCTCGACTGGTGGAGGCGCTTTCTCGAGAACCACATGGGCGTTGGTCCCTCCGAAACCGTAGTTCGAAACACTGATATATTTTTTCCCGCGGGGCCATGGGCGTGTCGAGGTAACGACCTTCATGTTCCACTCGTCCATCGGGATATTAGGGTTGGGCTTCTTGAAGTCGGCGTTCGGCAGCAAGAGGCCTCGGTCCAGGATCATAGCAGCCTTGATCAGAGAAGCCATACCACTGGCACCTTCAAGATGGCCCACATTAGACTTGACGGAGCCAATATATAGGGGTTGCGCTTATTGCGGTTTCTTCCAAGGGCATTATGGACAGCGGCGGCCTCGATAGGGTCACCGGCCTTGGTTCCCGTACCGTGCATTTCGACGTACCCGCAGTCGTCGGGGTTCAAGTTCGCATCACGGTACACTTGTGTAATTAAATCTTCCTGGGCTTGGCCGTTAGGCATAGTAATCCCCTTTGTTCGTCCGTCCTGGTTGACACCGGTATTGGCAATAATGGCGCGGATGGGGTCCTTGTCCCTTAAAGCGGCGTCGAGAGGCTTGAGCAGGACCACGCCAGCACCCTCACCACGTGCGAAGCCAGATTTGGCTCTTTCGTCAAAAGCATAAGTCTTTCCCTCGTCGTTGAACAATCTGTGAAGACGCACGGATTAGCTCCAACAAACTTACAAGTACATCAGAATAGCGTGTATCTCAAATTTACTCACTGTGAAGTCGACATGGTCACAAAGTAGTCCGGGTTGATATTTAGTCTGCAACCACCAACTAAAGCCTCTTTTGACTCGCCGCTTCGCAAGCTCTGGACAGCAGAGTTCAACGCCACCAAAGATGAAGAACAAGCGGTATCGACGGTAAAACTGGGGCCTTGAAGGTTGAAGAAGTATGAAATGCGGTTGGATTGGAGCGCTGGGGCGCATCCAGTTGCTTGGAAATTAGGGGTCGTTTCGAGATCGCGCAGGTTGCGAAGTTCATAGTCGGCAAAATTGCCACCCACAAAGACGCCTACATTTCGGCCTGAGAGACTCTCTTTGGAATGCCAGCACTCTCCAAAGCTTCATATGCACATTCTAGCAGTAGGCGTTGTTGTGGGTCCATAGAAATAGCTTCTTGAACACTAACGTTGAAAAAGGGGGCATCGAATTGGGAAATCGTCTCTTCGTCTAAGAAATAACCGCCTTTGGGATTGGCGGTCCCCAGTTTTGAGGGGTTGGGGTGGTGGTAGGCATCGCTGGAGAATCGTTCTTTAGGGATGGGCGACCAGCCGGTGCGGCCTCGAGTACATAATTCCCATAGATCGGTGGGCGAGTTCACCTGGCCAGGCAAACGACAAGAATATCCAATCAGGGCAATAGGTTGTGGCGTCCGAACCTCACCATTCTGCCCAGTCGAGTCGGCCAATGTACTCATGGTGGAAGACTGAAAAATGCAGAAAAAGAGAGAATGAAGCGCAGGTTTCGGCCCATAACTCGCCCGGCCTTGGGGTTAAATAGGGACCGTCAAAAGAAAAACGATGGAATCAACGATCATCAGGGTGACCGTTTCCCACTTTTTGGTTTTATTTTTCCGGGCTTTTTTATATTTCATTACTGGTTTGGGATGCTTGAGATTCCCGTAATTGTTTTTCATCCCGAGGGCTCGACAACGAGCTTTCACATTGGACAGAGTTAGCGTAACTTTCGCGTCCTGCTGTGCAGCCCACTTGGGTTAAACACATTTTCAGGGACAAATGGGCCCATGCAACCCACACGAGCTTCGATCAACTGTGGGACTGCTGGATCCTTGGGACTAGTGGATCGAATGTCGATCACATGGGTTTCCGGAGGGAATGGCTGATTTCTGGCGCTGAACAGCTAAATAGCTTTCCGTCTATTCCTTTCCTCCTGCGATCTGCTCTACTGCCTTTAGCTCAACCTTGGTTTGTGCAACCGTCTTTGAGTCCCAAGATTGCCCGGTCTAGAACGCGTTTAAAATGAAGTATCTTTGCCTCCACGGTGCCATTGGCAATATCGAAGTAAGTGAAAAGACCGGGAAGACAAGTACGATCGCAAGCTTCCCTGGCTGACCCTTGGCAGAACATCAGTATCCAACTGTGTAGGTGGCATCAAGGACCATAATATCATCGGATTTCTCTCTAACTCGTCTGGACCGTTAAGCCCCCTTGCAGAAGGAATTGGAGACAGATAATGCCGCATCATTCGTCTACATCAATGCGCCAGTACCAATAACCCCTCCAGAAGGTAATGAAACCCGCTAAACTCCCCCCTGAGAATTCCCAAATTGACATATCTCATCAGGCTTCGATGAGTACTTTGGTGTCGGTCCGCATTACCGGTGGGCCGACGACGGTGGTCAAGCTGCAGATTCAATGATCAGTCGGGTTCGGACCATTCCCGATGGGCAAAACCCAGAGGACGTGATGCGCGAACTGAAAGGTGATCGCGACGTGGTCTGGAACAACTACGGCCAGGTGATGGAGTACCTCGACACGGCGATCGCCAACGACCCCGATATCCATGGCATCATTGGTTACAGTGAAGGCGCCGCGATGGCCTCGACCTATATTCTGGATGAGGAAAGGCGGTTCAACGAGAGTGGGCGACCGCGTCGCATCAAGTCCGCCATGTTCATCACCGGGTGGCCCCCGATGAACCCGAAGGACGGTATCCTCCTTGCGGACGAATGCGACGTGATGATCGATGTGCCTACTCTGCATGTTGTGGGAGCCAACGGTACGAATTTGAAGCATAATCTGTTGGGTCTACTACTTTTGTCGGAACTAATGCGCTCTTTCTAGATCCATTCCGTCATGGCGCCTTCGCCTTGTACAATGTCTGTGATCCCGATTCGGCGATATTCTTCGATACGGGCAAAGGACACACCATTCCACGCTCTGGATTGGTGATCCAGGAACTGGCCGACGCGGTCCGGGCCTTGGTCAAGAAGGGCAATGGCGAGGAAGAGTAGTGATTTTCATCGATAAGCACAGCATTTGGGATTTCGGGTTATAAATCGGCATTCGCGAATCTTATTTCATCATCGATTTAGAATTGGTCATACAAAACAAGGATTACGTTGATACACGCCCCCGGGTAGAAGGAAGCTTTGTCCTGCTGTACGAGCCTTCTTTTGTGTAGATGAGAACCACCATGATACGAATTCGAGACGGTCGCTCAAAATCAGTTGTATTGGGAGTCCGGATGTTTCACCTCAATTATCAGACTTCGAGTTATGTGCAATGTCTCAAGTCGTTCCTTGGAGCTGGTTATCATTTTCTTGAAACCTCCACGCTTTTTAGTTTGGTAAAATTGAAAATTACTGCGTAAAGGGCAGAGGATAAAAATAACAATAAAAAAAATAAAAACTTTATTCCATACAAGTGTTCAAGGGCTTCCACCAAAATGCGATCGATCGGCGCGACCTGAGTCCCAAACCTTTCGATAAGCTGGTTTGGATGTAATAAACGAAACCCATAGAACGGGACGGCGCTGATCCCAATCTCTCTTGGATCTGCCCTGGATTCTCCCCCGTCACACACCCGGCTAGTATTGACCTGCCACGTTCACCCTCCTTTCAAAGAAAAAAAAAAGAATAAATCCAAGAATCTTATTCGCTGGATATGGTAGGCAGTCCAAACGAGATCATGGTATTGCTCTTTATCAATTCTTCCCCTCGCGAGGGTCCATTGGGCCAAGCCCCTCCAAAACATGTGATTCCAAAACCCTTAAATAACTTAAATAAGTGGCGACTGGTAGCCCCGTAATCCAGAATGGTGACTGGCCAATCCCTAAAAAGGCATCCCATTACCCACTCCCTCATCATAGCCAATCGTCATGCACGTCATGTTCTTCCAGAAGCTCTTGCTTCTCAGTTGCATTGGTTTGCAGCCATCCTACACCCAACTCACCCCACAGGAGCGATGCGCTACGGGCGTCCATGCTATTCTAATCCGTGGTCAGGGACCTGGCGACCACCTGAACGTGTTGGTGACCATGCAAAATCTGGTCTTGGAATTAATTCCTGGCTCCAGTAGTGTGGCCCTGCCTTTTAACCATGGCGATGATGACCATAGGGTAGCCGCTGCAGAGGGGGCGCTTATGATGCAGCAATATATCAGGGATTATGTTGCATCCTGCCCAAAATCGAAGATCTTCCTGCTGGGATACTCTTTGGTGAGTCGAAAGAGTTATGGGGTGATTTCAGCAGGGAATCTTTTTTTTTCCTTCTTTCATTAATCTCTTCCTTTATTTTTATTGTACTTTTTTGTACTTTACTTATACTTATATGTTTACTTCGTATTTTTTGCTCCTGATCCGACCCGGAGTCCATACAGACGCTGCGTTGTTTTGACTCATCTCTTTGCCCTTCTCTGGCCATCAGTGGCTAAAATTTATTCTCCAAACAGGGCGGGATTGTCGTGATGGATGGATTGTGTGGGACTAGTTCGCTTTGGCTCATGAGCGTCCCCACTCTCGAGCCTAAGTACAACAAGAATGGCAAGTGCGGGCCACACACATAATCTTATTTCTCGCTAGATCGTTTGGGGCTGACGGAGAAGTTCGCGCTCCCAGTCATCGCGGCCGCCACCTACGGTGAAGAGACCTTTATTCCCGGAATGAAATGGAATGCCGGGACGTGCACCGATGGAGTTGGCGTAAGAAGCTTCGACCCGAACCCAAGATCTGTCTCACTCACAAAGCAGACGGACATTATAGTTGTACCCACGTATCCATCCCGAATGGTGCAGCCCCTACGCGAATTCGCTTCGAAGCTACTGCGACGAGGGCGACAGCGCATGCTGCGGGAAATACCCCCCCGGCGACAACGGGGCCCACCACTTCTACATTTTCAGGTATAATCTCGACCTGGTGCACTTTGTCCAGCGCAGAATCAACGAAACAGGAGCCCTATGACTTTGAGGGGCTTGGGCACGACCCATGCGGAGCTATGTCCCGAAGCGCACAGGAAGGAACAAAAGGAGTAAAGCGATGTAAATCCGCACGTTGATCTGTGACAGGGGGGATGGGGAAGTCCCCTTTCTTTCGAGGAAGGGCGCTATGCTAAATCCGGAGCTAAGGTATTTGCTTAGCTCCAGATAAAGTGGGTATCTAGGTGGAGCAGTGGAGGTAATTCGGACCACGGGAGCCAAATCGAATCTTGCTGAGGGTCTGTGGACGGCTCAGAACCCAGGGTGTAAAGATGATCGGGCGGTCCTGTCTTACGGTATAGGGCCTTTTTCTATCTCAGCTTTCCATGTGGACTGAACAGATAAGGATCGACGACGATCTTCTACTGAATATTTCGGATTTCCTCCGGACACGTCAACTTTGACCCTTCCACAGGTATTTACCGTACCTCCGATCCACATGGCGGTACCCCCGATGCCATTTGCGGAGCGTCAATCTCGGCTGATTATGTCTTCCTTTGGGAAGGCCCGGGCGAATGGTGTCTGGGGTTTCGCATCTTCGGGAGCCTGAGAGGTTGATTATTGGCCTTCCAGGAGGTCGCTACCCACGTAATTAGCAGCACTATCGAGTAATAGAGTTGTCAATTACGGTTGCCCTGGACGAGCCTATTTGGAGAATTCCAATTTTGGGAAAATCATTGTAACCCCAGACTAAGGGGGTTCCCATGGTTTTTTGGTACCGAGCATCGTCATTGACAACCTTGGTTGGAGGCCCGGATAAGCTTATCGCACCCTTATCGCGAATATACTTTACAAGTTCCAAGTCCTGTGGTCAAATCTCTGCAAGGAACGGAAGATTGCATGTACAGTCATGCTGTACATGCAGGGATTGCCTCTGCATGCGGTACCAGTGCCACAAGGTCCCCGGGATCCCCGCACATCTGCGGCTTGCCATAGCACTGACCGAAGTGCAATGGCAGGGAGTGCCTTCTGTGCTTGGAGAACCAGAAGACCGTCGCTAGTTCCAAGGGCAGCGTCCCCGTAACTCCGGCCTTGGTCAATTCGCCGCATCCCTTGCTTATCCAAGATTACTACCCAGTACAAACCAGTACACAATACCATTACTGGTACTGGTATAGAGTCATCGGTTGGACTTATTAAGTCTTCTGAAACACGGCCTCTTCAGCATGCTATAGTCTGTAACTTGGACTAATGCTTCGGCCGAAACACCCAGATGGGTAGACATGCTTGGGAAGCCATGCTGTGCGGTCGTTAGGCCGAACCATGTTTCACGCTGCGTAGATCATCTCCCCATGCGCTTAAACTTCGATGCTTCACTTTCTACTTATCACATGGCAAATGTACAAATGTAAATTAACCGATCTGCTTCAGATGACAAGACTGCCTCGTCAGGATACTGTAATATGTTTCAAGGCCCTATGCATCGTCTAGCTAGCGCAGCCCCGAAACGTAGGGTTGAGATCTTGAAAAGGAATGGTGGAGAGGCAAATAAAGTTCGGTATACACCTGTGCGCACGCACTCGAGACGTTGACGGTTCCACCTATCCCAACGGCCATCCGAGACTCAAAAATGGTCTTCGTGACCTGTGGCTAGACCAGTCTACTACCTTGGAAAACACCACATGCGCCGTGTATCCTTGGTTACGTCCTTATTCGAGAGCAAGTTTCTTGGAGACCATGCAGATCTCAGGATTACGCGAAGTGTGCTTGTGCTGTCCAATGGCAAGAGCATCGTGGATATTCGGGTGTAGCGTCCATATCATGGCCGCCTTTGCGAGCGGGCCTAGCTTCTGCTAGCACCCTTGTGACCAAGAATGAACCGGGCATACCTTGCTAGGTAAGTCCTAGTCAATATCCGATATATTTATCTTTTGAACATCTAATAACTAGAGCTACGAGGATCTCCGCCGTACCATACCACTGATGTCGTTTCAGTGCGTTCCGAGCCTACATCTCGATATGGCCAGGTCGAAAAGAGAAGGACGCCGTGGACTTTGGATATCAACGGCTATTATGTTTAATAATTTCCCATAGGCAGGTGTAATATAATCTTGAAAGCCTCGGTCGGGTTACTGTGGCGTACCAGTAATTCAGGACGATTGTCAGCAGGCACCCGAATATGAAATCACATTGGCAGAGCTTGCAATCTAATGGCGGATATCGGCAATCATCTCAGTAAGAAAGATTAGCCCATCCTGTCGAAACTTTTGGCTGGCGGTGGAAGCATGCTGAATGCGGACCGAGGTCCTTAACGCAAGGTATCAGCAGCCGATCCAAGGGAATGTCGCCCGGTTCACCGACCATAGCAAAACCGCGGGAGGAAGCACATCGGAAAATTATTCGATTTCTGGAATGCAAGGTCATGGAGATATGTTCAAGAAAACATGAGGTTCTATGAAATTGGATATAATATCCAAGCTATATATGTGGAGGGAAAGAAAGAGCTATTAACGGTCAAGCGTCAAGCTCCTTATTAGATATCTACCACCAGAATGTTTTCATGAAAGCCATCTTATCACTGAGTCACAAATCACAAATCATAGGGACTGATTCTAGAAGTGGTCCAGATAGCAAAGACCAGCTGGAGTCTGAACGTACTAGACCGATCCAGCTAGGCCATCAGGGGCAGAAGAGGGTGCACAGACACCATCATAAATAAGCAGCATCGCACAAATACGAGCACCACATTTGATTATATTTCAGGTAGACTGTCAAAGCAGCAATTGGCCTTGGGGGGGGATTCTACTGTTGAGAACAGGCTGTTGTCCGGCAGTATACAAAAGTTGCTAGGGGAGAGACTCGAGACTAATCCCGTTCCGGCGAAACCCAAATCTCCCTTTTTTTCCAAGACTCCAAAGCAGAACAAAAGCTGTTACAGCAACCACCAGCACTCAATGTCTTTCCTGTCTGCCACTCGCCCTCTGACTGGCCTCTTCTCCAAGTCCTTGCCGTTCGCCTCTGGCCCGCGCCGCCTGTACTCGACCCCTCGACCCCCCCAACAACGCCCCGAACAACACCCGTTCGCAGTTCAAAGTCCTCCCCATCGTGGCCATCGTGCTAATCGGATCCGGCTCCTACGCGCTGCTCGTCAAATCTCGTACAGGCCAGACCCGCCCAACCAACTAAGACGATCATTCCCCCTAAAAACCCCCGCCACCCTGCTTCCCGCGCTAAGCTTTTTCCCATCAAAGTGTCCCCCCCCACCTTGACCCCTCGAACTTAATTCCTGCACACCGACAAATAACACACACTCACACTTTCCTCTCCTCCTTCCCCATCCCTCGATCTCACCATGGCCGACGCTAAAGCCCCCCCGCTTCTCCTCCGACCAGGTCACGGTCGTCTTCTTCCTCGGCGGCCCAGGCAGTGGCAAGGGCACCCAGTCCGCCAACCTGGTCAAGGACTACGGCTTCGTCCACCTGTCCGCAGGCGACCTCCTGCGCGCCGAGCAAGTCCGCGAGGGCAGCGAGTACGGCGCCATGATCAAGAACTACATCACCGAAGGCAAGATCGTGCCCATGGAAGTCACCGTCGCCCTGCTCTCCAACGCAATGGCCGACTCGCTCGCTGCCGCGCCGCCCCCGCCGGCACTCAGGCGCGCTTCCTGATCGACGGCTTCCCCCGCAAGCTCGACCAGGCCGTCTTCTTCGAGGCGACGGTGGCCCCCTCCGAGCTGGTCCTCTTCCTCGACTGTCCGGAGGAGGTGATGGAGAAGAGACTCCTGAAGCGTGGCGAGACCAGTGGTCGCGACGACGACAATGCGGAGTCGATCCGCAAGCGTTTCCGTGTTTTCGTTGAGACGTCCATGCCTGTCGTCGACGATTATGAGAAGAAGGGGAAGGTCGTTAAGGTTAAGGCTACCGGGTCTGTCGAGGAGGTTTATAATGAGGTTCGGGCTGGGATTGAGTCTCGTGGTATTAAGCAGCGCAGCTAAAGGGGCCTTCTTTTTTGTAACCTGGGTTGACGTATATATGCTTGTGTGGAGGGTGCTCAGTGGCAATGGCAGATATTGGTTTTGTTCTTTTTTTTATTTCACATTGTGTGGCATTTTAGCCTTTGGATTGATAGAATACGGGTAGGCTGGTGGGAGGTGCATGTCTATACCAGCCAGACATAAAGACATCCTTGATATTTGATCGGAGTTTGTGCTGATTAGTAAATCCTATCAATCCTGATGTATGAATGTCAGGCTGGGCCATCTAGATGGGATGCCTATCTAGTTTTCATCATATGACTCAGATGGTCAGACAAATAGCCAGGGACATCTTAGGGAGGAATGTTTTGTGAAATATTGTTATTCTTGTTAGGAAGTTTAACCCTTCCAGTGGACATAAGACAGTAAGAAAAAAAAAAAAAGAGAAAAAAACATGACATGACTCGTGGGAACCCAAAAATCAGTGGGGGCCAGTAGATTCGTCCCTACAAACCGGCCAAGAGACAAAAGAGATATCGAATGCATCAATAAATAAATAAAAAACAGATTCTGCCTTCTATTAGCGGAGAGAAAGAATTTTTGTGTGTTCTGCGAGTTTGATCCACTCCGTCTCATCATCGAACACCGATTTTCCATGCAGTCCTACCTAGGTAAAGCAGCCCGAACTTTACTCAGCAGCAGCCTCTACCTCGCGGGGCTGTGACTGCTGGTTGCGCCGCCTGTCAATACCACGGCCCTTCTCGCCATTCTTAGCAGCCTCCTGGTCCGCAGCAGCCTGGATGCCCTCACGGACGAAGCGCTCACGCTCCGAGCGGATGACGCTAAGAACATTCTCGAGCGAGCGGCGCCAGACCATCAAGCGACCCTGGACCTCAGCCCATTGCTTCTCGCCGAACACACGGTAGGTGGCACGGTGGACCAAGAACTCTGAGCGCAGCTGGGAGAGCTTGCCCTCCACAAGACCGGCGCGGATGGTGTCAATAACCCACATCTCGACCTCGGAGGGCTCGACACGCAGAGCAGAAGCGATGGTGGAGTAAGCGAGCGAGCGCGAGGGGGTCGAAGAAGCGAGTGACGTGAGCGTCAAGAGACGGATCTTGGTCTTCAGGGCATCGGCGGATTCGGCAAGAACGCCGTTAGAGATAGTGGAAAGGGGGGTGGCGGCAATGAACTCCTCGTAGGCTTCCAGGGTATCGGAGGTGAAAATCTCGAGCAGCTCGAAAAGGGTACTGTCGCTGGTGCGGAGAGCCTGCACGGCGTCGGAGGCAGTCAAAGTAGTGAAGTCGAAGACGTGGGGGCGACGCAGCGCAGAGGCGAGAGCGCGCACAGCCAGTTCGCGAGCGGCAGGCTTGCTAGCATCCGCTGGGGGGATGGTCTGCAGGGCCTGGAGCACATGCGACTGGGCGAGAGCGTCGTCACCGGCAGACACCGCGGCATCAGCGATCGCAAGATGCAGCTTCTGGACCTCTTCGTCATCCAATTCCCATGCCGACAGCCATGTGGGCAGTTGGTTGGCCAGCTGTGGCTTCAAGGCCTCGAATGCATATCCAGATCCAGATTGACGAATCACAGCGACGGTGGCCAGTAGGACGTGGTACCGGCTTGAATCGTTGGCGGAAAGAGTATTGAAGATGGTGGTGAGGATGGAGAGGGCCAGAGTCGGGCCGAATTGAGGGGAGGTGGTGATGGGCTTAGCGAGATAGGTGCAGATGCGAGGGAGGAACAAGTCCGGGTTGGATGATTGGAGGACAAGGTGGATAAGGAGGTTGTACGAGGGGGTGATTTCTAGCAATTTTAGACCAATGTTAGCCGTTGTGTCTTCTTCGTCGAGGCACACAGAAAAAAGTTGCGGCGCCGTTCAATATTCCGATATCGAATTTGGAGAACCGGTCGCAAATTCGCGATCCGTCACTCACCCTTCTCTGGGGCACCGTTCAAGGCAGTAGCAGCCCCCACAAGCTTTTTCAAGACCTCATCGTGCTGTTTCAGGTCAGGCTCGCCCTCGGATTGTTCCTGCTGGCGGATCGGCTGCAATAGCGGGGCGATCTCGGACTGAAGGCTCTCCTCTTTGCGGAGGGCGTCGATGTACTGAGCGAACTCCTCAGCGAGCTCGGAGAAAGAACCCTCAATGAGGAGGGTGTTAGTCGGAGCAGGCATGGCGTGGTGTGGTGAGAGGAAGGAGGGGGAGAGGTTCTTTGAGGGTGGAGTCTATCGATAGAGAAATTTCAGTGTGTGCCAAAAAGTCTTGGCGAAGGGAACACAGATTTGCCCATGCATTGTGGCCGGTGACTACAGCAAACCACCACGCAATCACCACGTCCGGTCTTTTCTACAGTCTTTACAGCCAAGTGGCAGTAAGGTAAGAATTGGAAGGCATTTATTATTGCTCAACGTGTTTTATTAAGCCATATTTTCTCATGGCACTCCCCATACGAGGACGCTTATGCTTCTGTGCTAAGAACAAGGGAATGGCAGGGACCAGCGCCGCATTGATGAAGAAATCATATCGATGCTGTCACAGGAACCTCAAAATGGGAATCAAGAAACAATGTCAAAAGCAAAAATACAAGTCATGATCGCGCTGAAATAAGAGGATAGAAGCGAAACGCGCCATGACATCCGGAGCACACTTTCTATACTGGGTTCAGCAGACGGCCTACAGGACCAGACGCATGGCCAAGTACATGGCACCGGCCACAAGTCCAGTCGAGTATGTCTCCATCATGCTTCCGAAAGGAACTGCAGCATTGGAGGTTTGGCTGGAGGCAGCCACTGAAGAAGAGGCTGGGGTAGACTCAGTCTCGATGGTGTCGGTGGTGTCGGTGGGAGAAGACAACATAGTAGTAGGCGAGGCACTCGCAGAAGAGCTGCTAGTATCAGTAGCGGTGGCGTTCTTGGTGCCACAGTGTTTGGCTTCCTTGCAAGCCTCTTGGCCCTGAGCATCGTTGGGATGAGCGTCAATGCATTGACCATAGTTGGCCTCGCAAACGTAGAAAGGGACGGTCTGCTGGTACTGAGACACATCGGGGACACTTCCATCACTGCAGACGCAGCTGTATTGCAGTGTAGACTGCGGAAAGAAACCAAGTCAGTATTTATTTTTGGTTGGTTGGGGACTAAGGGGCGCCAATAAGGGGCGCCAAGCGCTGTCAAGGCCTCACTTACGGGGTCGCAGCTGTTTTGCTTGGTTCCTCCGTTGCAAATGTCTGGGCACACATTACGCTGTCCCAGACACCAGGAGTCTGAGGTGGTTGTTAGCAAAGGCCAGCCGACAAATCATGACAACTGCCCAACGTACTTAGCTCATCTGGCTTGACCAGACCAATATTGAAACCAGCCGGAAGAGTAGGAGTGGTGACAGTCGAATTGGCACCCAAAGCCGAGGCGGCCAGGGCAGAAAGAACCACAGCGTAAGAGATCATGATGCTGGTTTGGGCGCTGAGATGATCAAGAGGTGCAGGTAGGGGAAAGCCTTGGGGGATGGAAAGCAGAAGAAGTTGGGGCGCGAAAGGTTACAGAAGATGAAGTAGGTCTGGTAACCGGGGTTCCCCAGGTTAAATAGGAGTAAACAGACGCTGTGGTATGGGGAAGGAGCTAAACAGGAGTCAACAACAAAAAACAGCAAGCGCAAGACACGGCCGTTTCCCGCATAGGTTCTACGCTTAAATCTGCCAAGGCTCCTAATTATGGCCTCACAAATCCGTCAAGTTCTTGAGCGCTTTATTTGGATCTTCCAATGTTTGAAGATCTCGGGATAGAAATCATTCCCCTCGCGCAGCCATACCCCTGGGCAAATTGAAACGGCTGGACGTAGAGAAATTGGTTCTCAAGTGACACAAACCCAGCCTGCCCCTCCACATTCCCTGCCAAGCTCCAAAATTGACCCCGACTGATTCTATGGGCTTACAGCGCCTGCACTCCCGCTTGCGTTGATTGTTAACTGCACGAGTTGAATTTGTTGTTCCTGCATTCCAGTGCTGGATTCTTCATCGACCAGGGCTGCACCCCTTGCAGATGTCACCACCACTCGCATGCTCAGCTAAGACCCGCTGATGTAGGAAAACAGCCCTGTCATTGGCTCTTGTTTTTCAATTCATTTTATTTTCTTTTTTTTGAGACCAGCAGGATAAATGACCGGTATATATCAGGCTAAATCTTCTGGAGGTCTCTATAGTTCTCACGTGAGGAGCAACAGCCATACCCGGTTTGATCAGCCGAGGTCCCGATCTGCAGCCGGGGGAAAGGACCAACGAGGAGGCATCTGGAGATTAACGTACATTTCGTCTGACCCCTCCTTTACGGCACTAGATAAACAAACCGAGCCACCGCCGAACTCAACCAATTTAGGTCTTGGGCAAACAGGTGCGGTAATACAATGGTCGACACAGCTGCTGAAATTGCCCACTTCCGCTCCCATCCTTGGGCCAAGAACCTCATCACCTCGGAGGACTATGAACCAATTATCACCGACTCGCGGCGCATGAAGCGTTCGGGTGAGGATGGGTTCTTTGGGAAGACTCTATCTACGCCTACCACAATTCCTCACCTGATTACTCTCCAACGCCGCAAGATCCCTCCCGCACCGTCGGAGGTTCCGACCTGGCTTCCCGCGACCAAGCAAGATGCTGCCGCTGCCGCAAAGCCCACTCCTGGTGTAAACCCACCTGACATTATCATGATCTGCGACCTCGGAACTCCCGGCGTGTCTGGTCATCCAGCGACGGCGCATGGAGGGATCGTCGCGACGATGATTGACGAGGCAATGTCATTGGCTGTTGCAGCGCACACAACCGGCCCAGTATCGTCTTTAGAGTCAGACGACAATCCTCGCGGCAGTATATTTACTGCCCAGCTAGATGTACGGTATCTTCAGCGAGTAGTTACGCCCGCTCTATTGATTATTCGAGCAAAGGTTGTAGGGCGTCTTGGTCGGAAGTTCTGGGTCCGGGCTCAGGCTTTGCAAGAGGACGAGGAGAGCGCAGGTGGCCATTTGGAGTGGGCGAAGCGGAAGATCGTGAAGGCTGATGCCATGGCCTTCTGGATTATGACGCCAAGTGAAAAGCTTTGAATAGGGATCTGGGATGCGTCATGTAAATAATCCGACCTGAGCTTTGCATAAATAGTCGAGCTCAGTTTGTAAATAGAGATCTGGTACATTGATTAGACAGTGTCACTAGCCAATGTCAAGCAGTGACAAATTTGGATAACAGATGCCGAAGCCATGCATATTGAAGTATAAGATATTTGGGGGCCTTTTGAAAGAACAAGGTCCATAACGGACCAGTGCTGATATTAGTCAGGTTTAGCACAACAACCCGGACTAGCGTCAGCAACAAGACCAAAACCAACCGCATTATCAGAGCTTCACGGTTCGTGTATTTTACATGGAAGCTTTTCCTTATATTGGGCTTCTGGGTGCCCGGTGGACCTGAGAACAACCGCCATACTCTAGATATTCTCGATGTATTTCTTCTATATACAATCATACATTCATAGGAGTATGTATCTATAACTTCTGCATCTTTCGAGATCCAAGATTCCTGCTTGCGCTCACCACCAGCCCGACTTGTGTGCTGATTGCAACCACCTCACCCTTCTCATCGAGAATTATAACATTCAAATCAGTTCGCCCATTCCTGACTGACGTGATGACCACACGAGAGAAGAGCCATTCCACGCCTTCAGCGGGTAAATGCTTTTTCATGTCGATATTCAAGGTGACCGTGGGATACCAGAAGCTAGCCTTGATGCCTTCCTCGGACGTTTTCTCTGCTTTGGCCATTGCAGACTTGGAAGCACGATCAAGCCCATCTAGCATCATCGGGAACATGTCAGTCAGATATACCACAGCGGCATCGGTCCACCGTCCCTTCTCGTCTTGCCCTGGTCGGAACCGTGCCCATTGGTCCCCAATTAGTTTCTCCCCACGTTCTTCTTCAAACTTGTTTGACTGTTCAATGACCGATTGCGGTAGCCCTTGTCCTGCCTCGACCTTCACGGGCCTGTATACCTCTAAATGTGTAGCCGCGCGCCGGAATTCGGGAAACGGCGGCAAAGTCCTTGTCCAAAGACCGTCGCGTCCCGTCCGGCCCAATGCCTCGAAGTTTACACCTCCATTCGCTAATGTCCCCGGTGGAGCAGCAGGAGTAAGCTCCCACCCAGACGGCGCGCTGAGCCCTACCTCGGCGCTTGGCGGGCTAACGGTAATATACCCACTGATCTTAACTTCCTGTTCTCCCTTCTTCTTCTCGGAGCCCTGGAGTAGCTTGATATGGATGGTGCTAGTGCGCAGTCCGATCTTGACATCCTCGACGAGTATCGTTGCGGGGCCCGCAAGCGTGCGTCGGAGGAAAGCAAGCTGGATGGATATTGGGGAGGCGGGGGAATCGTATTGCTTCGGGTGCGCGTATTCAAAGTGCTTGATGGCAGTTTTGTACAGGACGGCAGTCGTATATCCACCGTGGGGAACTGGTACTCGTTAGCTTTGTCGCGACCCTGGCCTGTGTCACTGCGCGTACCTGTTCCTATGCACCATTCCGTTTTGAGATCCACGGTGTACTGGTTGTCGCCTTGCGGAGTTATGCGCGTCGCCTCTTCAAAGGCTACATTGAGAGGTGGCACCATGGCTTGTGTACCCTTGAGAACCAAGCAGGAGGAATCACAAAGATATATTTCTATGTATACCTTAGGAGGTCTGGAGGATTCATAAACTTAAATGGCAATTTCGGCCGTACACCCCTCTAGACCGAGGCAGACCGAGGCAGACCGAGGCCCCCGCGACCAGCATCTGAGCGATGAGTAATCTTGGCCTTGACCACCAGGACTGCATAGTTAGATAGCAAAGCAGTTAGTCATGTGTTGAATTCGTTTCCCTACGTTGTGATTGGATTTGTGAGTTATGGTAGCTTATCGAACGTGTTAAGTGAGAGGAAGAAGGGAGCGGGTAGAAAAAAAAAATCTAAAAAATAATTGCTCACGTCCAGATTTGAACTGAAGACCTCAGCATGGCAAGATCTCAGAAGAGATGACATACTAGTGCTGCGCTCTACCAACTGAGCTACGCGAGCCAGTTCATGTCAAAAGGCACAATTAATTGCATTATGGCTAGATCTCTTTCCGAATATCTAAGTACATCGGGGTATCTTCGGGTTCGTTGATACGTGCTCCAGCTCGATTGACACTGCCTGTGCTACTGACAGTGTCAGTCTTGAATTTTCGGCCTATGGTCTGCAAGGACTATCGTTAGTCGTAGCACTTTCCACGGGTCCAAAGCGAGAGCTTCGGTGGTAATTCCCAAGCTGAAATTGGATTGCTCTGTAATATATCCAATATATCCATGTCTGTGTCCACAAGTAGCAACGTTGTCCTCGGGTAGGTGGTAGCCAAACTTGAGTCTCTTAACTTGAGAATCTCGTCATGGTTACAACATCCTGAATACTGAACTCAAATGTCATGACCGGCAGGGCTTCATTCCAACCATGAGAGTAAATCCAAAATAATCCTAGTAAAGCCCAAGTGTCCGCCATAAAAGTTCAAGCTCAAGCCGGGTACCAAGAACTCGTGAAGGGGCCAGGCGTCCAGAGCTTATCAAGACCAGGTTGCCAAGCCCTCAGGAATCGGGCGCTTGCAATTGTACTCGTACGCATGCATCCCCCAACTGCTAAGAAGTACCACTACCTGTAGATGAAAGAAAGAGGGTCACATCGAGCGATCGCAAGCTCTCATGGTAAGATATTGCTCGTCTTGGCTCAACATTGTCATGGCCTACCGGCCAGTTCTAGTTGATCGTATTTACCCAACACGTGGGGATTCCGGTAGCATGTAAGCATGGCCTCGCTTCCAAGGTTCGACAGATGCGTTATGAGGGATTTTCTTCGAGCGGCCAGAGCTATCGGCAAGGGACTCTATTGGGATACTGGCAACGGTATGTTAGACCATTCCTGCTTGCTGTTGAGGCATTTCCACGGCTTGAGAGGCATATAATATGCGTCTACGACTCATACGAGCTCGCCACCGGTGTCTGTCTAATAATTAAGTTCACAGTGTACCCCCGGCTGTCAAAGTAAGATTCCGCCAATCAACACTGCCAGGGCATACATCTGTCATGGTAATACCGTAATAAAACATCCTGACCCACGCGGGACGCAGGTGAAGGCCGTTCTGACGCGGTTCCAGCCAAACTGCAAGTCGAGCCGAATAGGGGCTCTGATTTGGCAGCGATGTGATGCAGGACTCCAGCCGTCTGGCTATTGATCTTTCGAGATCAAGGAAATCGGTGCTGACCAGCTAAGGATTGGGATTGAGGCGGTAAGTGTGCCTACTTGTGGGTCCCCAATTGGGCTTTCACATGACGTAGTAATGAGAAAAACAGTTTCTCCAATCTCATGGAAATCGAACGAACATCTTGGTCTCTCATGGTATCTCAGCCTCCAAAATCTGCTACTTTAGGTGCCTTCCATAGCCCTCTCATCCCAAGGGGCCATTGATCGGTTTTCGTCGCACAGTTTTCGGTGCTCCTTGCAAAGGGTTCTCTCCACCATGACTGTTTTTATTGCGTCGCTGTAGGTATTATCGTGTCAATTTCGCGGGGAAAGAAGCTAACGCAGCCAACAACAGTTTCCTGCCGTACACGGTGAATTTCCACGTTAATGATTCCCGTACAGCTTCACGCAGCAGCTACAGCCAAAAAGGCGGCACTGGTCCTTACCTACCCCCCGCGACCCCGCCCATAGCCAACGTTCATGCCAGCCCACCCAGCAACCCCCCCCGCTCCTGCGAGCCTGTTCGAGAGCAACTCCCCGAAGGAGAAGCAGGGCTTGACGCCCGGTGCCACCACGGATCATGAGCGAATCTTTGCGCGCAGTGTTGCTAAGGCTGAGAATGAGCATTCCGGATACCCGTTTCCTGCCTCGTCAGATCCCACATCTCTCAGTCAGCTGCTCACGGAGAGCGAGGGCCATTCCCCCGCCTGGGGAGTGACAAAATCCCTCAACCAGCCCAAGCCGCAGGCTGTGATCTCCCCATCACCGTCAATTCTGAAACATCAAGACCGCATTGTATCGTTCAAGGAACCGACGCCTCTCAGTGCCCAAGAGACCCGACCTACGCCTCCGCATTCCACGGAAAAGCCATCTCTCCCGGACCGCAAAGTCTCATTTTCCAAAGCTGAATGGACTATTCGAACCTCGGAGCAAGGGAACGGCGGATTGCGCAACGCCGTTCGCTCCGCTCGGGATACTGGCTACTTGGATGAGATGATGTGGGTGGGTACACTGGGGATGCCCACAGACGCTTTGGCGAGTTACACCCGGAATGATATTTCGGAGTGCCTGGAAGATGAATATGGTTGCTTGACCGTATTTGTCAATGACGGTGATTTTGACGGTCACTATACTCACTTTTGCAAAACCATTCTATGGCCTGTGTTTCACTATCAGATCCCGGATAACCCTAAAAGCAAGGCCTATGAAGACCACTCATGGATCTACTATGTCAAGATCAACCAGGCATTCGCGAACCGGATTGCCAAGCACTGGAAACGCGGCGATTCTATCTGGATCCAGGACTATCACCTGTTGCTCGTCCCAGCTATGCTGCGGAAGATGATTCCAGATGCCCAAATTGGATTCTTCTTGCACATTGCGTTCCCGTCTTCCGAGGTGTTCAAGTGCTTGGCTCCACGAAAAGAGCTTCTCGAGGGTATGCTTGGGGCAAACCTGATAGGATTCCAAACATCAGAATATTGCCGACATTTCCTCCAGACCTGCAGCAGGATTCTTTGTGTCGAGGCTACGACCGAGGGAATCCAGATGGAGGATCGCTTTATCAATGTGGGAACTTTCCCTATCGGTATTGATCCTACATCCTGGGACAAACGCCGCAAGGCAGCGGATGTGGAACGATGGATTGATACCATCTCCGAGCGATACCAGGGCAAACGATTGATTGTATCGCGTGATAAAATTGATTCGGTTCGGGGCATTCGCCAAAAGCTCTTGAGTTATGAGCTTTTCCTGAACACCTACCCGAGTGGTCAGATAAAGTGGTGCTTATTCAGGTCGCAACCAGCACCACAGAGCAGCCGGAGCTCGAAGCCACGATTTCAGACATCGCGATGCGGATCAACTCTACGCACTCTACGTTAGCCCACCAACCTCTGGTATTCCTGAAACAAGATCTTGCGTTCCCACAATACTTAGCCTTGATCACTGTTGCAGATGCTTTGATGATCACAAGTCTTCGTGAAGGCATGAACTTGACCAGCCACGAATTTGTGTACTGCCAGGATGGTAGCTATGGTGATAAGAAATGGGGCTCTCTCATCCTGAGTGAGTTCACTGGCAGCGCATCTATTTTTGAAGACCATGCGCTGCTGGTCAACCCGTGGGATTATCGTCAATGCTCTGAAGCAATCCACACTGCACTGACACGAGACGAGAAGAAGAGGAAAGAGGTCTGGGAGCAACTTCATCGAGCAGTCCTACAAAACTCCACAGGAAACTGGGTGAAATCTTTCAACGAAACACTGAAGAGGGTATGGGAGGAGCAGTCCTCGCGAGAAATCATGGCTGTCCCTCGTCTGTCTGTCCCTCGGCTGATTGAACGTTACCGGAAGACCAAGCGTCGGTTGATGATCGTCGATTATGAGGGTACCCTGGCCTCCTGGGGATCTCCACGGAGCATCATTCTGACCACACCGCAAAGGGCCATTTCCACTCTTACCGAGTTGACCGATGACCCAGCCAATGTGGTGTATGTGATGAGCTCACGTATGCCAGAGGAGATGGAGCGATTATTCCGCCAAGTGAATAACTTGGGTCTGATAGCCGAGAATGGTTGCTTCGTTCGGGAGCCGCACTCCGACGAATGGACTAGTCTCGAAGATAAGGATGCCATCGAGACATGGAAGGAATCCGTTGGCAACATCCTGACCTACTTCAAGGAACGCATGGAAGGCAGCTGGATCGAAGAACGCCACTGCTCCCTGGTTTTCCACTACGGTGCCTCTGAGGATCCGGCCACCGCGAGCCGGCTTGCAGCTGAATGTGCGGGCCACATCAACGACGCGTGCGCTAACCAGGGTGTACATGCTATTCCCGTCGACGGTGCGCTCATTGTGGAGCCTGCGCGTACCAACAAAGCCTCTGCCGCGGAATTAGTCTGGCGATGGTGTCTGCAGCCTCAAGACAAAGAGGACGTTGTTGCGAAGCCGGACTTCCTGCTTGTTATCGGTGATAACCGGGAAGACGAGCCCGTGTTCCGGTGGGCGAACAAGCTGCTAGGCGCCAAGGGTATCGACTATGCCATGACAGTTACGCTGGGATCTCGCAGTACGGAGGCTAAAGCGACATTGACACAAGGAGTTACTGGTAAGTTTTTTTTTTTTCTGTCGTCCAATCCTTACACATATCCCATATGCTTACTTTTCCGCAGGTGTACTTTCTTGTTTGCAACAGCTGGCTGCTCCATCAGAGGCCAGAGTCTCACCGGCACAATAGACATACCCGAATTAGAGGATCTAACCTTTCTAGAAGCCGTTCAGTCGGAAAAGAATAGATTGATTTTGCGATGCGAACACGAGTTAGATGTGACATGTTATAACGAGACTGGAGTTTTCACATCATTTCTTCTATCTTTGCACTTCATCTTCTTAATAATTTTCAGAATGATGATTTCCATGTCAAATATGCATTTTGCAGATATTACCCCCAAATAGTAACTCTTCTCTCACAAATCCTTCATTGCCACTGTACACCTCATTGCTTGATAGATTCTTTACTGGTATTAGGGATTCCGCGGCTCGTGTGTCACCAAGTACTCAGGCCCGGGGGGACTGCGCTAACGCTTTCCTGGAAATGTCTATCCAGTATCCTCACATTTGGGATCTCACTTCCCGACTCCAAAAGAAAAGCCGAATTCTGGTCCCATAAAAAGCTGGAGAAATTCTATCTCAAGATGGAAGGCCCAGCTTTCGAAGTCCATTCTGTATAAATTCGCCATCATTATCATCTGTGCTTCCGAGAATGGGTCCTTAATAGAGGGGTCGTTAAACAGCCATAGCCTACCAGACATCGCCTTGCCAACCGGTCAATAGGCCACCTGGTTCTTGAAGTATCTAAGGAAAGATGCCAAGTATCTCGGCTCCGATAGCTTAGTTGGTAAAGCGTGCGGCTTTTATCAAAGAGGATAACCGCAAGACCGTGGGTTCGAGCCCCTCTCGGAGCGCGAATTCCCTTTTGCTATTTTTTCCCCCTATGATCTGTCTTTTTTCTTATCTGATTATTCACATCGGCCCTCTTGGAAACTTGCAAATACGTCTGTCGGATCCGAAAGGGCATGCAGGATCGGTAGTCCAAATTCGCGAAGGCGGCTAACCTCGTCTAGCGGGCGGTGGAACGGTGGAACGGCCACACGCCGTCGGAGCCGGGGACAGCTGAATCCCTGATAAACATTTTCACAGTGCTCGAAAGTATTACTTCCTGGCGAATTTTGCATATCTCAGACTCACAAGGTTTACGTGGAATAGTCGGGATCATGTCTTTCCAAAACATTGGCCTCCGCATGGGCGGCGTCTCGAGAGCGGTATTCGCTGCCCAAGGCGTTTTCCTGCTGGGTAATGCTTGTTTCAGTATTCTGTTCCCATCCTCTGTGGCCAGTTTCGAGGGATCTTCGTTGAGTGGAACTCATGAAAGTGTTGTGCAATGCATCGGGTAAGGATTCCTCAATTTCAATGGAAACTTGTGAAGAGCTCTAGCTGAAACGTTGGTGACAGCATTACCTCTCTTGGTTTGGGAACATACTATCTTATTTCGAGCTACCAGCGGGACGCCCTGATTATGGCTTCATCGATTCCATCTCGGCTGATCGCTGCTTGGATTATGTATCGAAATGGAGGAAACTGGATCCCGGTCGCCGGGTTCGAAACCACCATGGCAGTCGTCGCTAGTGCGGCGCTGGCTTGGGATTGGTACATGTAAGACTATACATGTAAGACTGAGACACTTAAATGGAGCATAGGCCTTGAGTGGGTCTCTTACAAAGGGAGTTGATGGAGGATGTAGAGAATTGATAATATCTGTTTCACGACTGGTCCTCCCACAAGATGATATTCTATATCGTGGTCATTCATCATAGCGGAGTGTAGTAACTGGCGATAGTAAATAGCATAGAAGGTAGGAAGAACATAGAGATCATAATCGACCGATAGAAGGAACATCATCCCGGCCCTTAGGGGAGGCCTTCCAGTTCGCTTCAGCGAGGCGATCTTCTTATGCCTTGAAGACAGCATACCCCTGGAGCAGAGCCGACAGGCCCACGGCCCACGCGTTCTCCTTGATGCCATGCTTAGCGTACCACGCCGAGCTCACCAGAAGGAGAAGGTTGACAATGCCGGCCATGGTCTTGTTCAAGGGATCAGCCAGCGCCTGAGGATTGCGAGACCATTGGTAGTGCAGGATACCTAGAATGGATGAGTTTGGGACTGTCACAGCTCCAGGGTTGCTACATCAATACATACTAGTGAGAAGGAAGAATGCACTTCCCTGGAGACAAATCGACGGGGGTCAGCTATCCGTCCTTGTCACGGTGCTTCTAACCCCTAATGTCATATAACTCAAGGACCTACCTGGTACCAACCCACGGTGCCACAAGCCCACGACCGCTGGCCTTTCAGAGCCTTGAAAGCCTTGTCGGCATTCCAGTCTCTGCCCCCCAAGCTGTTTGTGCTCGCGTTAGTGCACCGTTGAACCTGGTTCGCTGCAAGCGACCACTGCTTCAGGAGTAAACATACGGTATGGCCAACGGAAAGGACGACAAACGTCAAGGCAGAAGCCTGCAGAGATCGAGAGGGAGCCACAGACATTAGGCTATGAGTATCGAGGTCCGAATAAACTTGGAGTTAGAGGAGCAGAGGTGGAGAAGCGGGGTGCATAGGAAGCTGATGGTGCCTCGGCCCACTGTTTGCCGCTGTGGAGCCTCGGCGTCGCTACGTCAGAATATCAAATCGTCCGCAATTGGAGAAGTGAACGAAGTAGATACTACTGCTCGCTTGCATGATTCCTGACCCTTCTATGACTTCTGCGGTCCATACAATTGGAGAGCTTTTTGACTGTTTCTACAAATGTAATGGATTGGAATCGGTTCGGAGATGAGATGTGCTTTTCATTTATCTAATTACATTATGACATTTCCAATGACCATAGCCACTGACCTTAGAATAACCATACGCCGTGATGTAGCACTTGCTGTTGTGCGATGGATGTACACTCTGTTGGGTCGCATTCAAATCATGAAACCCAACCCAAGGCGACAAACTTATGCCTGGGCTTCGGTATCCTGCTTCTTTTCCTTCTTACGATGGTCCTTCCTAACACTCTTCCATTCCATCATATATGCCGGAAATACCGACAAACAACCCATCACAACACCGAGGATGAAAGTTCTTGTGATCGCATCGCTGTATCCTTCGATGACAGCGCCCATCTTCGAGGCCGGCACACCCTGCCGGATTCCGGTGGCGCCCAATTTGACGACGTGGTCGACATTGATGCCCGAGATCTTTCTCAGATTCTCCCGAAGGAAGTTTCCGAACAGCGTTTGCGCGATAGCGGTGAAGAGAGCCCCGTTCAGCTGCTGCGAGAACATAAGCAGGGAAGCGCCAACGGGCACATCGGTGGGCTTGAGACAGGTTTGGACGGCCACATTCGCTTGCTGCATCCCAAGACCCAGCCCGAAGCCGAAGATCACCTGGTATCCGATCCACTTCGGGTGGCCCGTGGACGGGGTGAAGGTGGTCATGAGACCCATTCCGATGGAGATCAAGACCACGCAGGCGTACATGAAAGGGTTGTAGTATCCGAGAGCAGAGATCAAGATGCCTGATCCCACCGAGCCGACCACCATGGACAGCACGAGAGGCAGGTTCATGATGCCGGACTGTTCGGCATCGACGTCCTTGATCGCTTGGAACCAGATGGGGAGGTAGTAGAGCACAACCATCATACCGGCATTCATGCAGGCCGTCCATAAAAAACCCGCCAAAACGGATCGCTGCTTGAAAATGCGGGGGGGAACCAAAGCTCGCTCCCCCATTTTGATCTGCCATCCAATGAAGAGGATCAGGAGGACGCCGAAGAGCACGAAGAGCAAGATGATGCGCCAATTCCCCCAAGCGTATGAAGCACCGCCCCACTCCAGCGCCAGGAGTAAGCAGATCACGCAAGGAATGAGGAAGAGGTTGCCGAGCGGGTCGAGCTGATTGAGCTTCTGCTTCAGATTGAAGTGCCCACTTACCGGCGGCGGCACATCAAGCAAGATAAATATCATGACCATTGCCACGCCACCGAAGGGCAGGTTGATATAGAAACACCAGCGCCAGCTGACATTGGTCGTGAAGACACCACCCAGGATCGGCCCCAACACGGAAGCAATGCCGAACATGACACCGCCAATCCCTTGGAAAATTGGTCTCTTCTGCAATGGGACCGTCAAGACGATGATGAGGACCATTCCCGAGGCGATGCCTCCCGTACCTGAGACCCGCGACAGCGCGGCCGATGATGAACGCGACGGATGATGGGGCGGCGCCGCAGACCGCAGAGCCGACTTCGAAAATCAGAACGGAGCATAAGAAGACCCATTTTGCGGGATAGAAGGTGTAGATCCGTCCATAGATCAGCTGCGATGCGGCCGATGTCAACATGAAGGCACTTCCATACCAGCCGATATCGTTTAGACTGTGGAATTCGTCGGTGATTTTGGGTGTTGCGGTAGCGATAATCAACCGGTCCTTTTTGGTCCTTAGTCCACATGCGCTCATAATGTATACTCCGCGGGGGGGGTACTCACCAGGGCGATCAGGAACATGGAGACGTAAAGTGAGAGCATGATGAGAAGAATCTTGGCCATCGGAGGGTACTTGGTTGACTCTGTTGTGACGGTTTGCTCCAGTGCCGTGTTTGGGTCAACTGGTTCTTGAGGCTCGGCATCGTGAGAGCTATTTCCCTGCGAGATGCTTTTCTCGGTGAGGTCGAGTTCCTTGTTATTCGACTGGTCAAGCGACTGCCTTTTCTGGTGTGAACTGTCCGCCATTGTTGCGACGGGGGCGGAGCGGAACACCTCCGATACGCTGGAAAATCCAAAAGGCGCGACCACAGAGGGGAAGCTTCAGTCCAGACCGTTTCTTTGATGCTTTGGGAACAAATAGACTCATCGGGGGGCACAGACAGAGTATTTAAACCTCTAGTAAAGTGGGCATTAAAAACAAAAGCATTGAACTGCGGGCCCGGACTTAAGACGACAAAATACGGATGCGGGCTCCGATCAAAGTGTCCGCTACTCTTCATGCTAGAGTATCAGCACTAGAGGGCCCCGCAGCTTCGTATTCGCAATTATGCGGCGGTGGGGCCAGGGTTGTAGACCTTCCGAGATTCTGTGAAGAATTTTGGTTTTCCTGCAGGCACAGGCCCTCCTGGCCAATCTATCCAACCGGGAAAATCTCATTCAAATGATACACGGCATATAGAACTAGAGATAAATTATCTGCCACCAGGAGAGGGCCTTTCGTGATAGAAACATAGTTACGAGCTTCCGCGGGACCCCCAGGGCTTTCATGAGTCAAGCTTATCCCACGGAGTATGTGACCGACCATCCGTGATCAAGATTATGCAGGTCTGCTTGAGCGGCTTTCACAGGCGGTGGCGCACGCCCTGTTCGCGTCCCGCCGCGGCCCTGACAGTCGTAGATTAACCTTCGTCTTTCTCTGGACCAAAGCACGGCCCCACCCAAGCTCGACCCTCGAAGTCGGAGAACGGACGAGTTGCTCCGTCCGGGATTCTTGAAAACATCTGAACACGGACGAATGTGGTCGTAATATTGCAAAATCCGCCAGTCATCCGAAGGACTTCGAAGTCTACAGAACGGACGGTGCCCCCGGGCAAAGCTCGTCCGTTTGATATGGATATTCGCCATGCACACGTGGGAACAGTATCTGCAAAACGCAGAATCCACTACCTTGAGTTTCCTTTACCCAAGTTCTGATACGGACCCATTCTGTGTCAGAAAATCGAAAAAATTCCGTGGATTGAACTGTTTTGATTACCTGAGAAAGCTGAGGGCTTTGCTGAATGATCCCTTGGAACAAATTAAATAAGCTTGTTGAGTCACCGAACTCGAGCACATCCGGCCATTTACCCGTCTCAGATTGGACTTCAACCCTAACTGGATAGCGGCTGACTTCCTGTGGGATACTTTCGTCTTTTCAGCTACAGAATCATTGCGTATGGCCGAGCGACATCGCCCGCTCGCATTTTGTCGAGACCAATTGCTTGCCTGGGCTGTACCAAAACCAAGCTCCAGGTGGACTGGCCAGTATTGGAGTCAGTTCTTGATTTCGGAATTGATAAAAGGGATCTTAGCACAGGCATACCAGAGCGCCTTCAACACCCTGTCTTTGGTGAACAACTGCCCAGGTGAGCACCTAGATGCTTACCCTCATAGTCTATGTGAACTCTTAAAATAGCCACCTGGGAGATTTAGACCCCAGAACCCCCATTTGGAAACATACTCGGGAGGAACCTCGTCAGAAAATGCTTACGTAGCTTCCAATAAACAAGATTTTGCAAGAGTCCTTCTAGTATGCACTGAACACAAGCCTTTTCCCCCTTAAATGCTCCATAGGTACGGGCCAACACCCCACCATGTCCCCACTAGGCACGGAAGCGGAATTCCGTCCATCGCTTCTAGTTTAGTCTCCGCAAGGGGGGCCGTCTTACTCCGTCAGCCCCAAGGTCATCGCGCTTGCAGGGATAGAAGGCTTGAGACCACACAAGAGCGTATGACTCAGATGGGTTATTGGGTGAAGCCTGAACCTGAGCGACTGCAGAGCTATCTTTAGACCTCTTTAGGAGGGCGTCGCATTTTGCCTCTTTCGCTGCTTATGTGGTAAGTACAAATTTGTGCTATGAACATGGACATGTTCAGGGTTCCAGGTGGGGGACTGCTTGGTCGCGTACTGGGTACTAGTGGTACTTCCCGAGGGTTGCGGCCTCTCAAGGTAGTACGGGCACAGGAAGGGCCGGCTTGGACTCCCCAGCTGCTTGTCTCATCAAATACGTTTTGAATAATCTAGGGGATATTGGGGAAATTGGAGCATGAATCCTAATAGTCATCCTTATATAGGAGCTCCTAAAATATCGATTTTGCTACTTACCAGGAGGTCCTCGTGTTGTTGTAGACGTATGGTGAGATAGCGATTCGCAACAACTATAGCACAATGGACGAAGGTTTACTTACCACCCGCAACCACGACAAGCTGGGGCAGATACCGTGGGCCAGGGCTTACGAGTCGGGTATCAAAGGGGATAGTAAGCCCCTTCCCCGCCATTGAGGCTCGGAGCAGGCCGAAATAAGGTTCTGACATGCAAAAGAAAAAGCAACAGGTGTATCTTCTGCAAGGCGGGCTGTGGCTGTGGCTACGGGACTCGTGCTCTCCCTGCGCCCAGTGTGTGGCCGTATACAACCGTCCTCGCGCACCGTGCCACGAGGGAATACAGAATTACCAAAGAAAGGACGTGCCAGTTTCAAGGGAAACTGATCCAGGCGGGACATAGCTATGATCGGCCAGTTAATTCGGAGCCAAGGCTGAGGCATGGTAGATACGGTACTGGTCCCATAAGCTGATATCGTGGTTTGTTACACAAAAGGGTATATTATCACTACCTAAATCATAAAGCTCAATCATAGGAGAAATGTGGGAAAAAGAAACTCCAGTCCTGGGTCGTTCCATGCATCGGTCGAATGCAGCAAGAGAAGGAGAAAAACAGATAAGAAAGACATGGGTTTGTAGAAAGCGACCAAAAATTAGACAACTGGACTCCAACCTCCGAAGTGTCATACAGTCATGCCACACCTCAACATTTCGAAACCGTGCCCAAAGCGGGGTTGGACCCATAAAAGGTCCCGACAGATCGGCCATCTTCATCAGAGTGAGATCCAGTTTTGTACGCCGAACTCCCTGAGCTGAATCAGACTACAATACCCCGCTGGCTAGAAGGATAAGAAAGGAAAAGAAGGGGAGAAAGGGGAGATGGGAAATATAGAGGGGGAAATGTGGAGAGGTGGGAAGGGAGGAAAAAAAAAAAAAAAGGAAAAGCTATATCCATGCCAGGAAAAGCTAAAGATGCCTCTAAGGGCCACCGAGGCCCGGAGATTCATATGGAAACAATGTATCCAAGCAATTGTACCAAGAGCACCCACCGATATCGGATAAATGCCGCATGAGCTTTGCCAATGCACCCAGCTGACCATTCAAGGTAGGACATATCAACAAGATGGGAGAAGAGGCGGAGATAAGGGAAGAGAAGCTCCGCGAAAGAAAAATAAGAGACCCAGATAGGTTGTATCGTACACGTCAAGTCCAAACAATGCAAACTGCCGTATGTTCTCATCACCGAGGGCCTGGGTTTGCCTGATTCGCGTCTACTGGCGGCGCAGGAGCAGGTCCCGGGTTGGTAGAGGCGATGTGGGCGCGCAATGAGGCAACTTCGGTGCGCAGGCTTGCCATCTCTTCATGCATAGATCGCACGTAGGCCCATAGCTTTTCGATCTGATTCGCATCACTCTCGGAAATTTCAGGTCCAACCTTGGGCAAGGCATGGTTACTGGAATGGCTGTGGGAGGACGTGTGTTTGCTTGCTTGGAGGCCAAATCGAGCATCGGGAGAGCTGATTACTGGCGGAGGAAGTTGAGGCGCTCCCGGGGTGGAGGAAGATTGGCGCGTCCGAAGGACGTCGGGTGCGGTAGAGACTGTCCTACGCTAGGCGAGTGTCCACGGTGTGATGAAGTCCCCGAGTCCGGGTGAGAGAGGGCATTGGGAGACAACGGTTTTGAAGCTTCACTGATAGTGCTTGGAGTGAAAAGAGCGGTGCCAGATGGGTGACCAGCAGGCGGGAATGTGAAGCTGGCAGTTTGCGAAGTGGCTGTGGCTGACGTACCCGAGCCGCCATGTGTGCCTGGCGGTGGGAAAAGTCCTGTGCGGTTAGCTGCAATTGGCGGATAGGTGCTCGGCTGGCGACCATGATACGAATCAGATCGAGGAATTGAATCAGCGTCGTGCTTGCGGATGCCGGTGCTGAGTCGGCGCTCTTCCTCCTCGTCCATGCGTTCCGGTTCGGCGTAGACTAGTCCATCCATCGCATCGTCGGGGTGTTGACCATCACCGTAGTCATCTTCTCCCGCAAAGCTTCCCATGCTTGCCCGCCGGCCAGCGCATCCTCCTTGACCCTTGTTGTGTCGCGCTAATGCATCACCACGTGCGAAACGTCGCCCGCATTTGGGACAAATGTGGGGTCTCTCCCCAGTGTGTAGCTTAGTGTGTCGCTTCAGGTCATGTAATCGGCGGAATCGAGACTGACAGGTTTGGCAGACGAATGGCTTCTCCTGGCTATGGGTCAGGAGATGGCTTTTGAGGTTATGTTGGCGGGTAAATTCGGTGGCGCAGAAGGGGCATCGGTGTTTCTTCGCAGAAGGAGAGCGCGGGCTGCTTCTACTGTAGCCCGCGGTGGGTAAGCTGAGACCGCGTCGAGGGTCGTTCAAAATACCCGTAGGCATAAGGATATGAGAAGGCCTTGTTGCTATCTTGATCAATCTCAGAGTCGTCCCGAGGACGCCGGTCTCCATCCTGCGAAGCAGATTCTTCGATCGGACCTGGACTTGCGACGGTCGAAGAATGCATGAGGGAATTTTGATGATCGGAGGTTCCGTAATGGTCTGGAGCATCGTTTGCATGTGGATCTACCTGCATCTGTTCTGGCGAAGCATGCACCTGGGGTTCCTGGATTGACGGACCAGGCGACTTCTCGCTGGCGCCCAGTGCCTCTCGCGCCACCTGCGAACTATTTCGTTCCGCATCTCGATCGTGGTCCGCCGGGCGATCCGGCGCGGACGCGGGACTTGCCATTCGCGACGGGGAGGAGCGAGAGACGTGAGACCGGCGCTGGCAATGGAACTAAGGTTGGAATCGGGCTTGGCAGGGGGTTTGAGGAAAGAAAGCGAATCAGAGGAGGTGATCGGATTTGCTGGCGGGGGATGGGGGTCGAGACGGCGACAGGCTCGTTGTTGGAGTGCATCAATGCCGCCATGGAGACAGAAGGGTTTGCGCCCACCTCGAATGGATGAACCAAGGCAACGGCTACTTTCGAAGTCATGTTAGATTAACGCAAAGAATTATTGAAGGGGGGTTCATGCAAGGAAGGAATTGACGAACTTCAATCCAGAGGCTTTTGACACGGGGGAGGCGGATTTTGGGGGGGTGAGAGGGCGAAGTTCCAGGACGTGTGGGGCGGTACGGTTCTCTCTTACCTGGAAAGCGAGTGTGGCGCAAGCTGACGGGGAGGTTTCAGCTTTCCACTTGTAACGGGCAGATCCACCGGTTCACGATTCAACCGCGAGGGGGGGACTTGGACCTTGCGGACAATGGGGATTGGTCTGATGAGATGGTAGGCTTGTAGGATGAATGAACCGCAGGGGTTACCAGCGGATATGCGCCGGCGCAGGAACAACGATCTGGTCGGGGTGGTTTCAAGGACAAGGCAAATCACAACAGAACGAGATTTGCGAGACCCACTATCAAGAGGAGTGAAAGGGCGGAGAAGGGGCCGCGGGACAGTAGAACAAGACGATCTTCTGGACCGGAGGATACTGGTTTTCTGAATTCTGGAATCTGGATTGAGGGGGAGACGGGCCGTATACGATCGCGCTACATGGATAGCGCCATATACAGAGCAGAGGAGTGGACCATAAAATACGAGATGAAGAGTTGCAAAACAGCAGAACAGCAGAACAGCAGAAACCAAGTGTCAAGTCGGTCGCGGTCGAGGCTCTGGAAACGAATCCTGAGCCGTGATCTATGTACCGCTACTTTGAAATATATGTGGCTACACATCTAAACACAAGTACCGGTACCTGCCAAACACCGAGGCTGTGTAAATCCACTAACGCGTGTGGCTGGTCGTGGGTCTTGGTTGTTTTCCCCTGCGGCTGATGACGACCGTTCCTATATTTCCTCAGTTTCCTCTGACAGTGGCGGGCCTGAGTGCCGCCACCACAGTTTCCTCGTTCAGCATGAGAGTTGACTTCTTAACCACCCAAAACCGGCTCCAGGTCTGGAGCGCATGATGTCACTTGGCTAAGCAGAAAACTTGCTCGGGTCCGGCTGGTCTACCACCCCAGAGGGCACATAACGATACTATGGGTTCCTGGTAACTTTGAGGTACTTGTATCGATGTAGGAATGAGAGTAATGAAAGAGGCGTACCGAAGGATCCATGTACGGAGCAGGAGCCTAACCTGTTTTCCGGCCACCCATAGGCAACGAACTGCCTTCGCCACGTTACATACGGCTTATACAATCCGCCCAAGGCTGCCATAGCGATCGACATGAAGAAGCTCTGCGCTTCACGCTTGACAAAGGGCCTCAGCGCGGCTTCCCTGCTGAAGCAACCATTGCCAGTGTGTTATTGGCTTAAACACCGGGGCGACCATCAGACTGCGGGTCCACTAAAAAGGGGGCGAGTCAGGGGAAGGCCTTTATTCGCGCATTCAAAGCCGGAATGATGAGGCGTCGAGGATTTATGAGAGGCTCTTTACCTGCCAAACCAATCCTGCGTGCTGGTTGGTCCGTTCTCAACTCAATCACTGGATCTGATTTGATCTTGTTTGTCCCCCCTTTCTGGGTCAGCCGCACCGCCATGTCTCACATCACCAGGTGCACTGTTTGGAATAGCCCATAGTGAAATTTGGAGGCTGATTATTCTCCGAGATCTATTAGAAGATTTTCGATCGCTCGTGCTACAAAGCGGCTCATCTGGCCTCGCAGGTAATCAGTAGCCGCATCGAGGACTGAGTCGCTGAAGAAGTAGGTGCAGGATCAACATTCTAGGCTCATAGCTCATGAAGTTCAGTACACCCAGTGTATTGTATCAGAGGACATCATGATGTCAACGGCTCCGATGATTTGCTACCCGCCAATAGCGAGTAGGATCCAACTTTCTTCCAAGGTTGTACTCGCAAGCTCCTGCCTGATGGCTTTATACTGGTATGGACTGTGCCTGTCCTGCCTTGACCAGAAATCGTACCAAGTCCAATCTAGCTGTACTCCGTACAATAGCACGCTACATGCAAACCCGATTTCTGACGGACCTGATGAACACATGTCCAAACCAAAGGCACAGGGCAAAGGAACGGGGGGCAAGCATGTTGTCGATTGAACAGCCTTTAGACCTCTATGCCCAACTCACTTCCTCTAGAAGTAAGGACGAAACCTTCCGAAACCTAGGAAGTAGCTTCCTAGTCTTCCGAGTCTATTTTGACTCCATTTTAAGGCCTTTAACTGGTAGTCTGACCAGGGTATATTGCGCCTTTGGATCCTCTTTTGGAGGTGAGACTAGATACTAGTATGGGGTCCTCGGTGTCTCCAGCTTGCCACAGGCTACATCCTTTTGTCGAGTCCGCCAAGTGTTCTCTGGGATTCATAAGGTACGGCGTGCTAGCAATATACTGCGTGGGAAGTTCACCGTGAGGGGAGCCGGGACTAAAAATAGAACTCCTGGGAAGGTCAAGTCTGGTACGGTCGACTCGAGTGCCTCAGGCTTGCGTGAACTCTTTCCAGGACCAACGTTCCGAAAGGATTGCACAAGGTATGCGCTACAAACTATCTACTTTTTGGCTCAAAGCATAGCATGTGGGTATGAGCAACAGTACTAGTAGTCCCAACCCCGGTCGTTAAGCAGTTTGCCAAGTGACTGCGCATCTCTGCATGTAGGTTCTGTCACAGCCCAGAGCTTAAACTGACAGGGATTATGAAGGTGATAGTGACATGCGACTCTGGACTTGAAGCTCGAGCCTGGAGTTCTTATAATTTCGGAGAAACTGGGAAGTGAATCAAAGATGAAACTAGCACTCTCATGCCTAATTATATTTTCTGTTTTCGCTGGTAACGAACTGTCTGAAGCTGTGTATAGATGTTAGCCCTTTCCTGCTTGAAGATATTAGCTCCAATCGACAGTTGATCGTCGAATTGACGCTCCCTGCTAAGATCTCGGGAACGGAGATAGATTCAGACTGAAGTAATTGCTTTTCTGTCACTTCAAAGGATAGAAGGTGGGGTAGTATTTCCAGTCGGTCTCCTTGAGGCACTTCATGAATATTCGTATTTGGCATAAGCTTTGGAAGCCAAGGCAAAGTGCCTCTGCGTTGAGAGCAGCACCACCAGGTGAGACGTTCTCATGCGAAGAAAAGGATTTCTGCCAAAGTCCTCGGGTTCATTCACATTTCAAATGTTTCCCCGACCAGGCGGGCCGAAATCGCAGTCCTAATATCCTGGGGTGGAATGGGCTTGGGGAGGTGATTGGGTGTTGTCGATAGATTTGGAATGCCCCTTTTCCCTTGATCAATCAAGCATTCAATGGACCTCTGTGTTGAAGTCAGTTAACCTCGTGGCTTTATCTTGTTTGAATCCTTTCTTTTCAGAATATCCTTCGAAACCTCCTCGGAGACCTAGGCTGCGAAGGAAATGGGTTCCGAAGGTAGATAATGCTACTCCGTACATTAGATATGAACTTCTTCAAACGGTCAGCCCTAAGGACTTATCACCGCTCTCCACGGCGAATTACATGAGAAGCCCGGCAATAATCGCCTGATGATGCGAAGGCGAGCCGAGCTCAGAACACTAAGCATAAATGGACAGTTGACACCATCTGCGTCGAGCTAATGCAGAGGCGACCTGATCTACCGATGCACACCGAGCTCCTTCTGGTTGGAGGGTATTTCGAGCGCAACACAGAAATGTAGCAGGCGGTTCTTCAGGGAATCTGGTTGGCCAGACGATCGGCGGATTAGCGCCGGAGAGGAGTGATGGGCTGCAGCCCAACTGCTGCGAGAGCGGGACTCCGGGTGGTGATTGGCCGCTCCGCTGTGACAAGCTCGTTTTATCACTCCCTCCACCCAGTCACACTGCGACTCATCCGTGTGAAGATGCACCAACTGCCTTGGTCGAACCTACTTGGGCCCAATCACATCTCATTCCCCTCTTCGACCTCCCTCCCGGGCGCTAATTCTGGCACGGCGATGTGATGGGATGCTTGTCGCTTGCATGTTCCCCCCGCTCAGAGGCCTGTAAAGCCCGCAGCCCATGGATATTCAAGGAGCTACGATGCCCGCCACTTTTGAGCTCTTCGAATGTCATTCTCTTTCTAGTTTTTGTTTTTTTCCCCCCTCCCCCCATCCCCTTTCCCAGACCGGTTTTCCGTGTATACTTGTGGACGCAGGCTTCGAACACGGTATCTTGAGGTGAATTCTCGACTGATATAGTTTCAGCCGCCGTCACATCCAGCTGGGATTTTTCTGGTCCTTTTTGTGCTGCTTTCATCTCGGTCTGCTTTGCCTGTACGTGTTGAGAGCTGGTTCTCTCGACGATATCAAATTGTCCTCTGGAACATATTGCAACCGTTCAATGTCCCCTTCTGGCGACAATCACAACAGCTCCCCTCAAAACTATCAACCCGCCGTGCCCGCAGATTTAATCCGGGGTCCCAACCAACACGCAATGGAGCCTCAAACACAGCCAAAGGAGACCCGCAGCTCCTCAGAGAGCAGCGCAGCCTCATTAAAGAGCCCTCGTACGGCTCGATTTGCCGAGGCCACAAGCATTCATTCACCGATAGAGCAACCCGCCCGCTCGCCCTTCGCGGACCCTCCTCAGACGTCCCAGGGTGTTGCGGACACTGGTTTTGGGTTCATTCAGACTCCCGGCATTCAGGACCAGGCGCCTCCCATGTCGCCCTTCCGACCGGATCTGAAGGTGCCCAATACTGCTCGTTCGTTGAATCCGCTCAGCCCGACTTTCCGAGAGGAGTATTTCCTCGAGAAGCAGGAGGCCACTGCGAAGAAAGAGAACGCCCGCGACCTGGTAAGGAATATCCCTCGCCCTTTGCCTCACTCATTCATACTAACGCTGTCAATGTTGCAGAGAATCAAACTCCGGGTTCGCCTGGCCAAGATCTTCCTTCGTTTTGTCAACTTCGGCTGTAGCCTCATTGTGTTGTCTATGTTGGCAGTGACATTGCGTGTCTTCCAATCGACAGTCGATCTCCCTCCACGAAATAGTGCTACTGCATGGGCCCCAGGTACCACGCCATGGACCCAGTGGCTCCTGCTTGGATTGTCATGTTTTTCACTGTTGGCCTGTTTGATCATTTTCTGGGGTTACTACAAGGGTGGCCACAAGCGTGCAGAGAAGGTCGCGATCTACTACAGTGTTATCTCGGTGGTCTACTTCACCTTCAGTTTTGTGATATGGATTGTCGGCGCAGCAGTTTACTACCACTCCAAAGCTACAGGGAACTCGAAGGATATGTGGGGATGGACGTGTGCACAGAATACTCGCGAACAAGTATACTCGAACGTCATCGACTACGCGCTGCTCTGCCGTCTCCAAGACTGGGGACTGGTCTGCGCCATCATTGAAATTGTGATCGAGCTGATCGTCATCCTGATCTACGTCGTTGTGTTCTACCGCTTCTACACGAAGCGTCGTCTGATGAAGACCATGAACAACCGCGACCAGGCCCGCTCAGACCTGTACCTCGCCCAGTTGCATTTGCAGTCTGCCCCCAATACCCCCGGCTTCCCCGGCTTCTCTTCCTACCCACCCAAGTCCCCCTTCGCTGCAACGGTCACGACCTATCCTGTTGACCACTACTCCAATGCCGAGAAGGGCCAGGCTCCTACACAGTACGCCACGCCCGTCTCACCAACTCGCCCCACTCCAGCCTTCCAGCTGCAGGCGCCGCCTATTCGCGTTCAGCAGGCGACTCCAAAGACAGCGCAAGAAGGCTTTGTGCCTCAAGCTCATACCCCCTCACCACCTCCACCACAAGCGGAGGAGCAGCACATGGAAGCTGCGCCTGGTGAACAGAGCTATGGCTCTGTGCCGATCCCCGGAGCCTATGCAAATGCCAGTGAACCCATGCATCATTACACTTAGTTTCTTAACAATCAAGAAATTAAAACATTGTGACCTGGGATCAATGTTTGATTTTGCTCCATGATAAGACCAAAAGATATGCGCAAGAAACCTGGCCGACATGCCTTTGATGAAAAAAAAAAACAAACAAAAAAACAAGAAAAAACAAGAAAAAACTGAAACTGAAACTGAAAAGAGTTGTGACTTATCTTCCTCAAGAGTGGACATATTCCTACTTCCCTGGTATTAATGTATGGGCGAACGGGTTAATGCACAGCGGGTGAACTGGAGTTTTGGGTTATACAGATACAGATACCTATGTTGATTTGGGATGGAATTAATGATTTTTGCCCGGTTATACCTCTTTCATCTTCACTTAGTAGTTAAATGGAAACCTGATTTTCAATATATGCCTGGGAAGTTGAGCTGTAAGCCATAATCATGACCGGAATATTGTGCTACAACAGCTGGCCCTGTGATTTGAAGTGTTCTACAGAGATAAACCTAATGAAGACCAACTAGATCAACATGCCCAGTTTCTACTATGAAAGCTGCCAGATATAGATAGGCAATATGTTCAAACCGGATGACTGAAAATTTCATTTCAAGGCAAAGTAAACTGATGAAGACATGTCCTTGGGCCCCGCTGTGCATGCCAAAACCAACCAACGCCTCAAGAATCCCCTGAATTGAAACCCACGCACACCATTACTCATGATAAACACGACATGATGGATCTATGCAGACAAACGACTGTACACGGAACGAATTGACTTACATGCCACCCTCTTCAAGAATGGCATGCTCATCACGAGTGACATAGATTTCCTCTAGCGAGCCGACACCGCCAGGAGCAAGTTTACTTAGATCGCTCTCCAAAACCAATCCTTGCTCGTTGGCCAAATGGAGTAAACAGATGAAGCCATATGACGTACTGATATCTCGCAGCGTCTCTGCGGGATAGACCGCCTTCAGTGAGTTCATGATGGTGGTAAAACGTAATCGACCGTCCTCCTTGGGTCGCTCGGGACTGCCGTCCTGTGGAGTAGGCGGTTCGGGAGCATCAGCCTCGCTCTCGGGCTCAGGGGGCGCCTCATTTGAAACGGCTCCTGGTCGTGAAGCAGAGGCGAATTCAGTAGCGGCAATCAGACGTTCGCCCATGCCCTTCCACATCTCTGTTTTGAGTCGACGTACGTCCACCTTCTTCGCCACACGGGCATAGTTGACGTAGTCTGGGCGTGCTCGGCGACCACCTTGAGTCACCAGTTGTGAGCCATATCCTCCAGCACCGTTCCGACCAGGCGTAGCGCCCACCATATTGAGCAGTGCTGTCAACCCAGTCTGGTTGCCGGGCTCCCCAGATGAGGTCACAGGGCGGCCGTCAGTTGGTGGTGATAGCATCTCGCGTGCATCTGCGAACGGCAGGTTGTCGTCATCGTCATCCAGATCCATGCCGTTAGGGAAGGCCAAGCCATCGTCATCGGCAAAGAAGTTGGCATCATAGGCACCGGCAACGCCTTCCTCGTCGTTCTCTTCCACCTTGTGATTTGCCCAGAAGGCCTCGTCCATGTCCCCATTTCCTGTGGTTTGTTCGGGTCGGCGAGTGTTGGCTCTACGGCCCAAGAGCTTCTTGGATCCCATGCGAGCCTTCGGCTTGAGGAACAAACGGAGAAGGTTGCGCGAGTTGAAATGCTTGTCGTCAGGCAGCAGGTTGTGGCCCTTAGTCTTCCACTGTGTCTTGGGCAAAGAGATTGCGGAATTGGAGCTCGCAGGCGTGTAGATCAACTCAGCCAGGGCAGGGTCCAGTGGGGCCCCGAAGTCAATCTCGAAAGGCTCTTTCTCCTTTTTCTGCTTCGGTGCATCCTTAGTGGTGGCGGCTGTTGTTTCTTTGATTTTTCGAATTTTCCAGTGTTCTGGACCAGCCCAGTTTTTCTGCAGTGCGTTGTCAAAGTAACTGAGAATGTTCTCATGGTCTTGTTTGCTAGGCTGATGTGACATGGAAATGGCATAAGCATCCTCGTTGTCCATGTCCTCATCACCGTCAGCATCGTCGTCAACCCGATGAACCTTGAGCATTGGCTCAAGGGCAGCCTCTCTTGCCCAGGCTTCTCCGCCATCACCGAATCCAGCGTCGTCACTCAGATCAAATCCGGCGAGAGAAGCGTCGTCGTCAAAGCCGACGGCATTATCATCATCTAACATGATGCCTGAGGGATCCTCGACATCCCCTTCGTTATTCTTATCTTGTCGCCAATCCTCAGGAGCTTTGAGAAGAGGAATATCCAGTGACCCACTTGGGTCACCCAGATCAAAATTCTTCAGGGAAGGGCAAATATCCTGCTCACCAAGACGATCGAGATCCGGGAAGAACTGGGTCGCCAGCGAAGCCAGGTCAATCTCCGTGTCATCTTCGAAAGAATCGGTTGCCGGTGGTTGAGGAGCTGGTGTCTGATTTTCTCCTTGTGATTCACCATCTCCGGATTCTTGCTGGTCTCCTTCAGCTGTTTTAGCACTGTCATCCACTGCATCATCACTACTGTCGAAGACAATTCGTCCAAAGCTATCGATGGCCAAATGGTTGAGTAGTAAGCCCTTGGCACCCCCTTCATCGAAATCAGCGGAAGCCTTCTTGAACAAGGGGTCCACAGCAAACTCCAATTCGAACTTCTTCAGTTGCAGGGATGCAAAGGATGGGGCTAGCGTAGCCTCGTGGGAACGAGTCTGCGAAACGTCGGAAGTCAGTGCCGGCTCTCAAGCGATTTCTGATAATTGGGAAAAATCTCCTACCTTCTTGCGAGACTTGCGCGGCGCACCGTCTTCGCCTTCTTCATCCTCATCTCCATCCTCTCCATCTGCATCCGTATCGCGCGCACGCTTGTCGCGACTATCTGCCAAGCCACTAAGCAGCTTTCCGGTTTCCGTCGCGACACTGTCCACACGACTAGTGTAGATCTTAACACAGCCATCCAAAGTGCAACTGGCTTTCTGGAAATTCACACCATCACCCTCTTTCAAAAGCGACATGTCATGAAAGTAGTCGATAAGGGCAAAGTTCCAGGAGTTGTTCGCGTTGATCTTGTTATCCGTAGCCATTTTCATCCACTCTTCGAAATTAGCGAGAATAGGCACGCGTTTCATCGGTGTCACAGCACGGCCATTCACATCACTGTCGCGACCGCGATGGCTGGATCCCCGTGGGGTTCCGGGGCTCTCGCTTCCTTCTTGGTAGTTCGTGTATCGGCGATGTGGCATGGGCGTTTTGACGGCGGCCTTGATCTGGCTCATCTGGCGATCATGGAAGGCTTGACGGGCCTCCATACGGGCCGCTTTCTCGCCCATATCATCGTTGAGAGGGATCCTAAGGCTGGGTTAGTCGTGATCTCCCTCATTTCTACATGACGGCACTTACTTGATCGGCGAGTTCTTGTGGGGGGTGGAGTTACCGCCGGAGCGGCGATGGATCTTGTTTGCGACACGAGGCATGGTTGCGGCTGCCCCCAATAGGGGATCACGGGGCGTAGTGTCGAGATGTGGTTGATGGCAGGTGCCGCTGGTGTTGCAGTTGAGGGGCCCCAAACAAACAACAAACATACGGCCCCGCGAGAAGACCAAAGATGCAACAAGTCACCTGATGCAAGGCCCTTCTTGCCATATTCCTCAGGCAGAAACAGTGACGAACGCCGGTACACGAGATTCCCCGTCTTTCCCCGTGACTTGTATGTTTCTTTGGCTTGCCATCTCCTCGGTATTGTTGAACAGCGTACAAAGATAATATATGGTAGTATATCATCATCCCTGCCCCTATTATTCGCGTATCTGCCACTTCACGTGGACCATAGCCACAGCTGGGCCCACAGAATGCGCATTGGAGGCTAGTGGCATTGGTCCACTCACATTCTCTATTCCGCTGCCTGACATCACCAGACTCACCGCACTGGCTTGAAGATCAAGCACCCGAATGGGTCTGAGAGACGTTGACAGAGTCACATTTTAAAGCAGTCCGTACCGTCGCCGGCTAGCTGTTCAGCGCTTCCATCATGCTACCAGTGCCTCTGCTAGCATGAATTCCTTCGCAACTATCCTGCAGCCCGCAGCCCGCAAAGGGCCTCGGTATTCAATACGACCATTCTGCGCCACCATAATCGTATTGACAGTCCTTACCACTCTCAGCTGGGTATTGCATACGAGGAATGGACGGATAGTCGCGGGTGCGACCAACTCGTTATTGACTAAACGGGAGAACGAGCCGCAGGTATGCTCCCACGGCTGGGATGAACCTACTCCCAGGTGGATGGGAAGAGAAGAAAAGCTAATTTCGCTTTGTGCAACCTCATACAGTGCCGTCTTGTCCGCAACGCTGAAGACCAATGTACCTTCGTTCGTGAGAACTGCCCCGACCACGAAGATGGCCTGATTTCTTACCTCCAACTCTACTACTGCTCCCTCGCCGATGCGAAGCCGTTCGCCTTTATCATCTTAATCCTATGGCTATCTCTTTTATTCAGCACCATTGGAATTGCGGCTAGTGACTTCTTATGCATTGACCTAAGTACGCTAGCAAGCATCTTGGGGTTGAGTGAAAGCCTGACGGGTGTGACGTTCCTGGCCTTCGGAAATGGAAGCCCAGATGTATTCTCTACATTTGCGGCCATGCGGTCTAATAGCGGGAGCTTGGCTATTGGAGAGCTGATCGGTGCAGCAAGTTTCATCACTTCAGTTGTTGCCGGTTCCATGGCCTTGGTTCGGCCGTTCAAAGTTGCGCGACGCAGCTTTGTCCGGGACGTGGGCTACTTTATCGTAGCTGTTAGCTTTAGTATGGTTCTTTTAGCCGATGGGCATCTTCATGCATGGGAGTCAGCGGCAATGGTCGGGCTTTATGTGTTTTATGTCGTGATGGTAGTCGGGTGGCACTGGTTCCTTGTCCGGCGTCGCCGGAAGTATGAGAGGGACCTCGCTGCAAGAACGCACTTCCACATCCCAGACAATCAAGAGCTGGAAGTTGGACCGCCCGTCGAGGATGATGACCCCGGGGTAGCCTCGGAGTCACGAAGCTTGCTCCTTGGGGCGTCGACTGACGATTTTGATGTGCTGGAACGCGCTGACGGGATGGCAGCTTGGAAGCAGGATGAGGAGGAAGATGATGAAACCCGAAACAGATACCTTGCTGAGATTCGCGACAATATGCACGTTCGCCGGCCTCCCAATCATTCCAGGCGGAACACTATGAATCCCATTCGGCCCAGTCTGGTTGGGGCTCTGGAATTCCAGTCTGTGCTCCATTCACTCGAGAAGGCTCGAAGCACCAGTCACAAACCCACCATTAGTCTGAGTAGCTACTCAGATGATGGAAACAATAATCAGCCTTTTGACACGCGCTCCATCGCATCGCACCCGCGTGCGAGCAGACCTGCGACAGACGACCGCTTGACACCGTCAAGCGCGGCATCTCGAACCAGAGCTGTATCGGCGAATGATGCAGAACGACTCAAATTAGATACAACGTTACTAGGCATGCGGTCAGAACAGGCACCCCGTCTGACTGTGAGCCGACCTTCGAATGAAGGGGGTAAAGGCCTGGCTCTGCCTCGTATCGACACCGATGTGATGTTGACCGCATCTCCATCATCCTCGGAGTTCCCGTCAGCAAACCTGAGCCCCGTGGCTCCACAAACGCCAAATTTACTAGCCCCTCCAGGGTCGTTCAATTCTCCGAACTATAACACAGGTACTACTCATGGGAGGTCTCCAGCCGCAGTGTCCCCCAAGGGTACATGGAACAGCATGCAAACCGGGCCCGAAAGTCCTGCGGTTCCATTTCCCTCATATGTAGATGAGCCATCTGGTCCCTCGTCTCGCCCACCCAGCAGTCGTCTCCCGAATCCTGCTTCTCTCCCCTCGGAGGCTCTCCTTTTTCATGACGGTCTTGATGATATTGATCATGACAAAGCGGCATTCCGGAATCCTTTCAAGCGGCTCTGGCCATACTCTATATTCCCACCTCCTCATCAGGTCGGCCGCACGCTCTTTCCCACGCTGGCAGGCTGGAAGTCAAAGGGCTTTATTGGAAGATCGATTGGAATTGTTGCCGCGCCAAGTGTGTTTTTTCTTACACTGACGATCCCAGTGGTTGAGCCGCAAAATTCCGAATCTGCCGAACCGGATCCAATTCCGTCCGTCGTCATCGAGCAACCCGATGATGAAGGTCATAATGCTCCGCCTGTGAGACTACCAGCCGATAGCCCTGTCATCACACCCCAGGGGCCTGAACAAGAGCATGACTACCAGCTCTCACTGCCACATCCCCATAGGGGAGAAAGCACTCGCCCCCGTTGGGACTCGGAGCTTCCTGCATTGGTACCCGAGGTCTCAGACGATTCATGCTTGCCGGCTAAAGACTGGAATCGCTGGCTTGTTGGTATTCAGCTGTTCACTGGTCCATTCTTCTTTGTTCTCATTGCCTGGACCGCCGTTGATGAGGATAATGATCCTCTCAACCTTCTCTTACCATCCCTACTTTCTCTTCTTTTCTCCCTGGTGTGTCTTTCTTTCCTCATTATATCAACCCGGCATCGACCCTGGCACCAGCGGAGAAACCTCGATCATGATTCACAAACATCGGAAAGACCCATCCGGTTTCTTTCCACCTCATGGCGTTCTTTCCTCTCTCTTCTCGGATTTCTTGTTGCGATATCTTGGATCGCGACCATTGCCACCGAAGTGGTGTCTGTTCTCAAGACGATCGGAGTCATTCTCAACATATCAGACTCCCTCCTTGGGCTCACGGTATTTGCTGTGGGTAACTCGCTGGGTGATCTCGTCGCCGATATTACTGTTGCCCGACTGGGATATCCTGTCATGGCATTGAGCGCTTGTTTTGGTGGCCCTATGCTCAATATCCTCCTCGGAATCGGGCTAGGTGGTTTATACATGAGTCTCAACGGAGGTAAGGGGCGAGGGCGTGATGAGATGCTCAGCGGACTGGCTGTATCGGCCGAACGAGCAGCCTACAAGATCACCATTTCCAAGGTTCTGGTCATTAGCGGTGCTACTTTGTTGATGGTGTTGGTTGGCTTATTGATTGTCGTCCCTTTGAATCACTGGAAGATGGATCGTACCATTGGATATGGTTTGATTGTGGTGTGGTGTTTGAGCACAGTGGGGAATGTGATTGCCGAACTTACCTCATGAGATCATGGGGAAGTGGCGTTTGGGGAAACCATCGAAATAATACCAGAATGGCGTTGGTATGGAGTACCGGCCTGGTTGGTTGTCTGTTTTGACGTGCGTGGGGTAATTTTTAGCCTCGATGCTGTAGCATTTGACTGATGAACATGTTCTCTACTGTACTAATTGGATACGTCTTTTGATGCATGGGAAGAATAGCGAGGTGCTGAATCCCATTCTTCACCCGTTAAATAAATGCATTATAAACCCCTGGCAAGACACAGTGATACAGCTGATTAAACAGGTAGTAGTAGCCTGAAGCATCGCCAGCTAGTCGTTGTACTACTATATCTAAGGAACCTCCGGTTTGAGGCACGAGCAGACGTTTCTGGGTAGAACGAACTAAGTTTCTGGGTACTGGAACAAGATCACCTCGATCCATAATATCCTGGAATAAGAAGGTTGACTTTCATTTCACCACCCAGACCAAGACATGACCTTCCTTTGAGTCAGGATATCTGGTTGTAAGCCATGACAATGAAGTCAGACAACACTAATGTATTTTATCTAGGGCAGGGATTGTCGGTGGTGGTAGAAGAAAAGGACATGGGCATCGAGCCTATAAAGACCTACTGATTTCTCATTCGAGCCTGTTCTTCTTCCTCAGTTCTCAATGTTGAACTTCTCCCCAAGCCACCTTGGTATCTATCGAAGGGATCTTCTCTTTAGTTTTATTGACCTTCTTCATGTTGTAACTTGAAGAAAAAGTCATCAGTAATAACAGTTTGCAGGCCAGTCCTACCATCCTTCTCGCCATATTCCCTCTGACGACACACAAAGATAGTACAGCTTCGGCCTTCACGGTCATGACCGGGTGCTACAACCTACCTTTGGGCGAAACGATCGGCCCATTGGCCTGAATCATCTGCGCAGAAATCTTCGACACCAAGACCCGATGAAAGGACATGTCGATCGCAACCATGGCCTCTTTTGCCCTTCAACACAATGATTGTCGAGGTGACAGACATTGCCATCAAAAATATCGGCAGCTGGAGATTTCACCTCGTCTTTTGCGTCTGCGGAGGCTACTAAGCGGCCGCTGGAGGAGATGAATGATCTCTTTATGCATAAGCCCTAACTTGTCCCAGGGCCCCAGACAAAGAAGCCTAATGAGCGAGCTAGGCTATCGCCTGTTCGGACTTCTGGAGAAATTGAAGGGCATTTTGATGGTGAATATAAGAAAGTTCTAGTGGTTTAGTGGAGGCGGTAGTGTTTGGAGAAGGCCGATTTAGCGTTGCCGGCCTGAGTGGCTGAGACGGTCAGAATAAACCAAGCGCTGAATTGCCTGTGGTTATGATTTGTAAAGTAAATAAGACATTCTGACTGAGCCGCATATAGTCGGGGACAATCTGCTTGTCTGCCTGGCAAGGCGATCCTAGTGGGGGCTGTGTGTGCCAAGTCAGCAAAACGCTTGAGGAAGAAGCAGGCACACTTCAGCTCGTCCAATATTTGAACTCTGTCTTCTTCGAAAAGAGCTTTTTATTGGAATTATTGCGATGATGATTCGCGCTCTGCTATAGCATCGCCTGAATGTCCACCCTGTTCGATTATCATGGAGCTTCTGGCATTGCCTCGGGAGATCATCTCGCTCATAGCCCAGAGCCTGCCCTCCGCGGCCGAGATGGCCGTTCTCCTGCGAGTGAATCGCTGCTTGAATAAGATCCTCAGGGACGACATTCATATCCGTGACATCAAAGACACAGGAGGTCTCAATTTGACCTTCTACGCCTTTTGGGGCTACGACCAACAGATCCGCGATATGCTTCGCCTGGGCGCCGATATCAACATCCGGAACACGCGCTGGAGAGATTACACGCCGCTCGAAGTTGCCATAAGTCGCGCCGAACTGTCTGCCGTGCGAGTGCTACTCGAGCATGGCGCAATGGCTCACAAGTCCCCCCCGGGCATTGGTGCTGGCTATCAAAACCGAATGCGAGGACCCGACCTGCCGCGAGGACCTCACCTTGATGAACATGCTGATCGACGCGGGCGCCGATCCCAACGAGCCGTTCGAGGGTCGTCTGCCTGTTTCCGTAGCCCTCAGCTCGAGCTCCCGTGATCCTGTCAAAGTCGAATTGCTGATTGCGCGTGGCGCCGATGTCACTGCCTTTGGAACCCTAGCGCGTATTATGCAACACCTCGAAGCAGACAAGCTTCCGACGGCGGCTCGAAAGATCCTCTTCTTCGAAGTTCTCCTGGGCGCCGGCTGCGACGTCAATGCTACTGTGCCGAGTCCAGCTCTCAATATAGCAGCTGAGAGCGTCCCGGAACTCGTTCCATTGTTTCTGGAACATGGCGCCGATGTACATGCCAGGTCTGTTAGAGAAAATAGGACGGCATTACATTACGCAGTGATGGGAAATAGTGATGCTCATATAGATGCTACGCGCCTGTTGATCGAGCACGGAGCTGATGTCAATGCTCGAGACGCATACGAGTGTACCCCTTTACACTATGTCAGAGGAGATCGACCAAAATACCGCCAGCTAGCAGACATGCTCTGTGCAGAGGATGCAGACAAGGACGCCCGCGATAAGGATGGCCACACAATTCTCCACAAGAATTTCAAGTGCAGCAGCTGGTCTACATACAAGAAAACTGCCTCGGAGGTCGAATGCTTAGTAGATGCAACGAGGTGGATGGCAGAGCATGGAATCGACTTCAATGTCCGGGATGAGACTGGCGAGACGGCAATTTTCAGTCTCATTCACCCCAGATTCGCTGGGCATACCCATGTTAGCACTATACTAGAGTTGGGAGCTGACGTGAACTCGCGAAGTCCGCACGGCCGCACGCCCTTGATGCAAGCGGCCAGGTACGGGTTGAATCAGGTTGTGAGACTTTTGCTCGAGAACGGGGCCGATGTTCACCACGCAGATAATGATGGGTTGCAGGCGTTGCATTGGGTGTCACGGCTCAAGGCAAGATCCCAGAATCCAACGGAGATGCTTGACTGTATTCATGCTCTACTTGACTATGGAGCGGACGTGAACGCGCCAACACTCAACGGGTCTACTCCATTAAGCCTCGCGTTAACAGCCTTTTGCCCGTCGAGGGACCAGGCTTTGAGGGATGCTGGTGCCATTGAGCCTCTTGAATCCATACAATCAATTAACTCCCATTGAAGTAGTATACCAGATGCAATATGAGAAGACAAGGAAATGAGTAGATATAGGGAATGACACTACACAACAAGCTAAACTACACCCTTCATGGTCGTATCTCCATGTTATCTCATGTACGAGTGCGTATCCATAGCTGAGATCCACCTCATAAGCAAGGGTGAAAGTTGTATAGAAAGAGGAAAACTGGAAAGAAACGGCTGACAAGCCCATGCGAAAGGAGGAAGAAAAGCCCAATTCGCCCAGATCTGTACAATATGTTCTGCAACCCTACTATTTGTGTTTCTCACAGCACGCGCCCAGCGGACGAACTTGTGCTGCGGTCATTTGTCTGCACCTTGCGGAGACCAGTGCCTGCTTGGATAGATGCAAGTAGAGCGGCGCGATCTCCACCACCGGCGGCAGGTGGAGGGGCAGGCGGTGGAGGACCACCAGCGCCACCGGGGGGAGGGGGAGGGGGCGGAGCAGCGGGAGCTCCAAAGCCAGGAGGTGGAGGTGGCGGTGGTGCACCCATTCCAGGCGGCGGGGGTGGAGGAGGAGCACCAGCACCTGGTGGAGGGGGAGGTGGGGGAGGTGGGGGAGTACCGGCTGGTAGAACCGGCGCAAAGGGCTCGGGCAAAGACACAGCCGGAACAGGAGGCGGAGGAGGAGGAGCGATGGGGCTATCCTGAACAGGGGTGGCGTTCTTGGAATCCTTGTCGTCCATAGCGCTCAGGGGACGCGGGGGCGCCATGGTGCCGAACAGGATACTGGCAAGCTGCTTAGCACTGCCGCCACCGGTACGCTCGTCATCGTCATCGTCAGAAGAGTCGCTCTCAGATCCAGCATTGGACCAGTCATCTGCCTCGTCAGGACGGGCGCGGGATTTGCGCTCCAGAGGTCCGGCGCCGGTAAAAGTTGGCTTAATTGGCTCCTGCTGGGTGAGACGGTGGAATGGGTTGGTGGAATGAGCGGCTGGTGGGGTCGCGGCTGGGGCCGATTCAGATGGGTGACTGAGAGACTTGAAGTAAGGGTTTTTAGACTCAGTATCAGGAGTGGCCGCTGGGGCGGCTTCACGGCTAGTATCAGGAGAGCTGGGCGCGGAGGTGATTGCCTGCTCATGCTCAGGCTCAGGCTCAGGCTCAGCAGCTTCTGGAACCGAGATGACCGGGACTGGTGGCGGAGGCTGAGGGGGGAGAGTTTGGCTTTCCGTGGGGGTGCTGTACTGAGGTGTTGTGACATCCTGAGGTCCCTCGTCATCCGATGAGCTATCGTCGTCCATGTTCTCAAGCTCCCGCTGCAACTGAAGCTCTCGCTCCTTGGCGGCGGCGATTTCAGCCCGTTGTGCGGCAAGCCTGGCATCTTGCTCCTTAGCTATTCTAGCAGCCTCTTCCTTGCGACGTTTCTCCTCCTGCTTCTTCATCTTGCCCTGTCGCACCTGCTCCTCGAGGGCGCGAAGTCGGGCCTCCTGAGCTTCCTTCTCTTTCAGAATCTCTGCCTCACGCTGCTGGGCCTCCTCCCTATAGAACGCGTTAATAGATGTGGTAACAATTGGATCAGAATGGTGAACTTACTCAAGACGGCGAGTTTCGGCTTCCTGAGCCTCCTGTTCTTCCTTGATAGCCTGCTCACGAGCGGCATACTCAGCGGCGTCCTGGCCCTTCTTGGCTTCATCCTGGCCAGTACTCTCGGAACGGCCTCTGCGAGTGGGAGGCGCAGGAGGTGGCTTCTTGCCAGCAACCTTTGGTGCCGCTGAAGGGGCAGCAGCAGCAGCAGGAGCCAGGGGCGTTTCACCACGTTCCTCGGCCAAGCGGCGCTGTCTCTCAACCTCACGCTTAGCATCTTCTTCTTCAGCGCGCTTGAGACGATCCTCGCGCTCCTTTCGCTCACGTTCCTGGCGTTGTTGAAGAGTTTCGCTTGCATCACTAGGCTTTAAGCCAGCAGCCGCCATGCGCTCGGCAATGCGCTTCTGGGCACGCTCTCTGGCAGCTGCAACACGATCCTCGTGCATGTTACGCGACGGGCTGGCTGATGATGAGGCGGCTGGAGCTGCCACAGGGGATTCGACAGCAGGTGGCGGCGATGTGTACTTTGACCGATCTTCCTTCGCAGCTCGCTCCCGTCTATAATGCGTTAGTTAAGTGTCACCAGGGAGAGCAAAAATAGATAAATAATAGACAAAAAAACTTTTGAACAGGGGGAGGGAAAAAGTAACATACTCTTCTTTTCGAATGCTGGCAGTCCGGCTGTTGCGGCTCAGATCATAGATAAAGTCACGGATAATGTTCTCGACGCCCAAGGCATCCTCCCAACGGCGCCTCTCGTGCTCGCGAGTCGAGTTTTCCCCTTCGTCGCGAAGGCTGTCCTCAAGGCTACGAGCGAAATCGCGCACGCTGATCTCAACATCACGAGTCATTGCATCATTGCGTTCTCTCTCAGCCTTCGCATCGGCCGTTTCGGATTCCAGACGGCGAGCAGATTCCCCGTCGTCCTCCTCCTTTGGTACGGGACGGCCCGCAAGCTCAGCAGCACGGGCCTGCATACGAGCACGAGCGCGGGCCTTGATACGGTCCGATTCGGTGATCGCGCCACCGGGGCCAGTGCCAACAATATTGGAAGCACTGTTGGGGTTGGCCTTGGACTCCTTCAAGCGGAAGAGCTCAACCCTAGCCTCAGCGATCTCGCGCTCAACACGGCGAACCTCAGATGCAAGCTGGGGGACCTGATCTTCAAAAGATTGCAGCTGGCGTCGCAAAGCTCTGCGCTCGGGGCCACTGTCCAAATTGCGGAAAGATGCGTTAGGATGAGTATCAATGTCGTCCTGAACACGGCGAATCCGGTCCATAAGGCTCTCAGCCTCTCGGCGGTCACGGCGGTCAAGGACTTCGTCATCTTCAGCTCCTTTCTCATCCTGGAAGTCAACAGCATCTAACATGACCTTGGTTTCGCGGATCTTCTTTTGAAGCTGTTGGACAGAAAGTTCTTCTCCTTCCGAGGTCTGAGAGTTGGATGGAGATGGAGTGCGTCCGTCGTTACCAACACGCCGGCGAGCACTGGATCGATATCCTCCAGCAGAGTCGTTGTTCTTAAACATGGTAGCATCTTTACGGTTGCCTCCTGCGGTTGATCCACCGCCGCCACGGAAAGAGTGATCCTTGAGGTAGCTCACGCCAGTCTTTTGAGGCTGCAGGAATGCGCCGGTAGCCTTGCGGTTCTCAGCGTCCTGAGACAAAAGCGACTTGACTGTGCCAATGGAATCATTCAAATGGCGCGTCGACGGAGGAATAAGCTCAGGCGGCAGACGACTCGGGACAGGATATCCGTTCAGCGCACGGTAAATCAAGTGCATAGCCACAGCGAACTCGTCCATATTCAGGCGACCACGGTTGTGGGGGTCAGCCAGAGTCCAAATTCGCTCCAGGTCCTTTCTGTTGAGCCCACTCTGGCCCATGATTTCGATAGCGGTCTCGCCGCCAATGAAGCCCTTGCGCATGCCATCCCAGGCACGGAAAAGGTCGTCGTAAATCTTCTTTTCCTCTTTTGTAATAGCCCAGGCGACAGTAGCATTCCCTGAGAGAGCAGACATATTGAAGCCACCTTCACGCCCAGGTTGGGGCATAAGCTGCTGCTTCATCGCTTCAATGTTTGGCAAACCTTGTGCAGGAGTATTGATAAAGCCCCACTGTCCAGGAATGCCGGTGGGCTGGGCGGCCAACCCTGTAGGCTGAACGGCCAAGCCACCAGTCTGCGCAGGACTCAGGTTCGACCCGAAGCTGTTAGGCATAGGCGGCATCGGAGGACGCGGGCCATTGTAACCGGTAGCCTGGGGGTTGGTCAGGAAGCCAGTCTGCTGAGGCTGAAGCCCCGGCTGGTTCTGTCCAGGGAATCCTGTTTGCTGAGGCTGTAAACCGGTCTGCTGAGGGAAGAATCCGGTGGGCTGAGCTGTCAATTGGGACAGCAGCTGCTGGTTACTAGGTTGCTGGGGTTGGGGTTGCTGAACAATTGGAGGGGTCGCTTTATTCTCCAGAAGAGGGGCATCGAAACTAGGGACGTTGGTTCGCTGGGCTGGCGCAGGCTGGTTGTCGGGCACACCAAAAGAGATGATATCCACCATACTGGAAACCTCATTCTTGATAGTCTCAGGCAATGTGGACGGGATCTCACGTCCGGTCAGCCTCAGGTTACATAGATACATTGCCAGCGCAAATTCTGGGAAAAGCAGCTGGCCAGACTTCGTAGAGTCGGATAGAACCCAGATCTTCGATAGATCACTCCCAGGAAGCTTGGAGCGCATCAGAAGATCGCGGGCCTTTTCGCCATCCATTGCTTGACTGTCACCCACGGCAGACTTGAACAGCTGTTCAAACCGAGCCTGGTCTGTGGCGGTGATGAAAGACAGGCGAATGCTCGGAATGCGAGAACCAGTCTTCGGAGGAACACGGGGAGGTGCGTCTGAGGAGCCAGGAGCCTGGAAAGAGTTGGCCATTTCACTCGAGGTCTTGTTTCGCGTGGGGAGTCCGGTAGGCTGAGAGACCTGCAATTGCGGGGCTTGTGGCTGGGCCTGCGCCGGAGGCTGCGATTGAGGGAGTCCGGTGTATTGAGGCTGGAAGTTGTGTTGCTGAGTATGCTGTGGCTGCTGGAGTTGTGGTTGTTGTCCAGGGAACCCAGTATACTGCGCCTGGAGCTGTCCCGTGGGGAACCCTGTGGGCTGAGGTTGAAGCTGGGAGTTACCAAACGGTGACGGTTGACCAGCAAATCCGGTAGGCTGGGGAGCAAGCCCAGTTGGCTGGGGAGCAAAGCCCGTGGGCTGGTGTTGTTGCATTGGGGCTTGTTGCTGGCCGAATTGCGAGTATTGCTGTTGCGGCTGCTGTTGTTGCATGAATGGTGCCTGGCCTGGTCGGCCACCGCCACCACCGCCGATGAAGGAATTCGACGAGGAGAACATTACGCTAACTGCGCTTGCATGGACAAAACAGATTCAAGAGACCCGCTCAAGGGTCAATAACAAAAGGAAGGCTGAGGAAATGGCAGAGGCAAGAGGGTCAGGAGCAGCGAAATGACGCCGTCCCCGGGGCGCGCGGTGCGCTAGCCACATTAGGGGCTTAGTCAGGTATGGGGCTGGAACTACAAAGTTACGAGTATTTTAACCAAGGATGATATCGAATACTCCATATGACAGCCCATTAGTTCCAGAAGGTAAAAGGGAAATACGGAAAACCTTATGCTGACGCCAGGTCCCTCAAAACATGCTGGGAATTGCATCCGATTGATTTCACAGTGAATGTGTCTCAGTTTCTGTAACAGGGTGATAGTAGACACGGGAGTCAAACTACTAGGTGCATCGCGTTGTACGGTGGGTTATGAGTCGAGCGAGCCACCTATTTGGTGTTATTCGAAGAAGCCTACGAAAGGAGAAGCACAAGCGCAAGGAGAATCTCTTAATTGCATCTGGTATCATATGGAGTCCTCGCCGGGACGATAGAAATTCACGAAAAGCCCATGCTGGCCTCTGCCCCGTACGCCGGTAACAATAATAAAAAGAGAACAAGAGATCACCGGCACCTAGATCACCAGGGACAGGAAAGACACAAGGACACGCCGGGGCGTAAACCGCCGGGATGGGAAAGCAAAAGAAGAACACCCTCGAGGCTTAAATCGCCGGGATAAGAAAGCACAAGAAAAGTAAGAACACGTTAAGAATCTCCCGCAAGACGACGGAGTTGCGTTTACTCCACATTCTGCTGTTGGTTGGCGGCGTTAGCCATCTTCCGCAGCTCGTATTCCTTTTGGAACTCGCGTGCCAGGATAGCGAGATCCTTGATCAGGGCCTGAGATGCCGTAATGACAGCCTTGCGGGGGGTGATCTCGCCATCGGTCTGCACACGGAGCAGGAAGTTGGGGGTCAAAGGGTGAGGGACCTGGCAGGTGATAATTAGCTTCGCATTGCACGTGTGTAGTGACGAAGGAACTTACCCGGTAGGCAGCGAAGACGACGTGCTTGGTCTTCAACAGACGACTGCGCAGCATGTTGCCCAAGGTGTGGTCCTCCTTGTGGAAAGTGAAGATGGCAGCGTTGGGAATACCTTGCATAAGATGTTAAGCTTTCCTGGGATTCATGATATTGATGGGGCTGAAAAAAAACATACGGGTGTCAATCTCGACATCAATTTTGTTTTTGTCGGGACCAAGCAGGATAGACTCGTATCTGTTTTCAGTGTTAGGAATCGAGTGCGGCGAAAATCTACCGACAGACTGATGGCTATCGTTTCGATGAAGTGAAGGAGGGGTAGGATCGAACAAGTCTGGGCGGTCGTCGACAGAACGATTAGGACCGTCACGCTGGTATCGGTAGCCACGACGGCCAGCTCTGTGACGGGCAACAGCTTCCTCCCTGGTCATCATCCGCTGGGGACGTCGCGAACCCGTTCCGAGTCCGCGACGGGCAAAGGCTGCTGCTTCGTCTGGCGTCATAGCGTGGATACTCTCGCTAGCCATCACCCGCTGACCGGAAGAACTCGAAGGAGAAGCCATCGTAGAAACGGACACTTCTTAACGCGTATGAAGGAAGCAGGCGAGGCTCAAGAACTTGCAAGTGCGCGCCGGGAGGAACAAAGGCGACTTGGGGAGAAGAGGGAAAGTTCGTGTTGAAGAGGCAAGGAAGTGTATAGAAGTAGGTGGCAGAAAACGTGCAAAAAAGGCAGGAGCGACCACGCAAACGGCGGCAAGAGCTCCTGCTCAGAATACAAGAGCTCACCACAAGGCAAGAACCCCCAGCTCATGGCTCAACCGGGTGTCTGAGGCATTGGGAGGGACCCAATTGAGGCCACGAAATCATTGGCATATCCTCGTATAAACTATGCTCAATCTGGTATGCCATAGCAGTATGTCATAGCAGTATGTCATGGCATAGAAAGGCCACAAGGAGCCATTGCAGCATGAAGATGATATGCTCAATTGTATGCCCCCACATCATGAGACATCGAAACGCAGAGCAAAAACTCGCATAAGAAAGTGGAAAGGGTTATTAACTGCTTCCGCAGTGAAAACTTACCGATCAGGGGCGTTCATGATGGCGTTTAAGAATAGTCAATGGATGTCAAATGCTATGAATAAGAATGAATGGATCTGCGGCAAGGTCTTGGTTGTGCGTCGGCGGCAATAGAGATTCAGGGCTCTAGAGAGTGGGAACCAAGGGTTGCAGCTTTGTAGTTCTGAGATGGCCAGAAAGGAGCAATGTCGGGTCTCGGTCAAGGCAGAAGTCGATGGTGCGTTCTCGACTCGAAATAAAGTATGACCTAGGCTGCAGTGTACTGAAAAATGGGAGAATGTAAGGAAATTGCGAGGCTTAGCGGCCTGCTCGCCAGAATACTTGATTAGATGAGGGTTAATCAAGGCCTGGCGTACTAGAAGTCTGTGGTGGAGAGTGTGACTGTGAAGTCCAGGCCGCGAAGATGTTGGATATTCACCACGTGACTCCAGGGCTTTCTGGAGTTAACTAACTAATGAATATGCTTATTAAGGGTAGTTTGTCCATACAATCACGTGATGTGTACCTAGTCTATAGAGTAGAGATCCCGTACATCAGGGCGTTTTCCGAGTCTTTCTAGTGGGTGCAAAAATAGGCGGTACTTGTAGGAGTATTCTTTCATTTCCTAGCGACCCAGGGCCAGACCTGGTCATCTAGCACTAGAAGTCAGCCACATTCATGTGCATAGTGCAGCACTGAACATACCGCTAAAGTTCAGCAGCGGCTTTGATTGACTTTAACCACAAATTTGATAGGAAAAGTGATAATCTATCGCAAATCAAGCCAAATGGCAGGCAAAACAGTCATCAATATATTAAGGGTTGGGTCAAGTATCTCTACCCAAATAAAAAAGGACCAGAGAAGTTCGGCTGCGCATCAAATAGACAAGAAAGTTAACACAATGAAACGCCATGCCCGTGCCCTGCGCCAATGCCAGAAAATAAATAAAGGAACGGACGGTTCATGATCCCAAATGCAGCTCCTCGGAACCAACGTAAAGATTGTCGAGGAATTGCGCAAAAATAAAAAGTGAAATAAGAGGACGCAAGTCCGTTGGAAAAAGAAGAAAACATGAAAGGTTGGCGTGTCCCGTCAATATCGCTGAATGTGCGTGGTCTTCGTGTCATGCTTAGACAGCTCAATGAGATTAAGGGGAAAGAAAAAGAATCTATACAGCACAACGGATGGTGATCCGTTGAGGCTGGAATGCATGCAAGCTTTTGGGGGAAAGAGGAAGGTTGCTTTCGGCCTAGAGTCCGAAAAACAGAAGAAATAAAGCAGCTTTTAATGCACTGCACCGAGTATATCTCCAAGGGGAGGGTTTCCTTTCTTCAGCTTCCAACCACTCTTCTTCTTATCACGCTTCTTCATCATTTCAGCCCAGGCTTCATCGTCATCATCATCAGAACCAGCAGGTGCTCTGGGTCCCACAGATGGTACCTGGCTGGATCGTGACACAGGTCTCACAGTCACAGTAGCAATGGTGGTGTTCTTCCCAAGGCTTCCGTGGGACTGAGAAGTAGGAATATTAGGATGGAGACGATTTTCATCATTCCAACTCTTATTTGAGGGAGAGGTATGGGAGTAGCCAGCTTCGCCTTGCATGACCGAGACAGGTCGGTATCGAGATGCAAGGCCGACATTGCTGCGCTCAGAGGGGGCGATCGACGGCGCATACCCAGTGCTGGGGCGGAAGTTGGTACTTGCTCCTTGTAAGTTAGGCATGGGAGACCCAGTACGGCGCATAGCAATATTCGGATCAATCACGCTCAAGGTTCGTTGATCACGAGCAGGCTGATTCCCTGGGTATCCAGGCATGGAAACAGGTCTCATGCCAGCACTGGGCGCAATTGACGGAGGGCCCATCATGGGAGGGCCCTGTGGAGTCCCAGGCATTGGAGCCTGTCCGATCGTACTTGGCGGCGGCATACCACCATGCATTGAGGGCGGACCCTGCATCATAGGTGGCTGCATCATGGGTGGAGCCCCTTGGCCACCTTGAATTGCCATCATTTGCTGCATCCATTGCATTTGCACTTGCATCATATCAGTCATCTGTTTGGAGAGCTGAACTTGTGCTTGTTCGGATGCGCTCATCGGGCTAGCAGGCATGCCAGGCTGGGGGGCCATGCCCATCATCGAATATGGCCGAGGGACCCCTCCTCCCACGTTGTCAAACATGGCTTGAGTATTGGGGCTGCCCCTTCGCATAGCACGAGCCTGCTCTTCTTTGGCAATAACGCCGACTAAACCACCTGGTACTGCAGGTGGGGCACCCCCATGAACTGAGCCACCACCTAGGGCCAAGGACTCTCGGTTACTATGGTTGACCAAGCCAGCGCCGAAATATGGGTCGGGAGGGAGATTTCGAGCAAAGACAGGCAAAGTGCTGTTTCGGTTGCCCTGCTCGATCCCGACGACGCCGCCTACCAACGAGCTAGAGGAAGACGAGAAGGGATGCATTGAGGCGCGGAGGTTCGGATTAGAGCTCGCGTTGGCCAATCGAGTAGGGGGGCGGTTCCGGTTGGGGAACCCGTGAGCGGCGAGAATACCCAGTGGGATCTCCTCGTCGTCATCCTCGCTACTCTTACCGACACTGGAGGGGACGCCTGCATTGGGCAGACTGCTGTGTAGATTGGGAGTGCTGTTGCTGGCACCATTCACGACAGGGCGGAGTAATGGTGATGGGGCTTGCTGACCGGTGACCTTCATCATTGATTGACGGTATAGGGATAGATTGGCTTCTTGCTTGCGCCGTTGTTGCTCTCTTTCGCGCTGCTTTTCAATCTCGTCTTCGTCGTCTTCGATATCATCGTTATCAGAATCTTCGTCACTCTTGGTGGCATTACTATTTGAGCGTCGGAGCTCCTGCTGCTGGCGATAGTGCTCAAACTGAGACGGGGTCATCACCTTGTTGCCAGGGGAAGCCGTCTTGGGCAGACTCTCGGCGAATTGAATCGCAAGGCGAGCATCTGCCAACGTGGAGTCCTTTTGTTGGTTCTTGTTTGGCGATTGCCGGCCTACGAACAAAGATTCTGGCTCGGGATCCCGATTTTCAGGAGAACTTGCGGCTTTGCCTTTGTCAAGGAGCGGGGTGCCATAAGACGGAGATGCATGATCAGCCCACTGAGGTGGAGAGCTGCTCCCTTTACTCCACAGCAGGGAGTTTCTCACCATCGCAGCATCCTCATCATCAATTGTATTAGAGTCTCGTTTACCTGCGAACACGACGCTGCGACGCAATCCATCGAAGTCGGACTGTCTTCGGGGGCGCTCCAGGGCACGGTGGGTGGTCGTAGCACCGAGCATATGGTTGGGACCTGGCGACGCACGACGGAGAGGAATGTTTTCCTGGGGAGAGTCGATCGGCGAGTTTCCATCGGCGCCCAGTAACCCCTCTTCAGAATGACGGCTACCCCATGAGTAAGGGGATGGCTCAACGGGCACTGATCGATCCGTACTAATGGGTGCCGGTCGAGGGGCCCTAGTGGCCTGGAAATCTGGTAAAGCCTGAGTAGGCGGAGAAGAGGAAAACTAGAAAGACAGTATTAGTTATATCCCTTACGTGGTATGAGCCGAAGGCGCTGTACCTGGGAGGTCCGCTGAGGAGAACGATCGCGCAAAACAACATTATCCGGTTTATCTAAATGATCGAACATCTTCCCGAAATCGTCACCCCCTGCGGCAAGGTTGAAGTCCGAGTCCATTAGTTTTGGAGGAGTCGCTGTATCGTCCGTACCTCCGGAGACGGTCCGCTGCCGACTTGTTTGGTCAGGGGTAGCATGTCGTGGAGGGGCTGGGGGAATTGAATTATTTGATTTGAATCGGCCACCAAAAGAGAACGTCCTGCCTGCAGCACGTAGGGCTCCGGAGAGAGGAGGGGGAACAGGAATGTCATGGACTCTGGCATGCGGAGAGCGATCGTCGGGCGGGGGAACTTCCGTGGAGGAGGGTTGAGTAGAGGAGGAGCTTAAACGGGTTGAAGTTGAGCTTTCGTAGGTGGCACCGCTACGGCGACGTGGAGTCAGTTTGGGTTTCCGGGACTTGAATGGATGAACTATGGACCAGGAGCGGTCATACCGAGATTTGCCCAAAGGTTGTTCCGGGTCGATGAAAATGTTGTCATCCTCCAGCATGGATGGCACAATGTTTCCCCTCGCTCATCCGTTTGGTTAGCATGCCACCATCGGTCATGGATCGATTGGGACCAGGGCGTTCGAAGACTCGAAACGAGGGAGAATTGGGCTCCTCCACGTCCTCCAGGATGTTGCCTGACGACTTTCGCCGGCCAAAGCTCTTGGGAAGCTTAATAGGCATGAGGGGTGTGGTCTGGGACCTGGGTCCAGTGAATGTCCGCGGGAGGTCTGGATGGTAGCCCTGGTGTTTTGATTCTCTCGTATGTTGTGTCTCCGTGTCCAGTTCTGCCGATCCGGAGAGTGGGTTAAGCTGTGTGGAGTTCGACGTGTCAGATGCAGGAGAGAACAGTAGGAAGCGATCAGTCACGTCAGGGGGAGGGTGGGGAGAGAACAAGATGTGTCCACCGGTAGTCGCAAGGGAGAGGACAAAGAGCGAAGTTGGGTCAGGGGAAGGTTGTGGCGAAGAGGATCAGGTCGTCAAAGAAGCGTCTGGTACGGGAATTTACAGCCGAGTTAACAAGGAACAATGCGTTTAGCGGCTGATCAAGTCCCGGCAGGAATCCACCATGTGGGTTTGGGGTGTTGTGATCTTTCCTGTCATTCACCACTTGGAGAGAAAGGGATTGCAAAGAAGCGAAGCGATGGAAAAGAACTTTGGAAAGGATAGCCCGCTCAGGGTGAGACTAGGTCAAAAGGCGGATTGGCCGTTTCAGTTGGCTCCGCCCGCGGGCTCGAGATTTTGACTCGCACCTGAACAGTCAGATCTAGAGTGGGAAGTGGAGTAAAAGTCAAACCTTTTCCTCAGGATTTTCCGCGTCTTTGCAGGTCCTTTTCGGATTGTTACTGGCCGTAAAACCCTAAACCCGGGCTCTACACAGGGCGCTTAGCACTGTTCTCCAGGGAAACGGGAGCTCTGTCGTGCGAAGAAGAGAAAGAGAGGAATGAGGGTGGAGAATTCCTAGAGCAAGAAAACTATCGTGGCACGGAATACGGAAGTCCTCACAAATCTGCTCGGATTGGCTCAGAATTGGGAAAATCCACTACTCCGTAATTGCATTCTATAGTCCTCCAACCCTGGGCTCGATTGAATAATTGGGCAGCACAGACGCCGAGGGGCTTTCCTAGTCCCTGCATAGGGCCCATTGCCCGGGAGACATTGGTATTATATTTTGGGACATGCTAGGCTATAGGATGGCTCTATCTAAGGTGCCGGGCGTAAATCGTACCTGGTACATAGTTATATGAATCGAGATATGGTGTGTCACCCGTGTCCTGGCGGGTGCTGACGACTCTGGCAGCCAGAAATGGACCCAGAACTGGGGTTGCGTATGTATATACATGGTCGATCACCTTAATCCTGCAGATGTGCAAGTTCTTCCCTGAAAAAGTTGGTAAAAATCATCACGCCACTGGAGGCTTTGAATGCCTTGGCCTGGCCCTACAGCTCATGAGTAAGTTCGACGCCATGCTCCAATGTTCGATTCTCAGCGCGAGTGAAACATTCATACTATCTATAGTTAGCGGCGGAGGGGAACCCACCTAAAAATAAACAGCCTTTTCCTTAGACCCGGTTCTCCCGAACCGGAATGTCACCCAACTTATGTTTTCTTTTTTTCTCGATGGCCTTGCCTGCTTTGCACCAAGAATGTGGTGGCGTCGACGGTCGAGGCCACGGCCGCATGAATGGATTCCTCGGTTTTGCCATCAACATTCTGCGATCGCGCCTGTCAATCTCCTCCCAGATGAAAAGAACTGGACCCTTCGGAAATCATGTGAGATCGACAGTCCCCGGTGCTTTTGATTGGCTACTGAATGCGTCGGAGTACGTATGGCTCTTGGCGGCTATTTACTAGTACTTCGGTTATTGCTGTGTAGTTAGTATTCTACCAGTACTTTAGTTATTATGAACGGTTACTCAATGAGCCATATATAAACACCGCAGTCGGCTGATCACCTTGTCCAACGCTACATTGCGTCACTCGAGACTCGAATCACAGCGGAAGTACTCGACGGAACAACGGAACTGCTAGAATCAAGATGGAAGATTTTCAAGATTGCTGGATACACATGGGAACCACACATTATCGTTGCCCGCGGTGTCTGAGAACTACACCGCCTGTCGCCATCTAGCTCATACATATTCTACAGATCGTGCGCAATGCACCCGTTTCAAGGTTGCTTCCACCCCGAATAAAATCAAGGTACCTGAGCCTTCTATTTGGCAAAGTGGAGATCATAGTTCAGCCACTTGCGGGCATTGACGCCATCCACGTCTAGGCCGGGCGTACCGTAAGTCAATGGCGCGAAGAAGACGAAGCCCCAGATGGTAACCGCGAGAATGGCCAGGGTGGCCACCCATCCCGCGATCACCGATTTGATACCCATACGTTCCTTGGCTGTCACGAACCGGCCCACACTGCGGCTGCCACGGAGGCCCTTGGCCTTGCCCGTTGGATCATCAACCGGGGGTGCGGCGGTGGTGGGGTCGATCGGCTGCAGATTGAAGATGAACTCGACCAATGCGCCCGTTATCATGGTCGATGCCAGGTGGGACGGTAGGTAGTGGTGCAGGAAGCGTTGACGGCCCATTAGCCAGAAGGGGAAATAATGAGCAGCCCAGCATAGGAACAGGAATCCAGTGCTGTTGTACAGGCGGGAGCGAGCACCAAGACCCCAAACTGTAGAAAAAAAAATTAAAGGCGTTAGGCTACTGGCGGCAAATTAATCAGCGGATTTGCAACTTACTTTCTTCCAATGCATCAACACCACGGCGGAGAGAGAGCTGATCAGCGCCAACAATGCCAGCGAACACGGCCAGCAAACTGCTAGCAATCCACCATCCAACAGGGTTACCCAAGAAATAGATCTGCTCACGAGTTTCATTCTTGGTCCAGAAGCTAACACCACGAAGCAGGAAGGGCCACTGGAAGGGCTCGGTAGCATATGGATGGCTGCTAGTCAAGGCATTGTTGTGGTGGAACATAGCACCCTGCAGCTCAAAGTATTTGCGTAGGAAAGAGAGATGCTTGATCTGGCGCTCTTCTCTCTGCAGACGGGGGCTTCCTTCCGGAATGCCCTCAATTGTTTCAGCGTACCAGATATTACTGGTCTGCAAGATGTTCTTGTTACCATTAATTTCAGCCTGCTTGAACGCCCAGTCAGGGAGCGGAGTACTATGAGTCCACATAGCCACGCGAGAAGGAACGTGAATAAGCTTGAAGAGGCTGGAAAATGTACGGAATTCTTGACCGGGCTTCCCATTCTCGACCTTAATCTCGAAAAGGGTGTCATTGTGTCGATCTCCATCAGCCTGATCTTGTGGCACTGTAGTAAACTCCTGATTGGTAGGATAGTAGGGGATGCAACATCGTGCGACAAGAGATAAGAGTCAGTACCGACGTGGCGGAGCTGGATCACATCTCCGTTTCGTACACTCCTAGGAGCACCACCCACAATGGGTTCGCTGGGCAGAATCTGCCACAGGTTATTGGTATCGTTGTGAGGATAACCAGTCACTTGCTGTCCTTGGCTGGAGATACGACCATCATCGTAACGCAGAGGATAGCGCTCCCAGTGACTGTGGAGGAGAACCCTGGTGTCCTTGTGGCGCAAGGTAATGTGGTCAAAGTACTGGACACCAACAGACTGGGCAGTCATCGCGTTGTCACTCAGGGTTTCCTGGAACTCCGGCGACATGAACTCATCGCCAGGGCCGGAGCGGGTGAGGATTGTGAAGTGCACCTGGAACCAAAAAAGGTAGAAAAAGAATGGAATGATGACGAGAGAGACCGCGCGTGCCATGAAGTGCTTAATCCAGGTGAACATATCGAGGGCACCCTCGCGGCGGTTGATATCCAGCAAGTTCCACAAGTCAATAAGCACGGCCGCGCCAATAGTGACAAATGTGAAGACACCGACGTATTTGGTGGAAATCACACAGCTCAGGAAGAATCCAGTCAGAAGCAGCCACTTCCACCACTTTCGGCCAAATGGCTGGTGTCGTAACTTGTAGAAACGAACATAGCACAAAATACTGAGGGCCATGGAAATCACCAGCGTCGCATCCAAGAGGATCAGTCGGTCCTCGCCAACATGAGCATTATCAAAAACCATAAGTCCGGCAGCCAGAACACAGGCTGGAAGCGAGTATCCGGATTCCCACATGATCAGGAAGACCACTGGGATCGTCAGAGCACCGAGGGTCGCGGGAAGGGCCCGTAAGGACAGATAAGGGACATTGTTCTCGATATATGAGTCGCCAATGTTCTCGAATAAGAAATGACCGTCGAATCCCACGAGCCAGCCCACGAAAGCAAACAGAAGCTTTGCGAACGGAGGATGGACATCGAAGAAATATGTGCGCTGGAGGTAGTACGAGGCGAACTAAAAAGAGGCAAGGCCATTAATCATCTAGCTCCCCCTTTTTTCCAGTTTGTTCACGGTAAGTGATGCCATTGGCGCCACGGGGAAGGGGTCTTACTTTTCCAAAGTGCACTTCATCGAAAACAACTTCGTTGGGGTAATCAATCCGGTAAAAACGGGTTGCAAAGCCCAGCAGGGTCAGAACGGCAATGGCCAGCCAATAATCCCATTCTGACGTAGGCTTGCTGGGAGCTGGCTCGGCAGTCGAGACATCAGAAGGAACAGCAGTGTAGCCATCCTTTTTTCCACCTCTCTTCCGTAGAGAGGAGGAAGGTTCCGTCATTATGTTGGTGAAAGAAGGAAAGAAAAATAAAGAGAAGGACCGTGAAACTACCTAAAGTAAATAGACTTCCGAAAGCGTGAGGCGTTAGCAGTGTTCATCAGCGGAAGCCAATTCCGTCAAGAAGCTGGAGATGAAACATTCAAAGATGCTTACCAGTATCACTGAAGGGCATGATACCCTGTGCTGAATATAGAGAAGTCGAGAAAATAAGGATGACTATGAGGGGTGGTGATGATTGCGTGTCCTTGGAATTTGGCAAAGGCGGTGGCGTAGGCGGCCGATACGTACCTGGGGGAGTTCCAGCTTGAGCATATTTGATCACCCCGTCCGTACATGCGAAAATGGGTTATTTCTCTCTCTTGACTTTACAAGTTCTCTTCTTCAGATGGTATAGGTCCTCATTACGATAGGCTGTGAACTTTCTGCTTCTTTTTGGACGAGTACCACGAGTCAGTTGTATAGGTCTCATGTTCAATTCGAATCCTGATATGATAATGCAGTTCTCCTAATTGCAACAGATGGTAATCATGATACAAAATGCCCCTCGTAGCCCGTAATGCGTCTATATGTGAGTTTGTTCAAATTCAAAGCAGCGCTCCAAGCAGATCCAAAGCAAGTACCATGGCTCGTGGGTATCAAAAGATAAGTAAACCGAAAAAATGAGATAAACACAACCCTCAATCCTCATCAGTAACATTCAACAATTCCAGCTCAGTATTCACCAACGACTGGAATTCTGTACGGCTCATTCCTGTCGCCTTAGCCAGACGGAACAACCCTTGATACTAGATCCAATGTGCTGCTTCACCCCAACCTCATAGCTCGACTGGCTCGCAGCCTCCTGCTCTAGCCGGGCTACGGGATCAGAGCTGGCAGAGGAGATAGACCCAGATGAGGGCCGCGGGTGGTTCAATTCCCTAGCGGCATTATCACTGGGAACATCCCCATTTGCATACCCATTGGTCCGTGGCTTCTCTTCCTTGTCAGCCTCGCCTGTCTGCCGTCGGAGGAGGGTGGCTAAGATGTCCCCATTCAGAGATGTAGGTCCCACCTCCGCGTGCTCCTCGGCTGGGTCGTGACTATCCATAGCGGGCTGGACCTCGCCATACTGAGAAAAGTACGATGCCTCTGAGAGGCCGGACGGCCTCAGAGCCGACGCGCCCTGCGGGGCTGGCGTCTTGGGCCCTGGTGTTCGGCTCGGGGTTGCATCGTACTGGGCCCAGTAATCTGCATCGTCGTCCTCTTCCTCCTCAGGCTGGGCTGGTCGAGGCTGCTCGCTATTCTTTGCTGTTGCTGCCCCGCTACTCGGTACATCCAGGGCATCGGAGAAGAGCTTTTCCTTGGCAGCGGTATTCGCTTCCCCAATTGAAGATGCCCAGCTCTTTTCATCCTCGGCGGGGGCTTCTCGGGGAAGCAGTTCGGCGACACGCCAGCCACGACCGCCGCCTTCTTCGTCTGTGGGGCACCACAAGTAGAGCACTGTCAGATTGTAGTCAGGTAGGACGAGCTGGGCGCGGAGGGTCTCATCGTCGATTCGCTTGTATGTCACCGGGATCTCCTCGGGGAGATCAATCTCGCCAGAAACGGGGTGTGGCTCGAATTCAGCGCCATCCACAACGCTCTGCAGGCGTTCTGCTTTGGCGGCGTCCCAGCAGAGTAGCTGGAGCCATGACTCGGATGGGGAGGTAGAGACGGATGTGAGGATTTGGACACGCTGGCGCAAAATTGGGGAGAGCAGAGGCAAGAGAGCTGGCGGCGGACGTGGCGAGACAAACGCTGCGGGGAGACAAGCAAGCAAAGGCGGGAGCAGAGCGCGAGGGTCGGGAGGATTAATGAGTTCAACCATTGTTGCTTCGTTGTAGAGAAATTGAATGAAAGATAGGAATTAAAGACAGAACACAGAACAGAAAAGGGAAAACGAACGGGGTGGACCAGAACCAAAGACCAAGTGAGGCCGCAGGTCCCCACGTCTGGGTGGAGATGCTCCCTTCGACCGAGATTCGCCCCGCGACCCATTTACCTAAAGCCACACCAGCCCTTCGGCCCCCGGCTTAGTACTGCTTGGCTGCGTGTTGGGTGGGAGAGACTACTCTTCCTAACTTTGGAAGGATTGGGTCTTTTGGGGGCTATCGTCTGGTATTACGTTTGGAAACCAGCGGACCAAGCCTCGAATTGTGTAATTCTTATTTGTCTCCGAGTCCTTATAAGTTTACCTTGAGATGCCAAAGTCCACGGTATATGCACCTATATACACAGGATAATATCTGCTGGGTGGGGCTTTCCTACCTGGGATGCCGCCGCTTTTACTGCGTATGAGGGCAGGCTCGGGATCACTGAGTCATCGGCGACATTATGACTGGTGCTGCTGATTCCGTGGCCGTACACGCAAGCACTATAACTCATGCGCTATCTTGTTTATTTCCTCTGCGAATCCTGAACCTAGGTACTTCTTATCAAGACCACCATGTTCAATCCTTTTATATTTGCAGTTTAGTAAAATTATATCCAAAATTAGACAGGGCTTTATGAAGAACATGTCGGGAATATATCGCTGACAGAGACTCAGTCAATATGGAAAGCTTTGTTATTATCCTGTATCTTATGCAATCCCACCTAAAATAACTCATACCTTATCTCGGATCTTGTCATATTCAGGCAGAGCCCATTTTAGCATCCATTCCGACTCGAGAATTTGCTTGGTAGTAGGGCGCTTCTCGGGTCTGAATGAGAGCATCGGCCGTAGCATGTCGAAGAAAGCTTCCCTCTCGCTTGCATCTAATGACGGCATGCCACTGTCTCGCCTGGGCTGTTGCATGCTATCCTCAAACCGATCGTCCCAAGATCGGAAAGGGTTGCGGTTCATTGGCTTACCATCCTCGGTAAATTTCAGTCGTCGCGCCTCCCACCTTTTCCACCATTCAAGTGGCAAAATACCAAGGGTATCGACATGCTCACACGTCATGTCGTCCTCTGTCGCGAGAAATCCCTCAAACAATGGCCGCTGGGCGATGATAGACCATATGGTACAGGCGAGAGTCCAAATGTCTGATGAAAAAGACAAAGGGTCGTTTGGTTCAAACCGTGCCTCCGGGGGACGGATGACCAGGGGGGTACGAGATCCGTATTTTCGTTCTTTTGAGAGGGGGAAGGCCTCGCCAAAGTCTGTAAGCAAGACCTTGGTTTCTGAAAGCGTGATTTCCTCACTCGCTTGCCCCAGCCATACTGGCACAATGCCGTAGGATGGGACACCAGACGGAAGTGGATTGCCATCTAGACGAACGACTGGGTCGAGCTCCGGCGCTCCATATTTCTCATATAGTTGTTCGAGTGAGAGCTGGTCAAAATTTGGCGGAACTTTGAGGAGAATATTGCCGAGGTGAAGGTCTCCATGGACAATCCCTTGGGCATGCACGTAATCCACAACAAGAACGAGTTGCGCAGCCAATGACCGGGCTACGTCAAGCTGGAATAGACGGATCCATGAGCCATCTTTTACTCCGGAGAGGCTAGCTCTCGCCGGCACTGTAACGTGGCAAGCATGACTGCCATTTGGGCCATGAATGGTGAACCTATCAAGAATCGTAGGTACCATCATCTTTCCTGGGTGGTTGACTGGAGGACAATCGGGACGAGTGAGAGTAGATATAATGTCCACTTCCTTTGGGTTCGCGTTTGCTGTGCAAACTTTTACTGCAACGTACTTATTGGAGTGTTCATCACGGGCTAGCCACGCAGTTGAATAAGACCCATGTCCCAGCTTATGAACAACTCTATATCGACCGTGAAAGTGATCTCCGATTTGAATGGGGTGATAGCCCCCTGGTCGATAGTTCTCAAGTCTTTCGACTCCCTCAAGAGGCTCGTAGGCGAGACATGTGTCGAAATCTTCGTTGGACTCCATTGAGTTGAATGCGGCGAGATTCAACGCGCAGCGGGATTGCTTCTGTTGGAGGAGTCGCATATGCACGTTATGGACAGGAGAAATGGCTGAGGAAAACAAAGAATGCGGGCGAAAAAACCGAAAGACGCACGACAGCAACTGACTCATTGCCGTATCACGCGTATAATTTGAGCCAAAAAATTCCGATAAAGGATATGCAATTGAAGAGCCAGAAATTTTTAAGCCCGACAAAGTAAAGCAAGTATACTGCCTTGGAAATGTCAAGAGTATATGTATTCAGTCCCCAACGAATGTTCTCCAATAGAAGACCTTGCAGCCTGAGGCATATAATTATGGGGCCGAAAGGCGGAAATACGGATTTCTGGGCCATTCGATACAGTGTATACTGTGCAGAGTCAATCTGGTTAACTACTGCCATCCAATTTTCTGGGATCACTCTCCTTCTACTGTACACATGAGACATTAAATATTAAAGAGCGTTTGATAGCAGAAAAGACGACGTAGACCGGAAAGCCCAAGGGGATCGCATTTCCAAACCGCCAACTACCCGTCCCCAATCAGGATCCTTCAGGAGAACGCCGAGGGTCTACTTCAGGTATATTTGTATCTGATTATGCTTTAGGTATATTTTATATATATATACAGCGAATCTAGTTATGCCTTCCATGCACTTATCTCCAAGTCCTATGGGCCTGTCGGCCTGTTGGATGTAGTAGATGGAGAAGAATAGTAGGGATGTGTAAAATAATTGAAAAAGCTGAGATACAATAAGAGCATCGAAGGCCCAGGTGGACAAAGCTAAATGGCTGCATATCAAACAAGGCCGTGATCGAAAGAAGAAAAGCTTGGCCAGGCATTACGACTGGATTGCATGTCCCGCGAGGGGGTGACTTGTGGTAGCCCGGCTGCTTCGGAATCATATTCTTATCATGTTGAATATATCCAGTCCAGGTCCTGTGCACTAATCTAGTGAGTGGGGAAGCTAGGAGGAACCCCCAGTCTCTGTTGTAGTAATGTATTCGAACTATTACATATGAAAAGTTATCTCTTCTGGTCAGGATTAGTGGAACGAGACGGCTGATTATGCACTTAACCGCTGCGGATGAATAGCGCTTAGTATACAAAGTTACATGCACGAACAAGTCTGGATGCATGCGCCCATCACAATTTTGCCCCGCCAATGTATTGTGCGTGGAGTGGGGTAAGCTGTAGGTTTCATAGCACTGACGGCGTCCGAACAATACGGTTACGTGGCAGATACACAACATCGCGTTTTGTAAAGAACGGCTTTGGGCTTTGTTGACCCTTGTCATGCACTAGTTAGATCCATCTAGCTACTATAAGTAGTCTCAGCCAACTCAGTTCCTAAATCCAGGTTCGCTTATTGCAAGAATTTGAAGCTGCTCGAAACAATGCTATCAGACACAATCACAGGGCTCGGCCTCCTCACGTTCATTGTATACGCAATTTATTGCGTTTGGGTCAGAGTTGTGGACAGCAGGCCCCTCCCAGGTATTCCATTGGTGACAGTATGGAGCAGTGCTGGCTTCAATGTCCTACCCAAAACGTCTTCAACTGCCCCAGAGTCAGAACAAATCATGGGCTGGCTTGAGTGGAAGTGCATTGAGTTAGACACGCCGATATTACAAATTCGAGCAGGATTATTGGGGAGACCCCAGCTTGTCGTCGCTGACAGTCTTGAGTACGAACCAAATCCTCTGTGACAGGTTGCCTAATTGCTAACATTTCTAGAACTCAGAAAATCTTGACCAATCGATTACACGAGTTTAACCGGACCAGGTTTCTGGCAGCCAGCTTCTTAGCCTTGCTACCTTACAACCACATGACGATGCCGACGGATGATGAATGGAGAGCAAACAGACGACTCATAGCAGAAACAATGTCCCCGCGTTTTCTCAATGGTCATGCAGCATCTTCCATGCATAAGAGCACGTTGGAATACATTGACCTCTTGCTGGAGAAAGAGAAACGTTCATCTGGATGTCCATTCGAGGTTTTAGCCGACACATTCGGCGTCATGCTTGACGGAATCGTAGGAGCGACGTTTGGGACTGACAGTGGCGCTGTGAAACGCCAGCTGAAGTTCATACAAAATCTTGACGGGGTTGCCCCGATAGATGCCAGCCGAGGCTTTGCTAACTTTGCTCGAGCGGCCGATCCGCCTCTTCTGGACGCCTTGGTTCTCCTCATGTGGAGTCTCCACATCCCAACACATCCATTGGGTGGGCCATTACCCCACAAAATAGCGATGCGCTTTATACCTCGCTACCGGAATGCATTGAAACTCGTTCGATCATACATTGACGAAAGCGTGAAGGTAGCTGAGCAGAAACGGCAGCACGTACATGAGGAAGAGGAGGTTGACTCCCCCACTGCGGTTGATTTGATCGTCAAGCGCGAGATAGAATTAGCCAAAGACCAGGACAGAGCACCTAGCCTCCACACTGGCCTGCTTCGTGATGAGATTTTTGGCATATTGTTCGGCTTCGATGTTCTAGCCATAATGGCAATATGGGGCCTGAAGATCCTTACAGCCCATCACGACATACAGCAAAAGATGCGAGCAGAACTCAGATCCAACTTTCCAGAAGCTGCTGAAGCCGGTAGAGTTCCTACTGCAGAAGAGATCGCAACGACAGCAACTCCTTACCTCGATGCTGTCTATGAAGAGATGCTGCGGTGTGTTGGTTCCACCCCAGCTCTGGTACGAACCACTACCCAAGATGTGAATTTGATGGACCACCGCATTCCCAAGGGAACTACCGTATTTCTTCTGGTAAGTAGATGAGTCAACGGGGGTTGTATTCATGAATCATGATGAGCACTACTGAACTCTCGATTAGACCCGCGGGCGAAGTTATACTCATCGAATCACGAAGAATTCGAGTGTTGGAGGAAAGAGCGCCGACGATATGCGCAAGGATGCCTGGACTGGTAATTGGTCTCCGGAGGGTCTATCACAGTTTGATCCAGAGCGTTGGCTCATCGAGGATGTTGACGGTCGGAAGCGCTTCAATGCTCGAGCTGGCCCTCGGCATATGCTTGGAACTGGTACTAGGGCTTGTTTTGGTAGGTTTTGCAATATGTCTTCTTTATCTACGCTCTTCCACCGCGAATACTCTCTGACAAATGTCGCTCGCAGGTATCAAACAAGCGACGTCGGTCATGCGCATTTTCCTTGCCCTTGTGGTGTGGAAACTTGAGTTGAGGCCCGTACCGGCAGATCTTGGACGGTTTGAAAGGGCTGGGGCTGCTTTTGTGTATCGGGCAAAAGAGGTCTATGTGTCTCCTCGGCCCATTGTGTAAACGGATGGACGAGTAATTTTCATGCGAGTGACAATTTTGGCAAAAGGCGGACTGATTGTTCGAAAATGATATCGCTCAGGAGCGAGTTGTGCTTGTCGTCAAGATCGATACAGGTCGATGGAAATATAGGTATTAGTCTGGATCATCAAAGATATATATATTCAATGCGCATACTAGTCTTATTGCGCCAGTAATCTTCTTACTCCTTCTTTTCCTCTGTTCGGACTTGTGCCTCCTGCTCTGCTCCATGGCCCCTGCTAGTTCCATTGTTGCCATCATCGTTCTTTGCCTTTAAACTTTTCCAATCATACAGCAAAGCACCTAAACTCGAGACAGTTGCCAATATCAATCCAACCCGAAGAGCATCCCTGATTGCTGGGGCGTACACTGCCTGTAATTCTGGTGATGTCTGAGCAGAACCCGCGGATGCGCTATTGATAACGCTCTGAGGATCCAGGTCAGGGGCCGTCTTTTTTAGTGCTTTGCTGATGTTTCCCAAGAAAACAGTCTGCGCCACTGACACAAAGAGGGCCCCGCCAAATGTTTGTGCGAAGAAGACGATGCCAACACCAATTGCTACATCCTTTTCGGGGAGGGTTGTTTGCACCATATATATTCCTTGTTCCTCTCCGAAGCCGATGCCGACTCCACACAAAATCTGGAATCCGATCCATTTAGCCCGCGAGGTTAGATGAGGCTGCACAGTTGTAAGCAAGCCAGTGCCGATTGACATGAGGATTGAGCCGGCATAAACGAAAGGTGTGTAATATCCTGTTGCAGCGGTCCCAAAGCCAGCGAGCATGAATCCGCCGACAACGCTAAGCATATATGGGATAAATAGGATTGCAGATTCAACGGCAGAGACACCATTGACCAGTTGGAACCATAGCGCTTAGTCTTGATTAGAAATGATTCTGCCATCTTTCTTCATTTGTTACTCACGTATATAGTAAACATTGACCTAAACGATAATGATACCTCGGTTAACAGGATCCAGTGGCGAAGTCTGTGTTCGGAATACATACAAAGAACACGCCTCCGAGGCAGATGCCAAATAAGATAGCGGCACATATACTTCGCCTGCGGAGTAAGCGTAAAGGAATAATGGCGTTGTCCTTTTTCCAGCCTTCGATGCCGTAGAACAGACAGAGCAAAACACCCGCGATGGTTAGCAGGACGACAATGCGGGCGTTGTCCCATGCATACGTGGTGCCGCCCCATGATAGTGCTAAGAGAAGACAGACTGTTGCTGCCACAAAAACGCAAGTCCCAGCCAAGTCGAACCGCTCGATTTGGTCGCGGAGCCCGATTGGCCCGGAAGATTGGTTGGTAACGTGATTTCCAGTATAGAAAAAGATGATGAAGATCATGACTGAGCCTCCGATAGGAAGATTGATGTAGAAGCACCACCGCCATGTTGTTATATCCGAAAAAGCTCCTCCCTGTACTAGGTGTCAATCATTGCACTAATGAGTTACCAACTCGGGGTTACCTCCTCATACCAGTAACGGTCCAACTACACTTCCAACTGCAAACATACTGCCGATGATGCTGTTCCATGTCGGTCGCTGGCGTAGCGGCACACTCTCCGCAAGAATGAGGGTGGTTCCTGCTTGTATGCCAGCCGACCCAAGGCCTGCCAATGCTCGCCCCCCAATGAAAGCATGAGAACTTGGCGCGGTCGCACAAACCACACTCCCGATCTCGAAAATGAACAAGGCTGCTAGGAAAACTCGTTTGCTGGAGAAGATCGAATAAATCTTTCCGTAGGATGGTTGAAATGCACAAGATGTTAATGGATAGATTCTGGTTGGTGGTCCGTCAATTTGTGTGCAATTTTCCCTCGAATTTGGCGGATTGTGGGAAATACGTACGATGCATACCATCCCACATCGTCAATGCTATCAAAACTTTTGGTAATCCTGGGCACGGCGGTGGAAATGATCGTATTGTCGACTGCTACGCAAAAAGTGGCCAAGCAGAGTACAATGGAGATCAAGATCACACTTGGGAGCTTCAGATACCGGGACATCTCTTCTGGTTCTTGGACTTCGGTCATAGTAGCCTCAGCCACGTTCGCGGTAGCGACTTCATTTTCAGGGGCAGGAATGGCAGTCATTCTTGTGAACACGTTGAAAAAGGTGAATATTGTAGGGCTTCGGGGTAAGGGGGGGATTTCAATTTCAAAGGACTTTTTGGCACGACTGGAGGAAAAAAGCCTAGGATCGTCTGAATGGAGAGCGGTGACTGGTGAATGCTACGCTACTACGGGAGACGCTAACTGCCATATGCAGCAATTCCCCTTTATCAAAATGATTGACCGCCACCTTCACCGCAAGTATGCCGAGCTAAACTCTACGGATGACTTCTGTGCATACTATCTAAAGACTGGCACTGATGAACTCAGTTGTCCGAGAAAGAGTTAGGTGGAAGAGAAAAAAAAGACGTGGAAAAATCACCCAGTAGCTTCTGCCACGAGAAGGACCGGAAGTGGCTCCTCGGCTGAAAGGGGGATTCCCGAGAGAAGAAAAACTTACAGTCATTATGCAATCGGCAACCAGATCACTCAATGGCCATACGGTATCTATACGCAGGAGATACATACGCGTACCCGGTGCACTGGAGGCAATGTAGCAGGTGGATCGCAAAGATGGGTGCCAAAGTACGGACAATAATGATCGAGTTCCCGCCGTTCCCGCCGTTCCCCGTCCCCGAGGAGGCTCTCCGCTTTTCCTTGCCCATTCAACTCTACGGAGTGACCCCTGCATCGTTACATTCGTTGGATGCGGCAATTTGGGCCCCCTAAAGCTTAGTGGAAGTGAAACTTCCCCGCTAGCTGCAGCTTAGGTGCGGGCTTACGCGTCCGGATCTTAGTCGCAGTCTTTGTGAACAAATGGTTCCCACGAGGGCGCATATACAGTATCGACTACTGCCGGAATTCCGCCCGGGTCGGACTTTTAACGAGTCAGAGTGTGATGATCCTTCTTTTGTGGCATGCATCGGAGTTTGAAGTCGATGCAGCGTCGCCGATGGCGTTTTTGAAACCTTGTTTCGCGCAGGCTGCTACAAACCAGGTTTTCAGCTCTTATCTCAAAAAATAGCGTTCTCAAACATTCATCCTAGTAGCGTACATGCATGACCGACGGGCCGTGTTTGGCTATCATCAAGATCCAGTAGATGATAATACGTCTAGCATTTTCATCCGAACCTACACTCGCGTGACTTGTATCTAGCTAAGCCGCTAAGGGGATCTGCGGTCAAATACTTGTTAGTGCTTGGCAGATCGCGGCAAGTGGGACCGACTCCCAAATCCGGAGCAACATTGTCTCCGGTCGGCGGAGGCAGAAGATGAAGCAGAAAGGTTGGTGAGAGCTGCGCTCTCACCCAAACATATCACTGCCAAACAAAAGAGAGATTCCAGAAACCCACGTTCATATTCAGCACTACAATGTCGACTACCGCGAATCGCAATGACCCAGTCGTGGTCATCACTGGAGCGAGCAGAGGCATCGGAGTATCCATTGCACATTCTTTTGCAAAGGCGGGATCAACGCTCTGTCTCATTGCCAGGTCAGCACCAGATCTCGAAGCCCTGGCGCAAGAGTTGGTCTGCGAGTACAACATTAGCGTTGGGACCTGGGCTGCGGATATTTCAGATATTTCCCGGGTCGTGAGTGTTGCGCAGGAGATAGAAATGCGGCATGGTCGCGTTGACGTTCTAGTCAACAATGCTGGCATCATACAGTTTGACCTAGTCGAAAATGTTGACTTGCAAAATTGGTGGCGATTAATGGAAGTCAACTTGCTCGGCCCTGTCGTCTTGACCCGCTCCTTACTGCCCTGTATGCTACGGCAAGGCACAGGAACCATCATCAGTATCGGTAGTCGACTTTGCGGAGGAAGTGCCAAATATCTTTCTGCTTATGCTTGCTCCAAGACAGCGCTGATGCAATTTCATCAATGCCTCCACCGAGAGGTATGGGCACGTGGAATCAGCACGTTCATCGTGCAGCCTGGAAATGTTGATACCAGCATTTTGACTGAACCTGGGGCAGTCAATCCAGCCAGTTTGTCAGAAGATCCCGAGCTTGCAAGAAGAGTACAGGCCCTCAGGGATACGTCAACGTGCGACCCTCGTGTGACCGCGGATCTGTGTGTTACTTTGGCTTCACTTCCTGAAGCTAGGATCTTAAGTGGACTTTATATCGACACTGAGGAAGGGCTGGATAATATATTCCAAGATATCTCGGCGTCTGGTAAAGGGTTAATCCAACAGCATGAGCTATATCAATTAAACATTCGAAAATTGGCTGATGTGGAAGGCTACGCGAAGTGATCACAAAGGAAAGGTAGTTAGTAACACCTAACCAGAGAGAAAATGGCATGTTTTCTCTACAATATGACCAGAGCATTGAATACCTTACTTCCCTCCCCCCTCCGTTCTTTCTTTGTTTTTTCTTTTTGAAGAAACAAAAGAATTTCGTTTCCTGCGTTCTCTCAACTAACAAAAGTAGTTACAACGGCTTCGGCAGTCAAGTTTGGTCATGTCCATAACATATCCCTGCTCTCTACTTGGTTTCTATTCTGAAGAGAAGACAATGGCCTTTACTTCAATGCTTTCTCGTGGCTTTGGCACATCGGGGACCTTGGTAGGACGGAAAGATACATGAGGACAGCCTGAGGCGACACGAAATCAGCAGGGTCAAGCACAGCTGGCGCAGATAGTCACTTACACTTCGCTTTCGACTGCGCTCTGGAGTCGTAAGACTTAAATAACAAAACATCATCCGGCATTTGATCGCTCATGTAGTACCATCGGCAATTCTTGTTGTACAGGGGGAGAAGATTCTCACCCTGATAAGTCGTGCGAACATAATCTGCTGCTATGAGATCGTTCGGATCGAGAGTGCTGCCATCGGCCACTGCGAGCGGGTAATCTTCAATGGGAAACCGTACAGGGCGCCACACACTGCTCATGTCAGTAAGCTGCCAGGGTATTTCTTATTAAGGGTTCTCCTGACTTGATTAGCTGCACCCGTGAGCGAAGTAAGATCTCTGCTCGGTCACCCATATGATGGTGCACTCTATTTATAGCACCGCGGACACTTTGATCTACACATTCCAAGAGGCAAGATGAGTACGATGATCGTTCACATAGGCTTTGATGTCATTACATACCAACATGCACTGCCGTGGCAGGGGCTAAATGGTGGGTAGGATCAGAAAGATTGACAACTCCTCCAGGGAGTTTGTTACGAACGGCGGAATCGCTCGACCGAAGCTGTGAACTTGCTCAGCTCTGCTCAAAGGCTCGCCTGGGCAATTAGACTGACTCTCCAGGTGTATATCTTGACTTCGGTGGCATTGGGAATAGTCTTCATCAGAAAAGCTTCAACTTGCGGAATGTAGTCCCTCTCCAATGTCTCTCTATCGTGATTCTCGAGCTCGAAGTGGTGCTTGTAGTACGCGAACCCATTGTCGTCGAGGGAGTACTTTGATTCATAACCGCGGACATCATGGATTGTTTCCGCCTCTTCTGCGTCAACTTTGAAGTTTTGTGGCGGAAAGCCATCAGGAACATCCATATAGAGAGTATATGGTTTGGTATCATGGAACTTCTCTTCCCATTGCAGGTAGCGTAAACTTGCAACTTCATCTCGGGCCATATTTGACATCATGGCGAGTTTTTCTGGGCAAAATAATCGACACCCAAAAATGCTTAAGGATCTCGCATTATTTACTCAGTCAAGGTATAAAATGAAATGGGCTTTCACATTGATATCCCTCGGCATCACATGAACCGATTATACGGGATCAACCGGCTAGAACATGCACTCCGAAGCACACACTTACAACCCTGCTCGAAATAATTGAAAAAACTCGGCGCCTAGAGAGAATCCACGTCATCCAAAATGTGTCTGCAACTGCAGCGGTTGTGCATGTGGCAAGAAATGTAACATGGCAAATGCGACATGCGTATACATGATACTTGCAATCCCGGCAAACTTAATCCATTGATAGCCACATCCTCTGTTCAACAGGACCTGAGACCGGTGAAGCCCGATACTATCCGACAGTAACTGCATGTGAGATGCTGCGGAGCTAGATCTGCGGGGGCCGCCTCATCAAGCGGGCCGGACGGAAAGATCGATCCACAATATCTGAGAGGAGATAGTTGGTTGAAAATTGTCCACGTCAGAATGGCGCAGAGCTCTTGCAGCATGCAGCATGCACTTGAGGGGAGTAACTTTTTTTTTCTTTTTCTTTTCTTTTTACGAAGGTACCTAGATGTGCATCATGTTGGCAGGAGTATGTACTTGAGGAAGGAAAATGGAGATTTTTACGGACTAGTATTATCTTGGCCCCTCACTTGGGCACAGGTGGCTTGACATGTTCAGCATGGCCCTTCCATTCACGAAGTGGTGTCCGTCATCGCGTGATATCTGGGCTCACCCTTCGTCGATTGCGCGATTACAACCCGCCGATTAGCATGCATCAAGATAGAATTACGGCATAGCATCTGAGCAAGAGCGGGATTGGCTTCTTGATTCCTTATCTCTGGCTCAACATACCGAGTCTTGGGGTATAAATAGAACGAACAATTCCTCGAGTCAACTTCTTTTTCATCAGCAAGAGCAACATACCTAGCAAGCAACAAAGCAAACAACATTCAGTTGTAAGACTGCCCTTCTCTATACAGAAGCTTGGAGACGTAATTGCCTTCCAATGTGAATCAAATCACTGACCTATGACAGTACACAACTACTCAACCAAAATGCCTGTCCCCGTCACCCAGTCCAACGGCCCCAAGGCTCAGCCCTGGAAGAACGTCGTCAGGCCTGCTGATGCCATTGGCAACGAGTATATCACTCTCGGTGGTCCCGTCGCTGACCGTGAGGATAGTGGCACTCTCTCTGGCCAGAAGATCGACATCTCCGCCGTCACCCTGCGGGAGGAGAGTGGCACCCTCAGCGGTTAAATTCAGCTATTGATTTCTCCTCTTCTGTTCTTACGAGGTAGTCGGGCACAGTCTTCAGGAAGACAATTTTCAGAAGATGTGAGTGAAGATTTGAGAGGGGAACGGCAACGAGGACTCTTGGAAGTTTTTCTGGATGGGGCATGCGTTTTTTGAAAGCCCCTCAAACGCCAGACGGGGAAATTTCTTTGCGGTCTTTGTTATCTCATACTTCAATGTACAGGCTATGTTCGGTGTGCTTGGAAGAGAGGAGATCAAGTTGGTCGAACATGACAGGCCTTCTGTCTGGACTATTTGGATGTCGCGAATGGTAGTGCGGATAGCTGACTTTGCAATTTATCATGCTTGGCTGAAATTAGGCTCTCTTTTAGAAAATAGCTCCTAAATCCACTAGGGGAGGCTTCTCGCTCAAAAATAAGTCTAAGCATGGATATTAGAGTAACTGGATTACACGTCGAGGGGATCCGTTTGGGAGGTTCGTCTTGTCGTGGCGGAGTGTTCGCTTTCATGGTCGCGATTGTTATTTTAACTAGTCACAGTATCTGGTGTTGTACACTCAACGGCAATTTCACGGCAGTTTGGAGGTGTTTGAATCCCTAGAAATTCGGGGTTCGGGCCAATAGACCAATGGCCGATGCATGTCCCTGAACTAACGGGAATATGGTAACGGGTGGAAATGTGGTACGCCATCAATCTCGTACGCAAAATCTCTCTTCAACGCCAGAGATTATTGACCTGTCTCCGGGCGAGGCTCGATTCAAACTCAAAATGATAACATGTCGGAACTACAGACAATTCAAAACTGTAAGGGAACCAATCAGGACAACAGATCACCCACACCATCACACGGGCGATCATGAACACCAATGCGCACGTTATTGTCATCCGTCCCCAATGGGTGCCGGGGGATTGCGATACGCCGCCGAATAATTCAGCAGTTCGGTTGGTACCGATGCTAAAGAGGCAGCCGTGCCAAGTAGAAAGTACCTGTTCTTCCTTTTGTGGATTTTCGGGAAGCGATTTGGGGCCAATGGGAAAGAGAATAAAATGAGTCTAAAAATGGCAGTCACCTTCTTAGGATTGACAAGACGTTGTCAACCAAGCATACGAGAAGACTTCAAGCCTACCTACTAACTCGGCTGCGAACGGGACACTACTGTTTATAGGCGTCCGCAAAGGCTTTCTGCTTCTGAGACGATGACTTCTATGTCTGTCGCAGCCAAAAAAAAAAAGAGTGACAAATATCCACTTGGATTGTCCTAACCCGTGAGCTCTGCGACATGAGCTTCGTAGCTCGAGAAGAAGTCAAATGTTTACCCAAGATCAGACGACGTCGCGCTGCAACCTTTCAGATTGGAGACCATCAGGGGATCTCTATGGACATCTCAAATGGAGCTCACTAGCAACCACTGACTCAACGAAAATGGAAGTTCTATTGGCAACTATTGCTTGAGAATCTCATTCGGCGTATGTAGAGTGCCGATAAATGGGGGTTAAAGAAATAGATGTAAGGGCTTGATTGGGTCAGAGGACTTATCTCGCCCAATACGTCTCCTTGACAACCTTCAAATTGTCAATACCCACGTCCACTTCTCAAACGATTTTAAGTGCTTCAGTGTTGGTACAGACGGTATTCTTCATACTGATCCAATCAGCCACGATAATCGCTTGTTCATTGCATCCAGATCAAGACTGAGTAGCTTCAATTGCCATGGAAAGTTCAACTGATGCACGCTCTAGCGGCTGCTGCATTCGACCCAGGTTGGAGTCTGGCGAAGTTGGATCGTAGAAGGTAGGGGAGTTTGGAAGCTCATGGTTGGTGAGATCAAGGGCAAGAGAACGCCTTTCCAAGCAGAATAGGGAGATGCTTCAGATCCTCCATGGTAGCTTCGGGCATAATCGAGTTCCTGATTGGACTATTATAGTTTTTGTCACTGGGAGCCTACTGTTGGCGGAGCGGAACGGCAACGGCGCTGGAATTCGAGATAGTAGGAGAGGGGAGAAGAGGAAGAAGAAAAGATACAACAACCTAATTTCCTTCCAGCGATCCTCCATCCTCACTTCCTACTTCCCATAGTTCGGACGGTACCTCGCGATACTAACGCGGTGACAGTTTTACTAACCTTCAGTGTACTGGAACAGCATCACCAATGAATGCCGTGGGAAGCGCTCGCTGTTCTGTACTCACTAGTCATATATCTTATTAGCGCAAGAAACTTGAATCTATATATAATGAACGAGAAAAAGAAAAAGAAAAGAAAAGAAAAGAAAAGAAAAGAAAAAGAGGAAAAGAGGAAAAGAGGAATCAGAAGCAAGGGAAGAACTTAAAAAGAACCAATCAACTAGCTAGGTGCCTTATAAAGAAGGCCTAGAGCAGTTCGCCTAGGTATTGTGAGTATAGGGAGATTGGCCACAAGATTGATATGTGTAAAGATCGCTACATTCATATTTAGCTATATTGGTCGACGTTGGATGAGATATCCTACTTCAAATTTTTTCTAATAGGTATGGGTGTGCCCGGCCGACCGTGCATTACGTTACTGCGGCCATGATTGCAAATAATTATGCTGGATCCCAATAGGCCACTTTTAGCGCATAAGGGTAAGAGCTTATCGAGGCGGGCGACTTTGCCACAAATGTAACAAACACACTCCCCGTGCTCCGAGGTCCGGCGTGGTCGGCGTGGCATTCCGTTTGCTTCCAGCACGTTCGCTTTCCAGCTGGAGCTTGAACCTGAAGCCATCTGCCATTCAAATCACCATTTGTCCCTGGACCCCTGGTTTCTGGTAGATGTGAAGAGACCTAGGCCCCACGCCGCAGAGAGCTTTACTGTTCTCGAGGATGGCCGACCTAACAATGGATTGTGCCTCACCGGGATCGGCGCCGATTGCCGAGTCATCTGTAATTCCAAACGCGAAAACCGAAAAAACAGATCCATTGACAACGGTCGCAGTTTCGGGAGTTTTGCCAGGAGCGTTAGATGAATTAGACGAACTCGAATGGGCTAAGAACGAAAAGCGCGTCCGCTGGAAAGTGGACATCCGATTATGCACCATTGCCGGTCTCCCTATGCAGTCTCAATCTACTTGACTCGGGCATCTTATCCTCGGCAGCTGTGACCACCATGCTGCAGGATCTCCAGCTGGACCATGGCTCGCGCTATTCCGTGTCCATCTTCATCTTTACCATCGCCAGCGTCGTCTTCCAGCTGCCGTGTACGGTAGCTGTCCGATTTGTCGGCCCTCGGCTCTGGTTCGCGACAATCACGTTCCTCTTCGGGCTTCTGACGCTGTGTACCGCGTTCATCCATACATGGCGCCAGATGATTGCCCTGCGCATCTTATTGGGTATCTCTATGTCGGGTATTTATCCCGGTCTCACTTATCTCATCAGCGCGTGGTACCCGCGGAAAGAACAGCAGCTCCGGTTTGCTTTAATGCAGACAGGCGAGGTTCTTGGGCTTGCGACGGGCAACATTGTCAATTATGCGCTGAACCACCTCGACGGTAAGGCGGGCATGGCTGGTTGGCGATGGATGTATCTGGTTCAGGGCCTGATTGCCTTGGTCATTGGAATCATGACCTACTGGTGGATGGTGGACTTTCCTGAGAACGCCGCTCGGAGCTTTTGTTTCCTGTCGGAGCGTGAGGCCCGAATTGCATCCGAAAGGATTGAGCAAGATCGTGCTGATCTCATCGCCGAGCCCTTCTCATGGAGTAAACTGCTGGGTAACTTCACCGACGTTAAGATCTATGGCTTTGCTTGCATGTTTTTTCTTCTTAATTTGGTCTCCACCTCCCTATCTTACTTTCTGCCAATCATTTTGGAGAATGGGATGGGATTCAGTTCTGACAAGTCGATTATTCTTTCAACACCGGTGAGTTCTGCGAGATGAGATATCTCTTGGCTCTGAGACTAACCGTTTTTGCAGCCTTACTACTACGCGGTACTTCCAGTTGTTTTAACATCCTTTTTGGGCGACTACTACCGTAAGCGCGGGCCACTGATCACGTTTAATGCTCTATGCCTGATTGCTGGCTTTTTAATGTTTGGGCTTCCTTCCTCGAAGCAGGTTGCGGTTCGCTACGTAGGGACATTCTTGGCCACCGGTGCCTATGTCTCCAACTGGGCAGCTCTCAATGCCTTCCAAGCGAATAATGTGACTGGTCAGTGGAAGAGAGCAGCGACCGCAGCTGCAGTCACTGCATTCAACGGACTTGGTGGCGTAGCGGGGAGCTACATCGTTCGGCAACAAGAGGCACCGCAGTATGCAACTGCCGTCTGGGTGTCTATTGGGTAAGTGTTCATTTGTTCTTGCTCTGGATTCATCATAGCTAACATCGGAATAGTTCTCATATCTTGCTCATTGCGCTCGTGGGCGGTTTTAGCGTTTACTTCTACATTATGAACAGGCGACAATCGCGGGGTTTAATTGTCATAGAAGGCGTGGTAGGTCCTTAACTGTATATGCTTGGTATTTATTTCCATGACTGACAAATGAATAGCCCGGATTCAAATACACCTATTGAAAGAGCGCATATATCTAAGTCTACGTGCTTGGAAGTGCGATTCGGAATCCAAAATTTTCCGCTTTTACGGCTCTCACGACATATCGACGTACAATTTTCGGGATTTAGTAACGACATATCATGCATAGCATATTCATTCAATGCAGACCAATATCACTTTTGTTATCTAGAACTTTTGGCTGACCATCACATTTTTACCGTAGGAGGGGACCTGCTGAGTGTCTCTATTATCTCCAGTCGTTGATCCTCAAGATCTGCCATAGATGAGGGCCTCCTAGGCCAACCCATCTCTCCATTTTCTCTAGACTGTTCTGTAAGCTTAGGCTGTACTGAAACTGTGCTCATATACCAGCCTGGGTGCTGCGACGTCCTGCCTCGATGATTAAAGCAGGTGAACCGCTTCCGCCAAGAGCGTGGCACAATGTGGCACACCAAGGGCCAGATGCTCACGAGGCAAACCCCGATGACGATGACGGCGCTTTCAACCAAGGTGAGGATTCCAATCTTCCCCATAATAGCTAGTTGTAAGATATGAGTAACTATTTTTTTTTTTTTGGCAGATCTTCGGATATGACTTACCGCTTTGATCGCCTACTTTAGGGCTCAGCTTGGTAAAATAGGCCTCTGTAATGATCGCGCTGGCAACAGTCCCACTGCCCTAGCTTGTCAGCTTTCTGGTTGTGTGGACGGGGTAAACCCCGTTAGTAGGAGAGATCAATGCTTACAGCCCGCTCAAGAGAAATACACCAATGACGGAGATCTTTTGCCCTTTTTGCAAATGAAGCTTCCATACCCAGGGGATTGGTAACAGCGTAGTCATGATCCCCGTTGCAAGATTGATGGGGGAGACCACGCGGTAGAAGACTACCTGGTTGACACACATCCCTTCAATCTTCTCTGGTGCATAGACATCTGTATCCCAAACAGCCGATATTGGGGAACATTGAAATATTGTTTGAAACAGCGTCGCAATCCCCAGCCCCAGGATAATGGATCCAATCAAAGAGGCGGTGATTTGGAAACTCCGCGTGCAGAAGATCCGTCGATAAAATAGAAGGAGGGATATTTTGGCTGGCGTAATAGTGAGGGGGATATCAAATATCTCAAGCACATAAAGCCCCTTGAATATCAGGTCAGCCAAGCTCCGCCAGTGGCACTCTTCATAGTTCCAAACCATACCTTGCGGGTTTGAGATACGTCGTGAGCTGGATGAGAAAGCTCCGCGGGTTTGTATCCAAGACCAGTCATTTCAACCACTGGATGATCATCAGTCTATTTCAGAGACCGTCATTGCTGGTATACTTACAGACAACCAGAAATATCCCGCGGGTAACAATGGCAACCTATAAAGAGCTATCAGTACAAGTAGCTCACGTTTAGGCCTGCCAACGTACCACTGCAATAAGAAAGACCCAGTCATCGAGACCGAACTTCACTCGTTGCATGCATCGTGTATAAAATCGGGCGGCAGCAAACAAGAGCACCAGGATGGCGAGAGAGACGCCAGTGCCAATTAAAGCAACCCCAATGCGTGAGGGTTGGTCTCCTCTGTCCCAGCCCATATGGAGCTTGTGAACTATATTATCGTACAGGTGAACTTCCACATCGCAGTCGAAGCTGGTTTGATCCAGCAAATTATCTGGAGAGCAGATAGCTTCTTTAAGCTCGGCGGAAAGGGAGAAAGCGCATTAGGGTTTCGTCTTCCGCCCGTTTTTTGGGACCCTGTCCAAGCCGGGAGAATCGCCGTTTCTGGATCCGGACCTCATCATATTGGAGAGATGGACTATTTGGCGCCGTGGATCAAAGGGATTGCAGCGCTCAAACGTGCATTTGTTGATCCGATCCGTGGCATCGGGTTTACAACGTGGATACCATGACTCGGAACAATTACACTTTCTCTGCTCTGGGACCCTTTATAGAAGGGATCCACTCAGATTGAAAAAGACTCGGCCTTGAATGTTCTTATTGGCGGAGAAATGTGGGATCGATCGTGTTGCCCCGGATCGCCCGATCAGCATCGACGCATTAGGAAACGAATCGAGCCCCGAGAAGCACATGGGTCCTTATTGACATCATGGAAAACGTGCCCTCCATGCTGCTCTAGAACCCTAACTCCTCTTTTACATCGTGTTCCGTCGTGGTTCTCGTGTCTCCACCTTCCGATTATAGCGGAATTTCCCCGAAGCTCCGATTCCATTCCATCGCTCGAAGCTTAATGCGCTCCTGGACGGGATCTCACCGAATTAGGCCCGTTCATACACTGGTGGAGCTTCTGCGGCGGTGAAAATGCTCCAGGCCTTCAAACGGACTGACTGCGTAAAAGTCGATCGCTCGGGGTTTTCTGGAGATTCGAGGCGAGACCACGCCTGCCGCGAGATTCTTTTCTTTCTCATCGCGAATGCTCTTGGCTCGTCATATATCTTCACAGGATATGGGTGAGTACAATAGGCTAGAAAGCCGCTGATTCCCCCCTCCCCCCACAATTATGACGGGCGATCTTCTCGTTTTCCACTGATTCCCAATTTGTTGAAACGCTCCTGGCGAAGACTCTTGAGCATTAATTAATTAGGAAGGTGGGTGCGGCGATATTGTCAGCTTGTATCTCCCGGCAACAGTATCTCTTACTGTCTCTAGAATTTTCTCAGGTTTCTCTATTCAGCTAAGCTAACTATGGTAGATCCCTTCCCACACGTAGCCACCGATGACGGACGAACGCTGCTCTCATGTCTGCCTGACTTTTTGGCCCTTGATACCAAATTAAAAGATTTCATATATATTTATCCCACTGTGTGGCGGAAATGAGTTACAGTTTGTCTACACGATCAGTCTTAGCGCTTGCAATTCTCTGGGGCGACAATTTGGTAAATATAATAGAGTTTAAGCCAAAAGTCTCCACCTCGACAGTCTTCGACAAGCTACCATTAGAGTTATCTCGGTGGAGTGTAATCAGACCCAGAAAGCGAAAACGACAAGCCACCACCGTCTTTGAAACACTAATATTAGGTTCTTATTCGATTTAGGGCCCATTCCATGGATGAACAAGACCCTACTATGTCAGGGCACGATCAAGGATAGCCCCTGGTTTCATGAAGATGAATGTCAACACTGTCGCAAAAAAAAAAAAAAATCCTCTCATATCAGCACTGAAGCTGCTTATTTAGAGCCTGGTTGAACTTTGCGGATCGGAACTTGATATCAAGTCCCTCAGCATCTAGATTTCGGAATAACCGTTCTGAGGCTTTTACTGCCAGTGGTAGCTTTGAGCCAAGGCTTACGCATAGAAAGTCTAGGCCTTCCTGTAATAGACATGCCAAACCCTCACTCGCAGCAGGAAGTTATCCGCAGGGCAGACCCATAGCTTACGCAACGTGTTTCGAGCGGTATCGGCCCGCAAAGTCCGTTCAGTTCTGGCAGCGTGTCGACTTATTCCTAGACTGGCGGTACCAATTTTGAAACTATGACAAAAATTCCTATTAACCTCTAAATATGTTCGGCGATAAAGCGCCCCCAAATGACCTGCTACACTTTTGCTACTTAGCGACGAGGTTTAGCTAGATAGAAAATGCAACCTTCGCTTTGAAAGGATTCTTCGTTCGATTGTTTTTACATTGAAAGCCCATCGTAGGAGCAGCGTCAATTAAAGTAGGTACAGTCGTCTGGGAATACGTAACTGAAGGGAAGGGGTATATGGCAAGCAAGACCAAATAAAGGCCTGCGAAAGAGACAAGCAAAGAGAAGCGGAACACGCTCACGTGAAAAAGGGCTCAAACCACTCGATCCGTGGATTCGAGTCTGCTTATTAACCGCTTCATGCCCATCCACTCCTCGGCAGGAACCTCTTCTGGCAAACCGCCAAGGCCCTTTCCGACCTCGAAAATGGTAACGGCTCCATTGAGACCACCGGTGGCCAAATGTCGGCCTTCGCGCTCCTCCCAAGCCACCTTGTTAAGACTACGAGACAGACCGCCAAGACGGTTGCTGGGGGTGGTTCGGACGACGGGTATTTCCGTGTCGGTGTACAGATCCCACACTTCCAGATGACCGCCTCCATCGACCAGGGAGAACACCGGGTCGGTGAGGGGACCAGCGCGCATCGTAGACCAGGTCCTCGCGGTTGATATCTAGAATAGGGGAGACTGTCTGCACAGAAGATGCGCCGGAAGTCATGGATGCGGTCGTGGCAGGTGGTCGTACACGCCAGAGCTTCACGCTCCAGTCGACACTCGTGCTCAGCATGAGATCACCCAGATCAACCGGACCGCGCGCGGGGTGGAATGCAGTAGACATGATTGGCGCTGCATGGCCACGATATGCGAGACGATGATCGGTACCAGCCTTGGCTCCAGCTCGATCGTACCGATGGCAGGGGTAGATACCTCCTTCCTCGGTTCCAACGATGAAAAATGTCGGATCAGATTGAGGAAAAGACATAGTAGTCGGAGCTAGGTCTTCCGTTTTTGATGGTGGAGGTGTTGTCAATTCAAGATATTCTTGAGGCTGAGAAAGCATTTCCATGGTCCAACCGCAGACGACTCCATCGGTGGAAGCGGTCATGATGTTGTGCGCATTCTGGGTTCCAACAATGGAGATACTGTAGACCGGATGAGTGTGGCCCGAGCCAGTTAAAGGAGTCTTTTGCACTGGAGCTCCACCACCCTCTCGAGAACTGCGAGTATCCCACAAAAGGACCTGGCCCGAATATGAGCCACCCACAATGATGTTAGGGTGGAAAGGAGAAAATTTAGCAGTGAGGATATCGGAAGTAGAGTGAAACACATATTCGGGTCGGGATGTGAGATGCTGGTTCCAGACTTGAACGAGACCATCGGGTTCATGAGGCGCGGACGGGTTCTTTGTGTACGAAGCCACCACTAGTTCTGGGAACTGGGGAGATAGTCAGAAGGCATACTTCCATAGAAAACGAATACTGTATGGGACATACCTTGGGAGAGAAGTTCAAGTCGCTAACCATGCGCTTCTTACTCCATCGTTCATCGTAAAATTGGCAGATTTCTTTAATGCCTCTCCGTTTCTTGCCGCTATCTGGGTCTTCTTCAAGGTCCCCATCAAGACCACCAAGTTCATAGTCTGCAAGTACATCATAGTCTTCATCTAACGCGCGCTCGATCACCTTGGCTGAGCGTTCGACGAAGTCTAAGAACTCACCAGACGAAGTCACTGCTTTGAGCTCGTCATCATCAAGCATACGTAGCGGGTACCGTAGCTGAGAAGACTGCTGAGCAGATTCTTCCGTCTGTTTTTGAAGAGGCTAGAACCTCTTCTTCGATTTCCTTGCGGATCTTCTCTCTTATCTCCTCGTCGCGTTCCCGGTTGCGTCGACTCAGTCGCTTGCTACCCACAGCGTCCTCTTCGTCCGACGCAACAGATCCATCCGCGGAAGGCGTCTGCTCATCTGAGAGATCTGTTTGCACGGCTTTGCTGTATGTGACGACCTCTGGTCTGGTTTCAGGGGAGGCGGGGCTTCCGGAGTGGACGAAACGAAAGCTTCCTCGCCAACGGTCTGTACAGCAATGGATTGCGATTGTGGCCGTGTTGAAGGGGTGTACGGCTCGGCATTTTCTCCGCTGAGTTGACTGGCGCTCAGAACTGAATTGGGTCGACTTCCTCGCCCCGCGCCTTCAATGCCGTGGCTAATGCTGGCCGATCCTGGGCGGTCCACCAAACGAGAGATCAAATCATCAAGCTCTGCTCTGCCGTGATCCGAGCGACTTGGTACCGGCGAGGCGATCTAAGAAGAATACTTAGACCAATGTCTTTCCAATGTGTAAGCTCCTGGAATGCGGGATGAATACCTCTGAAGCATCACCGACACTGTTTCGGGTGTTTGTGAACTCTTTTTCACGGATCTCGCGCTGTTTCTTTAGCTCGGCGAGCTTTGCCCGTTTGGCAAGAATCTCATTCTTGCGCTGCTGTATCGTAGACATGTTGACAGGCCAAAAGAGTTGCAGATCTAATGGCGTGTTTGCGGTTTATTTACCGGGGGGCGTTGTAAACGGATGACATAAGCGCCCTCCGAACGGCGCCGGAAAAACTCGCGCAAGAACGGGCCCGTCAACTTCGCTTTGCCCAACCCCGAAGATTCACTGCCATTGACGGTCGAGTCTTGTTCCACGATCTCTCGGTTTTCCGCTCTTTTAGCACCTGCCAGCATCCCAGCTCTCGGAGCACTCGAAATAATGGCTAGCACTCAGGGTGTCAACGTGAGTCTCCCTCCTTGCCGGCAGGGAAACCACCTGATGGTGCCCCCAATTGCGAAATCGGGTGTTAACCATTATCGTGATTCCACAGGTTCTCCGTTACTCGGCCCTCGTTGCCGGACTTTTCTACGGTGCTTATCACCAGTCTTCCCCTCAACTCTATCGCGAAGCGCTCCGAGATTGAGCATGAGTACGAGCGCAAGGAGCGTTTGATTGAGCAAGCTAAGGCAGAGTGGAAGAAGCGCACCACTCCCCAGGAGCCGAAGCCACAACAGAGCGGATGTATGTGAATCCAATGATCTCCCCAACGGCGTGCCCGATTTTACATTATCGGGATCGAATCCAAACCGACACACCCGGATTGCAAGGGCCCTTGTAGCTAATACTTCTACAGTGATCACTGATATCGAGAACCCCAAATTCGACCTCGAGGCGTTCCTGAACGCCAAGGCAGCCGAGAACCCTTAAATGAGATAGGATAATATAGAGGAGGAATGGCACGCATCTCCTTGCGGAACTCGCACCTCCCCCCAGGGTATTAGAAGTGATTTGCTCGGATCCTATTTACTTGTACGATTGTTCGGGCCGATACGCCCTCCTCGAATTGCGACATTACCAGCGGAAGATGGAATGGTTTCCTTGAGTTATTCTTTTATTAAGTCATCGTTTTTAGACGTTATCATCTTTGGGTCCTGTACATACCCTGGGCTGCCGTGCGTCTGTACACTACAGTTTGGGCCACAAGAAAGAGCAAAAGATCGTTATGCATTCCGGCGTTACCGCAGGGCCTCTTCCCTATATGCCGCCCTTCCAGTTGTCCCTCTTGAGTATCCCATCAATTCCGTCATTTGCGGATGATGGGGGTACTCGTAGACACGCCCGCCGTCTGTATAGCCGATGGCCTCCTTTCAGCCTTTCATATAAAGCAAAGCAGCCGCAATCAGTTCAATCTCTAGCTCTGCTCAATGCTCAATGTCCTTGATTCCCGAGCATGGCCATGGTGTCGCGAAACACATTTGTTGAGCCTTTATCAGCCGATGATGGCACGTTTATCGGTGCGGGATGTAATAGTCGAGATTCTAGGTCCCATCTCCACCCACATTCTGTAAACTTTTGGATAATGCTTGGGTCATTCTGTGCTGCTGCTGCCTGATCTAGACCCAGATAGCTTGCGGCAACCTCAGGTCTAATAGCCTCGTATGATCTGCTCACTGCAATCAAGCTCTGGTCCTGGAAGAATCCTATCCACCGGGTCAATTCGGTTACCGACGTGTGATGTCTTAGCGATTGAAGAGATATCTTACGCTCATATCTCTGTACTAGAGGGTGGAGGCCCTCTGGCCAGGATGCCGTGCGAAGTAATTGGAACACCTGGACGTGGTCTGTCTGCCATAGAGCTCGTAATAATGCTATGCAGCTTTTTATACTTGGATCCTGTTGCTGGAGGATCTGAGGCAACCGGTGGGTCAATGCTCGAGCTTCGGATCTAGACTCCCAGTGCCAGGTCAGTTGATTTGCCCGAATTTTTGGTTTAGGGATACGGACTTTTGTTGCGTGAGAAGGTGAGAGAAGAAAAAGCTCGAGTAGAACAGACTGAGAAGCTCTGAGTGGGTGCCGCTAGGTTCTGGACTGCCACTACCGGCAGCAAGAAGAACAGCTTCTGCTTCATACTTTGATAGAACCTCAAATAGCTGAGATGGAGGTAGATTGGACGCGTTCAACTCTACAAGTCCTCCCAGAGTGAGGGATGGGAGCCCCATGGTGTCGCTTGTAGGAGCAGACTGGCAGTACTTGGCGGATAGTATAAGAAAATTTGTGCACTCAGATAAGGGTATCCCCCGAGTCTCAGCTTGGCCAAGCAAGAAGATCCAACAAAGAGGAGCCAAATAAAAGTTGGGCAGTCAATGATGCGGGGAGCTGATCGGAGGTGGCGCCTCTTCTCCGATGCCAAGACCTTCAGAAGTGACCACCTTGCGCAGCTCCTCGACTTGACACTTACTCCCTCCGCCATTGGCAACATCAGCCTCACTCCGTTCTCTTCGTTTAATGTTTCCCAGGTTTTAAGGTCCTGGCCTTTGAATTTTCCTGGCCATTATGGCCGAACCTTCTTCTCTCGATGTTTTACTGAAAGGCAGCTCCGGCCGGAATACGCGCGGTCTCTTGCGGATCGTCATCCTTTTGACCGTTGCGGCTGCTGCGGTCGCGAGTCGTCTTTTCAGTGTAATCCGTACGTTCCAAGCTGTTTGGGTGTGTTGGAACGATTTCTGACTTCATATCTAGGCTTCGAAAGTATTATTCACGAGTGTATGTTCCCTTTACCGTTCTCACCCAGTCTATACGTGGCCGTCAACGAAATCGCCAATTGCCCGATATTAACGCTTTTCCCTTCATAGTCGATCCATGGTTCAACTTCCGAGCAACGAAATACTTGGTTGAAAATGGTTTCTATAGTTTCTGGGATTGGTTTGATGACCGTATGTTGAACCCCTCTCCCGCTGGTTGCGCGTCTCCCCTCGTGTGACAATGAGACGCTGATGAACAATGCTTGTCCAGGAACCTGGCATCCCCTGGGCCGTGTCACTGGTGGCACCTTGTACCCGGGGCTGATGGTGACCAGCGGTGTGATCTGGCACGTCCTTCGACTCTTGACAATCCCCGTCGACATTCGAAATGTTTGCGTTATGCTCGCCCCGGGTTTCTCTGGTTTAACCGCTCTGGCCATGTACCTGCTGACCTGTGAGATGTCGACGTCTCCTTCAGCTGGTCTTTTAGCTGCGGCATTCATGGGTATTGCACCCGGCTATATCTCTCGATCTGTTGCCGGTAGTTACGATAACGAAGCAATTGCCATCTTTCTGATGGTCTTCACCTTCTACCTTTGGATCAAGGCTGTCAAGAATGGCTCTATCATGTGGGGTGCATTGACTGCTTTGTTCTACGGATACATGGTGTCTGCATGGGGTGGCTACGTCTTTATCACTAACATCATCCCCCTGCATGTGTTCGTCCTCCTCTGCATGGGACGATACAGCTCCCGCGCATACATTGCTTACACCACGTGGTATGCTTTGGGAACGCTTGGTAGCATGCAAATTCCCTTCGTTGGATTCCTGCCTATCCGTAACAGCGACCACATGTCGGCCCTTGGTAAGACCTCTCGCTAAAATAACACGAAGAGAAAGCGGCATTCTGACCAAATCTCTTAGGTGTCTTTGGATTGATTCAGCTGGTGGCATTCGCTGAATTCGTTCGAGGGTTCCTCCCCGGCAAGCAGTTTCAGAGACTGCTTACTTCCATGGTTCTCCTTACCTTTGGCATTGGCTTTGCCGGTCTGGTGCTGCTCACCGTTTCTGGAGTCGTCGCCCCATGGAGTGGTCGTTTCTATTCGCTGTGGGATACCGGCTACGCAAAGATCCATATTCCCATCATTGCATCTGTGTCTGAGCATCAGCCCACAGCCTGGCCAGCCTTCTTCTTCGACCTGAATTTCTTGATTTGGCTCTTCCCCGCCGGTGTCTTCATGTGTTTCCAGAGCCTGAAGGATGAGCATGTGTTTGTGATCATTTATGCCGTTCTTTCGAGCTACTTTGCTGGTGTCATGGTTCGTCTGATGCTGACTCTCACTCCAATTGTCTGTGTTGCAGCTGCGATGGCCCTGTCCGCCGTCCTAGACAATTTCTTGACCCTCGGGAAGCCCACACCTCCATCGAAGGTAAATGCAGACGGCTCAAAGTTCTTTGGCTCTGGGAAAGGGCCCATGGTTGGTATCTACTCCTCCATCTCCAAGCTGTTCGTTTCGGGCACGATCACCCTTTACCTCCTCATCTTCGTCGCTCACTGTACTTGGGTTACTTCCAATGCATACTCATCCCCCTCCGTTGTTCTGGCAAGCCGCATGCCCGATGGAAGCCAATTCATCATTGATGATTACCGTGAGGCCTACTACTGGCTGCGTCAGAACACCCCTGACAATGCAAAGATCATGTCCTGGTGGGATTACGGCTACCAGATCGGCGGTATGGCTGATCGCCCCACTCTGGTTGATAACAACACTTGGAACAACACCCACATTGCGACTGTTGGCAAGGCCATGAGCTCGCGTGAGGAGGTCAGTTACCCGATCCTTCGCCAGCATGACGTTGACTACGTCTTGGTTGTGTTTGGTGGATTGCTAGGCTACTCTGGCGATGACCTGAACAAGTTCTTGTGGATGGTCCGTATTGCCGAGGGTATCTGGCCTGATGAGGTGAAGGAGCGTGATTTCTTCACCTCTCGTGGCGAGTACCGCGTCGATGAGGAGGCCACTCCCACCATGCGCAACAGCTTGATGTAAGTATCCCCCAGGTGTTCTCACTATTCAGCGTAGCCGGACCCAAGACTCATTCTTTCTATAGGTATAAGATGTCTTACTACAACTACCAATCCCTCTTCCCGGCCGGCCAGGCTGTCGACCGGGTCCGTGGCGTGAAATTGCCAGCGGAGGGCCCACAGCTCAATACCCTCGAAGAGGCTTTCACCAGTGAAAACTGGATCATTCGTATCTTCAAGGTCAAGGATCTGGACAATTTTGGCCGCGATCACAGCAATGTGGTCGCCTTCGACAAGGGTCTGAAGAAGAAGCGTGCGACCAAAAAGAAAGGCCCTCGCGTTCTGAGAACGGAGTAGACTTTGCATTTTCCCTGAAGTATGTTTTGGCTGTGGATTCTTCCCATTGTAGGCTCTGATATTGCAGACCTACCTTGCGGTGTATTTTATGATTGGATATATTCCTCAGTCAGCTAGCTAGGATGCTATACAATGGATGTCCCTGGATGATATTTCTGTCCCTATTAAGTAGAATTCTTCGGCTTCTCTTGTCCCAATTCGCCTCTTAGCTGACTACGCATATTGGACCAAGCGAGGTTCAAAGAAGAGAGTTATAGTTGTAGCCCAACCTGGGATAGTGTTCTACTTGAATATGCGAATAATGTACAATACAGTGTGTCAAAAGCAAGCCTTCACGCGTGTAGATCTTGCGAAATAGTCCATCATAAAGACTCCGTAAACCCCGATATGCTCCGTTTCTGCCTGCACGCCCCATACAGGCAGCTGGGCGGCTTATATGGATCCTTTGCTTCTCTATTGGAGCGCGATGCAATGCCCCCCCAACCTGTCCTCAAGACCCAGTGCTTCTCAGTCTCATGCGCATGCAACCGTCATTGGAAGTTCATTAAACCCCCTCGAAATGGCGGTTGGTTTATTTCTGCTCGGGCGTCTTTGGGGCCTCGGGGACCTTGACATCGGAAAAGTCATCTTGGCCGACAGCACGGATAGTGTAGGCATCTGTTTGCAATCTCATGTCAGTATGCAAGCGCTACTCATATGTATCCCAATGCCACGCTGGCGTATCAGAGGCGTGGTGGCGCCATCCGATCACGCCCTGTGATAGGAAGACCGAAAAACCCGGAAGGGTACAGGTCATTCTTATGCGGTCTCTCCAGAGGGTAGGGGGAGGTTTGGGGTTCGAATAACGTACAGACACTGAGGGTGAATGCGACGAGGCCGAGGCCGGTGACAGCGTTCTTAATCAAATATGGGCGGCGGGCGCGCAACAGAGCGGCGCCGGGCGTGTAGTCCTTGCCATAATAGGTGGAATTGAAGCTGTGAGAGGTCCGACGTCAGTGTCTCAAGCTTTCACCACGAACAGAGGGATACGTACATTCCGTTCGCCATGGTGAGGGGTGGTAGGAGGAAAAGTAAAGTTGAACTGCGCAAATGCGCGCAGATCCGGGTCTTGGCGCTGACTGGGACAGCCTTGGAACCCTGGAGCAGATGCAATCATGCCATTTCTCAATATTCCAGACAAGTCAATGATTTTACATGCTATTCCAACGGATTTGATTTGTGTGTCCCGGGCATCCACATTACTATGGACTCTGTACTGTCTTTACGGCACGTCCGTAGAAGCATTGGTAGACATCAATCTTGTGACCTTTGTGAGACAAGCACAGTAGCAGGTTCAGACTAAATCTAATTATAAGGAAGGATAGTTTCCTGAATCTATTAGAGATAAATACGAGTAGATACAACGTAGTATAACTTACAAAGTCCACACGAGACCCTTTGGAAGCGGCCGATGTATGGGAGCCTCCGCGGTTTTTCCCTCAGTCGGCCCGGACTGATCGACTTCCTCCAGACTCGGAGGTCTTTGATTTCATCACTTCGCCAACCGCCTCCCCAACACCGGCGTCCCCCTTGTCTCGGGTCTTTGCTGCACCAGCTTCCACGCCTGGCTGTTGGCATGAAGCTTTCTTTTCCCTTTCCATCCGATTAGCCACTCTTTACCAACCCAGTCGATCCCTCCCCCGATCTCTCCGCGTCGCGTCACAATCCCCTCATCAACCATGGCTCAATCAACAGAAGTCGCCCAGCTGAACGCTGCCAGGAACCTTGTTCTTGGTGATGCAGCTCTCTATCCGCAGATTGTAAACGGCATCCTTCCCATCGTCGGCGCAAACGCGAAACCCGAATTGCGACGATGGGGTGCAGACTTCCTAGCTGAGACTTTTGCAAGCCCGGTGCTAGGTACGGCTCAGAAGGAACAATTGGCACCTGGGGTTCTTCAGGCAATTCGCGATATTCTCTTACTGCCGGAGACTGACACCGCGGTCCTGCAAAGCTTGGTACAATGCGTGGCCAGCCTATACCCGCTTGTTTTCCGCCACATGTACGTTCTAATCCTCCGTGCCATCTGCATCGGAGCGCTTTCCAAGGTTGATGGAGTCGATACCGAGTACTAAAACCCGTTTAGAATCAACCACCCTGAGGACAGCAATTCGTGGGAGATCATGAACACAATAAAGCACGATATCCTTCGGCGCATGGATACTTTCCCGTGTCCTGTTAAGATCTGCTGTGCCAAATTCCTACAACGCGTAGTCCAAGTGCAAACGCCAAGTCACGTTGCAGACCCCCGAGTATGTTATATACCACCCCTTCAATATACCAGTCATACTGATGTCTACTACCACAGCGACCCGATCAGAACGAAACCTCGTTAGCTATCGTCCCTCGCAATCACCCTCTTCTAGCTATTCCACACCTCGAGGCCGAGTCCTCTGGCTTGCTTGACCGACTTCTTGACGTATTCCAGGTGGAGATATGGTATGGGAAAAAGACAGGTTGCGCAAAGAAAGAAAAGAACGTCGTAGCTAATATTCCTTAGTGATCCTCTGCTTGTCAACGCAACCTTGAACTGTCTCGCTCCTCTTATCCGCACGCGACAGTCCATCTCCAATAAAATCATTAATGCCATCCTGGAATTTTACCCGTCGAAGCATGTTCGCCCGCCATTTACGCCAACAGTTCGAGTCAGCGTCAAGTCGATGGAGCGCACGGCGCGGGCGGTGCTAGTGAACATGTTGAAGAAGAACCCAAGCCATCCCATGCTGGGCAAGATACAGCTGTATATCGAACGTCTCATGCAGTCACGTTTAGAGGCTCCTGATGAGTCCTCCCGGAAGCGTGCCCTTCCCAATGAACCGGTCGATGGACTGGACCATGCCAAGCGTGCTCGTCTTGATGCTGAGACACCCCCGCTGATGAAAATCCCGCCATTGCCCCCCAGGCCCATTGAGCTACAGTCAGCTCTTCACTCTGACCCAAGATGCGGCCCTCTCCTCGTTCGATGTCAAGCAACTTCCCCCCGATTTGGTCGTGAAGATCACAGTGCCTCTCCTTGCTCAAGTAAACCAGTCACTGTTAACCCAGGCCATCGATGTAACAACCCCCCCTTCGACACGTGGCCGAGATGACTGCTAACATACAATCAGGCTGTTCGCACCCGTTATCAGACCGTAACCAAAGAGCAAAACCAAATGCGGCTACAGCAACAGGCGGCCGCGGGAGGTGAGGACGATGACGACTATGAACCTGAGTACCAACCTATGGAAGGGGCAGATAACACCTCCGACGTGGCGAGCGTCATCGCAGCCGAAGCACCCGATGTTCAGCCCGATCTGGTATCATTGGGCCCATTCGTCCTACCTCAACCACCGCCGATGAGCGAAGAAGAAGCAGGAGAAGTCGGCCGTAGTGCAGTAGCCCGCGTCTTCTCCATGATCAATATTGCTGAAACGGCACCATCTGCCAGCAAGGGGAAGAGCCAGCAGCATCCAGGCTTCACCCGCTTGGCCGGAAGTAATTTCGATCGAGACGCCTGGGTGTTGCTCCTCACGCGACTAGCCACGCGCGCTCCAGCTGGCTTGGAGGGAGGGGACAAGCTGGGTAAAGGGAAACAGACTCCCATTTCTGATTCGATTCGTGAGACGCTTTATCGGTATATTCTAGAGGATTTCCGCGGCCGTCTTACCATCGGCATTACCTGGCTGAATGAGGAGTGGTATAATGATCGCGTTCAGATGAAGGCTGCCGCGGCTGCGCGTGACCAAGGTGATGACGAGGAGCCCAGCGTAGCGACCCATTACGATACCTGGGTGTCTCGACTACTGGACGGTATTCTGCCATATCTTGATGGTCGAGATATCAAAGTGCTGGTGCGGTTCCTGAGCGAGATCCCCGAGGTTACCATCCCGATCACGCAGCGGGTGGCGAGTCTGGCGAAGGATCCCGAGCGTGTGAACCTTTGCGTGCAAGCTCTTATGTGAGTCATTCCTGCTATAACTTCTCCTACGTTGATTTCTTTCTGACGCCTGTGCAGGTACTTGATCATGTTCCGACCACCAGCCCGAGAAATGTGCCTGAACACTTTGGAAGACGTCTATCAGACTTGTAAGTCGTTCTTTCATTGCATCCACGTCTCCAATTTCTCGTCCTAACACCAAGTCCAGATGAAGAAGCACGACCGGCAGCCGGAAAGGTCCTAGCGAAATGGCGTCCCCAGGCAATTCGGCCCGCGGATTCAGCCCCTGCCCCTCAACCAGAGGCACAAACCAGTGCCACAGCAGCATGATATGAGAGCCGGGTGTATCAGACTCGAGCTGACGGTTGAGCCCTAATGTGGCAACGAGGTTCCAACCAATCTCCTTTGCGGTGTTCACTGATTTTTAAACTTCAAGGTTTCTAATCCATGTATTCTACACCTACGAACTATTATGCACTAATGTAGACTTACAACACCGCTGAAGTTCGCTCTTCTCCAGAGGGGGTCCACCCTTCATTTCATCATTCCATATACTTCCAAGATCTCCAGCAGCAACCTAGGTTACAAAGCCTGATCAGTAGAAACCCGAGAAGGAACGGACCATCTTACCTGATAATCCTGCCGAGGTATCTCCAGCTTTCAGCTGCTCTAGTGGCACAATAGACCTCTGCTTATTCATGAACGGATACACCATGCGGGGTTCAAGTTTCCGGGGATCCTACTCGGCCGAGCACTGCCAATGGTATATAATCCCGTATAGACCAGCACTCCATAGACACTCGAGCTGTGGCCCGTAATCTACCAGACATGCCTCTCTACGACGTCGAGTACGTCTGCCCTCTTTCCTTATCCCAGCAAGAAGAGCTCGCCCAAGCCTTCACGCAGCTACACTCGCAACGCTTCCAAACCCCACGCGTCTTCATCAATGTGCGCTTCACGGATGCAAGCTCCCAAGTAGTCTTCCGGGGGGGTAAGCGGCGGCATTATAACCGGGTGATCCTTCGATCTCGGACAAGCAATGACCGGAGTAATGAGCTTTACATCGAGCACTGCCGCGCGATTGTCGCGGCATGGGAGAGGATTGTCGGGACAGGGAACGAGGTGGGATTGCGGACTGTATGGGTGATGGGGGCTTTAACGACGGCACTTGAGGCGGGGATTGCGAGGCCTAAGGTAAGTGTTATTTTTTTTCTTCAATAAAATTCGGACTTTGTCAAATACGCAGATGGCTGAAAGGTTCTTTTTCTCTAGACGGGAGAAGAGAAGGAGTGGTTGAGGGTTAATTGGCCGCAGTTCAAAGCACTTGCTGAGGCTGGGGATGAGGATTTTATTGACTTGATGAAAGAAGAGGAGCTTTTGGCTTAATTCCGGTTTGGGGAGCTACGCTCAATTTATTGGTTAGATACGAATTCGCCGGAGATCAAGATCCACATGTATGGGCTAGTGAGGGTCGAAGTATCAGGAGTCCCAGTTATTGCCGCTGCCGATTGCAAACCAGGGATCCTATCCGGATAGCTCATGTATCTGGACGAATATATGAAGCTGTCTTGCGCCCAGGTTCGTATGAGAAGGCTTGGGTCTTATTATGGCGAGAGTAATTGGGATAGACATGGCTACTAGTAAATAACTTGAGTACCACGAAGTACTATTGAGCTTCAAAGCCATTTCTAAAATGGCAAAGCTCATATTGTGATGCGCTTATATACAGAAGGGAAGAAGTATACGGGGTTGGCCAGTCGTCCACGTCAAATGCCCAGGTAAAGTTTTAAGACCATAGAACGACTTCCCAATATCATTGGTAATGGAGGATTCACGGAAAGGAGAGCAAGGAGAATCAAAGGATATCACATTCCACGGTCCAATACGCCACCCTGTTAGAAGATAAAATCCATAGTCCTTTTCCGTCCATGCAATAGCAGGGCAAATTTCCCATATGTAAAGTTTCTGGATTGAGATTGTAAGAACAAAAGATCTCAACAATGGCCCCACAAACAACACAACTTGTCTTCCATTTCGCTCGAACGTTGGAAGACTGATATCTGAATACAGTCATAGAATTCATTGTAGAAAAACACTGGGGAGGTAGCGGAGATGACGCATTGGGCTTGAGGGTTGGAGGAATTAGAGTGTTCCCACCCAAAGCTCGGCTCTATAAATTGTTTAGAAACTGGCAAGGTCATCAGACGTTTCACCGGGCTGGCAAGTGCCCTGAACCAACCCCAGTGGGCAGCTCAGACGGCGTCGGGCGATAGTGGACCGCGTCAACTGGCTTGGATGGATGCGCTGACGAGGGGTCCGCTTTTAGCGCTGCAGAGGATTGAAACAGCCCTTGACGGACAGGCGGTGGTGGTGGTGAAAACATTGAAGTTCGAGGAGGAGCATCATGATTTGGCGACCGGCGTTCAACGTTACGGCTAGGGTTGGGAATAGGTTTTCGAACATCCAGTGGTGAAGAACTTTGAGATCTAAATGCCGGTTTGTGCTCAACATCAAACTCGGGATTCCGAAAAGGTCCTTGATGATGTGAGCGAGGCTCCTGCTCAGTCCCATACGGTGTATTATTTGCCGAAGAGTTGGCAGCTGACATGTTCTCCGGTATTGTCGACGCAGACCCGTTTGGCGCATTCACATCCACCACTCGTTTTTGAGCAGCGGGGGTTGTGAATGGCGCCTGTTGCGACTCGTGAGCTCGCGCTTGCGGCCGATGCTGTTGAGAGTACTGATGTTGTGGCTGTTGTTGATGAATGGGGTGCTGCGGATTGGCCCAGGGCGTTTGTTCGAGAAAAGCTTCTTCGGCATCTGTGCGGAACATGTTGGATGACATTGAAGACATGGCCCCACGAGGTGGCAGCGCGGATGAGGCCTGGGGAACTGATTTCCGGGTCTCGACAGCAATCTAAGTGGGCTGAGTCAGTATCAAAGAAGAAACAAAGACGAGCTGAGATGTCTTACTCCCATCTTTTCCAAATCATCATCCAGTTCGGACGGGCGAGCTCCCACCAACGGCGGCGCAGCTGGAAAGCCTACATATTTGGCGACACCAGCCATGATGGAGACTTCGAGGTTGTAGGAAGTCTGATGCGAGATCTGTTGCGAGCGACGGGTGGGGAACGGGATGATGTGATGCGGGCTCAGCTCATCCGTCTTAAATCGGTCATGCTGGATCGCATAGAACTGTTTGCTGATCGCGCTCGAGTGTCTCTCGCGCGCGTCTCTGATGCGCTGGAAAAAGGTGCTGTGGGCTTGGGCGCGCTCCGCTAGGCTCTTGTTTAACAAAGCCTGCTTGCGATAGTGGAACAAGGTCTCCTCGTATCTGATCTTCTTGTCGCGATTGCGTGCCACGCATTCGATTTGACGCAGATACTCGGGATGCGTTGGGTTTGGCCCAGTAAGCATTTCCATTTCACGGTCGAGCTTCGCTATCCTTTCGTCGTAAATCCTGAGACAAAGCTGATGAGTACATGGAAGCAGGCAGAGGCCGGGGGATTCTTACTTGTCTCGTAAAGTTGCAAACTCTTTTTCCAGGGTTGCCAGAGACTCCATAGCCGACATTCTTTTCGCAGCTAAATATAGGTTTAGCTAGGCTAGCATACGGGCTTAGCGGGAAATCACTCACACTCTTCTTCCGTTTTCGCCGTAATCTCGGCGTCTTGGGGCTCATCGCCCCGTTCCGCAGTCTCTTCGTCTTCTCCAAGATGTTCATCAGCGACATCCTCTGTCGCGACCTCGGCGCCGCCCGCTTCGTTCTCTTCTTCTACATCTGGAGCTCTTCTTCCTCTGCGCTTGCCCTTCTTGGCCTTCTTGCTTTTAGCCGGCACGGCAGGCAGTTCTGACTCCTCGGGAGCATCGTCGACCAGTTGCCCATCCTCATTGAGCATGGCAGCGTCCTCTACGGGCTCGGGGGAGAGAAGCGCATCATCGTCCATCGGATCGCTCAGGTCACTCTTAATAGAACCCCGGCGTTTCTTCGAAGGCTCGTCGTCGCCGACATCCGTTCCGGTGTCCTCACCGGCCACAAAGCGCTTGCGCTTCTGCCCAATGCTATCAAGGATCTCCACCTCATCAAGTGGGTTTTCATCTTCGAGGGAATTGTGATTGGAGGCTCGGCGTGGTTTGCTCGGGGAGTCATCCGCCATCTCATCATCGACGTCGTCCAATGTCGTAGACTGGTGAAGTTTACTCGGACTTGGGCCAGCACTTCCGGCGCTTACGACAATGTCCCGTTTGCGAACGTTGTGAGGTGAATCCTCGATGCGCTCGGTCTCGGCTTCTGAGTCGTTTTCCAATTGCCGCTCATTCTTGACCGAGTCTTCGAAGTCGGATGGTTCATTGTCTGAGACATCATCAATCTCACTCAAGCTGCTCGATCGACCATCGTCCATGAGGGGGTCATCCAAAAAGGGATTGCGCTCGCCATTGGTCCTGGTGGGCTCTGTCCCAGCGGGACCCACGGAGCTTTGCTCTCGGCTCTCGGCCACCTCCATGAGACAATAGAGTAAGTGGTCCGAGTGCAATCAAATTTATAAGGCCAGAAGGTGGAGAAGAAAGAACGGGCCGGCGCGAACAGTAGTGAGTCGAAACTTGCTGCAGCGGAATATGGGTTGTGGGGGAGGCGGTAAGGTCACCGATTAGTGCAAGAGAGATTCTTCGGGGGCTCTGGATTGATAACACAATAAATTAGTCCAATTGCCATGCTAACTCATTCAAGTCCCTTCCTCTTGAAGTGGGCAAAGGGTGGAAATATAATGGGTGAGTGGGTGAGAGAGGTAGGTCGGCGCCTCCAGAAGGCGGTGCGGAGATTGATCATCGCCCGGAACGCCCCCCAGAAATGGCTGGCCCTCGCCTGCAGCACCATAAGCCGCGCAGAGGCTGTAGTGGAGCCGACCAAGCTCACCCAGCTCCTCATGGCCATAGATACGAAGGTGCATGTGCTATAATGGGGCGAGCATGTATGTAAAAGCGCGAGTGACGTACCGTCTCAACAATGCGCCGGGGGCAACGCTGGTAATGAGCGTTACTGCTCGCGATCGAGCAGTATTCTCACAGCCGCTGCGTTTCCACAGACACAGAATATAATTTCTAGCCCAATCCACGCGTCTTGAAAGTGTATTATCCTGCCAGAGGCCTTCGGACCACCGATGCGCCAGCACTGATCACAAGATGGCGAGGGGAGGCCGGCTAAGAAGCGGGCAGGACCACAGTCGAGGGTCGCGGGGAGGCTATCGGCATGGAACGGGTGCGGAATGGGTCAGAGGTTCGCAGGGAAAATCGTCAAGAGCCGTATGGGAACCAAAAGCTGGCTGGAGGAGGAAAGGAGAATGCCCAAGAGCGCTCTGATGGGATGCAAAAGCAACAAGAGTCGGTACTGCCATGTACCGAAGTCCACACCGCCTACTGAATTCATCACTATCACCATCTTGTATGCTGACGTCGCCGGATATGGACATGATAGTCTTAAGAGCAGACAACAACTAGATTTGATGACGGACTACACGCAATAAGTTGGACTGAAAGTATCGCCGTTTGATCTGATACTTCCAGAACAAGGCATAAAAGTGGGTTTGGACCTCGTAAGAAAGGAAGAATGGTCGACATTGGTATTTGGTAACAAACGAGATTACAAAAAAAGTCAATCTCGGAGAACTTTGCCTTTAAATTTCAGCGAATGATACAGTGAATCTTTTTTCCTGACTTAATAGCCCTGACTTCAGCATGTACCTTTATAGTCACCCTCTTCATGTTCATGCAGCGGGCTATCTGATGCGACTCACGTGATACCTGAGTGCCAAGACTGATAAGCCCAAGAAAAAAAAAAGTTCGGAGCTATACACAAGTCGAAGTCGAACCGGCCACTTTATTTCAATCCCTAAGAACGAGCTTCTATTGGGATTCCTGGCTTCCTCAAACATGGGAAAAGGCTCAAAGTCACGATCTAAGGAAGAATCCAAGCCGCCGGCCTCCGGTGGCCTTCCCTTTGTTAAGGATACTTCAGCGCTGGACCCAGTTTTGTCCTCTCTGTTCGATAAGAGTGTATGTACTCACACGCCATGCATGCGCACTCAGGAAGCTAACGGTTATCCAGGATGGCCCTGTCAAAGCCCCTACGGTACAATACGTCAATGTCCCCGCCAAGTCCTCGAAAGCGGCTGCCGACGCTGAAGACGAAGACGAAGACCAGGACCTTGATGTTGACTCGAGGGAATCTGAGGATGAATTGATGGAAGATGCGTCAAAGGACAGCGACTCTGAATCTGCAGAAGAACCAGCCCCAGAAACACAAGGTCGCAAGCGTAAGCGCGGTGCAGCTGGGGAAGACCTGGAGGAAACATACATGCGCCGCATTGCCAAAGAAGAAGAAAAGGCCGACCAAAAGAGAAATGAGGAGTATGCTAAACGCCAAAAGCCTACTGAGGACAGCGAAGAAAGTGATGCGTCAGATGACGAGTCTGAAATTGAGAGAAGTGATGATGATGAGGCTGTGCCCGTACCGGTTCACGAAAGTCTGACAGGCGGCGACAAAGTGGATGATGTCGAAAAGTCCAACCGCACTGTCTTCCTGGGAAATGTCTCTACTCAGGCAATCAGATCTAAGGCTGCCAAGAAGACACTACTCCGACACCTTGGTTCGTTCTGCTCTACTCTGTCTGAGTCGACCGGCCCTCACAAGGTTGAGTCGATCCGATTCCGCTCAGTGCCTTTTTCAAGCGGTGGTGGTATCCCCAAGCGGGCCTCATTCGCCCGTCAAGAGATCCTGGACGAAACGACTCCCAGTACCAATGCATATGTCGTTTACTCCACCGTGCAGGCTGCTCGCCAGGCACCCGCTGCGTTGAATGGAAGTGTTGTCCTGGATCGTCACTTAAGAGTCGACAGCGTTGCTCACCCTGCGGCTATTGATCATAAGCGATGTGTCTTTGTCGGAAATCTCGACTTTGTCGACCTTGAAACCCCTGTGGAGGATGAGAATGGCAAAAAGAAGAAGCCCAGAGCTCCCGCCGATATTGAGGAGGGACTCTGGCGCATTTTCAACGAGCACACTGGGACCTCAAAGGACAAGAAGGCCCCCAAGAAGAACGTCGAGTTCGTTCGTGTCATCCGCGACCGCAACACCCGTGTCGGCAAGGGCTTTGCCTACGTCCAGTTCTACGATGGCATCAGCGTCGAGCAAGCTTTGCCCTTGAATGGCAAGAATTTCCCGCCGCGGCTGCCCCGTAAACTCCGTGTGACTCGTGCGCGCAAGGTGGCCAAAAAATCCGAGAATGATGGCAAAGATTCGAAGATGGCTGAAGCTCAGAAGACCCTTCAGGGACGAGCTGGTAGACTCCTTGGCCGAGCTGGCGCTGCCAAGGTCAAGGCGAATAGCAAGGCCACCATCTCTGGGAATTCGTTCGTGTTCGAAGGCCATCGGGCTACTGAGAACGGTCCATCTCAAATCAAAGTCAAGACCAAGAGTCGGGGCTCCAAGGGCTCCAAGGAAAAGAGAAACAATCGCAGTAACAGGCGGGCAGCTGCTTACAAGGCCGCGGGTGGTAAGAGGCCTTAAAAAGAGACGGGGGAAATACAAAGCTCTCTGTATTTATTATTGGCGTTGGGAAGGGCATTTGAAGGACCAGACAGACACTACCAATACACCTCACGTATCTGCACAAAATCTTGATAATGCGTTTATCTCACCTACCTAACCGGCGTTGCTGCAAAAGCATTTGGGTTGATACTAGACCGCCCAGAATACTTGTGCACTCGCATTGTAAACGATGTTTGTCCAGTTAGGAAACCTTGCTCGAGCCCAGACAGCAATCGCGTCCCCCACCTGTAGCTCACGTACTCCACGTCCATCCAACGTTTCTCTTCCCCGGCCTTTGGTGCGTTCGATAATGCCAGCTTCTTCGGAGTCAGGCTCAATGTCGTCCAAATAATGCCAGACGATCTCCACGTTCTGCCGGGAGCCTACACGCCCCCTATTGATCTGTAGCCTGTTTGGTCCAGGATGAAGGGGCCCGCCCCAGGGCCAATCTGATGAGCGACTAACCCTTTTTCATTTTCTAGCCACTCAGCCGCGCCTCGTTTGTGGGCCGCATGTATTACTTCAGTATCGAACCACGTCCATGATTCCTTCTGGTAAAGTTCTGGGCCGGTGGCATCACCGCCACCGCCTTGGTCATGCGAAGAAAGATGGAAGATTATCTTTCGACATGGATGAGTTCCGCGATAGGGCAGTGGTGTCAGACCAGAGGCGTTGTCATTACCCTATGGAGCCAGTGAGCTTTTTGGTTCGTCTAGATGTCATCAAGTTCAGTAGAGACTCACTTGTTTGGTAAAGCAGAGGGGGACTGTCTTCAACACTACCATATCATGATCTTGACGGACGATCACCCGATTCCCTTGGCGGCTCCTCTCGGGCATGACTGCCATGTAGGCCATCTCCGATGCCCAATACTCGGCTGCATCCATAATTTTGTCCACCAACTCGTTCGGAAGGCCTTTTCCAACTTTGCGTCGCAGAATGTGTCTGACTTTAAGAGCATCCCATGCAGAACCAGAGAATACTTCGTTCCTAGTTTTGGTTCTCACAGGGGTTCCCTCACCTTGCCTGTCTGTAGACTCTGGGTTGCTATCGTCCTGCCGTGGCTGGAAGGCCGAGGGCGTCAACAGCTGTGCTCTCAATTACTGAACATCGTGTCTGAGAGAACAGTAGACTCAAGTCAGGCAAGTCGGCAACTGAAAATTGGAAGAAGAGGACGGCGCCCAGTCCTGCAGGGCAACAGATGTCAGGGATGCAGAGACTTTGAAGTGTAATTCAGGTAACAAGGGCGAAATTGGAACTTTGATTAAACTAGGAAACACTCTTAATTTGCCAAATGAAGGTTAAGGTATGCTTACTCGTATGGCGGACACCGCCATAGTGGAGTCAAGAATTTGAACGTTTTTGGCAACTGGATTCCCCGCATATGACGTAGATCTCATTTTATCGGCCAGTGGCTTCTCAATATGTTTCGTTCTGATTCGCAGACGAGACTCCTTTGATCATTCATCATTTCGAAAGTATCTGTTTTAATTCTATCTGCAAGGCCACTTTCTTTGGTCATATCCAACTCAACGGCTCTCTTATATCTTGTATTAGTCGGATGTAACGATTATGCCGTTCGTTATTTGACACCAGTATATTTGAGGACCCACTATCATGAATGACTCTCCATCTCTTCTTCCTCGTACAAACATCCATCCACCCTGTGGGTCTCCCTTTGTTCAAAATGTTTGCTTGCGGTCTCCGTGGCATATAGACATATAGACTAATTCCCGTTATGCCAATGTGAGGAGATAAGCATAGGAGAGCCAAAGGGCATCGGTACTGGCTTTGCCAATAACAGTACTCGCCGGTATGCGCCACTATTACAACGCAGCCGAGTTTGGTGAGCTTGAGACGTCTGCTCAAACCCGGCCGATTTAATATATCTCGAAATGTAGTCGGTACGCTTTAAAATGGTGCTGTTTAATTTACTGGTCAAGTTTATGCCTTGGATATTCATTCTGGAAGAACCTCTTATTCAAGCATGGCCACAAACTCCAATAAGTGTATTCCTCTGGTGTCCTGTATTGTCATCCTACATGGCTCGTCGGTGGAGATACCCCGCAGTGGAATTCGATTCCTCAAGTATCCCTGTAAACCCTTGGGGCGGCTTTCTTTGCAGGTATAACCCGCACGCTGTCAGTGATAGTTCTTAGAGTACTCAACCTGGCTATTGAGAGGCCGCTGTCGAGTCGTAAATTTCAATTCACTGTCGTATGTTCGTCATCTGCTTCTAGTAATAGTCATGTCTATTCAGGCTGTAATAGTATATTATGGATGTAAATAGTCCCCTCATGACTTGGAGTGTTTCCCCGATCTACAAGCAGTGTATACTTCGATCACCCTAGCCTCAGGCACAGCCCGATCACGCAATTTCGCCAAGCCTATTAGATCGACGTGAAGACCGCCTCTACTGGCGAGTATAAGACGAACAAGCTGCCTAATAACATTCTGTTTCTTTCCCCAATATTTGTACCTGTTCATTGAAATACGACACGCGATCAATTCTCGCCCTCCACAATGACTAACCTTGCTAGCTGAAGCCCTGGAGGTCGAATATCGGGTCCCTCCTGCATCCTTCCACTCCCGACGCAAGCGACAAGCCGATGGAAGACTTCATGGTAGTGGGGCACACCGCGTTACCGTCCCTTCTCTCGGCCGGCTAAGTGCGATTTCGCCCAGCTACGGATTGTCATGTCGCAGATCCCCGGGATCCAGGGGATCCAGATCTCGCTGTACAGTTCCCCTGGTGGAGTCGGACCTTTAGGTGTCGGAGGATTATCGCGGAGCCCAGTTGGATCACCGAATGGGTCGCCGACTGCCCAGTCGCCGATTGACCACCGAGCGAACCGGGGATTCAGACTGCTTCACCCCCAAGCTCTCCGTACGCGACGACGCTTTGGCGACGTCCCGACTGGCCGTTGGTTGCGTTATCTGCACTGACGATGGTGATCGGTGATCTGATTGACATTCCTACGGTATGCGCTCGAGGGTCCTTCGGGCTTGGCTGACCCTCCCCCCCTTCCTGGATCCCCATATATGAGTTGCGGTCTGCCAAATCGGGGTCTTTTTTTTTGTTTCTTTACCTATTTAGATACCACCAATCAATCCAGTCCTTTTCAGACCTTCTTCTGCTGCATTTTTATTCTTCCCAGCTCAGCTCCGATACACTGACCTTCGATCCTCTCTCATCCCATTGTGACCGACACTACTTGTTCAGAATGGCTTCTCGAAAGTGCGCCGCGGTGGTCGTGGGCGCCGGTCCGGCCGGTGTGGCCGTCATGGGCAATCTGTTGGAGCGTCAACTGGGCACCATTGCTTGGGTTGACCCCTGCTTCGAGGCCGGTCGCATCAACCGTAGATATCGCGAAGTCCCGAGGTTGGTCTCTGCATCTTAAAGTGACTCCATCTCCTGCTAACCGTCTGGTCCATAGTAATACCAAGGTCGCTCTTTTTGAAGCCTACGCGACTGCTACACAACCGTTCCGAAATGTTATTGAGAAGGCTCGACTCCCCAATGCCTTCTCCACAATGTCCAAGCTCGAACAGGATAAGACCTGTCACTTGCACTATGCAGCCGACATGGTTCGAGATCTTACAGATGGTCTGGTGAAGATGGAGCAGGTTTACGCCTGTCGCGGCTTTGTCACAGCAGCTAAGCTCACTGAGAAGGTTCGCACTTGGCAGTCCTCAAGAAATACATTTCATAGCTGACCACCATGTCCACAGTCATCCAACCAATGGACCGTGCGCGTTCAACGCCATGACTCCGAGGGAGACGTCGAGATCGAAACTTCCCGCCTGATCCTCTGCACAGGCTCCCACCCAACCAACCTCCCATGCCCGGTCCCCAGCCTCGATATCCAGCAGCTGGACCTCGACACTGTCCTGAAGCCTTCGGAGCTCACCGAGGCCATTCCTACCAACCGCCCCTCCACCATTGCCGTCGTTGGCGCCTCGCACAGTGCTATCCTCGCCCTCCTCAACCTCATCCAACTTGCCCGTACCTCCCACCCACAACTCCGCGTCAAGTGGTTCACCCGTCACCCCCTCCGCTATGCAGAGTACATGGACGGTTGGATCCTGCGCGATAACACTGGACTGAAGGGCACGGCAGCTGATTTTGCCCGCACTCAATTAGAAGATGATAAGCTCGCGACTTCGCCCGCCGGCGAGGTGATCACGAAGATCGACTGTACCGGCGGTGACGCCCGTGAGAATGCGCAATACTGGGCTCATCTCCCCACCTGCTCACATATCGTCCATGCGGTTGGATTCACCCGGGATCCTTTACCGCATCTTACCAAGAATGGGTCACCTTTGGCTCTGGAGTTTGACCACGAGAGTGGTCGTTTCCACGAAAGTAACAATGGGCCCGCTATCCCTGGGCTGTTTGGTGCTGGTATCGCTTTCCCGGAACGAGTGGTTGATCCTTATGGGAATGTCGAGTATGCAGTTGGTTTCTTTAAGTTCATGAAGTTCTTGAAGAAGGTTGTTCCCTCCTGGGCAACTAAAATTTGATATGAACTTGTCGCCATTAGCGGGTTGACTTGGAATTTCATCATTATGAAGTCTTTATGGCGCTGGGTGTTGGGCGTTGGCACTGTCCTCAATGGACTGGAACTGATATCTCTTACCTGGCTTGTCTCATTTCTAATTTGGAACCATAATGAATCATTATCAGACTGACATTCGGAGATTAATTTACAGTAAATGCTATACCCCATGATCGTTATAGGACATCCTCCATCGTAAGACACCCTTCATATCTCCAGGAATAGGGGCCTCAGTGCCCGAAGGTGTGTGCATTTCCCCAAATTCCCAATGGTGCGACTCAGGCCTAGAGTTGATTCGATGGATAAGGAGAGTGTGCATTGACTGTCGATGTCACCGGTGGGAGCATACAGCAGTTCTTCTGGGATCCTAATGAGGGGAATTATTAAGAATTTATTCAAGCCACACTTATGAGAAAGATATTATATTAGACATGTCCATGAATCATCATAGTAAACACCGAATCGAGGCCTGACATATCAATCGAGGACACATAAAACCATCAGCGTCATCACGTCATGAACATATAGAACGAAAAATGAAGATACGTGATCATATGACCTTCTAATCGCACTCATACGATAGAAATCTACATCACCATGGCAGCCGCAACGACTCCCAGGAAAGCAAGGACACCCACAGGCTTAACACCCACAGCCCCGTTGGTCGACGTCTGAGTGGCAAATGCATCGGTGCTCGTCGCAGTAGCCCGGTACTCGCTCTGGCTTGCAACAGCCTTCTGGTCGTAGCCGGTGGCAGTCACGGTGTACGTGGTGGACGACTGCGACCACGTGAGAACGGTCCCAGATGGAGGAGCTGTGACCGTGCCCGGCAGGTTGGACAGAGTCTTGGTGCCGTTGTTGGGAAAGTCGCCCGGCTTGTAGAACTTGTCCGATGTATTGTTAAAGCCGTACTTCTTGCAGTCGTTTGGACTGAAGTTGTTGTCACAGGTGCCCCACACGAAGTCTGGGACAGAGTTGTACAGGTTGGGCCAGTCGGATGGGAAGAATACGGGCCAAAGGTCTGCTCCGGCTAACCTGGGGACTGTGTCGGGGCAGACGTCCCAAGCACTGTATTAAGTCTGGTTAGCCTCAATCCTTTTCTCCAATGCTGACTTCAAGGTATGGGGAGGCTTACGAAGAGATGCTGGCGCTAGCTCCGCAGCATGCACACTCGGTGGCTGACTTTGTGATGTCGCCAATGTTGCCTAGGTCACCCAGATTGGTAGGAATGTTATTAATGGTCTGGTCGGTGACATGCGTGACACAGTTCACTTGGGCGTTGCGGGCAGAGAGGGTGTTCTGAAGCACTTTGCCCAGATCACAAGAGCATCGGTTTGGAGCATTGTCGGGGGCTGGCCAGAAGGGAATTGGTTCAGTGGCACTAGGGCAGACGGCGAAGTATTGTTGAACGAAGAGTTGGTATTCACAAGAGTAAACCTGCAATAGGAACGGTATATTAGCTTTTTCTTTTTCTTTTTCTTTTTTCCCTTTTTCTTTTTGGTCATTGCCAGTGGCCCCAGCCAATAAACTGTCATCAATTGTGACTCGAAGCTTTTCTCTCAGGCAAGGCAGTCGTTGTCGAAGATGGGAGGGGCCTTACCTGGTTCCAACAAGATTCCGCCATACAGTTGATATATTTCTGATGGGCGGTACAGCCACAATCCACAATGCAGTTGCCATTGCCATTGCAATCGTCCACACAGGACCCCCACTTGTCCGCAACATCACGGTTGCAAGACAAGTACTCAGAAGAGGAAATGCAGTGACTGGACGTGATGTTTGTTTGCGCGTATGCCAGCTGCGAGAGCCCGGCAAGGGCTGCCACGCCCAAAGCGAAGGAGATTCTCGATGTCATGATGATATGCTGGTATCTCTTTCCTCGGATGCCTTCAAAGCAAATGCGATCAGAGCCAGAAATGTTGCAACGATGATCAAATCCAAAGTTGGTCGATCTACACTGCGAGGTTCCAAGACAACAGAGATCGAGGGCCTTTCGCGGGTTATATATGGCCTCTCTAGACCATGCACTTGCCATGAGGGAAAACCCCCTTGGGTATCTGACTTAAACGCCTACTGCAACATGCAGCAGCTCAGTCGGGACGATCATTTCGAAGCGAACCGAGCCGTCATCGTTGGCACATTGTGGCACCGACTCCGGACGAAACAGAGAGGGCCCTGGGCCCCAAGAACATGCATTGGGCCATTGAGAGTTCCAGATTATTCTGGGGCTCCCGGTCTCAACTATTGCGAAATGCATATCTCACATGTAGGCAGTAGCTTTCTGCTCATCAAGGGTCGTCAGGTTTGACACCTCAGAAGAGCAAGGAAGGGGTTAGTCAGTAGCGGCTGCAGGTAACCAGGGCATCCTTGCAGCTACCACACGAGGCAAAGTCATCTTGACTTCCGATCTTATAATAGCCGGTGAACCTTGCTTGGGAATTGCAGGTTTGCAGTCAAGTCGGATTGTTTTGTTTGTCTGGGTGCCTGAACCCTCGCTTGGTTCTGATGGTCCTGTGCTCTCGCCTGTTTGAGTCGGCTCTTACTAAGACCTCACTAGTTTCAGGCCCCAAGATTTTCTTCTCTGCAACTGCAGCATCTTGTTTCAATATCAGGGGATGCCAAGAGAGGAGAGAAAGGGAGGAAGTTATTACTAGAAGTACAGTATGGATCACGTGGGGCAAATCAGATCTGCCACCGAAAATATTTCACGGTTCGGAAAGCTGGGGATCGCCTATTAGATGTATTCGAGATCTTTTTAAGATAAGGATTGGGTCAGAGAGATATTGATATTGCAGGAAGATGGGTTTCAATGATGCCATCAGGGTCTGCCCGGTCAACCTCAGCGATCTGCCGATCACATCCGATGATAGTCTGGGGCCGTGAAATAGTAGAACATAAATCTTAGTTTCAGAATGACCAAAATTGCCCCTCTGCACTCAAGGTTTAAGGCCAAAGCATCTGCCTTCTTCCAATCTAGCCACTTAAGCTCAGTGAGTACCTCGGTAACTCTATTTAGTACCCCTAGCAGGATTTCAGGAAGCGTATGCGAATGGCCAGTAATCTTAGGGGAAGACGCGAGGACTGGTTCAATATAGCTCAGACCTACTAATAGTAGTGCCAAGATGCACCCAATCAGCATGTCGTATCCTGCATTGTCGGGTGTTGAAGCAGATAATCCAGTGCTATACAGCATAGAGAGCCTTGCCAGAAGCTCAGCCTTTTACGATACCTAACTACATAGTACTTGTCATACCCCTAAGCAAAGCATAAGAATCACGTGAAATACCCAAAGGCTGTTCCATGTACAACTTTGTCCACGTAGATGCGTTACTCAACATGAACATGGATTGTCGTAGACAGCGCGTTTGAACACGAGGGACATCAGTGCCATTTGCATCCCATCGTGGCTGAGGATTGGACTGGCGGTGTCGTCAGAGCCCTGCCCCATCCCCAAAATACGATCCCCCAACCATCTGCAGGGAGTTTGTGCCTCTGCAAGAGATCGGATTCGATCCGGCCCATGCTTGCGCTAAAATTTATCAAGCGAAGAGGACCTATGAGCCATCGGCAAGGAAGCCATCAGTATCACGCGAACATCGCGAATTTCTACCCTTTCCGATTTACAGTAAGCCACAACCCGCTGGAAAACGAGAGAAATCCGATTCTATGATGAAATGAACTCTCCGGCGCCCACTTGGACGCAAAAATAAGCCCTGGGTTTTTAGAGTTATCTAGCGCGACGGGCGTCGTCAGCCCCGAGAGGAGTCAATGCCAATTTCTTCGTTCAGGCTCCAGCCCCTACCAAGTGGAGCGGGCTCCATCTGCCCCCTCCCACTATCGACGCTTTACCGTTGCACTCGTTTCTCCACTTGTGCCGACTTTTCCTGGATCCTTGTGTATCTTTGACCCAAAGTCACGCTGTGCTTTTGTTGGCCATTGGCGGTGCGCGCTGGAGGTCGGGTCTTGTCTTTCCGGGCGATTCGTGGGTTGTTTCCGAGGTGCCTGCAGGCGGTCGCTTTTTAAGGAGATTGCGGTACATGATACCCCAATCATGCTCCAGGGCTACAATATGTTCTCTAATGAAAATAGCTTGATACGGGGTGTTCATCTCGCATGCATACTTCGTACTCGTTACTGCGCTGGGCATGTATCGTCGATGCCCATCATTGTCTCCCGCTCTCGCTGCGGATTTCAGGAGTGACCCACAGCGCCGATCATAAACAGTCATGTCTCACGTCTAATTACAACGTTTATACTTGGCAAGAGGAAGCTCAGTAGATGGCCCTAAGATAAGGTAACCACGAAGATATTATTTATTTAGATCGTAGTAGAAAACATGGGTCTCCATAATGCACTCGTCAAAATGATAATAGCGGGAGGAGAATCAACGCTGACCCAGGGGATAAAAGGAAAACACATGACCAACAGATGTCGGGAGTATTGTCGATAATGATACAGCTGTACAAATCACACACTGGATGCAACAAGGATCGCTTGTCTCGGGACAAAGCGTGGTCGCTGATCCAGCACGGCCCATTATTTCACACATAGGTAGTAACAGAAAATCCGGGGAATTAAGCATGTTCATAAACATTGGCGCTCGTTTCCATCGATTATTCAACGTTTTACAGCAGAGCAAAGACACCAGCGACCATGGCCAACATGCCGCCCGAAACTCCGTTCACGACACCAGCGTTGGCGGTAGGGACGGAACTTTCGGAAGCGGTGCTGGAGGGAGCAGTGCTAGAGCTGGCGGTGGGAGTCGGGCTGGAAGAAGCAGTGGTGGAGCTCGAGGCCGATGTGGTCATGGTGGAGGCGCTGCTCGAGGAGGCACTGGTAGAGCTAGCGCTAGTAGAGCTGGCGCTGGTGGAGCTAGCACTGGTGCTGGCGACTGTAGAGCTGGACGAGCTGGACGAGCTGCTGGAGGCGCTGCTGCTGGAGGCGGAGGTGCTGGTGGTGGCCTCGGAAGAAGTGGTAGTGGCAGCCTCAGAGGTGGTAGCAGCGGAAGTGCTGGAGGCAGGAGCAGAACCAGTAGCACCGGCCACAGTGAACGGAGGCAAGAAGTTGTACTCGTTCGAGTCGCTGTCGTCAATGATCTCAATGGTGTACTTCTGGTTGGCCACGAGGTTCTCGGGCACATGCCAGGTGTAGCTACCGCTGTTGCCAATGCTATCTGTATTGTCCGAGTCACGTTAGTATTGGGCCCGGACGGGAGGGTATCGCATGGGAAGCTTACCGGCAATCACATCTCCAGAGTTCGGGGTGCTCACGGAACCGGACTGCAGGCGCAACGATACAGAGCCAGTGGTGTCGGGGTTCCAGGTCAAGGTAGTAGGCTTCCCCGCCGTGAACTGATAGCCCCCAGGGGGATTGTTGAACGCGTTAGCTTCGTTGTTGGCGGCGACCAAGGCCGAGAAAGCAACGGCGGCGACAATAGAGACACGCATTCTGGTCGAGATGCAAAGATAAATGCGAAAAGATCCGGAGAAGATGAAAAAAAATCAACGGCCAAGGTGCGGCGACTAAGGGGGGGGGGGGGGAAGCAAGATTTAATAGTCAAAAGGATCGGCTGGGAGATCGTCGTGGTCTCGTGTAGGCTATACACAGAAAAGTATAATTGCTACTCTGCGGGGAAGAGCGAAGGAATGACTGCGCAGATGGCAAAAGGAGACGACAGAACGCGGGAATCAGACCCGGGAAAAGTTAGTTAGCCAGTATTATATTATTAGAGTCACAATTTCAGGCAGCCGGCCATAAACCTCCTCGGGTCAAGGTGGTCCAAAGGGCATAATTTTAAAAACTCCAGTGAGCATGTGCCCCCGGCGCCGCTAAGTCCCGAAAGAAGGCAATGTGGGCCGCCACTGCCGGTTCTGGTGCGTCTTCGCGCGCAGGGGCGGACGCATATTGGCCAGTGGTTTGCTCAGCCTCGACGGCAGCCACCAGGAACCTCTGGGAACCGGAAGTCCCGCGCAGTTGGACATTTCGGCTGGGAAAGGTCTAGTCCTCCGGTGGCGTTCTGGACCTTGGCCAGTCTGCCCTCGCTTCTGCCCTTGTTCGCTATTCTGGTACTCGATTATTCTGGCACTCGATTCTAAGGAAAATTCTCATCGCCTTCAGCAGATCCAGAATGGAAGGACGGCTATATCTCGGAGTTATGATGTGGAGTTTGGTGCACCAGGAAGACACGCCCCCGAGCACTAAGACTCGGCTGAAAAATCCCAAATCCCAATTTGGGGTCAGTGTCTTGCCGACCATAGAGCCGATCATTTGCCACGAGGCTCGGAAATAATCTTCACCTTGCAAGGTCGGCGTGTACGGGGACGAACTGCGGTTCGTACAGGTTCGTACAGGTTCCTGCATAGGCCACGCGACTTGACGGGTTTCCAACCCGACCAGCCATTCTATACCCTATTTTCGATCGAGGGGTGAAAAATCATGAGTTTTGTCATTAATTAGCCTAATGCCTATATGATATGAGTATCGTTTTTGGAAGAGTGTAACTCCGTAGTTCATGCACCGGCAGGGGTATGCGGGCACCATTCACCGGGCTCGTCAGTAAACCATTCTCGCCCAACCAGCTTATCACTTCCATGGCGCGCCGGTCCTCCTCTTCCTTCTGCCGTTCCAGTAACTGCCACGCCGTTAGCAAGGAGCCCACAGTCTAGTAAGAAGGTAGGGGAAGGGCAGGGGGAAGGCCCCCTAAAATTAGGCCCAAGGGTCAAAGGGTCAAAGGGAAAGGGGGGGGAGGGTTTCACTCACAGCCTGGAAAAGCCCCTTGCGCCCTTTCTTTTCAACCACTTTAGTCTTCGTCACACGATCGCGTACGTCATGTACGAATTTACACTTGTCGCCGCGCTGGCACTGCCCAGTGCGAGCGAAATGTCGGCAAACGGGCTTTTTGCTTTCGCGAGGTGGCGGCGGCACCCTTTCGGGTCCCTCGCGCCGTATGCTCGCAACCTCCGGCGCAGAGTCTTCATCATCCTCGTCCGATCCGGACTCCGATCCACTAGAGGACGTCCAGTCACTGCTGTCGGAGTTGTCGGAATTCACATCCATTGCATCGCCCGGTTCAATCATGCTGTCGCTCGCTTTCAGCGGTGGCTCTACAGACATGGGGATTGGGTCAGCCTGTAGTCCGGGGGGTTGGTCATCGACTTTGAGTTCAGCTGTAGCCTCTGCCATCGTGGCTTCAACTGTAGTCTCGGCTGTAGTAGCTGCAGCCGTGGCAGTGGCCGTAGCCAGAGCCATTTCGCCCTCTGTTGGACCGGTACCATTGCATGAGGCTGGAAGCCCGTGAGATTCTGTGGAACCGTTTGATAGGCCTAGATCGGGGTCTAAACCCAGCACTTGTTTCTGCAGAGCCGCGACCTTCAAACGGGCCGCCTCCGCCTCCGCTTCGGCCTTAGCAAAGCGCTTTTGCTCGCGGTCCAAGTTGCGACGAATCTTGTCTGCCTTGCGCTGGGCCTTCATCGCCGCGTCGATGGCCGGGTCGGCCTGTGCATCACTCAGCTTCCGCTTCGGCTCTTTGTCATCCTTGAGGGTTTCTTGTTTGTCTTGTTTTTCTTGCTTTTCTTGCTGCTTGGCTTTCTCCTTCTCTCGACGCAGGGCGTCACGGGCTGCTTTCGCCTCTTCCCCGGCTTTCTTCTTCTCTTCAATACGGGCTGCAGTGGGGAATCTCTTCTTTCGCTCGGCAATCCAGGCCGCAATATCTGATGCGGACTGTAGGTTGGAGGTTTGTCCCTTATAGGTAAACTGCAGAGAACCGGTTCCGGGCGCTAATTTAGATTCTTCATCCGCGTCCTCTTCCTCTTCACTAGACTCGTGCTCCTCGGTCTTCGGAGTCAGTCCGAGCTGGTTGTGCTTTCTCTTGCGCTTCTTCGGCTTGCGCGTGGCATCAGCCGCCGGAGGTGGTTTGCAGGGTAAAGGATTTCCAAAACTGGGGACAGGTGGAGGTGCGGGGGTTCTGGGTACGGTCTGGGGCTTGTTGAATGCAGCAGAATGGTCACGTTTATGAGAGTGTCGCGACTTAGGGCCATGGTTTCCATGGTTTCCATGTGGATGGGATGGCCGATGTCCCCGTCCATGGCCCGGAGGTGCCCCGTAAGGCATGCTCTGCTCGCCCCAGGGAGCCGATCCCATCATAACCGGTGTATTAGGAGGTGGCGAGGCATGTTGAGGTGTTGGAATCGGCGAGGGATAAGGCGCGGCCTGTGTCGCAAAGGGTGTAGTGGGTGGGAGGGGGCCATTGTAGCCCGGTAGTGGGTGGTAGGGAGCCGAGCCAGTCGGTTGGGGGTACGGTGAAGGTTGGTAGGCATGCGGAGGTTGCGGAGGTTGAGGAGTTTGAGGATGCTGATAGTTGGTTTGCGCATGAGCATATGGTGGAGGAGGCATGTACGAAGTTGCGGTCACTGGTTGAGGTGGGTAGCCGTAGTTTGTATTTGCAGGGCTAAATCCAGAGTGACTAGGGGTGGGATAGGGTGACCGTCCAGCGTCCGGAGAAAAATAACCTCCTCGACCTCGACCTCCGTGGCCTCGGCCTCGGCCCCGACCTGCTCGGCCATTCCAGTGCCCATGTTGCGCAGAGGGGTAGACGGGATGGTGCTGGGTCGGTGGAGGTGGAGGTGGAGGAGGGAAAGAAAACCCCTGGGAGCTCATTTTCGGCACCCTCTCAGAGGTACTAGAACAGAACTTTACTCCATGACGTGAATCAAGCAAGACGAGAGAAGCCAGTAAACAAATTTTGGCCGAAGAAGATTTTCGGCAAGCTTGGACTTTTCTGACAGCTGTACAGTCACGTGTGGGGAAGGGCGCCGGCGATGATTGGCGCGTTCATTCAGGCTTTTTTCCACAGCCAAGGTGGATCGTAGAACGCAGATTCATGGGCTTCAATGATGAAAAGTCTGCTTTGGGAGTATTTCTAGGACAGCGAACGCACCTCCGCTACGTGATTCTCTGGTCTTCTCGCCATGTTCATCCTTGTAAGGCCGCCACTGGAAATGCCTGGCGCTCAATCAACTAACGGCCGCAGACCACCATCTCCGATCTGATCCAGATCGCCCCCCAAGACTTCGCCAAATTCAGTGCAGTAGCTATTGAGGATAATATCAACCAGAAATATGCCAACAAAGTATATGCCTCGGGGTTCATCTACGATCTCTTTTCATCCCGCTAACCCCCAATCCAGGTCATTCAAAAGATCGGCTTATGTATCAGCTTCTATGATATGCTAGAATCCTCAGATGGTCTGATTGGCCATGGAACCGGTCTCGTCAATGTTAACGGTACATAGGGTATGCCTTGCTTGTTCGGGACCATTTGCTTACCCCGTACTAGTCACATTTCGGATGATTGTATTTCGCCCTTTCAAGGGCGAGATCATGCTCGGAAAGATTGCAAGTGGTACGGAAAATGGGATCAAGAGTATGTCACGATCTGATATTAACATCGAGTTCATCTTTTCATGGGTACTGACGGAGAACAGTCGGCGTTGAGTTCTTCAATGACATCTTGATCCCCCCACCCCTCCTTCTTGACGGTGCCAAGTTGTGAGTTCTAGACGATCCACCATCAAGGGCAATATACTAAGCATGTACTAGTGACTATACCGATCAGGTATGGACCTACGAGAGTGAAGATGGCACCCTGCTCTATTTCGACGTGGGTGAAATTGTCCGGTTTCGTATCGAGACAGAGGAATGGCATGATCAGATTCCCACCGGACCAGAGGGAGAGAACACCAATACTGACCGGAAGCCTCCATATTCGATCATTGTATGTATCCTATCTCTCCTGGAAGATTGATCGAGAAATCTTTCCTGACATGCTCGCAGGGCTCGATGCAAATGGGTGGCCTTGGGCCCATTACATGGTGGTAAACTGTGTCACCGAGGCATGATGCCATTTCCACATTGCATTTACGACCATGAGCGGACGGCTTCGCTCTTTTTCCTACTCTCAGATACCCATGTAGCTCTCGAAGAATCATCACGAAAAATTTTTTTTTTTTAAAAGAAACATCGCTGTTTTCAAATTCCAAGGGCCCTGTAGATAGCAAAGGGAGCATAATCGCAGATTTTTATCGGGGTTATTAGAACGGCGCGTGGATACTTGCAACATACGCCATCCAGGGATCATGTTGACCACACCGAAAAGTGCTGATTGGTCCAAATTGATGTGATTGTCCCCCATAATTGCATGCTCCATGGACATTCTTATCGCCGTCCAGGTACGTATCTTTTTCTGGGGACATGTGCTTATCAACCCGATTATTCAGCATTGATAGATCACTCCGATCGCGCCGACTGATCGGAGAGGGGCAAGATTTTGTCCGAAGACAGTGCGGCTGCGCCCAGGAAATCAGACCCGTAGGTGGAGCAACCACGCCCTTTTTAACCAGTCGCTGCTCAGCGATCGATCACTCCATGGGACCCAAGAGCTGTAGGAAACGTAAAAGAAATCAAAAATAAACCACGGTCCTTATTTATAAGAATTTTTTCCTTCCCTGTTGCTAAGATCTTGAAACGCCACAGCCTTTTAAGGTTCTCCCTAGAATATTCTGCTTGATAATCGATCAGCTTTCCCGAAACAGCGGTGATCTCGCTGTAACCTTGATCGGTCGCCTCTTATACTCCCGTCTGCCGTTCTTGAGCATTGCTCTCTTTTGTTTTCGCTTTCCATTTACAATTTCATAGACATCATGGGATCCTTGGATAACGGACACTCAACTGAGCGCCGCTTTGGCACTCTGGCGGTGCACGCCGGTGCCCCTCACGACCCGTCAACCGGTGCAGTGATCGCGCCTGTATGTGTCGCATTCGAGTTGGCAGCATGTTCAGCAGCTAATGACTCTTCGGTAGATTTCGCTGTCTACAACCTACGCCCAGACAAGTGTTGGCAGCCCTGTCGGCCTTTACGAGTACACGCGCAGCTCCAACCCCAATCGGTAAGGCCCGCGGGACGAGACTGGTCACAAACACAAGCTCACAGATTCCCAGCGATAACTTCGAAGAAGCCATTGCGGCACTTGAGCATGGCAAATATGCCCTCGCCTTCTCCTCGGGCTCCGCGACTACTGCTGTCATCCTCCAATCCCTGGCTGCGGGCTCCCACGTTGTCTCCGTCTCCGATGTATACGGCGGGACGCACCGCTACTTCACCAAGGTTGCTTCGGCCCACGGAGTTGAGGTCTCTTTTTCGCCTGCGATCGAGCAGGAAGTCGAGAAGCTTATTCGCCCCGGTGAGACCAAATTGGTGTGGATCGAGTCTCCTTCAAACCCTACCTTGGGACTGGTAGACATTCGTGCTGTATCGGAGATTGCGCACAAGCACGGGATTACCGTCGTGGTTGACAACACATTCATGAGCCCTTACGTCCAGAATCCCCTGCTCCACGGCGCGGATATCGTCGTTCACTCCGTTACTAAGTACATCAACGGCCACTCGGTAAGTTTTCCCTCTCTGTCCGGCCGCGCGATCTACAGTAGAACTGACTTTTATCGCCAAGGATGTTCTCATGGGTGTTGCCGCCTTCAACTCCGATGTCTTGAAGGAGCGCCTCACCTTCCTCCAGAATGCCATTGGTGCTGTTCCTTCTCCATTTGACTGCTGGCTGGCCCACCGCGGTCTGAAGACCTTGCACCTGCGTGCCCGCGAAGCCACTAAGAATGCCACGGTGATCGCACAAGCCCTGGAATCCTCTCCTCATGTCATCTCCGTCAACTACCCCGGTCTGGACTCCCACAAGCATCGGGCCATTGCTCTCAAGCAACACCGCGACGGTATGGGCGGTGGAATGCTCAGCTTCCGTCTCAAGGGCGGCCAGACCGCCGCGCACCTTTTCTGCAAATACACCAAGGTGTTCACTCTGGCTGAGAGTTTGGGTGGTGTGGAGAGTCTGGTCGAAGTTCCTGCCAGCATGACCCATGCTGGTATCCCCAAGGCCGAGCGCGAGGCTTCTGGTGTCTTTGATGACCTTGTGCGGGTGAGCTGTGGTGTGGAGGATGCTGAGGACCTGAAGGCTGATGTGTTGAATGCATTGGGGTTGGCTGTTGCAGACGCCGAGAAGAAGGGTAACGGCAAATCTTAAGCCAAGTAACCGCATTTGCTTATTCTGTTTTACTTTGCATCCGGCATCTTTGCATCATGACAATTAGATGATAGACGACTACAACTACGCATTTCCTGACCATGACGTTCCTGCGAGGAGGATACTAGGAGTAGTAAATATGAGCGATGAGAGGTCAGTAGATGGTAGCTTGGAGGATAATGTTTCCCCGGATATGATAAAAGCAAACACGATCCAATACGATCCGCTCGAGCCAACAGGTTTTAACACAAAGCATGGGGCATCACCACAGACATAGTTCATCAGCAAGCCCCTGACCGAGTTAGCTCTTGGAGGGAGATGACGAAAGGTCAGGAAGAGCGAGACAGCTGTTCCTGTTTTACCGGAACATCCACGTGTGAGCTAACCCCATCCTGCGCAGCTGGTAGACATGTTATCCACGTCCTCCCCCACCTTCGTCTCTTCTTCCTTCTCTTTCGACGTTGCAGAGAGGGAAGTTATCGACCACTCGTCGTCTTCAGCTGAAGGCTGTGGAGAGTTGGAATTCCCATCCCCTTCCAAAGTACTTGCAATTGGCGGTTTCTCTTCATCTTCCTTCGCGGACAGCTTAGATGCTGGCTCATCCGTCTTCCACGTGAGCCGGTCCACTGCATCCACCAGACTGGCCAACGTCGTGTTGATCCCCTTCACGGCTGTTTTCAGAACATGGATTTGATATTCTTTCTCAGATAACTGTGCCCGAAGAACGCGCATTTCCACCGAACAGGCGGACTTGTGGTCGCTGGAGTAATTGTTATATCCTGAAGTGGATTCCGCATTCGTAGAGGTGCTCATCGTCCTGGGGTATATAGCAGTCCTTGTTGCTCTTTCTAAGCTAAGCCGGTTTATCTGTCGTTCCAAGGCATCCAGGCGCTGGAAAAAGATCCGGGGGTGATTTTGGAAGTCGTTCATCCACGAGCCCTCCGGAGCCTGGGCTGGGCTGGCCCGAGCCCAATAACTAGGATAGTAGTGAGACATATTGAGATGCTGGTCTTTCAGATCATAGGTAACATGTACTTTCTAAGCGAACTTGACCACTCCACGAGGAAACAACCCAAAAGGAAGTTGTGGATGACATAGGTCTGATTATTACAGCCCAGGGTAGATGATGAGGACCCGTGGATCTACTAGCTAAGTAGTGCCGAATGAGATGACGGATCATAATTCTTTGAATACACTAGGATTGATTGGGTTGCCTTTCTCACTAAATAAGATCCGACGTCTGATTCGAGCGCGGTCCATAGCACGGAACCCATTGGCCATGATTCATGGCGGCTGCGCAGAAGGGCTGAGTCATCACTGCGCACTCCACCTGGGCACCTGGGCAATTTTTGATATCAAATATTAGCCGCAATAGTACTCAGAAATCGAAAAACCTCGGACGGTTCCTGAAAATGCTTGCACATTATTCTTAAAGGGAAAGAACTAAATTTGGAACATCTGCAGTATAAGGGTCACAACGGTTCCGCACTACCACCTACGCTATCTTGAATTATGGCCTTTAGCTTCGGCTTTTCAGGTGACGATATCGACATCGATGACTCTGAGACCACCAGCAATGTTCAGAATGTGCAAGGCCCTCCGGCAAGGAGCAATTCTCTTCCTGAGCTGGTGAAAGCCTCCAGGCATAGCATAGACGAATGGGTAAGTAATCGCTCCGCACACTACACCGGAGTATCTCAAGTGGGGAGGTACAAGTTGATGTCCTTCATTTCCACACTTGAACGAATTCAACCACACAATTTGTGATTGCACCCCTAATTGCTCGCAGCTTTCGGTTCTCCCTTCCCAGATCTCCTTCAATCGACTTTCAATTGGCAGCACGCCTCTGGTTATTGCGCGCCGAGAATTGTTCGATATTCGGACACAATTAATGGCCGAGGACAACGCAGGTCAAGACAATGCAGAGCTGATCTCAGGCCTTGATGAGGGTGACCTGAAACCGAATTTTTACGAGGGTGGCTTCAAAACCTGGGAGTGCTCTCTCGATTTAGCCAAATTAGTAGCTGACGAACCTCTCGTCAATGATGTCCAAACTAATCTCCATATCATCGAGGTAAGCGCCTTTTGTTGCGTTGAGCAGGCCTGGGATCCGACTAACTCTGAAGACAGCTCGGCGCAGGAACAGCGGTGCCCACGCTCACTGTGCTCGCAAAGCTGCTCACTCGCTCAGAGCCGACAGAGGCGAGTCCGACAAGGAAAACGCTACTTACATTTGCAGACTACAACGACTCGGTTCTGCGACTTGTTACGCTGCCCAATATCATTTTGACCTGGTACGGCAGCCGTACATGGCCTACTGCCCAGGTCTCCATGGAGGGTGCCACTCAAGATCAGTCGGAACAGGAACTCGACATCACATCGGAACTCATAAGTGAATTCAAAGCCGACCTCGCTCGGCGTGGAATCACCATCAACTTCATCTCTGGCGCATGGTCCCCAGAGTTTGTCGATATGGTCTTCTCGGCCCAAGATTCGGAGTACCAGACTTTATTGCTTGCAAGCGAGACAATCTACTCTCCCTCATCATTGAGGGCTTTCTCGGAGACTTTAGTCTCGTTATTGCGCGGCTCCGGCACGGCATCTGCGAAGAGCAGAGCACTAATAGCTGCCAAGAAGGTGTATTTCGGCGTTGGAGGTGGCGTAGATGAGTTCCTCTCGGTGCTGAAGGATGTTAGTGGTGATCTTGAGATTCAGCAAAAACTTGATGTGCAATCAGAGGGAGTGGGTCGAGTGGTCCTAGGAGTCAAACCCCCTCTGTTATAGCCGCCCACGGATGAAGAATGACTAGTACAATGATAAGATACCAGTGGCCAAGATGTCTTCGAACAAATGGAATTGAAATGATCAGGTGCCGGATGAAACTTCCCTGTCCCAACTTATATATACATGTTTTGCCCTCGATTGCGCATGTCTATCTCGGACGATTGCTTCAATTCAGAAAAACAAATGTTTTACTCGTAAATCGACACCACCTTGCCGTCCTGCATGCGGGCAACGCGAGCCTCCTCGATCTCCTTGTTCTGCTTCTCGTAGTGGGCCACAACATGGCTCAGGTCGGCCTGAGAACCGGGAGCGACGTTCATGGGAGCACCGGCGTTCATCAAGCTGTATAGCAAGGAATCGTATTAGCATTGGAACGGTAGTTGTGGTTGATACTGGGCAGACATACTCAGGCTGCTTCAACTGGTAGAACTCTTGGGGTCCTTGACTCTGGAGCAGATGCTTGTCCTCGGCAGCCTTCTCCAAAATAGCAGTGTGGATGGCGTTACGCTGCTCAAAGGTCTCCTGGGAAGGAGTCCATTTGCTGATCAGACCGGAGATCCAAGACTCTGAGCCAGACTCCTTGGTGGACTTGGTGATACGGTAGATAGCGCAAGCGGAGACAATGCCACCAACCGTGACGAAGAAACTGCGCTGTTATATCCGGGAGCCGTGTTAGCAAACGTCCCAGAAGCAATTGAGTCTTTTCTCGAGTGTTTTGCGGACTCGAGCGGACCAGCGGGGGATGTGGGAGCTTACGCCGAGGCTTTCGTTCACGGGCTCGGCGTGGGCGTGGGAGGAGCCAAACCGACGGGGCGGCTGGGAGCGCAGCAGCTGCCGCGATGAGACAGCACGTCTGGCGGCGAACATGGTGAGGGGTGACAATGGACAAGTCGTGATGGAGATGACCCTTCGGGCGGCCGTGATAGGATGAAGTTGCGCAGACGAAGTCACATGATGGATATGCACTCTTCGGGTTAGTGCCTTTTCCCTCTTCCCCAATCGATTCCGCCCAAAGACGCGTTTATACTTTAGTTTCTCCCGACAACATAGAACAGGGATTGTATCACTTGCATCGAGAACTATTTCTGTCCTTCCACATGAAAGCCTCATCATCGGCTCTGCGGGGGCATGCTACTAATGCAGGATTTCAGGGATGAGGCACACCACCCTCCCTCGGGTGCGTATGGCTGCAGGCTGGGACGATGCCTCATTCCTGCCATCATGTTCCTCCCATTTCCTCCCCCCCTAACATATAGTGGAGCCATTCGGGATCCTTTGTTACAAACCCAATGCATCCCCTAAACCTCAAGCGGCCTTCTTTGGCTATTACTCGAACATGTCAGCTTCGGGAATGCCCCCACCAGCCTTAAATCACCCACAGGTTGCCCGAAGTGGTTGGTGCCCAATGTTCTGGCACCTTGCCATTGGGTGTCGCTTCGGTTCAAAATTGAATGTTTTGCTGTGCGTTCCGAATGTTGCATGGCTTGATCAACAATGTTCGACCCGGTCGACACTACGATGGGTACCAATGTTCAAGGGTTCGGTCCGTGGTGGCCCTGTGGGTTGGATAGTGCATTTTCGCTTCATTTTTTCCACTTCCTTTCTTTTTTTATTTTCTCCTTTCATTCCTTCTGCACCACACATATCTTCTTTAATTGTGGACTTCCATACTACGTAGTAGTACTTTTGACTTTGAGTTTCAAGGTCGTGAAATTGATTTGCTTGTGCCCCTCCCCCTTAGTTGACACTTGGACACATTTCCTGGCGCCTTCCCCCGAACCAGGATCCCCAAGTGCCGGAAATTCAGATCTGGACTTGCCCGAATAGTCGTGTTGCTCGAAGCGGCTGTCTTGACTTCGTGTATCTTCTTTATTTGCTCCTGCAGCCCCAACGGACTTGCGAGCTAGTGACTCTGCCCGACTATCACACCAAAACCCACCTTGAGTCATTATTCTACAAGGCGCCTATTGCCTTGTGGTTTTGTGCGCTTTGTGTGGTTGCTTGGGCTATATCTTGAGGCCTCGTCAGGGCATTACAAATGTACATTGCAGACTGCTCTATGATCTACTTGACTTGGAAACATTCTCGTCTGCTTCTATTGCTTTCTTTTGGGATACAGTGATCCCATTGGAAACACGTCGACCCTTCAAAATCACAGACTGAGCACTTGGGCACGCATCGCTCCATAACCTTCAGGATGGGCGTCGGTGGCAAGAAGGCTAAAGCCAAGGACAAGGGCAAGGGTGTGCTGAAACAGAAGATTAAAAAGAGCAAGAGCCCTGAGAGGACAGTAGACCAGACCACTAGAGAATCTTCCACGCCTGCCAGTCCAGCCTTATCTGTACAGGATCCAGTCGGCCCTCTTCCCGACTCTGTACTTGAAGAAACGTCTTCGCTGGTCAAACCCGACGAGCCATCACCCGCCAAAGAAGAAGCGACTGGAGATGCAGAGCCAAGTTTCTCACAGAAACCCGAAATTGACCTCCCGAAACGACCAATCTCCATAAACGACTACCTTGTCGAGGGCGACTTCGACGAACCCGAGCAGCCTCAGGAGCCTGAGAAGCCCCAAGAAACTGAGAAACCAGTGCTATCAGAGGTATCAAAAGTACCAGAAGTACCACAGGGACCAGAGATATCAGAGGTATCTGAAGAAGTCAAAAAGCCTGACGTACAGCTACCTGAGGAGCCTTTAGCGAGGCCTGAAGAACAGGTCTCTCCGCAAGACATTCCTCTCCCACTTGAAGAAGAGGAGCAAGACGAGCAAGACGAGCAAGAAGAGCAAGAAGAGCAAGACGAGCAAGGGGAGCAAGAAGCACCTCTACCCAAGCCAGAGGTTGTCTCTCCGTCTCCAGAGAAGACTCCTCTTGCATTTGCTCCTGCGACCACGTCCTCACCAGTACCGGCTCTGGTGCCATTACCGTCGCCTTCCCTGACTGAGGCCCGGTTTATGTCCAGTGCTTCTCCGGCGCCAGAAAACTATTACTATTCTGGGCCACAGCCATTTGCTCCCTACCCATCACCCTATTCATCTTACCTGCCTTACACCTCTTCTTCCCCTTACGCTTCGCCGTACGCCTCACCCTACGCATCGCCATACGCTTCACCTATACCCAAAGTGAGCAGCCCTCTGGCACGTCCCTATTACCCCTATATACCACCGGCCATGTCTCCCATGGCGACTCCTCCTCTTGCCCCTGCCCCAATTCCGGCGGCACCTGTTCTACCGACAGCTCGACCAACACCACCACCACCCGCACCAGCACCTCAGGCGACCTCCAAAGCGTCTCCAGTTCCTCCATCGGCACCAACATATCCAGCTTCGCCAGCGCCATCATTGCCATCCGCGCCGCCATCTGGGACTCAAAGTTTTGCCACAGCCGCTCCTATCCAATCTCCCCACATGAGTACAGCGGGCATGAATCCTGCTGGCATGATCCCCCCCCTACGGCTCGCCGTACTCCCACGGCCCACCAGACGGACACTATATGCAAAGAAGCCTCAGTATGGATCCCTCTTATGCTGCTTCCTTCCAAGCCATTCGTGACTTGGGAGGTTTGAGTAACGGGGCTCAGCTCGAGAATGGCAATCCATCTCCTCCAGAGACCGAGGCGGAGCATGCCGAACTCCTTGGGCGTATCCAAGCTGCTATCCCCGACTTGAACCGTCTTCTTCATGGATTCAGACACACTCACAGTCGACTTTCCAGTCGGGAGGCGGAAATGAAGCAAATCGGAAGTCAGCATGAGCAGGCGCTGTTGCACAAGGACTTTTATATCGAAGCATTGCAATCCCAAATGAAGAAAACAGCCAACGAAAGTGCCGAAGAATGTGCTCGCCTGAAGAACACGATCAACGAACTACGCCTTGAGCTAGGGAATCTACAGGAGAAGCAAAAAGATCTTGAAGATGGCCTCGCTAATCACCAGAAGACTAACGACGAGCTTTCCCAATCCAAGACCGATCTAGAAGCCGAGATTGAGAAATTGAATACCACTATTCAAGAAGCACAAGAAGCGCATACAAAGGAAAGGAGGAGCTCAGGCAGGAGCACGAAAAGGGTCTTGCCACTCAGAAGCAAGAGCTGACGGAGCTTTTCGAAGAAATCAAGAATGAAGACGAAAAAGCCGCCAATGACGCTTTGGAGGCTCGCGAGAAGGAGCTACGAGACGAGCACGAAGCGAACAAGAGTTCCTGGGATAAGGAGAAGGAGGAATTGCAGGAATCCCTGGACACCAGTCGCAAAGAGCTCGAAGAAGTGAAGGCTGAGCTGGCATCGAAGATCAGCGAGGTGGAATCCAAAAACGAGGACCTCGAGAGCAAAGAAGCCGAGCTCGCCTCTGCTCGTGATGAAGTCGCCAATAAGCTCGCTGATATAGCCGCCAAGGAGAAGGAGCTTGAAGAAATCCGCGAGAAGAGCGCCAAAGAACTCGAAGCCCTTCAGGAAGGCCACGCCGGCGCACTTGACTCTCTTAAAGTTGACCATGCGGCAGAATTGGCTGGAGTAGCGAAGGAGCTGAGTGATAAGATTGCAGAGATTGAGGGTCAACTCAGCGAGAAGGAGCAAAATTGGACAGAGGAACGCGCTGAGTTGGAGAAACTTGTCTCTGAGAAGAACAGCGAGCTGTCTAGCATCGAACGGGAGAAGGACAAGCTGGAAGGCGATGGCCTTGTGAAGGAAAAGCAACTTCAGTGTGTGGTTGATGAGATGAAATCTACCATTGACCATCTTGACAAGGATTGCGACCGCTTGAGAAAGACGCTACTGAGTCTCGGCGAGGCCACCGATCTGAAGACGAGCAAGGGCGATCAATTCTTGTAAGTGCAGCCCGGTCTACGAGTTCATGATCAATGAGCTATGATTCATGATTCACGATTTATGTGTTTTCGACCTTGATTTCTTTTTCTGTCTGGTTCTCTGCATGTCACTCTTTCCCATTTCTTTTGTCTATACGCCAGAGGCGATCCATACTTTCCTTGTCATTCCCTTTTTCATAGAATCTGATGTTTATAAGCACCATCTCAAATGTACATGATTCTAATAGGCTTTTTGTTTCTCCAGTTCGGACTGTTTCACCGAGTTATCGGGGCTGATCCACGATCTTTCCAAGGAGCACTTTGCCTACCTCCCCATCGACCCGCCCAAGGACATCCTTTCTAAGATCCCATCCGAGCTCCCGCCATTCCTCGACAACACCCCAGCCTCCCGCAACCTCCGTTGCGCGTACATCGAACACGTCATCTCGAAGACGTTGACCTATCGGGTCTTCCAACCTTTCCTGTTCACCCTGGGCCGCCGCTACGACAAAGCCGACACTTTCTTCCAGATGCTGTCGATGGACATTCGCCGGAAGTCTGTCCGTCGTGAAGCTTTCTGGCGCCAGCAGACTCTGAAGGCGGCTTACACGACCTCCGACGCCAAGCAGTCTATCAATGTTGCGGCAGCCGTCATTGTCGACGAGATCATCGACCACATTAAGCACTTCGCCGACCCTAAGCACCTCGACTCACTCCTGACCGGCGTGCGCAAGATTGTCAAGCTCGCAGCCGAGACATGGCGCCATGCGCGGGTAGAGCGCGAGCTTGTTCTAGCTGCCTTCCCGGCTCCGGACGCGGAAAACGCTTCCAATGAGGGCTGGGGCGAATATGATGTTACTTCCAAAGAGGATGCTAGTTCGAAGGCGGATCCAACTCGCCACGTTGTGCTGCGTACCTTCCCTCGAGTCTGGCGTGAGGCCGCCCATGAAGACTTCGCTTGTGGCGAGCGCGGCGCCCTTTGTGTCTACTCGCAAGGCATTGTCCTCTTCTCCGATTCCCCCGTCGTCATGCACCGGCTACAGGAATTGGCCAAGAAGTCCACTGATAGCTTGGTAGCTGAGGAGCCGCTGTCCCCCCCTAAGACGCCTAAGGGTTTGCGACCGGATAATCTGACGCTCAAGGGTCTTGAGAAGCTGACCAACCTGACAGTCCAGTCGGCTCCTACGAGTCCCACCAAGGGCACAAATACCAAAGGGCCTTTTGTGAAGGCTTAATTTCGCATTTGCATCTTTTCTTATTGATTGGTCTTTCTTTTGTTCTTGTTTTGTAGCTTTTGCTCACTTTGACATCGACGACTCTTTCTTTTGTGATATGCATTTGGCTTTTGGATGTATGAGTGAATGGATCATGTATTCAGCGTATTGAGCGACTGGAATTTTGAAAGCATCATGTACGGTTTAGGAAATATGGTGTCTCCGAGGGGTTTTTCATGAATTTATCTTGTTTACATGCTATCTGCGGGACGCACTGTTTCAATGTCATGGGATTTCACGGTATATCCGACTACTCCAGAACTCCATCTGGGCAGTGCTGATACCGACGTAGATCTTGGGAGTCGTTCTCGAGTTCGAAGGTGCCATTTCTTAGAAATCTCATAAGCGTAGAGCCTCAATCCCAAGTGGGTTCTCGGATCGTACTTCTCATAGTTACCAGTAATTTGAAGTGACATGACCTCAGAGATTTAATTTTAGAAAGTGCTATGTAATAGGCAGCCTGGCTCCCGACTGGATAGATCGACATTCAAGAGCAAAATACAGGCTGGAATTTGAAATGCCACGAAACACTGAGGAAGAAATCGGAGGGCGGAGACTCGAAGGTATGAAACGGGTGGGACCGTGATACTCCCACGGTTCCAATGGAGAACGTGGGTCCAATCGCGGGTTGTACCTGAACCGTTCAGAACCATCGTGACTGCGGAAAACAAGCTCAATAAGCTTGTGGGTTCCCGTGAAAGCCCCATTTTGCCCTGGAAATGTGGCAAATGACTCGGGAAGGGCTATCCGAGCAATCTACGCAGGGTCTCAAGGGGGAATAGTTCCCTCAGGTGTGGCTCAGGCGTGTAGCTCATGCAGTGCCCGCTGTACAGCCCCGTGGACCTAGGCTGACTTGGGGGCCACTGGACCGCCTTGGGGCTCATGCACCGTTTCAAGGATGGGGAATAGGGCATGGCTATTGATTATGAGTTATGAGCACATTCCTGCGGGTTCAAGACGAGCTCTGGAGGCTACCAAGTCGACTTTTGTAGAGCGAGATCGTGTCTGCCTAACACCCTCGATCTCTTCCCCTCTTCTTATCGGGTCCACCGATGGATGCCAAGCACAGCAGGCGCTAAATGAGGCTCATTTGCAACTTGCGCGCGCCCACAAGGCTGACCTTTCTCCTCCCCCTCCTGTGGTCGCGCACCTCGGCGCGTATACAATTTTAACTCGTGTGTGCCCTTCTCTGCTCTGTTCCTCCCTTCCATGTTCCTGAGTGCGCTCTGCCTTAGCCAACTTAGCAGTCGTGGCTTTGCGCTCGTCCAATCCTGAGCTTACAATACACCAAAGGGCCCCGATTGTCCCCGCTGCACGACACCGATGACTGCCAATATATACAACCAACCCTCCAAACTCATCCCCCTACGCACATTCAATGCTTTTCCCGCCCCTGGTCCGCTGTCGCCTCCCTCCGAAGACGGCTCTCCCAAGTTGCCCTATACTGCATGGGCGAGATCCCCGCTATCTATGAACATGGAGAGTTCTCCACACTCGGGCCACTCGTCCGGATTGCCTGATTTAAACACCCAAGACCCCTACCTCTCCGTTTCTTCTGACCCGGAGGAACAGGAATTTCAGGCGAATGCCATTCGCTTAACCCCTGTGGGCGGGAGCCCAACCCCCGGATACTCCCCACATGACGGCAGCGACCTGTCGGGGCCCGGTCCCACCATCCAGACTCAACTCTGGGCACCCGGAAACGAATATTCGACCACAAGCTCCTACACCTCACCATCTAACGCAAGTGGCTTTTTGGTGCCCTCCGAGATTGATTTGAGTAACAACCCGGGCTGGTCCGATGGATGCCCCGCCCCCTTCGGGACGGGCACTTCTGCTCCAACTCAGCAATGGCCATCGGCGGACGTGGGTGCTTCCCACTGGCTTGATCCCGAGCAAGCCATGCCCGGTCCAGCGTCGGTGCAAAATGAAGCGCCCGCGCCCAACCGCGCGACTATGCAGGGGTCACTAGTGGGCGCTAACACAGATTACAAGCCGCCCTGCCTTACTGTCTCAACTGAGCCTGCACCAGTCAATGACCTGGGTTCGGCATCTACGGCCCGAGGCAGAAGCCCTATCGTTATGGTAGAGAGCGTGTCGCGGGGCGACTCACCTGATCGAGAATATACATCTCACGGTCGACGACTGAGTCGGTCGACAAATCATCTCTCGCCTGGTGACATGCAAGATTATGACGATTCAGATGGAGAGTTGGAAGATGACCATCGGTCTGTCTCGTCTCTCTCCGTCGCACGGACCAGTAATGGAAAGTGGATTCGTAATGCCACGACCGGTCTCGGTGGCCTTGATCCTTCATCACGCGGCGAGGAGTATGTTGCCAGTCCTAATGAACTTAAGGGACAGCGCGAGCGCGAGCAGAAAAACGAGGAGATCGGTGCTTGGTTATCTAAAGCCATCGGTCAGGTGGATAATGATGAACCCCGTAAAAGGACCTTAAAACCAAGTAGTCGGGTGCGAGCTCGAAGCACAGGAGACCGTCCTTTGCAGCAAGAAGACTATTTCAATCTCCAATTCCACACGAATGGCGTACCTGGTCCTGGTGTGCTTGTACACGAGAGTGAGGGCTCTGATGATGACGATGCAAGCGTTGGATCAGAAGACATTGGCTCTGATACCTCCCCCGCTGATGCTAATGATCCGGCCCGTTACGACCGGTCCACTCCTGAGATATATTCTTCACTCGAGCGATCAAATTCAGAAAACACCACCTGCCTTTACCCATGGCATGATGCTCCTCGCGACCCGACTCCACGAAATGGAGGCAATGCAGCCTGGAAGTTCGAGTGCAGCCATGGCCGCATTTGAGAGGCGAGCAAGAGATATTGAGACAGCGTCATTGGCCGCCACTATCGACAACAATAGCATAATTAATGTCAGACAGACCTTTGGCAGCTTGAGCCTTGACGACGAGCCGAAATCGAAAGAGAAGCGGGGCAGCCTCTTTACGCGGTCTTTCTTCCAAGCCTCCCAAAGAATCAAACGCCAGGCATCTGATCTTTCAACATCCACCATCAATACCGCAAATCAACCACCGCCGGTCAAGTCGCCTGTTGCAAAAGAAAGCTCACATCGTCGACGGATCAGCCTGACGCCACGGCAACACTCGCGTTCTCCAAGCCTTTCGAGTGCGCTACTTTCTATGTCTGGGCAAATCGCAGCCATTGGAGGTAATAATGCAGTTCATGCAGTATCGCCCAATGCCGAGTCAAACGCCAAGGGGGCTTTTACCCGAGACTTCAAAGCTCGAGGCCGAAGCAGAAGTGAACTTCCGCGCCCAGTCACACCTGGTTTGGCAGATTTGATGACCAACCACGGCGGACCGCCTGTTGCAAGCATTTATCGCTCTCCGAACCTCGAAGTTAACACCAAGCAAATGAGGCCGGGTATTGGGCCTGAGACTGACACAGCGGGGGCAGACGATGATGACGATGACCAAATGGATACCGCTGATAGCAGAGGGCTTGTGATGGATTTCCCTCCTGTGTCGAGCTTGCCAGTTCCGACGCTGGAAGGATTTAAAGCGCAGATCATGCACCTTAATCCGAGACTCGAGCCCGTGTTGATCAATCGCTTTGCAAATGAGCAGATTCGTCGATACAAAAAGCTTGTGGAGCTTCAGCAGAAACACATCGCTGCTGTTTCTGACGGAAAATGTGGTGCTGGTCAATTTTGTTTCGCTCTCGGTGGCAAGGAGACCCTGTTAGACCAAAGAAAGACGTCAGCTTCGTCCGAGTCTGGTCAGACTCAATTCCGGGTGTCTGATTTCAGTAACGGTCGCGAGCAGGCCTTTGCCTCCGGTGAAGGGTCTTTCCCTGCTACGCATGCGGCTCAATTCCCAGCGGGGGTGCCTCTTCCGCCGGTCAGCCACCTTCCTGCCCAGTTTGAATGCACCATCTGCTTCGAAGTGAAGAAATTCCAGAAGCCCTCAGACTGGTCCAAGCATGTCCAAGAGGATATTCAGCCGTTCACTTGTAGTTTCCCTCAGTGCAATGAGCCCAAGTCCTTCAAGCGTAAAGCCGACTGGGTTCGACACGAGAATGAGCTTCATCGCCAGCTGGAATGGTGGACATGTTCATATGCCGATTGCAACCACACTTGTTTCCGGAAAGATAATTTTGTTCAGCATCTGGTTCGCGAGCATAAACTGCCTGACCCCAAGGTGAAGAGGAGTAGAGGCGCCGGCGCAACGGAGCAAGACATGGCTCGTTTGGCGAAACTCCTTGAAGACTGCCGCCATGAGACGGATCGAACTGCGGACTCGGAGCCCTGCCGGTTCTGTGGGAACATATGCGGGAACTGGAAGAAATTGACAGTGCATCTGGGGAAACACATGGAGCAGTTAGCGATGCCTGTTCTAGAACTTGCCAAGCAAAGCACAGCCTCCCCTGCCCCTGCAACAGTCGCCGGTGGGGCTCCTGGGGCACCCGCCTCGTTATCTGCACCCTTCCAAGAGCATCAGGAAGCCCCAGTGGTCTCCCCCTTGGCCCAGTCGCAGTTCCCTGCCACCGATCCTCACGCGCCCATCAACCCCAACCTCTCTTACGAAACGCCCATGTTTGGCTACTCCATTTCGGGTACTGCACTGTCCCAAGAGCCGGAGTCTATGGACTCCTTTAAGCAAGCCGATCAGTTCCCTGGGTATGGCATGACCCAATTTGATGAGAATTCACTCCACCCGCATCTCCCCCGCCAACCCATCCACATGAACTCCGTGACGTATCCCCCACCATATAACTCCGTCCACCGGCCTAGGACGTCGGAAACAAACGTTCCCCTGATGCACCCGTCCTACCCCCAATTCCCTTCCCAAGCCTCGTCTCTTTACCCCGCAGATGCAGGTTATCCAGCATACCAGGCTCCTGGGGCTCCAGACTCTTCGTATAGCTCGGCCCACTATAACTCAAGCTATTCCTCGCAAATGTGATGACGATTCCCAGCCATGCGCGATTTTGTTCTTTTTTCTCCTTTTCCCTCGCCCTTCTTGCAGGGTCCTTGACCATGATGCATTTCAGGGCGAGTGTACGTGGATACCCCTTTTCTTGTTTCCTTTCCTTATCCCGCGTCGGCTCTGTGCAGCGACCACGTCAACCCCCCCTCACACGTAAGGGGTGAGCCCACGAACGTTTCTTTTCCTCTTGGGAGACCCTTTTTTTTTTTCGGTTCCTTAATTTCGTCTAAATTATGAAATGTCTGTTTTTCTGGCTTTAAACGTGGCACATGTGCGAGTAGCGGGATAAGCTCTTATTCCTTATCTATTTGTTTGCAATCCCTCCATGGATGATTTTATGATCCTGGGGCCATGAAGACGGCCAAGGACTATGATGAAATACTGGTAGAACATGCCGAATATTGTCCTTGTATTGCTGACGCCGGTGTAAACACGTAGATCTTCATCTCATCCCAGCTGTGACTAGAGATGTCGGCATAATTCTGTAAATGGCAGCGAAAGCCCGAGGATGCCTAAGTTCGCTCAGTACGTCACGGTGCTGGGGCCTGGCCGTTGGCTCGAGTGATCTTCGAAGTTGCCGTCGGTCTTGCTCCAAGAGTAAAAGCTTATATTCCCGGTGCTTGAACCCTGAAACTTAAGCGACCGAGCTGTTTCACATGAAAGCTAATCCTCAAGGGAGTCGGAGTCGGAGGTCTAGACTGCTACGCAGCTTGGCATTCGTTGGGTTTCGCAGCAAACAAGGAGTTGTCACGGGACAAGATCGAGGCAACAAATTAACTCTTGAGAAGTCATGCAGAGTTCCGGACCCCGCAGATTTGAGTGATAGCATACGGCCAAGTCATAAGTCCGGTTATGACACAAACTGCCTGCATTATGGTAGCCAAGTCTACGATAAAGCAAACCTTCTCGGCCACGGAACGACATCCGTACTTACCCTCACCACTCAGTTTCAAGTGCCGAGGAATTCTGCCTCGGGTCAGGATGCATATGGCACCCAACTATGTACATATGAGCCGTCATATTTTGGAACTCGGAAACTCCCCGGGGACGTCGACACTCCAGCAACTCTAAACGAGAAATGACCTCCAAGGGGGTGGAGAGTCATCCTCCCACCCCCCCTTAGCAACCACGGAGAAGCATGACTGTCAAGATGTCAGTGTTTCAGACCGAAACTGTCCACGCTCTTCATCCCTTGCACCACGGCATGGCAGTCGGAGCTCGGGGTGCCGATCGGCCCTGTCAAAGAAGGGGGTTTTATCTCGCAAGCCATGCTTTTTTAGGGTCGGGGAAGGCATGGCATTATGACTTGGAGCGGAAGCCGCCGGCCATGCTGTACAGTATCTGAAGGGTGCACAGGTGCGGAGCCCAGAGCTGACCCGGGCCTGATATCATCCAAAGAGGTTCTAGACACTCACAGTATACCCAGGTAATGCGCAATGCCAGCTGTTCAACCCAACGTCTGCAGCAGGGTGCTTTGCAACCCGGGTTGAAGGGGATCGTGCCCCGGGCTGTCATTGGTCCAACGCCGGGTGCGCCTACAGGCATGATGATCAACACCCGGGTGAACGGTGGGGCAGTGCTGAATCAAGGGATGGCATGCCACATACCTCGCTTTATCGACTCGTGGTGTTTGAGTCGGCTCGGGGCGATGTGGAGTCCAGAGTGCGTGTGTCGTCAACCCTCGCGTGGGTGCATGCGCCTTTTCGTATTTGGAGAGACGATAGAGGGCGCATATAATCCTGGGCACCCCGGCCTAAAGCGGCGTTGTTTTCGTTTCTTCTCATTGGCCTCATTATCTTCTCATTTTCCGTTGGGAGCCTAGGGTTACAGTTTGGTTCACCCGGGTGATCTACTAGTACCTCAGATCGCGCATATTCAACCTTCCATTAGGGTGCCCCGCTACGTCTCCTCATCAGCACCCGGCGATCTGACAATTCGCTATGGATCCGGTACGGACCTCTCTGTGGTTGGAAGTTGGTCGGAAAAGAACCGTGGAAGATCAAAGCTCGCTGACATATATAAATACCGGCTGCAGAACAATCCTCGAGTATGCTGGGATGACTCCAGCGACGTTCTTCAAGACATCATGGTCGGCCACGGTTGCAATGCTCAGGAGATTCCAGATTACAGGCTTCTGGCCCTGGATGACCTCGATCTAGACCAATTCTCTCCCCCACAGACTTTTGACCAATGGCCGTTGTCCGACTGCGCGGACAACTTATATTCACAACATTCCCAAGATGCCTGGACGCCTTTACGACTCTCAACCGCACCTACCGGCTGTCAACAGTCGCTATTACCGGACACCAACTTTGGACTATATAAAACACAATATGCGGCCCCATCCGAGTCAGGCAGCCATTACATGAGCAATTTCTCCGACTCGGGATACGCAAGCACGAACGGTGCACCGTCGCTGTCCCATACTGTAGACTCCTACTCGAGTCCCCGCATGAATTTCAGGGACCATGCCCTCCACGACTCGATGATAATAGACCAGGTCCCTATGGCCTCAGTTCCGGGGCTTGCGGGGGATTTGCGGGATAGCTCCGAGACTTCTGTCAGATGCACCCATCCTGGCTGCGGATGGACAGGAAAATGTCCTTCTGATAAAAGGTATGGGACCCAACCCCGCAAATTATCTCTTGCAGAGACTGACTGAGCCAGGAAACACGAAGCCCGACATGACAAACAATACAAGTGCAACGAGCCTGGGTGCACTCGCAAAGAGGGCTTTGGCACTGCGAATGATCTCGAGCGTCATCGTAAATGCGTTCATGGTAAAGCGCCGGAGCGTGGTCCTAGTGTGATGTACAAATGTTTCGGAAAGGATTGCCCACGCGCTGAGAAGCAATGGCCTCGGCTAGACAATTTCAAGCAGCATTTGAACCGAATGCACAAGAATGAGGATCAAAAGGAACTGCTAGACAGGTAAGCGGCGTTTTTACTACCGTTCTCAACCATGTACCCTGCTAATTTTGTTCAGATCGAACGACTGGTACAAGCATCTGTCTCGCCAAACACCTGAAAAGGTCAATGTGGATACTTCCATGGATGATGTAGCATCTGAACTACAAACCTTTGTTCCATCCCAGCTCGGAGAGCTGGAGATGGACGTACGAAGTAGCCCTATGGGTCCACATGGGAGTGACGACGTCTTGTCTTCAAGGGCCGCAACACCAAGACCATACCCCAGTCCTTCGTACCCAGAAGCATCGTTTCTCGAGGGTCACCAGCTGGTGGCTTCTCCGGAGATTCACACATCCTGGGCGCAGGATCGTAATGAGCTACCAGGGGCAACGTCAGTCAAATCAGAACCCACGGCCGCCAACCTTCCAGCCCCTCTGATGACATACATGACCAACCTATGGAACAGTCATACTCGAAGTTCCAGTCAACATAGCGATGAGGGCATTCACATGGAATCTGAGAGCTCACAACTCTCCCAACTTGATCGCCAGCAGCTACAACGCTTCCTCGAGATGGCCCTGGAAAAGCTTCCAGAAGAGGTCCCAGCTGAGGAGGCCAATAGCCGCAAGGAAATCCAATGTCATCTCTGTGACAAAAAGACTCGACTCCCGTGCGAAATGAAGTAAGTCACCCAGCACTTGCTCCATATTCTTGACACGCCCTCCTTACAAGTCTTGAAGGAAACACCAGAAACGCCACGAGCGACCCTACTTCTGCACATTTCCCTACTGCGGCAAAGCCTTCGGCAGCAAGGCGGACTGGAAGCGCCATGAGATCACCCAGCATCTAAATGAGTCCAGCTGGCTATGCACCAGTGTGAATGCGCGCACACGGGCACCATGCGGAACTGTGTTCTACCAATTAGACATGTATGCTCGACATCTGAGCCAACAGCACAATTATACAAACGACCAGATCGCTACAGCTGTGCCCTCTGGTCGGCTCGGCATCGCTGCCAACGAGGACCATTTCTGGTGCGGATTTTGCCGGAAGCACATCTCTATCAGCAACAGTGCTTCATCACTCAACGAGCGGTTTAATCATATTGACATCGAACACTTTAAAAAGGGCGAGCGTGGGGACAGCTGGGTTTTCTCCGATGGGAGTAATATGCCGGGGTCTGAGGGCCAGCGCAAGCGGAAGCACCCGGATCAACATTCTATCTCAGATAGAGTACAGTAACTTGTATCTATTGCATGAATACGCTGTAGAAAATATTGATACATTTCATGAGTTCTCATCGGCATAAACCAGTCTCTGGTATGATAGCAAGGATCGTTAGAACCAGATCAGGATAGACAACATGATTCCAATCATACGCGGAAATTTATGAGGCAGTAGTGTACAGATATGGTGTTTGCTTCCCATGCAAATCATTTCTTGGTTGCTGCCAACTCGCGAGCCTGCTTTTCGAGAGCGGCAACTTCGGCTAAGGTTTTGATTAGCTATAGTCCTGGTAGTAGCCCAAGGGGGCTCAGGCAAGAGCTCTAGCCAGAGGAGACTCACTGTTCTTCTCCAGTTTCTCTTCGTCGGTTTCAAGCTTCATCCACGTCCAATAGATGACTTGATAGGTGAGCACAGCGCCCAAGAAGACCTTGCTGAAAGGCCCTGCGAAACTCCGGTAGGTCGCCATCTGGAATGAGCCGGTCAGCATGTACGATTTCTCGTTCGAAAGGTAGAGAGTCTACCCATACCCCTTCGCGGTATTTGCTCGGCTGCTCAGGCGAGCTGAGTTTTGGAGTGGAGCTCCATGATCTCCTAGCGGCGACAGTTTGAATGTGCGGTCGAACCGATGGTAACCGATGGGCTGATCTCTGGAGCCACATTGCGAGAATTGATATCGACCACTCTCTTTCTGGTGGACTTGAATGGATTGGGTTTTGGAGTGTCGCGGTCTGGGGAGCGCGGATACGGTTTAGCGTATTGTACCCATTGGGGAAAGTGAGCCTTGGCAATTGTTTACTTTGACAAGGCGAGCATTAACTTGACCCATTGCCGTAGACTGAGATACAATAGTCAGGTCATTAATGTGATGTATAAGAAAGGCCAATCGGGTACAATTCTTTGTCCCTGGTCTTCTCTGGGCTCTCGACGATCAAGAGAAAAAGGATCCAGCGTCCTCTTAACTACTACACAGCGCATTCAACACGACAAAGAAGCGTCTATACAGCACGATGAAACGAGGCCATCACTCGATATTCTAAGCGCACCTCCACATCACCAAAATAAACCGCATCCAGCCCTTGCCCATAGGAATACACTCCTGGACAGACGCTGTTTAATGTTCTGTCTCGTAGACACGTTTGCGCCCGCAGGGTCCAGGACGGGACCTGAGTCAGCGAATCACATGATATCAGGACCGGTTCTATTCTGGCGGGCAGTAATGGAAGGGAGCCACCACCTAAAAACATAAAAGCTCCCGGGTTACGTTTCTTCACGTCTCTTATTGCTTTCTGGAGTCCCCTTTAACCATGAGGTCTATCCCGGCGGACCTACTAGTAAAACGGCCGGAAATGTGTATTTTGTGGCAGCAAATAACTCGGGACGTCGATTGGAGATGATTCCCAGCATCAGAAATGAGTATCCACCCCTTCCCGGATGATATTGACTTGGGGGGTCGTCTGCGCAGGGCGCCGACGCTGAATTCACTGGGGAATTTGGTGAGGGTGGCACGTGCGGGATGAGTAAGCCACCAGCCACGATGGGTGGCTAGTGCGTGAAAGCCGCAGTGAATGCCCCCATACACTCACGGGGACATTCACTGCGCGAGGTTTGCAGATTCAAGGTCGGGGGCATTCACTGTCGACAGGAGAGCCAGGGGAGGATAAAAGTCTGCCCCTTCCACCTCTCAAGCCTTTCCTTTTCCTTCCCCACTACTTTCGTTGTTTACCCTCTGCACCTGCACCTGTTGATCACCCACACCTTGACACCTTGTTTACAACCACTCTCTCAACCATCTCTATCTAAGGCTTTCCGACGCGTGTTCCAAGTCCTTACTTGAACCCAATCGCGTTTCCACCATGAGTCCCAAGACCTTGAAGCGTCGCATTGACGATCTGGAGGAGCTCATCAACCAATCTGATCCCGAGGATGAGGACTACAGCGATCATCCTGCCCCCCGTCGTCGCTCCCGCAAGACCAGCCGAGCCGCATCCACCCCCAAGCGCAAGAAGGCATCTAAGCCAGCTACAAAACGCCGCCGCCGCAACTCCGATGGCATTGTTTCTGACGACGATGATGAAAGTTCTGATGCCCTTTACGAGAGCTCCATCGCGGAGGAAGAAGACTCCCCCCGAAGACCCCAACGTCCCTCTGAACGCTCGCGGTGTCGCTCGGCGCCATGCCACCACCCAGAAGAAGCACAACTACCGAGAGTCCCCCGACGATGAAGAAGAAGAAGAAGATCAAGACGAGGAAGAAGACGAGGTGGAAGCCGAGGCCGAAGAAGAACAAGAGCCTGAGGGTCAAACCCGGTCCCAGTTTCGAACCCCCGCTTCAAACAGCAAGGTCGTCACTTTGAGGGTGTCGTCAGATGCCCTCCAAGCAGTCACCCGTCGCATGACGCGTGGCACTCGAGACCCCACTCAGGAAATTATCGAATTGACCCAGTCCGGTCGGCACGCGCAACCCCAAACCCAACGACAAACTGTCAGCCCCGAAGCAGAGCGCCAGCAGCGTGGTCTGGCCGGCCGTCATGGTTCAAAACGCCCTGTCGCCAATCGGAGTGTCGAAGATGGTGCTAGTTTGAATGTCATCCCCGAGTCTGAAAATGACGATGCGGATTCTGAACAACTTGAAGACGACGACGACGAAGATGAAAGTCCCATTGCTGCGACTCGTACGAGGTCCTCAAAGGCAGCACCTGCTGAAGATGTTGAGTCGCCTTCCGCACGGAAGACCACGAGTCGCAAAAGAACCTCACAGCCACCACGCCGGAAGAGCAAGGAATCGAGCGACTTCGAGCCCGAAGACGAAGACGAAGACGAGGATGAGGACGATGATGATGATGTGCCAGTTCGAGCCAAATCCAAGAGTGCATCACGCAAGAATAGTCACCCACGTGATGACGCTGATGAGTACATTGGATATCCAAGACGTCGCGCAAATAATCTCTTGACTGACTCTCCTCAAAGTGCGGCTGCAGCTTTCGATGAGGATGTTGCAGACGAACTCGCGGATGAACTCGCAGACCTAACAAATCCTGACGAACGGCCAGCCAAGAGACGGCGCACCGCTGCTCAACAGATCCCCCACCATGAGAGGCCCACTCGCAATGTCCAGCCTGTAAATTACAACCAATTCGCCATGCTCCAAGCCAGCTATTACGATGCTGAAGCTGATGACCAACTCCCCCACGCATTCAAATCTCCTTCCCGTGCCGGCGGAAAGAACAAGATCACCCTTATGCCAACAGCTGGTCCTTTTGGCGGTAATCTCTTCCCCTCTGCAATTGAGAAAGCCGTTCCCGGTGTCCATCGTGCCGGCGATGGTGAAGAAACCGAGACCAGTGATGAAGATGATGCTGCTGAGCCGGCCGAACCGATCAATACTCTCCAGGAAAAGTCCACATCAGGTGCGCCTGCCAAATTAGGCAAGGTCGAAAAGGCCGCTATGGGAGATCTGGATCCACTTGGAGTAGATATGAACATCAATTTCGACAGCGTGGGTGGCCTGCAGTCTCATGTTGATCAGTTGAAGGAGATGCTGTTCCTTCCTCTGCTGTATCCCGAGATCTTCCAACGTTTCCACATCGTACCTCCTCGCGGTGTGCTGTTTCATGGCCCTCCTGGAACCGGAAAAACGCTTATGGCACGAGCCTTGGCCAACAGTGCCAGCTCCGAAGGCCGCAAAGTCACCTTTTACATGAGGAAGGGTGCCGACACCCTGAGCAAATGGGTCGGCGAAGCTGAACGACAATTACGTCTCCTATTCGAGGAGGCTCGGAAAAACCAACCCAGCATCATCTTCTTTGATGAAATTGATGGTAAGTCAATTCACTTCACAACCTTCGCCAACCTCACTAACTGATGTCTTTAGGTCTGGCCCCCGTACGTTCAAGCAAGCAGGAACAAATCCATTCCACCATTGTCGCCACTCTTCTCGCGTTGATGGATGGTATGGACGGTCGTGGGCAAGTTATTGTCATCGGTGCAACCAACCGGCCTGATTCTGTTGATCCTGCCCTCCGTCGCCCTGGTCGATTTGACCGCGAGTTCTATTTTCCTCTCCCCTCAGTGGAGGGACGACGACAAATCATCGACATCCACACTAAAGGATGGGACCCACCATTGCCTGTGGAGATTAAGGAGCATATAGCAACCATCACCAAGGGCTACGGAGGTGCAGACCTGCGAGCCCTGTGCACAGAGGCGGCCCTCAATGCCGTGCAACGCCGATATCCGCAAATTTACAGGTCCGAGAAAAAGCTGCTCATAAACCCCAAATCTATTGAAGTCACTCCAAGGACTTTATGATCGCCATCAAGAAGATGGTTCCATCATCACAACGATCAACCACGTCCGGTGCATCTGCGTTGCCGAAAAGCGTGGAACCACTCCTCCGTCACCCATTAGCCGAGGTTGAGAAGACTCTCGCAGAGGCTATTCCTCAGCGCAAAGTACTTACTGCTTTGGAAGAAGCTCAATTCGAAGAGCCCGACGATGGGTTCGGCTTCCAACGTGAGCAAATGATGCAAGAATTCGATCGCTCGCGTGTCTTCCGGCCTCGAATGCTTATCAAAGGCGCCCCCGGGATGGGTCAGCAATACATCGCTGCTGCTATGCTCCATAAATTCGATGGTTTGCATGTTCAGGCCTTTGACCTCCCGACTCTGCTTAGTGACTCGGCTCGGTCACCTGAGGCCACTGTCATCCAACTCTTCGCGGAAGTCCAGCGTCACAAACCAAGTGTTATCTATATTCCCAACATCCAGTCCTGGGCAAATACCGTTGGGCCTGCTGTGATAACTACTTTCTTGGGTCTACTCCAGTCACTCCCGCCGACCGACCCAATCCTCCTCCTCGGTGTTCTCGAGTCTTCTGAGGATGAGGTTGACGCTGGTCTTCTCAAGAAGATGTTCGGCTACTCTCAGAAGAACGTATTTGACGTTAGCGCTCCTGGTCATGCTGCCCGCAAAGAGTATTTCAATCAACTGATTGAATACATCAAAACCTCTCCAGCGCAGTTTCCCGACCCTGAAAATCGGAAGAAGCGCAAGCTTGAGGAGTTGGAGGTTGCCCCTCCCCCTCCAGCAAAACGCCCCGCGCCAATGACCAAGGAGCAAATCAAAGCCCAGAAGCGGAACGACCGACAAATTCTGAACCTTCTCAAGATCAGGATCCAGCCGGTAATGGACATGGTCAAGAAGTCGACGAAGTTCCGCCATGGGCCCGTGTCTGAGAGCATGGTCCCTTACTTGCTCGAGGAGGCAGATCCTCATCGCGTGACGAGTGATCTCCCTCCTGAAGAGCGAGGGGGTGACCGGCCGTACGAGATGGCGGTAGACAAGCACGGCGTCTCGGGCTTGGTTCATGTGGCATCCGGCAAATTCTTCTATAATGTGGACACTTCTACAATGGAGAAGCGCCTGTCGAATGGCTACTACCTCCGTCCTTCGGATTTCCCTTGCCGACGTCAAAAGGATCACGAAGGACGCGATCAGCATGGGTGACCATGACCGAATCTTGCGGGCCAGGGAACTTCAAGCAAACGTTGAAGTGGACATGGCTAGCATTGAGGCCGAGAACCCAGCTCTCGTGGCCCAGTGCGAGGCCATATTTCAACGGGAACTGGCTCGCAAGAATGAGGCCAAGGAGGCATCCCGGCTGGCGGAGGAGCAGCAGCGATCGGGCGTTGCCGGTAGCGGCGACGGTGAGCTCGAAATGAGCCACTCTGGTGAACTTGGTGGGGCCCAAGACACCGAGTCCAGCTCCTTCGGGCAAGCCGCGCAGCCTAAGCCTGCATACTCACACACCGGGCCCTCTCAGCAGGTGCGCCGGGAGTACGGGATGTACGGCGAAATGTCGCAGAACGGCCCAATGACGCCGATGGCCGTGGGGTCCCAGCCGGGGGACTACACAAACGAGGCGTCGACCACGCAGACGACCTCCTACAAGAGGTCGTCTCTGCACTCTTCGGGCGAGTATCCCGATCTGGGGGAATATCCGGATCGGGTCTCGCATGAGGAGCACCTGCCTGACACTCAATTGAGTAGTCAAGCTTCTCCCATCACGCATGGGAGTCAATCTCAAACCAGGCCTCAGCCGCCTTTATTCGGCGAGGCGATGGCTGCCTCCAAGCTGGTCGTCGACCAGCCGTTCATTGAGCAGTTGCATAACGCTCTGGCTCAGCAAACGAGTGGCTGCTCCATCGAACAGCTGGAGCAGATAAACTCCTCCCTGATGGACCTTGTCTGGCAGAAGCGCGGCGAATGGGACCGCACGCTTGTTGCCAAGGCCATCAGCCTGTCCTTCGACCATGTGTTGAAGGACATTCAAGCCGTGCAGGAGCTTGGCCCCAGCAGCCATTCGGGTTAACGAGATTGACTCCGGAGAGCAAGATGGGAGTATGGGGCAGGTGATGGCCGATACCCTCGTTTGTGTGTATATAATGTTTTGTTTTTTTTGTTTTTTGTTTTGGTTTTGTTGGTTTTTTTTTTCTTGGCTTTTAGGCTTTTTGGTTTTAGGCGTTCTCTTGTTTTGTTCTTTTGTATCTTAGATTAGGGGCCTACGGGCATGTTCAATTCAGATCTCTTTCTTTTCTTGGTTTATCATTCTACTATCATTTCATCTCCAATTCTAAGGGATGGATATCTCGATTTCGGCAATGAGTTGAGGTGGAACTGATCTTAATTCTGTGTAAGATACTTGATATGCTAGGAAGATTCAACTCCAATATTCTGGCATGGAGAGTCGCCGTTCATCCTCCCCAGCATACTTCGGATCGACCGCGGGCTTCTATTGCATTACGTGCCAAGTCTCCGCAGCCCTTGGATACCTTTGCCAAGTGCCTAACTAGCTTTCCAAGTACTGTCAAAATGAAGGGTTCCCATCTCTCAATCAGGACGTCGAAGCCGAGCCCTTTATCTCTCTATGCAGTAGAAGCACCTGGAAGGCAGTGGAGAATTTTAAAAGCAGAAAAAGTTAGGGCCAAAATTCCCGAAGGGTTCTTGATACTCCTATATGGCCGCATATATATAGTAGCACACTTGACTTGAATCTCCCCGTGGTAGAGACTAACCGCGGCAGAGTGTGAAGAAGCAACTTAAAGATAAACCAATAAGATGCAATAGCCAATATAACTATTACGCATGTAGCACGGAGTCGAAATTAGACTTGAGATCTTGCACTTGAGATCTTGCACAACAGACTGCATGGTAGAAGAGGAGCGAAACCGCCAAAATGAGTGTCAACGGTCGGTAAGCAGCGCGTGAGGTTCAAACAGCATGTAGCAAGTACTGTGCCAACAGCTCAATTCAGAGTAATCTATCTTAAGGATCGGCCTTCCAGGAGTTTCAATGCTGAGAAGATGTAGCCCGTGGGGCAGTCCATAGTTCTGAGGTGGCCTCGATAAGATACGGAACATGTGACATGGCCCTGACCCACTCCAAACACTCTGGCCTTTCGCATTTCGATGTCCGGCCTTTCTTGCAACTCGACTTCAATGCTTCCACGAGAGCGTTCATTTGTACCTGGTGATATAGTACAAAACTGATTCGCCCTTTTCACCACCAATCGTCAGCTATAGTCGTGCTCTTATCACCGCCTCCACCTCCGCAACCGCAACCGCAACAATGGTGGACTGGCTTAGTCTCGCCGTCCCTCTCGCTTACCTGGGCATTCTGATCGGCTCTTTGGCTACTTTCTCGTCTCTATACCGCAAGCGCAAGGCTCGTATGTTACTATCCCTTTTCACACCAGTGCCCAAGACATCATCTCGCCGAAAGCGCCCCTAATGTTCCGCACAATGATGACACGCACCGGCTCGCTACACGCGTCCATTTGAAGCTTGAAGACTCACACTCTTTTTTTTTATTTCTACAGAGAAGGCTTTCAGCTTGGAACCATGGTTTCCTGCACACCTCCAGCGAGACATCTACTTTTCCCTCCTTCACATTGACCCCTCATCTCAAAACGAAAAGAAGTCGCCCGCCATTCCCGAGTCCATCTTCAAGGCTGCCCTCCTTCGTCGTGCCGCGGAGGATATTCGTCGTGTGCTTACTCTCCGCAGCCAAAAGCAAGCCCTTTCCACCCTGCTGCAGCGTGGCAGTGTTGGCGATGATCTATGGCAGCGGTTTCTGCGCGCGGAGAAGGAGATGGAAGAGGAAGTCAAGGACGTTGTATCTGAGGTAAATCACACAATTATCTGAACTCTGTATGGGATAAATTTGCTAATACGATATCCAGGCGAATGCCTATGTTCCAGGGTGGGGCCAGACTATCTTCCAATCTGCCAACGAAATGACAAATAACCACATTTACCGCCAACGAATGAATGAGCAGCAGGGGAAACTTGCCGAGGAGCGCGCCTGGTGGGACAAGAAGAAGACGAGCATTAAGGAAAGCTTTATGAAGGAGCTGGACGAGGGTTCAGAGACCAAGGCGGCCGAGTCCACGCCCGCACAGTCTGCCCCTGCGGCCCCTGCCTCTGTTAGTGATGATGAAGCGGTTTTGGTCGAGGCAGAGAACTCGGGTAATAGTAATGTGGGCTCCCCAAAAGCGCAGAAGAAGAAGGGCAAGGGGAAGAAATAGAGAGCTTGTAAAATTATGTTTCCTTCCTTGCATTGGGATAGTTCTCGAACAACAGGAGTTTCAGTTTTTAGACCTTGGCTGCATGCATCAAGTTTGTTCGGAGCCTTGGGGTTCTCTGCGTTTAGTTCCCCTCCTCCATCTGCCAAACGTTCCACGTAGATAGTTTCTGCAAGTTCAAATTCAAGATGGTAAACTATAAGCGTTGAGCATGGCATTAGGGTCGATCTGATTTCATAGAGGCTGGCTAGATGTTCTTTGACTTCAGTACGGACGACCCTCTTTTGATATTCCGATAAATTAGACATGAACACGCCTTCAATATGTTCTGTGATCAAGATAAACGAGTCGTCGATCTCGAAAGCACCGTATAGAGTTGGAACAGGGATGTCACTCATCCTTCGAATGAACCGCAACGCCGCGGCCTCATTTTGAAGTCGTTCTTTCCCTAGTCGGGGTATATGCTTAGTGCCTCGAATAGTTGTCATGTATTCGCTTGACCGAAGGCCTCGTTTGATATAAAAACTACCGCAATGGTAGTAAGCTCTCTCGGCGGTCATCGCAGTAGATGTAGCAAGCGGATCCGCCCCGGCATGATCCTCGATGCTTTTCGGTGAGGATTGAGAGTTTCCATCGACTGTTCCAATTCAAGGTAGACTTTGCTGTATCGGTCAATTGAATTACCCAGGAGGTTCATCTTTGACGGCTCGGCATCAACGACTTGATTCGAACTTTGAACACGTTGACTCAGAGCGTCCAATCCAAAATTTTTTGTAAGGCCTTGAAGCTCCTCTTGAAGCCTTTCAAGGGACTTGCCACAAGTTCCATAGTCTGCGTAAGCATCATATAAAGCTCACCGCTACCTTAAGGCCAATCTAAAGTAGCTGGTCTATCAGCGTGATTTCTGGTGGAGTTGATTATTTGAAGGAAAGTGTATCAGATCGGCTGGTTTACGCCAGGGAGATGTGAAGAAGAGATTACAGATCGTTGTATTGAAGCAATAACCCAGGAACGCCAAGCATGCAATGCAAATTTACAAATACAATCTTCACCAGCTTACAAAAGTTGGCTGTCATCGACCCCGATAGGTTGACCCAGATCAATACCATCTACGCCCATTTCAGTTGCAGCGAGTGTGATTTTGCGCTCAACTTGCACCGGGTCCAGGTTTTCTGTCCGGCTCAGGACGATACGAAGCAAATCCGCTATGATCTCGAGCTGATATTGCTCTCTCTCATGAGGGTCTAACTGCTCAATGCCGAGTCCCTGTGCCCGGAGACCCATGGATTTGCGCTCCCCCAGGATCTCGAGCAGGCGACTGACTTGTGCAATATTTTCTTTACTCCGAGGAGTGGAGGATAGTCGACGAAGGCGATGTTTAGGAGTGCCGGCGGGCACACCTGCCAGGCGTGCGACTTGAAGAATAATTAAGCGAGCTGTCACATCATCCGGGGCAAAGCCGAAGGCTGCTCGCATGGAGTAGAGCGCAACGAGGGTGCCTGGTACGTCTTTTGAGAGGCAGAAACAGCGGACGATTTGGTCAAACAGTTCTTTGGAGAACTCGGCTCTCGTGATCCTCTGTGCGTGGGGAGGGAGCTGAGAGTACCATTGCACCATGTTCGCGAAGAGCTGCCGGGCGGATGGAAACCCTGAGTCAAAGGCAGGTCGGCCACGGTCGTATTGAAGCTTCGCGCAATCCCACAGGCATGCATAGGTTTCCAGGTCGGGGCGAACAGAGACAGACATCTTTTGAAACTTGGTCCAGAGAGCTTTAATGTCTTGCTTGCGCAATTCGGCGTAGAGGAGATGGTTCATAAAGTATGAGTTGGGTTGGATTTGTGCATCACCGAGGCATTTTACAAGGTACTTGATCATGTCATCCTCGCCTCTGCGGGTGTAATGTAAAAGGAGAATGGAGAATGTCTCGATCCCTGCGGGCGGAATCTCACGCTGCATAAACGGAGGCAGTCGACGCGAGCCAGTTTTCTGGGATTGAACTTGAACTTCGGGAGCCGGCTTGGTCAGTTCATAGCGCTGCCAAACAGTTTTGATTCGGTGCTGGATCATAGACCATGCCAGTGCCTCAGCTTTGTCTCGAGACTCTGCATTTCCTTCTCGAAGCCAGCCTGCGATCAGGCCATTAAGATGCTTGGCATCCGGTCGCACCCCGCGCTCATACATTAATTCAATTACCAAAGCTGCGGAATCCACATGGCCCATGCCAATGAGTTTCTTCATCCAACTGGCAAAGAAGAAGCGATTCTGGAATTGACGGGGTAGCATCGTCAGCACCGAGAGTGATACCTTATTCACGGCTTGTTCATTGATGCTCGATGCTTGGAGATTACCAGCCAAGCCCAGAACTTCTCTATAGACAGCCGTCGAGTCCTTGGAAGGGTCCTGCCTGGTCACCATCATGTCTTTGAAGATGGCTATCGCAGTATCGAGCCTTCCTGCAGAAAGAAGGCTGATACTAATTTGGTCGTAATCTTCCATTGTCATGTCTGGGCCCAAGAAGGTCTTCAATTGGAGATATAGGGTCCACGCTTTCACTTCGGCTTCCTCGCCGGGGATTTTCGCCCATGCTATGATAACTGGGATAAGAATACGAGGCTGGCGTGACTGATCATTGGCGAGGAAGGCTAACGCAATATCCTGGGCCCGCTGAGGATTGCTCTCAGCCGCGAAGAGTCGTACACCCTGCATCCAATACTCTTCAAGGTCCTCCTTTTTCTGAGAAAGCTCCGATTGATAAGCCTCCCAAGTGACCAGGGCTTCGGTGGTAGAGCCTCCGTCATGTAAAGCTTCAATGAAGGTGAGAATTTGGAGCGTTGCAAGCGTTCGGCCGACGGACGTCGTGTCTTGAACGAGGGTTTGTAAATGGGTCGATCGGGTAGTATTGGAGGACTGGGATGAGGCTTGCGAATTCCAAACAGCCTGAGCCTCATCGGGAGTGATCGATTCAAGAAATCCTGGAACAGCCTGCTTGCACCGACGATAGGATTTCCATAACTCCTGTCGGGTACGTTCGTCCGCTTCCTCGTCTTTGAACCGGCGAAGCATCTTTTTGAACTTGGCAACAAAAGGATGGTTTGCAATAGTATCGAGATCCCTTGCCTTCACCTGTTGTCGTGTGTCCAGTTTCTGTCGACCCTGCCAATTCTCTTCTTCCTCCAAGGCCATTCCCTCAAACTCCTTCTTCAACATGTCGTCAAGTTCTTCGTCAAACACATCGTCAAGAGTTGGACCATTTTCTGAATCTCCATGCTCTTCGTCATATTTGCGAAGCGCCTCTAAGGCAATTTGGCGATCCTTTTCAGGTAAACTTTGGATGAACGGACTGTCTGGATGAAAAGGGCCCTTTTCAAGTTCCTTGAGCTCCTCGTGTATCCTCGAAAGCTCATTCTGAACTTCTTCTCGTTCCTGTATCTCTTCGGCCTCTGGATCGATCCTCCGTCGCTTTTTACCTGGGGCGTCTTGTTCGTAAAAGGTGACTTTGTCGTTTGGCCCGCCGTAGTCGAGGCGCCGTGCCGCTACAGCGCTAAAGGCACGCGGGGAACTCGATGTGCCCGCCGCATAGTGCCACCGAGCCCCTCGAATCGCCTGGCGGAGCATATGGGGAGTTAATCGATCATCAGCGACTGCTTCGAGTGCGGTGTTAAAAGTCCAAGAAATCGAGTTCGGAAGACCGCAGATTGCCCCCCGTTTGGGTTTAGCGCGGCCCGCGGAAGTCATCTTGCTCAACGTCTTCTGCGTCCGAGACGCGTAACGCCCAATTGCGCCAATGGATGCCGAAGCTTTCGAGGATGCCTTGGACTTGTCAAGGGACAAGTCCCAGAACCAGGTCTGTGCTTCATATTCACGCGTTTGACCGCTGAGAAAGGGTTGCTGGACTGACGTGGACCAGGGCGTGTATATCTACCAACCTCCGAAGCCAGGGAAAGCCTCTGGTGAACGACCCTCTAAGCGTCGCAAGGTCTCATCGACAGCCAATCCTGAGCACGATACCAAGGTTCCGTCGTTCATGCCCTTGTTAAACGGAGCCGAAAGCGCGGATTGTGTACAGCAGCGATACGACACCTACAAGCAACTATGGGCAGAGCAAGAACACAAGATTCAGGTGGGCTCGATCGGTCGATATTGGACAACATAGGAGGCTTACATGCATGATAATCCAGGAGATCTTAGAGGACGTCGATTCCGGTGTTCTCTCAGACGTGTTATCTTTTGTACGGGAAACATCACCACAAACGTATGCCCCTTTGGAAGTGGCAAACGAGGCATCGTCATTGAAATACTGATCTGGATCACAGGTGTAACGGCTGTATTCCAACAGCACTCATTACTGTGGGATCCAACGTCTCGTCGCTCAGCAGACTGCTCTCTCGTCTCAATGATCAACTGATGTCCACTAATGAAGGAGGTGTTATTGTTTTGGAATCAGGTGACGCACCCAACCTGAAGACCTCGTTGAAAAACATCATCCGGGCAGCTGTTACCAACACTGAAGGTAATGATGGGTTCCAAAGATTCCTCACAGATCGATCGGTATGTTTCTTTCAACAGTTAGTAGATGTGTCTGGTGGCTGATTCCCAACTAGGGTCCGCGGATGCTTGGGTATGATTTGGATCTCCTGTATGACTATGTGCAGAGAAGAGGCACCAAGAAGCTTGTTCTTGCCTTGCGAGATAGTGAGGCTTTTGACCCCGCTCTTCTGACAGACCTCCTATCACTCTTCAAGTATGCGAAATCCATTTTCTCAGATTAAGCTGCCCGTATGGCTCTAACATCCAACAGATCCTGGCTTGATAGAATCCCGTTCACAGTAATGCTGGGAATTTCGACCTCTGTTGAGCTATTCGAGGGTCGTCTTCCACGCTCGTGTGTTTCTCTTCTCCAGGGAAAGCATTTCGAAGTACAAGAAGCAGGAAACAGTGTGGATCGAATCTTTGAGGCGCTTCAAACCGACCCAGCTGGTAAGCTGTGGGTTGGACGCAATGTTACAAGCACGTTATTCGAAAAGGCCAGGGACAGCTTTCAAACACCCGAGGCATTCAGCCGCATGGTCAAGGTAATCAAAATTCTGACGTGACATTGGATGGAGGAAAAACTCTAATGCTTTTATAGTATTCTTACATGTCACATTTCTTCGCCAATCCTTTGTCTACGCTTCTTGGATCTGCGCACTCGTCCATATTATCTCAAAATCCATTCAGTGAGGTCATCAGGAATCTGCCCTCTTTTCGAATGTAAGACCTGTGCTCTTTCTGAATCAAGAACTCGAACTGATGGCAATTCAGGCTCTGCGAAGATCTGGTAGAAAGTGGGTCTACTGAGGAAGTTCGGAAGATGCTTGATGAGGATGAATACTTACTGCAGACCGCCATCGCGAACTTGGAGGCTGGGCAAGATGCTATGCGCCATTTGTTCCGGGCTGTTCTCTTAATTCATAAGTGTCTTCGGCATACTCAAACCTCGAAGAAGATGAGCGTGTCGGATCTTTCTGTGCGCGCGCTTTCTGGGGACCTCGGCGAGTCGCCAATTGTTGAAGACATGCTGGCTTCTGTGAAGGCCATGGACTCAGAGCAACTATTGGAAGTCCTTGAAGTCCTTCAAAATACACTTTCGGATGATTCTCCGCTGGCCGAAATACAGAATGATCTCAAGAGCTTGATGGAGGAGCATCCAGACTCGCGGCCTTTCCACAGCGAATATAACATCAACAACTCTGTCGTGACGACGACTGTTGTCCACCAGCGTGTCAAACTGACTAAAGGGAAAGCCAACCTGCGGGCGCAAGACGTCGAATACAATAAAATTATCGATCGACTAGCGGGCGCCTTCATCGAATACTTCAGCGAAACCTTGATCCGACCTACAGATCTCTTCATGAACGAAGCGTTCCTTTTCGATCTACGCAACCCATTGAAAGAGGTTTTCACCCCTCGTCCGCGGTTTGCGATTGAACGCGCCCTGGCTACTCCTTTTGACTACCTGATCTCATCTTCCCCGGATGCCGAGACTAGAATCTCCTCCAGACAGCCACCCGCCTCCATCCTGTACCAGCTTTATCTCGAGTCTGGTGCTTTGGTGAATGTGCATGATCTGTGGCAGGCATTTTACGCGGTATTCGAGAGTGACCAGAGTGACAAGTGCGACGACCGCGAGATCATGGCCTTATTTTACGGTGCTTTATCCGATATGAAGACATTTGGAATGATCAAGAATAGTCGAAAGAAGACAGATCATCTGGCGAAGTCGACCTGGATTGGCCTGTAACATAGGAAGACAGCAAATAGGGGCTTAATACCATAACATTCAATCAATCATATTTCCCAATCATGGGATGGGGTATCATTTAGTGTCGCCATTGAACAATAGAATAAGACTGTACTCGAATCGACTGGCGAGAGGGTAGCAGGGAAGTTTTCACCAAAGAGCCCTTGCTGCTCTCACCCTTCTTGGATCGGCCTCTGGATGATATCATCTCTTCCAAGCGGTCGACCTCCTTCACTTAGAACCATAGCTTCCCGGCGGCGGCGGCGAAGTGCTTGCTCCTCTAAACTGCTCTCCTGGGGCCGAGGGGCCGATCGAAATGACCCAAAGGTCCCAGATGTCCCGGCAGTGTCTTCCCCATCAACCATCCACACATCACTGTCTCCATCGTCGTCGTCCTGGTCATTTTCTTCTTCGATCATACTACCCATCAAGCCATGCTTTCTGAGTTGCCTGATCCCGTCGGGATGTGATGTTAAAGTGCTAAAGATAGAACTCATGACTGCATCATCAGCCCACCATGTCTTCATCAGCATGAATAGATCTCGACGTCGAGAGGGGTCCGCGTTGGTGACGCATGGAAACGGATATCGGGTGAGCCACTGGCTGACCACGCCCGCCTCGAGGGCACATGGTATATTTTCCGGCAAAAGGGAGTTTAGGATCTGGATCGCCTTTTTTTCGCCCAGTGGCCGAGTACGCGGAAGGATTGGTGAGAGTGTGTTCGATGTGATCTCGACATGCTCATCTAGGAAGTTGCAGAGGCAGTTGACCAGCGCTGTGTATGTAGGAAGATCTCGGAGGCGAGTGCAAACGGATGTTCGAGAGACTAGAAGGCAATTAGAGGCCAGTAGCATGAGCTGAAGTCTGGGGAATCATACGAGCTCGGTTCGACACGAGGAAGTGGAGAGCATTTATCGCTTTCCCACGCCGTGTTTTATTCTTGCTGGAAAGATCCGCCAGAAGAATATCCCGAGTTTCACCCTTGGTAGATCTTTCCGATATGATTCGTAAAGCTCTGCATCCACGTATTATTAGTAAATGGTTTTATTAGGCTGGCGGGGCTAGTCATACGCGGCTCGTAAATCATGGCTGGTGCTTTCGGAAAGCTTAAGGAGCGTGTCTAGCTTGAGAGCTAACGATATCTTGTCAGTATACCCAAGGAAATCGCCAAGTCATACTTTATCCTCAGAAAAGCAAACCTTCTTCTGTTCCTTCGCTGATAATCTTGTCTTCTCGTTCATCGCGCTTGATCTCAGTAAGATCAACCACTTGGCGGATGTCTGTTGCGATGCCGCGTACGGCGAAGAAGAGGGAAATTCCTGGAACTATTAGATTTGAGACCCGTTTGTTTCCTTCGAATTGAGAACCTACCCAGACAAAGCCATAATACTCCGTCTCCTGATAGAGGAGCCATGGTGGGCGAGATACTTAGTTGGAGATGTGTAAAGCGGAGAATCGGATTATGAACGGCAGAATATCGGGGTGTGCGACACCGCCTTATATTTTTTTTCTTGCTCCGCAAACTACGAGACCGCGGTCCTCATATAATTTACAACACGCTAAAATGCCGCCCTCTCAGCTTAAACAGCTGAAGGCTTCCCTCAGAGATAGCGGTGTTATTCGCCCGCAGCAGTCCAAAAAACAAAAGCGTGAAAATGCCAAGTCTGGAGCTGCTGCGCAGAATCGAAACCAGCGAAATGCCGCTTTGCAAGCAATTCGAGATCGTTTCAACCCGTTTGAGATCAAAGTCGCACCCAGTCGCAGCAAATTCGATGTCACCACTCGCGATAGGAACTCAAGTGCCGCTGGAAAGTCCCGGCCCGGTGTCACCAAATCGCTTGGTGAAGAAAGGGTTTGGAGACCTCCCAGACATTGTATACGATGATAGACTAACTTGCGTATTTTTGATTTAGCGCCGAGCGACACTTTTGAATGAGATGCACAACCGGAACAAAGTCGGAGGTCTTGTTGATCGCCGGTTCGGTGAGAATGATCCGACTATGACACCCGAAGAGCGAGCTGCAGAGCGATTCGCGCGTGAGAGCCAGAAGAAGATGCGCAAAGAGTCGATGTTCAATCTGGAGGAAGATGATGACGAGTTTCAGCTTACACACATGGGTCAATCACTCTCGCTCGACCAGGCCAATATTGATGATTTCGAGGCTGAGGACATGGATGGCGCTGAATCTGACGACGGGATGACGCGAAAGCGTAAGCGCTTCGACGAGAATGACAATGATATGGAGGATTTTATCGATTTTGAAGACGGTGAAGAGGGGGAGAATAAGCCTGAACGGAAGAAGTCCAAAGCGGAGGTCATGAAGGAAGTCATTGCCAAATCAAAGTTCTACAAGCATGAGCGGCAAAAGGCCAAGGAGGATGACGATGATTTACGAGAAGAGCTAGATCAAGGACTGCCTGACCTTTTTGAGGCCCTACGTGGAATCAAAGCTCCGGCTAAGCCAGAACCTCCAAAACAAGACCTGGACACCATGAACCCGGAGCGTGCTGCAATGCTTCAGGGACCCGACAAGGCTGACACCGAGAGAGAGTATGACCAGAGATTGAAGCAGCTGACCTTCGACAAACGATCCAAGCCCACAGATCGTACCAAGACCGCCGAAGAAAAGGCTGAAGAAGAAGCCGAAAGGCTGAAGAAGCTAGAGGAGAACCGCCTTAAGCGAATGCGCGGTGAACAACTGAGTGATGAAGAGGAAGATAATAATGATAACGACTCCTTCCTCCAAGACGACGAGGAGTCCGATGTCGATGATGCTGCTGCCTTCGGTCTTCCTGCTTTCGAACCAAGGACCGACCTGGGTGTAGAGGATGAAGATGACTTCATCATTGACGACGATCTCGTTGAGAGAAGGTCAAACGTCAGCCTCTCTTTGGATGGAAGCGATATGGAAGACGAAGAACTCTCAGAGGAGGATGAACAAGAAGATGAGCAGGAAGATGAACTCATCAATGGAATGTCATTGCCAACAGCATCTGCCGCTACTGCTGCATCGACGGCCGTGGAAGTCAATCCTACCGCTGGTGGAAAGTTGGCTTTCACCTACCCGTGTCCTAAAACCCATGGTGAATTCCTCGCTATCATCAAAGAAGTGCCCGAGCAGGATATTCCCACAGTTGTTCAGCGGATCCGTGCGTTGCATCATCCTCGTCTTCACGCCGACAATAAGGCTAAACTCGGCCAATTTGCTGAGATCCTTGTGGAGCATGTCTCATACATGGCCAACAACTCCGAGCAACCATCTTTTGCGATTATGGAAAACATCCTTCGGCATATCCACTCAATGGCTAAGACCCATCCGATCAACGTCGCTACGGCCTTCCGTGCCCGCCTTCGAGAGATCTCCAATGATCGTCCACTGGATCTCCTCCCCGGTGATCTTGCCATACTGACAGGTGTCTCTACTATCTTCCCTGCATCAGATCATTTCCATGCCGTTGTCACACCCGCTCACCTTTGTCTGGCTCGATTCTTAGGACAATGTTCCTCTGACACACTGTCCGACTTCGCAACTGGTGCCTACGCAAGTACGCTTTGTCTACAGTACCAGACTGTCTCAAAGAGATATATGCCCGAGTTTATCAACTACTCCCTGAATGCACTCTGCAATCTTGTTCCTTCCGAGCCAACCCAAAAGCTTGGATTCTTCCCATTCCGGAAGTCCCAGGAGTCTGTTCGTCTCGCACCGTCGAAGAAAGTTGCCCCACGCAAGCTCCAGTTCCGAGATGTTTCACTTCTTCCTTCGGACTCTCAAGCTGCAGAGAATTTGAAGGCATCTCTAGTACTAAGCTTTGTTTCTCTGCTTGATCACGCTTGTCAGCTTTGGTCTGATAAATCCGCTTTTCCCGAGATTTTCAGTCCTGTCGAAGCCGTGCTCAAATATGTGCAACAGTCGTGCAAGGCAAAAATCTATGCCGCTCTGCAAGATCCACTCCAATCAACCTTGGATAAGGTCTCATCCCAATTAGCCCAAGCTCGAAAGTCTCGGCGCCCGCTTTTACTCCACTACCACCGTCCTCTGGCTATCAAGTCAGCGATCCCCAAGTTCGAGGAGAACTTCAACCCGGACAAGCACTACGATCCAGACCGCGAGCGTGCCGAGGCCAACCGTCTCAAGAAAGAGTACAAGCGCGAGCGCAAGGGTGCCATGCGCGAATTGCGCAAAGATGCGAGCTTCGTGGCGCGCGAGAAGTTGCGCGAGAAGAAGGAGCGCGATGCCGAATACGAGAAGAAGTACAACCGTCTGGTTGCGGAGATTCAGAGCGAAGAGGGTCGTGCTGCCAACGAGTACGAGAGAGAGAAGAGAGCACGACAAGGGAAGCGCTGAGAACGCGACTGTGGAGTCCCGTCTTGGTAGCTCTAGTGCCTTGTGCTCTTCTGTTCATGTCTTTAGATTTGTACATATCAATATCCGCCCCGTGTTCAGGGCTGGCGCATGGTTCAAGGATAAAAAGTCTTATGCATTCTCACCAGATCCCGTCTCACTCTACTCGTATAACTAGCAACCTTTTCAAGTCGTAACCCATGTCCGGCCACTGGGCACTGCATCCTTAAATGAAAGTTATCAACCCCTTATATCGATGGTTTCTTGATATGTACGCGTATTACTACTGCTTCAACTCACGCCCAATTCCGATGAGATAATTACACCGAGCCTTCTGATCCGCCGGCACCCTCTCCATCCTTGTCTGGTTTGTTCGAAGAAAGATGCGTTTGAAGGCGTCGTCTCCCTGCCCCCAAGTCACCCACTCCGGACTAGAAGGATCCCGGTGGGTATTCGGATTCAACGACCGGACAAAACTCGTCCAGTACCCCTGCATGACCGGGACAATATTCGCATTGCTGGTGAAATACGACGAGGGCGGCGCCGTGCTTACATACTGCGGCCCCCAGATCGCATTTACTTCAATGGTATGCGAGGTCCCTGTCCCATCTGCAGCCGCGATGGTGTCCACAACCGCAAAGTGGTAGTTCCAACTCGGTACTCCTGCAGCGGCGTAGATAGAAGACATGTGGATGCCGGGGCAGATGTAGCGGATTTCGCCGTAGGCATTACTCCCTGCTCGCCAATACAGCCCTGACTTCGGGAACACACGCTCTTGATCTGGCGTGAGATACATGCTGTTGATCCGAGACAGCTGGGCGGTGGTGACACTTGGGAACTGGGATTTGATGAATGCGTCTGCATCGGCGGGGCTCGTGGTGTTTCGGGGTACGAATATTGTGCCCTCGTTCGTGTCGTCGCCAAATATCACTGGCACCTTGATGAATCTGCCCGTCTCAAAAAGCGTGTAGGTGTGGTCTTGGAGGAAATCTCCGTCAATTGTCGGGTTGTAGAGATATAAAGGGTTCCGAGGGGCCCCCGGTACGGGCGACACGACGTTCTGGCTCTGCAGATTGTTGATATTCATGTAGCGGAGACAGTCAAGAGTGTTGGTATATTTTCTGCAGTCGGTATGGGCCACAAGACGGTCGTACGCAAACTGACTCTCCGCTACTGTGAATACTGGGCCAAAGCTCTGGGACTCTGCTGCTGCCGCTACAAACAGTCCATCATCGCGTCCACCGTATGCGGAGAGCTGGAGAGTCACAGAGGCGCCGCCGGCACTATCCCCGCCGATGACAACGTGATTGGGGTCTCCACCAAACTAAGAAATATATCAGATTGATGGGGCTCTGCAAGGGGATGATTGGGGGGTACACGGTCTACCTTGCTGATATGTTTCTTGACCCATTCAAGTGCCTTTCGTTGGTCTTTCAGACCATTGTTGAGACTAGCACCCAGTTGGATCTCTCGTGAGGCAAGAAATCCCAAAGGCCCTACTCGATAATTGAAGGTGACGACAACCATATTATACCCCGAGGCTTGCACCAGTCCGGTCCCATTGTAGTTCGGGTTGGTCAGTGCAGCAAAACCTCCTCCTTGTATGAAAAAGTATACCGGCAGCTTCTTACGCTGGGTCACGGCATCTGTGGGGGCATATATGTCTAAGAAAAGACAATCTTCGTCGGTGCCATGTGGAACTCCTGTGTTTCGCTTGCTGGCTACCGGTACACAAAGTGGTTTATGCTAGATCATGCACCTATATGTTAGCAGAAGAATGATCACATCGATTTTGTCAGGACATACACTCAAGGCCTCTTGGATTCCTTCAACAGAAGGAGGGTCATGAGGTGCTTCAAATCGTAAACGACCTGTCGGCGCAGCGGCATAGCGCATTCCAAGCCATTGGGAGATGCCATTGGACGTTGAATACCCACGATAGCGAGCATACCTTAGGTCTACCTCTATTGCACGCGCATACGTGAGAAGCAACAGAGAGAGAAAGATCAGAACCGCCATGAGAAGCCGTCAAAAGAATATAATCAAGGGAGAGGCGAGGCTCCAAGGGAGAGAGACCTCGAGACTATAAAGGCCCCCCCTCCGGAGTCGAGGTCCCTCCCTGTCTCTCTCCATAACAGAGCCATTAAGGGGGGGAGGGGAAAACCTTTGTCTCTCGGCACTAAAAAAAGCGCCGAAAGAAGCCAAATACATCAGGCCTCCCTTGCGTCGGTGTGGTACAAAAACATCCTCAAAGCGCTGGATTGGGCCAGCGCTTTGTGCATCACCCGCGGACCCACATTTTTCCCCGCAAAAAGCCAGACGAAATTCAGACGCTTTCCTCCTCTTGGTAACTTCGGCTTTTTCCCCAGGCGCCATGGCCCGCTCAGATGACGAGGATGACTACATGTCCATGGTGGTAGAGGAGCCCAAGCAGAAAGAATCGTTCACCCAGAAGAAACTCCGACTGCAGCGCGAGGTAACTTCGGCCGCATTCCGTCCCCGGTTGTCCGCATTACTGAGTCCTTTCTATTTAGGCCGAGGCGCGCGGAAGAGTCCCGTCGAAAGCCGAACGTGCTGCCCAGGAGGCTCAACGGCGCGATGAAGCTCTGGCAAAAAGCACTCTGGACCCCTCCAACAAAGGGTTCAAGATGATGGCGAAGCTAGGCTTCAAGCCGGGGGATGCGCTGGGCAAACGCGTCGACGAAACTGCGGAGAGCAATGGCTCATCGCAGGCACGCTCGGAGCCATTGAACTTGGTCATGAAGGAGAACCGTGGTGGCATCGGTCTGGATAATGAGAAGAAGCGCAAGATCCGTGAGCAGGCTGAAGAAGCAGCCAAGAAGATCAAGCGCGAAGAAGGCGACTACCGGGACCGTGTGAGAGAGGAAAGGGAACTCCGACGCAACGAAGCGCTAGTTCGGGCTGCCCAAAAGGTTGTGGAGCGATTGGATACAGAGGCCGAGGAAGAGGCTACGGGACATACGGAACAAGGCGCTGGGGACGACCAGGATGAAGGTCAAACTGAAGCATCCGAAGGTCCAAAAGCCCAGGACACACCTCGCAGGTCGGCGCCAGTGAAACCGACTGCACAGATCAACGTTCTCTATCGTGGACTCATTCGCGAGCGCCGGGACCGCGAACTCCACGCCCAGGCACGACGCGCCCTCCAAAGTTCCCTCCCTTCATCATTCTTCCCGAAGCAAGACCTACCGGGCTACGAAGACAGCGAATTAGGACCAGAAGATCAAACGGCTCTGGGGATGAAGGTTGGACCTCACATGACAACCTTGGAACAAGAGGTGGAAGAGGAAGATCCGGAACTCGAGGCGTTCAATGCGCTTGACGCCGCAGAGCGCCTCCACAAGATTGTGGTCTATCTGCGTGAGACTTATCGGTATTGCTTCTGGTGCAAGCATCGTTACCTCACGGATGAGGACCTAGAGAGCTGTCCCGGGTTAACCGAGGAAGACCACGATTGAGTGTCCCATTGATAACCATTCGACAGTAGGTGGGAGAGAATTTCTTATTCAGTTCAGCTTCGATATGGGAAGACCCTAGACTTTTGTATGTTTGCTGATCAATGGGAATGTCCCACTGCAGTCTGAATTCTAGATGGCCATAGTATACACAGATAGATCCCTTGGTATCATAAAGCAAAGGCATGAACATAACAGACTGTCACCCCGCGGAGGAAACGACGAGTTCGAGCCAGGCGCACTGCGCCACGCAGCGACGACATGAACACAAACAAAAAGAAAAAGGAAAAAGGAAAGCGAAAAAGCGACTGTAAAAAGGACACAGGAGAAATGAAGATATGTAGAAGGGAGTTGACTTATGACAACGGGATCAGGCCCGGACAACCTTGCTCAAAAGCTCTTGCAAGGACCGGTGTCGGCATTTCTGCAACCCTTGATAACAACTCTCGCAGATGCGCAAGCAACAGAAGACACATCGATGCCGAGTCTCACGGTCGAATTTCTGGCACGTCATACACGGTAGAGGGCACCACACATTCTGAGCAGTGGGCATATTGCGATGCTCCTGGAAGCAATTGTAGTGGGTGACGTTCAATTCAGGCGCCACGGGATCCATCTCAGGCGGGGTGAAATATGGCGGTTGCTCGTTACTAGACGCCGGCTCTAGTAGATATGGGGATCCGGTGCCGTCGGGAGTGGGAATGAAGTCTTCCAAGGGTGTTTCGTTGTCACTTTCCCTGGGAGGGGCCGGGGACAGCGTCACAGGAGGGGCGGGCGTGAGGGGAAAGTATTCTTGCGACGAGAGTGCTGTCTGAGATACCACTGCCGGAACTCCTGGGCGTACAGGTTGCGGCGCAGCTGGTGGGGCTGGAAGTTGCGCCTCTGCTCTCACAAGCTTTGGCTCCGACACTTGAGCCTCAGCTGAGTATACTTGCGGTGGAGAGACTGACGGCGACAATCCCACTGGCGATGGAGCTACGGCTGGCTGCGGAGACGGCTGGCTAGGTGGTTGAACGGGTTGGACTGGCTGAACTGGGAGAGCTGGCAGCGCTGGGGGTGCTGCCGGCGGCGATCTCTGCGCATTTTGCGCATCTTGCGCATTCTGACTTAATTTACGCCGGGGCGGGACCTTGGATAATCTTTTCGGAGGTGGAGGGACTTGGTCCTTGGGTGGTGGGGGCAGTTCCTTGCTTGGAGGAGCATGTCGTTGCGGTGGAGGGAGAGGCACGGCCGCAGGGAGAGGCATTGCCCCGATGTCGTTCCCTGGTGATTTGGGCTCCGATTTGGTGCGATGTAAGGAAAACTGCGACTTGGAGGCGGCCGCGCCATTCTTCATGGCTGTGAGGGTGGGCATGCGCAGGCCCTTAGGCCGCTTCTCAGAATCAAATATAGCCATGTTTCAATGTAAGTGAGACGATTCCGTGACTTGGATTTCTCGTGCACGAGGCGATTAGGACGCCGGGAAGCCCGGACTTAAACAGTCGATCTATGGGAGATACTCCCGCGTAGAGCAGGGTAACCCAAAGGATAGGAAATTGATCACCGATGGAGACAAAAGGGTTTGCGACAGAGCCCGCGACAATTGAGGAGAGAAAAGGGAAAAGAAAAATGATGGTGAAATGAGAAAGCCCCCGTAATCTTAATTTGGTGTGGAGGGGGTTCCGGTATCAAGTTTTGTTGTGCCTGAACCCACTTTCTCGGATCCCAGTTTTTGCGAGGAACCGCTCTATAAGGAGAGTCTACAACCCAATCGTCCTCCGTCATCCCCCCGGAATGCCGGGAGCTCATTGTATCACGATCTGCACCGGCGCGAGCAATTGGTCTACTAAAGGAATGGAGCACTGATACGGAAGTGGGGACGGTGATTTCGGGCTTGCTTTGTTTCATCGCAGTTGAGTTTAGCTGGGACGATTGGCGCTGGATCCAGCACTAAACGCGACTAACTGCCAATAGGCCGAGCCGATGGTTCCCACTATGCCGCATTCGATAGTTCCTAAATTTGCATTCTGCTCTGCTCTGCTCTGTTCGATCTGTTCGGTCTTGCCCTGGAATGTTGTGTCGTCATATTGATAGATCGATTTCATGCGGAGTATGTACTGCCAAACCCAATGCCGTCGGGACCCACAAAGCCACATCTTATCAATGCCGATGATATTGTCACCGCGAGGATCATACACGGATTGAGCTGCTGGTACTTGTGCTTGGAGTCTACGGTCAATCTTCCAAGATTCGGATACGAATACTCTCCAAACTCGTTGCAGGAGCTGTTCCCTGGCTTCTTTCCCTGCCAAGTACCACATGATGAACACATGACCGTTTCATGCCGTTTCAGGCCGCCGGCCTTTGAGATAGTAGAGGTTGTGCCATTCGCTGGCAGGTTGCAACGCTGCCATGATCTACCCAGTAACTATACTGTATTAGTATAGAGCGTTTAGAAGGACCTTCATATATCATACTTAAGTGGCTCAGGTTGTTGCCTTACGAAGACGGGGGTATATGCTACGTTTATAGACGACGAATCAAATGCGTGCGGGCGAGTGTACTTTTGTAACTAATACACCACGAGTGGCTAACTAACTACTTAATTAGGAGGAACATTGGAGGGACAGCAGTCTACAGCGCCTTGGATACAGATTGACGCATTTGCGAATTACGTTGATCAGGAGAACGTCCACGGGTGTAAATATTAATCTCAACTATCAGGCTCCGCAACGGGCATGTACGACCGGCGTTCCCGTGCAGCCTACAGGGGTATCACGCATTAGCATTCATTCTAAATGTGACGACCTCGTCTCTCGACAGAGATGTCAATCTTACCTCCACATAGCGCTCGATCCAGGGCTTACACAGCGCCCATACGAGCAGTCCACCCGTAGCAATAATAAAGATGAATACCACCGCCTGGTCCTTCCGAGAGTCACGTTCTATACCCATCATTAGCTGACCTGTAATTTGCTTCACAGTCCTTGTAGACCACGGGGCAACGCACGGAAACATGTGGTGAAAACGTCCTCCTCTTTCGCGCCCTTGCATGTCGGCAGCTCGTAGCCCAAGCAGAACTTGCGATTGCAATCGTTACATGTTAGTTTACGGTGTTTGTCGGCTCGCTCCTCGAGTTCGGCTCGGTCGTCTTCCACCGGTGAATAGCTGATATCTGCGCCGTCGAAGGTTCGCCCGTGAAGGTTCAGCGCGTCATTGAAAGCACCAGAGTCCCCGTCAGGATCGAGAGGAATGATCGTGCTGTTGGAAAAGCAGGTACATTTGCAAAAAGATGTCGGTTCTAACAACACGCTGGTTAGCACAGACCGCTGCAAAGTAATTTGCCGGGTTGGTCACTCACTGGAAGCGGTCACGAGTGATACGAGCGACAAGAATGTAAAAACCAGAGCGAGCCAGCTCACTCTGCTGCTTTTCAGACCTGGAACCGCGAGCATTGTGACACTAGACTGCGAAGACCATGACCTTCGTCGGCGAGATGACGCGGTTATCGTTATCGCCCGCACGTGACAGGTGTCGGATAGGCAGAGCTATTGAACAAAAGCTGGATGGGGACTGATGGACCAAAAGTATGAAGGTCAGTGAGTGCATCAGTTGATGATTTGCTCTGCTGCCTCGGGGCTGGGCTTGGGCTTTTCGAAAAGTGGAATCTCTAAAGCTCGATATATTCGGAACCGCTATACATACAGACAAGGAAGCCTCCGTCGACTCGAGTATCATAACACAGCTACTGATGGCGTAATGCTGGCCAGATTCCACGAAAATCCCCCTTCCTCTCACGGCTAATAGAAGCATGGTTTCACCCTTCAGTAATGCTAGTTGCCTCTTCGCCCTGAATGATGGCTTATCCTGTTTTGAGTAGACCTTCTTTCTCAAGCTTCTGCTGCCAACAGGGTACATTCTCGCACAATCATTGCGTTTGAGATCTCGACTACTATGTCGCGGCTCGCCTACAGACCCCCTGCAGATATTAAGAAAAACAGTCACTTTCAATTGAAATATATGTACCGTTGAATTATCATGAGAAAACATCGGTCGGCGGCTGGAAGTGGCTAGATGTGGGAAAGACTAGAAGCTGCTCAAAGCGCGCTCTATTGCCGACCGCAATTATGTCGGTTTTGAAGAAGATGAATGTCTCTGGACATATCTGAAGGCTGAGTCTATTTTACGCGCCTCTACTTTTCGTCTCTACGGTTTTCTTCTGGATTGCACCCCTGCACTAGGTGAAGGCCAGACGGCGCTAAGCTCATTAGTATGAGCCGAATATGGGCCTCTTGGGATTTTGAAAACCAAATCTACTCAGAAACTATTCGCTTTGTAGATTTTCGAATTAATCAACCGAATTGGCTGGACTAGGCGTGGGTGATAATGCGGGTTAAGGCTGGACGCTACTGGGCAGGGCGGGAGCGGGAATAGCTTCACTCCGGCACAAGCAGGGCGCGCGGTTCACAAATCCAGGGCTCTGACCTCAGGCACAAAATATTTTCGTCTCAAATCTTAGCCAAATACTCTTTTGATATCGGAGAATTTAATTGGACAATTAAAATGCAGCTGTGGTTGATAGATCCGCTAGAAATCACGATTTTACCTCCGGAAGGGTCACAGATGATCTTAATCTCGACGACTTCGACAACACGAGGGTGAGTGGCGTAGTGGTTTGCTCGCGCGACCCGCTGCTGCATTAAAACAAGTCCTGTGTTCGAATCCGATCTGGATCAGTTTTCAACAGATTTATTTCGAGTTCGAGGAAGCAACATCGCACCTTCCTCTCGGGAGAGGGGAGGGAAAAACCGTTCAGCCTAACCAGCGGGCGGCAGCGCGCCTTCCAAGAAACGAGCCTCTGAGGTGCCAGTTTCTATAGCCTGCCGGACCTTGTCCGAGGGTGAATCTTTTTGCCGGGGAGTTTGTCAGGAAAGGTTCAGTAAGTTGATGCCGATAGGTACGGGCATACGCAGAAAGATCCAAGTATCACTTTTGGCTCTGTCTATGATTTGCCCTTCATGCCCTTTTTGCGGTTCTCTCTCTGTCTCTGCTCCTTCGCGGCATCGCGCCGCCTCTTCTTCCAGGCCCGGTTGTTGTCGCCGCGGTTTTCCCAGAACCATTTGGCAAACTCCGTTTCATCCTTCTCAGCAGAAAGGCTCTTTCCTCTGCTTTTTGAGACCGGGGTATCGATTGAATCGTCATCATCTTCAATATCCGCGTCTTCGTTCCATGAGAAGTGACGACCAGCCATGGAGGTGTCAGGAGTTGGGGCAGCACTTCGTAAGCCTCGAGCCTGAAGGTCTCTCTTCGCGAAAGGTGTGAAGGGAGTCTGTGGCTCAGCCACCTGAGGCTCTTCCTCTGATTCTATATCATCATTGTTTCCGAAAAAGCTGAATCCAGCGGCGTCAGCGGCAGCAGGCTGCTCCTTGAGAGTGTCCGATGTTGGGCGTTTGAACAAAGCTTCTAATGGGGTGGACTTCCTTGGGTGAGCCATCCTCTGCATTACTTTTGTGACCACTGGATGGGTCGGAAGCATCAGGGGAAGGTTTGGGAGAATCCAGTGAGCGTTTCGTTTCCGTCGACATCGTTTCTTCACTGGGGATCTCACCCGAAGAGCCAGAGTCATCAGAGGAGCTGCCGTCTTCGCTCTCACTGTCTGAGGTTTCATCAGATGAGCCACTGGAAGAAGTCCAGTCCTCCGAATCACTCGATGACTGAGGATTTTCTGGCTCGCCCTTGAGGGCCGATGTTTTAGTCGATCGTTTTTCTTTTGCGCCAGGAACCTGACCAGGTATGTAGTCCTTCTTCCGCGACTTTGCACTGGCCGTCTCTTTCACGTTTCCTTTGTCATCCACCCAGCCTTTTCCTTCTTCGAAAGCAGTCGTTAATGGTGCAACATCGCCGGAGGCGCGGAGAAAACTAGGGTGGGTGACCGTTTGCGAAAATTCGTGAACAACCGACTCGGCGGTCTTTTTCTTGTTCTTCTTAGACTTCTTCTCATCTTCAGTCCTATTGGAAGTTCGATTTGGGGGAATCTTGGTGTGGAAAAGACATTCGGCTTTTTCAGAATACTTTGACTTGGGCTGCGGCTTTTCTTTGTTGTCCTCCTTGTTCTTCCTCTTCTCGGACTTCCGACGGTCTTTCTTCCCGTTGGCAGGCTCAGTCCAGCCGCGCTTCACCTTACGGCCCGAGGGTAATTCGAAGCCATCGAGGACACCGTCCTCAGATCTTCGTCTCTTCGACTTCTTCTTTTCTACCGGAGCATCCTGGTCTGCTACCTCCTCCAAATGTCGCTTGGAAGGACGAGCGGTCTCAATTTTGAATTTCTTGCCCTTCAAAATCGATCCATTGAGCTTCTTCTTGATTTTATCAGCGTCCATGGATGGCAAGGTGATGTATCCGTAGCTATTCTCGGGGAATGTGGGAATCTCGTGAAAGGAGACGTCGGTGGCAGCGGATCGGAGGGAGGGCGGTATTACAGAGGGAAAGAGATCAGGAGTCAGAGGAGAAATGTGAAGGCGAGTAGTTTCCGTCATTGCATGCTGCTAGCTCCTCAAAATTGAAGAAACGAGCGCCCGGGCGGATTGCTTCACTATTTTTTTTTCCCTTCTGTTTTCTCCACAGACGGCAGAATTGAACAGACCGCCTCCCTCATGCGTCAGACCCACCTCGACATGGGACCATCGCTCCGTGTGCCCACAATGTGCCCTGGACTAGCACTGCTTGGGCAAGGAATATGCAGCTCGGCCGATGCAGGGTGTCGCCGAGCAGATCGATATCCCGTGTGGAGAACTCAGCCGTTACCGTTGGCACAAGACAGCATCTACAAGTAAGGAATAGATGGCTTGGTGGTACAAATCGAGATCCAGAATCTTTTTCCGGTACTCCAAAGTCTAGTAGATATGGTGAACTATTAGCTGTCAAGGCCCAACTTGGCCGGACCCCGGGGGCTCAACCTCGGCTGAGGTAATCCAATGACGCCGGTCGTGTGCCACTAAACCTTGGAATAAGGCCGTAGTCATGAGATGGGTCCGTGGAGCCCGTGAGTTAACCTCTCATTTCCCTCAGGAATAAACGGCCGGATGCAAGGAAGAGAAGTAAGCTCAGGGCGGAAACCCATATGCAAAACTATAGAACTTCCAGAACATCATTACACCTTCCGCCACATCCGCTTTTGTCGTCTTACGTACCCGATTAGTTCATCCTCCTACTCACCGATCCCGAACTTCCCCAGTTACTCCGCCTCCCCGCTCCATCTTCCATTCACTCTCGGTATCTGTCACTGTGCCCAGATGCATTTCCTCTAGCTCCGAAAGTCTCGCCCTATTTGACCTATTCTCTTCCTACACCTTCTTTTTTTTGTGTGTGTCCCCCGCCTCCCGAGGGGGCTATCGTTTCGCCTCTCGGAGTTCTCCCGCGTCTAATCCCTCGCCCCCGGCGTCTGATCCTCTCACCATGGGGAACTCTCAAACCAAAGAGTCGCGGACGCCCCCACGCCGTCGGAGCCAGCAGTGGTCTCCTGGACCATCTGAAGCCCCAGGCCGCTCCTTATACCAAAGCAGTCGGTCGGGCAGAAGTCGCCCAGATCTGTCTTTACTTGGTATCGGCAGCAGCCATCATGATCGGGACCGCGACGTGGCCTCACTCGAACAGCGGCGTGAGACGAAACAGGAACGTGAGGCCCGCCGACTGGAGAAAGAGCGTGCTGCCCGGGTAAAGGAACGGGAGCGCAGTATGAAGGAGGAACATGTCGACGGAGGATACTTAGTGACGCAAGGTGTATACGTGGGGACAGAAGACTTCAGCAAAGCAGTTGTGCGGCAGTTAATGGTAAAATTGCCCCCTATCCTAGCCGGTACCATGGGATCAGATATCTAACGTGACTCGTAGATTGAACGACGGCTGGCTCCCTTTTGGAGGGGATTGAATGATTTCTCGGAATCGTGGGCAGAGCATCAGCTAATGGCTGCAGCTCGGGGAATGCCCATACCGGAACCCGACGAGATCCCCCCTGAACTGGAGTATACACCTCCCAAAGCAACAGAAGTCAAGGAATCGGCTGGCGCTGCCAACATCCAACATCTTACCGTCCCCATTACTTCGCGCTCGCAGTCCCTCAATTCAGATGTATCGCAATCCTCAAACCCCCCTCAATCGTTACCGTCCGCTGCATCACCGATCGCGTCGGGCACATCGACGTCGCCACTCTTCCGTACGCGAGCAAAGACTTTGGCAGCCTTGACCTCTTCTTCAAAGTATAGTTCGCAAGCTGAAGTAACCCCGCGGGAGCTGCAATTACCAAATGACCCATATGTCAACGGTCAACCGATTGAAGTCTATCTATACAAGGATGCCTGCGAATGTCCTATCTGCTTCCTTTACTATCCCCCTTACTTGAATCGCACTCGATGCTGTGACCAGCCCATCTGTTCCGAATGCTTTGTACAAATCAAGCGCCCGGACCCTCATGTTCCAGAGCATGGGGAGTCAGATCCCAATGCAAATGGCACAGCCGAGGGGGAAGGCACTGAGCGAACTGATACTGGGGAATCGCAGCTCGTTTCAGAGCCTTCGGCATGTCCTTTTTGTGTTCAGCCTGAATTTGGAGTTACTTATGCTTCACCACCCTTCCGTCGTGGTCTGACGTACGCTACGGACCTAAGCGGTCGTCCGTCGCCCAACGTCACTTCCCCCGTCTCATCCTCCTCCTCCCTATCTTCCGCCAATATCCCTTCAATAGCTGGCCGCCGTCGGGCGACATCCTTATCTGCCAGCGACCCTGCGGTGGTCACGACTGATAAAGTTCGCCCAGACTGGGCTCAAAAGTTGGCGAATGCTCGGGCGCATGCGGCACGCCGGTCCGCCGCCGCTACTGCTCTGCACACTGCGGCATATTTGATGAACTCTTCCTCTGGAGAAAATTCGCGGCTTGGGCTTGGGCGCAGAGGATTGCGGCGGGCGACTCAGAGTGACGCCGGCCGGTCCGGCTCACCGGCCTTGAATGCCTTGGCATTTTTGACTGATCGACCGGATCGAACCCCCCCCACGGGCACCTGAGAATGACTCTACTGAGGAAAACCAGGGAGACATTGCGCCGCCGCGCGACAGCTCTCGACGGACCCGCATTGACGACCTCGAGGATATGATGATGATGGAGGCAATCCGCCTGAGCTTAGCCAGTGAAGAGGACCGGCAGAGGAGGGAAGAAAAAGAGGCCAGGAAAGACGCTAAAAAAAGAGAGAAGGAGGCTAAGAAAGCCGACAAGGCGGCACGTAAAACTGGATTGTATAGTAGCAATACCAGCAGCACTGCTTTGGCATCGCCCCCCGAGCTCTCGTCTGCCAAGGCAGCCAGTGCGACGCCTCCAATCGTCGAAGAAGCGTCGGCGCTGGGCAAAGGCAAAGGCGTTGATCGTGAATCAAGGTCAAGGCCCCCGGCTTCGGTCGAGAATGTCTCTTCCGCAGATTCTATTTTGATGGCTGCCGACCCGTCTACCCTGGCTGAGCCTTCCCGACCTTCGCAGTTGCGCCATGTTTCCAGCGCATCCTCCTCATTTTCATCGAACACAGGCAATACCCCAGATGATCATGTTTCTAACCCGACCGCCGAAGAAGGTAAAACCTCCACCGAGCCCATGTTCAACTTCCGCAGCCTGGCTGCTGTTATTGATGACGAAGACAAAGCTCACGAGCCGGAGCACGTTGAGAATACGGCTCAGCCCAATGTCGAGGGCTCATCTAGTGGCACTCCATCCATCAACCAGCCAGCAGCTGACACGGGCAAGCCCGAGCCTGCTCCTGTGGTGAGAGCTGCAGCAACGGTTGATGGTGTCTTGCCAAAGGAATTGGAAACTCGGTCTGTTGAGATTACAACCCCCGCAGCCGACTCTGAAACTACCTGATCAGAATCAGCTTCATTCATTTTTCGCTCTATTTTTTTCTCTTTCTTTCCGTTCATTAAAATTTCCTTTTGATCCCTGTATCTTCGGTGGGAGTGTATTTGTTGGAGCATGAGATTAGCCGGCGCAGGAGACATTTTTTTTTTGTTCTTTTCCCGTTTCAAATCAGAGCCATATGCTCGCTCTCATCTTTCCAATGGCTGGCTGTCTCCATTGCATCTGTCTCGTCTTATAGAAGTCCAAATCCAAACAATTTCATGAGCCTACTCACTAAAGAGCAAGGTCCCAGACATTCCGGAGGTTTTGTGATAAGATCCTAATCTGCATGCGGACATAATCTCTCAACATCCATTGGATGCAATGGACCATGCGGTGCGACAGGAATTGGTGGATCACTAGGACGAATGATTGGACGCCCGGGGGATAAGAATCAGGCCAACGGCCGCTAAAGAGTGGGGCGGCGCGTCCCCGTATTCTCGGGGGCTTTGGGATAACATTGAAAGCAAGATATTCCCAGCATGAGAGATTGGATTTGTGGACACGATCCAAACTCTGCAGTAGTACATTTTCGGAGGGAGATCCAAGTGGGAGGAGCAGCGAATTGGCTTGTTGAGCTGGCAATCCGTCCCATGCATGCATCCTCGCCACTTCGCAAAGTTTTCTAGTTCCTTCGGCCCACCGGCCCACCCATAGAGTTACTATGACAGTCCGTCTTAGATCTAATCTCTAGTAGCAATTACTTGACAGTTGTTGCAGTACGATTTCCAAAGGAAATCAAACTTAAAGTAGGAAAACAGATTGCCAAGTTCCACACTGGATGCGATGAAGAATTGACTCTGATTGTGATCCCAAGGGGACCTGGGCCGATTTTCCTGTTTGGGATCTAGCGCTGCCCAGATCCGCGGTTGGGTAATGGAATTACAGACTCTTATCACCCCTCCTTCTTCCTCTTCATTTCAACTTCTTCAGGAACGAAGCGGCTTGAGACTAGTCTACCCTCCCTGCTCCCCTCAGATCTGAGAGCCTCTCATAACACCGGCTAAAGATCACAGACTCGACCTTTGGGGACGGACAGTCGTAAGGTCTTAGATACTTCTGAGGAACGATGGTATTAACACGTCAGGAAAGATCTCCCGTTGCATTCGACAACAGTTTCCCCACGACTCAGCTATTCTTACTTGGTATGTTTCTCTCTCTGGCCTGCCGCGGACTCCGACTGGGCTAACCCCTCCTGACAGCAATATGTCGCGTGGCCGAGCCAATCGCCCTCACCTCTATCTTCCCTTACTCGTGGGTGATGGTCAAGGATTTCCACATGGCTAGTGGGGCAGATGCCTCCTTCTACGCTGGGATTTTGATTTCCGCTTTTTCGCTTGCCGAGGCTATCACCGGCATGTTCTGGGGAAGTCTCTCCGATCGCGTTGGTCGCAAACCCGTTCTGTTGTCCGGCTGTTTCGGTACCATGCTCTCTCTGATCATGGTAGGCGTGGCTCCTAATTTCTGGGTTGCGCTTCTAGGCCGTGCTCTCGGGGGCGCTCTGAACGGCAATATCGGCGTGATCCAAACCATGGTAGGAGAGCTAGTTAAAAGGCCCGAGCATGAGCGTAAGTTGTTGCACCCGGCTTGGCTGTGGTTTCCCTCTCTAACTGGCTGTGTTTAGCTCGCGCATATGCCGTGATGCCATTCGTATGGTCAATCGGCACTATCATCGGACCTGGTAAGTTTCCTGTCATTCTTGTATTCAGCACGATAGGCGTCAAAGGAACTGTACTGATGTAGCTCTAGCCATTGGTGGCCTCCTGGCAAGACCATCAGATAGTTTGCCTACTGTGTTTCCTCGAGATGGCCTATTCGGACGCTTCCCTTACTTGCTTCCCAACTTGGTTTGCTCCTTTCTCCTTCTCTTGAGTATCGTTGGGGGCTGGTTCTTCCTACATGAAACACATCCAGATATGCAATCTGGTGACCACCATCAGCGCTATCTGGATCATCCTACGGTAGAGCAGCCTCTCCTTGCCACGTCTGGAGCGACCGCCAATGCCGGCGTCGACCTCCGAGCCGAGTCTTACGGTACCTTTAATCAAGTGAATCTGTATGAAGAAGAGCGCTGGGACGTTCAGATGAACGGTGCTTATCCCGTCTGGAAGCAATCAGCGAAGCCCAAAGCCTTTACATGGCAAATTGTCATGCTCGTGATTGCTTTATCAATCTTTACATATCACTCTATGACTTACGATCATCTTCTGCCAATCTTTCTTCAAGACAAAAGCTCATTTTCCAGCCCCTCCTCTCCATTTGATATTCCTGGCGGTGTCGGTCTTTCTACTCGGACCGTGGGTGTTATCATGTCTACTGATGGTATCATTGCACTGGTTATACAGAGTCTTATCTTCCCTGCTCTTGCTCAATGGCTGGGTGTGTGGAAGCTATTTCTTATGGTGACCATACTTCATCCAGTCGCATACTTTATGGTCCCTTTCCTGGTGTTCCTCCCTCAGAACCTGGTCTACCTTGGGATCTACGCGTGCCTGATTGTCCGCAATATTCTCTCCATTATCGACTACCCAGTCCTCTTGATCCTCATCAAGCAAGCGAGTCCCTCTGACTCTGTGATGGGTAAAATAAATGGTCTTGCCGCTTCTGCAGGGGCTGCTGCCCGAAACGGTGGCGCCTCCTATTGCAGGCTTCCTGTACAGCTCTGGTGCTGATATGGGATGTACTGCTTTGGCTTGGTGGGGAAGTACACTGGTAGCTCTCATCGGGGCATTCCAGGTTTGTTTCATCCAGCGGGACAAATATTCATCGGCCACTGTGCAGTCTGCTATGCCCTGCCATTACTCCCCAATCCCTGAGCAACCGAAAGAAACAGTTCATATCGTCGTGACGGACGAAGCTGGAGCTTCCGCATCCGAGTGAAATTCATGCTACCTAGCCATCCTCTTCTGTTGCCCTAGCGTCTTCCATTTTTTGGTCCTCTCCTGGTGGTAGATCGGGTGTAAACACAGCGTTTGGTGTTTTGGTGTTCTTAGCGGGTTCTTGTTATGGCGTTAGGCGATTACACAGCGATACAAGAATTTATCGGCTTTCACCCTTTCTATATATTAATTGAAGAGTAAAAAGTCCGTCATTGAGGTCCATGTAGCATCTCTAAAAGCATGGCGTGTGTGTTGGAGTTCATAGATTTAGGCCGGAGGCGGCCATTCCAGATTGGGTTTAGCTCTGTTTACACAGCAACCACCAATTCAAAACATCCCACATCTTGCAGGCGCAATCTAAACTCCACACGGGAGGAAATCTTCATTATTTTAACTCTCCGGCTTTGTTTTTGCTTCTCCTTCCTCAAACAATGTCGAATCCTCTATCACCTCTTTCCTCCTCATTCCAGAATGCGCGGGCGCGATCCCCAAAGACCGCCTCGTCGCCATTTATCACCAAAATAGATGATCCAATGTCCTTCGAGAAGCCCGCGCCCTCGAGCCCGTTGAAGCAGGCCTGGAAAGATCTGCAATTTAGTCCCAGTGCGCCCAGTGTTGACGAGAACCACATTTCCCACGATCAGCACGATGTTGACGATATGCATCACGACAACATTTTCCAAGAGCCCGCCAGTTCACCCTTTCAATACGATGCGCGCGAAGACACTGTGGATTTCCAAAAGCTTCGTGAGCTTCAACAAGGCTTACCGGGCTCTCCACGTCGCTTGGAATATGATATAGCAGAAGAGCCCTTAAGCTCTCCCTTCAGAACCGAGACGAAGGACGACCCAGTGGATATCCCAAAACTGCGAGAAGTGCCACCTTTGTCCTCCCCGATCAAGAAATCGACCCCCGTCATCGATCCAGAGAGCTCGCCATTCCGACCAGAAGCAAAAGATGAGACAGTGGATTTCGAAAACTTACAGGACCTACAACACGAGTCCGTTGATTGTGACGAGGAATTGTTGGATCAGCCCAGCTCACCGGTTCAACCTCACCAAGGGGAGCAAGAACTTGAGCCCTTGAAGGGCCACGAATTCCAACGCCATTCGCTGGGTAGGGTCAAACGTTCACCTGTTTCCCACCGCAGCTCGATGGCCCGCGACGGGGATGTAGAATCAACACTTGATGTGCAAAAAGTTCGTACTGCGCGCTCTTCAGGCACGGATGAGCGACGATCGTCCATAAAATCTCGAAAACGTTCTTATGATCACTTCCCTGAAGATTATGATGACGACATGGAGGCGAATGAACGGTGCAAGAAAGGCACCCGTTCTGAAAGGCCCGTTATTCCCGTCGACGCTGAGGAGTCTAGTGTCATCCATAATCAAAGCTTGCTTTCCATGGCAAGTGCCTCACAAGATCCTTCCACCATTGCGAACAGTGCCATGGAAGACAGGCGCAATGAAGGCATGAGCACTGTTTTGCAGGATGATGAAGACATGCCACAACCCGACTTCGCTAATGAGGATGACCATGACCCGATGGATGATACTGGCCTCAGTAACTTTTCTGTCTTGCCTGATCTGACATCCTTTGCAAAGCTGCGTGCCGAGTCTCCCATGAAATCAATGCGTGGGAGTGTTGGGCCCGGTCCAGCCTCAGACCGTCACGGTTTCGAGCCGGCCACCCCTGGCACTGCGCGTCGATCATGGCGCGCTAGTACCCTGCTTGATACCGGTTCCAATGCTGGTACTCCGACGCCCAGACGGAGAGTCTCGCGAGACATTGGCAATCCAAACGAAACCCCAAACTTGCTTGACTTCACGGACCACTCTAGCTTCTTCCGCAATTCTGTTCAACAAGCTCGTATGTCAATGTCACAGCGACGATCACCGATGAGAAATATGCGTCAGTCTATGCGGTCCCCTTCGAAGCTGTCCCTCTTGGACTTCGACATTCCGCCTGCGCCCACCCCCGCTCAATTCCGACGGTCACACCGCGCGAATTAGAGTCTCTCAAGTCAGGTTTTATGTCTGAGATCTCATCACTCAAGGCGGCTCTCAGCGGGAAGGAAGCAGAGGTTGCCAGCTACAGGCAGGCCGTTGCCGATGCGGAGAGACGCGTCGGCGAGGCCTTGGAGGAGGCGCGCAACGAAGCTGCCCAGAAAGAAGCTCTGGAAATTGAACAGGCCGAGTGGGATCGTCGTGGAAAGGACATGGAAAGAGTTCTGCAGTCTGTCAGAGACGAGTTAGAAGAGGGGGAGCGTGAACGCGATCGTCTCACTCGCAGGCCGACGACGCCGAGAAGAGCAAAGAGCAATTGGAAGGCAAGGTCGTTGAGCTTGAAACCCAATTATCTGCCGCGCGCTCCTCGACGTCTGTAGAAGCCGGCAGTGCGATGAACGTTAAGCAAAATACTCCGTCGGCCGAAGAAACTGCGCGTGAGGTACAAGATGCCGTTGAAAAGGTCGCACGCGAATTACACACGCTCTACAAAAGCAAGCACGAAACGAAGGTTGCAGCTCTGAAGAAGAGCTACGAATCTCGCTGGGAGAAGCGTTTGCGCGAGGTGGAGAACAAGCTCACTGCTGCCCGCGAGGAGAATCGACGTCTCAAGGCGGACCAAAAGGCAGCAAACTCCGAGTCTATAGCTATGGCCAATGCCAGCATGATTGCACGAGAGAATGACGAGCATGAGGCTGAAAAGCGAGTTTTCGAAGCTCAGCTCAAGGGACTTCAGCAGGAAATGGCGACTATCAAGGAAGATGCTGAGCGGCTCCGCTCGGCGCTCAAGTCGGAGCGCGCTGAGAAAGGCGAACTGGTTGCTGCGGTGGACGAGTGGCTAGCCATGCAACAAGGCCAGCCTGCTCCTGCTCAGCCACCAGCGCAGCGCCAGCCGTCTGGCTCATCTGCTGGAACGCCTGATGATGAACATCAGTCCGCCAGTGAGGCAGTACCGGCAGAGCCCCTTCGTCGAAGCGTGAGCCGCTCTGGATCCAGCGGAATCCGACCTCCTGCTACGGCTGAGAAGAAGATCTCTCGGTTTGGAGGCCCTGGCGGTCACTCCCGAGGGAACAGTGGAGGCCGATCGGGCATCGCCATCCCCACGCCTGGTCGTGGTGGGATCATGAGTTCTATTGAAAGAATGGGCCGTGGTGGTGCGTAAAGATAGATCGGTATTGGCTGGGGCCATGATCGAGAGCGTCGCTTGTCTTTTCTTCGTCATATCATTCCGGATTATGGATCATTGGGTGTGTCTTTTACTTATTGCGTTTGGAGCCACGATTCCCCCTTTTTTTTGCAGGTCCGGTTCTACGTGTGAGTCACGAGGTTCTATGTTTCAATGCGTTATGATTTAGTCAGATTGAACTAGTCCTGAGTTCGACTCCTTCAATTAGCGTGTAGCGTGTAGCGAGGGTCGTGATTCTAGACCTTAAATGCAGAGAGCCGCCTAGTTGCGTGCGTCAGGAGAAATCACTTCTTGTGCTTCCTCTGCATTGTACTCTAGCACCGCCTTTGCTGGGGTTTTCGGGGCAAGCTTTCCTGTTCAGCTTGTTAGCTCCGAGCGCTCAGGACCACATCACCCGAAGGAACAAGTATATAGCAAACTCCATGACGATATTCATTATCTTGCCCCATACACACGTTTGAGGTAGTGTGCTAAACAGTTGGAAACTCATATAGTATTCTCTAATGCTCGGGCAGCGCCACATCGGCAATCTTTTGGTTAAGAATCACTCCGGCCGGGATACGATTTGGCAAGGATTGCTAGATACTGTAGTGACTCATTACCAGAGAGGTCATCTTGCGCCCACCCACCTCAGCTGTAGCTTGGAACTCTGATAGCGCCCATTCTGCTGCCATTAGAAATTGGGGGCATCTGATCTTCTGGACACAAAGTTAGCTAACCCATATTTCACTATGTTGATTATAAGCCGCTATTCTATCGACCTATCGACATTGAGGCGGTTCACAATCGGGCAGGATTATACGGATAAACCTGATCGCCTTGGCATGAAGCGTCATTTTGCCCAGAGAGTCCATTTGATGTGCATATATATAGTCAAATGAACGGGCTCAACACTTGTAGGATGTTGAAGTGCAATCAGTTTCGGGTTCCAGCTCATCCGGATACGTTGAAGCCTAGGTAAGGGTAGAAGACACCAAAAAGACGAAACGACGAGCAAGAGATGGAAGGGAAGCAAACCATGCTTGCCCAACTTAGTTCCTCGTTGACTCCTACGTGCGTACTTACCTCGACAGCTGTCCTACAGCCTCGATACCGGTCAAAATTTTATTTCCCCTGTTCTGTGATCACCCCAGAAGCGGGGGTTTTGTGAACATCCCTACTAGCGCTTATATGTGTATTGGAGCTGCCGCCCATCCAAAGCTGTCCAGCACCTTGTCCCAGGGCATCGAGAAGCAAGATAAAAGGCACGTCTCTCAAGAAGTCTTGATAATAATTTCATCCATCGGTATAGTAGACCGCCCTTCGTGTGCCGTGGTCTTGAATTTACTAAGATACGTTTCGGCGGATATCAGGCCAGCAACAAGCGCGAAGCTCCCATGGACACACCCAAAGATAGACGGGTTATCTCTACAACGTATGCCCCAAAAGGCTCTCAATAGCTTGATCATCACGAGATCCCAGAGGAGGGGTAGGCCTCTCGGTCGCACGTACCATCGACGAGGTGGATTGGCCGGTCGAAAAATGGCAGCTCGGGGTCTGTTGCAGAGTCACTCAAATAGGCATTCGCTCGGTTGCATCACAGGTCAGGGCGACAGATTGCGTGCCAATGTCTGCTATTCGGAGTTCGATCTACCCCAACCCCAAGAAATGCTTCTACCACAATCGCTATCTTCTTGAACGGGTTGATGGCTTGTCCCAAATTAATCAAGACCAATTACTCGAGGATGTTGTACAGCGCTTTCCCAGATACAAGCCGTTCATAAGTGCAATCCCAGTCATGATAGATTTCATTCCAGAAGACTTGAGACAAGACCTGGCGACGAAGGCAAGGTCAAAAACCTCCAAGGTTGCATTCTTGTTGCTGGAAAACGGGGTCAAGTGATGGCGACGTGCGATTTAGATAAATTTCTCGTTCTGGACTGAAGGTTCTGGACTTCAGTCAACTCAGTCTAAGCAACTTTGAAAATGGGGGGAAAACGAAAAGAAAAGAAAAGGGAATCTTTCGGCTTTTGAGACCTTACGGTAGCTACATTGTTTAGTTGCAGAAGAGATTCAAGGCTTATTTAACGGGAAGAGATAAGAAGGCAGCAGGGCTCAGTTTCTATGTTTGAAAATACGCGAAACATACACATCGTCAGACTGTTATAGAAATCCAATGCTGAATTGAGAGAGGGGGAAAAAAGGGGGAAAAAAAAAGAAGATCGGATATTGGTGTCTTGCCAGATCGACAATGAAAGTTTCCACAGAGGGGATCGATTTTCCCCGCTAATGCGAGGCCGCTAGTTACTCCAAAAGTGCAAGTGCATGTTCTGTACGGAGTACTCAGCCCATTTTTCTGGCTGAAACAAAGAGCTCCTCTATTGGCCACAAACCCCTGTGCGACCTGTGACCATATATACATCCCTGTACATTCTCCCCCCATTAATTTGGCAATAATGCCTCGTTTGGCCCCCCAAAAGCTTTCCAATAGTACATTGGTTGAAAGAATGGGGCCATGCAGATCAGCCTTGAGTGGACCCGCGGGAGAGTGGATCCTCCCGTTCTTTGATTCCTGCCGTCAAATTCCGCCCCTCCCCCCCAATGTGCAAATGGTTCTTCTTCTTCTATTTTCCAATTTGTGGTCATTGGGACTATGACTACAAGCGTGCAGTTTGCAGACTATTTTTCTTTTTTTTTTTCTATATCTCACAGGTCATTTACAACATCTTGGATTGGCCGCCATCACCATGTCGAGTGATAACTTTACAATCACTGAGCACATTGTCCCCGGTTGTCATATTCGAGAATACGCAGGAAGCACTGTGCACCAAGAAGATATATTGAAGCTGCATGTGAAGCAATATACGCCTAAAAATCAACCATTGCCGCTGCCCTCTGATGCAGTTACTCTAATCGCAACTCATGGAGTGGCCTTGCCCAAGGGATACACACGCTATGGATGGAAATATTTCTTTTTCACTGACTGTAAGCGGGATAGGAGCTATACGAGCCTCTTTGGGATGAGATTCTGGGGCAAGCCATCGGCTTCCGTATACGCAGCATCTGGGTCGCCGACTGCGCGAGTATGGGAATGAGTGGGATTTTGAATGAGGAAAAGCTCAGCATGGACTGTATGTATTGCCCGATCGACTACCCTTTCTTGTCTCACTCTCTTGTTCCAGGTTCTTGGATGGACCATGCGAGAGATCTCCTTCTTATGATCAACCATTTCCGGGAACAGATGCCCCGTCCGCTTGTCGGTATTGGCCACAGCTTTGGAGGAACTATCATGTTTGTGGCTCTTTCGAACTATATGCTGGAGCGTATCTGAAAGACGGAAACTAATCCATCTTTATGTAATAGTACTAATCTGGCTTATATGCACCCTCGGCTATTCACCACCGTGGCTTTAATTGACCCAGTCATTCAACTCACTCCACCGCCTATGGGGTTCGGCTCCGATCCACCCAGCGCAGTTAACTGGACCCTCCGACGTGACGATGTGTGGCCAAACCGCGAAGTGGCCCTTCGCGCGAACCGTGCGTTGCTTCATGGCTGGGATCCACGCTGCGTCGCCCGTATGGCCGAGGTCGGATTCCGCGAGCTGCCGACTCAGCTGTATCCAGATGTCGAGGCTCAACAAGCGCGGCTGAACACGACCGAAACGCCAGTCACCCTCACAACGACCAAGTATCAAGATCTTTTAGGGCAGATTCGGGAGAACTTTGGTGCCCAGACCCGAAAACCAATCGCATTACAATCAATCGTGAGACGCACGCGGATTTGGATCCTCTTGCGGCTTTCATTCCTATGTATCGACCGGAGCCACGAAGCACTTTTCTCCGGTTGCCAAGTCTACGGCCCTCTTGTCTATGGGTGCTTGGCGGTGCTACCTATTTGAACATAGATGAGATCCGCGAGGGAATCAAAAGTTGTGGCACTGGAGTGGGGGGGGCAGTGGGGGGCGGACAGAGAGTCCGAGAGGTCACTTTGTCAGGGCTGGGCCATTTGATGCCATTTCAAGCAGTCAGTAAGGTTGCAGAGCCTTGTGTGGAGTGGCTGGCAAATGAAATGGAGCGATATCGTGTCACGGAAAAGCAGTGGGAGGAGCAGTCTCGGCAAAAGAACCATTTAGTCGTGGGTGAAAATTGGTTCAACACCCTGAAACCTGTGGCAATGCGTGCTGAAAAGCCCTCGAGAAAGACCAAGATGTAGAATAAGTATCCGAGTACATAACTGCTGAATCGAGTACCTAGTATAGTCAGGCTCACGATCTGGATAGTCAATCTCATGTCCACCAATGATGGGAAACAAACATGCTTTATCCTCTCATTATTAGCCAATTCCCAGGTTGAGTAAAAGCTCTCTTGCCTACCGTTGAGTGATCCGGAATTACTTTGTGGTTTTCTTGCTAGTTCCCCAACAAATTCATGGCTTCTTGTAGCAGGACCTGTACGCCTGCACATGTGGATGCACGCTTTTACCTGGTAACTTATACCGTCCAGGTCGTAGCACTTGGGCGATTTATAGACTTGAATATCTTGTAGTCTTTCGGCCAGATGACTCAGATACATCTGCGTAGCCCTGGAGCTACATGAACTGCTTTTACCGTTCATAGGTATCCGTTGCTATGCATATAATGAGCCTCAGTCAGAGGGTCACTCGCGTAGTTTGAGGTTTCAAGACTTCACCTTCAGCACATTTATAATGCATGTCTACTATCTCCAAGTCTGACTTTTACATGCGCACTCATTAAATTTTACTTGTCGTCAGACTTACTGCAACTTCGTTCGTCTATCCAACTTTCGGAGCTTTGACCGTGCAAGGTGTCAAACAAAACTGACTTTCTTCGTAGATCGAGGATCATGTATGCTAGGCGCCCCAGGATGAGTGCACTTCAAATGTTCCACAATTGAAGGTTCACACCAATTGATCCATGTACAAACTTCAAAGGAGAGGGGACATGAAGCTACAAGTTTGATCGAGACTTCCCCAATCTTATCACAAAGGTACATGTCAATGCATCTGTGAAGAAAATGATGTTGGGAGGTGGATGTGTACTAAACCTCGCGTTGTCGAAGCTCCACCATCGGGCCTTCTTTGCCCACGATAAAATTGTCCTTCATTTTATATTCGCCTCCTTTCCCAACCCCCAATTTTTCAGTGCCGGGGGCGACTCTAAGGTCATACAACCATAGCATGCGAGCTATGCTCAACTCCAGTTCCATCATTGCCACATTGCGGCCAATACATGCTCGTGGACCCAGACTGAACGATACAAAGGCTGCACGCTGACGAGCTAGGACTTCAGCTGACACACCCTCATCGACTGCCTGTGTGGCTTCTGATCCGCGCAGCAACCAGCGACTGGGGTCATATTCAAATGGCCGGTCAAAATGTTCACATGAATGATGCAGTGAGTATGTGGGTACCCCAACGACCGTCCCAGCAGGAAAGTCCCACTCCAGGACCTTGAGGCCCCCAGGCAGAACCTCGCGGGGTAGATCCATTGGTATGGGTGGACATAGGCGCATACTCTCCTCGATGCAGGCACGGAGGTAGGACATATGGCCTGAAGACAGCGCAGGACCCCGACATAATGGATTCCAAGGTCGAGAAACTGGACCGGATTACTGCGGTCAAGCGCTGGTAGATATCCGGATGATGGACCAAGAAATACCATGTCGCCGCGAGGGCCGTGTTAGCGGTATCCGCTCCTGTTATCACACAACATTTAGCCACCGTCCACCCAGAGAAACTTTGCGACGGGTAGGGGAATTCATACCAGCACCCAATAATAAGGTAACTTCGCCGATCAATTCCTGCACTGAATATCCTTGTCCGGTTTCCGGGTCGCGAGCCAGTTGCAGATAGTAAATAATATCGCGTCGTTGGGTCGGATTAGCCGCCAAGCGTGTGGAGAGCTGTTTCCGCGAGAAATCAACCTGTCGGTCCCGATTGGCAGCAGTTCCCCAGCGCATGTACCGGTCCACGCCAAGGTGACGCAGTAGCGGCATTTGACCGCATATATTCAAGATGCGCACATTTAGCTTCATGAGCGGAAAGAAAAAAGTGTTTTCGTCGCTCCGAGCCGTATTAAAGGTGTTCCCAAAGCAGATCTCGCCCAGGACATCGAAGATAACACATGCGCTCCAGTGTACCATATCCTTCGGGCTCGACCAGCCTTGGCTTGGGCTTCCTTTCTGGTCCGGGTGCTGATCTCCAATCGCTAAACACCAGTCGCGGATGGCCGACAGAATATGTGGCTCCATCCCTCGAACTGCCTGATCGGAAAATGCCTGCGACATCACGCGACGCTTGCGGGCATGTACATTGCGATCGATCGCATTGAAAATGCTTACACTGTAGAATCCGGCATACCACTGCGACTTTTGCACATTGGCCTTGTGACCATAAATCAGTTCAAGAGCCCGCGCATCGAGGATGGTCACTCGGTTGGGGCCGATGCGCACAATGCGCCCGTACTGCTGATGCAGCCGATAGAGATCCTCATGGCGGTCCCCACGTATTGCGTGCGCCACGGAATACAAATTGGTCAGTTTGGCGACGAAAGGGCCCGGGTAGACGGCCAGTGGATGAAACCAGACTTGATAAATGATATAGCTCACGCTCTACAATATATCGAGAAGGGCTGGTCAGTCTCTCATTCTATGGTCGGACTTTTGCAACGCATTAATCATGAACGAACCGCTGCCAACACCAGGGCAAACACCAGATGGCCGGTGGAAGTGACATTGGCCACCAGGTCAACTGCGCTCTGGAGCATCCCGACGGATCTTGGATGAGGGCTCGGAAAGGATTATAGGAGGATAAATGAATGGAAGTAAGTCAATAGTCGATGCTTGAGACTGCAAACAGCTCAATACTGCCATCGAATAATAATCCAGTTAACTTTGCAGCGATTGGCAATCGCTATTTGAATATATCGCTTGTGCACATAGATACCGCGCACATCCCCAATTCTTTGTCTAAGAAAAAAAAAATCAAACAGAATGGTAGATGACAAAGAGTCGCCCCTGCGTTGGTGAGAGTCTTCAATATAATTGGTTCCCACACTGTATTAGCGGGAGCTGCTGTACAAGATCCCGGCTCAGGCCGCCCGTCTGCACGGGCCAAATTGCGGATATAACGTAGGATCAGGCATACATGTCCATACCCCGCTTTGCGGGTCATTGATCGTAGGCTAAGAAGCTGTTCGCCCCCAAAGCAATCTGTAGGGGTGGAGATGAATGACGACTGTCTCCGCTCGGCTCTGCCCGAGAGCAATCAAGTTGGGTTTAAATTCCAACTTGAAACTTCCATATTTGCGAGGTGGCTCTGTGGGGTATGCTCTGAGTGATGTGCGGGCTCGAGTTTACACAACACTCCTGGAGACTGACTCACACGTCCAGCCTAACCAGTAGAAAGAGGAAAAAGCTCATGCTCTTTGTTTCGATGGGGGGGCCAATGAAATTTATCAAACGCTCCTGATACCATGTCTGTAATATTGGACATAAAATCTCCTCGGCCAACTACTGGGCTGCATTTCGCTGAACGTGAATTTGGTTCTTCTCCTCTTAGACTGAAATTTGTATCCTTTCTTCTACACGGATATTGAAACCGAGTAGTCCTTCATTATGCATTTTCTTTGCCTACATGGAGTGGGCACAAATAGCAAAGTACATTCATACTTTCGACTCCAGCCGGTATATGAGCTAACCAATTTCCTGTACCCTTCTGGAACAGATCCTTGAAGTCCAGAGTGGTTTGTTTCTGCGTATTTGCCTGGAATGACTGCGATAACTAACTTTCCCCCGTTTCGGAGCGGCTGTACGCCGTGAACTAGGTGATTCGCACACCTACGACTACGCGGAGGGTACACTCCCTACTCCAATCCTTCCTGGTACGATAGAACATGATGATAAACACCCTTTAGCCCTTTAAAAATGCACAGACTGTTTCTAACTTTGTCCAGAAATCTCCCCCCACTTCCCAGATGAAGACGAGGGCTTCGCGTACTTCGATCCCAGCCGTCCCGAGACTCTCACGGTGGCAATGGACAACTTGGAAGCCTTTATTCTAAGCGAGGGGCCATTTGACGGAATACTTGCATTTTCCCATGGAGCTCAGTTGGCTGCAACCTTTTTGGTCGAGCGCGGTCAGGTCCAAGGATCTGCGGGGGCTCGAAGTATCCAATGCGCGCTTTTCTTCTCCGGGGGGAATTCCTTACCACTCATCTCCGACTAGCACGAGAGGCCTAGCATATATGACGGATGAGCGAGAAGGTGGCGACCATGTGATGCTGCATCTTCCAACCGCCCATTTCTGGGGCCAAAACGATGTGAGCTATCCAGGCACCAGTGAGGTGCTGAGCTTGTTATGCAAGCCCGAGTGGCGGGCTATCTATGTGCATGAAGGAAGGCATGAAATCCCTGGGTGGAAATCTCGTTCCTGCCTAATGGGTTCGATTGAAGTGGTACAGCGAACAGTGCACCTGGCATTGGGGCTAAACTAGTCGATGGGGTCCGTCCAAAGGATATAAACCCTGCACGTTTGTTGTTCAGTTTCTGTCAGAGAGGAAAGATACCGGCCAACACTCTTTCGACGCACAAACGTTTTATCAGGACCTTCGGAGCTACGGACTAGAATTTGGACCTAGTTTCCAAACCCTTTCACAAGCAGAATGGACGAACTTTGCAAGTCGTGCAGTCCTCACTATTCATCCGGCCTCTGAGTACGTGGCACACCCTTGTACTCTGGATGCTTTGCTTCACCTACCAATGGTTGCTCTCACGCAAAATCCAAGACGCCCAAAGTCGACAGCTATCTCGGCAAAGATCCGCCGCATCTGGCTGGACGCTTCAGGCCTCAGTCATCAATCCGCCGAGACCCTCAATGCGACCTCGATCGTCGTTGCTGAGGATCGTCGGGGGTGTGAGGTTCAGTCTCATGCATTGAACTCTACCCGCACCAGAATTCTGGCCCAGGTGGAAGGGCTACGCTTGGCCGTAGTCAACACCACGGCGAAAAATTCTTCTAACTCGCAAGAAGCAGACCGGGAACAAGTTTGGAATCCGGTCTGGCAGCCTGATATTGACCTTATGACTCTCACCGAACGACAACAATGGTGCATGGAACTTCCGAATGATTCAGAGAGCGACACGGATGAGCTTGCGGATTTTTATCGAGATCTAGCGTTTCTGCATTATTCATATCTGAAGCAAGTCATCAATGATGATATGACGCCTCAGCAGCCTCATTTGCAGCAATACTTGCAATGGGCGAAGGAGCAGGTTCAACGAGTAGAATCTGGCAGAACGCCGCATTGGGGAGATGACTGGAAGATGCTAGCTCAGGATCTAGGTGGGCGACAGGTCATAGAAAACAAGCTACTAGAGACAAACGCTCAAGGAAAAGCGCATGTTGAAGTAGCTCGACATCTGGATCAAATCCTGGCCGACCGACTTGATCCATTAGAGTTTCTTTTCACGTCGCCTCTTCTGGACAATCTCTACGCTGAGCTGAGTGACCACCGTATGGCATGCTTTAAGCAGCTGGACCGGTATCTTAAGCTATTCGCACACAAGACTCCAAATGCACGGTACTTAGAAATTGGCGCTGGAACTGGTGGGACGACAGCAGCGATTTTAAGTTCACTCCAGGGTGATGAAGCGGGCGTTGGCTCGGCAGGAACTCTGTACCAGGACTTCACCTACTCTGACATTTCGGAAGCATTCTTTGACGCGGCGAAATCACGTTTCGGGAGGTATCCGAACATGCTCTTCCGCCAGTTAGACATTAGCAAAAACGTGGCCCACCAGGGCTTTATTGAGGGTTCATACGATGTGATTGTGGCAGCCAACGTCTTGCATGCCACGGAGGATCTACGTGCCACCTTGGAGACTGTGCAGACTCTGCTACGGCCTGGAGGTAAGCTGATCTTATTTGAGATAACTGCACCCGAACTAGGTCGCAGTGGGTTTATCATGGGACTGCTCCCTGGGTGGTGGCTTAGCTCCGAAGGTTATCGGCCTCGAGGGCCTTGTGTGGCTTCGGCTACATGGAACACGCTATTTGAGGAAGCCGGCTTCACAGGACTGGAACATGAATTTTATGATTATATCAAAGATGAATCTTATGAGCTAAGTGTGCTCATCACCTCCAAAAAGCCTGAACCGTCCGCTGCGATGCTGCAACGGCAAACTGCCTCGGAATCAGCCACAGACACCATAAACATTGTCCCAAGTTCGATCGGCCTTTCAAAGGAGAATGGACACTTCAAGAATGCCATAGCAATCCAAAAATATCTCCATGGCATTGGTTTATCGAGTCAATTGATTTCTATGGACAAAATTTCCCGCAGCACAGGCCTGACAATCGTGACCGCCGATTTGGATCTTGAGCGGCCCTTCCTAGAGAAAATGCGCCCCAGAGACTTTGCTGCAATGCAAAACCTCATTTCCCGCAGCCAAAACCTGGTCTGGGTCACGCGCACTGTTGATGACGGCTCTTCTTCCCCGTCCTACAACATGATCGCAGGATTAGTGCGGGTCATACACGCGGAAGAGGAAGGACATAGACTTTTGCGGGTAGGATTGGAGCCCATCTCGAGTGACGGACCTAGTGAGTCACAAATGACTGGGCTTCTTAGCGCAATCCAGCAGATGATTGGCGCGGCTTCGGCAGATACCTTTGAAATGGAATTCGAGCAGCGGAATGGGCTTTTCCAGATACCTCGCCTGAAGCTCGACACAGAGTGCCAGGACGGCATCCATGAGATCCTACATCCACAGGTGTCACGCGACTTGCCTTGGAATCAGGCTCCTTTGCCATTGAGGCTCACGACTGAAACACCGGGGCTATTGGAATCCTTGCGGTTTGTCGTGGATGAGGATCAGCAAAAGGTGCCCCTGGCCGACGATGAAGTGGAGATCGAGGTGCGGGCTGTGGGAGTAAATTTCAAAGACTGCCTTATTGCACTGGGAAGGGTGCCGGCAGAAACTTTGGGAAATGAGTGCGCTGGCATCGTGACACGAGTGGGTGCTTCCTATCGGTCGAAATTTACCATCGGCGACCGTGTGTGCATGTCTACGGTCGAGGCTTTCAAGACATTTGCGCGCAGCAAAGCACAGGGTGTATGTCGTCTCCCTGATTCCATGGACTTCACGACGGCGGCGGCAATACCTACACAGTTTGTTACAGCTTGGACAAGTCTCCGGGAAATTGGTCGTTTGACCCGTGGTGAAAGCGTTCTTATCCACGCTGGTGCTGGTGGCACAGGTCAGGCAGCCGTACAGATCAGTCAGTATCTCGGGGCCGAGGTCTTCGTGACAGTGAGTTCAGACGCCAAAAAGCGGCTACTGACGACCACGTATGGAATCCCCGAGGACCACATCTTTTATAGCCGAGATACTTCCTTTGCCGTTGGCGTCAAGAACGCCACGGGAGGCCGCGGGGTGAATCTGGTGCTCAACTCTCTTTCGGGTGATAGCCTGTTAGCATCGTGGGATTGTCTCGCCCCGTACGGCCGATTCGTAGAGATTGGGAAAAAGGATATTCTCGAAAATGCCTCCCTACCTATGCTCCCCTTCAACCGGGGCGTCAGTTTCTCAGCCTTTGATGGACCGACTTGGATGCTTGAACGTCCCGAGCAGGCCGAACGCGGCATCCATGCTATCATGGATCTGTTCAAGCAAAATGTCTTCCACGTTGCCGAGCCTCTGCAGATACGCCCTGTATCAGAAGTGCGAGAGGCGTTCGCAGCACTGGCCGATGGCAAAACCAGCGGGAAAACAGTGATCTCGATCACTCCCACGGCTATCGTTCCCATGACCATTCCTCGCGTCTCGAGTTCGGATACTGGCTTTCCATCCGACGCAACGTACGTTCTGGCAGGTGGATTTGGAGGCATTGGTCGAAGTATCGCGCGATGGATGGCCCAACGGGGTGCCCGTAGCCTTCTCATTCTCTCCCGCAGTGGTCCCCGAACCCCCGAGGCCTGCTCCCTGGTTCAGGAGCTCACCAGGACTGGTGTCGCTGTTCAAGCGCCTGCCTGTGATATCACCGATTCTAGGGCATTGCAATCTGTGATTTCTGAGTGTCAAAGGAACATGTCCCCCATCCGCGGTTGCATCCAGGCGTCAATGGTTCTACAAGATACCTTGTTAAGAGACATGACTCATCCCCAATGGGCAGCTGCCGTGGATCCCAAGGTTGTCGGAACCTGGAACTTGCATACCTGCCTTGAAAAGGAGCGACTCAGCTTCTTTATCTGCCTATCTTCCGTTTCTGGCGTGGCGGGTCAGCGCGGCCAGTCTAATTATGCCGCAGGAAACACTTTTCAGGATAGTTTAGCCCGCTACCGTATCGCGCGGGGTCAGCCAGCTGTCAGTCTTGATCTAGGTGCCATGGTTGATGATGGCTTCCTCACTCAGAACCAAGCCGTCCGCGAGAGACTGGTAGGAGGCGGCTCAATGTTGCCCGTCACACGGGAAAAGTTTTTGGCGGTCTTGGAGTATTACTGTTGTCGCCTTCCTGTAGCTGGCATGGGCAACAGCCAATTGACAATAGCCAACTCCCAGACGGTCTTTGGAGTAAATACTCCACAGGCTATGTATGCGCGGGGACTGGACTTGCCTAACTGGATGCAGCGCCCCATATTTAGCTTCCTGCATCGAGCTTTTTCCTCTAGTCAGCAAACTCACCGGGGCCGGAACCAGCGTGATTTCAGGGCAGATATAGCGCAGGCTACAACAATTGAAAAGGCCACTCAGATTATTGCTGACGCCCTGGTCTCGAAGCTAGTGCGGAGCCTGTCCGCTCTGGAAGCCGAGAAAGTGAAAGTGGATATGCCAATTGTGAGTTATGGTGTTGATTCGTTGCTTGCAGTCGAGATCCGGAGCTGGTTGGGTAGTACCTTTCAGGCCGACGTGCCCACATTCGAAATCCTTGGAGGAATAGATTTTGAGCGACTGGGAAGACTTGTGGCAATTAGGAGCACTGCGAAGAAAGGTTGGGCTTGATATTCTCTCCCTTATCTCGGCATGTTTAGAATTTTCATCAACTACAATTCCTTTCAATTCATTATTATCTATGAGAACCACCATTCCTTTTATGCCCTTTTTCACTGCGATCACGAGAACCAGGTAGAGCTTGCTTTGTAATATGTTCGACATACAGATCCCGGATATATTCAATTCAGTCATGGGCTTTTCCCTTACTTGAACTCTCTTGATCAACATACCACTGAGAGCCGTATTCCTATTGACAGCGTCCTCACCCCCCCGGCATTATGTTGATACCGCAAGAAACATGCCAATTTCCTTTGTGCGGAGGCAACTTGGCCTGTCATCTGGTTACGAAAAGAGACAAGTTGACCTGAGTCTGAGCGCCACACATAAAAGCGGCGGCACCCAGGACAGGCCCCGCCAGACATGATCTGGTCTATATAAGTGCATATCCGCCAATCACAGATCACTGGGGAATCCCGCCATTGCGAATCCGGGGAGAGGCCGAATGGGCTCCGGGCTGCGACCGAGCTGCCTCCGATCCTGTACAAGCCATTCGAATGAACGCAAGGACTTGGACGCCCCCGGATTTTCTTCTTCTCTTCGTGGGGTAGGCTGACAGGCCAAATCAGGCCAACCTGAGTCTAATTCCTCTCGTCCGGCTCGCACAACCCTCCGACCCATCCGTGCGAGAAGCAAAACATTTGAGGGAGAAAGGACAACCAATCGCTGCGCAGTTCCTTATTTCATTTCTTTTTCTTTTCCTCCTTTTTCTTTTTTCCTTTTTCTTTTTTTTTTCCCCCTTTTTGTTTTTTGAATCGCCCCTTAGCACCGCCCGTTGAAGAGGGGCAATGCATGATGACGCCACCAGCCTCTCCCTTCTCCAGTCCAGTTGTCATGGGATCGACCTACAACACATCTGCTGTAGATAACAAAAGAGGGGTGAGCTTACCAGTACTGCAGGGACTCTCGGGGGGTCGGGTAGTCGCCGATTCTAAACGGGGAAGAGGCCGGTGCATCAATGCACCGATGATTCCCGGGCCAGTTGCTTGATTCGCTGTCCAACCCCAAAGAGACCCATTAGTTCATGCCCTCCTACGGTTGCCAAGAAGGCGGCACAAGGTCCGATAGCAGCTCGGCACGATCACCGGTGGGCAATAGTGGGAAATATTGAGGTACCTATTTCCCCTCTATTTTAATGTTTTTGGTCTGATTTTTGGGATCGGAAACCCGAGTCGACCAGCTCGGGAGCCCAACTCGGCTACCAGGCATGGCCGACTTGGCGAGATCCACGCCCTGATGGCCATTTTTAGGGAGACATTCCAGGGTTGATATTGCAGGGACCTTGGGTTCCAGCATTACCCTGCAGTACACGCCTCGACCCAATCAAGTCCGCCTGGTATCGCTACAAGAGGTTTGAGGCGCGGATACGCTGCGCAAAAGACTCGGGAACTTGACCTTTGCCAGCGCAATGATTGGCGTCCCACACTTCGACTTTTCTCTGGCCTCGTGAGAGCTAGATTTCTCCATGATTTCAGATGCCCCGCAAATCCCCCGATCCAGCTCGCACCCCCCTCCCCCTTGGATTTCTTTTGTCTTTTTGTGCTCCGGCACGATGCGGGACCCCTAGGTTGGTCCTTTCTCTCTCATGGTCTCCTACGGCCTCGAGGGATCATCGGTACCCCGGAAAACCACGGGAGGAGTTCCGGGGTCATCCGGAGAACGGCGCTGAATCTGGAGGCGCACGGACAAGCCGCGGTTTGAGCGAAGGATTGTAGCCACTCTACCTCCGTAGCCTGGGCAGGTTCTGGGGTTGGGACTGTCCCAAACTTCACTTTAACTTTGCAGGGGGGGAACAATTCTAGCCATCCACTCCGATGGTCGGCACTTGAATGCTTCGTCCCTCAGAAAAGACTAGTTACTGAGGATTGGCAAAGGCCAGACCCACCAGTGGGTTGGGATCAGGTTCACCTTGATTATTTTGCATAATCAGAATTCCCGGCACAAAAGACTGTGATCATCAATCGTCATCGCGATCGCGCAGCGCTTTGTAAGTTACCCTAGGGTCCTAAGGACGTGGACTCGGCTTTCCTGTTTTGAGGGCCTCGAGTCTCAGTTGCATGCATGTCCAGGCTCGTAGCATCATCAGTAAGCCTAATCCTCGATCCTGTCCTGCCGACAGGCTCGTTGCTTTTAACACGCTGATCCAGAGAAGCCATGGCCCATTTCTCCGAACCTACGGCTTTCTGCAGGATCTCCTTTTCCATCAAATTGTGGATGAGGCAGCCCGCTGATTTTATTGGCTTCGCTGCCACTGGAGGATTCCTCCAGTTCCCTCCCCGGGTTGATTTACTAGCGTTCCGATCTTCTGGCGGGGGCGGAGAAACAATTACAGTCCGCCCTCGATCGAGGCAATTCCGGAATGTTCCGCCCCTTGCAGTTGGCAGTAGCAAGGGTATAATAGAATATCTTCTATAATGGCACTTGTTCACTCACAGGAGGAGACATCATGATGATACTGGCGTACAGTCACTAGGGCGGGCAGGAAAGGGCATACAGCCGACTTGGTATTTTTTTTTTCCTTTTTCGTTTTTTTTTTTGCGCATGTGGTCTTAGTATTCGTACCTCAGACACACCCACCACGGTCTCGGGCTCCACTTACGGGGCACTGAGTGACTTTTTTTTTCTTTCCATCTAACTTTGCTTATGAAAGCTGACGTTGTGGTATTCTCCTGAATCCCTTTAAATGGCCAGGCTCTGGCACAGATTCCCATGTAATGCAGACATGATAGAATAATCACAGCTACACCTCCAGGGTACAGAGAACCAAACTCTCGGGAACGGCGGGACGTTATAGGTCCCGTGACTGGCGTAGCGGGAGCAAATCAGAGAAAGTCTGACCGATTCCCCCAGGTCTGTGACGAAAGACCCATGGGGCAGTCCAGGCAAATGTGGAAATGCCTCTTGTGGGGAATTCGCCTTCCATGATGAGCCACTGGGGGGCCTTTACGGGCTTGGAGGAGGTCATTTATCCTTTTTTTCTTTCCCACTCGGATCTGCTCCAAATCCGGAATGGTGGCTAGCCAACTCTGTCAACTTGCCAAGTTAGTCAAATTATGGGGAAAATCGGTGGGGAAGGTTGGGGAGGATGGTCGTTATTTCTCTTCATACTTAAACGATCCATGTCCCCGGCCCCAGCGCGCCCTCGTGCGAAAATTGATCCTCTCCACTCTTCCATCTCCCCTCTCCCCCTCCCCCCCCTTCTAAAATCTCCTGAGCTCTTTAGGTTGCGTTTCCTGGCAATCCATGTGGCCTCTTCAAGTTCTACTCCTTTGCACGCTTTAAATAAGAAGAAGTAGTGATCATGACCGACACGGAGTCTGGAAAGCGCAAGGCCTCCAACGCCGGCCTTGCGGCGCAGACTCGCCCTGTGAAACGACGAGCATCAAAAGCTTGCTGTTGCTGCCGTGCCCGCAAAGTCCGATGCGATGTGGTAGAAAATGGTTCCCCCTGTACAAATTGCCGCCTAGACCAGGTCGAGTGTGTCGTGACCGAGAGCAAGCGAAGAAAGTTCGTTCTCTTCACTGCCTACATTCTTCGTATCACAGCTAACACGGAGGCCTGTGTTGCAGGAAGTCTCGCGTGGAGGTAGATGCTCCCAGCCATGACTCGCCCGGCGAGGTCTCCGAAGATAATCTTCTCCACGCCCATCGAGGCATATCAGAGATGGCACCGGCGTCCCCTTCACAAGCATCGGTCGATGCGGAGCCTAGCCACCACATGCCGCATCTATTATGTGCGTGGTGGAAATCCAACCTTTCCCCCGCGACGTAACATTAACTTGGAATCTAGATCAAACGCAAACAACTCGTGGTGGTTCAAGTGACCCATTTCGCCGCCGGATGTCCTCGATTCCAGGTGTGCCAGAGACAGTGCCCCTAGCCAATGTCCCGCGACCAGTCTCACACTTGCTTGACCCGACATTTGGCCAGCAGCGATCGACTGGTAGCTTTCTTCCTGACTATATTCGAGGCCTGCCTTCTCGCCTGCAGAAGGAGGATGTCGAATATCTCGCCGTGAAGGGAGCATTGACCACCCCCGACGTCAGCCTGAGAAACGAGCTCCTGAAGAGCTACGTCCACTATGTACACCCATACATGCCCTTGATGGATCTGGAGGAGTTTTTGCAGACTATCGCTCAAAATGATGGGACCCAACGCATCAGTCTCCTGTTGTTTCAGGCGGTCATGTTTGTTGGAATGGCTTTTGTCGACATGAAACACGTCCATGCGGCGGGCTTCCAGAATCGCAAACAGGCCCGTAAGGTATTCTTCCAACGAGCTCGACTTCTGTACGACTTCGATTACGAGGTGGACCGGATCTCTTTGGTTCAGTCTTTGCTGCTAATGACCTACTGGTACGAGACGCCCGATGACCAGAAGGACACCTGGCACTGGATGGGCGTGAGTTTGTCTCTCGCCCACACCATTGGTCTCCACCGGGATCCTGGAAACTCACGCATGAATCCCCGCCGCCAACGAATGTGGAAGAGAATTTGGTGGAGTACCTACACCCGAGATCGACTGATTGCCTTGGGCATGCGACGGCCGATGCGCGTCAAAGATGACGACTGCGATGTGCCGATGTTGACCATGGATGACTTCGAATTCCCGGACCTACTCGCCCGAGATCGTCAGGATGCTGGGCGATTCGGAGATTCTCCGGAACGTGAATTATCAGCGACAACTGGCGGCAATGTTCATTGAAAAGGCCAAGCTGTGCCTTTGTGTGAGCCATGTGCTCTCCGCCCAGTATTCTGTGCTAAGCCACAAGTTCGGGGGCTCCATGGAAACCACGATGATGCTTGTGCCCAAGAAATCGACGGCCGAAAGTTTCGAGGTGCGACACTGCGATCAAGAATTGGAGGATTGGGTGGCGAACCTTCCCGTGGAGACACAATACGTGCCCTCGGGAGTTTCAAAGCTTCCAGAAGCACAGGAGGTCCTCCATGCGCATCGTGCTTTGCTGAAAATGGTATATCTTACGACGTCCAGTGCTCTCCACCGACCGCAGGTGCTCCCTGCCATGCCTTATCCGACAATGGATTCGGAACTACAGGATCTCTCTCGCAAAAAGGTGCGGGCTGCTGCCGTGGAGATCACTGACATCGCTCAAGACCTTCATACGTTGGACTTAACGAGGTACTATCCCACCACGGGAGTCACCGTGCTGCTACCGGCAGTCATTATCCACTTATTGGATATCAAGTCTAGCGACCCTAGTGTCCGAACGACTAGCCTGCAGCGCTTCTATCAATGCATGCGCATCCTACAGCGCCTGCGGGAAATCTATGCGTCGGCCGACTTCGCGACTTCTTTCCTGGAGGCCGCGATCCGCAAGGCCGGAATCCAGCTCACCGTTGCACCAGTCGACATGCACTCGCAGCCTCCAAAGCCCACCACTCGCCACAGCACTTTCGATACGCTCTCTCGCACCAACACCTTGACTCCCCCGCCTGAATCTCTCGCTCAAAAGGTCCCCGATCTGACCTACCCTAGTACCGCTCCCGCTGCTCACCAACCACCCCCGGGGGACCTGCTGGCATCTACTCCGCCGCAGTCGGATGGGAGCGAGAATGGCAGCACCAACAATGTCAATCCCCATTACAGCTCTCACGACGGGCTTGCCATTCCTGACGTGAGCTCCGAGATGAGCATGACCGAGCTGATGGATCTTGCCAATGATGCGGAGGTCACCCAAAATGACTTTGACGCATTGATCAATTTCGATGACCTGGGAAATGACACCTTTGCCGAAAATGGCGGTCAGGCCCTGCCCCTGGCCACCAAAAGGGACCTTGGATTCGATGTTCACAATGTGAACTTCATGGGCTTCGACCCCGAATCCAAGGGTCTGGATTTTGTCTTGGCCGACGATCGGGCGCCCGATTCTTCAACCGAGGCTCAGATGCGGGCCGGTTTGCAGGCCGAACTGGACATGAATCTCGGTCTGGGCCTCAACGAATGAGCACGTGCCTTTAGAACCCTTTCTTTTCTTGCTTCCGCTTTCCAATTTCTCTTTCGGCGGACTTGACTTATGTATTCTTTTTTTTTTCTTTTCTTTTCTTTCTGTGGGCATTTGGAGGGTGTTAGGCGTTCTCTACTGGCCTGGTTGGGATCGCCTTTATGATGATGACCATGTCCTTAATATTGTTGATAGAGGGATACTCAAAAAGTGCAAACATTATGAATTCCAGCTTCTTGGCCACAATTGATCCGCTGTAATCTGAAGGACTGGCATGCTGGATACTCAACTTGGTTGTTCTGCGTGGTCTTTTTTGGAACACTGTGGATCGCGGATTCATCGGCATCACATGCGAGACACGGATCTGCATGGTCCAGTGCCGTGTCCCTTCCAACCATCCGAGATCGACAGGGGCATGGGCTCTGTCTCTGTCGGTGTATCCCTCGTATCCGGTCTTATATCCATGTGTTAAGTCAAGGCCGAGGCTTCCAAGCTGCCAACTTTCCAAGGTCGACACAAAGCCCTCAGTGCGCACATGTCTCTGGGCACAAAACAAGGCTGCGGTGGGCCAGTCACGTATCACATGTGTTTTTTTTTTCTTTGAAAAGTGTCTCCCTGTACGTTTAAGCTAATAGAGATTCGACTACAACTCGTGAAGAACTCCACAAGGTAGTTATGCTAGCATGTTTATCTACAACGCCACACCAGCAGTGGCTTTGTGGCGCAACAAGCCGACCGCTCACCAGCGTCATACTCAGGCCTTTTGAACAGGCACCTCGTCGAAGATTCATCTTGGGTTTGAGGCTCGAGACTATGTTTTGCTTCAGTTGGTTAACCGAGTCGACACTCTTCGTGCATCCCTCCTCTTCTTTCCCCCTTCGAGCTCTTATGTCAATGTTTGCTTCTTTTTTTTTTTGCTCTTTGGCTGGATCCCGCCTTTCTTCCGAAGGTCAATGGCCGGAGAAAGTCTGTAGGGCGCCTTAAAATTGTTTTAACAGGCTACGTAGGTAATTCTATCCGATCACAGCCTTTCTCTCATCCTGGAATGCCTGGCCTCTCGAAGTCGATCGTGGCGGTATAGCGACTTTTGGAATTGAGGGGGGCCCCAATAGACAAAAAGAAGCGCATCCCCCACTTTCTCCAATCTAGCGGTGCCGATCTTTTCCCCTCATCAGTCCCCCTAAGCTACCGCTCCAATCAATCACGAGTCCTGATTCTCTGCGAAACTCTGGGCTTTTGCCAAGCCACCGTGCATGGTCTGGGCTAATTGCTTTTCTTCTTATCAGGATGTGACCCCCTCCGGAACTCCTGCGGAGATGGCTGGGGACGGGCTCCACGCGGATGCCACCTACGATTCTCACTGGTCTGGCTAGGCCAGGGTTGTATCTCAGGCATTGGAAATCGTCAATGGCGATAGCTCTGCCAAGCATTGGCCTTGTCGGTCTTGTTGGGAGACCGCAGCCTGATTTATTCCCCCACTGCTGCCCCGGATTCATATTGTGACAGTTCTGTGCACCCCTCTTTGTACACAGAGTCGAACCTGCGATGCACGTCACCACCTGGATCCCACTGCTGGCGCCGCTGGCTGCAGCTTACTCGGTGCCGTTTGGCACTGAATTTGCTCGCCGCCAGCTCCCCCACGAGCCGACGGGCGTGAAGACCATCCAGACGGCTAACAATGTCACCATCCGTTATAAGGAGCCCGGCAAGGCAGGCGTCTGCGAAACTACTCCAGGCGTCAATTCGTACGCGGGATATGTAGACCTGGCAGAAGACGCGCACACCTTCTTCTGGTTCTTCGAAGCTCGCCATGACCCGAAGAATGCCCCGATTACGCTCTGGCTCAATGGTGGCCCCGGCAGCGATTCCTTGATTGGACTTTTCGAAGGTAAGTCATCAACCGATGTCGAGTTCGTAAAACGAGTTCTCACACTTGTCCATCTTAGAACTGGGGCCCTGCCATGTCAACGAGCAACTCGAGACGTATATCAACCCGCACTCTTTCAATGAGATCTCCAACATGCTGTTCATCTCCCAGCCTCTCGGAACCGGTACGATCCCGACGATTTTCCGCGGGGGCAACTAAGCTAATAGAACGATGCTGACTGTATGCAGGCTTCTCCTATGCCACAGAAGAAGTGCAAGTTGTCGACGGCCATAAGGGTCGCTACCCAGCTATCAATGCTACTCTGATCGGTATGATGCACTCATAATATTCAGGAAGGGCCAGATCGGCACGCTAACCGGAGAAGACACCACCAACCTGGCTGCTGAGGCTACCTGGGAAGTTCTCCAGGCCTTCTTGGGCGCTCTTCCTAAGCTTGACTCGAACATCAAGTCTAAGAGCTTCAATCTCTGGACCGAGAGCTACGGAGGGTATGTTTTCATCGTGAATTGTTTCGAGTGATCTGGCTAACTAAACGATGCAGGCATTATGGACCAGCTGTGAGTAAAGAGCCTGAAGATGATCTTTATCGGGTCATTGTCTAATTATTGCAGTTCTTCGATCACTTCTATAAGGAAAACGAAAAGATTGCCAACGGTACTGTGGAGGGTATTCATCTGGACTTCAATACCCTTGGCATTATCAATGGAATCATCGATGAGGCAATTCAGGCTCCTCATTACCCTGAATTTGCCGTCAACAACACCTACGGCATCAAGACTGTAGGTTCAATTCCAACCGGTGGACATGATCGTGCTTGTACTCACATGGGGTCTAGGTCAACGACACTGTCTACAACTACATGAAATTCGCCAACGCGATGCCTGGCGGCTGTCAAGACCAAGTGGCTAGCTGCAAGGCGACCAACCGTACCTCTCTGTCAGACCTCGCCATTTGCACCGAGGCAGCCGACATGTGCCGGGATAACGTCGGTATGTTATGAATGGAATATGAGCACTTGCGATCCCACGCTGACCAGGAATCCAGAGGGCCCATACTATGTCTTCAGTGGCCGCGGAACGTACGATATCCGCCACCCCTCAGACGATCCCACTCCTCCTACCTACTATGAGCAGTATCTCGAGAAGGGCTGGGTCAAGAATGCCCTGGGAGTGGATCTCAACTACACCGGGTCCAATAACGACGTGTACTACGCCTTCCAGCAGACGGGTGATTTTGTTTGGCCTAACTTCATCGAGGATCTGGAAGATATCCTTACTCGCCCGTCCGCGTTGCTCTTATCTATGGTGATGCTGATTACATTTGCAACTGGTTCGGTGGTCAAGCCATCTCTCTTGCCGCGAAGCATCGCCACGAAAAAGAGTTCAAGGCTGCCGGTTACGCGCCATTCCTCGTTGATGGAGTCGAGTACGGAGAGACTCGGGAGTACGGTAATTTCTCCTTCACTCGTGTCTACGAAGCCGGCCACGAAGTGCCATACTACCAACCTATCGCGGCGTTGCAGCTTTTCAACCGAACCTTGAATGGATGGGAGCTGCCGAATGGCCTGAAGAAGCTATCTCCGGGCTATGGCTCAAGTGGGCCTGCTACTGCAACTCACACTGAGTCGTCGGTCGCCTTGCCATCTTCTACTTCCACTCCGTCGCCTTCTTCGGGGGTAGCTGCCATGAAGATCACGTGGTAGTCGTCAACCATATATTACACACGAATGAAACCCCTGGATGTGCTAGGGCATACCATTGGGGCGGATGGTTGAATGGTATTAGCTGCACAGTGCTTAGGTTACTAGTGGCTTTTCACTTTATCCAGTGCCAGCGCACAGCCTGCTCTCTCCAAGCTACTACTAGAAATGCCTCTTGGTATAACAAAATGAGTGAAAAGTGGAAACACTGCAATATGAGTCTCTTCCACCGTAATCCCATCCCTTGATTAATCAAGCTATGTATCTGAATTATAGACAGCCAAAAAGAGATTAAGAAGTATAGGTAAGGGGTTGGCCATCGGGCTGATTGGCCGAGATGAATCCGACGTGGAAATCTTCAGTTACTTTCAAAAAGGAGACAACAGATAGAAAAAACAGATAGTAGGCACTTGCGATACTCGGGAAACCCAACTGTGCAGGGATAACCAACGAAACATCTCAGGGAATCACAGGTTACGCCTCGTAAATGCACGTAGTGGTCCAAAGACCACCGATAAAAAGATGCGGGAAAAACGAACGAGACGAAACATTGCACATCACATGGGTACACATGTTGTTACACTAGCAGAAGCTCTGCTTTTTCCCAACATAGTCATTCAAGCCTTGGAAGAGGCATCTTCATGCGACTCCGGCTTTTCGTACTCGTGGGGACCTTCAATGGTCTCTCCCAGTACGTCGGCAGTAGTCTCATCAGAGAAAGCTAGATCGTCTTCAACGGCAGTGCTGTCCTTGACTTTGAAAAATACAATTGGCGAGGCGATGAGCATGCTTCCTAAGAGCATACCCCAGCAAGAGGCAAATTCGGTCATGTACGGCGTTTTCTGGGCGTCCAACCTGCAGAAAAGGACATGGTCAGCGATGACTACGAGGATGAGACGAAATGATGGTACGTACCGCCACATGCCAGCTGCACCGGCAGATTGGATTCCCTTATAGAACCCGGCAAAATTGGCCAGCTTTCGGCTGTTGTTGGAGAGGGAGCCCATGTACCTAAAGTGCCGTTAGAGTCTAGAACAAACCCAGCCGGTTTAAAAAAGATCACACTCACCAATAAGTGCAGGTTTGGAAGGCAGCGTCGTAGAAGCCATAGAACATGTAGAGGAACATAGGCCCCACGTAGCCACTATCCGTAAAATCCTTGTCGCCCCTTGCAGTCTCTCGGGTATACTGTCTTTGGAAAACGTAGCCGCCACCCCAGATACCCAGGGTGATGGCCACCAAGACGCCAAAGTTGAGCTTAGCGCGTGCGGGACGCGAAAGGCAAGGCAAATCCAGAAGTTGCCCAAAGACAAATGCCCCCACCATCTGCATCAGCCAGTATAGCAGACTATTCAGGGCGCGAGTCCGGACGGTGAAGTAGGCCAAGTTGACTGCGTTGAAGTGGTAGCCGTAGAACCAGTTACTGGCCAGGAACATGGGGAACATCAAGATAATGTAGTAGTCGGTGCGCAAGGTCTCCCAAAGACCCAAGAACTCGGACTTCCAGGTAGGGTTCTTGATCGCAATGACTCGTGACCCGTCGCCCCGCTTGATGTACTTGGAGTCCACAAGGCCCCAGCACAGGACAAACCCTAACGCCATTAAAACCAGGAACGCGATATAGGTGCCATTGTTCACGTTCCCCGCCGTGCTATGCATGTTCTGGCCCAGGGGCACCAGACTCCCAATGACCCCCCCCCCCAGGTTGAAGATCACCCAGAAAATGGCAATGTACTTGCCCTTTTCATGCTCGTGGGGGTAACTCATCATCACGGCGCCCTGGGCGCACCAGAGCAGACCCGAGCAAACCCCCAGGAGAGCTCCGGCGAAGATCAAGAAGCCCGCATTCTGGTTGATATTGTAGGAGAGCAGAGATGCAACATAGAGGAAGTAGCCGAATCCACCCAACGAGAGGGTCAGGCGCAGACCAATGCGGTTGGCAATCGAGCCGGCGAAGAACCCGACCACGGCGAAAGTACTATACAGCGCCGTCTGGGAATTGTTCACGTCGATAGGGTTGATCTGCCCGCCACCTCCCAATCCACTCACGGCATTGTACATGCCGGGGCACAGGAAACAGACAAAGGAGACGAGGACTAGCTGCATCTCGGGCGAGGCAAACCAAGGGGCCTCCCAGCGGCCAATCCGCACAATCGGCTTGTACATCCACGGCTTGCCGATCACAGCATCGTCGGTCTCGGTCTCGGCATCTTGGATGCTCATGGGCTGGATGGGCTGGATGGGCTGGCTGGACTGTTTCGGCGTCACCGTGGTCTCTGGAGTCCGGTGCTCCGACTCGGGGGACACCATGGCTACGGTAGGATTGATGGGGCTGAAGAAATTGAGGTTGAAGTTACAGGGATTCGGGGTTAAGAGGAGAATCAACAAAGACCAAAACGGACCGGTGTCTGAGCTGAAGAATGTGGTGCCCACGCGGAGACAAACTTGATCGAATCACGCCCCGAGAATGCGCGAATGCGGATTCCGTGAACGGAAGAGAAGTCGAAGAGCTTGACGGACCTGGAGGTTGAGGAATTTTTCTGCATCAGGCGGGTCTACACGCTGCTAATATTCTCCATTGTGTCTCTTTTTCTCTCTACCGAAATGTTCCATTTTTCCACCAGGATGATACGCTGTCCTGCGAGTGGGTTTAGAATTGTCCATGCCTAATCTCGAGACAATTTCGTAATTGCGGGGAGGAAAAAAAGATGGAGTCTCTGGAGACATTCTGGAGTCGATGATGGAGTCGAACGCGAGAGCGATGGGAGCCGATTGGAGCGAACCGCAGTGGGCGACGATGGGGCATCGAACCGATGCGACTCTACACGCTTGCGGTCGCATCCTGCCGCATGCAACACTCCGCAATGCAGGATGACTAACCCATAGAGCCTGGATGACATAAGGCGGTTATGTAAGGGCCCCGTGACTTCCGGGGAACTCGCCCGTCATACGCTGTACGGTCATGACGGAGACGCGTACTGTCATATAATACACCTCCGCTACTACGCCAGTACATTCGCAACAGTGCCTGAAGAGCCCACCTGCACGTAGTAACACAATTCCCAAATGGGGGGGGGCCATTGATGTATTTTCTTTTTCCCGCTTTATTTTTATTTTTCCAATATTGGGGGGAAAGATACCATCTCCATAGTGTTTCTTATCAAATCTGGTACCACATCAGCATGTCCAATGTTACCTATTCCCCCTCTTCAGGTTGCCCCCCGGTTTCCACTCTAATCTCCATTGTTCCTTCCCTTCCACGCGAGGGTTACATCATTGTGCAGTCCATCCTCATCTAGACTACTTCTTGCGAGGCTTTTCCCCCCCAATCGCCCTCTTGGTGTGCGAGTCTACGAGTCTCAAGCCAGATCTCGAGATTACCGCCCATCATGCCTGGCAAAACGACTACCAAGCCTCGCATCACGAAGTTCACCAACTGTCGCCTAGTGCGCGGAGCTTCGCTGGTGGAGCAGGATCTTTGGATCGACTCTTTGACTGGAAAGATTCTCAAGGACCAAGAAGCTTTCTATGAACTGCACCTCTCCCCGACGAGGTGATCGATCTTGGTGGCCGTATCCTGGCCCCCGGTCTGATAGATGTTCAACTGAATGGTGCCCACGGCTTTGACTTCTCTGTGCCCTGCGACACCAAGGAGCAATACGACGAGGGATTGCGCATGGTCAACCGCGGCTTGGCCCGAAGTGGTGTTACTTCATACCTCCCCACGCTAGTGAGCTCCACTCCGGAAGTTTACTGGAAGGTCAGTTTCCACCTGTTCCCCAGAGGAGAACAGGAATGGCAGGACAGAGGCACCACTCACACGCGAATAGGTTCTTCCTTCTTTGGGCCCTACTGGCGCTACCCACCAGCCTGAAGACGGCGCTGAGTCACTTGGTGCTCATGCCGAGGGACCTTTCATTAGCCCCGGTCGTAATGGAATCCACAAACCAGCCGTTCTCCGTGCTGCCGAAAGCTTCGAAGATCTGGTCTACTGCTACGGCAAGGACAATCTTTCCGCTGATTCCCCTATCAAAATGATTACCGCCGCCCCCGAGGTTGGTAAGATGATGGAACAAATCCCCGAGATCGCCAAGCGCAACATCATCTATTCCATCGGCCATTCAGACGCCACCTACGAGCAAGCCGTTGCCGCCACCCACCAGGGTGCTCGCATGATCACCCACCTGTTCAACGCCATGCGTCCCTTCTACCACCGCAACCCAGGTATCTTCGGTGTACTCGGCCAGAGCGACCGCCGCCGGCCTTGCTACGGTGTCATTGCCGATGGTATTCACCTGCATCCAACCTCCATCAAGATCGCCTACAACGCTTACCCAGACGGCTTGATCCTCGTGACCGATGCGATGCGCTTGTGCGGTCTTCCCGATGGTGTGTACGACTGGACCAACGGTGAGCGGATCGTCAAAACTGGCGCTCGCTTGACTCTCGAAGGATCGGACAAAATCGCTGGAAGCTCTGCCACTCTCATCGAATGTGTCAATAACTTCCGTCGCTGGTCTGGTTCTTCCACAGCGGAAGCTATTAACGCTGCTACCGCTGTTCCAGCTCGTCTGTTAGGCTTGGAAGGTGTTAAGGGCTCGCTCAGCAGTGGCGCTGATGCTGATCTGGTGGTCCTCGGTGAGGTGGATGATCCATACTCCGGCCTGACCCTCACAGTTGACCAGGTCTGGAAGTTAGGTGTGAAAATCCATGATAATGAGAAGGCCGTCGCAGCATGAATTCGGAGCAGTGACCCCATGCAGGCTTCGTTTTCCTTCATTTCCTACCTTTTTTTCCCCCTTCTTATGTGTGTTTGCAAGATGGTGCTATTTAATTTAGGGGAGCTTTTCGAGGGTCGGGGTCTGGCGTTAACAGGGAGCGATTGCATGTTCACCCAAGATAGATCAATATCCAGTGTATCACTCTAGAATATTTTGTGTTTCCCAATGGCCAATTAAGTGTCAAATTGACAGCAGTCTTTCCTAACTTACGTTCCAAGTTAGGTGGTATACGTGTAAAGATACAAGATAGCGTGTCATAATAAGGATACCCAGTATATTTGGAGATCATCCTTCTACCTAACGAGCACAGAACAGTACCGAGGTATTTCCAAAGCATTCACAAAGTTATGTCTCACATCGCTGATACGCAAAACAAAGATATATATATATAATGGAACAAGTGGCTCAATTGGGGTACACGGCTTTTTCTTCGTAAATAATGCCACCGACGCTCGTGCGTGAGCATCTTAAAGACGGGGCTGAGAGTGGGACCAGCCAGCCTCCTCAGCAATCATCTCGGCGCAACGTTCACCAATAGCCAGCACAGTCAACATGGGATTGATGCTGGGCATATCCGGGAACACACCGGCGTCGGCAATACGAATGTTCTTCAAGCCACGGATCTTCAGCTTGGGGTCCACAACGGCCAATGGGTCGCGGATGGGGTCGCCCATCTTGGTGGTACCAGCCGGGTGGTATACCGTGTGTGCTACGCGACGACCATACTCCGAGAGCTCCTCGTCGGTCTGAATCTTTGGGCCTGGGGCGACTTCGCGCTTGATCCACTCCTTGAAGGGAGACTCTTGGGCGATCTTACGCGCGGCCTTGAAACCGGCCACGATGGTCGCGGCGTCGTAGCCCTCGGGGTCAGTGAAGTAACGGAAATCCAGTGCAGGCTTAACGGATGGGTCGGCAGAGGTGAGGTAGAGACGACCACGAGATCGGGGGCGGGGAATGTTGGGGGTCATGCAGAAGGCCTGCACAGGCTCGTCGTAGCCCAGGCGAGTAGTGTTAAGGGTGAAAGGAATCTGGTAGCAGTGCATCATGATGTCTGCGGCACGGCCATCGAAACCTGCGGCATCCGGAGCCTCGCGACGCAAGAAGATACCTGCATCTGAGTCCATAGTGGTCATGTTGTGATCCACGGGCTGGTTCAATTTCCCACATGATGATACTCTCCGGGTGGTCAACGAGATTCTCACCAACACCGGGGATGTCCTTCACCACAGGGATACCAAGCGACGCCAGCTGCTCGCGGGGACCGAGACCAGACAGCATCATGAGACGGGGAGTGTCCACGGCGCCAGCACAGAGGACAGTCTCCTTGCGGGCCCGCAGCGTGTGCTGGGCACCGGACTTGAGGGTCACGTTGACACCGGTCACGGAGTCGCCTTCCACGTTCACCTTGGAAACCCAGGCATTGGTGAGAATGGTCAAATTGGGCCGCTTCTCGTCGCCGCGGATGATAGGGTGGAGGTAGGCCACACTAGCACTGCTGCGACGGCCATCGTCCGGGTTGTAGGAGATGTTGAAGAAGCCCACGCCCTCGGTCAGCTCGCCAGTCTTGCGAATATCGGCGTTGAAGTTGGAGATCACGGGGATTCTCATTGCTGTGGAGCAGGCCTGGATCCAGTCCTTGCACAGCTGGTTGCGGTGACGACCATGCACGGGCTGGAAGGTGTTGCGCAGGCCATCAATGAGACGAGTAAAAGTTTCGAAGTCCCAGCCCTTGCAGCCTTTGGCGACCCAGTTGCGGCAGTCATACTCGAAGGGACGGAAGGAGATCAAAGTGTTGTGGCTGGAGCAGCCACCCAGAACCTTCGCACGAGAGTGACGAATAAAGCTGTTGCCCATAGGTTGCTCGGTGGTTGGATAGTCGTAGTCCAGCTCACCACCCAGCAGGCTCAGCCATTCCTTCAAGTTGAGCACACGATCATCCGTGAAGTCGCTGGGGCCAGCCTCAATCACCAGAACGCGCTTGTTGGGTAAGTATTCCGCCAGACGAGCCGCAACGACACAGCCAGCGGTACCGCCGCCAACGACAATGTAGTCGTAGCTGTTCACGTCCGCAGCAGGAAGGTTGTCTGTAGTGGCCATGATGCAAGAAAGGGATCAGTAATTACTGAATCTTCTGAGGGCGAGCTTTCCTCTTATAACCTTCGAGCACCCGACAGATTTGGTACTCGAGAAGTGGGCATCGAGTGGCCGGAGCAAAGAGACCGATCTAATCTTCTCAATCCAGATGCCGGTTTGGGTATAGCGATGCTGGGAGCATCAAGACTCTTCATTGGCTACAGTCAGCAAAGGGTGGGTATATTCTCTGCTTCCAGTTAGCCAGGCCCACCGGCTACCAACGGGCGTGGGCTTATTGGCCAATCCCAGCCACTGGAGATTCGAGCCCCGCTAAAAAAGAGTGAAGATCTACCAGTCGGTGTCAAAATAAAAAGAAAGAGAGAAGTCGGTGATAAGAGTGGCTGACGGTGTTTTCCAATAGGGCTGCAGGTTACTCCGTAGTGGAAGTCGCATACGAGAAGGCTATAAGATATATTTCTCAATCGACTCCCCTAATTTGTCCAACAAGACCTGCGAGGATCTAGATACCATTCAGAGAGCCAATTACCCGATTATGGAGCGGCCCAACAGCAAATATTATCAATTAAAACACCATTTCCATTACTTTCTCTGCCCCCTCCACCAACAACCGCAGTGACGCCACTTTTAAACTTGGGACCGCTAACAAATTAGCGCCGCCACGGTCAGGGCGGTGTACCAATAGATCAGCATCGCCAAAGTATTGGCCTTCGGTTTCCTCCTCATCACTTCCCTTCACATCTTCCAGATGGCTACTTCATCTCCCCGCCAGCTCTACTACGACGGCCAGGTGCGTGCTGCGTCCTCCGGCAAGACTTTCCAAACGGTCAACCCAGCCACCGCGACGCCCATCGCCGACATCCAGGTGGCTGCTCACTCAGACATTGACGCTGCGGTTGAATCCGCAAGTCGCGCATTCCCTTCATGGTCCCAAACCCCCCCCCAATCGCTCGTGCACGCATCCTCCAAAAAGCCGCTTTAATCCTCCGGCAGCGGAATGACGAGATTGCCCGCGTGGAGACCCTCGATTGCGGCAAAGCTTTCACCGAGACCAGCACTGTGGATGTGGTGACTGGAGCCGATGTGTTAGAATACTACGCGAACTTCATTGGCGGTGGCGGACTCAATGGTGAGACGACACAGCTCCGCGAGGATGCCTGGGTCTACACCAAGAAGGCCCCGCTCGGTGTTTGTGCTGGTATTGGAGCTTGGAACTACCCTATCCAAATGTGAGTGGCAATCCCCTCACATGGCGCGAACAACTGACTTATGGAGATTCTAGTGCTCTCTGGAAATCGGCTGCGTGTCTGGCAGCTGGCAACACCATGGTCTACAAGCCTAGCGAATACACTCCTCTCCATGCCCAAACGCTCGCCGAGATCTACACCGAAGCTGGCCTTCCTGCTGGTGTGTTCAATGTGGTTCATGGTGCTGGAGATGTTGGTGCTTATCTGACAAGCCACCCAGCTGTCGCCAAGGTCTCGTTCACTGGGCAGGTCGCAACGGGCCAAAAGGTGGCGGGTGCTGCATCTGGCAATATGAAGTACGTGACTATGGAGTTGGGTGGCAAGAGCCCATTGATCATCTGCCCGGATGCCGACCTCGAGAACGCGGTCGATGGTGCCATGATGGCCAACTTCTACAGCACTGGCCAAGTCTGTACAAATGGAACCCGTGTCTTCGTTCCGCGGTCCATGAAGGCGGCTTTCGAAAAGCGCCTGCTCGAGAAGATCCCTTACGTGCGCGCCGGCCCGCTATTTGATGAACAGACAAATTTCGGGCCATTGAGCTCAGCCGTGCACTACGAAAAAGTCATCTCCTACATTCGTCATGGTATTCAGACCGACCGTGCGACTCTCCTCTGCGGTGGTCCTGAGAAGCCGGATGTGCCCCAGGACCTGCAGGCCGGCTTCTGGGTTAAGCCAACCATTTTCACCGACTGCACAGACTCGATGCGGATTGTAAAGGAGGAGATCTTCGGCCCGGTGATGTCCATTCTATACTATGACACTGTCGAAGAGGCCGTGAAGCGTGCGAACGCTACCGAACTCGGTCTTGCAGCCGGTGTATTCACCAAGGATCTCAACCAGGCCCACCGTGTCATTGACCAGCTCCAAGCCGGCATTACTTGGATCAATACTTGGGGTGAAAGCCCGGCTGAGATGGCTGTGGGTGGCTGGAAGAAGAGTGGTCTGGGCGTTGAGAACGGTCGCCGTGGCATTGAGGCCTGGGTGCAGAACAAGAGCACTTTGGTTGACATGAGCGGTGCTGTTGTGACCGTCTTTGCCAAGCTGTAAGCCTATGTATATACTTATAACGTTATCCATGCCTCCAGAGCCGGACGTAGCATAATCGAATGATTATCCGTACCGTATATCGTGTCTCCCCTAGTATCGAAAGACGCTACTAAGTATCTATGGGGCCAACTTCATAGAAAACGACTAGAATCCGTCTGTCCTGATCACCGTGGCTCAGCGCCTGGCGAGATAATACTATTTAAGCCGTGTCATTCAGGCAGGCGTCCAGTTCCAAAAAATGTCATAGAAATTATCATCTTTTGATTCACCTCAAGCGATTTTAATACTAATGAAAGTCAGTCCCTTGCGTCTAAATGACTTATCGAATGCAAATCCCAAAGAATATCTGATCTCCTCAATCTATCAATCTCGAAACGACGGAGGGATAATAAGTAGAACGCCTGAAAAGATAAAAAGCGAGAAGGAATAAAATGCCATGCAGCAATACCGAAAACCTTGGAACAACCTGAAACCCGATATCCATTCTCCCGAATGTGCAATTGTCAAGACGGAGCGAAAAAGAAGAGCAAGAAATGAGCTCATCCTAAAGAGCGGTCATCCTGGCACCCATACGATCAAAGTGCAGGTCATTGTGCAGGGTGCCGTCGATACCTCCGATAGCAGAATCTACCATACGCGAAGACATACTGTCGGGAGTCAGTTCATCGTCAAATGTCCGATGAAGTTCGGTGTTGATGCGCAGATCCTTGGGAACTTTGGTCGGGGTCGAATCAGGGGTTGGCTGTTGGGGCGATGCCTTCTTGACTGGAATTGGGCCGGGAACATAAGTGCGAGGGCGGTAAACCAGAGCCGGGCCCTGCGTACGAGCATCGGTGCCTGCCTGCTCGATGGATTCGAAGTAGCGCACCGTCTTGACTTTGAGCTCGAGGGTCGCATCACGATCGCAAACCACCAACGGATGTTGGTGGAGCTGCAGCGCAGAGAGAGTCCACATGTGGTTCACGCCCTCCTCTAGACCCTTTTTCACAGCGAACGCCTTGTGAGCGCCAGTAGCCACAATGACAACCTCCCGGGCATCCATAATAGTCTGGATACCCACTGTCATGGCCATGCGAGGCACCTTATTGACGTCGTTATCGAAGAATCGCGAGTTTGCCAGAATTGTGTCGTAAGCCAAGGTCTTGACGCGGGTGCGACTGCTTAGCGAGGAACCGGGCTCGTTGAATGCAATATGGCCATCGGGGCCAACGCCACCAAGGAAAAGCTCGATACCTCCATATTGTGCGATGCGCGCCTCGAAGGAAGCACACTCCGCAGCAGGGTCCGCTGAGTTGCCATCTAGAATGTTGATGTTTTGGGGCGGGATATCCACATGCGAGAAGAAGTGCTTGTACATGAAACTGTGGTAGGACTCGGGGTGGTCACGAGGCAGGCCCACATACTCATCCTATGTGTATTGGGTGAGCATAGGATGCTATTGGTGTATATGTATTTAGGGAGCACGTACCATGTTGAAAGTCACCACATTTTTGAACGAAATCTCCCCGGCCCGGTGACGCTGGACCAGAATCTTGTAGATGATCTCAGGGCTGCTTCCCGTGGGCAGACCCAGGACGAATGGATGTGTCGGGGTAGCTTTGAAGGCCTTGATCCGACCTGGAGGTGAAATGAGCAAAGCAAACTCGGGGGGTCAGAGCAGTCGCAAATCTATCACATACTGATGATGTAGTCGGCAATGTAGACCGATGCGGCCTCGGGGTCCTCTCGAATGATAACACGCATGATGCCCAGATAGTAATGAGCTTAAGTGAAGAACAGATGGAGGACTAGGAGTGACGGGTTGGGCGGGGGAAGAGGAATAGGTGAGGCGAAGAGTCGGCAGGCGCAAAGAGAGGTGGTGGCAAGGAAAGGCAAGAAAACGTCGCCCATAAAAAGTCGAAATTGGCCCCAAGGCTCACAGGTTACGTTGAGCTCCAGTGTACAACAGTGACAAAGGAGATCCTCCACGTCGCAGTGTCCGGGAGGGGCCGCCTTACAGTATTACACCACCACAGATTTGCAATGTATCGTCGCATACACCATGTGGATGGTGGCCATGACGTCTGCGGAGAAAATCGAAAAACCACCAGAGATGCCCCCACGAGATTGGCATTTCAAATCTCATTCGCCATACGAAAGTGATACGAGTACTATGACGGGAATCAACTCGGGCCTGATAACCAAAGCAGGTACCCTTCCTGGTTCGGCGGCATAGAATCCGGTGTTTCCCATGTGGTGGTCAACGATAAAGTATAGTGATGACGTGGTGGAGGGGTGTTTCTCGGCTGGTGATTGGGCCCAAACCCTTCCAACGTCTACCGTCAAGCTGGAACTGAAGGTTCCATCCAAGCAAGTTGCATCCGGTGAAGTCGGCAAAACGGGAGAGACGATATAGAGAAAACCTGGGGGAGATTGTAACCCTACGTCGCAACCAGTCTATCAGGTTAAGTAAGCCGTGCGGGTGACACCTGGGCATTTAGTTTACACCGCTTGCTGCATTTTACCTTGCCGCTTTGGCTTGGCCGGTTTTGATTGGCCTCCAGTTGTAGTTTTCTGCCGGCAAATGCGTGTCATCTTCGATTCTTTACCGGCTGTTCTGGTATGGTACGGTACCAGTCCCGACAAACACAAACAAGACCCTCTCAGTCAGCTGATTGTGTCCCAAAGAGAACTGAGGAGACTTTAGTTTCCAGCCAAATTATTGGTGGTAGTGGACCCAAATTGACCTAGGTAACTGCAAATGGATGATGACTCAGGGTTTAGCTCAAACTCCTGGAGCCCTGGGAGTCCGGGGAACACCAGCTCCTTCGTAGCTTCAGCCAGGTACGTACCACCACGATGCGCTATCTTATCTGTGCGCATCCGATTGCGGCTCTGGAAGCACAGTTTATTCTGGCCTGACACCAACGCTGCTCCCTCTGTCACCTGACTGCGACCTCGGAGTTTCCAGCTCGATGCGCGTACGTGCTGGACTAGGTTGAACATACCCACCACCATCGAAGCCGTCCCACCTCGTTGTCTGCCACCCCCCTATCCTGGTTGCAGCTTCTTGTTCCTTCAACCTAGCCGCTGGCATTCCTTACTTTCCCCCACCCCAGGGCCATGGCCCCGAAAGAGGACATGCTGCCCCCGGGCTGGGAGGATCTAGACAGGTATGTCGATCGCCCAGTTCCGGCGCATCTACCATCCATCCTGCGCCTCAGTCCCCAGACCTATCCATCCCTTCTTCGCGCACTGTGGAACCTCGTCCGTGCTCCCCCCCCGATATTTAGAGTATTACCTCTTCGGGAAATATCACATCTGGAGAGGTGTGAGGTTCATACGATGCTGACCCTTGTGGCAGGCAGATGGGCCAGCTGTTCATGATGGGCTTTGATGGCACCTCGGTGAGCCCAGAGATCCGTTCGCTGATTGAGGATTACCATTTGGGGTCTGTCCTCCTGTCAGCCAAGAATTTGAAATGTAATAAACTCCGGCTTGCGCTCCTGGGCTCTTCCCCAAGAGCCCTTTCTTTTTTTTTTCTGTCTTTCTTTTTTTTTTATCCTTCTTTCTTTTCTGTAGAGCATGGATTTGCTAACGATTGGCAGCTGCGGAGGAAGCAACCATGTTGGTACTGGAACTGCAGACTATCGCTCGCAATGCTGGCCATCAGGTGCCGTTGCTTATATCACTAGACCAAGAGAATGGAGGTGTGAATAGCTTATATGATGAGATATATATCCGCCAGTTCCCGAGCGCCATGGGGCTGGCCGCGACTGGATCAAAAGAATTAGCCTACGAAGTTGCTCTCGCTACGGCGCAAGAGCTGAAGGCTGTCGGCGTGAATTGGATCCTAGGTCCGGTTTTGGATGTTCTGACAAATGTACGGAATCAGCCTTTAGGGGTTCGCACAGCTGGGGATGATCCACAAGAAGCTTCACAATATGGCGTGCAGTCTATGAAAGGATACCAAGAAGCAGGCCTTGCGACATGTGGGAAACATTTTCCATCATACGGCAACCTTGAATTTCTTGGGTCTGAGGCCGAGATGCCGATCATCACCGAGTCTCTCGAGCAGCTCAGCTTAAGCGCATTGGTCCCTTTTCGGAACGCTATCAACCAAGGCCTTGATGCCATGATGGTCGGTGGAGTTTCAATGTCGTCAGCTGGCGTGAATGTTATGCATGCTTGCCTAAGCGACCAGGTAGTGGATGAACTTCTCCGGAAAGACCTCAAATTTGATGGAGTGGTTGTGTCTGAGTGTTTGGAAATGGAAGCCTTGACACACAACATCGGCGTCGGTGGTGGTACGGTGATGGCGAAGAATGCCGGCTGTGATGTGATCTTGCTCTGTCGCTCATTCCCAGTCCAGCAAGAAGCAATCAACGGATTGAAACTCGGTGTCGAGAATGGCATAATTGGCCGCCACCGCATTGAGCAATCATTACGACGTGTCCTCGCTCTTAAGGCGCGAATCACTTCATGGGAGCAAGCATTGAACCCACCAGGCGTCCTTTCCCTGACACAGATGCAGCCTTCTCATACCAACCTTTCAATCAGGGCCTACAATAATTCGATCACGGTAATGAGAGACAAAAACAATCTGTTACCATTGTCCAATATCATCACTCCCGCCGAGGAACTCTTGCTCCTGACGCCGTTGGTCAAACCATTAGCGGCATCTGCGGTCACTCTCTCAGCGAAAGAACCTAGACATGGGTCCGTAGAACCAGTGGCTGCGTTGGATCGGAGTGCTTCTGTCATGAGCGGAGAAAGTGTTTTCAAAGAACTAGGACGATCACTCTCACGCCAGCGCAATGGACGAGTGCTACACACGTCATACACCGCGAATGGCGTACGGCCCATCCATGAAGATCTCATCAAGCGCGCCAACGCGGTGATTATTGTGACTGCTGACGCAAATCGCAACTTATATCAACAAGCCTTTTCAAAACACGTCTCCCTCATCTGCCAGTCACAGTACTCTCGGTCCGGCGAGCGCTACGACAAGCCCGTGATCGTCGTTGCTGTCAGCTCGCCATATGATTTTGTTACGGATTTATCTATTGGAACCTACATATGCACCTATGATTTCACCGAGACGGCTCTGCAAACACTAGTGAAAGTTTTGTGTGGTGAGCTGACCGCCACCGGATCATTGCCTGGCTCTATCAGCCGCAGTCAAAAAATCCACCAATCTCGACAACACTGGCTGGTAGAGAATTGGAATGAAGATAGAGACGCTCATGCCTTAGATGCTTTGCTTGATGCAGTCCGGGATGATTGCCCCAAGGGCCAGCGATCAGAGCTTCTTGGCGCCACCTCCAACAGCTTCCTTCTCCGCGAAGAGAACATTGACGAAGCGCACTTCGTCGTCCGGAATAGCAGCACGCAGGCGCTATACGGATTCTGCGCCACCTACTTCTTCCGGTCTACCGGTACTGGTGTCATTGGATGCTTGATTGTCGATCCCTCTCGGCGGAAGCTGTCTATCGGACACTCCCTCCACAGCCGCGCCATCCGCACGCTTCTCCAGCAGAAAGGCATGAAGCGCTTTCAGCTTGGATCCCGGCTCCCGGGTATCTACTTGGGAATACCTACCGCCAGTCCGGTGGAGCGCAAACGACTGCGGCAGTGGTTTGCCAATCTAGGCTGGAACACCGCGTTGTCGCGGCCCGTGTGCAGCGTGGTGCTCCGTAGTTTGGCGACATGGAGCCCGCCCGATGGGTTGACAGCGACCTTGCAGAATGCGCATGTGAAATATGACTTGGCCTATGGCACGGATTTCGCCAGAGAAATCCTCGACCACATCAAGACGAATGCCCGGCAAGGGGTCGCGGACATCTACCGCATCGCGCTGGGCGGCGCCCCCAACTGTGGGGTGATCCGGGCCAAACGTTCGTCGGACGATTTGATTATCGGTACGATCGTGATCTATAACGAAAGATCGATGCTAGCGGGACATATGCCTGCATTGCGCGCTAGCAACACGCCCGTCGGAGGCATCTCGTCGCCCGTTATCTCCCCGTGCGCCGATGATTATTCCACCGTCATGCAGGGGCTGATCCTGCTGGCTATCAAGCAGATCCGCAAGCTCAATGCTCAATCTGTGGTGATGGACTGTGTACGGTGGACCTTTTGCCCCATCCGGCTTTTATGAACTTTTGCGCTAACTTGATCCAGGTGGACGGTGATGGCAACTTCGACTGCCTATCTTCCATGGGGTTCAGCATGCTCCACAGCTTCGAAGAGGTAAATTCCGATGCGGCGACCTGGACCATGATGCATTCATCGTAGAGAGAAGCTCGGGATTTCGTGATTTGTCTACAAGACTCGAGACACCCTTAGATCCTGAATCCTTTTTATGAAGGCAAAGGGTTGTTTTCTCTTGGCTTTCCATGCCATTTGACCCTGGTTTCACCTGCAAAACTCCTGATATGGGCGAGAGGTGATCTTTTGTATCCATGCCTTATCTTCGATTTTATGGTTTCCGCATCTATGATATCCATCTAGCAATTTTTTTGGGGGGGGAGGAGGGGCGGTCATAGTTTATACCAGCGGACCCCTTCCTTGGGTTCTAGGGGCGTGGGTCTGGGATTAGCGATGCAGATACACAGAGGAGTTCATATTAGGTGATCTCTTTCTCTTTTACCCCCTTGTCTCCTCCCTCGGTGCCCCTTTTCCAATTTCATGTGTATATGATAAGGTGTATTATGCACAGATTGGACTTTCATACGGCATCATCTGGACCAATCTGACATCATTTTCTTTTTTGGACTCTGGGAAGTATGGTAAGCAAGTCAAAGGCGATCACGGGAGATCCGCAAGGTCTTCGCTCTCGAACCATTTGTTGTTCTGTTTTCGCCACATAAGAGCCAACTTGGAAAAGCCGAGCAAGGATCAGAAAGCTATTCTTGATTAAAAGTGGACCCGGAGGCAGCACAACTGAATGCGGCGTGCTTAGTGGACCGGACGTCCGTAGGTCGAAAACAAATTAACTTCCCATATTAACGAACGGGCTTTTCTTCCAATTTCCTCGGGGGGGACCAACTCCACTTTGACGAAAGCCCCCCCTCGGGAAGAGGATTTCCACGGGAATTGTGTAGGCACGGTTCAAACGGTTAAGAGGAAGAAAGGTGTGAATGCTATTGTTGCTAAAAGGCGGACCGCTTCGGGGTGTCGGGGCCTTAGTTCCATCCGCCCAAGAGCGCCCGGCTGATTCGCTCAGATCTCTCTCGAAATCATCTGGGAAATGGCTCAAGTTGCACAGTGCACAAGCTCACGATGTTTGAGGTTCGAATCGGTCCGAAGTACGAGCCCCGCCCTCAGGATATGCTTATTACGAGGTACGGAGCCCGAAGGTGATCATCTGTGGCGGAATACTCCTACAAAGCTAGACCGGGATTCGACCCACATTCCTTTGATCGCATTCCGCTCCAGGCTTCTGCTCGCCCAAGGCCTTGTCCCTCCAAACGCGTCGAGATCTGAGGTGTCTCGGGAAGTAAAGTGGAAGCTTCGGGAGATCAGGGGCCGTGACGCCAATAGCCGGAGGTGGACGGATCGAGGAACGCGGGCCAGTGATTGATTTGATTTCAACCAGAGTCCATGGGGGCCCAATGGGGCGCCTGGAATGGATGAAGAGGCCGGGTCCGAGATAGGCGGGAGGTCTGAGAAGGCCTAAGGGTCAAAAAGAGGGGCTGACAGCTCGTTTCCCCGGCCAGAGTGGCCAGGAGTGGCCAGAGGAGGGAAAGCGCCCAAGGATCAGAGGGAAGGGCTCTGAAGGGAGCTCCGCCAATCACCGGGCAGCAGGCAACCCGGCTCTTCAGCAGAAAGCCTGGAAACCGGAGATAATCGAATCGGGTAAATGCACAGGGAGATGAAGGGGGAAGCGCTGATCCCCTAAGCTTAACGACTTCACATGGTTTAGCTGCTTCGTTGCCCCTCTTGCTGCTCGCTACCCAGTGCGGTATGTCGAGTCTCGACTCTAGAGGGGGTTCCACATGCTCGTGATGCCGCAGACGAGATTACACGGGTATGACCTGGGGATATCACCGGGCGGCGAACCTGCAGAAGATCATGCAAATCCTGGGACGGACATCGCCGGGGGTCCCACCTTTTGCCCCTCAACGGCCCCCACTGCAAGAGAGGACGGGGGTTGGACGGAGCATCCGGGTGAAGAAGCCTGCGGTCGGTTCCTGGCTGGATTTGCCCGTTCGCGGTGGGACCTTAACGCGCACGTCCGGAGACACACGATCGCGGCCGTGCTTGTTCCTTTGGGGTTGTCTGGTTCGTCGCTTCTGAGTTTGGCTTCTTGAGATACCATTGGCTCTCTGCTGCAGGTCAGACGGGCTGTTGATCATCCTTTTTTGAATGGAAATGATCCAGAAGGCCTGACTTGCAGGTGATACAAGAGGGGGAGGAGGGGGGGAAACTCCTCCGTCACCAGACAAGAGATCGCCTATAGACTACTGACAGCCTACAGCCAACAGCCTATACAGTCTATAATCTACATGCGGACAGACGCTTAGGCCTTTTTCGTCCATTCTGCCATTTAGTCTGAGAAGCTGATCTCTAAAAAGGAAAAGAAAAAGAAATAAGAATCCATTTCCAATAATGGTTAAGAAGAGCAATTTAAAGGGTACATTGGAAAAGTGGGAAAAAAGAAAAAGAAAAAAAGGGAAATAAGGAAAAAAAAAAAAAGGAAAAAAAAGACAAAAAAGGATTTTGGGGAGGGGGGAAAAGGAAAGCGTCAGAAAAAGGCCAGAAACGCAGTAGATAGAGGATCCATCTTATCGGGGCGTTTTCAGGGTTTCTCGACCCCCGAAACGGCCTTCTATACATTCTGCATGATCTTCAGGGCCCACGGACGATCAGGGCGATTCCGTACAAGATATCTCGCTGAGGTTCTAAGAGGCCAAAGGGGGGACCGTCTTCGTTCTCCGCAAAAACCGCGGCTCCACTTTTCCCCGAATCCGTTGTCTTTCCTCCTTCGAGGCATCTCATGTCCCCTCTTGATACCTTTTCCCTCTTTTACTCGCCTCCCCCTCTCCCCTCCCCTTCTTGCTGCTGCTCTATATCGCCATGGAGGGCTATGATACTATGGCTATGCCACCTTACCTGGCTAGCCCGCTATCCCTCGGCAATCTTCAAAGTACCGACTATCTCAATGCGATGCCCGGCCTCGATCTCCCAGATCAACGCTCCAACTTCGACTCGGAGACCTTTGTCAGGTAAGTCTATGGCCGGGAGCTCGTACTCTTACACCCCCTTTTTTTCTTTTCAGAAATGGCAGGCTCATGAGGATTTCAGCGACGATCTCGGGTTCGCCCAGCATGGCATACCGCATACACTGAGGCGGCTGCCGTCCGGTTATGAGGACCCTTTCACCGATATGGTCCCTCCATTCGACCCCGTGCCTCCAGAGCAGCCCCAGGATTCCTCAATCGACCACAACAACAAGCTATTGAGTTTCTCACTTCCCGCCTATCATTTCACTCTCCTCGACTACTCCATGCGCCGCACGAACTTGTCCGTTTCCGCACAATTACATGGAATGTTCTTCTTAGCCGAATCGCCTTATACCACCTCTCCATCAGAGAACGCCCCGCCCCAGCAAGGCGCCGAACTGACTTGCTATCGCCGTAATCTCTTCCAGATCACCGGCTCCGTTACACTGCCGCGAGGGATGCGCTATATCATGACTGACCAAGGAGACCGGATCCCCATTCTCGCCCAAGAACTCACCGTTTCTGCTACGGAATCAGTAGAGGGAAACCCCGTCAAGATTATTTCCGTGCCCTGGAAGACCCCCTCTGCCGCGGCTGCTAACTCTGGCGCCACGCTCGAGGATAGCGGCAGCGGCAGTACTACCAAGGTGGAGAAAGAACCTCCACCAATCCCCCTTGATATCATGGCTGGCCAGGATCTGGATACAGATTACGCTACCTTTCCTATTGCGTGGAAACGCCTACAGTTTCGTGTAGCTACCGCGAATAACGGCCGTCGGAAGGAGTTACAACAGCACTTCGTGGTTCGATTGAAGGTGGTGGCGACTCTATCTACCGGGGCTAAGATTGCCATCTCAGAGGTGCAATCAGGCCCGGTGATTGTCCGAGGCCGTAGTCCTCGGAACTTCCAGTCTCGAAAGGACCTTCCGCTAAGCGGCAGCGCCGCCGCGTCCCGCAAGAATCAAGCCAACTCAGCCGCAGCACTGAACCGCACCCCAACCAGCGAGTCTGTACCGCGTCGCGCCAGTGCGACCCCTGCCAAAGTCAAGGCTTCTTCCGGAACTGTTCAGAGTAGTTCTCCCGAGACCACGTCTGTTCCACCCCCTACTCTCATGCAGCAACCCCAGGCCACTCCCGACTGGACTCCAATCCCACAGGCCTCCAATGTGATGTCTCACCAAAACATCTTCTCTCATTCAAGTCCAGAGCAGCTTTCCCATGCAGTAGATCATCAGCGGCGGGTCGGCGCTACGACAGCCCCCAGTGCAACGCCCATCAATCTGTCTTTGCTTGACGAAGAAGACGGCGGTGGTGACGCTTCCCTTCAGCTGGATCAAAAGATTATGACTCCCTATATTAACGAACTCCCTCCTCAACCTTCAGTCAGCATCGACCACTCAGTCCCACCTTCTAAAATGCGAAAGCTCTCTCACAATATCTCTCACGCTCCTTCTCGGAGTGCTACATCCTCCCTCCCGCTGCTAGAGACTGCCAACCTGCCCCAGCAATTCGTGTCCTCATTACCGTTTCCCAACGAGACCACCGACTTTTTATATGAATACTTCCCCTTGGGTCTGGATGATTGGCAAGCACCCGTGGATGCTGTGTATCGACCTCATGTGGTTCATCACACGAACATGCCGGAAATGAAGTTTGTAGCCTCAAGAGGCCGCAACAAGCGGTACTTTGCGGCAGAAGATGTCTTCTAACCCTTTCGAGGGTATTGCTGCCCGAAGTTCTCTTTTTGGCATTTTGGCTAGACATCTTGGTCTATGGTCTATTCCCTTCTGCTTCTGAAGGGGAATGAACCCTGGTCGTATCCGCACGTCTGAAGAGAAGCGAAGTCCCAATCTCATTCTGAATCCTGGGTTCTTCCCCATTCGAGGATCGCGCGTGTTTTTTTATCCCTTCCTTGTCTTGGACGCTGCTCTCTTCTCGTCACATTGGTGGCTTCTTTTGAAACGGCGCTTATACGTATTGGTTATTGAGGCTTATTGAGATTTCGATCGGTGTCTTGGGTCTGGCGGGTGCAAAATGGGCGAATACAGCGCGTTTCGGCGTTTCTTGGGCTTTTTGGGTTTTCTTTTTTTGGTTATTGTTATTGTTTTTGTTTTTCCCTCTTGTCTTCTCTTTCACCTCGACTTCGGACTCCCTCCTCTTCTTCCTGCAGGGTGACATCGCCATTTGGGTAGGTGCTCCACCAGTCGCCTCTCACGAGAGATTGAGCTGGGACAGGGCTGGATCCTTCCTTCTTGTTGTGTTTTCCCTTTTTCCGTTCTTTTTTCCATCTTTGGGTCTGGGTGTCATTTGACTGGTTCTTGGGTCTGTGAATCTGGTTCCTACTGGTTTGATTATATCCCATTGTGTTATGATGTCACGCTGTGTTCGACTGCTCTTCCTGACTGGCCATATATTTACGTGATGCTATGTCCAGGTCTCAATCTATGCGAAATTATATTTTGAAGAGCGCCGTTTTCCTTTGAACTAGCCTGGGTGGTAAACTTGATCTAAATCGAAGTGCTACAATTCGGCGTATAAGGTTATATTACCCAAAATAAACGAAGCATCGCTTTCGTCGATAACGGTATCTGCTCAATAATCACCCAGTCGTTACTTCTCGTCCAGGGAGCCTGACATGCCACCAATAGAAAGCGTGCCTACCCACAAGGGAACTGTACATTGACAGATGGTTAATTTAGTTATTTATTTATTTTTTTTTTTTATGAAAGATGCGCTCGAAATGATTTTTGGTTAGGCTATGTATGTTCCTAAGGCATCGAGATCGGGATGGGGATCATTCTAGGGGATCATTCTAGGGGATCATGCAACTCCGTAGTCTATGGAATATCAGGAGCTCGATGTTGAGAACACGCAGGATCAGAGGTATCCGAGACCATCTCCGCCAATAGCCTCGAGATCCGCACGAATCTGCCATTCTGTCGCACCCACCCGGCCCGCAATCTCCGACTGGCGCTGTTTCCCTAGATTAAGCCACTGTCGAAGCAGAGTGCCGTCGACTATTCCTCGGCCAGCACTTCCGTCACTTTCAACGGCGCGAAATGCGCGAGGGTTGAGGCCACCTGGATGATCAATCGTGTTCGTTAGTTGTGACTGCAGAGCAGATAGTCGGCGATATGATTCTTCAGCAACGCCGGTGACCAGAGCCAGGCTTCCGTTGTGCGAGGCAATTAGAACCTGGTGAGTTGAGACAGTATGGTCAACATCCATCGAATCATCTCCGGTTTCGAGAACTTCAGATGATACGGCTGTACGAGGAAGAAGAGTCACAGCCGATGCATAGTTGCCGGTATAGAACTTGCTCCGGTTGAGAAGACGATCGCCATTGGATGACTTTGGATCTGTGGCAATCATCAGTGCACTGTTCCACCATAGAACTAGAGAGTGATAAATTTTGGGCCTGCTGCATACCTTCCGGGTCGTACTGAAGTACATGCAGGTTGCAGTCGCTGTCAGCAACCAGAATGTAAAGCTTGTTACCGTCCGGTAGAAAATCTGCGGCAACGACTTCGAGGTACTCCGGATCTTTGCCGAAGAGTGTCATCTTGTAGGGCTCCTCCTGCAGCTGGATATTAACACGTATTCAAAGTCCAGTTACGCCGAGCTGGACGTACCGAATAACCTGCAAACCAGAGTCCCTTGACTGCATCACCAAGGATGCACATGCCTGTGCCCTTGAGTTCCTTCACAACATTCACATAACATTGCATGTCCATAAATGCCACGGGAAGAAGGCTTCCGTCCTCTTTGAGGCCTCGGACCATACACTTCTGGCCCTGGGCTACGATCACGAAGCCTTGGCCACCGATTCCTGAGAGCGCTGTCACCGCGCCTTTGACTGTTTCTTTGCCGATCAACTTCAGTTTTCGCCCTGTTTCAGGACGGTCCGGATCTGGAACAACCTCGATCACTTCGAATACGTAAATCCCTCCGCGAGCTGGGATATCCTCGCCTTTCGCGATCGACGTGCCCACGACAATGAGATCCTTCCGCTCGTGAGTATTCTCGGAAACCTCAAGGTTCACATTTTTGACGGCCGTCACATGTTCAGCGGGCTCAAGCGGGTAACTTGGTCAAATTAACATAAGGAATCCATGAAGCATCAAAAGAAGCGCCTTTACCTGTCAATAATAGCCCAATTCTGGGGGCTAATAACTTTGATAGAACTCTGGGGAACTTCTGGTAGGAATTCGGTGGCTACATACTATGTTAGTCACACTCAATCTCGAAGGACTCGACGTGGCAGACGTGATATAATTCGAAGGGGTTCAAAACTGACATTCACCACGCCATTCGGGATGTAACTCGTCATCTTCAGGTAACTTGAACTCAACCACAGTGCTTGTACCGAGCACGTAGGTCTCGGATGCAGTCGAATATGTTAAGAAATCGACTTGCTCATCGAGAGGGACCTTTTGCAACGGCCAGGAGTGATGCAACTGGATCCCTGGAGGGAATTGGCATATTTGGACGTTATTCTGAGAAACGTTAGGCCAACGGTCTTTCTTATTCATCTAGAGAGATACGTACCTCATAATCCACATGTACAAAGCTGTTTTCGCAACTGGCAGCTGGAGCATGGTATTTACTCAGCCAACGCGTGGACTCACCGCGAAGGTGAACAGTGTGAGGGGAACTTTGTGACGTTTTCACAAGAAACTTGGCGGATCGTCCAGGTACGAGAACGGTGCTGAGTCCTGACACGTTAGGTAGAACTCGAAGAGAGCCTTGTCGACTCCCAAGTGTGCCATTCGTTGACGATTCGGAAGAAATATTTGACAAGGTATGGTTCGCCTCGCGGAAGAACAGAAGGCGTAGAGTTCGCTCATTATCAGCTTCCGACAAATTCAAGACAGGTTTGTAAACCACGAGATCGTCATTTCTGGTCCGAACCTGTATTTTCAAATTGTTACTTAGTATCTCATAGGAAATTTGGAGAGAAGGCAATTTCCGTACAATCAAGAACGGTGAGATGAATGATTCATCTCCAAGATCGGCAATGATGACCTCTTGCAGTGATTCTCGTGTATTTGAGCGTCGCGGAGGCTCCACTGATAGAACCGGCTGCAGGCAGTCAACGCCATTGATTGTCCATAGTAACTTGAGGTCGGGGACGCTGAAAATCTGTGAAGATATTAGGAGTGCACGCCTACAATCTTTGAAACAGACCTACCAATAAATTGGATTCATGATCCAGTAATAGCAGGATTGTAAGATCCTCGGCCTGGTTGTGAAATGATCGACTTCGATCATGGTAAAGAGAGCCGAAGCGCCAATTAGAAGATTTATGCCCCGGAAAGGCCACTTCGTCAAGGTCGCCACTCTCATCTGTCTGCAAAAGTAAAAGAGATGAATCATCCCGAATAATTGCAATATAAAGGTCTGCGAAGCTAACGCTTCTCACAGTGCGTTCCTCCTCAGTGTCTTCGTCCCAGACAGGGTATATTTGTGCGAGGCCGAGATCTGGCTCTGTTAGTAAAATTGCTCACTTGGCACATTTCGGACACGAGATTACCTTTGTCATAACTTCTGACCTCCGTTTGCAGGACTTGCACCAAGCGGGTTCCTTTTGCCAGCGTTGCGATGTCAACAGTGGAGTCTTCATTTGGATTGAAATCGGGAGCTTTGCAAGCCTTGATGCCGGATCGTTCAACAGTGAAGACCTCAGACATCTCCTTATTATTCTCAGAAGGCCGGGAGACAATCAAGTACTGGATAGAAGAATCTTTTCCCTCTGGTTCTTTTGGGGAAATCTCTCCTTCTCGCTGATTCAATTTGGCCGACCAGACGCTATCGGCGCCCTCAACCTTGAAAGACATCGTCGACAGCGCATCGATTTCTCGTTTAATGACAACGAGGCCACCAGCTCTGCCAGAGCCCTGCGAGGCAACCAGTTCCAGTTCGCCGTGGGGGTTGTGTTCAGACAAATGACCATGTGGGTTTCTCTGAGACATGGCCCGACCAAGAGTGATATCTCGAAGCGGACCAATGCTTGAAAGCTTATCACTCAGTTGGAAATGATAAAATTCAGGAGTGGAATTCCCAGGATTCGGCCGTGAGCCAATACGGATCTGGTCTGGAGCTGAAGAGTAGAGGTCATCTTCGTAGCCATCATCGTCTATTTGCTCGCTCTCTGAGAGCTCCTCAGAGTCATTGACTCCTTGATTTTGCTCTGCTCGTATTCTTTTTCCAGATACAAAATGAGTCCATCTCATCAACACTGAGTCCCCATCTTCACTACCAATGAAGAGGTGGCCATCATTGAAGCAAGCAGAGCATGAAGCAGCTGATTTCAAATTATCGCTTACTACTTGATCTTTGAGAGAATGAACAGTCATTCCGGACACAGATCGGCCATCAAGCTTGAATTTGATCAATGCCACATCGCCCGACTTGAGCACCAGCAATAGGTCACCACTATCGCCTCCCAGTCGTTCGACAACACATCCCTCTAACCGGAAGGATAGATCTGATTGATCGCTCATGGAAAAAGCGGAAACTTGTCTGGAAAAGTCGTTCACGCCGACTGCTGTCGTTTTGCCAGCTTGATCCACGTGAACGATCTCATTGGATCCTATTAAAAGAGCTCCACCCACAGGAGGAGGTAGCGCCAGCACCTTGAATAGATCACTAGGGAGTCGTGAGACAGAGAGGAGAGTTGTATAGGCTCGTTGCTCCAGGTCTAGAGTGAAGACACTGTAAAACATAATGTCTTTCCTCTCGTGGAGCAGAGAATTTGAGGTTGCGATTTGCGAATAAAGAATGCCGAACGTTGGCTCTCTATATTCGTAGAGGAATTCCAGGCTGACCGGATGCAGCAATGAAGGTTCTAGAGCTGTCAAGGGCAGGACGAACGAGGAGGCGTAGGGGGTGATATGGCTTTGCTCATCTTTGGGTTTCCCAGTTTGAGCTTCCCCTTGAGAGGACTTGTCTGGGCGTTTTTCATCCAGTGCAGAATCGTAGTCATCCATCACCAAGTCGTCTCCGGCTTGATGGAACGGCAAAATGGCAAGATTGCGGACACCGAAGTTGAAGACCGCGCATCGACTACTAGGATCAACACTGAGGGTACTACCGCAGCTTCCCAGATCCGGGACCCAGGGACTTCGGCTAAGATCATCTCGTTCATAGTAATGGATTGAAACGGTGGAGATAGAGTAGCGCTCTGGATCCCATTCAATCAAGCTGAGCTTTGCATTTCGAACTGCCAGCAAGATTGCTTCTCCGCCACTCTTTGAATTCAATATCTTCACTCGACTCAAGTCGGTAACGGTACCGGGAAGTTGATATTCTTTCTCCAGTATCAGTTTAGACTCGCTGCTCTCCGACGGAGGACCGAGCAGGGTGAAGATCTGGAGAACAGATGACCGCACCACGATGAGGTTTCGGGCGGTCGAAGAAAGGAATGGAATGGCCAAGGCGTTGGTCACGCCCGTTGGGGGCAGCAATTCCGTATAGCACTGCATTGCTGGAAGGAAAAAAGGTAGCTGTCCGTACGAAGATCAACAAAGGGATTTCGAGACCTGAAGATATTTGATATGGTGTATAAGGATTTTGATTTCCCGTTTCAGTGGCGCTTCACTGCGGAGCACATCGCAAAGACCTAGCGCCGAAGTTCCCTCAAGTGAATGACTGGAAGTGCCCCAAGGCACCAAATAGGCCGCGCTGCACAACCGAATCCTTTCTCCACAACAGCTCGACCCAAGAGGTCCCGCATCACGTGACTGTATTCCAATCTAGCCCATGACGACAGCCCAAAGGTTCGTGGAGACTGGAATCTTACACGATCAAGAGCCAAACCCAAACTCAATTAAACTGTTTCCTCAGTTCTACGGTCCTAACTCTTCGTCATTCCTCATCTCAAATGTGAGAGTAGCTCCAAACATGGCTCTCCTCCAGGCATCTCTGATCTGGATTGTCTATGCTGTGGTGATCGCAGTCCTCCTTGTGGTAGCCTCGATTTTCATTTATGTCTATCAAACTCCGCGTGATCGAGCTCCCTCGGTCACACTGACATGCATCATTGCCATCACTTGCTTATTAGCCACAATCCTCCTATTGCCCGTGGATGTGGCCTTCGTTTCATCCACAACCTCATCGAAGTTAGGCCAGAGGAAGGACTGGGCCACCCCGGATGTGGTTGAGAAAATCACTTATTCATTAACTATCATTTACTACATCCTTTACTCCTTGGATGCCTTGCTATGTCTTCTTGTGATTCCTTTCACATACTTTTGGTATGAAGAATATGATGAGGTGGCCGCGGACGAAGGAGAGCAAACACTCCCTCAGCGGTTCTGGGGGGCTCTCAAGTACACTTTGTCCTTCATTGCAATCATCGTAGTTCTTTTCCTGGTTGGGTTCTTTGCACCGGTCTCTGAGGATAAAAGCAGCAGAGACTTGGACTACTTCAAGCGCCTGCTAACGGAGAATCGTGAGTCGCGCATAGCTGAATATTTTCTCCACTCAAACAGTGCACTGACTCATATACAGACGGCGAGCGTGCTCTGACATTCGCACTTGGATTATTGATGACAATAGGGACATGTCTTTACGTCCTTTACACCTCTGGAGGCCTTGCGCTGTTCCCTATCAGTTTGATCAAAGGCGCGCCAGCAATATCGAGCCCTGCGTTGCGTGCCACTACGGCGCAGCAGCTGGAAACGAATCGAGAGCGACAGCGCCAACTTGAAGGCCGTTGCGGAGGAAATCCCGAGCTTCTTTCCTCAAAAGACCGTAGAGAACTTGATACACTTACCCGAGAAGAACGGACGTTAATTCGACGACAGCGCCTTGTTGACGACGCCCAAGGTGAAGGCCGTAGCTGGATCATCCGGGCATGGTACAAAGTTGGTGCAGTTCTGCGTCCCTTCAAATTGCTCGGTGGGATCCTAGTCCTTGCAATCGCTCTTATGACATGGGTTTCAATGCTTTTGACGACCATTGACAAAGTTAAAAATTCGATCTGCAAACGCCATTGCGGATACATTTTGGGTCACATAAATGTGTTCAACCCGATGAACTGGGTTCTTGTCCAATCGGCTAAGGTATTTCCTGTTGATTATGCGATCTTCACAGCACTTGTCTTGCTCTTCTTTCTCAGCTCTGTTTTTGGCATCGCGACTCTGGGTATCCGATTTTTGTGGGTCCGCATCTTCCAGATCAGAAAAGGCCATACATCACCCCAGGCACTCCTATTGGCGACTGCCATGTTAATGCTTGTTATTTTGGCATTGAACTATTCCATTTCGATGATAGTTGCCCCGCAATACGCCACTTTTGGCCCGCAGACATTCTGTGATCGTCAACCCAATTCGCCAGGAGGACGGTCAGACTGCTCCAAGCATCAAGACCTGATCAAGCCATGCTCGGAACTAGCAGACAGCCCTGCAGCGCAACAAGTTTGCACGCCCAGCGTGGCTAGTACATTCCTGAACCGGGTCACACTGAACTTTCCTTTCTTTGGTGTTGTCTTCTTTTGGGCCCAATTCATCTTCCTCGGTAAGAGTCCCCTCACAAAGTTGCCATCTTATTTATCAAGAAGTATAACCCATGGATCCTTCAAACTAACTGACTGGTCATATTTCAGGACTCTACATTATAGTCTTTCTCACTTCACTTTTCCGGTCGCCAAAGCTGGACGAGGGGCAACTCGACGAGGATTTCGAGGAAGCAGAGGAAGAAGGCCTTCTAGCCAACACCGGCAGACGATTCAATGCAAATTGGCAGGATATTACAGGCCAGGCGAACCACAACGATAATCCCAACACATGATAGTTACTAGGGGTTTGAGGGATTGTTCAAAATTCTAGGTTCCTCATGATTCTCTTGATACGGTATTGGGCGGGTTGTAATGAACTAACACTTATGTCATTGCTAATAATTGGTATGAACGTTCACGTATTCGATCCACATAAGATGAAGGGACAATTGGGAATAGAGCCAAGTTGCAAATCACGGGTCATGATCTCTTGTAACTTTAATGATACTCGTTAGTTGACATATCTAAGCATGCCATAATCGCATGTCAGAGGTCGAAGTATATCAAGCTTTCATTTGCGCGTTGAGCAAGGCAAGGGCGTTCTGAAATGCCTTCACAACGTCCTCGTCTTATAAGTGATATTAAAGTTAGCATGAGCATGTAGCGGGTTCCGGATTTGGTGGTCTTACAATGCTTCTTCTTGCTCTCCACACTCATTTCCGAATTCTGCACATGCTGCATCTGTGTCTTGAAGCTTCAAGGTCTCAGTGACAAAGTACTCTTAAAATTACGCAGCTGACTTGGAAAGACTGCATTGGCTTTTACTTACCGTTTCAGCGCCCTATTCTCATCTTGCAAGACAGTTATTTGTGACCAAGCCGTGAAAGCCTTTTTAAAAGTTAGATCGGAAGTGTTTTCAGGAGGGTTAGGGGCAGGCAGTTTATGGTGGGAAAATCCAGTTTTACCTCCAATAGCTTTGCAGTTTGAGAACGTAGATCCTCTTCCACACGAGTATGCTCGTCCATAGCATCGGAGTACTTGTCTTGCAACTTTTCCCAATCGCATAGCTCTAGGCCTTGGGTGAGACGAGCCACTAGGGGAAATTCCGTGTCAGTGACAGGCTCGATTGGCTCAGGGCTGTGGGTTTGGTGAGTCCCGGCAGAGCCATTAGTTCCCTGGGTATGCTCGGAGTTGCTGCTACTAAGATTCTCCATTTGGTTGAGCTCTTAAAAGCAATTTCCCATGTTGACATTTCAGCACTCGGCGAGAGCTGGTTATACTTTGACTAGTCGTTCCGCCGCGGGCGAACCACACACCGCCTGTTGGGTCAGGTGATGGTATCACCTGCAACACCAGGCTGATACCTGAGGCCTTCTGGTAAATACAAAAAAGTAACCCGTGGTCCTTCTCGTCGGCAGCTCTAGCAGCCTCCACGACACGTCATGGAAATGCGACTCGCGAAATTTCTCACAAAGCACCACCCTCTGCTGCGATGAGCTGTCACATATGTAACATCGCGCATTCTCGCCCCTCGCTTCTCTGTCCGACATGCGCACGGAATCGCCTCTATCAGCTCCGCTTGGACTATGGCCAGGTCCTTCTAGACAAGGAAGCTCGTGGGCGAGAAATCGAGGCCGCGGTCTCACTCACGTCTGATAACGCGAGGGCCTCGGACGCGACCAAACTAGGATCAGAGGAAGTTGGCTCTGAAAGCTCCCAACGGTGGGCTTTTCAGATCATCACCAACCAGCGAACGGCCTCCTCACACAGGCGAGAGGATATTAGGCAAAACATCAAGGCTTTGAAAGAAGCCATCGATGCCAAGAAAAATGATATCACTCAGCGAAAAGAAATACTGGCTCGAAGACGCTCTGATGCGACGTCGGCACAGTATCAACTCCAGGAGCGTGATTCTACCCTCTTGACAAGCATTCAGAATACAACCAAACGAACGGAGCATCTCTGGCACTCACTTCATAGTAGGACAGCAGAATCAAGGATCTTCTTATGCCGCGAGGCTGCTCACCTTCATGGATTACGGCAAAGAGTCACGAAGAATGATTCGCGCCCTGCCTACCTCCTGGGGGGAATACCTATTGTGGACCTTCGAGATATGAATGGTACGTCAAGAAAGATCTAGGTTTTCTAAGATGCGTTCAAATTTACATCAAAGCAGGTGCCCCTCCAGAGCAGATATCTACATCGTTGTCTAATGTCGCTCGTCTGGTTGTTCTTGTTTCGCACTATCTTTCCTTGCGGCTCCCTGCCGAGATCACTCTCCCTCACCGAAATCATCCAACAGCGACCATCTATACACCCGCTTCATCATACAGCTTTCGCGAAAATAAATCTAGTTCATCCAGCTATGGTTCATCAAGCCCAACAGCTTCAAGGGCAACAGACTCCCGTTCTCAACCACGTCCAAGGCCCTTGTTCATTGATAAACCATTACCTCGTCTAGCGAAAGAAGACACCGGTGCCTATGGTCTGTTCCTTGAAGGAGCGACTTTGCTTGCCTGGGACGTCGCTTGGCTGTGTCGTACGCAGGGGATCAACCTCACTTCTGATTCGTGGGAAGAAGCCTGTAACATTGGAAAAGGCTTATGGCAATTGCTCATCGCTCCGCCAGCTCAAACGTCTACATTGATGCGAGCCTTTGCGGGTCGAGACACACAAAATAAATTAAAGCACGCGAGAGATTCTCCCCAAACTACAATCCAACGAACAAGGTCGTTTCCGATGCTGGGTCATTATTCGCACGGCACTGTCCATTCCTTTCTAAGTGCGTCTGAAGGATCAGAATTTACACGTACATGGAAACTCCCAACTCCAACCAAGATCGCAGACAAGCTCAAGGCCAACCTTCTTGGCGAGATGGCCAGTGCAGAATGGGAACTACTGGAAGGACCGGAGTTGGACGATGAAGGTGTGGATGTGGACGTTCATAGCGTGACAAGTCTGCAGGCGACTCTGGCCCCCATCAAACCACAGTCTGGACCATCCCACGACTCGAACGTAGTTGGCACTGGTTTCCCTAGAAGAAACCGATGCGCGTCGGGCGAAAGGAACAAGTGGTTGGACCAAATTAAACAGTCGATAAATGCCATGCCTCCAAGCTGATAGCCATTTCCTACCGTTTCCTATTTAAGTCCTCATTACTTGTATGTCGAAGGGTTCCGAAATGCTGTGGTGGAACATGGAAGATCGGATACTCCGGTCCCGAGATAATGATAAGATCACCCTCTCCGAATGGGGAAGCCTGGACCCCCGACATCCAGTCCTGGAGGAACGATTAGGAATTGTCCTGCTCCTTGGCTTGGGAATTTTCTGGGCATATAGCTAGACCTGTCTGCTCAATCTTTATCGCATGCTCCACCATTCGACAGAACTGAAACAAGTCTATCTCGGGGATGTGCGCAGAGCCTTGCCGCACCCGACGTCCCTAAAAGATGCAGGATGTTCCGACATGGACGATCACAGGCGCCCCGCGCGTAGGTGAGTAGCTCTTACCAATGGACTGCAGAATTTATCGCATCACTTAAGTCTCATGCCTAACTATCTCATTGGGGAAGACCTCAAGCGTGCACTATCCATCATCGCAGACATCCCCGAATCAGTCCTGAGAGCTGAGATTCAACGACGAGATGTTACACGAGCCACCGATTCTACAGATACGCCAAAGTGCGGCTCTCAGGAGCGAGGCGCCTACAATACTCCTTTGCATGTTATGGCGCTCTTCCTTATCCTAGCCTTAAGCACACTAGGTATGTAGTCCTTATTCCTACCGTACTGTGTCTTTCTCTTTGTTTGCTTCTAATTGAACCATCTTCGCTAACGACTACCTATTCCACCAGCATGCTCCTTCCCGGTCCTTGCACGTCGCTTTCCAGGCCTCCCGATTCCGCGTCGATTTCTCTTCATCTCTAGGCACTTTGGAACTGGAGTTTTAATAGCAACAGCATTCGTACATCTTCTCCCCACAGCTTTCGTGTCTTTGACGGATCCATGTCTTCCTCGATTTTGGAGCCAGACATACCGCGCCATGGCTGGCTTCGTGGCCATGATCTCTGTATTTGCTGTTGTGCTAGTCGAGATGTTTTTCGCCATGAAAGGTGCGGGCCATGTGCATTCCAATGAATATGACACTCTCATGGGGGACATTGGGCGCGATCCCGATTCAGTGAGCGAAATAGGACATGGAGCCATGGATTACTCCCAAGTGGAGTCCCATGGATCTTTACGGAATTTCCCACTGGAAGAGTTGCCCCAAATTGATTCAGAAGAATTTGGCAGAGTGGCGCCTGGTAATCGTCGTGGATCTGAAGATACTCATGGGTCTAGCCTGACCAAAGAGGATGAAGACGAAGCGGATGGAATTGACGGGCTTGACCCATTCGCGGACGACATCCCAATCAATCGACGGAGTCATCACTTACAACCACGAGGACCTCACACGAGGGAAAGCCATTCCCGACAGCCATCGACCCATATACCACTACAAAATCCGCAACGTCAGCTTCTTCAGTGTCTACTTCTAGAAGCTGGCATTCTCTTCCACAGTATCTTTATTGGGATGGCGCTCAGTGTCGCCACTGGAACCTCCTTCGTCGTCCTTCTCATTGCAATCAGCTTCCATCAGACTTTTGAAGGCTTCGCGCTAGGCTCTCGAATTGCATCGCTTATTCCCGATCTTTTCTCACCATCATCCCCTAAGCCTTGGCTGATGTGTCTTGCTTACGGAACCACAACGCCTCTTGGTCAAGCGATTGGCTTAGTTCTACATAATTTGTACGACCCTGCAAGCACCACCGGTCTCCTTATGGTTGGGATCACCAACGCCATTAGCAGCGGCCTTCTACTTTTCGCAGGCCTTGTGGAGCTCTTAGCGGAGGACTTTTTGAGCGAACCGAGCTATGAAACTCTTAAAGGGAGAAGACGTGCAGAAGCGTGTATATCAGTTGCTTGTGGCGCTCTTCTGATGGCTTTTGTCGGGGCCTTTGCTTGAAGTTCGAGACGCAGGGGATAAGCTGTTCAAAAGGCAAGCCTTCACCCTTCACGAATGTGTACACGACCAAAACACAGATGATCAGGTCCTTCGTGCATCAACCTTTTGCCCATGTTGACATTTGCATATAGAGCAATATATCTAGAGATTTAAGCCAGCGTCCCTTTAATTAGATACTTGTAACTTGACAAAGTCTAGGCAACCGGAACAGTATGATATTCGCATGGGAATTTTCCTCCTTGGATCTGTATTAAGACACTCTGTACACGCTGCAGATGCTATCTTCGATGTAATTTTTGCTATGAATATAGACTCGGTGGTATATCATATCCGTACGTCATTAAGAGATCCCCTAGAGCAGGGACTCGATCACAAGTGCACTAGCACCACCCCCGCCGTTGCAAATTCCGATACAGCCAAGCTTTCCTTGCTTCGCCTTAAGAACTCCAATGAGGGTAGCCAGGACACGGGCACCGCTAGCACCCAGAGGGTGGCCAATGGCGACGGCACCACCGTGAATGTTGACCTTGTCCTCAGACAAGCCAAGCAGCTTCATATTAGCTAAAGCCACCACACTGAATGCCTCATTAATCTCAAAGGCATCGATAGAGTCCTGAGCCACGCCAGCGTGCTTCAGGGCCTTGGGAATAGCTAAGGCAGGAGCGGTAGTGAACTTGCTTGGCTTCTGCTCAGCATCACCCCAGCCACGAATCTTGGCAATAGGTTTCAGACCAAGTTCCTTGACCTTAGCCTCGGAAACCAGGACAACTGCTGCAGCGCCATCATTTAGTGGAGATGAGTTAGGGGCGGTAACAGTACCAGTACCAGGAATGAAAGCAGGCTTTATGCTACGCAACTTGTCAGGGTTCAACTGCATGGATAGCGATGGTTAGCACTTTCTGGGAATAATCTGAGATATGCGAAAGCTCGAAAACTTACGTTCTTAGGCTCGTCATCCTGGGACACGGTCACACCAGGCTTGCCGCGGAATCCAGGGATCTCGATAGGGGCAATTTCATAATCAAAAGCACCAGCCTTCTGCGCAGCCTGGGCCTTTTCATACGTGCGAATGGCGTAGTCATCCTGCTGTTGGCGGTTGAAGTCATGGTCCTGAGCGCATTCCTCTGCGGAAAGACCCATAAGGTCCTGCTTTCCATATGCATCCTGGAGACCATCCTTCATGATTCCATCGACCAAGCTTTGGTTGCCGTACTTGGCACCAGTACGGAGATTGGGGAGGTAGTGAGGAGTGTTTGACATGGACTCGGTGCCACCGGCGACAACAATGTCAGCGTTACCAGTCATGATGGTTTGAGCACCTAGAATCACAGCCTTCAAACCGGAGGCACAGACTTTGTTGACAGTAGTGCTCACGGTAGACTCGGGAAGGCCAGCACCAACGGCGCATTGCCGAGCAGGGTTTTGTCCGACACTGGAATACTGTCAGCCACAATGCTCACATAGATGTGAGCTTCGAAACTCACCCCGCAGAGAGGACGTTTCCAAAGAACACTTCTTGCACATCAGTGGCACTGATGCCCTCGGCCCGTTCAACGGCGGCTGGATGGTTCACGGTCAGTCGGGCGGTTTATTGCTGGACTAAAGAAAATACATACCTTTGATGGCATGAGCACCAAGCTGAGGAGCAGACAGGCTCGAAAGGGATCTGGAGAACAGCATGTTAGAAGCCAGCCATAATCAAATCCATTGAAATACATAGTTTGGGGGCGAGAGACACACCCTAAGAATGAGCCGACAGGAGTACGGGCTGTGGAAACAATGTAAACGGGAGGAAGGGAAGACATTTTGGAGCGCAGAGGTCAATTTTGGAATGGGATTGATGGATTGAAAAGAGAACCTGAGGAAAGGAGAAATGGAAGGAAAAACTAGGGAAGAAAAGAAGGGAGGGGCTGTTTAAGGAGGGACTTTCTGGTGGGGGTGGTGAGTGAGGAAGTCTACGGTGTAGGAGCGAGTATACTTTGTACGTACGATACTGCACGGGCCAGACTAAGGTTGAATAGGCAGTTTACGTAGAGATTGCAGAGATCCTTGATGGGGAGCTAGGTATTCCAATTCTCTATTTTCATATAAGACTAATTTTTAGTGGTAAGGATATGAAAACTCCCCAAAGCTCCTCTGTCCTGCTAGGAGTAGGTGGAGCTTACCTGGGAAAGCGCCTCAGGCCGCCAAAAAAATGGCAACGCACGGGCCATCTCAAATGTGAAAGTCGAACGCGGCCGAGCGGCGCATGGTTCTCTGCTGTCTGCCCTTCTTCAATCGGTAACCTCACCCACCATGGATGACCTCTACGACGAGTAAGCTTCTTATCCCCTCCTTCAAATGAATATTTCAAGAAACTACAAGAAGCTAACGCCTTGGTCTCAGGTTCGGCAACTACATCGGCGAGGACGAGTCGGATGAAGAGCAGCATGACCAGGCGCCACCCGCCTACAAATTCGATGAAGCTTTTGATGATGGGGAGGATGGACAAGATGAGGCTATTGAACAACAACTAATGGAAATTGATGGTTTGTGATGCTATCCTACCCCTTTTCTGGTCCCAGAATTGCTCACGCGCATCTCATGCACAGATGATCCTTCCAACGCCGTCATTCTCCACGAAGACAAACAATATTACCCAAGCGCCCAGCAAGTGTATGGTACGGATGTCGAGACTGTGGTTCAAGAAGAGGATGCGCAACCTCTTTCTGAGCCCATCATTGCTCCCACCAAACAAAAGAAGTTCGCGATTACCGAGACTGAGCTTCCTCCTGTGTACTTTTCTCGAGAGTTCATGTCAGACCTGTTGAATTTCCCGGAGCAGACACGGAATATTGCAGTCGCTGGGCATCTACACCATGGCAAGACGGCATTAATGGATATGCTAGTCAAACACACACATGACCTTTCGAAACGTCTACAGAAGCGCTCTGGTAAGCGCAAGAATGAACAATTGCGCTACACTGATGTTCATTTCCTGGAGCGCGAGCGGGGCTTGTCTGTCAAATCAGCGCCTATGAGTCTGGTCCTTCAAAGCACAAAAGGCAAATCCCACCTTCTTAACATCCTGGATACCCCAGGGCATGTCAACTTTGTGGATGAGGTCGCATCATCTCTCCGTCTCGCTGACGGAGTTGTACTTGTTGTAGACGTCGTAGAGGGCGTGCAAGCAAATACAGAGCAGATCATTAAACATGCCATCTTGGAGGGTCTGCCAATCACTCTCGTTGTCAACAAAATGGACCGTCTCATCCTGGAGCTCAAACTGCCTCCTAACGATGCCTATTTCAAGCTCAAACATGTGATTGAGGAAGTCAACACTATTATTGAAGATACTCTTCCTGGGCAGAGTGAACAAAAACGCCTAAGTCCAGAGAAGGGCAACGTTGTCTTTGCCTCCAGCTCCATGAACTGGTGTTTTACTTTGCAATCATTTGCACAAATGTATGCTGATACTCACCCTCAGCTTGATTCAATTGCATTTGCTGCCCGGCTATGGGGTGACATCTTCTATAACCCCAGCAGCCGGAAATTTACTCGAAAGGGGGTGGATGATAAGTCGACACGAGCTTTTGTCAAGTTTGTTTTGGAGCCGATCTACAAGCTTTATTCGCACACAATCAGCGAAAGCCCCGAAGATCTGAAGGAGACCTTGGCTAGCATTGGAGTTGCTTTGAAGCCTTCTCAGCTCAAAACAGATGCAGATGAATTGCTGAACCTCGTCTGTGAACAGTTCTTCGGTCCTCCAGCCGGATTTGTGGACATGATTGTGCAGCATGTCCCTTCGCCAGTAGATGGTGCACAGAGGCTTCTGGAAAGATACTACAACGGCCCTTTGGATACCAATATTGCCGCATCTATGACAGCTTGCAACCAGGATGGGCCACTCGTCGTTCATGTCACCAAGCTCTTTAGCACGACAGATGCTGCAGGGTTCACATCTTTCGGTCGAGTCATGAGCGGCACAGCTCGACCTGGTCAACAAGTTCGTGTCCTTGGGGAAGGGTATACCCCCGAGGATGAAGAGGACATGGTCTTCGCAACAATCACGGATACATGGATTGCAGAAACCTGCTACAACATTCCAACGGATGGTGTTCCGGCTGGTAATTGGGTGCTTCTTGGTGGTGTGGATAACTCCATTGTTAAGACAGCAACGATTATCCCCTCGAAGCTCGCGGATGATGAGGAAACTCACATATTCCGCCCTATTCGGCATATGACCGAGTCAGTATTCAAGGTAGCTGTAGAGCCTGTCAATCCATCCGAATTGCCAAAGATGCTGGATGGTTTGCGCAAAATCAACAAGAGCTATCCTTTAGTATCCACGAAAGTGGAAGAGTCAGGTGAGCACATTATTCTGGGAACTGGGGAGCTTTACATGGATTGTGTGCTACACGATCTTAGACGATTGTACTCCGAAATGGAGATCAAGGTGTCTGATCCTGTCACTCGTTTCTGTGAGACGGTCGTCGAAACATCAAGCGTGATGTGTTACTCGATCACACCCAACAAGCAGAATAAGATCACCATGGTTGCAGAACCTCTGGATGATGGGATTGCGGAGGATATCGAAAGTGGAAGGGTCAACATCAATGATCCGATCCGAAAAAGTTGCCCGCTATTTTGAGGAGCATTATGAGTGGGACAAGCTTGCAGCTCGCAGTATCTGGGCATTCGGGCCGGATGAATTGGGCCCCAATATTTTGCAGGACGATACTCTCCCCTCTCAGGTGGAGAAAAAAGTTCTCAATACTGTGCGGGACTCTATCATCCAAGGTTTCAACTGGGGTGCGAGGGAAGGTCCCCTGTGTGAAGAACGTAAGTGCCAAATCCGTACACACATATCAGAAGTCGATACTAACGACGTGTTCATAGCCATTCGAAACACTAAATTCAAACTCACTGATGTCTCGCTCGCTGACCAAGCCATCTACCGTGGTGGAGGCCAGATCATTCCCACCGCTCGCCGAGCTGTGTATTCGTCGTTCCTGATGGCATCGCCCCGTTTGATGGAACCGCTCTATTCATGCACCATGACTGGCCCTGCTGATGCAGTCGCATCTGTCTACACAGTTCTATCGCGCCGTCGAGGCCACGTTCTGTCGGATGGGCCTATCGCTGGGACACCCCTCTACACCGTGCGCGGTTTGATCCCTGTCATCGATTCCTTCGGGTTCGAAACCGACCTTCGCATTCATACGCAAGGGCAGGCCATGGTCAGTTTGGCGTTTGATAAGTGGAGTGTGGTGCCCGGTGACCCCTTAGACCGTGACGTCCAACTCAAACCGCTCGAGATGGCTGGGGCTATGGCCACTGCCCGGGATTTCGTCCTCAAGACGAGACGACGAAAGGGACTGGCGGAAGATGTGACTGTGAGCAAGTTTATGGAGCCAGAGCTTTGGAAGGGTATTCAAGAAGAAGGTGGTCTGGATTTATGATTTCGCTAACACAAAACGATCAATAATGGGGTTCGGAACGGTTTGGTCGCTACGGAGTCTTCTGCAGTTAGAATGGCACTCGCTGTTTCTCTAGTCCTCATGTCAAATGCACATGTCATATTTCAAATCAGTATTTGCAAATAGGTTCGAATCCTCTGCCATCAAATGCATGCGCCTTTAAACGCCCCCAGATTTCCTCGGAATACAAAAGTACTGTAAACCACGATCAGATTTCACCGGCAGGTTTCCATCATTTTAGCGATGACCTGCATCAGCGCGCCATTCTCAAGAGCGGCGGCGACTCTCTCTTTATCCCCCAACTGCTTATTGACTTCATCTCCCGTGCTATGTGTGCCTTCCTTGATGCGTACATCGACTCTAAAGCGAGGAGGCAGAGACTGCTCCAATCGTACGCGTACACCAAGGCCAATGACGGTAGCAAGGCTACAGTGGGTGATGGTTGGGGTGATCAGAACAGTCACAGTCTGAAGAGGAGAGCCAATGACATCTGGGAGAGTTGGTTTGATGGAAATATCAGGAAGAGAGACGACGGCCAACTCTCCGAGGGAGATGGGATGTTCGGGGTCAGATATGTATTTGATCAGGTCTGTTGGGTGAGTCAGTCATATTCCATTGATCTCGCCTTCTCCTCATGATTTGGTGCATATATGCGACAGATGCCCAAGCCCTCCAACTTACCATAGATTTCCTGTTCATCAATGGGCTCCTCCAACAGGTCATCATCCTCGGAGTCCGACGAGAGGAAGTCGACAAGGTCTGGAGTTGCTGCGAAAATCTCAGGAATGCTGTCTCTCGTCTTTTGTGCGGCCCTATTCCTGGTGGGAAGATCTGCCACGTTCAGGATCGTAGGATTGGAATTTTGCATTTCCGCCATGATGCAGGATCGATTAGATGATTTCTTTCCCACCGCCCCGCGATGAAGCTTATCGATACCCCCGAATCTTTTGTGCACGTGCGCAGAACCTGTTCCGCCTTTTGGCCTGAGGAACCGGCCTCGATTATCTCAAATGCGACCCACACGTAACTAGTTAGTTAACTACAGTATTTAAGCACCCTGAAGGACCTGGCGGGCTCCTTCCAGCTTCGGATGAATGGTTCAAGTTCTCTACGCGTACTTCTGATTCAATCACCATTCTGATCATCACTTCCCGTGTATCTGTACTACCACTTGACCTACACACTGAAGCTCTCCAAAGTTCAAGGATTTCAACTTGGGACTCGTTTTAAATGGGCCTTCCACTTGCCCTTCTGGATCTAACTGGGCAGTGATCGACGATAATGTTCGGATGTTTCCTTCCAAAGAGCCGACCCGATCCCACCGAGGGCTGCATGAGAGACACTCTTCTCCACGCGGGAACTGGATCCCACTGGTAAACTCCTTCTTTTCCTATTCCCCTTTGGCCTTTGAGGATCTTAAGACGGACCGGTTCCACACTTGCCATTTCCTCGTTCCCTGGAGGCATCAGGGACGGATAAACCCCGGCTATGTCCTCCAGACACAGGGGGCCGCGGGGGGGGGTGAAAGGAGATGGAGGACAAACCGCCGCGGTTTCATCTTAACCGTGAACAACCTCGGAACTTCACCGGGTTCGATGAAAGAAATTTAGAATAAAAAAAAAAAAAATCAAAGCACCTATCCTTCGCTCTTCGAGATACTAGGAGACCTCGATAGCGAATCATGGTGAAGCTCTCTTTTGGTTTTGTGGGAAATATAGAAGCGAAAGCGTACAAGGATACATCGGTGGCCCCCCAAAGTGCTGCGATGCATCGTTAGGGCTGGCGCATGATGCTTACAGAGAATTAATAATTTCAATGCCACCGTACTTTACAGTAGTGGTACGGGGTAGGGGATAATCCTTACGTTTCCCTCCAATCGCATGGGGTTTGGCTTGATGCTGCCGGCATAGTCCTGCTTTCCATTGTTGCATGTAGTTGAAGCGAGAGCGGAAGTAGAAGTGGAAGGCCTTCGGGATACGCCAATACATGACGTTGCGGCCATGGTGCCCTGCTAAGACTCCATCCTTACTCAGAGAACAATCCTTTACTGGAGTTCCTCCAGCACATCCACGTCTGGAACCAGATCCAAAAGAGGGAGATTACGTCGTAACCCTTGGGACACTTTGGAACCTTGTCGAATGCCACTGCTAATTGGGTGACTACGCTCATCATTCAATTCCTTGGCACACCCCTCTCAGCTTTGCCTCCCTAACTGTTCTTCCCACCCCCCCCCTCATAGTTGCGCCCCTGATGACTCCACTTTCAATACTTCACAATGTTCTTTCCAACCGTGTATGAGCTTATTCAACCCTACCTCACGGACCCCATTTCAACTTCCTCCCCTCGCATGACCTCGCCCCGTTGATCGAGAAGCGGTTCGCCCTCGGGACAGCGAAAGCACCTCCCCATCTTGTTCGATCCTGGTGGAGGTTCTTCTTCCCACTTCTGCTGGATTTGCGCCAATCGCACTGGTGGTGTTCGATCCGCACAGTACTTATCCACGATTATAACCAACTGTCAATACCGCTGATCGCGCCGCTTCCACTGCGGTACACCACCCGGCACCCTGCCCATTGGGCGTGACGCCTCCCTCCCGCCAATTCGACTTGCCCGCGCTGCTACGTCACAGTCCTCGCCTTTCCGTTCAATCAGCCCGCTCGGCCTGGAGAAGGAATATGCAGGGTTACTCATTTGCGCCTCTTCCCGGGCCTCCTCGGGAAGGCCAGAAAAGTACATGAACATAGACCCATCAATCCTCGCGATCTTGAAATATGTACTAAATCAATCTTCTAACTAGATTATGTATTCGTGGACGAGCATAACCGGCACAAGAGATTAAAGGGTCAGTCAACAGATTTGAGATCACTCCTCCATTCCCGGCATATTAACCTTGAACAGTTATGCGAGCTTGCAACGGCTGCCGAAAACGAAAGATCAAATGTGACGCCGCGACGACGAATACTTGGCCATGTTCTGCATGCACTCGCCTGAAATTAGTCTGTGTTCCTCCGACGATAGGACAAGAAGGAGACTTTGGTCCCGACCCTCAAGGTCTGGAATCGACCAATGCATCCGAATCTTCAAGTGCGCCCGATACTTCTCACCACCCTTTCCCAGTGCCTCCAACGTATCGGGATGGGAGTCAGTCTTCGATGGGAACTCTGCCCGCCTACGATGGGATGAATATGTACCCTCAATTTGTGCCTGCTCCACCAAACCAACCATCAATCTACAACGACATGCGAACCCCTCCAATGATGATGCAGCATCCATCCTATCAACCGCCCCCTTTATATCACGGAGCGCAACCGCCGTCTATAGCGAGTCCAGATCAAGGACTCTACATGGATGATCCTTCAACAGTAGAGAATCTTAGTGAGGTTTTGGGAGAATTGAAAATTGATGAAACAGGCATCGGTAGGGCTCTGATCTTTGTCTCGCATTCACAGGGACCATGGTCTGTTTGTGCTAACCCCTTCCAGCTCCCTATATCAGGCGACAAAGAACCGACCGTCTAGAGCCCGATGCGCCTGTGCAGGACGAAGCTGAGGAAAGATTACCGCCACTCAGTACGGGGGCGGGCGCGAAGATACGAATACCCCCAGAACTTATGCCGGCTGAAGAAGATGTGATGCATTATTTCAAAATATACTTCGATGAGATTCACCCTATATGCCCATTATACCACGCGCCCATTTGTACTACCAATGGCAAAATGATCGCCACTCCATATCTCCTCTTCTCCTCGAAGCTCTTTTTGCATGCGCTGGTCGACTGTCTGATGAACCCGCAGAAGGAGCACAATGGCTTGCTCTGGCTAATCGTAAGTTCCTTGTCCCTTTTCGCTCGCCCTCGCCCGACCAACCTTCGGTACTGATGTTCTGCTTCTTGCTCACAATCAGGGCACGAATCAAGTTTCATGGACGTTCCTCGCTTGAGCACCATCCAAGCATTACTTCTGCTGCTAAAAGCTAGAGAATCTCTACCTAAAGAAGGGATACTATTACCGATCGTGGCAAACGGTCAAGACTATTGTGTCAATGGCGAAGGACTTGGATCTTCACGAACATTATAGCAGTCATGCCGAGGGTAGGCCGTGCGACTTGAGCCCAATTGAATGCCTCGTGCACACTCGAGTGTGGCAGACTTTGCTGGTCGTCGAGGTGATGATTGGGGCCCCACAAGGTCAGCGTCTAGTGGAATTTTGTCTCCCACTTCAAATAGATTTGTCTAATGCCCTTTTTAGGCCGCTCGGATTATGGCGTAGATCCCGAGACCGTCGATATGCGACCGACGCTGGACATCAGGGGACTGGACGCCTATGAGACAGACCGATCTCGGCAGTATGCCTATTTTGTTCGAAATGCGCACCATATTCGCATCATTACGGACTTATACCACAAAGTCAAGAAGCAAAAGGATTGGGAAGCCGATCCTCGGTTTGTACAAAAGAACCCTCTTTTCGAGGACTGGTTACGCAGTCTGCCCTCTGATTTGCAAGTCAACTACCCACCTGATGGCTCGCCTCCTTGGATCCCTTCTCACTTTGTTGGCAATATGCATTCTCACTGCCATCTCGCAATTATCTTGCTACACCGTCCCCAAATACTAGCGTCTCAATCTTTTGCCGCCGGGGGGGATTGGAAAATTCACTTTTCACTGTGCTACTCCTCTGCAAAAAGTCTTTGTCGCTTAGAGGAGGCCATTTTGGAGAGGTTTGGACTTTCGGGGCTTTTGTATATGCTGCGTGGCATAAATTTCTCGATCTATTGTATCTTAACCTGTACCATGCTTCATTTGGTAGAGTCTCTCCCTTCCGTTATGTTCATGAATTGGCGCATGGGCGTTTGACTGACACAATCAGGTTGCCATTACCTCCCCAGACCCCGATTTTAACTCAGATGCTCGCGAATATTTTACACGCCACATGCGTATTTTAGAGCGTTGCTCTGCCGCCTGGCCTATGCCTGAGATTCAGGCGCAGATTGATTCGCTGCGGCTTGCCTTCTCTGCCGATACTAACAGGCCTTTCGAGCTGAAGCCCAGCTTTCCATATGGAACTCCCTCCGAGGGGTATCAGCCAAGTCCGCCCATGGACGCGCATTATCATCCGCACTTACGCCAAATGTCGAATCATGTCCAATCTAGAGTGGGTCTCAACGCACATCCGATTACTCCTCCGATTTCTGCTGGTGCTGAAGATTCGAAGTCCGACACATCCTCCCAGTTACAATCTCTTGGGATGGTTCCTCACCAGCCATCAACGAGCCACCCCCTCGATCAACCTTTGACCGACGAAAACAGTTGGGATCCGTCACGTATCATCAAGTATGTTATGTCTCATCGGTTTCAATGGACCGCCTGCATCTCCTCCTAGCGCCGGCATTTGCTAACCGTCATTCTACCTTAGTCAATGGGATATGGCATTCTCTGTGAATCCCGCCAGCGTCAGCACAAACTCACCCCCATTGCCAATAAATAATCCCGCACAGCCAATGTCGAATATAGTCAATCACCAGTACCCGGTACCATATGACTCCAACAAGGTTGCTGTCTCACAGACTCAGTCAGTCTCACCTCCTCAATTTCAGGCCCCACCGGTCGTGTTTACTGCCAGGGACTGGCAACAGAGCGTTGCGAGTGTATATGATCCTCATGGTCTTAAGCGACGGTGGAATTATTCTGTTGATCTCGGTGCTGAAGATGCGGTCAAACGTCAACGGGGATAGCCGATGCTAGCAGAGGAAGGATTCTGCCTCATCCCGCCCGCTATACCTTTTTTTCGCTCTCTCTTCTCGTCTCTAGATAACATTATCTCCCCCTCTTCCTCTGGTTCCTCCTCTTCGCCTCATCCATACCCTGGTGCTTTGCCTATCCTTCCATATCCTTCCATTCGTCTGATGTTCCCATACAATTGATACCGCGGGTCCATGTGATCTTTCCAGCTAGGGATGAATGCCCATGACTAGATCGAGATACCCTGGGGGTTAGCTGGAAATTGCGATTTAACAGTTGGATATCTGTTTGCTGTACACCACCCCCAATGATTTAATGTGAGCCTTGATTGAAATAGATCAGGTGTTGCTGCCTTATTTCAAGAGATGCCACTTCGCCAAAGACTCGCTACAGCCCTTCCATAGTCTAATAGTAGATGTCTCAACCTTGCTTCTCGTCTTATCATCGTCGCTCTCTGTCTTCTATGCCGTTTACGTAGTGTGAATAACGTAAATTATACGTCTGGTACTTCTTTGAAAAGATAGAATAGTATCAGCCGATCTATGACAATCGATGCGGACGTGTAATTTTCATCGATATAAATGGCCTCAACTGTCAAACCACGTAGCGTAAAACGAAGCGCATCCGTGGAATGTTAGATGGCTTGACGTCCTTCCAAGCCCAATCCCGTCGAGCCCAAACTTATGTATGTCATTCACTCGTGGTCATTCAGCTTCCATGCCAATGAACTATGGATATTGGCTCCGCTCAGTGAAGCGTTTGGCTTGTCTCGAGAGACCCCGAAGTAGAGGCAGGAGAAGTCGGATAGGAGTCTGTAGGACATGGAGCGACTGAGCGCATGGCGCCTTATCAATTGGCTCCACGGCGGCTCAGTCCAATTCTCTCCTCCCGTGATCGCACAATCCGGGCCTTGTCCCCAGGGAGGGGCTTTAGTTCATCGCTGGGGTCGAAATTGACAGTGGCCTTGTGGCCTTGTTCGAGCTGTTTGCTTTCTTCCAACCGGCGCAATCGAGCCTCTTCAAAGACAATGATATCTTCCGGGGTCACCGTGATTGCGGTAGGATTTCGTCGAAGCATCTTGAATAAATAAACCAATAAATAAAAAGATGGAGGACGAAAGAATAAAAAAAATCAACAAAGCGGGGTCAGTCTGCTTTCTGGATGGTTTTGTCTGCGATGCGGGCTGAATGTCCGGTCGTGTGCACATGCAGTCATGTGACCCAGGAAAGATAACTCTTCCTCACCTCCGGCCTCCCATGTCTTATCCCTCCGACGGTGTGAGGTCCTCCCAACCCCACAAACATGGTACCCATTCGTCAACTGCTTCGCCATGGTGAGCGGATGCGACCTACTTTGACCTCTTTCGGTCGGAGGTTCTCAACCACGCCGCGAGTCGCTGCTGAAAATAACGGCTCATCGTCCCGTATGTCTGCCCCATTCTGCTGAAGGGATCCACGGTGGATTTCTTTTGAAGGGGACCGACACGGATGGTCTCATGCATATCCTATCATATGGATTTACCCGGATAATGTGCCATTGAAGCTGATTTTTATATGCAGGTCCAGCTCAATCGAACACGGTTGGCAATCGATCATCTTCCACTCCAAATCAGCAACGTCGACCACGACCCGCTAAAGCGATCGATGCCCGCGCATTTGCAGCATCTGGAAGTGCTGGGGAGCAGCCTCGAGTTATTCGAAGCCCTCGACTGCGAAACGTCCGTGGAAATTCGAATGCCGGGAAGACCAAGCCGGTGACCAAAAAAGCCGCGCGAAAAGATCGCAAACAAAATACCAGGAAATCTGAGAGAGACGATTCTGAGGACCTCAATGCGGCCAGGATCGACCAGATTGAACAGGAGCATTTACTCAAGGCTCGGCCGACACCGGTCCGCTATGAGCCCAGGGACATTGATTTTTCGACATTGCAGCAGACATGGCCGTCGCTGCCATCAGGCGTGCACGCTCGGTCCAGCGCAGTCCTCGAAAAGCTCTCAAGCTTAAGCGATCGTTTCCCCAATGGATATGTGCCTCCTTATGAACTTGGCCGGCGCCTTTGGAAAGGCAAGAGTGTTCTCTTCTACAGCGAGGCCGAGAAGGCAGAGGCTCTCCAGGAGGTCTCGCGATTGGCTCGGACCCGTGCAGATTCCATCTCACAACGCAAGGGTGATCTTGTAGAACCGAAGAAAGTTGAGTTCAGCTCTGTTGCGCAAGAAGATTCGAAGAGACTGCTTGAGACTTATGTCCTAGGCAATTATCCCCCGGTGAAATCCGGTCAAGATCAGCCTGCTGTTCTGGAGGATGTGGTCAAGAACCTACGCAATAATGGAACATATGAAACCATGGGCAAGCGGACACAATTTCTCGCCAAGGTGGAATCTCTGCTGGCTTCTGGTCGCCCAAAACGAGCCTAGCTTTGGAGTTGGAATTGGTTTCGTAGGCAATCTGTATTATATATCGGTTTTTTCACCTGTCCGGGTCTTCTTCTTCGCAGATGCATTACCTCCATCTGCCTTTGTCTCTGTAGCTAGAAATACAACTGTGACTATACTACAATTCTTCCCTTCTGCAAAGACCATCATACTTGCTCCAGCATCTTCTTTGCATCATCGAAGAGGTCCTTTGCCTCTTTTTGGCCCTTATCTGCCGTCTTTTCCATTTGATCATGAGCTTTTCGCACATCATCAGGCCGTGCGAGTTTCTTTTTCTGCATGTCCTGCAGACGCTTATGCGTGGCCCCTCGAGAGTCCCGAACTGCATTAGCTGCCTTTTCCAAAGCTTGCTTAGCCGCCTGAACACTCTGGTCGCGAGACTCTTTGGTCGGAGGTGGAATAGGAATGTTCAGCTGTAGAGGGTTGTGCGGGTCGGATTGAGGCGTCAGGGAAAGGTTCGAAGAGACAATTGCCGAGGTGACTGGTTTGATGTGCTGTGATAAATTGTAAGCTACATGGCCCGAAGGTAACAACAGAAACGAGGCGGGCTAATCTCACCTCTTCTTCGGCTACCAGGATAGCCACCACTCGACCACCTTTTGGCACGACTTGAGCCAAATCACGTAGTCGGATTGAGTCATGGGCATCCTTGCCCAGCTGGACCTTGAGGCCCTCTAACGACGCAGTGTTGAATCGACCTCCAGCACGCAAGTTGGACAAGTCATCTTTCAAGCGAGCGAGAGCTGTCTTAATGCCAATCTCAAGCTGAGAGAGATGGTACGGATCTTCTGAAGCGTCGCTCGAAGTCAGAGGCGGTTCGGCTACCGAGGCTTTCGTCTTGTCCTTCTTCTTCAGTAGGACAGGCGTGCTAGAGATAAGGCGGCACGACAGGCAATAGCGAGTCAAAGGTGAAGGAGTGAGAACCCTGGCCCTTGCAGGCACAATCGGACGCTGGGTGAAAACGCGGTAGGGAAGTCGAGGACCTATTCGATGCATGTCGGCCGAGGTGTTGTACGGGTGAAAAAGAGGCGGCGCGGAGAGGATCACGATCATTGCAGGAAAAGATCAACGCACTTTTGATCGATTCGTCCTCTTCGCCCACTCAAAGACTTACATTGGTTCGGTCCTAACAACAATACGTGTAGCTTGGAGAAAAAAATTGAGTGCAGGAAAATTTAATATAAAATAAACAGTAGTTTTTGTTTCCCACAGAACTGGTCGTCACACATTAGATTTGCAACGTGGATCTTCGTCTACATAACGGAGCATACTTTTTCGAAAGAAACGGGAGAATGAATCAAAGGAAATGAGAAAGAAATGCGCCCAAAGTTGCCCAGCTTTAAACACGACAAGCATAAGCCAGCAGGTGCCGCCCCGATATCTATATGGTGCAGCCTTCGCCTGATTTCATCCAGAGGGAAGGGCACGGGTTGGCCGTCCTATGTTCATATCTCCACTTAGCGGGTGGCCATGGCCTTGGTGATAAGACGCTTCAGAGCCAGCTCCTTCTTCTTGAGGTCCTCAGGGGTGGAGTCCTCAATCTCGAGTTGGGCCATAGCGTCGCTCAGGGCAGATTCGATCTTCTCCTTGTTGCCACGCTTCAACTTCATGGACATGCCAGGGTCAGAGACAATCTCCTCGACACGGGAGATGTAGGACTCAAGCTGCTGGCGAGACTCGAACTTCTTGGTGAAAGCCTCATCGCTGGACTTGAACTTGGCGGCATCTATAGGCACGATTAGCTAACTACGTTCAACAGGTTCGGACGGGGGAGGGAGGCTAATTACCATCAATCATCTGGTCAATCTCATGGCTGGAAAGCTTGCCAACAGCGTTGGAGATGGTAATGTTGGCAGTGCGGCCGGAAGACTTCTCGGTGGCAGTAACCTTCAAGATACCGTTGACGTCGACCTCGAAAACAGTCTCAAGGGCGGCCTCACCGGCACGCATGGGGGGAAGGGGAGCCAGAGTGAACTCTCCCAGAGAGGTGTTGTCGGCACAGTTAGTACGCTCACCCTGATAGACGGGGAACTGGACGGTGCTCTGATTGTCAACAACGGTGGTAAAGGTACGCTTCTTGATGGTAGGAACGGTCTGGCCACGGGAACGACGGGAGCAAAGATGTTGCCCTCCATGGCAACACCGAGAGAGAGGGGAACGACATCCAGAAGCAGGAGGTCCTGGGTCTCAGCAGAGGTGGCCTTGCCGGAGAGGATACCGGCCTGGACAGCAGCACCGTAGGCAACAGCCTCATCGGGGTTGATGCTCTATCAGACGTATATTAGTGAACAAAGGGTTTGTAAATCACAAAGGAAGCGGGAACAAACCTTCTCGAGCTTCTTGCCATCGAAGAAGTCACTCAGAAGCTTCTGAATACGGGGGATACGAGTGGAACCACCAACAAGGACGATCTCATCGACCTTGCTCTTTTCAATACCAGAGTCCTTCAGGACCTGCTGAACTGGGTCAAGAGTTCCAGAGAAAGCCTTGGCGTTCAGGTCCTCGAAACGAGCACGAGTGATGGAGGAGTTGAAGTCCTCACCATCGAAAAGAGAGTCAATCTCAACGGTAGTCTGGGTGGCGTTGGAAAGGGTACGCTTAGCACGTTCGCAAGCGGTACGCAGACGACGAAGGGCACGGGCATCACCAGACAGATCCTTGCTGGTCTTGCGCTGGAACTCCTTCTTGAAGAAGTCGAGGAGGTTGGTATCGAAGTCCTGACCACCAAGGTGGGTATCACCGGCAGTAGCCTTGACAGTGAAGACACCACCCTGGATGTTCAGCAGAGAAACATCGAAAGTACCACCACCCAAATCATAGATAAGGACGTTACGCTCCTTGTCAGACTTGCCGGAGCCAAGACCGTAGGCAATAGCGGCAGCAGTGGGCTCGTTGATGATACGAAGGACATTCAGACCAGCAATAGCGCCGGCGTCCTTGGTAGCCTGACGCTGGTTGTCGTTGAAGTAAGCAGGCACGGTAATGACGGCCTTCTCAACCTTCTTTCCGAGCTTGGTCTCTGCAACTTCTTTCATCTGATCGACATGTCAGTAAAACGAAGTGGTGCAATTGGTGTCTAATTCCGGGTTTACCTTCATCAGGACCATGGAGGAAATCTCCTGGGGAGTGAAGGTCTTAGTCTCGTTGAGGTACTCAACCTCGACGGCCGGGCTGGTACCCTGGTCAACGACCTTGAAAGGCCAGGACTCAACATCCTTCTTCACGATAGGGTCGTCAAAACGGCGACCAATCAGACGCCTGTTGGAGGGGTATTAGGACAGATCCTAGCGAATATCATATATACTCGAACTCACTTGATATCGAAAATGGTGTTCTTCGGGTTCATAGCAGCCTGGTTCTTGGCGGCCTCACCGATCAAACGCTCCTTGTCGGTGAAAGAAACGAAAGAGGGGGTGGTGTAGCTACCCTGGTCGTTGGCGACTAGTCCAATCCGTTAATACATCATCGAGCTCGGAATATGATTTCAAGAGTAATAGTGAGAATCCAGGGAGGGGACGCAGGGGGGGAGGGGAAACGCACTGATTTCGACATTGGTGCCCTCGTAGTTGGCAACACAAGAGTAGGTGGTGCCTATTGCAAAGTTAGTGGGAGCTGCAGAGTATTCACCAAGGAATTGAGCAAATGACTTACCAAGATCGATACCGATCGCCCCGTCGTATGTCGGAAGGTCCGCCATTGTGAAATTGAGTGGTGAAAATTTGAAGTGGGAATGAGTGGGAAAGAGGGGTTTTGGACGGGGCGAAATTTTTTTTTTTTATAAACGCAAATATGCCACACTGAAAGGCAGAAAATTTTTCGGGAGCGGTAGATCACGTGTGCCAACCATCTAGTTAGTTACATAGTTGATGCTGACTACGAAAACGGTCGAGTGCAAGTGGCTTAGGGTATCGAGGTTTGTTGCAATCTCGGGTCTACGGATATAGATGTGCGGGGGATCCACAGCTTTGAAGGAGAAAAAAGCTCGCTAGGATTGAATTAAAACCGTCCTTCAGACTCCTGCTTGTCGTCCACTTTCCGGAATAGGCCACTGGCGAAAGGAATGGATTAAAAAACAACGAAAGTTACGAGCCCGCTCATCTTACCACCGTAGTAGACTGAAGAAAATCGTTACTCGCTCATACTCTACCTCTGATCCTGGCGGGCCAGACTTGGGGGTACCTCGAGCTGGCCCGGCGATAACCTCCAAATCGAGCTTGGTTGTCCCGGGGTGGAGTTGGATATCGTACGCCAGCGCCGATGTATCTTCGACAGGATGAAGTCGTTGCATGCCCACTGCAGCAACAAGTTTGATCTGTCGTTGTGTCGTGCCATCAACTACCGTGGGTCGAACGGTAATGAAATGATGTGAGGGGGGCAGTGGAATTGTAATTGTTTGTTGAATAAGTGTGGAAGAGGGAGGTATGTCTAAGCAAAAGTCTTCGGCAAGTGCGAGTGACGGATGTGTTAAAATTTGGACATTGCGGATAAGAGCAGCACTGGAAGCTATCGTGCAGGTGTCGTTAGCATGAGGGGCAATGCGCGAGCAGCACCATTCCTTACTTTGTCCGGATTTCCTCCATAGAGAATCCATTGGCGATATGACTGACGAAAAGTGCGCTGGCGCTACATTCGTGGTGTAAAAATCAATATCCGGGATCAAATGTTTCGCACGCTGTACTTGACTTGGGGAATCGCTGCCGCTTACCTTCATATGATACATGTCCGGATGTAGAATCGACAGAGCCCGCGTGGGGACCGTGAGAATAACGTATGTCCGCAGATTGCGAGGCTATCACCGGGGTCTCTCCTTTGACCCCGCCTCCCAGTCCATGCGATAACTCCGAGGCAGACGGTGTTGTTGCCACGCTAGATCGAGGACTACCCTGATGCCTTCGGAGAGAACGAGTTCGCGGTGGCGTGTGGTGAGCATCAGCTTCTTGGCTAGCTGATCCTTTTCGAACTAGCTCCTGTTGTTTTTTCAAAGATTCGTTGTCGACTGCAACCCCGGACGGTGGGGTAGCCTCTGGAACTTCATGATTCTGCTTGACCATCTTCAGTTAAAATTGTACAAACGTCTTGGCTATGCAATGATTCGAGGCCGGAGATACCTGGATGTGATCTGGAACAAGCTTTTTGGCCTCGATCACACGCTGCTTGAAATACCCCTAGGCCCATTTTAGTGAGGGATTAGAACATCGATGCAAAAGGCAATTGTTACCTCTAGAACGCCCGCGAGTTTAGATATTTCACTTCCATCCTCGTTATATTCCCGCGCATTGCGCCAGATATAACTGACCTCCTCTTCAAATGCGTGCCATGTCGGGAAAGCCGTCATTTTTGTGCCTTTCTTTCGGGTGTCGGTGCCACGGACTTTCTTCTGGATGCTCCGTAGTGAGACTGGGTGTTGAATGATTTCATAGTAGTCGCGATAGGCGTTCCGGTCAGGCTTCCCTGTGAAAGGATAAGATACATCCTCACCACTGAGGAAGAGACGTCGGTCAACTTCAAGTCGAAAGAAAGGTATGAATCGCAAGGGCAACCTTACTCAGAGTCTTTGAGTCGAGTCAACTCCGACAGAATCTTGTCTTGCGCTGCTTGAAGACTGTCGCCTTGAAAGCCCTCCGATTCATCTCCCTTGTCCTGCTCTGCTGTGCTCTGGTCTAGCTCATCCTCGTCCACAGGCTCTGAAGATGCACCGATCGATTCTGCAGGATCCACAATATTCTCTTCCTAGTACACATGTCCGAGCGTCAGTTATCAGGTTGCGACAACAGACGTGGCTCATCACAACACTATATGCGTGTTGTATGCCATTTGAGCATTTTGTGGCACTTGAAGGCGCCAGTATAATGCGCGCGTTTGGCCCGAGGTCCAAGTGCTCCCTCTCAAGTGGTTTCAAGGCGGGAAAAGCCAGGGACATATAGCAGATAGCGCGTTCACTTACAGATACCTTGCGGCGCTTTTGGCTGCGAAGCTTCGTCTCGGGAGTAGCTGCCGCCGCGACTCGTCTTTTTGTGGCCATGTAGGATGCGTCGTTTGACTGGAAGAAGATGCTCTTCCTGGAGGGTGAAAACAAAGATAATTGAGAAGTAGAGATTGTTAAGAAGTTCGTCCTAGACTGCATAGCTCGACGTGCGCGGACGCGCTGCGATCATCCGAGTGGGTCCCTCGTGCCGTCTTAGGTAAGTGGTATTTGTGGCTTGTTCGGCATTACAGGCCTCGACGTTCGTATGGAAGATTGACCTTGACGGTAAACGAAAGGATTTGTATGAGACCGCTGCTGGGATCGGGACAGCCAGAGCCGAAGAACTCGACTGTGGTCTTTCCAGAAAGTACCATTCCCGGGGCTGCACCATATATGGGTCCCGCATCTCGCACTGGTTGACAATTCACAGACACCTCAGGCAGCAGCCCCCTCCATCACTTAGTTATCGTTTCCGCGTCCCGAAAACAAACCAATTCGGAAACATCCACTTCTACACGGAGACAGACTTTCTGTCGTTGACCATTCCTCGCGCCCTCTCCCAGCAGCCGGCAGCTTCTCGTATGTCTCTCCTCTCGGTCCGATCTCCCAGCGCGGAAAATTCTGGAGCCTTTCACATACCTTGAGCTTTCAATTGACCCACGTGCCAGAACGAGATCCCCAAATTCTTGTCTTTTGCCCCGCCTCCCCTCCTTCGATCGCGACCATTATCTGCTTCCAATGGATATCGACCCGACTAGAAGGAATAAGAAACCACGGCTATTGCTCGAGTCAGAACGTGAGCGCCTGGACGAGTTCGTCGATTCTATCCATTACTCCGCAAGGTTTGAAGCCCTAGTGTCACAAATTACTCGCAGCGGGTTCAAATACTAAACAGAATGCAGATACTCGGACGACACATTTGAATATCGTCATGTGCAACTGCCGAAGAACATGCTGAAGAAAATCCCTTCCGACTACTTTGATAGCTCAAAGGGAACATTGAAATTGCTGTGGGAGGAAGAATGGCGAGCGCTTGGCATTACACAGGTTTGTCCGTCAAGGAACTCTCATCAGGGCTAGCTGACCATCAATTGCTAGAGCTTGGGTTGGGAGCACTATGAGGTGCATGAACCAGAGCCTCACATTCTTCTTTTCAAGTCAGTGGACCCCGGCTCTCGGCAATGTTTCTCAGGCTAATGAAATCTCGCAGGCGCCCTTTAAATTATCAACCACCCATGACGCAATAGATTCAAATAATTTTGATGGCGCATCAGGTGGAAGCCCTCTATTACCTCGGTGTGAGGCATGCATATGATTGATATTCTGTTCTTTCTCCTCCTTTTTTATTCTTCTATCATTTGAACATGCATCATTACAGTATGCTCACTAGGGTTTGCAACTTATGGAATGAGATACGATTCAAAAAATCCCTTCTTGTCCACCGAAGTATCTGGTATGCAACTGAAACACTGTTTTATCGGGTCCTTTCGAGCTAGCCACCCTTGAAAGTTTTCAAGTCACGTTGTGGGCCAGCCACTCTTTCCACTGTTCAACAGTGAAGCTACTACTGATACTGCGCTCCTCCACGCCCTATCTCGTGCGTCAGTGTATGGACGGTGGCAGGTGCAGACATTAGATGCTTTTCTCTCACATTGAAAAAGACGGTTGGTGAAGCGTGGACACCGATGACTCGGTCGGTCTAACTTGAATTAGAAAGGAGTTTGAACGGAAATATGGTGCCGGTCACTGAGCTTACTTTGATTACCCACTTCAGGTCATCAGTGACCTGATTCCCGCTGTTCAGGTTATCCTTTTCGGATGATTCGGGAATTTTCAGCAATGCCAGCGTCTTCTGTTCGTCCACGCCTACGGACCTGGCAAGCCTGGCCAATCGCTCGTACGTCTTGTTGCGAGTCTCATTCACCACACTGACATCAAAATATTCAGTTTGGTGTTTGAAAAGAGCGGAACTGAACTCCCAGAACTTCTCTGGCGCCAGCCGCAGAACTGCTAGTGCAGCTTCATGCGTCAGTGTAGACGACGGGTGCCAGGGCTGGATGTGTGGCCGAAAGATGACCTGGAGCTTAGGGCCATACTCTGCGAGTAAGGTATCCAGAGTATAGAACGTATTGAACAATTTAGCGGAAAACTGTGGCTTTTCTCAGCATGAAACTCAGCATCCATGTGGGGTATAACTCACGGGACAGACATAGTCGAGATCTATCGGACACAGTTAGCATATTTACCTCATTTCCTTGCAGTTTCCACCAGTAAGAACATACACAACTCAAGCGTATGCTGGCTACCCTGCGGAGGCTGGGTGGAGAGCTTTAGTCCTGCAAACTTTGGAGGGGCAGACATGGCTATGCCAATTTCAGGACACGATGTTTAGCTTGATTGAGAAGCTTGAAAACCCTGCGTGAGAAGTAGATTGATCACAATGTGAGGAAGGGGAGACGAAAAACGTTCTGCTACTGAAAAGGACGCGCGGTAGGGTCAACATCGCGTCACTTACCCCACCTTTCAGTGGCAAAGGCACCTAAGGCAGGGCGAAAGGCACAATCACAAGATTGTGACAACTGGACTACTTATCTTCGATTTGCGAAAATAGATTATCTTAAAAAGTGAAACTACGCAAGGTTGATTCTCTAATCGTATCTTCTTTTCTATACGAAATGGCTTCGAATTATGAAATACTATGTCCGAATACATCCAACATTCACAATGCTCAGAGGCAGAGCCAACGCCATTCTGGTATCCCCGAGCCTTTTAGCGAAGGGGTCTTTGCTTCCTGAAATTCACATCCCGCAATTTCATCTCGATAGTGCGCCATCCTGGCTTAGCGGGGTCATATTCACCTCGAACTTCAAAGCGACAAAATCCATTGGGACCTTTTAGGCCGACAGGCCCCGCAATGAAAAATGTTCCTCGTCGAGGAGTCCGAGCCCGCTGGGCACGGTAGTCCTTGAGCCGGGCTTGAAATGCGACCGAGGCCAAGTGTAAATCCGACCCTGGCCCTAGATCAGGTAGAGGAAGCCGTTGCAGGAGAGAGATGATGAAAGATGAATGTAAAGAGATGTCCTTACTATGCTGAACTTCAGAAGGCTCTTCCTTCATGGAAGGTTGTAACTTGGGGCTTTCGTTAGAACTGAGAGGTGTGAGTCCTCCATTTTTTGGAGAAACCTGCCCTCCAAACAGAACCTCTAAAGGGTGAGGCGAATCGCCCCGAAGACGGGCAATCTGCCTTCTCACCAAAATCAGAGATGCGTCTTTCATAGCAAGTACCACATGCACTGGCTTCATCAAGGTCTCAAGTCTATCTCCGACATCGGGCTCAATTGGTCGCGTTACCCATGCCACGCCGTCATCCGAGATCTCGATCCTGTCCACGATATCAGTAAAGGAGTTCGTGTCGAGCTCGTTTCTGTTTATCAAACGACATACCCCGATCGTAAGTATTCTGGAGGTGCGCGGTGCGGAAACTGATGGACAAGCCAAAATCCTGTCAAAGAAATGGGGCCTCCGAGGACCTGAGAAAGTTGTTCTGAGGCAGCCTGTAAGACAAGTGCTGCGAGCTCGTCTATTCGAGGAGTTCAATTAGCTGGCTTCAAATCGTACGGTTCCAGAGCTTACCTCTAAGTTTCTGGAGCTTCCGTCGATCTTTAGATATTTGAACAAACTCTTGCCATTCTGGGTCGGATGATCTATACAGTTCCCCTTCCTCTAGCCACGACCAAGTGAGCGGGATAAACACAGGGCCTTCCTCATTATGTTCATCTTCTCTTGAGTTCTGGCGAGTTGACGTGGCTTCGCGTGGACTACTGGCCTCTGATACTTGGCCAGGTAATAATGTATCGGTATCATCAGCATCATCCTCGAATCGTAATAGATAAGAGCTCCATAGGTAGAATGCGGCAGCCGCGAAGAGCGTTCTGAACATAAAAGACCTAGGTTTGGGAAAGAAGGCAACCTCAGCATACTATCTCAAAAAAACAGACCCTCTCCTTCGACTTACCTTAACCAAGGCCGTTTGAACCTCACATGCCTCACCGTTGGACTCGGGGTAAGAGGCCTTCGAGGGCCGGAGTGGAATCGAGAAGGTCGTATTTGGACTCGCAGTTGCTGCCTGAGCCGAAGCATTGAGACAATATACGAAATATGGAATCTATTCCAGGAATTGATCTGGCGAAGCCGGGCAAGATACGGCACTAGGCACGTGATGTCTTATCGTCTGGGCCACGTCCAAGCGGATACATGCTGGCCGAGACCATGCTATATCCACCCCTCCAACTCCAGATATTTCTGACCGGTGCACGTCTTGAACCCTCGAAGTAAGCAGAGAGAGCGGCGCCCTCTGGTTTAGATCCTCGGATATCTGAATCAGTGCGGATTCTCCACGGTTTACTGAGACTGCCAATTTGCCGCCATGTATTGGATCTCTCAGCTACTCGCCCTGACGGTCACAGGGGCTTTAGGAACACATGCTTTAGAGGCCTCTATCCTCAAGTTTCCTTCACAGCCACATGTGAATGGGGTCCCTGCAACTGTGTCCGAGGATTTCGCCCGAGCCGTCTTGGATCTCCGGTTAAAGCCCTCTCTGGCATCTGTCTTGGGCGGCATTGAGGCAGATATAGCGGACCATCTAAATCAGTTCTCCGATACTCAAAGTACTCTTTTTGGTGGCTCCGGTGGTGTCGAAGCTTCTAGGAAGAGCCTGCTGGTTTTCGAAGGACTTGATAACGATGTCGGTACGTATTTTCTGAGCTTGGTCTGGCTGAAGCATGTGCCTAATATTCTTCATTGTTTCACCACAGGCTCAAGCATACGCAAGATGCAACCCGGAAATCTCTTCGTTCCCAACACATCATACGATTTGGTCGATAATTTAGTCGGATCCCTGAAAGACGCCGTGCAGGGGGAAACTTGTACTTACGAACGAGCCAATTTCAAGCAAGACACAGATGGTATTCAAGTATGGATTGCTTCAGCCATATTTTCAATTTTTCTTTTTTTTACTGACAACTTGGGACTAGTCCTTGCGGGTGTGCCTGTCCAAGGACCCGCTTCTTGTTGGCGAGAACAACTTGCTCAATTCCAATATTCTTGCAAGCGTCCAGTCGGCGGAAGTTTGGGTGGAGCATGACAATATGAAAACTGTCTCAATAATTTCGTTTGCGGTAAATATTGCCCTTTTCCTTTGGCTTTGTCTACTCATAGGATTATGGAAGCTGACCTCTGGTTCTTATATTCTTCTTGGCATAATAGCCTGATACTAATGACAATGGTGCACTTACTGGCCAGCCTTTCAAGACTGCTCTTGAGAGCTTAGTTGAATCTTCGACAGCCAATCATCACGATGCTACAGCAATTATCCTGACCGCTAGCCAAAACGACCTGCGGGGTTTCAACAGGGTGTCCGCTCGTGACGAGAAATCATCGGAGCGTTCCTCCCCATCTTACCAATTTGCAGCGGCCCGAGCTCAAAGGTCTGCCCAAGGCTTGCCTCTCCACTCAAACCTTGCGCCGGTGTGCCATGTCTCGAACTCTTCTTGTGCTGAAGCCACAAATAACTGCTCCGGACATGGCTATTGCGGTCTAAAATACGCATCTGTGGATGAAACAACCTCTGGAAATTGCTACATATGTCGATGCCAGCAGACCGAGGTGCGGAACAGTGACGGTACAACTCAGAAGATCCAATGGGGCGGGCCAGCATGCGAAAAGAAGGACATAAGTTCGCCTTTCTTTCTGATTGCCGGTGCTAGTGTTTTTGTCGTAGCTCTTATCAGCAGTGCGATTGGCTTGCTCTTTAGCATGGGCCAGCAAGACTTGCCCGGGATCATCAGTGCTGGTGTTGCTGGTTCAAAGCCATCTGCATAATCGATTAGGGGCATTCACCCAGACACCCTAAATTTCTTTTTTTCTTTTCTTTTTCTTTTTTTTCTTTTTTGGAAGATTCGATGGCATTTCATATCATGTTTGCTTGCGCTTTTTCTTTTACTTGCTGCCCCATGCCTGCGTGGACTTCTATTTGAGTGTTATATGCATAGGCGCCGTTCTTGTGCATTTGTAAAATAAGCAGGTTGCGAGACCATTTACCACTACCACTTAACGAGTTTCAGGGTCATTTCTTTCATACCTTTTGCTCTAGTAGGAGCTTTACATTACCCAGTATAGGATTTAAAAGGCGCACCGCACCGCAAAGGGAACGTCGGAATAGGCAACGTTTATACAATTAGCAGAAGAGTAGATGGGGGTTTTCACCGTCAAGACATCCAGCATTACTCTCGCCATTTGTAGATCACACATCTGGCTTCAGAGGAGCCCGAAGCGTTTAACTTTATACTTTGAGGCCTTAGTCACCTAACCTAGTAACTAGCACAAAGGCTGAAGACAAGTTGGAGGCAGGGAAAAATCATAAAATTTCAGATCATAAGTGCCCGAATAAATGTCCATAAAATACGTACGCCTGTATTTCACCCGCAATGAATCAATAATTACAAATAATCAAGTCATAAACAGTGAAAGCACCGCCCTAACATGCCAGATGTTAGCGTAATGTGTACATATGGCAACCAAAGACAATAGGTTGAGATTACGAAAGCTCAAAGGCCGGCTTCGAGCTGACTTGGCGTACGGTGCTGCTCTGCTGTGGTCGTTTGGGGTAATACGCTTCCTGGCGCATCTTGAGCATAACTGTTGGGCGTTCGAGAGGATAGGCCGGGAATATGGGAAGGTAAGATCCGGCGCCAGTGTGATCGACGGGATGAGTGATTATTTTGCGAGTCTTGTATGTCATGTACTTGGGTATGGTCTACCTGTGACGGCTCTTGACGTGTCTGAAACAAATGCGGTATCAACATTTGAAACCGAAAACGAGCTGCCGTGTTCTCGCCGGAACGAGCTGCCCTTGGTGGTCTTGAAAGAATATCGGGCCGGGTTAAACCTGCACGGCGTGCACCACGGTCGCCTGCAGACGTACTTTCTGTCACCTGTGTCCGTGGTTTTGGTACATAATAATCAGCCTTGCAAAGAGGGCAGCATGCCCTTCGACTGGTCAACCAAGGGTCCACACACGAGGCATGAAAAGCATGTCCACATGTTAATCCGCGGACATCATCATCTTCTTCAATCGTATCCAAGCAAATGGCACAGGAGTCCCCTGGGTTAGGGAGTAATTCAGGAGGGACGGCATCACGAATTTTGTCATTCTCGTCCTCCTCTAGATCGACCGTTTCGCTGACTAGTGAATGTTGCCATTTCTCTTCCGCAACAGTGCCACCAGAATCTTGAGGTTCTTTTGGAGCTTTTTCTTCGCACAATTCCTGTATTTTTTTCCCATGATCGTCCAAAGATGCATGAGTGGGCCCCTTGGTCGCCGTAGGTTCCGAAAGTTCATGTCCAGTTTCAGTGGGAGTTGTTACAGCAGCTAGAACAGAGTTCGGAGCAGTCTCTTCATCGTGCCCTTTCAAGCTTTGAGGTTCACTGTTCGGAGCAGTGATTCCACCTTCGGTTGGAAGACCTTGGTTGGCACGAGATGATCTCCAGACTTTGTATTTGGCCAACGGGAACCGCTCATTCACTTCATCCATTGTCATCAATTTCTTCTCTCGCCTTCTTCGATGAGGACGAGGCATGGTGACAAGATCGATAGGTTCTCCGGTTTCTTCATTCCGTAATTGACGGTTCCTTTGGTTGTAGCGAAAGCAGTACTTTACACCCACAATAATCCTATAACGCTGTTAGCACAGTTGATATACTCATTCTACAGCTTCAAATCGACCGTATAAGAAGAGTAGGAAGAAGCCATACCAAAGGTTCGTAAATACAACCCCGAATCCAAGCGCAACGAAGAAAAGAAGCGGAGAGCTTGTTGACGAAGAACCGCCGCCACCGTTGCCGTTGCTCTTTGTTGTTGTTGCTGCTCCGCTCATCGCAGTCGATGTGGGAGAAGGAACCATGTTCTAGAATGTGACGAGCCTAGGCAGGTCGACTTGAGAATGGAAATCCAGTTGACTCCTATCGCTCGGCGACCCAACGCGGGAGGAGGATTGGCGATGGATAGATCCGATCACCACAGCTCTACTGACAAAAGTAAGAGCGACGGGCCGCCGCATAGGTGGGTTCACTGTAATGCATAAAGTAGGTCGTTGACCACCTGGCAAGGGTCAAGGACAGGCCGATCATGAAAATACCGAAGTTGCTCACAAGCGAGAGACTTCGGGTGGGCAGAGGCACGTGAAGGGATGTTCCCATATCAAAAGGAACCCCCAATAAAACCTGGCCGGTTCCAGGTGGGAAGGAAAAGAAAAAGAAAACAAAGACCTGAAGAGCCAAGGAGAAGGCTTGGAGAGGGGAAGGAGATCGCAGGGAGGCTGACACCTGAGGCTGGGGGATCACGGGAACGGGCCCACGGCGGAGAAAAGATCATGAGAGGGTGACTTTGGTATACACAGTATAGCAAGCACCATACAGATCATTTTGCTCGGGTCAGAAATCCTCACCCTATAGAGCTATTGTTTACGCTGCTTCTATATCACTGCTATAGCTAATGGTATGGAATGGAAGTCACATTCATCCCATCCTTCCTATCATTAAGGATCTCCGTGGTGTTATCGCTGTACCCACATCTTTGCCGCAATCGAATCGAAATTTGAGCCAGCACCAACTTGGTTCGCCCAACGAAAACCTGAGGCAAACAGGAATACATACAAATTGTGGCCAACCACCAATTTCCTCCTTATTTGGTTGACCCCTTACATTTTACCCCCCCTAGGACCAGTAGGCATATCTTTCTCTTTACTAGCAACTCTGTCTCCTGCAGACAATGATGACTGAGCCTGCCGCGTCGGAATCCGCTAATCCAGTGGTATTTTTTGATATTACCCTTGGTGGTATGTCTCGATCTGATCCCTTCAGTCCAATCCGTCCTGTTCTCGTATCTCACGCTTGATGTGAATCGCTCCAGGTGAAGCTCTAGGCCGAGTGAAAATGGAACTTTATGCCAACGTAACGCCTCGAACGGCAGAAAACTTCAGACAGTTCTGCACTGGGGAAAGCAAAACACCGAAAGGAAAGCCTCAAGGCTACAAGGAAGCAAGTTCCACCGGGTCGTATGTTGAAGCCACGTCCCGACCTGATGATCGCTCATGTTGGCTAACCTCCCACATCGTATAGGTCAAGGATTTTATGATCCAAGGTGGGGATTTTGTGAATGGGGATGGAACTGGTTCTTGTAATATCTACGGCTCATCCAAATTCGCGGACGAAAACTTTGCTTTGTCACATGATCGTCCTGGCCTCCTGAGCATGGCTGTGAGTATTTTCGCCATGTAACATGAAAAGCTAGTGCTAAGATGTGACAGAACTCGGGCCCAAATTCGAATGGTTGCCAGTTTTTTATTACTACTGCTCCAGCCCCCTTCTTGAACAACAAGCATGTTGTATTTGGCCAAGTTACCGACGGCATGGACATTGTTCGCATGATCGAGAAGACTCGGACTAATGCCCACGAAAAGCCAATTCAAGACGTGACGATTATTCAGTGTGGGGAGATGTAAAGAGCGATACATGGAGTATCCCCGGCAATCTGAAACCAGTGACTTTCGATACATGGCTCGGGCTACGAAGAAAACGCGAGCAACCGATAAAGGAAGGCTGGAAGAATAAGAGCCAGAGACGGGAGGGGAAGATGAGAATTAAAAGCAAAAGGCACAAGAAGCTCAGCACAATGCATGTACTAGCTTGAATATTCGATATCTGAAATAAGCATACCCATCGTTTTCTACATGCCATGGCCCCAGGAACAGAATTTTGCCAAATCAGCCCTTTTACCATTTTTCTATATCAGAACAAAGCCTAAAATCAGGTGTCGGTGTCGATGTCCATAGGGTCCTCCTGCGTTTCACTGCTTGGAAGTTTATCGCTACGTAAGGTGTCATCGGTATGACCGGCGGATTTGGATTGTAAGGCCCGGGCCCGAGCCCGAGCCCGAGCCCGCGATTCGATGATGGCCTTGCGCACACTATCCTTCTCCTGAGGAACTGTCAGGGAAGCGGGCTCTGTATAAATCACTAATTCCTGGCTCTGCGTGGGGGTTGACAACACGGATTCGGGAACGGAGATCATCCGCGCAGCCAGGGGCAGAAGGACCAGGCCCTCCGTGCTGGATTCTGGCTCCGAGAGTTCTTGATCCAAATTGTAGATGTAGGTGGTATGTTTTGTATCATCCAACAGCATCACATCATCAGGTTGGGCGGTTGGGGGGATCGTATCGTGTCTGGCCCGAGCACCGGCATCATGACCTGAGCAAAAGAATGTGTCAACTTTCGCGTTCCCGCCATTTCATCCTTCACCACCACGGCTTCCGCCATTGTATCTGACACGGAAAAGGCCTACCAATCTGCAGACAACCAAATCTCTTCGTCAGAGGCTGGGCACCATCCGGGTCACCGTCCGCAGGGCGCTTTATGCCTTGAGAGTTCCCATCACTCCGCGCCATCCGCACAACACCTCCCCTTTTGAGCCTGATCCCCGGGACCAGGACGAGAGGCGAGAGGAGCTTTCAATATCAGTCGCAGAACGAGAGGCTCGTTCTCATTCTGAGGGTAAGGGGAAGGAAGAAGAAGAGTTGTGCGGGGCAAGTCTCCTGGTTGCTTTGCCCTGCGCAATGCGGCTGGGGATACTTGGGGGAGGAACGGCTTTGACTCATCTCTGCCCGCGAATTTCTTTCTCCCCTCCTCGCCTCACACACCCTTTGTTCCCCCGTCCCTTCCCACCCATTATTTCCAGGATGGCGTCTGCGACACCTACTCCCGAGTGGACTGCTCATAGGGTTTCGAGAGACGTTCCTGGAGTTTTTCAAGGAAAATGGCCATACTTTTGGTGAGTTATTTCTGCCCCGCTTTGCTCTTCTTCTTGCCCCCTCCATGAAGCGCACTCTTTACATGATTGTTTTCCATAGTACCGTCGTCCCCGGTCGTTCCTCTGGCTGACCCGACGCTACTCTTCACCAATGCTGGAATGAACCAATACAAGTCGATATTCTTAGGCACGGTAGATCCGCAGTCGGACTTCGCGAAGCTAAAGCGAGCCGCGAACTCACAGAAGGTTGGAGAAGTATCAGTTTTACTCACAAAAACAGAATACTGGCTAATTATCAAATTTCTGGCAGTGTATCCGTGCTGGCGGAAAGCACAATGTAGGCGCTTTACATCCCTTGAGCAACGTCGCTTTTGACTGATCGTTTTGTGCAGGACCTAGATGATGTGGGCAAAGACAGCTACCACCATGTGAGTGACTACTTGATGATCTGAGCCATTTTAGCCGGTTGCAAAATCCTAAGTTGCTCATGTGTCGATTCTCAGACTTTTTTTGAAATGCTCGGAAACTGGAGCTTTGGGGACTACTTCAAAAAGGAAGCAATCTCATACTCATGGACCCTCCTTACTAAAGTTTATGGCTTAGACCCCGACCGTCTCTATGTCACCTACTTTGAGGGCAATGAAGCTGGTGGCTTAGAGCCAGACCATGAAGCCAAGGAGCTTTGGAAGTCGGTGGGGGTGTTCCGAATCCCATATTCTCCCAGGCAACATGAAAGACAACTTCTGGGAAATGGGCGATCAGGGACCCTGTGGACCTTGCAGTGAGATACACTACGACAGAATTGGTGGCCGGAATGCGGCCCACCTGGTCAACCAAGACGATCCGAACGTGCTGGAGATTTGGAACAACGTCTTCATCCAGTTCAACCGAGAAGCGGATCGATCTCTTGCGCCGCTTCCCAATAAACACGTTGATACTGGCATGGGGTTCGAGCGCCTCGTTTCCATTCTTCAGGACAAGTCGTCAAATTACGATACGGATGTCTTCACTCCGATTTTCCTCGCTATTCAAAATGTCACTGGTGCTCGTGAATACCGTGGGAAATTTGGAGCCGAGGACTCTGATGGCGTCGATACTGCCTATCGTGTCATTGCGGACCATGTTCGGACTCTGATGTTTTCGATCTCAGACGGTGTTATCCCAAACAATGAGGGTCGAGGATATGTGATTCGCCGAGTCTTACGGCGAGGTGCCCGATTTGCCCGCAAGTATTTCAAAGTGGAGATTGGAAACTTCTTCTCGAAGCTTGTTCCGACAGTCGTGGATCAATTGGGTGATATGTTCCCGGAGCTAAAGAAGAAGCAGCAGGACGTGATAGAGATCCTTGACGAGGAAGAGCTATCTTTTGCCAAAACACTGGATCGGGGAGAACGACAATTCGAGCAATATGCCCAACAGGCAAAAGAAAAGGGATCTGATAAACTACATGGCGCCGATGTATGGCGACTGTACGACACTTTTGGCTTCCCGGTGGATCTCACTCAAATCATGGCCGAGGAGCGTGGGCTCCAGATCGACAATATCGAATTTGAAGAGGCGAGGCTGAAAGCCAAGGAGGCAAGCAAGGGTCAAAAGAAAGCCGCGGCTAATACGGTCAAGCTTGATGTCCATGATTTGGGGAAGTTGGACAAGATGGAGAATGTCAAGAAGACAGACGACTCGGCTAAGTTTGGGCGAGAGAACATCACAGCCCGGATTCAAGCCATCTATCATGGGAAGAATTTTCTCGACAACACGGAATCAGTTCCCGATGGTGATCAATTAGGTCTAATCTTAGACTGCACGAACTTCTACGCCGAGCAGGGTGGCCAGGAAAGCGATATGGGAAAGATTGTCATTGACGGGCAGGCTGAGCTTGAGGTTGGAGACGTCCAAGTCTATGCTGGATATGTCCTCCATACAGGCTTCATGAAATATGGCAACTTTGGAGTGGGGGATTCCGTCATTTGTGAATACGATGAACTGCGCCGCTGGCCTATTCGAAACAATCATACAGGCACTCATATCCTGAATTTTGCCTTGCGAGAGGTGCTGGGCGACGGTGTCGAACAACGTGGTTCTCTTGTGGCAGCGGAGAAGCTTCGTTTTGATTTCTCCCACAAAGCTGCTATCGCGGATTCCGATTTGGAAAAAATCGAGCTGAAGGCCACAGAGTACATTCGACAAAACTGTGCAGTGTATTCTCAGGAGGTACCCTTGGCGACTGCTCAGCAAATTTCGGGTGTGAGGGCAGTTTTCGGGGAGACTTACCCTGATCCAGTGCGCGTTGTGTCGGTGGGCGTTGAGATTGAGGAGATTCTACGTGATGTCAAAGATCCCCGCTGGAAGGAAGTGAGTATCGAATTTTGCGGGGGTACCCATGTACAGAAAACCAGTGACATCAAGGACCTTGTCATTCTGGAGGAGAATGGCATTGCGAAGGGAATCCGCCGCATCATTGCTGTTACTGGAGAAGATGCTCATGAAGTCCAGCGAGTCGCTCAGGAATTCGGCAAACGTCTTGAACACTTGGATGCACTACCTCTTGGACCGGCAAAGGAACGAGAAGCCAAGCAGATCCAGGTGGATCTTAATCAGTTGACTATATCTGCTGTTCAGAAAGCTCGGTTCCGAGAACGTTTCGCCTCCATCAACAAGAAAGTCCTTGATGGCCAAAAAGCCCAACAGAAGCTAGAGGCTAAGAAGGCGGTCGAGGCCATCACCAGTTACTTTGAAGCACCCGACCATCAGACATCCTCTTGGTTGGTGGTCAAGCTTCCCATGCCAGCGAGTGCGAAGGCAGTCAGTGAATCTATCAACCATGTGAAGTCAAAGATGCAAGACAAGAGTGTGTATGTCTTGGCTGTCGACCCTGAAAATAGCCGAGTTTCACATGGCTGCTATGTCTCCAAGGTATGTGACAGGGTCTTGGATCCCTATGTAATAACACATTGAGTAATATCCTAACATTGGGGACAGACATTGGGCGACCAGGGTGCCTCTGCCAGCGATTGGGCGGCTGTTGTCTCTGGCGCTGTGGGCGGTAAGGCCGGAGGGAAAGGTCCAACTTCGCTTGGAAACGGTACCAATACGGACAAGATCGATGAGGCTATCTCCCTCGCTTCAGACTATCTCAGCAAGTTCAAGCTTTAATTGTATGTTGGACGTTCAGAAAATGGTGTACTGGTATTTTGGAGGGGAGAAAGGGAACCCCAATATTGATTGCGATAGATGAGCACTCTTCCAATAGCTATCAAATGAATGTGTTACCTTACACGGATTTAATGCCTGGATTCCACGATGCACTACTATTCGCAATTATATATCTGACTGTATACAAGTACCAGGGATTGTCACGTGCCCGTCATCAATTCCACCCGTCAGCAACTGTCATCACGAATCATTACTCCTACTTAATTCTGGCCTCTCTGATTCTGGATTAAGGAATGACCTCACCACGTCTGCGGTCAAGATTCACCCCCCACCCCAAAAGGATCATTGCAACCCGTCTAGTTCAGTTGAGCCTGTTCTTCATGCATTCAATACTTGTTTATGAGCATCAGTGAAGCAGCACTACTTATCGAGCCAGAACCGGCCCGCCTTCGATTGACTTGACGTTGAAATAGTCGCTTCTCGGAGGAGGCGACACGGGCGGCAGATACGTAAGATGGGGAAGCTCTACGCTATCGCTGACTTGCATCTCTCTTACAAATACAACCTAGAGGCATTAGAGGCATTACACCATGTACACCAGGACGACGGGTTAATCCTAGCAGGTGATATCGGTGAATCAGCTACGCATTTACATTCTGCCTTCCGCTGGGCAAAGTCATACTTCCATTCTGTATGGTGGTGCCCAGGAAATCATGAGCTATATACACTTCCATTGTCGGCAAAGGATCGCGCAGCTGGCGGTGGTTCCTCCCCTCCAGCCCGCGGGGAGGCGAAATACGAGCAATGCATAGCAATCGCTCGCCAGTATGGTGTTATAACACCAGAAGACGAATTCGTGACCTGGGACTGCAACGACGGGACTCCTCTGGCGCTGGTTTGCCTATCTTCACGCTGTACGACTACAGCTTTCGGCCACCGGATGTCACACGCGAAAAGGCGCTAGCATGGGCGGAGGAGCAAGGAATCTGCGCGACGGATGAAGTGCTTCTACATCCGGATCCGTATGCGACAAGGGACATGTGGTGTGCTGCCCTGGTCAGCCGATTTGAAGCACGGCTAGAATCCGCTGTCCGTGAAAAGCCAGATCTCCCTCTTATCATCGCCAACCACTGGCCATTACATGAAAGTGTTGTACACCTCCCTGCGGTGCCTCGTTTTCGGCTTTGGTGTGGAACGACCCGCACGGGTGACTGGCACACCCGTTTCCATGCAAAGGTTGTAGTTAGTGGGCATCTTCACTTAAGGCGCACCGATTGGGTCGATGGTGTTCGTTTCGAGGAAGTATCCTTGGGATATCCGCGCCAATGGGAGCGTGCTCGCAGTCTAGGAAAGGATATCAATTCTTTCCTACGGGAAATTCTTCCGGGGCCCCTTGTTGTGGGCCAGGAAGGTGTGACCCAGTGGCGCCCAAATGGTGACATTATTTGTAGTGGCACTCGTGAATCTTCTCGTAACCAATAGGTATAGATTGGACTCTATAATCAACTTGATTATGAATACCAGCCATAGTGATGTATATATATGTCAGAAAGATAGTAATTGTCACTTATATAGGCTTCCATATAGGCTTCCGCACAACCCAGCTTGACCCGGACCTAACCCGGACTGGGTTGGGTTTTGGGTCGAGATCTCCGACCCAGTGTTGGGTCCGGGTTGAATTAGGTAACCCGGGCTGGGTTATTGGGGCCCTAATTGGGTTATAGTATAGGATTATTAGACTGCGGCACGATCCGCAATCCATATCCGCAAACTATGGATTTGGATATGATTTCATATCCGCAATCCGCAGCCTTGTAGATTTAGATATAGACCTCATATCTGTTGGATATTTGCGGATATCCAATGGATATCAAATACAATAAATGTGCCAAGACTCGTGACCTCGAGGGGTATGCATTATTTTTATGTTTTCTCTGGTATTTTTTGTATAACAGCGTTGTTATGATCGAATAATTATAATCTGAATTCGGCTGTAGCGCTCCAGTTTTTAGTATATCTTCTCAATATATTTATCATAAATTCGGCTACAGCTCAACAATTTCTAATATATTTTCTTAATATATATATCACTTAGAGATCTAGCTAGAAGCTATCTAGTAGTCTTAGCTACTTTCGAATCTGCTCTAAATATTTTAGCATATTCTTATTAACTAATATCTCTAGAAGTTTATTATCTTTCATAATAACTTTATATAGTTATTTCTAAAACTATTTCTTTCTTATCTATTTTTAATAATTAATATCTTTATCTTCTAATTTATTATTATTGTCACGGGCCAGGGCCCGGTGTTAATCACGTAGGACACGTGACCTTGGAGTACTAATAGCGGAGGACCAATGTATTAAACTCCTTTCCTTAAGTTTATCGAACACAGTTTGTGGCCTAGTATAGATTGAATCAAGTATTGTTTTAGCTCTTTATATTCGATAAACTTCGCTTGTGGAACAGCCAAACCTTTATTAGTTGTTAGAGGCCTCGAGGTAGTTAGCTCGAGTGTAACGAATTATCCCTGAATTGTTACCGATTTAGTAGAATGTTAGAACAAAGATATTAATGTAATGAGCACGCTGGATATCGAATATTAGTAAATAATAGAAATCTCGAGATAGTCGATTTAAGTATATAGCAGGTTATCCCTAAATTATTATCGATTCGATAGAATAATAGAATAGAGATGTTAGTATAATAGATATATTAAATATTAAATTTTAGTAGATATTAAAAGTCTTATAATAATCGGCTTGAGTATATAATAGTTTAATATAAAATCAAGATTAATTTGATAGATAATATATTAGGAAATTTAGATAATATAAATAGAGATAATAGATTATTAGATCTTTTATTATAGGTCTAATTATTAATAAAATAGATAGAATAAAATAATATAAAATATAATAATATTATTATAATATAATAAAAGATATTAGTGAGCTAACTAGTATAAATATAGAAAATAAATTAGATCTTATTAGACTAGTTTATATAAAACTAAATAATACTAGAAAAGGCTATAAAAAAATAGATAAAAAGATTAGAAATCTAACTAAAAACTCTATTAATAAATATAATAATAATCTCGACTTTTATAATAATAAAAATAAGAATTTTAATAAAAATAATAGAGATATTATTAGCTTTCTCTTAAATAAAGATAGAAATATTAGTAGAACTAGTATAAATAATTATATAATAGTCTTATATATATCTTTTAGATCTAGCGATATTTATAAGAAATTTATCTAACTAGCTAGTATAAAAGATTATAATAAAAAATAAATTTAAAATAGATAATAATATTATTAAAAATCTATAAGATTAATTAGTTTATATCTTTTTTTATTTTAAAAAATTAGTAATAAAAAACTATATCTTATTTATAAAAATCTACTAATATAATAATAGAAATATCTTTAATCTACTAATATATCTAGAGAGTATTTATAAAAATCCTAACTTCTAAATAAAAATATATAAAAGATTTTATATATTATACTAATAAGAAGATCAGTCTTTTACAAAAATTTTTTATAACTTAAGAGAGAGTTTATAGATATAAAAATTATAGAATAACTTAATAAAATAAGATAGGATATCTTATAGATAGTTATAAACTAGAAGATAAAAGAGATATTATTAGTTCGAGATATCTTTAATATCTATTTAAAACTAGTTATATATCTATAAAAGATTAGCTTAGATAATAATATACTAGAATTAGATTAATATAGGATATATCTTTATATAAAGACTAATAATAAGATAGACTAGATATTAATAATATAAATAAAATATACTAAATCTTATATAAAATAATTATAATTATAAAATATTTCTTCTAAATAGATATAATAGATAACTCTAGATAAAATTAAATAATAATAGAAAAAAGATAGATGTTTCTATTATAATAAGATAGACTATCTTATTTAAGATTATAAACTCTGATCTATATAATTTTTAAACTAATTAATAGATACTATTGAATCGAGTAAGAATAAGAAAAAGTATATTATATAGATTAAAAAATCGAAGATTATAGATAATAAAGAAAATAAGATCTTATTATTAAACAAAAATAAAGAGATTATTTCTAATAAGTTAGAAAATAAGTAATTTCTATTCTAAGTTATAAACAAGAGCGAAAGAGGATTAATTAAGAAGTTACTAAAAAATAAAATATTATTATTTATAATTAATACTAGAGTTAATAGAATCTAATTTATACTAGCTTTTATTGATAATAGTTATTATTATTATATAACTATAAACTAATTATTAATATAGTTATTTAATTTTTTATATATTAAGATATATCTATAAATATTAAATAGAGTAATCCTAAACTAGTACTAAATAATCTATATTATATATTTTAATCTTAATATTTATAATTGTTATTAAAGTTAAGTATTTATCTATATTATCGAATTATAAAAGGATAATATAATTTTAGAAGATCTATAATTTTATAAAATAAATAGATATTATTTAGCTAGGAAAGGTTATCTAGATATCTTCTTAAAGTTAAGAGAATATACTAGATACTAGAATTAAGTAGATTATTTAATTAAACTTATTAAAATAAAGATATTATAATTTAAGAAAGTAATAAAAGTAAAAATCGATAAATTAATATATTAAAAGATAAGTATAAAATAGATATAAATTAGTAAGATCTTAATAGATAATATTAAGAAAGTCTTCTAACTAAAAAGATATATTAATATAAAAAAGAAGTTATTAAAATATTATTAATAATAGTTAGAAATTTTTAGCTAATAATTAACTAACTAATTATTATTATATTAATCTAGAATTAATTATAAAATCTTATTAAAATAAGACTAGAATAAGATCAAGAAATTTTTATTATATAGACTATTATATAGTATAAATAGAAAGGAACTTTTATATCTAAAAAAGATATTAATAAATTTATTTGGTAAAAATTTTATAAAAGTTAGTTAATTACTAATAATAATACTAGTATTATTAATATAGAAACTAGATAATAGTATATAATTTTATATTAATTATTAAAGATTAAATAAATAAATAATAAAAGATTATTATTTTTTATTTTTAATATATAAGATATTATAAAATATAAGTTAGATAAGATAGTTTATAAAACTTGATATTATTATTATATTTTATAAGATTTATATAATACAAAAAAAGGAATAAAAAATAGTCTTCTGAATATATTATAGATTCTATAAATAGTAAAATATTATATATAGAAATTATATAGAAAATATATAATTCTTATATAATAATATATCTAGATCGAGATATTATATATATAATATTATCTTAATAATTCTTTTAACTAGAAATAGTAAAAGATATATATTATTTTTTATAAAATTATATAGTTTATAGGAAAAGTTTAGTCTAGTATAATATAAAATATAAGTTATTAAAATCTTTATTGATTTTATAATAAATATAGATAGAAATATTTATAGATTTTATTATTAGTCTGTTTTTATAAAATATAATAAAAATAATAAATTATATAATAATAATAGATTAGTTAATAAAAAGTATTATCCTAGTAAGAATAAAAGATATAATAGCTAAAGATATAATAAATATATTTCTAGTATATTTTTATATATATTATAAAGTTTTATTAGTGATAGTAAACAATTATAGTTCTTAATTTATAAGTAGATTTTGGAAAAGAGTATATAAAAAACTATTAATATAATAATATTTATTGATAGTATTTTATCTATAAACTAATAGTATAATAAAATATATTAATTAAGAGATTAAATATATTCTATATATATTTATTATCTATATATAAGATAATTAGAAAAAATTATTATTAATTATTATTATTATAATTAATAATTATAATATTATTACTATTAGAATATTACTATTCTTTTTTATCTATAGATATTATATCGATCTAATTAGAATTAATAATATTAACTAATTAAAAGATATCGTGATATAGTCTAAGTTAATAGATAAAATCTTTATAAATTATCTACAAAAAATTATTGATTAGGCCTAGATAATAATAGTTGTTATATAAGTAATATAAGAAGAATAGATAAATCGATAATAATAAGCTATACTAGTATATCAGAAAAGAGACTATATATAGTTAAACTTATAAGATATATATATCTAATGTTATGGGCCAGGGCCTGGTGTTGATTATGTAGGACATATAACCTTGGCGTACTAATAGCGGAGGACCGGTGTATTAAACTCCTTTCCTTAAGTTTATCGAACACAGTTCGTAACCTAGTATAGATTGAACCAAGTCTTACTTTAGCTCTTTACATTGATAAACTTCGCTTGCGGAACAGCCAAACCTTTATCAGTTGTTAGAGGCCTCGAGATAGTCAGCTCAAATATAATAAAGTACCCCGAATCGCTGCCGATTCGGTAAAACATCAGAACAAAAACATCGACGTAATAAATACACTGG